AATGAAAAGAAAGAGAACTTTAGTTTCAATTACAGAAAATTCTTTTATTGAAGACAATTATCTATTCAGACATTTTCAGAAATTACTTCTGAACAATTTTTTTATTTGCATTATATTTTTATCAATTTTTTCTGCTTTCTGAATGTATTTTTATTATTTCAGCTGCTTACTTTTCAGCTAAAGTTTTATAAAGAAATATCTTGAAAGAGAAATTAAAACCAGAATTTTTATTTGAAGTTGAGATGTTGAACTGTTTATTGAAATTCATACAACAACAGATTTATTGAACAGTTACGCATTTTAAAGTTTTTGAAGAAGAGTCTGGTGTAGGTGGAGATGAAGAGTACTCTTCTGGTGCTTCTGAAGAGTACTCTTCTGGTGCTTCTGAAGAGTACTCTTCTGATGGAGATGAAGATGAAGAGTACTCTTCTGGTCTTTCTCTGCCTCGATAAGCTTCTGGTGGACAATCATATCTGGGACAACAAACTCCTTCTGTGTAGATTTTCGTGCACATACTAACTTCAATATCTTGTTCATATAAATAGAATATATCACAGTCATCAGTCAAATATAATTCTATTTCCCCATAGTTGCAATAATATTTTTTACAGCTCCCATCCTTGTAAACGTGGACTCCATTTGGATATGTTTCTCCTTTGTATGTGCAAGATGGACCATCAATAGGTCCTGGAGGTTCCGCTGTGATTAAGAATAACAAAAATTTATATTAAAATATTATTCAAAGACATTAAAAGTAATTTTTCATACTAAAAAATCTACCAAAACTACTGGCTGCACTATAAAGTTTTAAAAAATTTAAGATAAAATTTGCTGATAATACATAGAAGTAAAAAAGACTTACACGTCAGTTGAACCGATGATAGCTATAAAAAAAATCCAAAAAAGTTTAACTTAATCATTCTGAAAATTCAGTTTTGTTGCTGCGTCTTCTCAAGTTGAAAGCTCGAAAACAAATGAGAGCACTTTCCAATCCTCACCTCACGTCACCCTGGGGAGGCTGAACGATCACAGGAATGATCGTTCGGTTTCCTTAGCGAGAGCGAGAATAAGATTATAAATTAAGATGAAAAGAAAGAGAACTTTAGTTTCAATTACAGAAAATTGTTTTATTGAAGACAATTATCTTTTCAGACATTTTCAGAAATTACTTCTGAACAGAAAAAGTAAATAGATTGAAAAGTGAACATTCAGAAGAACTTGTTTTTTAAATATTATTTTTGTTTGGTTCCAATATTTTTCATGCGCCGCAATTCGGGGGCATTTGGTTCTTTTGGTATACAATTGATGTTGTTGGCTTCATAGAGAAGTGACCGCAAAAAATTGCACACTGAACAAAAACATGTTTTAGAATAATTTCACTTCTTAATTCGACACAGACATCAAACAAGCTCTGGTGTCACTTCCTTGGTTTTCAAGTAGTCCTTTGACGTTTCTAACTCGCCCGTTTGTGTGCTTCAATTTTTTTTCTTTTGTACCCCAATTTTATTTTTAAATGTCTACAATAAATCAAATAAAAGAAAATTTCTTAAACGATTTGGATGGAGTTATTTCGGAAGCTAAAACAAAGATGAACAAATTCAATTAACTTTCCTTTTGTTACAATTTTAATACCTACAACGATTATTCTTATAATAATTTCTTTTAAAACTAATTTAGCTTTATATCATGCCAACTAACATGACTGCTTTTGACAATGATGAATCAATGTAATTGTTGTGATATTCAGTACATTTATGTATAAGCGATGACGTCTTTCTTAACGTAATTATTATGTGAGATTCATATATCTAGAAGTTAATTTAATTTCGTAGTCGTCGTCAACATTAAATATTATATTTATTTATCGTCGAGAAGCTTTAAGTGCACATTGATGTAATACATTCAGAATGAGTGTCACTGATATCTTCACTTTTCCTTGTACACTTCCGATACAAACAACGTCAAAGCATTTATACATTTAAGCAGACGCTTTCTTTTGTTCAAAAGCAGTAGGTGAAATTAAAATCTGACAACATGAGAGACAAGAGTGAACGAGATGATTGTTTAAAGCAAAGTTTCTCATTTTATGAAATTTAAATATGAATGAAATTGAAGATGCCAGAAAGTATCACAAGTAATTTATTTTGTTTGAGAATCGTTTGAATAAATAAAATGGAAGAGTGAGAGAAAGCACACATGTAACTCTACAATTTACTTAATTTAAGTGTTATATTGTGTAAAAGCTTAACTCGTGAATCTTTTACAAAAGTTTTTCATTCACCTTCATTCATTCTTTCTGAACAATGCGCACACAAATTTAAAATAATTTTCTAATATCAAAAGCTTCTGTTTTGTTTTTAAATAATGCAAACAAACTTTTCTGTTCATTCTCAAAAACTTTGTAAAACTTAATCAAGTTAATGCATCAGAGAGAAATGAGAGAAAAAGTTGCAACTTGAGCAACTCATTGAAAGCCTCAAAGATTAAATTACTTGAATAATTGAATAATGGAGTGAAAATTTTAGTTTATAAATTCACGTGAACTTCACCATTGACTTGACTTTCAATGTATCGATTTCATGATATTGAGATTTGCATTAACACGTTTGTTCTTTCAACAGGGAAGAATCTAGTCGACTACACAACTATAAACCTTCAATTGTTTATGCTTGCGAATCGATTCCAACAACAAATTAAAGCTAAATTATTACAAATGTCAAAAAATTGCACAAGCAAGAAATAAATATCGACAAATGCGTGTGTCGAATAATTATATCGAGCACGATATTTGTCATGTATTTATTTTGTATCGGCTGCGTTACATGAATCACATCAATACTAAGCTTTTAATATCGCATTACAATTCTTTTTCATCTATTTGAATTGAATTGTAATTCATGAAATAGAGAGTCGAGAAATAAGAAACATAATTGGAAATTTAAGTATTTATGTTTCGTATATGTTCGGTCCCAAGAAAGTCATGGATCAATCTCTGTTAACATTTCCATCGACGATATATGAAAGCTAATTATTTTTGACGTTGTATTAAATTCGTTTTCTCTTATAAATGATGACGTGACGCAATGAGAAAATAATTTGGATTTGCGTCGAATAGAAGGAAACGCCAAAAAAAGCCTCTGTGATTGGACGAAGGAAGTTTTCTCACGGAAAAAAGAAAACAAATGCTAAAGCGTATGAAAAAGGAGCGCAAAATTTTCTCTGTTTATTATGGGAAAATGTGTGTCAAAGCACATGGCATTGAGTTTTCCTCTCGAACGTTTTTCTCTCTTTAAGAATTATGAGAAAAATTCTCAATTTGTAGACTTTTCTTGTGTTTTGTGATTGAAAAATGAGATTGAAAATCGCATCATAGTAAGCGATTTTGATTCAAAACTTTTTTCTTTGTTTTTAAACTTTTAAATGCAAATAAAGTTTTCATTTCCTGCTGCAGGTAGAAAATTTCTTTTAATAGCTTTTTTATAATTATCGGAATTTTAATAAAAAGTCATGGAACTAAGTCGTCGCAAACAAATAAGTTAAATAAATTCATCTAAGATGCGACTGCTTACGATAAACGTTGAAATAAAACGACTTTTAACATGAAAACAAAATCCAGAAACATCGCAAAATTATTGCAATAAAAATTAAAAGCTACTTCTGTTGTTAGCAAGTTGAGCATTTAAAAAACTATAAAACCTTTAAGACTTGATAGCTTTCTCCTGCCATAGTTGAACATACAACAGAAAAGGAAAATAATAATAATATAATAAAACAAAAAATTACTTTTTTACTTGCTTGCTATTCACTGCAGTTCACTATTGTTGAAGGAAACTGTAAGAAAATAAACTGAAAAGTTTCTTTTTTCCATTATAGTTTTCGATGCTTAAACAACAACGAAGCAAAAAATCAACAACTAACAAAGAATAAACTACTTTTATTCTATCTACAGAGGATAGTAAAATAAATCCAGTCATGCAGTTTACGTTATTTCATTACTGGTTTTCCTTTATCCATAAACAGCATTATTATTAATTCTTCCCACCCCCACCTGCTTTTGTAAAATTGTGAATATTAACCGCAAAACGAGCAGTTCACAAATTGACACGCTGTTAACAAATAAACTGGAAGTTGGTGGAGGTAAACCGCCACCGTCATGGACATGTAATAAGAAAATTAGTTTACTCAGCCAAAAAGTATAAAGAAACAAAAGCAAGAAAGAGTCGAAAAAAACTAAAGAACAACATGAAACAAGCACGTAATCAATTATGATGGAAAAATTGCAAGCTCATGACTAGTCTATAAAATATTTACGGTGCGTTAAGTTTCTCGTTGTCGTTGATAGATTCTAATTCGAAAAATATGTTACTCAACTCGCTACTCGGTTAACATTGAAAAAGGTAATAAACTTAAATGACGATACATTTTCTATTTGCTTATTTTTTCGAATGACGACAAACACTGCTACTTATGGATAGCAAAACTGTTTGGTTGACCAACTTTTACTGATAATAGAATGAAATAGAAAGGAGTTGGCTGACTAACATGTTGCATATGAAGGCTAGTATGATAAAGTTGAATTGTAGGGAAATTTGTTCATCCTAATTTATCTCATTATCATTCTGATGTTTCAGGCATGACAAAATCCGTCATGACATCACCAAACCGTAACGATAACGCAACAAACAAACTAAAAAAGAGAAGAGGCATAACAACAAGTATCATACTCGTTACTAACGTTCATCATAAAAAATTAACAATAAATCTGCTGTTGTGTTAACAGCTTTTGAAAGCTGCAACATTGAACATACAAAATAATGTGAAAAAATATTTTATTAATATCAGCATGAAAGATGAATGACGAATTTGTGCAACTGACATGAAAAATGATGCCATCCTGTTAAATATTTAGTAAGAAAGAGCCTGGAGAATATTTTCATATTGTTGCATAAAGATTCATTTGGGAATTGTTGCGTGAAATTCACTAACAAAAGAAAAGTTTCTTGTCGAGGGAGAATAACATTTATTATCGATTTTTACACAACGTTGAAGTTGCAATCAAGATGTGCTTACTTACAATATAGATTCTCATTTTATTATTCATCGTCAATGTCGTGTGCGAGACTGAAGACGTCTCCCACTCACGATGCTTTTGGTTTTTGTAAACCCACAGTTAATGGGATTTCACGCTACATTATTCTCCCTTAGAACGCGTAACCAAAAGTGCTTCATGTTAAGCGATTCCTTTTTTTTCTTCACATCTTTCAATAATCTGAAACCAGTGAAATGTGAGTGATGTAAAGGGAAAATCAAAAGTTTATTACCTTCGCCAGACTTCATCTCGCTTTTCCTTCTTTTTTCACCATCAAGTCAAGCTAATCTCACCGCCGCATTTCTTACCTTCTTGTTGTGAAATAAATATTTATGGTTAGTGAATCGATCCGCACTCTTGAAACCTCATCTCTCATATTACATATTGGAGATGTTGTGACTTTCAAGTAGAAGTAGAATAGAGAACAGTTGAACGTAAAGCTTTTCAAGCAAAATCAAACATCATACCGAGAAAAGGGCGAAAAAAACATATTTATGCAGATTGAATAAAGCTTATCAACATAAAATGTATTTTACATATCAATGCAAGGAAATCCTTCAAAGAATGCTTTTGTTGAGCGAACGGGTATGACGACAAAGGTGTGTGGGAAAAGGGGATCACATTGCAATACAACAAGAGAAGTAAAAATCTTAAACATTATTAAAATCGAATAAGTGCAAAAATATGGTAATGCGATGGCATTAAGCAAAATCGAGGATTGATTTTCCGCTTTTTTCCTTTTCCTCTCAATCCCCATGTGAATGGGATATGTTGTGTAATGCGGACTGATTTGCCCACCCACACACAATGCAAATAAAGAGATTTTTCATGGCTTTACAGTAAATAAATTCTGCATAATCTAAGTGCAAATGAGTCAAATTTCTTCTGTTGGGTTTCAGAAGCATTCGAGGATCGATAAATTTACTGACTTGATTCCTTCATTTTTGTTTTCTGCATTTCCGATTCATTTGTTAGCAATGAAAGCTACAAAGGAAAACAATAAACTGATTGTAAATAAACCCAAGGATGTCGCGTTTGTATTTTGTCGTGTACTAAATATGTTGCACTTAATTTAAAATTCTGGATCGGAACTCGGAACATTGCTTTATATGCACACATTTTATTAAAGTCTGCAAGCGAAAGAATTAAATAGCATTTTACAATTTACGACTTCCGCTAACTTTAAGTTTTTCCCCTTTTTGCCTTGTTTTGCTAATTCGTATGATTTATGTCATCGTTGCAATTTGCAACGGTATTTTTATGCTCTTTACTTATCTTTATACTTCCTTTGAAAAGCTTTTCCTTTTCATGTTTTTAAGTTGTCGTTGAATGTTCTTAACGTATTACAAATCAAAGTTTCTAACTCCAGGTGTAAGTAATTGAATAAAATAAACAGAACAAGAACAAACCTTGTGGCTTATAATTTAACTTCAAGATTCAACATCGCTTTTAATCCTTAAAAACATTTAATGAGAAGGAAAACTAATTTCCGCTCTGAAGTTGTTAGAAGCGGAAGATGGCAAGTGCTAATTAGTTTTCCGCAATTCATCATCATAATCATCACTTAAAATGTTTAAAAGCAGCACAATCATTATGGGCCTCTTCTCTGAAAGCATATTACGCGAGCAATTAAACCGCATCATAAATAAATTCTACTTTCTCAGACTTTCAGAATCAGATCCAAGACTTTAAGAAGCATTAAGATGAATTCATTGAGAAAGGAAACTTTTTCTTCATTGAATTTTCTTTAGTATTTCTATGACAAGTCAAAGATAAACCACTTAAGAGATTTGTTGTTGCTTTCTTTAAAATGTTCGTTTTCAAGCTTTAAGTTTTCATTCTGCAACGATTTCAAGTTGTTCAAGCAAAAGGTAAAGATCAACAAGACACAACAAAATATTTTGCCAATAAAGCAAAAGTCTGAAAGTTTTAATGTTCAATCTCACTGAGAATCCTTCCCATCATATCCATAAATATTTTGGCAAAACTTTTTGTCCCCCAGAGATCATCACAAAGTCTTCAATTTTCCAAAATCTCACACGTTTTTCATCCGCGATTAAAGTTTGAAACTTTTACTGTCATCACTTGCAGCTTATTTTCAGCACAAAAACCTGTTTCAAGCCTAGGAAATGGAAAAGTTTTCCACTTCAATTGTTGTTTCTCTCTTTTACTTCCATCTAACTGAGAATGCAAGGGAAATAATTTATATTTTCGCTTAAAACTTTTCTTTTTGTGCAACGATCTTTTATTACCTCAAACCCTGCTATTTATTTTGTTCGCAAAACATTTTTTCCACTTCATCTACTTCTTCTAGAAGTTTTTGTTGTTGATGTTTAGCAGCAATGAGTTCTAATTGAAGGCAGCAATTTAATTTTATTTAACGAGAAGGAAAATTGGATGAGCACAAAGAAATTCTTCGTTTTTTTTTCTTTTTCATCTTTCCAAGAACGAGAAGAAGCGAGAAATTAATTGAACTTCATTAAAATTCCCACTTAACATCCCGCGTTTTCATCATCGATATTCTTTATTGTTTTTCTCTCTGACAAGGCGAAGCGAGCAAAAAAAATAATTTCACATTTATGGGTGATGCGGTGAGAGCTTCGACATTCACTGTAATTAACAAAGTATGAAGTCAGGTGTAAAGTATTTAAGGCAATCAACAAAAAATGCTGAATATGCAATGAAAAGAAAAGTGAATTAAGAAAAACTTGTGGGAAGATGAAATTATCATAAATAATTTGCGTTATGTCTCTCCATCTCATGCTTTGCCTATTTACTAGCCTTTAATTATTAAATGTTCACTTCATTGTCAAGTGTGGTTGTCTGGCATTCTTTAAAAATGATCCCAGTGAAACAAATAAAGCTTTTATTTGAAGTTAACAGCTTATGGCGTGGACTTTCTTTGCTTCTTCTAGTTCTTGTAATTTCAAGTTTAACACATCACCACTGGAATTTTAATTTTTAAAGTGTCGCTCTCGTCAAGCGTGACGTTGGTGAGGCGATTCACGCTTTCACATTCCACCTCCATTGCCTTCAAGGAGAATTTCCCATCGTTTCCACGTTGTGGTATTTTAATTTGTAGAAAGGGATCATTTTTCTCGCTAATTTAATTGCTGTGTATCTCATATTTCTTTCTTTCCCTCTCCTGTCCCCAAGTACTTTTTGTCTTGCTATGACAATGTTGGATGAATTGTGGGGAGTGGGTGATGCTGTGACCGTTAAGTTAGAAGAGGGATCTGTTTGTTGGTGATTATGAAAAATAGAAAATTTGTCCTCCGTTCCGGGGCATAAAAATGAACTCTAATGCTTCTGGTTGTGCGTTCTTTTTCTCGTCGTTGCTTCTTTTTTGTTCCTTTTTTTTAAGAAGAACAAATTAAAATGTATGTTCAGATACTTTTGAGAAGAGTTGGGGGATAGGATGGAAATGGGGTTCTAATGCTTTAACAGCTAATTAATTTCAATTCATTCTTTTCATCATGAAAAGTGGGGCAGCGTTAAAGTCATTTATAATGAGAAGAAAAATGTGAAAAAGGCTCATTGAGGTCGACGGATGGATGGTTTTGTCCACGAAGCATGCTGCGTTCTTCTTTTATTTTCCTAAAACTCAAACGAAAACAGAAGGCGGTTTCAAGAATAAGTGAGAAGTGTAAATTATGATCTTTTGAGTACAAAAGGTTGTTTTAGGGCACTCCATGAAATTTTCTTTTAATTTTTAATTCTTTCTGAACGATTTTCATTCAAAAAGAAGCGTCCATGGAAGGAAAGAATTAATAACTCTAATTGAGGGACTTGTCAAGAGCTTTTGATGTCTCAACTTAAAACAGATGCTTTCAGTTAATTTTCCTGTTAATTTTAAATACCTTTCTTTAGTGAATTTTATTAAAAATTTTCATATTTTTGTACATTAAAAGGAATTTCTTCTTCTCATCTCTCTTTACGAAAATTTATTAGAAAAGTTTTCTTTTCAATGATTGAGAGGAAAAGTTGTTTATGACCAGTAAATTCTCGAAGCTTATGGCATCATAAATAAAAGTTTTTCATAAAAATATTCTGTGAGTTTGAATTCAATTTTATTTCATTAACAGATAGTTTTGAATATTTTACCACGAATTCGTATTTATGTTTTATTCTTCCTTTTTGGATTAAAAATATTTAAAGATTATTAATTCCTCTGAAATATCACTAGGATTGTACGATATTTAAATTCTTTAACTTATCAAATATAATTATTAAATGTTTGAACTATTATCCTTTTCCTTGCGCTTCTCTAAGACGTCATCGATAACTTCTTGAACAGTGTCAGGAAAAACTGCTTGAGCTTTTTTGAATTTTTCCAAGAGCTGATTAATTTCATTCAATCGCTTTCGTTTATCTTCGGCTTCTTTCTTTCTCTGTTCGTAAATATCCTTGCACTGGATTATAGATTTCTCTTTGAAATCTTTGATATTATTGAAAATTTGAGCGTTCAATGTTTCACATTCACTGATATTAGAATTTTGAATTGAAATATTTGACTCTATCTCACTGATTTCAGCATCACTGCTTTTAAGCATTTCTTGCAAGGTGCTTTCCCATCGATTCAATTCTTCTTCCAATTTCTTCTCTTTCATCTCTACTTGTTCGAATTTTGATCTCAAATCATTTAGCTGTGTTGAATTTCCCAACGCCAAGCGATGTTTTTCATCAACGAGATTTATCTGATCTTGATTAACATTTCTTTCAATTTTTCTGTATTTTTCGGTGAGGTCTTCCAATCCTTCCTTCAACAATTTTAGTTCTTTAAATAACTCGCCGTTCTGAGTAATTTTTTTTGTTTTAATAACATAGGCTGCAGGATCGAATGAATCTTGCATGCCAGCAAGATTTAAATTGCTTGCCAATATGAAAATTAAATTATTCAATGATTCAATCAACTGGAATTTTTTTCCAATGAGATTTGCAATTTCAATATCATTTTCGCTGCCGATTTCTTTCAATTTTTTTGCTGCTTCTTTCTTACTTAACAAAACAGTTTTAAGTTTTGATATATCGATCAGAAGTTCATTTTTCTGTTCTGTTGATAATTTTTGGTTCATCAAAGCTTGTCGAACTTTTTTCAAATTAAAAGAAACTTTCTGACTTTCATTGTACTTAAGTTTGATTTCATTTTGGATGACATTATTTCTTTCTGAAAGTTCATGATTGATTCGCTTTAATTCTTCGGTTTGTTCCTCCAAAGCTTTTAATTCTTCTTTTCGCTGTTTATATACCTCCTGAACACTCACAGGTTTCGTATTACGATTAAGATCTTTAATATCGCTTTTCAAACGATCAAGTTCTGTATCAAGATCCTCACCAGGTCCAACAGTCTCGTCGACAAAAGCTTGTCGCATTTCATCAAGAACAACTTCAGATTCTGCTTCTTGCTGATTGTTCCATAAAGTGAATGCCTTTGCTGTGGTATTCATAAAATTTTCAGCAATATTTGGAGCGCTGAAGTCTTCGGAGTATTCATATTCAATTTCTGGATCTTCATTACAAGCTGAAAAATCTGCAAGCCAAGCTAAAAGCACGACAATGTTACCATGGCAGTGCGGAGCTGATGGGGTCTTTAAAGATGATTTATTGATGTTATATGGATAATCCATGCTCAATAGAAAATTATACACGACATCAGTATAGTTTGTACCGTCGATTTGAATATTTCCAAACGGTTTCAAGAAGTGTTTAATTATCATGATGAACTGTTTATGAGTCATCGATTTAAGTCCTTTTTGTATTAAATCGTTAAATCCATCAATTTTTGTAAGTTCTTCGAGAACTTGAGCTGTTTTATTATTGATAAAAGCTCTGTCGTCAGTTGGAACTTTTTCTTTTTCTGCTGTCATTGGAACCATTGTGTTTCGATCTTTTGAGTTCGATCGGCAGGGAGTTCGAAGTGGCGTAGCTCTACCCATAGACGGTGTAGCTGATGCACGGCTTTGTCCGGGTCGCATCGCTGATCCACCTGCAGCTTGAGCAATTCTACTAACTCTAAAAATTTATCAAAATAAGAAAGTCAAATTGAGCTGAATTTCTTATAAGAATAAAGAGATAAAACAGTTTGAACAAAAGCGAGAAATTAAATCTCGAAAGCAGTTTTTACCTTGGATTTCCGCTCTTTCTGGTTGAAGAAACTTGAAATTCACTTGTTCGTCTTGGTATTTGAGACATTTTCAATGTTTTTATATGTTCTGTTTCAACAAAAACTATAATTATTGAGTAATTCGGTTTTCGGCTTCTTGAAAATACGTTAGAAATGAACAAAAATACTAAATAAAATATTGTCTCCTTGGTAGAATTTTATGTCTACTTAGAAAAAGGACCTCAGTAATCACTTCTCTAAAAGGAAAGTGAAATATTTCAAATTTATTATTGTTTGTCCCTCATTTATTATTGATGGCTTCAACAAGCAAAAAAATGGCTTCAACAAGCAAAGAAACGGCTTCAACAAACAAAGAGGTGTGCTGGGTTTGTTTTAAATCTATTAAAAATGACGTTCTTTTTGGTGAATGGAAGACGCTAGATAAGATAAAAGTTCACTACTTTTGTTTATTATCGGGAACTGCTATTAGGCAAACTGGTATTCATATATTGAATCATTTTAATACTTTATCATATTATTGGTTTGATTTCAGGCAAAGTTACAGGAAAACCGGATGGAATACTTGGCTTTACAGAAAAAGATATTGGTGAATCATTTCAGCTCTACGAATCTACGAAATGCTATCTATGTCGTAAGAAATCAGCTGCTGTATGTTAATTCGATTTAATTTCATTCAATCTATATTAGTCTTATCATTGTTCTTGTTTTGAAAGGTAAAATGTGCTGAAAAAGACTGCAATCGGTCCTGGCATTATCCATGTGGAGTATTAGAATGCGTTACAGAATTTACAGGAGCATTCCAATCATATTGCAGTCATCATGTCAAAGATCCTAACAATGGCAAAAAGCACGAAAATTATGCTGAGTGTTTAGTATGTAATAGTTTGATAGCTACTTATGACCCAGCAAATTCCATCATTTCGTCGTGCTGTCTCTTATGGCCGGATTATTCTAAATGCTTTGTTCATAAAACTTGCATTTTGAAATATACTAAGAATGCTGGCTATGATTCACTGTGTATAAATTGCGATATGGAAGTCCCGGCACCTAATTATAAATTAACTAAACAAGAATGGCAAGAGGAAATGAGAAAAAAAGGAATATTTATTCCGATGGCAGATGCTATTTGGGAACGAGAAGGTAACTTTGCTGATCAAGTCAAACAGAAATGCGAATACGGGAACTGCTCAAGTCCAAATGTAACAAAGGATGTGTTCACTTGCTTCGTTTGTGGATGCTTTCCGATGCACTTAAAATGTTCCAAAGTCACAAAACATGAAGAATATTATTGTCCAAAATGTTGGGACCAATCTTTTGTACAAAGAGTTCCGAAATATTAAATTTCTATTTTTTCTATAATTGTTGAATTTTGAACTGTAATAATAAAAATAACGGCTTCCAGAAATTTAAATATGTTGTTTGTCTTCTTGGTAACTTCTTCAAAACACAAACAGAAGTAAGAAGTAAATTAATATTTTTAAGAATATTGAGATATATAAACATGATTCGTTGCTTCAGCATAGCAAGAGTTGCTAGAAATACTCCCGGATTATTGGTAAAGGTATGGAATAGAATTGTTTTACTGTACTTTATCAAAAAATTATATATATGTATTTCTTTTTCTTTTCAATCACATTTTAGTTTCAAAGTCAGAAATTTGGATACAGTAATGTGAGAAATTTCAGTCAAATTAATCCAGTAGCCAGCACACTTTTTCTCAACACACATAAATACAAAACATTTCAAATAAACGATGTTAGATTTGCGAGTACTGAAGAAAGTGTTGATTTACTTGAGAAAATACCGGAACCTCCAGCAATTCCTGAATTTGCTACAGAAAAAGTTGTAGAAAGTTTGGCACAAGGAGCAGAACCTGCCTTTTCAACTTTAGGTTTGGGTGGTTGGAGTCCAGTTGGAATCGTTCAAAATTGCATGGAATATCTTCACATAGGCTTAGATTTGCCATGGTGGACAGCCATTATGATTGGAACAATTACTGTTAGGACAATACTTTTCCCTCTCGTTCTTATGGCTCAACGAAATGGAGCTAAGATGAACAATAACCTTCCTCAACTACAAGTTCTTCAATTAAAAATGACTGAAGCTCGACAGTCAGGCAATGCACTTGATGCTGCTCGATATTCACAAGAACTTTCAACCTTTATGAAGGAAAAACAAGTGAATCCATTGAAGAACATGATCGTTCCTTTAGGTCAAGCTCCATTGTTTATCTCATTCTTCATTGGTCTTCGTCAAATGGCAAACGCACCAGTCGAGTCTTTGAGAACTGGAGGACTTTTTTGGTTCAATGATTTGACAGTTCCCGATCCATATTTTCTTCTCCCAATCATCACTAGTTGCACCATGCTTTTAACGATTGAAATTGGAACTGATGGAGCTCGATTAGCATCAGCTAATCTTGCAACAATGAGATATGTTCTTCGTGCCCTTCCATTTCTTATTTTACCTTTCACAGTGAACTTTCCAGGAGCAATTCTTACTTATTGGGCATTCAGCAACTTCATTTCACTAATTCAAGTTGGGGTTCTGAAAGTGCCAGCTGTTCGCGAATACTTCAATATTGAAAAAGCTATTGTTCATAAACCAGACGAATTACCAGTCAAAAAGAAAGGATTTAGAGAAGGATTCAAAGATTCTTGGACAAACATGAAAATCACAAAAGAACTTGAAGATCGAAAACGCCTTGACACAATGATGTTTCAAAGAGCTGCAAGAGGTGCTGTTCAAAAAACCTACAAATATGATCCTACAAAGCCGAAACCATAAACCTTGATTAGTTGAATCATAAAATAATTTTCGCAGCGACATTTATTGTGAATAAAAATAATTCTGAGAATAAATAAGTATGATAGCAGATTTTATTGACTTTGCTTTGTTATGCTAATGCATTCGTTAACTACTTGCATAAGATGACTGTTTTCAAGCGAGGCAGCAACACGTTCCTTATCTTTGAGTTGCTTATTGATTGCGTTTTCAGATGAATGTGTTCCTGGTGTTATCTCAACAGATATTTTAAAACGAGGTGGAAGAGCTCTGAGTAACTTCACTCTTATGCTTAATCCTATTAAAGTTGCCATTGAACAATGCTATAGAAGAACAAAATATGAAAATAATATTGCTTTAAAAATATTTCTTGTTATAACTTACTGGAATTGTAGGAGTAAAGTTAACAAAAACTTCTCCTCTCTCATTATTTACAGTAACTCTGCTCTGCTCTAAAACATGAAGTTCTTCAAGTGTCAATGGATGCTCGGGGTCATTGATGTCTCGTATTAAGTCTAAGAAATGCATTTTAATAGCAAAAATTAAAACCGATGGTTTGTTTCATCTTTTAAATTTTTAACCCTTGTTGGACCCACTTAAATAAATTTAAAGCTTCGTAAGTAAACATACCAAAAACTTCTCTCTCATCAATAGGATCAACAACGTCTTCATTCAACTCATTTTCAGTTAAAGGTCGCTCTTCTGTCTTTTTATAAACACTAGGATTAATATTTTCTAGTTCAGCCATGACGTCTTTGTGTTAAGAATAACAACAAACCGAGAGGCATCTCACTTTGTATACTGAGTAGACCAATTTTCTACTGTCAATTCTTAAATTATAATATTAAAATATTTAATATTACTACTTATACACTACTCTTTTAACTAAAAAGATATGAAATAAAATTGAAATACAGAATCATTCACACTTTTGATTTCATGAAATTATGAAATACTAAATTATAAAGAAATTTCTGGAAATTATTTGTCATAACGCAAACTGGTTAAAATAGTTTGAATCGTTCTGCAATTCATCTAAATTCGGTACACTCAGAAACGAAGAATATTTTTATAAGAAAGACATTTTTCAAAATATTATTTCCTTATCACGCAGTGAGTAAACAGAATCTTAAAATCTGTTACGAAAAACAGTTTATAACAATTAGTTGATTTTCTGTGTCAAAAACTTGGAAAGTTATATTTGAAGCTTAAAAAAAGCAAAGTTATAAAAATTAATTTCAAAAAAGGAAAATTTGTGAAAAAAAATTAAAAACTTAAATTTAGAGCATTACTCGATAAAAAGCTGAAATTATTCTCAGCAAATCAGTTAGTGCTATTGTGTTTTGCGTTTATTGCATCATATTAGCCCAAGGAATTATTGTGCAACGGTTAAAAATGCGAATTTTCAATTCGATTCCAGCAACAACAAAGAACAACACCAGCACAGCTGATTTTCTGGAATGATTTTGGGTGGAAATAAAAATGAGAAAAAAATAAATAAATATCTTTGAGCGATCGCAATATGCGTGTGAATCATATTGACATATTATGTTATTGTAAAGTTGTGAAATAATAAGGATCATCTCAAAGTGAATATTAACAGTGATTTCTATTTATTTTGAAACGCAATAAGCAAGCGTTTACTAAAAAAAAGAAAGAAGACAATCGAAAGTGAACAATTCCATTCTGAACTTTTATTATTATTACAAAGGAAAAAAGAATTCGATTTTATAACAAATAAACAAAATGATTTGTAATCATCGGGTCCGCCTCAAAGAGCAATTATTTTTAGATGGTGATAAGCCATCGCTTCTTGAGACCATTTTCAAATACTTGGCTAACAATCTAAATTTGATCAGTCAACTAAATCCAGTAACAAAAACTTGGGAGCTCAAAGATGATGTGATTATTCCAAATGAAATTTGTGATAGGTAAGTTACACAACGGTCTCAATGCAATGCATTGAAATGAGCCTTTTATCGCAATCTTTTAAACATTTACTCTCCCCGATGGTCTACTTTTTCAAAATACAATACAAAAAACTCATAAAAATTCTCCTCATCATCGTACACATGCTACTGCTGATAAGGAGTTCTGAAAAATAATTTCCGTGTGTCATATTTTCGATGACGTATTGATTTAAATATTGAGAATGTCGTCATGATTACCTATTTGGAGATCGACATATGTGAGCCATGTTTTATCAACTAAGACATTTGTTTTTATATTTTCTCTTTAACAAATATTGCGCGTTACTATTGAGATGAATTAAAGAAGATAAGAACTGAGAGAAATGCTCAACATTATTGTTTTGACCCAACTTTTCATTCAAACGACTCTGACATGAGTTAGCTTTAAACAGGTTTCTCTTTTATGTCGCTCTCGCTTATTTTTATTTTTTTACTATTCACATCTTTACACAATTTTTCCAATGACATCACACATCATATGCAAAATATCAGAATTTACTTTATAAATTTATAATAAATCAGGAGGAAATTTAGTGAAATTGTGAACCGAATTCTTCTTTATCAATCAACAAATGACAACTGTGAATGCCAACATTTAACCTTTATCAATTCATCTTCCATTTTTCTTTCTTCTCATTCGTACCTACAACAAAGCATAATCGTCATTATGATTTTCAAACCCGCACACTCCACAAAGTAGCATAGTTTAATTCACCTTAACATTGGCATACGAAGCGGAAAAAAATGGAAGTTAAGCTTCATATTGCATCACATAGAGTGACAGCGCTTTTAAAACATGGCGCAAGTAATGTTAAAGTAAGCTTCAAACAGTGTTAATTAATGTCAGGCTTTTCTTGTGTGAAGTTTAATTGAATTCATTGTCTCATCTTCATCTCTAAATATTTATATCCAAATGAAGTTTCTCATTGAAAAAATAAATTTAAAATTATCATTGCCATGTGTTTATTATTTATTTATAAAGACGGAGATTCATTTCAAATTCGACTACAATTGTCCACATTCTAAATATAGTCAGAGAAATTTCATTTTTTTTACTTCTCGAAGCTACTTATTTAGCACAACGGGAGTAGGAAGTGTTAATGCTTCATGTAACATTTTTGTTCTCATAACAATTTTTGTCTAAATTTGCTTTCCTTTTACTGTTCAAAGCTAATGACAGACGCCTAATAAAAGAAGAGAAATTTAATGTGACGTCATATCAGAATGTTTTCTTTTTCAAAAATGATGAAAGAAATTTTGTTTTCCTTCTCGCAACTGTCCACAAGTTGTGATGTTTTAAATAGATATTTATGTGATAAGTTCTCGTTGCTTGTTCACAACGTAACTGACTCAAATGTCATTGAAAATTAACAAAACTAAATAAAATGAAAGTCACACGTCACAAGAATGTGCATCAAGGTTTTCCTCTTTCTGTTGTTTCTTTTTTTTTAACTGACGCTGTAAAAGTTTTAATAACTCATTTCAAGATTTGCTGATTCTATAACTGCCCCAGACAAAGTATTGCTTTATGATTATTTTATTTAATTAATTTTCTTTTGTGTCTTTGAAACAACGTCGTCAACAGATCACACAAAACTCTGAGAAATGAAAGAACATTAAAGATAAAAATTGTCATTTCAGTTCAATGTTTATCATTTCAAAGTGAAATGCCAACTTTAGACTTTTGAATTTGTAAATTTCATTTCGAAACATTAGATTTGCTTCATGTCACACGTGGACGACATTTTCATTCAAATAACATAGGATAAATGTTTCAATCCAACTTTCATTGAATGCTCGTTCTAACTTCTGGAAGAAGCTTTCCGATTGATGATGGATGGGGAAGTGAGGGTAGTTGCGGTGGGTCAGGTAAACTTGGTAAACTAGGAAGAGGTGGAATGTCAACTTCTAACTTGATGTGTTCAAGAAAGGAAATCGGATCAACTGAAAAAGAGAGAAAAAGAAAAATTGGAAGTGAAAAAGGAATTTTTGTGTCTTATGTCAGTTCATTGATAAATTTCGATTGTTAATGCGAGCCGTTGTGGTGTTCATGAGAATGAGAATGCGAATGCGATCCTCCGTGTTCATGAGAATGAGAATGCGATCCGTTATGTCCATAATTATTTCCCTGATTATGGTTTGTCGATGAGAAACTTCGGTAATTGTTCGTCCCTAAAGAGTTTCCATGATAATTAGATGAAGACAATCCAGTACTTCTCCCAAAATTATTCAAATAATTTTGTGAACGCCAATTTCCATTAGAATAGTGACCATTTGATTGTTGATGTAGATTCTGACCGTATCCGGAATTATAATTATTCGTTCCTAACGAGTTTAAGTTTGATTGCCAACGTCCGTTAGAATTTTGACCATTATTCAATGTTTGATAAGAGTTCTGAGCGTATGGGGAATTATAACTATAGCCTGAATATTGCGAATTATAAGGATTGTAAGTGTTGCTGCTATAAGAGCTATAAGGATTAAAAAACGATCGAAATCTGCTTGTATAAGCGTGGGAATTGTAAGGATTGTGACTGTTGTAGTTCAGACCATATTGAGGGAAATATCTTCCCAAGGAACCCCAATTCATTGGATAGTAATGATGATGCTCGTGATCTTCGGAACTGCTGCTGCTGCTACTAAAGCTGTGATCATTATTATTGTTATTTCTGTTGTTTTGATTACGATTTTGATTACCACCACCTCTGTGTAAATTCAATGCTACCCGCCACAGTTGAGGTTCAGCTGAGTTTCGTTTGATATTTATTTACATAAAGGTTTCTAAGATATTTTCAGAAATTCTTACCAACACCGCGTTGTTGATGCTTGAAAATTAATTCTCTCTTCCGTTGCATTCCATTCATTGGAATTGAAAGACCAAACTGAGTTTTGTAGAATAATTTTTGAAATGAAATTATGAAGAGATTAAAAATAAAACTTGAAATTCCATACCGTCAAATTTAACATTGAAAAAAAGCACAAAAGTGCTACAAAAATCTTCATTTTGTTATTCTTTTCCACGACACTTCTTTCCACCACTTATCAGTCGAAACTGTAGTTCATCCCAAGCTTTTCATTGATTTATATATCTTTGGGAAATGTTAGATATTTGTAAAATCCCGCTTATCGGATAATCTAAAAAAAGAATTGAATTGGATAAACGTTAAAAAAAGAATTGGAAGATTATATGGTCGTGGCAAGGCAAGGCAAGGTAATTTGTCGCTAACAACATCTGTCGTCATTACTTTATCATAATTATTATGAATTAGAATTTTTTTTTTGATTGTCGATTAATAAAAATCACGTTTTCCGTCCATTTCCGCAGATTCCTTCAATTCTATCAAAGCTGTTCGTTGGGGATCAACGACAAATTTATCAACATCTTTAAACACACAAATCGAACGCCATTAAAATTTGTTGCGTTACGTAACAGCTCGATAACAGATGATGGCATGCAACACCTGCTTCGACATAAACTGATCTCGTTGTCTTTATGGTATTGTGACAAAATAACAAACGCTTCATGGAGTAATCTTATTGCAAATGGAAGTGAAATGAAGAACTTAGAGTTGGGTAAACTTGTGGACATGTTGAAGAATCGCGAGCCTAATGAAAAGACACCGATAGATTTTCAAATGGATCTTCCGAAACTTAAGCGTCTTGTGTTAAATGGTGTCGCCCTTCAGTCATCGATTACATTTAGTCATTTAAAAGAATTGTCTTATCTCGACCTCACCGCATGTCTCTTTGCTGACTTTAGTCTTGAAAGTCTCGTGCATCTACCGCAACTTCAAACGCTTATCTTATTTAATGTCTGGCCATTGGAGCGCGAAATACCGACAATCTGTCAACTAAAGAAACTTCAAATGTTAGACATTTCGCTCTCGAAATCAATGATGCCTTCTTATACATCACCAAATATAACGCTGGAGATGATCGTCGAGAGTTTGCCGTTACTTGAACATTTAGATATTTCGGGAACGAATTTAGCGGGCACTGGAGTAGCACAACAAGAAGCAAGAAATGGAACGCACAGTTCAGACATTCCCGGCTTGGGGAGTCGCGTTGAGCGTCCTTTGAAATTTTTAGGACTTTACGATACAGCAAATTCAGCTTGTCGTCGTCATGATATTCCCGCACTCTCAATAGCCGGCGATGCCAATGAAGATCAGATTCTTTTATCAGCAATCATGTATCAAGATCGTCACGAGATGCTGACAAAAGTTCTCAATGATTTGTATCATTTACTTCGATTCGAGAATTGCACACAAATCGATCGAGCTTTACGAGCTGTTCTGATAGCTATGGACAAGCACATTGGAATCAAGCACATACAGATCTCAGGCAGTGCAACCTTGTTCTACATCGTGAAAAGTAAGGAAAAGGTCAAGTTTGGATCGATTTTGAAGAATCACATTATTCGTACTTTGCTAAATGGAATGTCAGCTCATTTGTCTGATGATACAATGATGAGAAATGGATGCTTGACATTGTGTCAGTTTTCAATTCCATCCGATGTGGTATGATCGACTTTTCCACTTATAATTCCTTAATTAATGAAATTTAATTCCAGCTTTTTGAATACGAACGTCTTGTGAAAATTCTTTTACATGGCGTCAGTGATACCGAACAGAGCTTTGTCCAGAGAATTGCAATTTATCTTCTCAACTCATTGGCGTGCCAAGTTGATGGAAATCAAAAGCTTTTCTTGGGTGATTTGGGTGCTATTTCGGTGAGTTTATTATCAATTTCAATTCTTAATTAAGTTACTAATGTAACAATAAACATTTCAGACGATGTTGAATCTCATTAATGATCGTTTGAATCGAAAAGTGTTTGATGATGTGATGGAAGTCGCTTGGAGTACAATGTGGAATGTTACAGACGAGACAGCAGTTAACTGTGAAAGATTTTTAGATGGAAAGGGAATGGAATACTTTTTAGGATGTTTAAGGGTTTGTTAATTAATTGATTAGTGAGAAAATTATTTAAAGTTTGATCTTCTTCAGTGTTTCCATGACAAAGATGAGCTTTTACGTAACATGATGGGGTTGTTAGGAAATGTTGCTGAAGTGAAGCGTTTACGTCATCGACTCATGACGCCGGAATATATCATCGTGTTCTCTGATCTTCTTGACTCAAACAGCGACGGCATTGAAGTGAGTTATAATGCTGCTGGCGTTCTTGCCCACATCGCATCTGATGGCGTTGAAGCTTGGACGATTGAATCACCGACACGAGAGGAAGTTCTCGATCGAATGTTCCAAGCTATTGAGAGATGGAACTTAGAAGCAGAAAGAAATATTAATTATCGTAGTTTTGAACCAATTCTCGGATTGATCAAATGTTATGACACGCCAGCTTGTCAGATTTGGGCAGTTTGGGCTTTAGCCAATCTTACGAAGGTAAAATTTTAATTCAATTTTTATTATTTTCTTACAAATCTTTTTATTCTTCTTTTAAGGTTTATCCTGAGAAATATTGTAAGTTAGTTGAAGATGAAAATGGAACAAAACTGTTAATGGATCTAATAGACCACATGGAAACGAATGAGAAGCTCAGAGAACTGGCGCAAATGGTTTTAAATCAATGCGATCTTAACAACGCCAAAAATTTCATGGAAGAATAATCCATTTGAAGATTGTTTTGTTAAAGTTATTTTCACAATTTTCTATTTAATTGAATAATTTCTAAAAAAATTTTATTTGTCAAACGTCGCAAACTTTTCTTTTTCTTTTTAGTTTCAAAATTTAAAATTTAATGAAAAGAAAATTGAAATTGATCAATGATGAGTTCTTTGATCGATTCCTGGAATTAATTAACAAATTTCACATTATAAAAATTAAAATCCGATAAATTCTCATGCGACAACGATGTGATCATAATTTGCGAGCATTTTTTTGTCTTCTTCAATCTAAAGGAAAGCTAAAAACTTTTCCTTCTTCAATAAAAAGATGTAAATATAAAGCAAAAGCTTCTTTTCTCGAAATAACAATTGTTTTGGATTATTAAGCACCGCTAAAATTTAAGTAGATTCTCTATGTAATTTAAAAGTTTTTGTTGTCAGTTTTCAATTTTTTTTTTGTTTTTGACTAGAGTTGTTTAAGAAAATTAAATTCTTCGATATAACCAAAGTTAAAGCTTACGAACATAACAAAGAAATTAAATTTTTGCAGAGAGATTGATTATTGGGGGAGGTTTTCATTAAAACTGGAAATTGAGGTACTTGAAGTCACAACAATCATGACTGTCGATTAGGAGAATGAAAAATTTAATTAAACATGCTATAAATATTTTAATTATCCTTCAAATTAATTCATTTTCTTCACGATTAATCTTCAAAGAAATGAAATCTAGACATGTAAGAGAATAAAAATCTGTTAAATAAATCGCCGTTCTAATGAAAACTTGTTGCTTATTTATGAACTTATTTCTAACAGAAGCAAAGCAGCTCAGATGGCTGGAGTGTAAATATAGACAATTACAAATTTTTATTAATTTAGAAAAGTATATTTCACATCTCTCTGCATAGATATTTATGCAAAAGCACGAATTATATCGCATACAATAAAATACCGTAAAAGTTTGTTTCGTTTTAAGTCACCTAAACGAAGTCACTCTAATTAACAGTGTCATTGAAAATATCTTTGATTTATTTATTCCTTTTATGATGTCATAAGGTGAAGTGCAGATGATTATGAGAGCATAAATTCTTCATAAATTCTTTTAGAAATTTTATTGCAAAGACTCAATTTTCAATTAATGACAAAAGTTCTGGAAAATATTCAACAAATTAGGAATTAAAATTACAACAATTCGACTTTATTCTTTCATAATCATTTGTACAACTAAATCAAAATTTCATTTTTTGTTTCCCTTCTTCAATCACAAAATAAAAAATTTAAGTTAACTTTTTTTTTCTGATTTGAAGAACTCAATTTATTTGTGCATAAAATATTTCAGTTTAAGTGTTTCGAGTTGAAAATTTATTTAATAGATTAACAGATTCTAATCTAAATAATTTAAGTTTCATTCAGTTGGATGTGAAAAAAAAGAGAAAAAATTATAAGATTATATTTTTAATCCTCTCGGTAAAGAATGTTGTTTTATTAATTAATTCATTAAGTTTAATTTTTCAGCTGTTGATGATTGAAAAAAATTCCTGAGAAAGTTTCGCGTTCAATTTTTAATTCATTTCTTCACTCGAGTGCTTCCCAAACTCATTCGAATTGGCTTTCTGGAATCTTCACGACTTTCTTTCTTGCCACATTCTTCCGAACTTTTACTGTCGCTGAAGGATTTACTTCTGCTTCGACTGATGCCGTCACAATCATGAAAATGAATGTGATGATGGTGATGATGAATTGTTGTGATTTTTGCTGGACCCAAACTCGGTTTACCGTCATTATGATGCAATGTTTCAATATTTTCAGTTTCATTGTTGACATTCGAGTCATGTGAACTTTGATTCTTTCTAGAAGTATTGAAACTTATCCATTTGTATCCGTTGTGATTGTTTCCTTGATGAATTGGAGAACTCCACTGATTTGTATTTCCAATCAAGTTGCGATTGTTAAATCTCTGCCAATAAAATCGTCTTCGATTTCGAAATCTATTAAAGCGACGTCTGTTTCTTCTTCTACGTCTTCCAAAATCATAATCTTCCGATGATGATGACGATGATGATGAAGAACTTGAACTTCTACTGTAACGTCGACCACGTCGGTAAAAGTTGTGGAGGAAAAGATTTTTTCGATGCTTACTTCCATCAACTTTCGTGAATTCATTTTGTATCTTTGCGCTTATTAAGTTTCCATGCTCATTGTTGTTATTCCAAATGGATCTTCCCCAATTGACATCATTGGGAATCATATTGAAATGTTCACTTTGACCAATATTTGAATCGTGATTCATTGGATGCCATGCATGATCGTGACTTGTCCATTGGTGCACGTTGTGATCCATCATAGGATGTGCCCCAATGTAATGCCAAAGATGATTTCCTTCGTGACCATTAAAGTTTCCGTTCGGCATCATTTCAGTTTCTCTCCTTCCAACAGAATTTATAATCTTCGACCAAAAACAACCTTTGTGATGGTTCGTGTTTATATTTCGATTATCTTCATTTGTTCTTGAACTCTCAGACTCTTCATGATGATTCATTCCGTTTAAACCGGTCGAATCTCGTTCATGCTGGTTCATCATATCTGAATTTCCATTTTCATGATTGATCATGTTCATGTTCATGTTATCAGTAAAAGATCCATGATGTCCATTGTGAATGTTGTCAAGTGAACTCCACGATGAATGTCCACTAAAGTGATGGTTTGAAGTTGGAATTGATGGATTATAAAAACCATTATGAATAACTGGCGACCAACCAAATCCATGAAAATTGCTAACGCCATGATGATTATGAATATTCGCACTTCCTGTGTTATGTTCATTTAAATGGTGGTCATTAAAATCGATGTTTTTCATTTCCATTTCCCCATTATGATGATTATTGTTTTGATGTTCAATAACATGAAAATTTCCGCTTGTTATTCCACCATGATTATTGCTAATCTCGTGATTTCCTTCGTTAATTTCATGTCCATGACCGCCATGTTGTTGATCATCACTTTGCCGTGAATTTATTTTTCGATTATATGAATTATCTTGAATATTGTGATTGATGTTGCTTCTTCCCCTAAATATACGATTGAAGATTCTTCTGCGAACTCTGTGAATGCGGTTGTTCCTATTATTTGAAGTTCTTTGATTGTCATCATTGTCGTCATGTTCGTCATGATTTTTATGCTGCTGCTGATCATTAATTCCATTCGATCTTTCATTATTTCTATTGGAAAATATGCGATTGAAAACTCTACGTCGTTGACTGCGATTGTTTCTATTATTCTGATTAGATTGGCGATCTTGATTATTTCCACCATTATAATTATTGGAAATTTCATTTCCCGATTGTGAATGCGGTTGATTAGGGTGATGTTGATGATTTGCAACATTTCTTTGATCGTTTTGATTGTCATTTTCATGATCATTCACATTGTTTTGATCTTGTTGATTATGATTTCTTCTTCTTCTCCTTCTTCTATTATTAACAACACCACGATTGCGATTTTGTTGTCCATCTTCTGTATTGACGCCATTGTCTTGATTGTGATTTTGATGTGCATCTGCCTTAGTCGAATCTTCATTTTGTCTTTGATTTTGTTGTCTTCCTCGAACTCTTCTATTTCTATTTTTCCCCTGTCCACTTTGTCTACGTTCATTATTCTGATTTTGTCTATTATTAATTTGATTTGAACTTTGAGATGAAATTTTTCTGTCATTATTCTGACCATCGTTGTTCCCAGTGATTCTGGAGAACATTCCCTGACGAGATTCCCTTCGTTGGTTTCTGTTTCCTTGTCTTCCATTGGATGTGCCACGTGATTGTTGTCTTGTGCTGGGATTGAAGTCGCTTCGTCTATTCCCTTGTCTTCCATTAGAAGTGCCACGTGATTGTTGTCTTGTGTTTGAATTGGAGTCGCTTCGTCTATTTCCATCATTATTTCTTCTATTCTGTCTATTAACTGATGAACGAGATCTTTCTCTTCCATTTCCATTTCTTCCTTCTGATCTTCTAGAATTTTGTTGTTGATTTCCATTGCTGTTCCGATTTGATTGACCTGCACTTCTGCTTGCACCTAAATCATCATTTTCATTAATGTTTCTTTTATTTCTCATTAATTTCTCATCATTAGTTTGATCGACTTCTGATAATGAGTTGAAATTTTTTGGTGTAGGTTTTTCATTGCTTTGGGAAATGAAAATATTTTCTTCAATCGAAGGTTCCAACTTTAGAAATTAAAAATGTTATTAAATGTCTGAATATTTAATTATATTTACTTACTGTTAGCAAAATAACAAAGCCAATGAATAATAATCCACCAATATGTTTCATTCTTTGATTCTTTCACGATTATAATAAACTGTGAACTATTTTATAGCAGCAACTCTCACGAGCTTATATAGAAAGTTTGGATATAGATGAAAAACCTGGTAAAAAAGTTAATGAAGGGTTGGAATATAATCCGAAGGAGTTTCCCTTATAATTTAGAATGATTAATACAAGCTTTGAATCATCAGAAGAAGAAAAAAAGTTTCAATGTTGTTGACGCACTGAACGAATGAAAAGCTGAAAAATTTAAATTGATTTTAAAAATATAAAATACGTGATCGGTTTTCTCTAACTATACAATAGCATATATTTATTCAATAAAAAAACCACAAAAGAAAGTATGGAAAATTGTTTACAATCAAAACAAAAATCAATTCTGGTTCTACTTAAAATTTTGTCATGACGTTGAAGTTGCAAGAAATTAAATTTATTGAAATAACTTTTCAACATTTTAAACGAAAAATGATAAGAAATAAAATAAAATCAATACCTTTGGCTCTTGAGCTAGCATTTCATTAGGCTGAGACTTAATCGCCTTAAGTAGTTTCGAATTAATTGTTAAGATGAGAATTATCAATTTTGAAACAAAATGTTTCAATGTATATTTAAAAAAATACATTGTGGATTCATACTACAAATAAAATATATTTTTTCAGCTTTGATTTGACGAAAGCAACATAAACATTTCATGATCTTCAGAGCTAATCAATTTGTGATTCTTGTGACTGTTTTGTTGTGCTCTGTCTGTGACTTGAAATGTTGATGTGACTACTTTTCACATTGAATCTTCTATTAGATAATCTTGATATTTAATTCATTTGTTAAATTATTGAGAAGAATCTTTGATCTTTTGTTAGTGTTTCAAGAAAAGTGTCTTCGATCATTTAAATATTTTCATTATGCATCATTTGGATATCTTCAAATTTTAACTTTTCTCGATTCAAATGCAGCATTTCGTATAATTAATTATTTTTATATTTTAATATATATTTTTATTTGTTCTTGTCCTTCATTTTACTACCCAACAATGCATTTCACATTCGATTCCCGAAAATTATGACAATCATTGTCATGATTGTTTGTGACAGTTGACACTTATTAATACAATGTTATGCACTGCTTTTCACTGACATTTAAGAAAGGTACATCTATTAAAACCACATTTACTTTTATCTTCCTAAGTTTGGAAATAAACTCACATCTAAAGACTTGTCTACACAAACATTTAATGCAGAAAAATATGTTTACACCTCGGGTGCATTTATGTTCTGCTCGTTTAACTCTTCCAGCTGTTGATCCTGTTGTTGATGCTCTTGAAGTTCTTCATTATCATTCTCAGAGTTTTTCGAAGAACTTAGAGCTTTCGGCACTGGTAAAACTGATGGTTGATAGTTTTCATTTATTATATTCTTCAGTTCCGTATCGTTTTCAATTGGATCAGGTTCGAATTTCTGCAAAATGGATTTCTCTGACTCGAATGATTCAACATAACGAAAATCTGAACGATCTCGTTGCTTCTTCACTTTCTCTTCATTCTCTTGATAATCTTCGCTGTTGTCCAAATCTTCATTTAATTGAATGTCATCAATTTCATCATCTTTATCTGGTTCTGGTAGATTTGTTGTCGATTGTGAGAATGGAATTGAAGATCTTAAAGGTTCGACACTTGATGAGTCTTCATACGATAGTGTTGTTGATGACATGAAAGTATCGTTCATCATTCCTTCACTTGTCGTTTCAACTGAAATTGATGAAATTGTTGTTGATGTTGAAATCACCAACTCTTCAGTGTTGTTCTGTTTGTCATTCGTCAGTGGATGTTGTAGTGATTGAGCTGGCACAATGATTTGAACAATTGATGGCATTTGATTGCCACCTAAAGGAAGTTGTTGATTTGGATTCATAATGCTTGCAAGAAGTTCTATCGGAGGCTGTTGAATAAGAGACGATTGTGGATTAGCTGGAAGTGGCAACAGTTGTGGAACAATGCAATGTGCAATTCCCATAAGTCGAGCATAATACATTTCAAACATTGCAACAAGTTGCGGTAAATTCTCGTCACATAAAACGGGATTTTCTGGAAGATATTTAAGTTAACTTAGAATAGGAAGAAAGCGAAACAAAAATCAATTATTCTTACCTTGCAAGAAAATCTCCAATTTATTAACAACTCCATGATTTGAACATCGTGTGTTTGACACTAAATCAGTTGTCATTGATGCGATTTTGTTATGAGATAAATCAGCAGTACACATAACTGGTAAACCATGAAAATCTTTTTCCATTGTTGTAAGTAAATTGTAAGATGCGTTCAATGTTTCAAGTGTTGGTAGATAAGCCTGGCAGAGAATTGAAACATAAAAATAAGAAAAAAATCATAAAATTTTCATTCAACTCACCATTGAAAAAGCTTCCAAAGACTTCAATCGATTATTTGATAAATCAAGAATTTCCAACTCTTCCATTCGCGAGAAATCCTCAGCATAAATGTTTTCCAATAAATTATTTGATAAGATGAGTCGTCGTAAGTTTCCAAGACCAGCTAAAGCTCCATCTAAAGATTTCAATAAATTGTTGTCTAACAGAAGATTGTAAAGTAATGTCAAGCTTGGTATTTCAGCGATGTTTTCATGACGTCCTGTCAACTTTTCAATTCGGTTATCAGATAAAGTAAGATAACGAAGCTTCATTAATTTATAAATCTCTTGCATTGAGAATTCCCGCAGTTGATTCCTGCCGAGATTCACAGAACGTAAGTTTGTGATGTAAAGAAGAGATTTGTTGAGCGACGTAATCAAATTCGAATTCAAATTGATTTCGTCAATATTTTCCGACTTCAAAAACTCATCTTCCGCCAGATATTCTATCATGTTGTGTTCGGCATAAAGACGAATAAGGGAATTTCTATGCGAGAAGAGACGATCGAGTGAACGCAGATTGTTGTTGTTAACGTAACACGTGTCGAGTGCAACAAAGTTTTTAAATGTTTTTGGCAGCTTCTCCAAATGATTGTTCGATGCCATAAGCATCATTAAATGTGGTGCGTTCTCAGGTAGTTCTTCTTCCAACGATGTCAAGTTGTTTGCATTAATAAACAACATTTTTATGTCGTTTAAGTTACGAAGAGCTCCATTTAATGACGATATTTTGTTGCGTCCAATATGTAAGTTCAACAAACTTTTCGGAAAGCAATCCTTTTCCAGCAATTCAATCTCATTCGAAGCAAGAACGACAACTTTAAGATTTTTCAGTCGAGCAAAGTCATCAGACCGAATGCTTTTTATTTTATTCCTCCCAAAATCCAATGTCCCCAAATTTGACATAAATTCGAACATTTCTCGAGGAATCTCCTGAATCGAGTTGTCAGCCACGGCCAGGAAATCAACTTTTGTAAGATTTTGAAACGATGTTATGGGTAGAGTGCTGTTGAAAATCAAAACAAAATTAAAACCAGATAATTGAGGTCAATAGTCGATAGAAATGAAATATTTTTGTTTGCTGTTTTAAACAAAAAATTGTTTTGGCAGTCGATAACCGTGGATTTGAGTGTCAGGTTGAAGTGACAACAGCAAGTCATGAGATTTAGTGAACCAGTTCTCACTACGTAGAAGCAAGAAGCTCAAATATTTCATAGAAATTGAATGCTCAGCAATGATAATGTCCATCAAGAGTGAGCTAAAGGTTGATGGCGGCGCCTTCGTCAATCATTCAATGAGCAAGAAAGACGGAAAAAAGGAGATAAAAATTGCGAAAGCGTTTCATTAGATGAGAGCGTGGAATTCCATTAATAATCTTGTCATTCCTTGAACAAAATTTATGACAAATCCGTCAATATCATTGCACACATTATTGTGACATAAATTTCATTTTATTTCAAAAGAAAACTTTTCAAATTCTTCTCTTATTAATTCGAGACTTTTGGACATTCCATAACGTCATAGAAAAATGACGAAAACATTCTAAATATGAAATTCTATGAATGAAAATGACTTAATTTAATTTATGTTAGTGTTTTGATGTTGATATTTCACCATGATCCACCCACGCTTGGGAAAAATCGTGACGAAGGCAGGTGGAAAATGTTTATTGAAATTTCTTTCATATTTACGATCTCTTACTTTGAGTTAATATTTCAGCTTCATTCTTGATCAGTTGAATTTGTTCTTTCTGATTAAAACGAGATTATTCCAAGACATCATTTTAAGCGCCACATCATAAATCAAGTAGAAGCGTAAGAAAAATAAATGAAAGCATATTGACACGGTTTATGACTTCAGACAAATTATATAACAACAGGCTCGTTCTTCATGGCATTAATCGACAGCAGAAATGCTTCGTTATCACTGAGAGTAAGTCTTTAATCAAGAGAGTTTCTGATCAAGTTAGTAAAATTTATGTGGGAATTTTTGATTACAGTAAAATTATTTCAACAGCCGAACAAACACACATCAAATGGGAAAAGCGATAAGTCGATTCCCATAAAATGAAAATAATAATCTAGACGCCAGTCAATTCATATTAAAGTAAAGTAAAAAAAAGCTAAGAGACGTTTCATTATATTTTTATTGACTTTGCAGTCGTAAAATTGTTTTGAAAATAATGAAATCAAAATTTAATTCAATTAAGCGCGATCCTCGTAAATGGGAAGGAAAAAAATGATCGACGATTATCAAACATAGACGAATAATTTGCTTGCTGTCACATAAGTTACAAGAATTTTTCTTTTTGCCTCGCCGAAAAAGTTTCACTAAAATAAATTTTGCTGGTAAAACTCAAAAAAGAATTCTCGATTCGCATCCTTAAATTTATTTAAATTGATTTTCCATAATGTAAAGAATATTTTCGTCAACATTGTTTCTATCAATTATCATGTCATTTGATTTACGATGATCTGAACTTGACGTGAAATGTAATTATTGAATGAGTTTCAAAGAGAAAAGTTGTAAGTCTCGTAGCTGCAGCAAAGAAAATAAAAAGCAACTTTTTCTTTAATAAGAAGTAAGAAGCTTTCTTACTTATAAGTGTTTCATGAAATGCTTCAAACGTCACGAGAATTCACGCAATTCACATTATCAGCGCTTAAGCTTCTCTCGCGCTTCATCGTCATAGTCTTGTTTGTTATTGTTTCTCCTGGCGCCAGTCGAAAGCCATTCAAATTAAATAAAGTGAGAGAGTCAGAAGCAGGAGCGAGACAGTAAGAAAGCGAAAGAAAAAATTTAATTAATTTTTGTATTCCATTTGAACTTTAATTGTAACGATTTGAAATAATTGAATAATTAGAATTGTATTTTTCATTGTACTTCTCATGGAATGTTCTCAATGAGTGAGGGAGTGAGTATCAGATGAATTAAAGCGATCCACACTTCCGCAATCATGAATTTCATCCATTCATGATTCTTATTTTACAATTTACTTTCTTGTTGATGCACACGACAAGAACTTGCTTATCGTATCGAATTATTTGAACATTCAAATAACAACAATGAAGTTTCATTCACTTGCATCATTTTAATCATCTCTAACTTTTTAAATTATTACGCAATGCTTAATCTAAAAGATCATCTAAAAGTCTTTTGGTGAATAATTTAACGGAATTTTCCACCACAAAAATGTGAGAAATATTTCGTGAAAATTCCACTTTTTCTTTCCTTCGAATAAATATCTAAAGAAAGAAAAAAATTAAAAGCACTTTTATTGCATTCTTCCATGCATTCATTCACATAATCTAATAATCTTTTAACGACATTATAAATTATGCAAAACCATTTATTCAAGAATCGTCTGCAAAACTATCTTGACGCCACTTGAGTGAAAAGAAAAATTCCTCTCATTCACATTGACATGATTATTATATTGCGTTTGATTTCCTGAATATTGAATGAAATCGCAAAAAGCAATTCGATTTCGCGAGGGAAACTTAAAGGATTACAAATCACAAATCAAACTTTCGAAATCATCATCAAATTTTATTTATTTCCTATTGACAAGTCACAAATATTTTCAACAAATGAAATGAACTTTGAAAAAGAGTTCAAAAAACATTAGAAAATATGTCAACTTAAAATGAAACAGAAAACCTTGGGAAATTTCCTTTATTGAGTGTGATAAATAATTAAATAACCTTTAATCAAAAGAGTCGTTTAAACGTGACCAATCATCACTTCCCATCAGTATGTTTGCCGAACTGGTTAAGAATCATTGCATTGTAAGCATTTTATCCAAAGTCGTGTCAATGGAAAATCACATTGGACATGAATGTAGTTGTGGGTGTTCGTTACACACGCTGATATCAATTTACTCTTCGCACGATAATCACAATATTTTGACAATTTCTCGAATGAACGGCATCAATGTCGAATTAATTCAATTTGCTTACGTCTGATGATATTTAGTCGTTAACAAGAAGGGTTTTCCTAATGGTTTAAAATCTCTCATAACAAAAGAACACGAATGGAAGCAATTTGAAGTTGATCACATCGTGACATCGTAACAATGTAAGCATGAAAATAAGTTTCTGTCTCGAAACTTGATTTATTTTATTGTGAAACAAAATTGAAAAGCAGAAAAACGAGAGAAATGATAATTAACCCGACACTTGAATTGATTGATCTTTGACATTCGAGCATCAAAAAAATTAAATTACAAAATCAAATTATTATTTATTTTCTGACTGCATTTATTTTGTTGTCTTAATATTTGATCGGTTTTTGTTTTGAGATCGTCACCGTCGGTTGTTTGCATCGAACTCACCTCAAATTGTTATGATACAACCGCAAATCTTTAATATTTATATTCATTTCAGCAAAACGTCGTTCATCAAAGTCCAGAAGCTGCGAATGCGTAATTTTCAGCCATATTTGAAAGTCAGGCGTAAATTTATCTTGGAGAACATCTACGACGTGACTAAATGATTCCATTTTCTCGCATGTCACAATGATGGTGTTGGCAAACGTATGATGGGGTGAACAAGTGCATGGACTTATCTCACGTCTCACAGCACAGTGTAATGAAGCACCAGCCGTGAATGAAAATATCGTGTAAAGTAAAGTCGCCATAATAAATATTTAAGGACTTTCGATCACACTTTCTCCAATCACTTCTTTTCTTTTCCTCTCAGAATACTTTAACAAACAAATATGTTTCGTGTCTTCTTTCTTTTGCGTCTTTTATTTTTTTACGATTATCAAAACGAAAGAATTATAATGTGTTTAACGACTTGTAATCAATTTCCAATTTCGCATCTCACATTTAAACTCTCTTATCACGTGCGAGTTTGTCTTTCAAAAAGTCATTCACAAAATTTCATAAATATTATTTATTTCTTTGTTTTTCCTCCAAGTTTCATGAAAGCTTTTCCTTTCTTAAATTATTTAAAAGAAAAGCGATTGATTCCTTTAACCAGAATTATCTGGTAGAGGGAAGTAAAGTTCGTGTTTGTCAATTTTTGTTTTTCTATTTTCACCAATTTCAATTTTTTTTTCCTTTTCTTTCAATTAACTAACAAAATTTTATTCCACTCTTCTTTGATTTCTGTTTCTGAATGAATTGAAAAGGTTTATCACAATTGATCTTCCTTATTTTTCATTCCTTTGAGAATGTTCAATGGTGCGTCTTCATCAGACCGAACTCGAGAAATAACTGAATGTTTTAACGTTATCTCCCGATTTGTGTATGGGAAGAAGATGATACTGAAAATGAAATATAAAGAGAATCTGTTTTCCGTTCGTGTTTACACGAAGTCGTGCGCTCGTCTCTCCAAGACAAAGACATGAGTGAGTAGAAGCAAGAGATACATAAATATATTTAAGTATTTAAGTAAGCAGCTCTTGGGTAAAGTTGTAGAGGAAGGAGGAAAACTGCTTCAAATGGTTTACATTGTAGCTTAAGATGAAAGCCGAAGATAGGTGGAGGGAAAGAGAAGAAAAACTCCTTAAATGGTGAGTGAATTTGTGGTTGCAAATGGCGGAGAAATTATTTTCTTTCTTTCTCTTGTTTAATCGCATTAATCATTAAAATGTGAGAAACATAAATGTAATCTGATATCAATTAATGAATAAAATGTTTTTAAACAACACACGCACATTTGATGTCACAATCCAAAGATAAAATCAGCATTAACGATATCATCGTTTCAAAAATATCGCGAAATGTCATAAATGATCGTCATTGAATATTTCGTGGGATGATTAAAAACATTTTAAGAATTTTTTCTCTTTTCATAATTTGCAAAATCCTTTCCTGATCTTTCATTCAGCTTCTCCGAGCGTAATTAATAGCAAATAAAAATGATTTATTGTGTTATTTGGCTCATGATCGTGGGCATAATCGAAGGAATGGCAGAAGAGAAACTCTCAAACGTATACTTTTAATGGCTAAAAAATGGCTGTAAATATTTTCATGGTAGATACTACTGAAAGGGAAAGATTTACAGAAGAAAGTCATTCTTTATTACGATCAGTTATATTTAGCCAAGTATTCTGCTATAAAAAGCATCCGCGAGATTTATTTTTAATCAAATATTTTGAGTGAAATTCCACGCAAGACAGAGTGGCGTTACCCGTTACAAAAATAGTTAATTATATCATAAGTAACGAAGCATGTGACAAATGATCCATTAGCTATCATGAATGTTGTCATAACAAAGATGAGATTTATCGAGGTAGGAGAACGAGAGGAATCTCATTGGAATTAGATCAATGGAACTCCCTATTCTGACACTTTCTTCCCCCGAATTTGTGCTACATTTTCACAATCACATTTTAAAGTAAATTCTTCTTCGCCTTGTGTTAATTTCATGTGTCGTAAGAATGTTGAAACACATTTCTCTTCTCCAAGTCTTCATGAGAATTGATTAAATGATGATATTTCATCTTTCAGCTGATGTCTACGAAAATATTCCAAGAATTTCAGTTCACATTCGAAATCGTCGGTGGCGCCCACGAGAACGAAGAATTGATTTGATGACAGTCGGAATGAGAAAATTACGTTATTATTTTATTATTGGAACATTTCATGAAAATGTCTTAAACAAAATTATCTTCTTTGAAATATTTCAAACAATCTTCGTAAATATTTCGATTGACAAATGTTCGAAGATAACAAACTTTCCTTGGATGGTGTCAACTCTTGTTACGACCAAGATTATATTTCGCAAAATCAAATGGAATGAAACTGAACTTCGTTTCCTTTCGTTTTATTATAATCTGATGGACAGACGAACGAAGGGATGAAATATCTTTATCTCTCAAAAAGTTAATAAACAGACAAGCTAAACATCGAGATTGTTTACACATGTGAGTGCCTCCGAATGTTTATTCAGAGTTTATGGGTTGTCTAGGATATCTTTCCTTCCTTTTTTTCTTGTTATGTTCGCTGTCGCTTTCAGGTAGATCAACATGAACGGATGACTCAAAAGAAGTAATGAAATTTTGAACACATTTTTGCATGATGCATCATGTTGTGATCAAACAAACACACGCGTTGTTCTTCTTCTCAAATCAAATAAATAAATAAGTAAGTAAATTTGTAGAAAGAAAAGAAATTGAATTTCGTTTTTTTTTTGCTTCCACGATGTCTGTAAATTTACGACGAATAAATATCACATTCAAACAACCTCCCACCTCACCAAACGTCTCCATTGAAAGAGGGAAAATATTTGCACATGGCATCTCAAGAGCTTAGTAAGTAGAAGACATATTTTTTCTGTTATATTTTCTCAGGAATTCCCAGATAAACAATCAACTCGAGATTGAACAAATATCATAAAAATGAAAGAATTTTTCTCTTTCTATTTGCGAAATGAATACAAGTTCGATTTTAATCGATCGATATCTAATTTCTTTCTCTTTTCAATTGTTTTCTTAAACTTATTTTTTTGCACTCTTACGAAAGAATTTTCCATTAACTTTCAAGTGGCTTTTCCATTTTTAAGTTCACGGTCAATCATGTGAATGAACTTCAGGAAAAAAGTGAAAAATCTTTCGCTAATATCATGAAGAGTTAAAAAAAGAATTTTCATTCATGATTTTATGATTCGAAGAAAATATTTCTGTTTGTTGTTTGAATTGAAAAGAAAAAGAAAAATTTTACGGCAGGAGAAAATATGTGAAAAATTTTAATTAATCAAAATCGACTCAAGAAGGAAAAAACATCGATTTGCTTGTTTTGCCAGACAGCGTTTCATTTCTTGTTGTTTTTCTGATTGGATCGAAGTAGAAAGCATCTTTTAAAGGTCGAGAAAGTTAATGAAAATCCTTTCATGTTACGTCAAGTCTCCTTCCACTTTGTTTTTCCAAGGAATGAAAACGACATAAATTAATACGTAGATACCATTTCGCGAACTGTGCAATTTATCATTTTTTACGATGTTGATTTGTGAAAACAAGAAATATATCGCTTTGCGAATACCTTACGAACTTGGCGCCACCCGAGCGCAAAAAAAAAACCTCGAGCTCGCCTGACAAATAAAATATTCGCGCGAGACAAATAACGATGGCATTTGTAACTTTTCCAAGCGAACACTCACGAGGTATTTTAGGAATTCAGATTGTTTATTATTTGGTAGAAGAATTAACACAGAGAGTAGAAAATAGAGGTAGACTCGACGAACTCGGTCATCACTCTTTGGACCATCGTAGGATCTTGGATGATATTTCTTACCTTTTTTTTTAGCAAAAGAAGACTCGCCACTTAATAAATTAACATTTAGTCCCTTAGTATCACTTACATCACGACATGTTCTGCTGTCAATTTTTAATTCGACTTTTGAGTTTTTTTCTTTCAAGAGACAAGTTAGGCGCCAGTGGTACCGGCAATAATTTGTGACAGTTCAAAGGCACACGGGGAGGAAAAGAAAGAAGAAGTTTCTGAAAACGAAGTGGACATGTATCGAGTTACTTTAAGTAAAAATTTTAATGCTCGATTAATTATCACTGGTTGGAGACATTTAACCATTTAACCCACTGCTAAACACTTCGTAACCTTTAAAAAAATGCAACTTGTCATCTGGTTGAAGTCTTTCGTTGGGACCATTTGGAAAGCAAAAAAGAATCAGATTAAAAGGAATTTATAAATTCGATTTAAATTCACTGATCTTAACAAGTTTGATAAGACATTCAACGTCTATGTAAAAAGACAAAAATATCAGCAACCAGTAGCTTTTAGTCATTAGCTGTCTCAGATGATATCATCGAATAGTTTTTTATACCTGAAATAATCAATCGGTGATTTTTTAATTCTCATTTATTTTTAATTTGATCTTTGGAGTTTTTTTATGTCGTTTGGATTATAAATATTGACATTCTCATCACATATTTATTTAAGGAAAACTTTGATCTCAAAAGAGATTGCAGATCACTACAACCACTCAAAAATGACTTCGAGATGTTACAATAAATATTCTCAAACTTTTATCTCCAAAGACTCTAAAACTCAATTTCAATTTTACTCTTTCCGAATAATTTTAATTGTAAGTTTATTGAGGCAAATATTTTTACATTTAGATTATAATTTAGTATTTCACTTAAGCAAAATCGATCCATATGAAAGACATAGATTTGAAAAAAAGATCAAAAATTTAATAATAGCAGAAAATTCCCTCTAAAACATGCTCCAGATTTCATTTTCCAATCAACTCAATTTCAACAAAAAACAATGAAGTAAAACAGTTTGATGTTTTTTGGTAGAACGGAGCACTACATTTTACTATTTGAATGCTTTTGACGAACTTGGATATTTTTCTTCGTCATAATCGGGATCATCTTTTAATCTTTGTGATACGTTAACTTTGACCTCATCGCAATAAGCACTTAAGACAGCAGGATCATTTGAAATTGCAGCAACAATCTCATCAACTTGTGGTTGATTATTACGAGATGAACCCGACGATGTTGATGCTTTCTTTGTTGATGATACAACTTGTCGAACACCTTCAGCAACCAATTGCTGAACATTCGTTGATGGTTTTCTACTTTGAAGGACTTTACGTCTTTTTGATGACATGCCCGAAATGTATGCGTCTGAATATGGTCGTTGAGGGGGCTGAGAAAGAAAGAAAGAAACAAAAATAAAAATAAAAGAAAAGGACGATAAAAAGTTTTTCTCACTTGTCGTTGCTGTCGTGCAATGTCTCGAGTGATAATTGGAAGCCAAGTTGTAGGGAATTGTGCATGCCATGGTTCTGCTCTTTCAATTGGTGGCAAAGGTTCATTTAAAAGATCGTCAGCTTGAATATTGACATTTCCAGCTTCATCAGCAACTTCAACTTCCATTGTTTGCGGTTCGTCATCAACTTCCATTGCAGTCAGTTCATTTCGTGAAACAATTGGCTGATGATGAATTTAAAAAGAAGAAATTTAATTAAATTTAATTGTAAAATATCATCAAAATTTGTTACCGTCGGTGCTGATGGACGTTTTATGATGAGAAATTCTTGAATCTCACTCAAATCGTAACTTCTTCGTTCAATTAAAAATGTTTGAATGATGTAACGTGGAAATCTTCCTAAATTTCCAACACTTTCAATTTCACCAGTCATCACCATGTTAGCGACGTCATTCAAATACTTTTCAGTATCATGAACTCCAATGCACTTCACCAAAATCATGTAAACATTCTCACAAAATGTTATAAGTTGTCGTTCAATTCTAACACCAAAGTCATTACTGTTATCGTCAGTGATTAGATTTATGATGAAAGGCAACGATTTCATGATTAAATTCTCAATTGATTTTCTAACATCATAATCCGGATGTGAAAATGATGATAAGCGTTCAAGATATTTATCCAACTCACTAAGAATATCGCGAATAGCAACAGAAACAGTTTCTTCATTAATTTCACCATTCACGAAATAATTTTGTCGTAAAAATGTTCGCAAATCGCTTCGCTGTGCATTAAAGAATGCCGGCTCCAAATGATCCAAATCACGTATTGAAAATTGAATTCCAAACAAACTGAACCGATGATTCAATTCTTCATCTGTTATGTTATTAATTTCATCGACAATTCGTCGACTTCTTCTTGTTGATGTCGATGCAGCTGTTGCTGATGTTTGTTGTGCTGTTGATGCTTGAACGTTACGAGAAGGAACGTGAAGTGTCGCAGCTGGTTGACGAACTGAATAACGGTCAAGCGAAACTGCACGACGCTGTGGTCGAACATGGACAACTGTTTGTTGATTTTGTTGCTGTTGCTGCTGCTGCTGTTGTTGCTGCTGTTGTTGATTATTCTCACGAATGTGATGACTATTGCAAGGTAAGAAACTGGGAAAGGAAATTTGTTTTAATTTTTCAGATTATTTGTGATGAAATTTAATCCTACCGATCAAAAGATGACAAAATATTGGAAGGAATCGGCCGAAAGTTACGAATTGATGTTGGCGGCAACGTTGTTGAAGTTAAAATCGGTCGACTTGTTGATCGTGTTTGTGTTGAAGTCGTTGGTTGCGTATTAGAATTGACACGTGCTTGTGACGATGAGTCAGTTGTGTTGTTTATATTTTCATTCGAACCCATTGGAGTTGATGCGGTTGTTGCTTGCACTGGAACTGAAATATTTGCATTGATAATATGAACTTCAGCATTTGGTGGATTTGCAGTCATCAAAGATTGAATGAAATTACGATAACGTTCGCGATTTGCTTGACCTACGTCGAGGAGAAAATAGAAACAAGAAGAGAAATTTGCGGATTGCAAGAAATGTCGATTGAAAGCATTAGCATTGTGTGTTAACCCAGCTGTTAAGAAGGGGAGAGAGACAATTCACTTAAAACAAACAGACAACAATGTGATGAACATTTTGAAAGGAGAAAAGGAATTTTCTTGTTAATTAAAGCGATTCAAAGTTAGATTTCACTTCTAACACAATCACTGATCATTTAAACTGAATCCAAAGCATTTTGAAGTAAATTTTGCAAAGAATTTTGCGGACTTTTCATCAAAAGCATTCGAAGGTTGAAATAGAAAAGATTTTCTATCTCAACCACCCAAAATTGCATCTTGAATTGAGTCAATTTGTGTTGGAATTATTTGCGAAAAGAGTTAAAATAAAAAAAGAAAGAAATTCAAAAACACATACTAGCATCATCTGATTGGGACTCGTCGTTTCCATCATCCTGATCTGTTTTGTTTTGATTTGTTTATGTCAAGAAAGAACCAATTTCAAAAGAGAAACGAAACGAGAGAGAAAATTGTTGATAAGAAAACTTTTTGTTGGAAAATTGAACAAATTTAACAAAAGAAAGAAACATGGAAATGGAAAATATTTTCCTTTCATTGAATTTGGTAAATGAATGGAATTTCAATTAAAGATTAAATTGTTTTTCTTTTTTTGTTTTGTTTGTGTGACATTTTGGAGCTTCTAACCTGAAGGACGTCGTAAGTAGACACGACGTGTTCGATTCATTGGATTCATCGCAATTGGTACAAACAGCTGGGAGATTCTTGTTCTTGGTAACTGACCTTGTTGATCGTGATTTATTGATCCAGTTGAGGCGGTTGTATTGGTTGTTGTGTGAGTGCTGTTAGTTGATTGATTATTTGTTGATTGTGCTGTTGTTGCTGTTGATATCGGTGGAGTGCTTTCTGCTGTTGTTATTGGTGCTGTTCCTGCTTGTTGCTGCTGTTGCTGAGTTGGTAATAAGCCAATTGCAGACAAAAGTGATGATGCTAAATTTGCAGCTGGAAACAAATTTCTATCGTCACTTCTTCCATTCATTTCAATTATCAAAAACTTACCACTACTTGCATTGCTTGTGTTGACATTTTGTGCCGCCAGTTGACTTATGTTATTGGCAATATTTCCAGCATTGTTATTAATAATATTGTTGTTTATATTATTATTATTATTGTTATTGTTGATATTGTTATTGCCAGCTCCACCACCTGCTCCTGGTTGTGGCATACCTCCACGTGCAAATATTGGACCAATGTTGATACTCTAAATAAACGAAAATTAAATTAAATATAAATAAAAAGTAATGAAACTCACCCCAACCCCAACAGCTGTCGGTGCTGCAATTCCTGAACTCACGAATGCACTTTGTTCAACCAAAATAGGACGACAACATAAATGTCGTGGCGATTGCAGGTTCAAGTCTAACATTAAATCGGAAATCGCATGTTGAGCATGTGACATGTAATGCAAAGCTTCCGAGACTCTGTCAAATATTCTCTGAGCATTCTCACGTGCTGTATCGTCGGGATATGTTGGATCGTCATTAAGAATGTCATAATATTGTTGAATAAATGGATCCAAACGACGTTGAACGGATTGCATTTGACTAACAACTTCTCCTAATGTTTGTGTGCTTGTTGTTTGTTGTCGACGAGAATTCGGTGATGTTCCCGTTGTTGATTGCTGGGAAGACGTCGTGGTTGTTGTCGTCGAAGATGTTGTTGATGATTCCGCATTCTCACGAGATGCAACTCGCTCAGGTCGTAATGAAATATCAGAAAGTGGATTTGAAGGGAACTCGATTGTAATTGACGATGACGCTGATGTTGTGTTTGCCGGTTGTGTTGAATTTGGAATCGTTCCAACAACTTGAATTCCAGACGATGCTCCATTCTGTTGAACTGTAATGTTGTTAATACCATTTTGACGAAATGCCGCCGAAACAGCTCCTTGAAATGCTTGCACAATATTTTGCACATCTTGTTGTGGAAGTTCAGCATCAGTGACTGCCGAAATTCCGACTTCCAATACAGTTGACTCCATTGTTTGTTGAGCTAATAAGTCCATGTTTTGATTATTCAGTCCATTCTCTGGGTTCTCAAGATAAGCAGCAATATTATCAGCACATTGCAGCATGTGACGTGCTACTGTAATGCGGTTGCCGCAAAGTGTCGACGATGGATTTAAAGATGTTGTAGTGTGTGGTGGACCGACAATATTTCCAGCCACTGGTATTGAGAAACTCCCCATCATTAAATTCTCCAAGTCTCCGAGATCCCCAATCACTGGTCTTGGACCGAAACGTGGTCCAAAGGAATCTGTCGTGCCTGCTGATGGAGGGATCGATGAAGGTGGCGCACGTTGAACCAAATGAAGGCATTTCCCATTCACATCTGAAAATTTAATAACAATTTCTTCACATTATGAAGACTTTAATCGAATTTAATACTCACCATATTCTTTCAATGGCTTCTCATCGTTTAAGACGCGACCGCAATAAATTAACCGCTGCAAGTCTGCACTTATGTTAACTTTATCAGCAATATGCTCCTTAAATTCTTTCACTGACAACTATAAATATAAAAGTGACTAATTATTCACAGATTTTCTTTTAGTTAAATAAATAGCTACTTACATTTTCGTCTACCGTGAAATCGTGATTTTGCGAATCAAGAGTTTTAACTTTCACCGTAATAGTTTTGTTAGATTGATTTTCCTCTTCCATATTTCTGAAAATAATTAAATGTATTTGTATTTCATTTGTTACATCTATTTTAATCTTAAGTTCTATTATATTTTCAGAAGTTATGTGTAAATGAAGTTTAGTGAAAAAGTAATTGATAAGAGTCCACGTCTTTTCTTCACAATTGAAAATGGAAAATGGGCGAAATTGGAACTTTCGAGATGCATTCGGGCATTTCTATTGGATTCTACTTTATTCTTTTGATTTAAAGTTTATTTGCTACTAGATTTTCATTAGATTTCTAAAGTTTTTTCATTACATTTTAATGATTTCTAAATGCTGGCTACCTTAACTTTTTTTTTGAAATTCCGCAATTTAAAAACTTTTTCACATTACACTAAAATCTAATCGAAATATTAAGATTTTAACTTCCTACGTTAAATTTAAACTGTACGATGGGTATTACAATTTCTGTCTGTTCATATAGATACGATTTTACTGTATAATTAAGATAGAAAATTTTGTAGATTTTTTTCTTCTTCTCTACTTCTCAGTAATGTTCGGATTGGGAAACGATACTGAGATGACCGAATTGATATTTTGAATTTTGTTCGATATTTTTTATTAAATAAAATAAGAAAATTTAAGTTAATTTTATTACATCTTCAACCAGATTAAGATAATTTTATTGAAAAATAATTGAGTTACAAATTCAACAAAAGTAAAAAAAATCAATTTCGTTATTCACTTCAACTGGGAGACTTCATACAAATATGCGCCTAATAATTTTGATCCTTCAATGTAGTTGCGAATGTCAAGTTTCTCATTTTGACTATGAGCTCCATCATCACCACATCCCATCGGCAAAAGAATAGTATTTTTGCCTGTGACTTCTTGTAATGTTAAGGTCACAGGAATTGATCCACCTTCACGAGTGAAATCAGGTTCAACTTTGTAAACATGTCGTGTTGCTTTGGCAGCAGCTTGATAATGGGGATGATTAGGATTTTCAGTCCAGGGTCTACCACCATGTGCCAGATAACATTTCATTTTATTTGGAGATCCCCATTCAGACCATTTCTGATTCAAATAATCAATGACATACTTCTCGATGTTTTCTGGCGTTTGATCGGGAACAGCGCGAATTGAAAACTTTCCAATAACTTTCCGTGGGATGACTGTCTTCTGTCCAGGATCACTGAAAGCACCTTCAATGCCATGAAGTGATAATGATGGATATCTCCAACGATGCATCAACAAAGCAGTCTTCTCTTCATTGTGCATCAACTTAGTCGTTCCCATATCATTACGATAAGCATCGACATCGAACACAATCTTCTCGTACATGTCTTTTTCGTTTGGCAATAAGGGAGCGACTTCTCTATAAATGTTCGGCACAAGAATACGTCCGTCTTTATCAACAAGCGTTCCCATTAAATGGATTAAGTCAGTCATTGCTTCATGGACGGTACCACCAAAAACTCCACTATGCAAATCCTTTGAAGCACATTCAACTTCCAGAGAGAAATAACAAATTCCACGTAACCCGTAAGTGATGCAAGGCTGGTTTGTACCAAGCCAATAATTATCGGAAATACAAACATAATCAACATCACTAAAGAAATCTTTACGTGCATGGAGTAATTCATCAAGACCTTCACTTCCAGATTCTTCCATTCCTTCGAAAACAAATTTGATATTTACGGGAACATCCAATCCACATTTTTGATATCCCTCAACAGCATGAATCCATCCAAGAACAGGGCCTTTGTCATCACTTGATCCTCTTCCGTACAACTTTCCATTACGTTCAGTTAAAACGAATGGTTGAGAGTCCCAACCATCTTCAATCAGTGCTGGTTGAACATCCAAATGTCCATAAATGGCGACAGTTTTCTTTGCGGGATCCTGAGATAAAAATATGATTAATTTTCATACAAATATTTAGATTGTTAGTGTATGTGAGTGAACATAAATAAGTAGAAAGAAATCTTTCAACGAGAGTTGTTGAAACAATCCAAACAGCGATAAGATAAACCACAAGTACAGCTTGTAAATCATACATTGGTTTTGTGGAACGATATGATGAACTTTTTAAGTTCAAAGTATTAAAACTTACGTTTCCCAAAACGCCCATTATGACATTTGGAAGTTTTAATATTTTTCCATCTGGAAGTGTTTGAGAACCGACATCGACTTGTTCAACCGTTGTTCCAATTGCTTCCAAACGTTTTTGTGCCCAATCCATCATTCGTTGACAATCTGGTCGTGAGTCAGGCCATGCTGAAACAGATTTAATTGCGACAGCTTCACGCAATGTTTCGATGTACTTTGTTTTGTTTGCATCGATGTGACTGCACACAAATGATAAAAAATTGCATCATCATCATTCTCGATAACTGTAAAAACCAAATATTTAACTTACGCAAATAACTTTTGTAAGGGAGCTGGTAAATCACTCATTTTTATGTTACGAACTGATCAGTTATGAGACTTGTTGAAAACTAATGTGCAATTTCAAATATGTGAATCAATTGAGAGAGAATATTGAGAATAATCGAGATACTTTTTATCAACAAAACTAAACGCAAAGCCGGATGATGTCTGCTCGGAAATAAAACTTCGGTACTCCCTGCAAAGCTTGCTTTTTTAAAAAAAAAAAATATTATCAAATGTTACCAGCTTAACGGTAAAAATTATTCTTCCTCCTAATTAACTATTAGATACTTGATAAAAAGATGACAAATACAAAGGTTTCTACAAAGAAATTTACGAAAAACAATTCTGATAGCTTTTAAAAAAGCTTCAAAATTTCATTTGAAAAAAGCTCTCATGAGGAAAATCTGAAAATAAATCTCAAGCTTATAGCCTTTAGATTTTGTCTCTTTATTTTAATAAATCTTTACATTGAATGAGCTTGATTTATAAATATATGAAAAATATCTTCCTACAATCTCTTTTTTTGCACAACATTTGATGTAGAATATTTATAAATTTTTAAATTCTTTCGTTTCCTATTCAGAGCTTTTCATAAAAGCTTCATGTTAATAACATTATAAATTCTACTTTTTAGCAGTTTTTTGAACACTTGAAATTAATTCTTGTCGCTTATAAATTGGCATTTTTTTCTCACTTTCTTCTACATTGCCTGACTTTTTCTTCGAAGATGTTGTTTTCAAGGAGATATTTATATTAGTAACAGTTGGACTTGAAGGTTGTATTTTCGCTTGTAAACTTTGAACATTATGCGACGTTTGAAGTGAAGGTAAATTTAAGGCAGCAGCAGAAATTCTTGATTTCTTATTTTGATCACTTAAAATTCTTTCAAAATCCGCTGTTTTACTTCTCAACACATTCGAGCCTATTGAAGAAATGCTCGGCGTATAATTTGATTCTCTCACAGCCTTCGAAGATGTACCAGTTGGTGACAACGGTGGAATTTGACTTGTTGATGATGACATTTGAATTTTAGTGACACTCGGCTTACGGACATCTAATTTTTTTGCTGAACTTCTTGGCGTCAGATCTTTTGAGCTCGATAAAGATTTAGATGAACGTCTCGAATCGTCCCGCTGTGGATTGTGAACTGTTTGAACCTCATCTAATCTTTTTGTTGTGACAGTGACTGACTGAGGGCGATGAGGGAAGATTGTTGGTTGGACATGTTTACGCAAAACTGGAATTTAAGGAATGAGTTTTAGAGCTTGTTAAATTTCGGATGCGTTTTTCAGTGAAAAGCGGAAATGACATTTGTGTACGTAAAGTTAATAAATTCGAAACCTACCTTCATCTGAGAAATCAAAGCTTGTGCTTGGATCTTCAATGAAAGGGATGTCAGTGATGTTATCACCAATGTTATGTCCCGGCTTCTCATGAAGATAAAATTGGATATTTTGTCCATGAACACCACTCGTGATTCCCGTCACTTGAGCTGAACTTTGTACTGGGATTTTTAAACTGGCAGTAACAACACCAGCACCATGTGTTGAAGACGATAAAGGTGACGACATTCGACGTTGTGCAGTTTCAAACACATCCGAAGCATTTGAATCAATTGATGAACTTCGAGTTTTGTTTGCATCGTTTGAAGACATTGTGTGAATGTAAAAGTCACGATCACCACCAACTGATATCCCTGATGATAATTGATAGCTTTCATGAGTCGAAGATGATGACGATAAGTCTCCTGACTCTGTTCGATCACTTTGTCTTCTTCTTCGTAATGGTTTTTCAGGATCTTGAAACTTCATTTTCGCACGGATTTCTCGATCTTTAGTTCTAAAATAAAATTTATAAATTTATAAAGTTAATTTCAAATTTTCATTAGTTAACCTTCTCGCTGAATGAATTCCACCTTTACCAGCATTCTCATGAAGAATATCTTCTCTTGAGTAGACAACTTTTTTAGGCATCTCAATAAGAGAAATTGTTGTAGTAGCTGAAGATGATGATGGTGAATAAACTTTTTCATCGTCTGAGAACACAGCATGATGTTGTGGATTGTAAGGCGGACTTAGAGGTGGAATAGAACTGCCGCTATCAATATCCTCTCTAAAATTAATCAAATTAAGGAAGTGAAATGATTGAAAATAAAAATAAATCTCACTCTTGTCTCATGTATAATCGATCAAGAAGATAATCAAGTTGCACTGGATACACGTCCATCATTGTTGTGTAAATTTCATTCATGTCTTCAGATGACACAATGAACAAGTCCTCATAATGATCAATCATTATTCTTATGATATTGATAACATCAGCTCTCTCAGCCATTTCTTGTTCTTCAAATTGATCCGATTTAATGTTATGAAGAATGTTCGGTGCAAAAATTGTTGCTAAATTCGTGCTGTCCATTTTATTACCATTGGAAAGAATTTGACCATCGTAGGTTTTCGTATCATTTGCAGCTCGTGCGACTTTTCCTAAGAATTTTAAAAGAACATAAAGAGTATCACGATGTGCAACAGGAAGAAGATGAATCATGTGTGAGATGCCTTCAAGTTGTAATCTTCGATTTCTGATTGCTGTGAAAATAGAAAAGTTAACAGAAAAGATAAAACTTTAATTAAAATTAAACTTACATTGTGTTTGCAAGAATGCTTTATATAAATGCCTGCATAAGAGTGGCTCGGGAAGATCACGAAAGAATTCTTTTAAAAGTGTTGCAATATCATGTGGACAGACGTCGGGATCAATGGTTGTTACCACACCTTTATCAAAATCTTCTCTTAACTGTAAAAATTTCATTAAATATTTAAAATTTTAATAGGTACAAAATTATTCTTGACACTCACTTGTCTAACTCGTTTCTTTGAAGTGCTTACTCTGAAGATTCCGACAGTTGAAAGTCCATTCTCTTCAAGATTTTTCGTACATGTTAAGACAATGGAAGGAACTTGTTGAAGTTGACTATGAACACCAGGTATGTTTGAAGCGTGAAGCTCATCATCATCGTGACTACTTCGGCGATCAATATTAGTATGAAAAAGAGGTAAAAATGTGTTATGCAAATACTCGGCGTCGGTCTTAGCAGGAAGTGATTCACATGAACCAGAATTGTCACGATGTTGATGATCAAGCAAGGAACTTAATGAACTTCTTGAACTTCGCGATTCTTTCTTCTCCTTTGAACGATTATGATCATTTTCTATACATTGCTCGAGAGGCAAACCGAATACTAAACCACCTAAAATGAACAAGCTGAAGTGAATTATTTAAATAAAAATGAAAAACTTTCACCTTTGGAATAATCTTCCTTTCCTTTTCCATCAAAAATTCCTGTTGTCACAGCTTTTCTCTTAAGTAATAATACCCTTCGTTTATGAGGTTTTTGTGAGTTTTGATTGGACTCTATTGTGAAAAATAGGAAATGTAAATAAAAGTCATTAGCTAAACACGTGAATTTCGTTTCACGTCATTATTTACCTTGAGGTGTAAGCGTAATTCCTAGTTGAAGAATCTTTTCCTGCGCTTGCTTCTCAAGCACCACCCTCTCAACCTCAGTCAGACTTGGCAAGAAAACATCTCTAAGTTGAACGCGCTTGCCATTGTTCGCTACCCAGACACCATTCCCCTGGAAGAAAATAAATGATCATGAGGATGATCATGAGAAGAATTTTAAGGAATGAAATTTATTTTAAGACTCGTTAATATTTTTTTATTGTTTCGCTTTAACAAGAGGAAAAGTTTTATTGTTTCTTCTGATTTCTCTCGACGTCTCAAAATAATATGCAACGTCGTGGCGAAAGGAAGAAAAACCATTAAAACAACAAGCACACTATCGTTGAACGAGTGAAAAATATTTTTGTGTATCGTCTATGACGTCATGCAGCGCGGAAAAAGCTTTTTCTTCTTCTTCTTATTTTTAGAGATCATTTTAAAAATATTTTCGTCGCAAGAGAAAAATGTCTTCTTCATGAATGTTGTTTTATGTGTTTTCGTTTCGCATTTTACCTCTCGGTGTGCTGATGATGAAGACGGTAAAGCAGTAAGTAAGAATATGTTGTTGTTATTGATGTTATTTCAAATGTTAATTGCCTCGATTTAAGCAGATAGTTTAGTGGCATTAGTGGATTTAAAACAAGTGTTAGATCATTTAAGAAAAGGAATTTCAGTAAGTCATCACATACCTGAGGTATCCAAATTGGCTTGACATTAGACGTTGATGGCACCAACGTTTGATTGGCTTGCGTTCTTGTTTGACTCTTGGAACGCGAGCGGGATATCTTCTTTGACATCAAATGTCCAACATTTGACGATGACTTTGATTTTTGCATTGCTGAACTGTTGTTTGATGCGACGACAGTTGAAGTTGATGAGTTTGATGGTGTGGGAGAATTTGATTGATTATTAGTGTTATGATTAAAGAGATTCGATAAGAATTGTGTGCTACTTTGAATGATTCCTGTGGGAGATGTGGGAGAAGAGGGGGAGGGAGAATGGGAGGGTGGAGATGCAGGTATAATAGGCGCAATAATTGGTGACGTGCAACAACGATTCAGTTCTTCAGAATTCCCAAACAATACTTCCAACCAATCACTATCGGTTTGACAACCTTTCATCAATCCATCATCATCACCAGGCTTTGTGATTTCGCCCTTGGCTTTGATGTTTCTCAAATTTCTGTCATAGTTAACTCGTTTAAAACGATTCGCGGCGTCATTATCTTTCGGCTTCTTGCGCGCCATCATCAAATATCTTTTGATCGTATCGCTGACTGATTGAGATACATCTTTGTTGTCGATACTTGGTTTTCGACTACCTCGACTAGCGTCAGCTTGTGCGTCTTCTTCCTCTTGTCGTTCAATCTCAACTTGCTTCTTATATTCATTAAATAAGATGTTAAGTGTACTCAACGGGATTCCATCCGTTTGCACTTCTCCTGCTTTGAAAGTTTTTGGCTGTTTTTTCGAAACATTCTTCAAAATACCAGGTGGTGATGTTGGACTTACTGGCGAGCTCGAAGAGTCTGTTGATGGCTTTGATGATGATGCTTTTGTAGTTGAAGTTGTCTTCGTGATTGTTTTCAACGTCGTCGAAACTGTTCTTGTGGATCTTAGTGACGGATATTGCTGCTGTTGCTGTTGATACAATTGTTGTTGCTGTTGATTAGCGAAAATTTGTTTTTGTTGAGAATAAATTTGATGAGGTTTCGATAGCATCGACGAAGAGTTGAAAGAACGAGATTGTGACGATGAGTACGAGGCTTGTGATGCCATACTGAACTCAACTCCTGATCTATTCCTATGACTTCCACTCTCACCATGTCCACGCAATGTTCCTTTTGTCTTTGTGTCAATATAATCAACAAAATTGTGAAATGTTGATGAAATTGTGCTGGTAAGTGAAGACATTGATGACGAATAAGCGATGTTTAGTGATCGTGTCGATTCAGTACGTGGAATTGATTTTGAATACTTTTGTTGTGTTCTAATATCGTTAAGGATTTTCCTAAGTAAAACTTTATCCTTAAGCAGATCAGCAGAAATTTCATCACTCTCAAGATAAGGCGAATAATTCTTTTTCCGATATTGCTTCAGAGTATCAAGAAGCAACGATGTATGAATGCTGTCATTACCAGGAACTGGATGCCAAATACTGTGATCTTGAACATTTGATTTTGTGACATCAAATGCATCTGGAGAAACATTGCTGGGTGAAGCTGATAAGTTTGATGCTGATGGCATCGCGGAAGATGTAGAAGTAGAAGCAACAGCAGCTGTGTTCCTTGAAGCAGTTTTTCCAACTAATTTTTTATTCATACTTCTCTCTCCAGTGGCAGAAAATCTTGACATGTCACTTGTTGATGGCTCATTGTCAAAGCTTTTAAGAGATTCATTATTGTTATTATATGTGGCGATGCTGCTGCTGTTGTTGTTGTTGATTTCTCTTATGGACGACGAATTTTTTTGCTGTTGTTCACTCTCACTCTCTTCAATGTCAGAGTTGATGCTTAAATACTTTTCCAGCATTTTAATGATGAGATCATCAGTACTTTTTCCTCTTGGTCGTTCATCGTCGCATTCATCAGCGGAACTTCCAGTGGGCGGACTGCTCAATGTTGCTGGTCGTTTGCTGACCTTGTTTTTATTTTTTCTTCGAAAGCTTCCTGAAGCACCGGGATAAGACAACTTTCGTCTCCAGATTAGAAATTTTTTCTCTTGTTGACAGAGTTTCTGAAAATGTTCTTCAATCTTTTCGATATTCTCGGGTTTGTTCTGAACACCTTCGGGAATCAATTTTCGACCAGCATCTGCCATGTAACGCCATGTCTTGCGTGTCAACAACCAACGTGTTTTCTTGTTGTCACCACTCATTGATGGCTGACGTTTCATTGATGGCTTCCGACCCATACTTGCACCTTTGTATTCTCGCTTTATATGACTCAAATATTCTTTATCACTGATTTGACTAGAAACTGTCGCTACGTGTTCCACTAAATTTCTACTTGTTGATGGATACGATTGCGTTCTCACATATTTTATTTCACTGCCATTTGTCGGTGCTTTAGCTGATTCTGCTTCATTTTTGGGACTTTGGGGGGATTGGTTATTGAATTTTTTCATCTCTTCGCATGTTCATTGTTCACTCTTTTTGCGCGCAATTTATTTTTTTAATTTCTTAATAAATTCCAACTTTGTTATGTACACTTTTCACTTCTCTTTCTTCTCTTCTATTTTTTTTAATTTATTTTGGCGCTTTAAACCTTTTCTTTCCTAAATAAAAAATAAATAAATGGTTGAGAAAATTTAGAAAGAAATTTTGATGAAAATAGGAGAAGAAGAAGAAGAAAAAATATTGTTTGGAAAATTACTCGCTGAGAACCGTTTGGTGATTTGATTAACGACTTCTATGGTTCAAGTCTTCCGCACAGCGATTAATTTCAACTAATTTTTCACTTAATTTTCGCGGCTTGAATCTCGAAATCTTTTCTATATTTTTTTTCTTTCTTCATCCTCTCATCGAGCGAGGAAAACTTTACGAAGATGAAGATGAAGAAAAAAAAATAAAAAAATCGGAAATTTTTCGAGTTTTATTTTCAAGAGACTCGTGGTTGTTCCCTTCAAGACTAAAAATAAAATAATGTTTTTTGATTCTTTTTTTAAGTGAGATATTTTTGTAAAAACGATGAAAGAATGCTCTTCATATTGTAATAAGTGAATTATTTTTATGAAAAAATATTTTTGGGATGTATAATGCTTCTGTCTCAGCAGTTTCACATCTCGTCTTTATTTTGGCAACAATCACATGAGAAAATACCAAAGAAAATATTTTACGTTCGTAAGAAGGAATGTAATTACTGATAGACTTGACGCTAGTGACTTCAGCGTCAATTTGCCAGCTCAAAATTCAAAGCGAAAATCACCAAAGATCATAATAAGTTATCACGTGTTTGTTTTTATCTTTCTCTAAACCTGTTTTTTCCGCCTTTTTATTGCGTTTAAGAAAAACAAAAATTTTCGCCATTCTTTGAATAATAAAAATGAATGGCTGGCTGGCCGATGGCCGTTGGAAGAGCTAAGAAAAACAAAAATTGATACGTGTGTGAGCCAATAAGCTCTGTGCAAAAAATAATAATAACAAGAAACGATCAAGAAGAATTTAAGTTATTTACATCCGACTCTTCTCCTTTCGTCTGGCCATGAAAATTGAAATTTATTGTCATAGATTTTCGCAACAATTTTTACCATGAAAATGTCCATTTATCAAAACTTAAAGCATTTCATTTATTAATTTCTCAATCCCTTTGAAAGGCAAACATTTCATCACCACAAACTTCTATCATCATTATTTTTGTAAATCTTTTATGATTTTTCAAACGATCCATAGCCATTACTAATTGCTTGGTTCATATCTTGAATTTACACTAACTGTATAAATTACGAGATTGTGGATTTGTTTAAACAATAATTTTCACGTTAGCCCGAAATTTGTGAGAGAAGCAAAAAAAAATAAGAAGAATTTGTTTCAATGTTCAAAATCGAAATCTTAAAAGTAAAAGAAAAGAAAATTTGAGAGAAGGCGCAATGAATACATGGCCACAAATGACGTCGACTTAAGGCAAAATATGAAATCTATGATCGGTTGTGCAAGTGCCCACGGGAAAGCACACACAATTCGGACACAAATTTACTTCTCTCATTTCTCTTCTGGTAGTTGTTATTGTTAATGTGTAACTTTTCTTCTTCACTTCTTCACAACGAACGCAAAATTTTCATTTCTTCTTCTCCTGTTACTATAAGGAAAATTAAAGATTTAAAGATCATCTACACACAGGCGATCATTTCTTTTTTCAAGTTTTGATTCTTGCCCGAAAAATCTATAAGATTTCTTCTTCTTTTCCTTCTCCTTTTTAACTTCGTTCATCATTTTGATCCATGGGCGACGATTAAATTTTATGTGAAATTATTTGGCAGATAAAAAATGTTGAATTCTTCTAATAGTTCCAATTGAGTAGGTTAATTTTTTTACGATATCAAAACAAGATTATTATTTTTTATTTTTTTCTGAAGATTAAGCCCTCACATGAATTAATTTATTATCGCGATCTTCTACTTGATTTGCGTCACTACCAGATATATTTTGACTTTCATTTTTTTTATTTCTTTAAATTTATCACAAGTCTAGGTAAAAAGTGGTCTTGGTCTGCTAGTTGTTGCATTTTTCTTCAATTTTTTTTTTCTTTCTTAAAATTTATTCAACGCTTTTTACCACACAAATGAACACTCGTACGGTAATTATTTTAATGAAAATCTTACAGATTTTTCTCTTTTTTATTTGCTTGAGCTTTTCATTTTTTGAACGACGCTCTTTCGCTCAAATAATTTACACTTTAAAAACTTTCAAACTAATTTTAAACAAGAAAATAATTTCTTTTTGTATTCTACTGAGCCTTTTTATTTTAAAGAAAAGTTTTAGATTGAAGATTGTTTTGCTTGAAGAAATATTAATATTAAAGAACTTCTTTAGCGGAGTGATTTGCTTAGGCCGCGCGCGAGAGAGGATCTGAAAAATTGAATTAAATTTTCTTTTCTTCTAGCCGTGTGCTGCCGAAATAAAAAAAAAAGCTGTAAAACTCATAAGAAAAATTTTCACCGACATATTCACATACAAATTTCAAATTTCCATTCTTTTTTTACGTACGTGAATATTTTTTACACCTAAAAATACGTGGATCACCTGTTTATTAAAATGGAACTTCTCGTTCGAAAAGATGAAGAAGAAAATCATTTTAGAATGATATTTTTCTTCCTCACGGGGCGGCGTTTTTAAAAATAGTTGTTTGTTTGCGGTGCGTTACTTTTCATTAATGAAACATGTCGTATGAGAAATATTTCTTTCTGTCGAGTCCATCAAAAGATTTTTTTTCCTTCTTCTGTGATGAGTGATGACACGATCTTCATGTTAAACGAATTTATATCAAATAAAAATATTAATCATTATTTTATTGCTTCCGAATCATAAAAGAATTAAGACTGATGATATCAAGGTGAGACGATGTGTTTTGAAACACAACCAAAAGCTTTAAAGTCAAATAATCATCATAAAAATTAAATGAAAACATCAAAAAATTGAGATAAAAAAATGTTTTTTTTCTGCTCATGTAGCAAATGAACTTGAAATCGAACCCGAAATTTCTTTTTCACGATATTCCAAATAAATGGCACGTTTTCCTCTCAAAATGAATTCATGAATCTTCCAAAGCGATCGCGATATCATCTTCCACTTATTAATACGCAAATCTACAGCGCAGCTCGGTGGAAAACTCACTTTAAGAAAGAGAAGAAGAAAAATGCCGATAATTTTAATTTCTCAATAAAGGCTATTAATAGAATTTAAAAAAAACTTCAAGTACGATCATACACAGACAGACGAAGCGAGACTTAAAACTTGATCTCATAGAAACACTTGATGAAACTTTCACACAAGCGTATAAAAGCGTAAACTTAAAATAAAACTGTTCACATAAATACAGGAGTAAAAACAGCAAAAAGCAATAATTAAAAATATAAACAATAAAATTTATTTTCATTTGTCATTTATTTATTTTTAAGGAAACAACATGAGTTGACAAAACATTTACACTCGATGCTTAATTGTTATAGAAATTGGAAACTTTAATTTGAGTAAGAACATTGAACTCAAATGAATTAAATAATTTTTATTTCTGCACATGACATGATTCATACACTGATCGTTGTTGCACATCAATTATTTATTTGAATGACTCGACGAACGAGTCAAGGAGTGTGTGGGAGTTGATGGTGGAATGTTAGAAAATCAATGTGAAAAGCTACAAAAGAGATTTGCCAAGAAATGTTTGAACCTTGATTGAAATGCATTTTATCAATGTCCCAAATCGTTGCTGTCTCGTAGATACGAACGTGTTTTCACCCACGAACAGTTAAATATCCTCCCCCAATCATCAGAGGCAACCACCTGTCTCATTTCGACCACTTAGTTACGAGGTCGGAAACTTATGTTTTTTTTCTCATTTTTACATCATCATTGAAAATAATGGCGGTTCTTTTATTTATTTCTTTTTTGCAAAAACGACGAGATCATATTTTAAAATATTATTAAATATTATGATGACGTCAAACGATGAAACTGAAACGCGAAAGACGATAAAACAGAGCGAGAAAAGGAGAGAGAGAGGGACAATCACGTTTTCATTTCGTCACGAAGCAAGAGAAAACTTTTCTCGTGTATCGTAAGATGTTCTGCTCAAAAGATTAAGACAGAACATTTATAAGGAGCAACGATCGTTGATTTTTCCTACTTTACTTCCAGTCAGCTTTTTTCTCTGAGATTATCATTCACCCGAGCAACGACAAGGTTCAAACCGAATCTCTTTTGTCACTTTTCATTTTTATGTTAACATGATTCATAATCACTTACGCAATTTCTCTTTATCTATAGATGTGACGAAAAATAAAACTTTTCTTGGGTTTTCCCTTCTCTAACAGGAACAGATGGGAAATTTTATTGTCACTTTTATACTCTTAGTAAGCTAAAGAAAAGTAAGAAGAGCCTTAGACTTATTCTCGGCTTCTACACTTTTCTTGAACTTTCCGTTTGACGTCTTTTTTTTTCGTCTGGTTTTTCTCATTTCTCTCATAGCACATTTGCAGTTTTTAATTCACATTTTTATTACATGTGAAATTATAATTTCACTGAAAATTTCCATTTCCATTGTTCACTAATTTCCACTGAATTTATTTAACTGTTTCTATTGTTTCCACAGGAAAATTCCTTTGAACAATTCATGTTACTTGGCACTTTTTGCTTCAATCTTTCTTTCTTTTGCCGTCACCGTGTTGCTGACTGATCGACGCACTGAATCACTCAATGTGAAAATAAAAATTACGAGAAATACGAGAATAAAAACGTTTCGCGCTATCGCTCGATATGATTTACTCGCATCTGGAATAAGATCTCTTTAATTCGCTGATTTCAATTAAATATAAATTAAACAGTGTTTCTCTCACTTCATCTGAACTGTTTGTGGTCACAAGTCAATGAAAATATACACAAAATAACGATAGTTGATTGAACAGTGTCAGTAAATTTTCTATTCCCGTCTCCCGTCTCTCATCATATGAAGGCTATGAATTGCGCGCGTTTCAACCTCTAACTCTTGCCTGTTTTTTATTACAAAATCTTTCTTTCTTTTTTTTAAATCGAGAAAAACGCTTTAGATATATTTTTTGCTGCTTCACTTTGACTCTTTAATATCTTCATCAGGAAAATCATCTTGTAGAAATTCGTAATCGAGCGAGCGAGCGACGAGAATGATGTGAAAAGCTATAATTTAAAGTCGAGTTTTATTGCAATGAGAATGAGAAAATCTTCTTGATTGAATCACACATTCAGATTATTGATAATTTTCATTTCATCAAGAGAATTTTCCTTAACTTTGTCGCAGTTTACAGTATCACGGAAATAACACAATGTCTGCCGTTTTGAAATGTGAATATAAATAAAACTATCACGACTAAATAGATATCCGCGAAAAACGACAGCAAGCACATTATTCAGCAACTTTCACTGAACTGGCAATATGAGAGAAAATTTATACACACTCAGTTTTCCCAACAGCGAGAAAATGTAAGCAAATTTTCGCAACACTCCGTGTTCCCTTTACAGATGTGATAGAAAAGCAAAAGAAAGAAAAACTTTCAAATCAAAACTTCATCTTGAATGCGAAACAAAGTAAGATAGGAAAAGAAAAATTGGTGAGAAAAACCACGAGTCGATTGACGTCATTAGGTAAACTATGTTTATAAAATTTCGCAAACGAAATGCTGAGCTATTTTTCTGCTTCATCGCAACTTAGAAACGATGAAAATTTATGTTAAACATGACATCATAGTGTGTAATTGAAGTAGTCTTTAGGACGCTTATTTAGTTTCAATGTGAAATAATTTTATTTTCGTGATGCCGTTTCTTTTTATTCTCATGCATGTGAGAAAGACACTGAAATAGAACAAAATCTCATGAACGAGTGCTAAAGATAGATTTTAGAGTGTAAAACAAACAAGACTTACTTTGCACATTATAGTTTTTCTTTTTAATTTTTTTTATTTTTTTCGAGTGTTGGAAATATTTTCCGCGATAAAATAAACAAAAAAAAAATTCAAGAGAGAAGAAAAGAAAAAGATGAGCGAGAGAAATTAATGATAAGTGAAGATCGAAAAGCTTTTTAAGATTTTCCAATGGAAAATTATAACAATTTTCATTTTTCCGTTAAAATTAATTTTTCTGTCTTCTTAAATTAGAAAATTTTCCGAACTTTCTCAAGGTTCATGACTCGATAAATAAAAATAAAGAAACAGCAAAATTTAATGTCTCAATTCTCAGAACACGAGACTCGAGTTTTGTTGAACTCAATTTTTAATGTGTGAAATTGAGAATGAAACATTAATCAACAAATGAAAACATTACCAGCAATAAACGACAGAAATAAATTTCATATTTAAAATTTTCAGGCGTTTTCAAGTAATTATAACTCGTGATAAATTATTATTACTGATTTGCTTGTACTTTTCTCTTTAACACTTGAACAGTTGCATTGTTCATGATTGACACATGACTTTTAATTTTTTACAACATTGTGTAGTATTCAAAAATCACAAATGCAATCACATCCTTCTCAATCAATAACTCTTTGCTTTACATATTTATGATTCAAAAATAATAAACAATTGAAGTATTTCATGAAGAAGTTAAAATCTTATCGTTGATTGGCGACATTATGCGATGCAATTAAAATTTCTTATGTTTTCCTTCTGACTAAAGAGCAAATCGTTTAGTTACTGATCAACAGTTGAAGTAGAATGAAGTTGTGAAAGTTTTATCTGCTTTAAGATTCTTTCATTATGAATTTTGGAAGTTTATTTCAAGAATATTGTTTTGTTGCGTCAAATGAACATGCAGCCGAAGTGATTGGCACTAATGGATTCAAAATCAAAGGAATTGCATTGAAAACAAAGACACAAATAAAATGTCCAAGTCCAAATGAAGCTCCAATATTTTGCATTGTTGGAAGTAAAAGAAACGTCGAAAATGCAAAGCGAATGATCAACATGTGGGCGAATAATTTTGATGAAATGAAGAATAAGAAAAGAAATATTGTGTTGCACCCAGGAGATGTGATTGAAACTGCAAGATTCAGCAGACTTGATGTCGCTTGTATCATTGGCAAGAAAGGAAAACAAATTCAAAAAATTGCAAGCTTCACTCAGGTTAAAATTATTTCACCGGATATAAATAAGGAACCGATTTTCATCATAAGTGGTGGAGAAACAAACATCAACAGAGCACTTTTCTGGATGAAACTTACAGCATTTTGTGCCAGTGGCTCGATTTATTTTGATGAGAATGAAATAAAAATCTTTGAAAAATTAGTCAAAGGACTTGACAGTGAAATGATGAAAATAACACAGAAATTTATAAGTGAGAAAATATTTCGAGCAAGAATTCGTAACAATCTTTTATTGAAAAATCTTGGAAAAACTAAAAATGTCTATGAAGATCAATGCAATTATGCAAGTTATGATCCATACAGTTGTTGCTACTGCAAACAAAAGAAATTTCGTGTGGCCAAAGCTTTATGTGGTCACATTCTTTCATGCGATCATTGTATTGTAGATTTATATCAAAACATTTACTTAAGATGCTACTTTTGTAAGGTTAAAGTTGATAATTTCTTGATTGAAAGATTTAAAATTTAACAAAAAATCACCCTTAAGTTGCTGACTAACCAGACAAAGCTTTTCTGAAGCTTTCACTGAAAAAGCTTTTTTTGAATTTTTTTTGTCCGTTAAATCTTGTTATGTCGATTATGTGAATGATTTTGTTCTAATTAAATTCCTATTTTTTTTAAGTTCATATGCAAATTGTATTATAACTTTGAAAAGACCTCCATTTCATTCCTAGAAAGCTCCTTGAAGTTTTACATAAAAAGAACTATGGTAATTAAACTTTATTATTTTTTTATTTGTCATAAGACCGAATCACTCTACGCTTACATTTCTGTTTCCATTTTTCTTTCTTCAACTGTTCTCGCATTTTCAGTTTTCATTTGAGGTTTTAGTGATGTGGTCGCACATGATCAGCGTTGAATGTTTGAAAAAGAAAAACAACAATAAAGATCGCTTATATTTTTATACAATTTGGTGGATTCAGTTTCAGTTTCGAAGCTCTTATTATAACGAGATTTGATTATCGTGTCTCAATTACGCCACGTTTCATGCTTAATTGACCGCGGGCAGTGATTTTGAAAGCAGTGATCTAAAATTAATTTACGAATATAAAAAAAGAGTCAAAGTTGAGAATTAAAGTTATGAAAAAAAAATCACCCAAAGACCGTATTAATGAATGAAAGGTTAATTCGCATGATCTTGAAATATTCACTTAAACACATTGACCGAAACTCGTTTATTAAATATCAATAATTTAATTTAAATTGTTTTCCAATGGGAAAAAATGCCAATTTCGTGCACGTAAAGTGCTTGGACATTTTGGTGATGTTTTAAAGTCACGATATATTTTGAAATCATAAAAAAAGACATAAACTTGAGTATGTGGAAGTTTTGCATGCAAATCAGTGAGAAGTGTTGAGCGAATTTTTCATTTTAAAGAGAATAAAGAAAGGAAAACTCGTTGGCTCACATTTAATTTTCATTGAAGAAGAATCAGTGAGAAAGTGAAGTAAGAAATCGATGGTTGATTGCATTGTCCAAGCATTAGTGATTAAAACCTTAAAAGTTTACTCGTTACAAACGGATTAAAGGTTAATTCAGTTACACGTAAGTTTAACCACAGTGTTTAGTTTAAGAAAAAGTTTTAAATTACGCAAGTTCATTTAAAAAACGAAAAGATGAGAAAAATCACCGTCAAACTTCTTTTTCTCATTTTCAACGATCAGAACGAATAAAAATAAATTGTTTGTAGCTTGTTTGTTGTTGCTGCTGCTGTTTTGTGTGGGTTAAGTTGGTCGAACAGTCTTTTTTATGAAACTTTTCTTCTTGTGAAAATCAGTGAATCATTTTCGGATGTTCCTTGAAATACTTTTGTTTAGAAAATTAGATTTTGTTAGCAGGCTAAGGTAGAATTAATCAGAAAATGTCAGATAAGTCTCAATTGCCCTACTAAATTGTTAATGAAATGTGAATTGTCATGATGGACTCGATTTATACTTCGTGACCTTACAATATAATTATAAATCAATTCTTGTGAATGTCACGTCATAAAGAAATTTCTACGAATTGCAATTTTCCATATGGATGCATGAAATGAACATTTTGAAGCACGAACATTTAAAAAATCAATGAACTCGATTGGATCAACAAGAGGTTTTTCATATTCCTGAGTAAAAGCGCTGAAATCAAAGAAAACAAAGCAAAAATATCGATCAAAAGTTTTCCATTCCTTTTCTTGACGTGAACGTGTTCTTAATGGACTTTTTGTTTTCTTTCATGTATTGACGGCCCTGAAAACCGAACGAAAATACAAAAATAAAGTTCGATTATTCAGTTTTTCTTTGCCGAAATAGATTTTTATATATAAAAAACTTTGATCAACAAACATTCTACAAGGCAAACATCAATCGATGATGATTAGACAATGCTTACCATATGGGAAGCTCACGCTCGTTTAAAGTCAATTAGATCAAATAGAAGGGAAGTCACGTTAGCTGTCTAAGAGTTCAAGATATTGTTGATCAAAACTTTAATTGATGATTCGTTGCGGTGTAAATGTAAATTGGAGAAATGTTCTAGTTTTTAAAAATCGATAAATTTATTTCAGAAATGTGAATTGGGGCAAAACAAATTTGAGACAAAACAGCAAAGAAGTCACATCTATATAATTGGATTTCCATTTTAATGAGATTTTAACCATTTAATGAGAAAAGAACTGACGATTTTTATCTTTGTTGACATAAAGTTAATCTAAATTGTTTATGAAAACTTGACAAAAGAAAAAGAACAATATAAACAAACGTTGAGAATTATTCTTAGTCAATTTAATTTAACTTTTGGCTTTAACAAGCAAACTCAAAGTCATTTTGTTCATGCGAAAAATTTAATTTTTGATTTTTTTCTACATATGTGAAATAAATATTCACACCCATAAATTCTGAGAAGCATTAAATAGACAAACAATGAAGCTATAATGCATCTGCTGTTGCTTTAATTATTTTTACAGTCTCATCGACATATCTATGAGGTTTGAAGGCGTATCGATGATGAACGCATGTTAAATTAAGTACAAGCCAAACATTCGCCCAAATTACTGTGTGAATTATTAATCACATGAGATCAGTTTAGAAGTCTTCAAAAAACGTTAAAAGTTATGGCTGAAAATAATTACGTAGGCCTTGTCACGATATTTTCCGTATTATAAATTTTTCTCATCTCAAAATTTTTAATTTCTTTCTTCAAGAATCAACCAACAAAGACAGAAATCAACAAGAAGAGAAAAATAAAATTTTCACATCTCAGAAGCTCAAAAGATTTTTCATTTAAAAGCAAGTTTAATTTACTGAACTGTTTATCGAAGTGCAAGTACTTTTTAATGAAAATATTAACTTCTGATGTTGTTCAAGTCGTGTGAATATTAAATGCACTTTGATGATGGAACATTCACTGCAAGGATGATAAAAATAGATTTGTAAAAATAACTCAGAACTCTTAAATGAAACTTCCTATAGCAATAGCAACGAACCGACGATCATTGAATCACCCTGTTGACTCTCACATATCTCCATCACTCTCTCAATCATTCGAAAATCTTCCACAATTCTCAGTCTTTGATACTGAACGTGCCTTAATTTCATACAATGACAATTCAAGCTGAACAGAATTGTAAGAAAAAAGAAAGAGTTGACATAACAACATTTATGTTTACACTCTTAACTGACCGTTGTATAAATATTTTTGTTAAATAATCTTAGAAGCCTTATCAATGTTTCTTTTTTGTTTCACTCTACATAAGTCTTGTGTTCATGTTTGTATCTTTGAAATAAAGCAAATGCTTTGTTAATACTTCGCTGGTGTATTGCGTGTTAAAGAAATAGATAAGTCGACCCATCAAATATCCTTCTCACGGATCCTTATTTTTCAAATAGCTTCGCTTTTCTACAACGTCATTTCATTTTCAATTCTCTTAATCATCATTCATACCTGTGCAGCTGTCTGAAGTTTATTTCTCTCATTTTCTGTTTCGAAGAAGTTGCAGGTACATAAAAATTTGTACAACATGTAAACATAACAGAAAAAAGCAAAAATATCTATTCGTCATAAATTATGATTCCTTCTCATATTTTTTTGCAACATGAATAGATTGCTGAGAGTAGAGGTGAACAGGTTGCAAATTACAACGTTTTTTCTTTCATCTTTTGATCTAGTTGAAGAAATAGTTTCAAGGCAACGAAATAGGAGTAGATAAAATAATTTCCCGATTAAACTGTGTAATCGTTATGTTAAATAAATAAACTTAGTCAGGAAAAACATTCAACGGAATTTCCATTGCTTCGAAATGCTTACGAAAAGAAAGAAAGAAAAAAATTGAGAGCGATCGGTTAAGCCATGTGCTGTGCTGCTTAAACTCAACTCGTGTCTCTCATTTGAGAGAAGACTTAAAGCAAATATCAAGCAAGCACAGACGAAAACAGAAACTCACTTTAGAAGTGTTTCACATGCGGCTCAAGCGTCACACATTCAGTGAATGCGTAAAGAAAATTTTTATTTTCTGGTCATCGTTTAGAAGAAGAAATTTAAATATTTAAAAATACAAAAAATACGAAAAAAAGAAATATTGTGGAAAAGTGAAATCGATTTTCGACGCCCATCAAAGGGAAAAGTTAAGTGGTTGATTTAAAAATATTTAAATATTGAAAACCAAAAAAGAAATAACTTGTTAATGAGATCTGGAACTTCATCAGAAATCGCACAAATTACTTTGCAAGAGAGCAAATTGCTTAATTGAAACTTGTGACTTTCAAACAATTGTGTGTCATTATATTTAATAAGAAGAAAAAAGTTCGCAAACATTCATTGACGCTTCATGCAGAAACGCTTTTTCAGACAAAATAAAAAAGTGCCATTAACGTCTCGACGATGGAGTGAAACTTATTCATTGAAAATAAAATGTAATTAAAAGGATGGTCAAAGGAGAGAATTTTTTTCTGTTTAAATTTGTTTCGCATGTCAACGCAATAATTCGACAACAACTGAATTAATTTCTTAATAAGAAATCCAAATATTTCGGATAATATCATCTTTCAAAGAAGGAAATTTGACACAACAACATATTTGCTGTTTAAGGTAATTATCGTCGAAATAAAATCATTCTCAATGAATTTCATTATTTCAAAAATTTCACTGATCGTCTCTGACTCAATGACAAACTTAGTCATATTAAATTTCCACAATGCTGTGGCTTTAAGCGCGAGTTTCTTTGTAAAGATTTTATTTCTTCCTCTGCAACGTTTTTTAATCTGGGGAAGTTAAAAATGGTGTTGACTTTTATGTTACAAGTCATTAAGGCGTCACACATAATAAAGTTATTTTCAGTAAGATTCTTAGCATTGTGCGATTGCATGTGGGTCAGTTGCGAAGTAAAGTTTTATTAAAACTTTAATTATCGATGTTCAGGTTACAAAGAAATCAATAGAACTGCCCCGACTTCCACAGGAAGATCGAGTATAATGAACACAGTACATGAAAGCAATTAAGTAACCGTCATGTGATACATAAACAAATATGAAATTAAAAAAAGCCAACACGCAGCTAAATGTTATCTTCAGTTTAAAAAAAATACTTTTTCGTGTTGAATATAATGAGGCATATTAAAATAGGTGAAGAGACAGATAAGACTTAAAAAAGAAAATCATGTCTCGTCGACAACGCTAAAACATTTTAATGTCGCTCGATTTGAATACAAAAACAAACGTAAATAATACGATAAAAGTAAAAAACCTGTTCCGACCATCTGTAAAGTTGCGTTTCAAAAGGAAACGGAATATGCTTGCCCTTAATTTAAATACGTTTATTTGTTAATTGATTTCTGCCTTCGTTCGTGTTTTTTTAAGACGCGTCGTCATGGGCTTTTAACAATGTGATGGCAGTGAAGTTTAAAGTCACCAAAATCTTCAGTTTGGTTAATAAAAAATATCCAAAAATTTCTCAATCATCGATAAATATCAGCAACTCGCATCTCGTTTATTAATTATCATAAATTAATGAATTTATTTTCAGCACATCTAAAATCACTAAGAAAGATGAGATGGATGAAGAAATTAGAGCATCGAATTACTTGACTTGATTCTTCAACTTTGTGGGGAGAAAACTAAACAAACTTTGCAAAAAAAAGAAATATAATCAGCGTGTGGGATTTTTTTTTGGATTTTCCGCAATAAATTAATGAAAGAGAAAATTTTCGCTCTAAAATAAATTGAACCGAGAAACTTTTCTTTTTTTTTCAATTTTATCTAAACATTGGGAAAAGTTTCTGGCGTTGTTTCTGCTAATTGGATTTCTTGGCGGAAATTTGGCGCTGCTTTAAATAAACTAAACCACAAACTCGCGAAAAAAGCATATCATGCAAGCATTGAACTTGTTTTTCTCACTTGAATTCCGTACCATACACTTCTGGTGATCTTGTAGAGTTGCGGTCGCGTAATTACGAGCACGAACAATCAATCGAAAGTGAAACAAGTGCTTGGCTATTAAGCTTTTTAAAGTAAAACGTGTAATGCAATTTATCAACATTTTTGCTTTAAATTTTTCTTCGCAAGAAGGAAATGAAGTGCTGTATGTGGCCGTTGCCATTGCCGTTCCGATCGCAAAATAATTAGTGCGTTTCGTTTTAGTCGCAAGAAGAATTTTATGTGTAAAGCAACATCAATAAGTTTTAAATCATGCGAAATACGCAAGCAAAAAGAAGTGAAGGCATAAATTTTGTTTTCACTTTCTATCGTCAAGTATTTTATTTTATTTTCTTCTTTTTTCATTTCTTGGTCACTGACTGACTTTCGTTCGGTACAAATAAATAGTAATTGTAATTTGCTTTTTTTCTCTCACCATTGCTCGGTCATCAGCATTAGACTCGACTTTAAAAGGAATTGTAAAAAATGTGCGAATTCTTCTTTTTCCAGTGAGCAAATGACCATTTGAAATTTCGATTACGTTCAAATGATAATCTTTCTGTGAGCAATGAGACAATTGCTGATAATCTTTCAGCTAACTTCTAATGAATTTGTTTTCTCATGACTCTGCTTCACTTCAACGCGTACCTAATTTAGTGAACTTTTCCTCTCGGCTGAAATTGCACAATTATTTATCTCAAGCTGTGCTGTGCACAATCCCACTGGCTTTACAATGTGTAACCATTTGATGGTAGCGTCGTGATAACATCTCATTAATTATTGTTTACATGCTGATGCTTTTTTGGAATGTCTCGGAATGTCTCTCAGTGAGTGAAGTGAATTTTTCTTCGTTAAAAATTCTTAATTAAGCCATTAGAAAAACCGTTGGGCAATTCGTTGGCTCGTGAGCGATTTCTTCGTATTTGATTTTTAATTAGTGCTTAACGAGCGCCCAAAACGAAATTTTGTTTACGAATGAGAAAAGCCAAAAGCCCGTGAAACATGTGTCTAAATATCATCCTACACCCGTGGCTTCTAATGCGTCCATCAGCGTACATACATTTCTTTGATGTAACAAACAATGACCCATCGATGTTGCTGATGAAGGTGATTTGATAAATTTTGAACCATTAGCTGACTATTTAGCGGCATCGTCACTAAGAAATGAATTTTCTAGAAAATATTTTTCATCGAACAAAAGTTTTCATCGACTGTAAATATTTATTTAAATTTTCTTAATTTTATTTCATTAACATAACAACGTTCATTGGTAGTTCATCTCGTGTTTGTTTTCATTGTAAAAGATATAAAAATTTCGGCTGCTCGCAAGTCTTTTTCTTTTGAATTTCTAATTTTAACGAAGCTTCATTTCTCACTCTCGCTTTTAGTTTTCTCGGAGTCGAATGTGATTGACGTCAAAATTATTTAAAGCTTTCTTGATTAGTCATGCATAAACGAGTATTAGCTTATTGATGCTTGCAAAATCTTATTAAGCGCCTTTTTAAAAAACGGAATCGATTGACTATTCCTTCTACGAGATTCGCGTAGAATTTACACATTAAAAGGAGTTCTGCTAAACGATTGATGAGGCTTACCAAATGCCATTAACATTGCTTGACCCCTTTCACTGACCATTTCATTCGTCAATAAATTTATTTTTGATTTTTACATTTATTTACTCGATAAGCTTTTAAGAAGAAATTTACAAAGTTATCCACATGTGGTCATCCTTAAAACCTTGTTTGATGTCAGTTAGAGGAAGTTGATCTTTGATCGTTCAAATCTTTCTTACATTTAAATTTTTGATTCAATGAAAGCTTAGACGAGCGTTAAAATTATTAGCGACAGCTTTATTTGTTATCAAGAGAATTTAAATTATAATTGTCGGAAGAAAAATTAATGATGTCGAACTGACAACTTTGCATGCTCTTCAAGTTTCGACAGGTGAATCGATCAATTAATTACTTACGTCATAAAAGTTGCAAAGCAAAAATCATCAAACATTATATAAACATTAGCAAACATTTTTTTATGATCGTCTGGAGTGGAATTTTTTTGCTGTTACCGCAGCTGATGATGAATTGCTTGTTCCAGACACATCGATTAAAGATGTGAACTGCAAAGCAAAAGATTAAAAACCCAAATTTAGCCAAGGGCACTGACGTTAGGGTCGTCATTGTACCACCTTCTCAGAATTCCTGAATCACTGCACAAGACTCCAGAAAATTCCGAAATTGGTTATTAATTGATTGTAATTTATTTTATCTGATTCAAACATAAAATCTTCACCTCTACAAGCTTTGAGCTCTGCTTGAAAAAAACAGCAACACGATGATTCGAAATAAATAAAAAAATCGTTTTATGACTTTTGTCTGCGATCTTTGATTCAAGTTGCGAAGCTGCGAACCTCCAAAGCATAACCGAAAATTCAATTTTTGATTCGATAATAGGAGATTCGCTTTTTATTTCGCGCAAGAAACTTAAACAAAAGCGAAAATAATTCTGCGTGTTTAACAAATTGTGAAGAAAAGCGAATGAAAAAAATTTGTTTAATAAAAATTGAAAAGAAATCTGTTGAGCGAAACTGAAAAGCGAGTTATGTTTTACACGGCTCACTTATAACATAATACGATTGGGCATCTTTCGCATCAGCATCATCGTCGTACATTCAAATGATTCTTATCTTTGCAAATTTTTTGGTTTCGTTATTTCATCGTCTCGAGTCTGTTTCGTTAACAAAGAACTGGCTTTGTTGTAGGTAAAAATGTTGAGTAAGAAATTTAAATTTTAATTCTTCACTCGACGTTTTTGGCAATTGTGAAAAATCTTAATCGGAGGAATGTATGCAGATTATATTTCATCAGCCTGTAAGTACATATGAAGGGCTGATGATTCACTAAATATAAACGATGGTCACGATCATTCAACTGAATTTATTTACGCTGTTTTGTGTTCAACTTTAAGTCGGGAATTATTTTAAGATTACTGATCAAAGTCATTTCATTTTTGTACTGTAATCGAATGAAGACTTTGTACTCATCCGAATAAATAAATAATAATTTGGCGGGTGTGTGATTAAAAAATATGAGAAGATTTCTTGCTTTGTTGGAAGTTTACTTAAGACTTTTTCCTACATTGCCAGTATATGAATAAATATTCTTGACATTCGTCATGTTTAACTTACATAATTTAATATTCAAAACTCGACTTACTTCAAACAGTTTCATTTCTATAAGAGAACGTGGGATTAGAAGAAGAAACTTTTTCGCAATCGCAGTAACACTTAAAAGCGAAATAAGAAAATGATGAGCTGCAGAAATTTCAAACTTCTGTTTCTTGTCTCTTTCAGTAAAGCATAAAAGAAAATTAATAACACTTCTGTTGCTTACTTAATAATTATTTCTGTTTCTCAGACATTCGACATCAAAACATTCCTGGAAGTCATTCCACTCCCTCAATTTAAGTTTAATGAAGGATGTGCGCTAGTCTCTTTGTTGGTTAAAGTTTGTTGAGATTTAAATCTGCTTAAACCTTGACTATAAACAATTAATAGCTCATGAATTCAATTAATAATCACGATAATCAAAAGCTTGTTGTAAACACATGAGCAATGTTGAATTAATCACAGAGAAGCTCATTATCTCTTTGAAAGTTTTGAAACTGCGGGAATGTGAAGGCAAGAAAGAGTCAGAAAATGTCGTTAAGGTCATGACGATTAATCATATTAAAGAAATATTTCAGTCTTATCAACATTCACTTTTCCTTCGTTCAATCATCATAACATGAAAACGAATGAAATTAAAGACTCAATTTGATAGTTAAAGTCATCGTAATATTGACGTTGTTATGGCATTACAACCAACGATTCATCAATTTGTTGTTGTTGTTGTGTTTAAAGATGCAGGGAGAGAGAATGAAATATTACAGGCCAGCAACAAATAGAATGTTCAACCATCAATAACCGTAAAATATCGGCTTTTCAACTTTTCTTCTTTTGAGATGAGCGACACTGATCATGCCTACAATGACCTTAATAGAACTAAATGAATGAATGAGCTGCATGAAGCATACATGACGTTGGTCTTGATTATTCAATTTATCTAACAATGACTCAATTTCAATCGCTCAAAATGTAAGAATTTTGGATGAAATCAATGGAAAAGTTTAACTTTGATAATTTTAAATTATTTATGTTTCCTTTTGAGATTAATTCATTCGTCATTTATGTACATAAATATGTCTGCACACATTTATTTATTTATTTTCCTATTTGCGTAACAATCATCAAAGTCACATGAACCAGATTGCTTAAATTATTCATGAGTTTGTTACTCATAAGCATACTCGATATTAAATGTTGCTGTTGTTCGATTAATGAACTCACAAGATTGTTGTTTGTTATTGAATCGTTAGCACCTTGCCTCGAATGAGAGCTCTAATGAGAAGACTTTGTAACTCAAAAAAAAAAATTAACATTCACATGTTGAATGATCTTCGTTCGATAAATTCAACGAACTTCCACATTTCGTTTCCTGTCGCACAACACTCGTCCCTATGTGTCCTGTTTATCTTCAAAAAAATCTTTTTCTTGCATCCGACTTTGACGACTTGCATTTTTAATGAACTCATCTTAAGATTTTGTCAACAAAGTTTGTGTGAAAGGAAGAACACGAAATTTGAACTTGTGTTAGAATATTTTTGAATGGAAATTCCCATTTTACAGTTCCAAATGTCATTAACAAAATTTTTATTTGTTTGTTCTACTGAATTGCATAAAGAAATGTTCCAGTTGTCTTTACATCATTTCCCTTCCAGACCCTACTCGCAAGTAACATAAAAATCTATTTTTAAGTCAATTTCTTTCTTCTGATTCTTCTTGGAAACCTTTTTTCCCAAAATACACACATTTTATCTTAATGCCTTTCCTTAGGGTTTGTTTTTTGTTGTGTAAATGCCATGCAACAATAAAAGATTGTCTTCAATGCAAAAGACAGACATAAAGAAGAAGATTGAAGAACGAAAAGTATCAAACATTAACAGAATATTTTGATAAAAGCATCTCGCCCATTTATACCTTCTTAGTCTAATCTTATGCTCTTGTTCTTTTTCTCAACATCGCCCTCTCTCACTTTCTCGTCATATTATTTAATAATCATACTTCTTCTTTCCTTCTCTTTATTCCCTTCGCGTCTATAAACATCGCGTCTCGACGCTCTTTTTCTTTCTCATCTATTGTGTAATAAACATGAAATTTAATCCAATACTTGGATACCTGTAGCGTTCTTTTGGCCGCGATCATTTTAATTTGATTTAATAAGTTTTTCTCGTTTCGTTTCAATTTTTTTTTCCTTTTTCCACTTTTTGAGATTGCCACATGTCAATCATCCAGCACAAGGCTTTTAATTAAAGACTGTCGATAGTTCAGGGAGATTTATCAAGCTGTGTTGACTTCAGAACCAGTGGCAACTCAAACCATAATCCTTCCACAACATTGTAGGAACTCGCTTGAAAGATTAACAAACAAAAAATCTGATCAAAACGGTGGAATGAGACAACAAAAGTTCTCGATCGCGTGATGTTTATTTCTAATTTCATGAACTTATACTTCTTCATCTGGGAATCTTAAAATTTGAATTTAATGCGATTGAATCATGCAATAAAGAAGCATCTGAAAGACAATTATTCAGATTTTTCTTTATTTTCAAACGAGAAGCTTTACTCCTCTGATCACACTTTATTATGCTTCAGCCTCATAACTGCATAAAATACATTCAACATAAATTTACAATCGTGTAGTGAGCTTGAGAAGAAAGAAAGAAATAATTTTTAACTTATTTACTTAATCAAGTTATAAATGAAACCATAACCGAGCAATTTCAAGGCATTGTTATGATGATTATAAATATAATTTCTATGTCAACTCTTCCACTGAATTCACAAGATTTAACAAAGATCAAATGTGCACAAAAGTCAAAGAAAGGTTACCAAGTTGCATGCTATCAAAGGCCTTAAGCAAGCAAATTCTTTTCTGTTTCATTCGGTCGGTCGTTGAAATAAATCTGATGTGAGATTGTTGAAACTTTAACTGAGAATTCAACACGGAATGTTCGAATCAACCTTGTTCGAGGCGAGTTTTATTCAAATCATAAGCCTCATTTTTATTGCTGTTACAAATGCCTGTTCTACAGCATAAATATTTATTAAGAAAAGAAAAACATATTTTATGTTATTTCTTCTTGACAACAAGAAACGAATGAGATAAACTCGTTGTTGCTACTTTCAACTCGAAGCTTCTTTCTGGAATTCTTGTCACACATAATTTCCATAGCTCTTTCTCCACGCTAGAAATTTTTTTTCCCTTCTCGCGCGTAACAAATTTTTGAGTAATTGTTAGACTTTTTTTAATTTTAGTACGTTTGAAACTAATCTCGAACCTTTCTTGATAGTTGAGACTTTAAATCTTCTAATGATTGCAGTGTCGTGGTCTTAAATTTTCATAAAACATCGAAACGCTTAAGTGTTCAACACAGAACCGCCTGCTGTTTATGTCAATTGCCTGGTTTATTAATTAACAAGAAACAGATTCCATCTTACATCTGTTTGACCCCACGAAAACATCGTCCAATCGAAAAGCATGTGTAAGAAACTTAAAGAATCGTCATTAATTATGGGTGGTGTGTGCTTTAGAAACAATAACACATTCGGAGGCATAGCGAATGAATAAATCAACTCATCAAAGAAAATCCAAGAAAATTTACATTTCATTAACAATTTAAAAGAAAAGAAACTAGTTGGAGACGCTTTGCAATGCTTTAATGTCCATAAGTAAGTTGACCAGCGCCTAAGCAATTAAGATTCAACCAACGAACGTCAATGATTTTGTCGTAAATATTTCAAAAAAATTGCTTAAACCTCAGGTTCGTTATAGCAACATAGACATACATGAGATATGTCTAATAATAAATGACTACAATTATTATTACCCGCAATTGCGAAGGTTAAAAAGGGAGAAAAGTATTCGCAAAAATATTTCAGTTGTTTGTAGTTGGTCAAGCGAAGGCCACAACTCGGACAAAGGAAGTTCATCAACGATATTGAAAGTCATTTTAAGGAGACTTCTTGTCATTTCTATAGCCTGCAATTACATTCAATTAATAGCTTGCATGTCAGAGCATCGGAATCTCGTCTGCTTAAGAAGCTATGAACGTTGAAAAATTTTATCTACGTTTTAATAATAAGTGAAACGCACTTTTTTACTTCTTTTTTTCTTCTTCATGGAAACAACAATGGACTCAATTTCGATTATAAATAATGCAAACACACCCAATTGTCTCGGGGCTGGCAAATAAAACCAAAATATCGACATGACAATGAATTATGTACGAAGAGAATACTTAAAATGGATGTGATCGTGTTGAAAGAAACAAAATATTATGAACATTAACTTTTAAATGAGTTGACGACGTTTGCAAGCAAGAAAACATGAAGAAAGTAGATGAACTTTAAAGGGAACACGAACCATTTCTGTTTTGCTTTTCGCCCTCACGTGAAAATAATTTACAAGCGCATTGACGAAATAAATGCGTAGCTTCACCCTAAATAAAACTTTATTAAAAATTACGAGGCTGTGAAAGTCTCACGATGTGATTTTAAAATGCAAATACGACTCATTATTATGCATTAATGAAGTTTTTATATTTTCCCTTTTGATTTATCAAGTGAATGAGAAAATCTCTTGACAAAAAGTCTCGTCGCGTTGTGAATGTCGATTTGTTTTCAACTTTTATTGTTTGATTGTGCATTCTAATAAGAAGCTTAAGATTAATTCTCAATTGTATGAAAGATCCGAAGTTCGACTCGTTCGTGTTTGACGTCATCTCGATTGGAAGTCGAGTCAGTCAAGGGAAAATTGAGTCAAAACCCTTGTGACTGGCATGAAATTCAAATTCCCCTATCGATTTATCTGTTTGAGTTTATTTTTGGTGCGTGATTTTTATTCTAAACTTACTTTCTCATGCCGTCGTTTGAGTTGAATGAGTGAATGTTTAAAATTAAACGAGCACACTAAGCCACCATCAACATAAATACCCAAACAAACAAACATATAAGCACTCGAAAGAATGCATTTTTAATTACATTTGAAAGGCGTTTTGTTTTTATTTTTCTTTTTTCGAATGCTTATCGTACGAGTACAAATGCCGAAACGTATTAATACAAATCACAATTCAGTGATGTACTCAGAAAAAGATTCATTAATTCATTCTCTTGAGTTAAGGAATGATTGTGCAACATTCACGCGAATTAAAATTCCGTTTCTTTCACTCCACACCATTCGACAAAATAAACATTGTTATTCCGATTAGACACCTGATTACTCAACACATTTTTACATCTTAAGAAATATTTGAGTATTGAGACTTAAATCTCGTCTCAAACTCGAATTCAAGCTCGAGACGGAATAAAACAACCAAGTCACGAAAAGTCAAACACGAGGCTTTCAATGAGATTTCTTACGCGATCAGTTACAAAAGATAACACATCCTGAAAACAACAAGCACTCGTACTCAATGTTTAATTGATTTATGGCAACTTTCAAGCATATTCGCAATTGTTTTCAGTTCAAAGAAGACAAAACAATACAAATGATAGATTATGTGGTACACCCACAGAATCAGAAGTTCCCAAAAGCCCAACAGCCGTTTATGTTAAACGCTTTTCATAACGAAGACCAAGAGAGATTATCTCTCGTTTCAGAATTGGTTAATTTGTTTTCTGTTGCTTCGTTTCACCTCCCAGAATGATTTATTACAAAATGATTATTATAATTGTACGTGATTACTCTACAAATGCTAACCAATTCTTTTCTTCTTCATTTCATTCTCTCATTCACAGAAATTTTAATTAAATCATGGAGAAAACGCCGAAGAAATGGTCATTGGGAAACATATTGTTTCGGAAGAGTAAGAAAGATATCCCGCAGGCAGATTTCAGTTCAGACGAAGAAGATAGAAAAGCTGGTTTCGGCAATGACTTTGTTAAGAAGTCATCAACAGGGAAAGTCAAGAACAGCAAAAGCTTCGATCAGCAGCAATATTCAGTGGCGAGTAATCCTGAGTTTCATTATTTCAAGCCAACAACAATACAACAGCAGCAACAGCCACAGTTGCAGCCTCAAGTCAATCATCAATATCGACAACCGCAAATCTATGCTAATCAAAATAACTTGGAGTTTGTTAACAATCAGATAAATCTCGAGAAGAATCGACTTGCACAACCACAATATATTTACAACAATAATTATCTACATTACCAAGGCTCATCACAAGATGAGAAATCATCGTATAACTCATTGTCGTCACCAATAAATAAAGATGGAAGTGAAACGGGAAGTCGCACAAGTTTAAATAAGCGAACGCGTGCTGCAAGAAATGAACGTTACTACCAGCGGATAATGCGAGAAGACGGTCGACCTTTGACGGTTTATGGCAGTGTAAATTCAATTGAAAATCACAAATATCAGCCGTCATTAAACGGAGCTCAAAACAGACTTTCGGCATCGATTAAAAGCTCATCATTGTGTAGTTCGGACTTTACTTTGCCACTCAGCTCCACGCAATCTTATAGCCTCCCAATTCCAAGATATCGTGGCAATGTTGATGACGATAAAGATGATTATGAGAATATTCATGAGATTGATGAGTCAGTTCCACCTCCAATTCCACCACGAGATCCAAATCGAAGATTCTCAATCAACAGCACATCTGTAAGTCAAAATCCTTACTACTTCGACAATGCACTTCAGAAATATGTCATCTTCAATACGAATGGAAAATGTTTTAGCGACGATAAATTGTGGAAAAACGACAGCGACTTGAATCGTCCATTAAAAGGGGAGAAGATTGACATGAAACCAGATATTCTTATACCACGATCACGACGACCACTCAACATAAACACCAATCTTGATAACGAATGTGTCTTAAGCTCTGAAGACGTTGTCGATAATCCACGCTATTCATACACAAATCAAAGTAAACGTTCGAAGAGTGCAATTGATTTTGAGAAGCTTATGAACGAACCTGTTCGATTGAACAAGAATCCATTACGTCAACGAAATCTCACAAGTATTGAACCTATTCGATATCAACCGGTGCAAGTTCCACCAGAGACGGACGATTTACAAGCATTGCGTAAGAAATATTCATCATCAGATGATGTGAACAAGAATAAGTTGAACATGAGATCGAATCAACCTACAACAAGTCTCACCACGCCTGGCTCCAGAAAGTCTTTTAATGCCATGGATTTAAAAGTGAAAAATGGTAACGTGAGCTCGAATCTCGATGATGCAATCAATGAACTTGAGATGATGTATAAGAATTTAATGAAAGATGAGAATCAGATGGAGCGTGTAGAGAAACGCGATGTCACGACACCCACGAAATTCTCTGCGATGATGAGAAAGTACGAAGAATATGAAGCTGAAGAGAATAAAAACGATAAGGAACCTGACATTCTTGCTGACGATGTCTTCTCAAGAAACTTAAAGCATGCCAATCAATCTCTCAAAGCAGCTGAACCGTTGCCATTTGGTATTCCCAATCAAAAGCTTTGTCCAATTCCACCCAAACCAGCACAAGATTATCTGTCAGTTGAACCAATTCAAATGAGAAAAACTTTAATTGCAGCACAAAATAATCCCGATTTAGTTGCTGATGATTTGGCAGTGAGAAATTTGCGTAAAGATAATCCGAATTATGGACGACGACGCAACTTAATTGAGATTGATAATAATCACTTTATGAAACGTAACCACACACTTTCATCACTTTCCGACCATATCTACAATGGAATCTTGAAAGACTCAGCAAAGCCATCGGGTGGAAAGTTGGAAGACTATTTACAACTCGATCATGTGAAACCAACACGAGATGTTGAGAATAACAACAATAAGAACAAGAGAAATGATTTAAACAGCGTTGAATTCGAAGCAAGCTTGAATGCATTGGTCATTGAATCGAAAGCCATAAGCCAAAAACTAGAAAAAGATTTATCAAAATTGAAACGAGAATCTGTTACTCCAAACCCTCCAAAGACTCTTGTAAATTTATTGGACTTTAGAAAGTCATTGGAGCGTGAAAAGGAGAAAAAGTCGACGTCAAGTTCACCGATAAAAATTCTTCAAAACTCGCAAGACGATCTTTTAAAGCCGAAAGTTGCTATGACATCAACGGCATGTTCACCAATTAAAGAATTTTCTGCCACAGTGGTGCTTCAGCCAGTTGTTGCTGATATTGTCAAAAGTCAATCACCGAAACAACAAAAAGCAGAGAAAATTGAGAATTTGATAAAAATGTTCAACACGAACATCTCGCCTGAGCCTGTTAAGAAAACAAAAGCCGTGGTTGAGAAGCCGTCAAGAAAATTATCGGATTTGACTGGGATGTTCAGCAAAACAATTGAAGTTGAATCCACAAAGCCACCGACACACACTCCGGTGAGAAAGACGCGATCAAATAATGATGTTGAGAAGCCGGTGGTGATGAAAGAAGTCGAGAAGTTCAGTTCGGTTGTTGTTGCTTCACCGCCCCCCAAGCTTATAAGCCCTAAAATTGTGAGTCCAACAATCATGAAGCCTAAACTTGTGAGTCCCAAAGTCTTAACGTCACCGAAAGTGAAAAGTCCCATTGAAAAGGTTGACGTTGAGTCTAACATTAATAACATTAAAGAGCTTATTCAACAAATGAAGCAGACGGGATTCGATAAGAATCAGCAAGAGACAACGAAACCAGATATTTTGAAACCAGCTCAAAACGACTTGCCGGATTATGACAACATCAAAGACGATTATGAGATGACTGACGGTCGATTGGAGCGAAAGTCTGAAAAGATATCAAAACCAGACGTCGTGGAGTCGCCATTGAAAGTGACGATTCCTAAAGATCATTCAGATGTTGATGACAATTCACCAGAAGTCAAGTCAATCACAACCACGAGCTCGTCAATGTGTGAAACGTCAACCGAGAGTGCATCACCGAAGTCAGATTATGTTGACGCATCAGCTGCGATTTATCAAGATGCCATTAACTTCTTACACGAAACCGCTTCAAAAACGTCACTCGAGAGTGAACATAAATCACCCATCAAATCAATCCGACAAGACAAAGACGTGGTTTTGGGTTACATCGATAAAATCAACGAAAGTATTGTGACTGTCAAGAAGAGTGAAGAATGTGAGGCAAGCCCGAAAGCAAATGTGAAAGAAAGTATTACAAAATTGGAGAGTAAAATCTCGTTGAGTCGGCAGAATTCTGAATTATCGGAACAATCAATTCCAACACCGAAACTTCCTTCAACACCAACTCACATCAAACCCGTTATTCTACCTAAAGTCGGTCCATCCGATACCGAATCACTTTATAACTCAAGCGAAGAACTTTCGATGATCTTTGGCATTGGCGAAGCACCGTCTTCTACTGCCATTGCCGCACAACCAGCAGGTAAAATTATCGAAGAAGATTTTGAAGCTGAATTTGAAAAGATTGCGCATGATGACGACATTGTTGATGATAAAGTTTTAGATGAGAGTTTTAATGTGACGCTTATAGATCTTAATAACAATAACACTGAAAGTCTCTTCAATGAACTGAGTGAGATGTCGAATGACAACTCTGACTCGAGAAGTGCTGACGATGTTTTCGATGCCGCGTGCTGCAGTAATGACGCCAATAACAACAACTTAACAGCGAGTGATTTGAGTAAGCTTAAAGAATGCCAAACTAATCAAATGATTAACAGAAAGCCCAAAGCAAGCACTTCTAACAGTAGCTCGAGCAACTCAAAGAATTCTGGCAGCAATACAAAGTCAGATAATTCTTCCACTTCCACTTCCACTCCACCATCTCCCTTAAAAGCCCAATGCATTTTGTTGGCTTGCGTTTATTGCATTATGCTTTACTTGCAGTTCATTATATTCAATTTTAAATCAAGTTAGAAGAATAATCCAATTATCTCGTTACTATTAAATAGATTTTTGAAAGTAGAATTTTATTTTATTGTTTAACTTTTTTTATTTTACCTTATTGTAAGTTTATAAGATTTTATGATTAAATTTTTTTTGCACTCGTAACTTTTATTGCTATGGATGTGAAACTAATGTTCATGTTGTAATCGTGCGCTACGTGAAGCCTAATACGATGTTGTGAAAATGTTGATTCGATAGTCAATCATCGTTAACTTAACTTTTCTTTAAACAATACAAAAAATATTTCTGAACATGAGAACGAATTAATCTGATGCCTTAATGTGATAGCTTTTGGAGATTAAATTGACTGCTTACCTGCTTTGATTACTGCAATTTCTTTCTTTTCTTTTTTGCAAAACTTTCATTCATTTCCATCGCATAATATAAACAAACATCCCGCAATGAGATTTTCTAATTTGAAGTGTTCAGTCAAGCAGCAGACAATTTTTCATTTTTAATTCTTGATTTCTCTTGAAACAAGAGAAATTTGGAGCTAATTTGCTACAGAAAAAAAAAATCAACAATCGCCGCCTCGTTGGGTGTCAATTTCAACTTCGTTTTGAAATATGAGATCGCAAAGTTAGAGGATAAACCGACGTCAGATTCGTCATCACTGATAAAAATTTGTCATTTGTTGGTTCTGCTGTTGTGTCGTTGCATGCGACGCTCACATGACTTCAATTTTTTTCCCCCTTCAAAAACTGTCAAATGACAACTAAAATTTATTCGTTCGAAGTCATTGGAAGGAAGGAAAAACGTTTTGTTACCGATCGCTTTTAAAAATCCCATGAAACTTGTGCATCAATATGACTTTATCACGTCGCGATTTTATTTTATTTTTTCTTTCCTTTTCGACTTGTTTGCAAAGCTGGAAATAATGAAAATAAAATAAAAAAATCGATTCAAGATTAATCGGATGAAAGCACACATTTCGCGAAGTTGGCACGATATTATGCGATATTTTATTGTGAAGCTTAAATATAAAATCGGCAAAAGGAAAAATTAAAATAACAGCGAGGACAGAGAGAAAACGTAAGACGAGAAAAATGTATGTTAATGCTACACAATTTAGCGAAGTCGCTATGACAGTTTGATCGATTAAAATTGGTTCAGAAGGCAGACCCAGCAGGACAGCAACATATCAATAGCTGAAAATAAATTAAACATATTTTCATAAGTTTTAAATTCATTCCCTTGTCGAATCAAGAAAGAAGCAGAAAACTTTCACTTCTTTTAAACTGCTTGCTTGTCATCAACGAAAGCCGGCAGAAATGCTTTTCAAGATGCAGTCTTAAGGGCCACCGCAATAAATAAATGTGATTCCTTTCAGCGAAAGAAAAAAAGTCATAAACACTCTTTATGTTGTGCTTGAATTTATGCTCTTAAGTAACTTTCATTTTGCGCCCCAAGAGAAGACAGAACGAGTCAAGTAATTGAACTACACACATGATTGTTGTCTGTACTCGCACGATTTTATAACAACGAATGTCACCTTTCTGTCTTACTCAGCTGAACTCAACGACATGATACAATAAAGTCATAAACATAATCGTCTCGTACTCACCAAACACGACTGTTATGTATGCAGATAATTTATTTCATGATCCAGACGAGCTTTGACTTCGCATAAATATAAATTTTTATGAAAATTTAAAAAAAAGAAGAAAAAAAGTTGCAAGGCCAGTTTTTATGTTTCATGATGAAAATAAAAATCTTTCCTCGTTGAAATGAAATGATTGATGTTGCAAAAAAGAAATGAAGAAATGAAGAGTGGAGAAATTTTTCGCACACACCTAACATTTATTGCAAATTATGTAATTCCGCTCCCAAATACGTAAAAGGAAATGCTTCACATAGTCTGACGATGAATAATTAATTCTCTACTCTGCTATTACAGCCAGAGTTGGGATTTGACTGACTGACTGACAGACATTGACTTGTCAGTCAGTCAGTCAAACGACTTGAGCGGAACATTTATATGAACGTTTCCCAACAAACGTATATTTTTGTTCGCGATTTTGACTGACTGACTGACTGACTGACAGACATTGACATGTAAGTCAGTCAGTCAATCGAGTTGAACGGAACATTTGCCCATCTCTGATTACAGCTTGCAATGGGAAAATAACAAAAACATAATAAAACTTCAACAAGAAATTCATTAATCTTTCAACTATGTACATTTGACCAATGCTCAATAAATTTATGTAAAAAATTTTAATTATTATTAATCTCGATTAACAATTTTTACGATGATTGCATGAAATTGCATTGTCGACATTCAAATATCAAAACGATTTCATTTAACGATAGCAATTAGTTGGAACATAAGACAATAGTTCGTTCCAATGATATTGAGCAATGATCGAAATGTACTAGTTGATCAACAATGCTAATAAATCGTTTCGTGTGCCACTTTCATCCATAGATGAACTTGAAGCAGCATAAACACAAAACCCAACAATTCAAAAGCATTTGCATTATGTGCAGTGTAATCATCATTAAAAATGCTTCGTGTGCCGACTACAACATGACGAACATTACTTAATCGCTTCAATACATTGTAAAGACATTATAGATGTAAATTATCTATCACCAATAAGATTTTTATTGTAAATGATCGCTTAATAAGATATTCGTAATTTCTCTACGTGCCATAAACGTCGTGACCTAAAATTGCATGTTTTCTGATCATCGGATGATCCACGATGAAAGATGACAACGGCCGTGTCATAGTGAAGAAGGTTCGAACGTCTGCTCAATATCGAAAGTTGCTTAATCAATAAAATTTCATGTGTTAAATGTTACCTCACTTTATTGCAATAAATATGAGTTTCTCTCGGTTTTTCTTTCACTTCATTTTGAATCTTCGTGATTCGAAGAGGAAGACAAGTGCTGCAAAAATCCATGATGAACTTTTTCTTTTCTTGAAAATTAAATTGATTCATTGAATGATTTTTATGTGGCAATTATGAATCATTAATATTTTTGCAATAAAATATTTATCAGTCACTTGTTTTCACTTTAAACATTCACCTCGTATTTATTGCTGTAATTTCTTTTCTGACGATATACGTAAATTTAATGACGCTGTTGATGGTTTTTTATAAAGCAACCGAGGGACAAAGGCACTGAAGAAACTTATTTGAGAGTTTAATTTGTTACCGAAACTTAAATACAAACACAAAAAGAGAGAAAAAGCTTTACGATGAAAGAAATTTATGATTTTTTATGATGTTAACTTCTAAAGTGTATGAAATTAATAACTTAGAAAATTGGACTTACTTAATAAAAAAAGAGTTTTATGTTCGTTAATTTATAACTTTTTTTGTGTGTATGCTTTCCTTGAGAGTTTTTTTATTCGTTTTAATAAAACAGTAAAATATGAAATTGAAATTTTTGATGTTTTCTAGCTGCCGGCTAGTGAATGTCTAGATATTTGTTATCTATGCCTTAATTCTGCATGTATGCTTTTTTTCAGCTAACTAATGTCTTCACTGTTGTTTACTTTTCAATGCTAAGTACAATGAAAGTGAGAAAGTTTTCCTCAATCAAGACAAACATTTTGGTGAATGACCTTAAACAAGACAACGTCTGTCTGATCATTCAAAGAAAAAGAAACATTTTGCATGACTGATTTACTGTTGAAAAGTTAACAATTTTGTTTTTCATTCACATTCATTGATTACAAGTTGAACTTTGTCACTTTGACTTCTATCAAAACATTTTACATTAGATACAATGAATTTGCATTTACAAAAATATGCTTGTCAGTCACAAATTTGCTTCAGATTAATATGATTTTCATAGGATTTAATAGCTAGAACGACTTGGCTTGACGATCACACATCATTTTCATGTATCCACCCACAAAAATTATTTTTAATTTTCTTCGCTCAACTTCTTTTCTTATTTTTTTTCTTTCCGGAATCTTTTCGTATTTACCGTCATCAATGTTCTTCTTGCTTCGATGTAGAAGCAACTTTATTAGAGCTAGAAAAAACGCTGTTCGAAGCCACTGCCAAGTTTACCTCTAATCCTTGTAACACCAAATGTAACGCTACTCAAGTAATTGCTACTCGTGATAATTGCATATTAAACAGTCCGCTATCAAAAGGTCGTGCTGTGATGTGTAAATATGATGATGAGATGACTCAAAAATAATAATGATAAGCATAATGTCATGTGTTTACAGAATGAAAGGAATGTCCATTGCATCAACCGCGACAACATCAACAACCGACGCATGTAGCATTGTCCAAGTATTTAATTTATAGCCGATAACTTTCTTGAGTTGTAGACGTAGTCGTCATAAATATGCCATGTAAAATTCAAAGTCATTGCCACCACGATGACAACACTCACGATGTCAACGCAACACATCGCACAGTAATTTATGAAATCTTTTTTAATTGATTGATTGTATTCAGTGACCCGTTAGAGCAGTTCATAGAATATTATTAGTAAATATGAAAAGGGCGATAAAAGAGCTTTCCATCAACCCACATTTTTGAAGCTTATTTGACTCTAATTTCGATTTTTCATTGTTGGGTGTGCCAAAGAATCAACTCATCGATGTCACTTAATTCATCCATAAAAGAATCATAGCAATAAATTATGACGATAAAATTTTATTCTTTTGATTAATTATTTCATTCATTTCATGTAGCGTTGTGTGTCATTCTTGAGAATCTTTTAATTATTGCTCGAAAACATTTATTTTTGTTTCCCAAAAAAGTCATTAGAAGTTCATTTGCATCAAATAAAAATATCATCAAAAAACATTTGTCGAAACTCTTTTTTCTTTCATCTCAACTTCCTCTTTGCAACTGGGTGAATTGATCTCAAAATAGAATGGAAATTTGGGAAATGTGGGTGGTCGTGTGGTGACTGAGAGAGCAGAAAATTAAAATAAAATAAATTATGAAAACTTTTCCGATGAAATTGAAATGATTTTTATTTATTGAGAGAGATAGGAAAATTATTTGAGAATTTCCAATGAAATTTGACAGATTTTCAATAAGATTTAAGATTTACAACTTTCATCATTATATTTCCATGAGATTTTCCTTCGTTTTCAGTCAAATCTGTTTGACATTGAAACCTTCAATCGATGATTATTTATTTAATGCTTCAAAATCTTTTTTTATTATAAACAAGTTGTGGATGTTTTAAATCAAGAAGTCAAGAAATGAATTCTTCGATTCGTCACAGTTTTAACTTCCAGAACGAATACATTTCAAGGGTAAAGTTTATTGCTTAAACGCCGGGATATAATTTTATGATTTTCCTCTTGCATTTACGTCGAATTAGTACCAGAAATTGAAAAGATCAGAGGAGGAGACGTTTGGTCTCTTGTCTTGCATCATCGGACTGAACTTATGAAGCCATTTATAAAACAAGCCGAGTTTGAGAGATGAGATGATGAAAATTGATCGCCTTTTCGCGCTCTCAATAACATTCATCGGAGAATTTCGCTGGGAAAAGTTCTGTGTAGTCAGGAAAATAATTTTTGGCGATCGTCCCATAATCTATTTTTACAAAGTTTACGAGATGTGTTTTAATTGATAAGTCAGGGCTTGTAGGAGATTTAATTTCATGTTTAGCTTTCAATATGTCGTTTTAATCTTGAATAACTAGAAGCAATCTCATGTCTACCCTGTTTGGGATTCTCCTTTCTCGCCGATCAACGCGGAAAGATTTCATCAACTTTCTTTCTTCTTACGAAGACTCACGAACCGTTTCCAAGACATGCATGACGCGAGACAAGAGTCAGGAGATGTGAAATGAAAACTATTTTTGAGTGAACACACACTCGGGTTCATGAGCGGCACAGAGTGTTTGATGAAGTCAGCCTACACGATTTTCGCTATTTTCCGCGAAAAAACAATTTTCACATTTTGTGATCGTTTCAATCCGAAAAAATCTTTTCTTTCAGTTTTCTCTTCTACGTCGAACAGGGAAAATCAAATAAAAATCGATTATTTACTTCTTGAGATTAAAATTTTCCACAGAGAGTTAAGAAGAAGTTTGAGGCTTGTTTACAACGATGACTGACACTGGAAATTATTGTGATGATTTTAAGTGACATGAGTAGTTAATGAGGATTATTTAAATTACTTGTGAACATTTAAATAAGATTAAGTTTGAGAAGAATCGACATAATGGATGACAATGAAAGCAAATCAAATATTCGTGGTAATAATTCTCAATTTTCTATTTCGAACTAACATCGGAAAAGTCAAAATGTGATACAAAATAAAAAGAAAATTTACACACTTGCTACACTTATTGAGATTTGAACTTTTCATTGGCTAACTTTTTAAATAAGAATATGAAAACATTTTGTTTTCACTCCCCCGCCACTTCCTTTCATCCGCATCATTCATAACAAAACTCATTTTGCTTGCATCACAACCAACAGTCATTTGTAACGAACACTTTTACAGCTGCCGTAGTTGACGGCGACTTCACGCTTATTTATTGCACAAGTGTTTTCTCAAAAAAAACTTTCTGTGTGAAATGTGACACAGAAAAAGCAAATTTCGAAGACTAATTGGCGCATTAAACCGTTTTAGATTTAATCAGTGCATCGTTAATAGCTCCCGACAAACGTAAATGTGATGACAACAATGACAATATTGCGACTAAAACTGACATGGAACAGCCATCTTCAAAGGATGAAGAAACTAACGAGGAGAACACTGACACGAATAAAATTAAACCCAAACAAATGGTTGGACTTTTCCCTCTCGATCTTCGATCGGAATTGAAACTGCGTGTTGGTGGTGGCAAAGCTGGATTTAGTCTTAAAAAATCGACAACAAATGTTGACATCTTCGATAAAAAGCCCAAAAGTGATCCAATTCCTATAAAATTACCTGAAGCAAAGATCAACCGTCCAAGTGACTTATTGAAGTCACTTCAAGAGAAACAAAGTCAGAAGACGGTCGCAAAAGATGACAGCGATGATGAGGGTGGACAAGAAAATCTTTCATTTAAAGAAAAGCTTCAACTTATTGAACGAAGTAGCAGCAAAAATCTTATTACTCCTTTGTAAGTATTCGAATACATTTAAATAGCTTAAAACGACAATAATGGAAATGTTTATGAACATGAACAAAGTAGGAAAAAATCTTGAGACAGAATTCAGTGAAGGTCGACAGAGTCACGTGTTGCGCAATTAATTCTCTCTCATGTTGCTGCTGACACGAAATCCTATTTATTTAAAATAATCTCATGAGAGTCAGTAATTAATTCATTTATGATAATTGACGGGTTGAAATAATTCCAGCAAGCTTTTCATATTTTTTGTTCATAGAACCGTGTAATTTGTGTTACCATTTTGAGATCTAATTATCAGGTACTTGCTTCTGATTCAGAACTATTCATTGACAAGGTGATAATTGAAGAATTTTAGAATTTTCTCAAGATTTATGAACGCCAATAATGAAGAAAAGAGCGAATTAAGCGAAACTGATGAAATCTCCGAAAAAAAGAAACAAAAAAGGAGAATAAATTATTAGTTCAATAGTTCAAGTCTGAGTCTATATAAAAAGTTTAAATAAATCTACACAAAGCATTTATTTGTCTTCATCACCATCCAACACTGTCGGGTTGGCTGTCTCGATCTGCCCCTAAATCGCTAAACAGTCACTTTTAGTGCGGTTCACCTTGAGAGTTGAATTGTTAACTTGTTATTTGAAATAAAGCTAACATTTAACATCAGCAATACAATTAACAGCGAAAACTATATGAGTTCAATATATTTATGGCAGTTCCATGCAAACTTATATGATTTACAAGACTTTTTTGTATGAACCTGTCGCGTACGATCAACAATGGAATTTTTTGCGGAATTTATTATTTGTTGAGATTAAGACTCTTGAGAAAACATTGCGACGACGATGCCTTGTTTGAAACTCAATTAAGAAATTACAACATTTCTGCATTTATGACACAAATTTATATTTCACTTGTTTTCTTTCTTTCTTCTACCTGCTGTGTTGGTTTTAAACTTTAACAAAACCATTTTGTCATAAACATTAGCAACAAATAAAAGAAAACAAGAAGGAAGGAAAAAAGTCGTAAATTTTACCTAAATGGAAATCAATTTGAGTTTTATGATGCACCAGACAGATGGGTTTTTAAGATTCTACTTGAAACATGCAAAAATGGAGAATTTTTGATGGATGACTCAATATTTAACAATTTTAGGAAAAAAAAACCTTTTACAATCACAGATTGATTCTCATGACAGATAGAAGTGGAATGTAGGCTCAATAATATTTTTTCTCTTGATGTGTCGAACATAGATAAATTGTCAGATATATTAATTGAGTATTGAAAATTGAAAATTTTGCTGCTTCAAGGATGAAACTCAACAGTTGAAGAAACTAATTATATAAATCAATTATGAAACGTGACATATCCATTATTTAAGAAATGAAAAAACAGCAGAAATTAAACTCTGAAATGCTTAATGAATATTTAATTGATTTGCATTCATCAATTTAACGCATCATTTAAAAACAATTTGAAAATCACTGCACGTGTGAAAAATACGTTACGAAAAATTTCAAATTCCCAAAGTGAGATGGTTTGTGTCTTGGGTATTCCAGTATTCCAACAACTATTCCAGTCTGAAACAAACTTTTTTTTGTTTACAAACTCATTCGGTTCTTTCACTCGGTCGCGCGAGATTGATTTAATTAATTTGTAGTATTTTTTGTGTGCTTTATTTTTTATCCTAAAGAATATCGGTGTGGAAGTGATTCATAAACATTGATAGACCATAATTAGTCTCTTTTGACATCAATAACACTTAAAAATCGAAATTTTCAATTTTATATTGACTGATGAATTATTGATTTTTGATATTTGCCGTCGCCATAAACTTAATGTGGACTTAAGTCATTTGTTAGAAGTGATGTCAGAACAAATGTAAAGAATTAATTAGAAGTGGTTTCAAGAATTCACGAGAGTATACGAAAAGAAGGTAAAACAGAAGTAAACAAGAAAACGGGATGAATTATGAAATAATGTTCATTAATTAGCTTATAAATCTCCATCATCAATAAATATCCAAAATAAAACCGGTTTATATAATATAAAAATGCTTTCGCTTTGAAAGTTCAAGACGTTGTGTGCGGTTACGTAAATGATGAATCATCCCTCGTAACGTAATTATTCCATTCTTAGAACAATTTAAAGAATTCTCAAGAAAATCTGTGTCGAGCGCATAAAAAGAAGACATTTGTGATTAGACTATAAAGAATGTTTTAATGTTAAACGATTACAAAACACACTCAGACTCACATTAGTAATCTATAGAAAGTGAATTTGATGGGTTGGTTTTTCCATAATTATGGAAATAAATAAATAAGAAAAACAGACAGAAAAGAGAAGAAACAAAGACACGATTCATTGATTTTCTCTTCTTTCTGTTTTGTTACTTATGTCTTTAATTTCATTCAGTAACGGCGAAGATAAAACCATCTGGATCTGTCGGCCTTTAACAAAACAATTACGACGCGCGCCAATTCACTGAACTGCTGTAATTCAACAATCAAAGCATTATTAAAAACAAAACGAAAAGTGAGATCTGAGCTCGTATTCACTTTCGATTTTCACGACTTTCTTAATTCGTCAATCATTGAATTATCATTTTCAACGCAAAATGCGAAAATTTCCTTCACAACATAGTTCAACACATTTCACACATTTAATTTCATGGCGACCTTCAATGTGACGCTTCGAAATGGTGTTGTGCTCGAAGCACAGCATATGGTCGTTCGTATACTAATTTCACTGCTCAAAAGAGAAAAAAAATCATTAAAGTTGATTGCTTAAGCTTAATTGGAATGTTGAGATGAGGATGGATTCGAAAATTTCCGCAAATCACATCATCACTACCAGATTCATTTCTATCGGATAATTAAAGTCACTCATTTGTGATGCAATTACATTTCAATGCAAATCTACAGCCATGTAATAACATTTGTTACGCGATTGTACATAATTGAAAAAAAACATTGAAAATTAGTCAGGGTTGGCGAATGAAAAGCGTTCACTCACAGCTTGATTTCGTCTTCTCACAATCTCCACATCTGATTTCTTCATTCATGTCTAATACTCCATGTGCACATTTTAACATGAAATGATTTTTTTTTGTCTTATTCACGTTTAGTAAACAACGAACGTTAAAGTCGCGAGAAGTGAGAACAAGAAATTTTCTTTCATTGTTGTTTGATTTTTTTATCTTTCCATTCGATTTACTCCCAAGCGCGTCGTGCCTTCAGATAAAGAAAATCTGAATTGTTATCAGTAAAAATAAAAAATTGTGCAACGGATTTGTAGGAAACGACGCGATTTATGTAGAAAGAAGAGAAGATTCTTACTTACACCATTATCAACAGGTGTTTGTAGACTCACGACATTCTAAACTCGTTTTTCCTGCTTCTAACTTATCTCTGCTAATAGAATAAATTGCAATCTAACGTTAGAAACATTTCCTCTTCAGTTCAGTACAGCAACAATCGCTTGCGAAGAGCAAAAGCTATTCAGTTGTGCCACAAAAATCGACAGAAGCATTGAGGGAACGATTGAAACGATTGAATGATTTAGAGAATAAAAGTAACACGAGTATCGATCAAACTTCATCTGACGAGGACAACGAGAAGGTGAGGAGTGTGAAATTCTTCATTAATTTGACAATTTAATAATTTTTTCTTCAATTCAAATAGATGAGCGGATCAATCGCTGAACGTTTAGCGCTTCTTAAAAGTAATGGTGAAAATAATTGGCGTAAACGTGTCACAAAGAAAGAAGTTTTGAGTGATGATATCAAACGTGAAAGTTTAGTTGGAGTAAGTCGAACAATTTCTTCATTTTCTTACATTGAAAATTAATTAAGAAAATTTCATTTTCAGGAAATTTTATCAGCAACAAAAGAGAAAGAAAATGAATTTTCAAAGGCACCAATTCGTCAAGTGAAATCAGTTGAAGGTGGAAATATTCTTGATCGTCTTGAACAGATCAAAACAAACTCTGAAAAATGGAAAAATCGAATTGGTAAGTTAATCTAACTCTGATTTACGTTTAATCTAACTCTGATATTTAATCCCAATTTATTTTCTTTCATTTAAGAACCAACTGATGCGAATAACTTCAAGATATCAAACGACAGTGTTGATGATCCACCAGAACTTCCTTTTATAAGAGAAGAGTCTCGAAAATGTCCACCAATGAAGTCCTTCAAGTCCGATAAAGTTCAATCATTTAAATTATCAAAAAGTACGTCGACGACTTTTGGATCACCGAAAGTGACCTCAAATCATAAAACTTTCACTCGTTCAGCAAGTGTTCAAGAAGATTCTTCTTCACCAGCGCCAATTCTTCGAGGTCTGAAAGTTCAATTGCCAACTTTAGATCAAGGAATTGAAAGTTTCTTTCCGAAAGTGAGTGAAAGTGTTGAAGAGTCGGTCGACATTACCGACTTTGATGACATAAAAAGCGAGTCTCGAATGTTGTCAACAAGGAAAGTGACACAAGGTCCGAAACGACGTCGTCCAGCAAATGCCATGAGAGTCTTAGCACATCTTAGAACTGATAAGATCACCGAATACACTGAAATGGTTCCCGACTCACCATCGCCAACAAGCGAATCCAAAGATAGAAAGAAAAGCAAATTCACTGCCGAAGCTCTCGCTGGTCTTGCATCTGTCGAAGACTTCACAAACATCTCTCTAAAGTCGAGTTCAGATCCACTCACCGTCACACATTTACCATACAAAAACGATTCACCGATGTTGATTCACATCAAAGGACGTCGTCACGTTCAATGTCGTTTGGTTGATGCAAAATTCTCAAATCTCAATGACGGCGACTGTTTTGTACTCGTCACTAATGACAAACTCTTCAGTTTCATCGGTAAATTTGCCAATGTCATTGAGACGAAAGTTTGTAAAGATTTTTGTACTTCGATACTTCGTGATAAAGATCTTGGATGTAATGCCAACATGTTGATGTCAATCACGGAGAAGAATCTTGACGGTTACAATGGAAAGATTTTCTGTAAAATTCTTGAGCGAGATGAAGATGAGTTGTTAACATCTGCTGGTCACTCAGATGAAGATGAACTCATTGAATCGTGTTTGCAAGAGACAAACATGGCTTACGAGTTTATCAATGATGAATTGGTTCCCATTGAAGACTTCTGGGGACAACCGATGACAATTTCAATCGTAAATTCAAAGAAAATTCTTGTTTTTGATTTCGGATCGGAAATGTACGTTTGGAATGGAAAGAATGCATTGCCGGACTCGAAGAAGATTGCTTTAATGTTAGCAGAAGAGATGTTTGAAGATGCTTTTGATTATAAAATGTGCCATTCAAATCCACTCGACTTTTCATCACTTTGCGGTCATCGAAGAAGTAAAGAGAGAAAGATGAAAAGCGCTGGAATTAAGCGAGCGGAATTCTCACTTCTTGGTCGTGTTAATCAAAATATGGAAACGATTTTATTCCGACAAAAGTTCACTGATTGGCCTGACATTAAAATCAGCATCAAAAATGGAATTCCTCATGTCGATTGCAATGAAATTATGCAAATTGATGGCAATTATTTACATCGCAGTTGGAATTATGACGAACCGAATCTTGTACTTGAAAATTCGAATCTTGGACGTGGACATTTTTACTACGATGATGATACGCGAAGACATTTCGAGATAATCAACGTGTCAGTTAATAAATGGCATGCAAGTGCAAGTGAAGGCAATCAAGAACTTCCAATTGAAGATTTCTGTCACTTCTATTCGACGGAATCACACACAACGCGTTGGGTTTATCAAATATCAATAACTGTGAGGGAGTTGAGTGGAAAAGTGTCAAATCGAAGCACTGTTGGACGTGATAGAACCGCTTACTTCAATTGGCAAGGATGTGATGCATCAGCAAGTGAACGTGGAACGTCAACACTTCATATGGTCGAATTAGATAAAGAAAAAGGCTCACAAATGATCATTCAACAGTTTCAAGAGATTCCCGCATTTGTTCGTCTCTTCAAAGTGATGTTCATTCATAAGAAACGAAGTGACGAGTCACGTTACGATTCATGGCGAATGTATTTGATTCATGGAAGTGATCAAAATGAGACAATCGTTTATGAAGTTTCATGTGAAATGAAACAATTAAGATCAAGAGCTTGCATGCTTTTGATTCATGGACAAAATGGTCAACTTGTATTGTGGAAAGGATCGAAGACAACCGAGCAACAACAAAAGATTGCTCTCAATGTTTGTTCGAAGATTTGTGGAAAGAAATATCGCGAGTTTTATGCAACTGAACGTATAAGATTGCGTGAACATGATGAAGGAGAAGAAAGTGAAGATTTCTTCAAAGCTTTCGATGATGAAAGTTCTTTTGACGATGAAAGAGAGATTTACAACAGTTTAATTGATCGTTCAGAATCGTTTGACTTTACACCGCGAATGTATGAATTGACGAGTACAAATGGAAGCTTTGAAGCAATTGAAGTTGTACCAGGATTGAGATCGAAAGATTGTCATTTAGCTTTTCCTTTTGTTCAGCAAGATCTTTATAACGCTCGTCAACCGACACTTTTCATTGTTGACAATGGATATTCAATTTATTTATGGCAAGGTTGGTGGCCGAAAGTCGAAGACGATCATGATGAAGTTGACGATGTTAATAATGTCGAGAATCGTGCTGGTGAGAATCGATGGCATTTAGAACGGTGTGAAGCGATGCAAACGACGATTGATTATTGGAAAGCAAAGTGTGGTCACGATGAAACTTATCGGAAAGATGCTTTCATTGTTACTGCCGGTTTTGAACCGATTGAGTTTCAAACAATTTTTCCCGAGTGGAAAATTCACGACGATGTCGTTGAGATGAACAGTCAGGTGAGTTTAAAGAAATTATCTTTACTTAAAACACTTTAAAAATATTAATTCAATGATAGAATCCAACCAAAAATATGATGCAACTTGATGAATATTTGTTGCGATTTCAACAAAGCGTTTATCCACTTGACGTGCTGCTTAAACGACCACTTCCTGAATATGTTAATGCGACGAAATTGGAAATGTACCTGAGTGATGATGACTTTGAAAAGACGCTTGGAATGGATAAAAATGAATGGAAGAAATTACCAGCATGGAAGAAAACTAATCTTAGAAAGGAAGTTGGTTTGTTTTAATTAATTTCATGCTGCTTTAAACAACCACAAACATATATCAAATAAGACTTAATCACTCACCATTGATGAGTAGAATTATATAATTGGAAATTGATGAAATTCATCAACATCTTGCACAATGCTTAAAAGAAAAAAAGATTGAATCAGTGCCTGTTGTGTTTACCAACATTTATCCAACGAAATTTAAATTAAAATCAACATTTTATAAGCAATTCCTACACGACAATTTTTGATGACAATTTTTCATAACTTAACAAACATTAAAAATAAATTCTTTGTAATCAATTTCTTATTAGACGCATTTAATCATTTTTCGATGAGGTTTGGAAAGTTTTGAACTTTTTTGATCACAATTCAATTTTTCTACTTAAAACAACTTGAAAGTTTTACTTAACTAGATAATTATCTAAGGCAATGATTGTTCGTTCACATTTTATTCGAATACCTTTTTTAGATTCTCAATTTTATTCTAAATTATTTAACTCTCAATCATATCAAAAAATCATATAAAAGCATACAAAGTGCCTGTTTAAGGCTTTTAACATTCGATTTTAATAAAACTTTAATATCACTTTGATTGTCGTAAGCTCGAGACTTAAAAGCATTGAAATGATTTCAATATTTTATAGCGTGATAATAAATATTTCAAAGCATGATATTTACACCAATCATTAAATTGCGAGTCATGAAAGGTTGATAACATTAACGTAAATCCTATAAATTTGTATGCCAGCCAATATGTTTAATTAAATTATATTGTTTTAAAAAGGCGAGTTTTTGTTTTGGAAATTTACTCAAAATCTTTGTAAGATTAATTATGTAATTGAAAAATCCTAATTTTATAATTAAAAATAAACTAAGAGTGAAACAAAAAAAATGAAATTAAATTGTTTTTGTTATTAACTTGCAGGAGTTTGAGTTTATCTGTATTAATATAGCAAAGAATGACATTAAAGAATCAGAATTGTATAACTTGTAACTGTAGTCGAATACAATTTCACGGACAGACATTATTAATGTCCATGACAGTAGCACGACTTGGCATGAAAGGAAATTTATTCTTGAATCACGTTATTTATTAAAAAATTAATTATTAAACAAGCTAAAAAGGTATATAAATTGGTGATTCTAGAGAACTGAAACTGGTTTATTATAAGTTTTTAAATTATAACTCAAAGTTGAACTTTCAGAATGTCGAGAATTTTGTTGTTATTCTTATTTGCATACGGTACAAAATCTTGTTTGTGATGATAAATAGCATAAATAATTGGCTTTTAATTTCCTAAGTTTTCACCATTATTGGTTTTGTTATTGCTGGAGGAGATGTGGGAAGTTACCCGAAATGTTCATTAGGTGAATCGGAACCGTGTGTGCAGGAAGTTGAAGGTTTTCGATGTCCCACAGGTTATTCATTTGTATCAGCAGATATTACCGACACAAACTGCTGTTGTGAAAAGAATTAATTGTTAGCTCAAATTAATCTGTTGACTTTATAAATAAAGAAACATAATTTAGATCAACTTCATGTTTCAATTCATAAATCAAAGCTCAGGTATCTTAAAAGGTTATTTCAAGGTCTTTTTCGATCCTTTTTTCGAAATAAATTTCAGATCAAAAAAAGCTCTTTGAGCGGGGTCAACAACTTCATGAACTTCCATGAGCTTTATTGGCAGCATTCATAAGAAGCTTTAATTTATTATCCCAAAGCTTAAAACAAAACCTTTTCATTCCTCATCTAAGATTTTCATTAAATTTTTAGCATATTTTCTGAGATTCTATTGAAAACGAAGAAGCAAGTAAATGTTTCGAAAGGTTTTATAACAAGCAAAACTGAAATTAATGTTTTTAGTAACATAGGACGATGAACCTAAAATATTTATTAATAAAATATGTACATGATGTAATCACTCAATTATTTTCTGAAATACTGAAAAGAAAACAGTAATTCTTATTGCTATGTCTGTAAGATGTGTCAAAGCGTTAAATTATTGATTAAATTAGAGAATCAATAACGAGCAACTTCTGTAACATCATGAAGACTTTAAGACTTTCGATAAAATGAATTAAAAAGCATTGAAAGGAATTAAAAGGTCAAAGAGAAAATTATTTTACTTTTTATTGTTTTCATAATGTTCGTACAGTAAATTGTAATACTTTTTCTTATTAATGTCATTAAGCGATTTATTTTCAGTAATTTTTCCATAAATACTTTACGTCTACAAGATTGTTTTTCTTTCATTTTACTTCAATAATTTTTAGATGGCAAGAATGAATTATCCTTTTGCTCGCTTTGGAACGTTTCAAGTGTAAAATTTTCATCAATAATGATTCTTTTTTTCTTCTTAAAAATCCTAGAAAGTTGATTGCTTCTGAAATCGAATTACGTTCATGTCACATCATAACTCTTTCTTTTTTATCATTTTATGGAGAATATTTTCCTCGTTTTTGAAATAAAACATTCTTCATTCAGTAACAACGGATCAAAATGGATTAATGTTAAAAGTTTTGGTATATTCTCATGGAAAATTTTCATGGCTTTGTTTCTCTCTCATACCCAACATTCACACGATCTACTTTACAAGATTGGCGGATTTTTTTACGGAAATTTCTAGTCTTCCAAAGCATACGAAACGTATTTATAAAAATTATCAACTTAAGTTGTCAAACATGGCAAAAAGATTCTTATAATAGAGATGAAAAAAAAAGAGAGTTTTCTTAATGACTTCTTTCGATTATCGCTACTTTCTACCCATCATTACATCGATTGGTAGTCAAGTTCAAAAAATATAGTTTTCTATTCTTCACCTTTACTTTTAAAAATTATCATTGTAAAGTATTAACTTAGTATATCTCTTCTCATAAGTCCAATTTCATTCTTTTTGGACTTTACAATGTCATCGATTGTATGTCTTTATTAGGACTCATTACATTCTCTTCTTCAAATTTATTAATAGAAATTGAATTCATTAAAAATGCTTTTAATGCATGAAATGGTTTCGAATGGAAAGACGGGAAATCCTTAATGAAAAAAAGAGCTTTTTCCTTCTTCTTCTTCTTGTGATGAATTGGAGAAAGAAAATATTTAACTTTCTCTTCCACACATCGATATGTATTTTTAAGTAATGAAAAATGCTTTTAAAGTTTTCTTTTCTTTTATCAATATCAGTCTTTATGAAGTTTTCAAACCTTCAAAAAATATTTTTTCTTCTTCTTTCGTTCTGGAATGTTAATTTAATTTCTTAATCTTTTTTCTTTAATATTTTACGTCGAAATCGGAATGTGTTTCTTAGATACTCAATTTTTCCATTAAAGTAATTCCCTTGTTTACTTTTTACTTCATATTTTGGTAGACTTGAGTTCGAAACTACCTTAGACTTTTAGACATGTTACAACCAATGGCAAGAAAAACAAACAAACAAAAGTTGTCATCAATCAGTGACACTCGACAATGTAATGATGAAAATAATTTAGGAATAAATAATTTTTTTAGTTACGGATTTTTATGTCATGACATTTCTTAATGACTTTTTTGGTTGAATTCATTTATCTTCTTCAACCCAATAATGATATTCATTACAATTAATATAAATATGACAAACTTACTTAAGTAGAATGATGAAGAAAATAATTTACAAAAGTTAAATTAAGAAAAAAATTATTAAAATCTAATCAAAAGCAAACGAAATAAATATAAAATCTAAATGAATTCTTCTAAATAAGAGAGAAAGTTTATCAGACAATTGTTTGATAAGCAGCGAGAGAATTAAAGTCATTTGAGCATTTTGTGTTTGTGAAACAATCGGGGAAAAAGAAAATTAATTAAACGAGTCGCTATTTAAGCTTATCTAAAATATATTTTGAATACATCGCTAATAAGATAAAATCTTAAATTATTGACGCTCTAAGGAATTGCTTTGTACTTCACTATTTATGATGTCTTTAAATAAAAATGAAACTTCTTCAATGAAGACGATCAGGTGGACAGGAAATGGCTAAAGGATCAGTCGCCGGATGAAGTCCATCATGTTGAGATTCGCTTGAAATGGGCATGGTTTGTTGAGGAATATTATCCGAATATGCTCCACTACCGACACTGTCAACATAAACATAAATTAACTCATTATGAATTAAATATGTCTTAATTAAACTCACCATGGTTGGAATAATGTTGTCCAATTTCCATTTGCAGCTGCTGTCGTTGTCTTACTTTGTTGATTTGATTTTGCTTTTGATTCACTTTTACTCTTTGGTGAGAATGTTGAAGAGACTGATTTGTCTTCATTTGTGTGTTGTTTGTCTTTCCTCGAGCGTGATTTCTTTGCTGGCTTCGGAATTGGAATTTCTTCTTCTTCATCCAACAACTCATGTTTGATGTCATCATCCTCCAATAATTCCTTCAAATCAGGATCATTCTCGATTGTTGTTATTCCCAACTTCTTCAATCTCATCTTTTCAGCCCATTCCAAAGTACCTGAAATTATTTTATGTAAATTTATGCTTCATCAACATCATTAAAGTGATGCAACTTACCATGCTTTGGACGATTTAAATTACGATGTTGATAGAAAATCAACGAAATTCGATTTGGATTCAATCGATTTGGCTTCTTTAAAGCTGTTGTTGAATGCATTTCAAGTTTCGCACATTCAATCACAACACTGCCGTGTGGAAGTGCAACAGCAACTCCACCCATTTGCTTATCTTGAAAACATTCAACATTATCATTCGTTTCAGTCACTTCTCCAAGAACTTCATTAATCTTTGACGGTGGATTGTTGATTGCTTGATTCATTGGTGGTCCCAATGATGTGTGTTGTGGGAGTGTCGGCGGATAATGTGGTGGAATGACTGGTGTCGCTGATGGTGGCATCGGGGAATTCTGATAAAGTCCCCAATTTGAATGTGGCACGGGGCTTTGCGAATAATTCATGTTGTATGCTGGATAATTCGACGGGTAATTGTTGTAACTGTTATACCCGTAAGGATCGTAAGGATATGGCGAGTAAAGTTGATAGTTGCTTGGATGTTGCGGGACTGGCTGGTGTGGTGGATAATTTCCATAACCATGCGGACTATATTCGGGAGCTTTCGGCTTTACAAAAGCAGTCTCAAGTTGATGATACTGTTGTTGTTGCTGCTGGTGTTGCTGCTGATGTTGCTGATGTTGATGTGCTTTACCAAATTCATCTTTAATATTTGTCAAGCCATTTCCACTGTCAAACAGCGATTGCGTCTGTTGTTGAATGTTGGGACTAAATGCTGAACTGCTGTTGTTGCTGCTGTTGCTACTGCCAGGCCTTGTTGTCGTATCGGGTGATATCTCTTCAGCTCGAATTTTGTTATAATCTTGTTGCCATTGAAAATGATTTTGATAATATTGTCCTGTTTGATAGTCATACGAATAAGGTGAATCTAAAACAGTGCTTGATATTTGATTCGATTGAAGTTGAGCATCAGTGAAATTCTCAATCATTGATGCCATATCCAATAACGTACTTGAATTGCTGTTGTTGACTGCTGTCGGCGGAAGTTGCGTTTGTTGATTCAGAGAAGTGTTCTGCTGTTGTTGGAAGTTTGGTGATAAAGATGTGCTGCTTTGTTGATTTTGAGCGTTTATATCAGTCGATGGCACTTGCTGCGGTTGCTGTTGTGGCTGATTTTGATTAATCGGTGTTTGTGCTCGCGAACTTGCATTTTTATTTCTACTTCTGGACTTTGGCTTAAAGTCTTTGGGTGTTGGTGGAGGTGTCGGTGTCACTGGTGGTGGTAGAGACGGAGGTTGTTCTTGAACAATTTCATCGGTCGTCGATCCATTCCCTCTCTTCTTACCATGCCTTCGACATGGTTGCAATGGAGTTGATCGAACACGAACTTCAGTTGGAAATCTTTAAAAGAAAAATTTAACAAAAGAATTTTTTATAGAAACAGCAAAAATTTTGTGTCGAAATATCGAACGAAAGTTTTACACTTGACTCACTTTTCAAGAACAGTTACAGCACCGGTTTCATGTTTTTTCTTTTGTCCGTCTTCGCTATCAAACTCATCAGTGGCATCCATTGTGTAGAGTGGCAGGACATGAAGTTGTTCATCTTCTGGTGCCATTCCATATGGTCGCGGCTTTAACAGTGTCGCTTGCACCGTGCAACCATCTTGCATGTTGTGAAGATCTCGATGAGTGTGAGCACAAAAATCAACGCAACAAGTGACACCCGAAAATGGCTTTCCATGCTTAAAACCTAATCGACAATCAGGCGCTTCAACTTCGTATTGAACTTGATTCGAATATGCTTTCGGCGCTATTGTCTTATACATCGGACTGAGAATCGTTGCCAAAATGTTCATTTTCTCTTCAATCTCAGCCTCTTCACTCTTCCCCGACAACCGAAACTTTCTGACAGTTTTTGAACGAGCATATTTGCATCCATTATAATACATCGACCAAGAACATCCAAAACTATAAGAAGCACCACAAGTTTCCGGATCAAGACCTGCAATAATTAATTATAAATAAGGAATGTAAAGGCCGATGAAACTTGTTCCATTACCTTGACAAGCACAAGTTCGATTCTCATTAGTAGCACAGCGTCGTGTTGTTGGTAAGCCGAATTTATTAAGCTTATGTACCAAAAGCTTGTACATGTTATCAGCTTCAATGATTGGCATTGCCTCCCACACAACAATCGATATAACAACGAATGAAGCATTACACCTTTAGTTGTTGAATAAATAAATAAAATAATTAATTATTTACTATCAATGACAATGCTTTTATAAAATAAATCAATTTAACTTAAAGTTTGACATTCAAAGCATCAGCAGATTAATAAAACTTTTCTATTTCCATCACTTAAATTGTGTGTGTGTGTGTGTGCATGTTCAATAATGTTGAATTATAAATAAAATTGTGAAAATCATGAAAAAACTTTTATTGATTGAATCAACGATTAACTTTTATGACATTGTCGTCTATTTTCTCTGTATTCAAAAAACGAAAATTGGATTTTTCACAACTTTAAGGGATGTCGAATGTTAATTGATTTATTGGAAAATCATGCAATATTTGCGACATGCAACTAAAATTTAAATGAATTTACTTTGCTATCGACTACCCTTAAAGATGTCCAAAGAAATTCTACTCGCAATCAACAGGAAGAAATTAAATTGAACGACATTCAATCAAATGAAAATAAGAAGAACTAGAAAAGCTTTGAATGCCAAAGAAAAGAAAGAAAGAAAGAAAAATAAAAGTAATTACCAAAGTGAATGTTAAACATAAAAAAGCCTTCGACCAAAGTGTTGTGTGAAAAAAGTATAAAAAAGTGTTTATGTCTTTTAAAGGATAGAAAGACCAAACGACCAAAACCAGAATTAAAGTGAATTGTCTGTGGAGTGTCTCGTGTGTGATTTAAAACGAAATTAAAAATTGTTTATGACGAAGAGAAAGAAGAAGCATAGCAATGGCAAGCAGGCGTCAGAAGTAGAAGAAAGTTTTGATGATTGCTGACCATCTTTTCGCTTACCGATGCCCTTGACGTCGCTTTACAATGAACAAAGCTTTCTCTTCAGGATCTACACGACGAATGACCCACTTCGCTATCGGACACCCTTGACTTGACTTTCCTTCCTTTCCCGTGTACAAAACTTTTTCAATTCGCAATTGTTTGCCGACTAACCCTGCACGACTCTCAATTTCCTTACGCAGCTCGTCCAATGTTGCGGCACATCCTTTTAAATTATTTAAGCAAAAAGAGAAAGAAAGAAAAAATAAATATTCAAGTTCAACAATCCCTTTGGTCTTCCGTTTTATATATAAAATAAATACCTAAATGAGTATAATAACTGCCGGGCTCTGGTGGCTTTTTATCGGATGAGAAGCAATCGCATTCAGGTACTTCCGGCTTATTGTTACGCTCGTTGTAAATATCCTTTTGTGCTTGTTTCTTGCTTCGACTAGAACCACCACCACCACTACTTTGTGTTACTGGCTTTTGAATCTCAACAGCAACTTTCGGTTGCTCTTGTTGTGCATCTTCATCGAAGGGTTTCTCATTTACCTACGTAAGTACAGAAATAGAAAATTAATAATAAATTAAATATTAAAATGAAAGGACGTAAGGCGATTACTTCTTCTTTGGGTGGTGAAAGCTGTTTGCAGGGACTTCCATCGTTGTCTGTTTTGTGAGGTCTTGATGGATAATTGCTGACGATATTATCATGCCTTGTATGAGTTCCAACTTCAAACGACGGATGATGATGATGAATGGGAATGGAAGTGACCGGTTCTGCTTTAATTTCAGCAACAGGAAGAATTGTTTCGCTCATTCTCGATGAAGAAGACGCTGTTGTTGTTGGTGTTTTGGGAATTGGATATGCATGAAGTGGAATTTGTTGCTCAAAGTTTGTTAAGCTGGAATGATGTTGCTGATAGGCGGCTTGTTGACTCATGAATTGATGATAGTTTTGAGGCTGAGAATAATTTTGTGACTGATGATGAACAAAGTTCTGGTACGGGTAATTATTATAATAGCCTTGAGGTTGCATGTAATCTTGTTGGTACTGAACCTGCTTCTCATATTGCGGCTGTTGTGCATCACAAAAGTCAGCGTAACGAATGAAATTTTGGTAATTTTTCTCATATCCATCATATTTAACATTTCCGGGACCTTCGCCACTCACTTCCTTCTTAATATTATTCACCATATTCTGATGTTGCTGATACTCTTGTGCTGAATGGTAGGAATAACTTTCCTTCTTTTTCTCACCTTCAACATTCTCTGGCTTCGATATTTCACTCTTACAAATCAATTCATTTCTATTTTGTGCTTGCTGATCACTTCCAGAACTTGTTATGAAATGATTGATTGAACTTTGTTGTTGACCATTATTATTATTATTACTATTATTACTATTAGTATTATTATTATTAGCTTCTGTTTCACTTGATTCTTTATCATTTTTAATCTCAGTTCTTTGTCCAGAATTGTTGTTATTATTATTATTAAAGTTTTCATTAAATTGTGTCTGCTCAAATGACTCGCTTTTCTTGTTTTCAACAATCTTTCCTTGTCTGACATTTGTTGTCGACTCCCATGAGTCATTCTTTTTAAAGCCACCATCATCTCCAGCTTCAGTAAGTGCCGCTTTGTTGTTACTGCTATTGCTGGTCGTCTTACTGTTACTTTGATCAATACTATCTAAGGTGGGATTACTAAGCGGTTGTTGTTGTTGATGTTCGGGGAGATGTTGGTGGCTATACGATAAAAAATGATCGGTCGACGTTTGTTGTTGTTGCTGCTGCTGCTGCAATTGTTGTTGATCTTTATCATTCTTATTTAAAATCATTGTTTTCAATCGCGTATTCAAATTTATCCGATCAGATTGATTATACAATTCATTTGGATTTCCATTCCAATTATTTTGATTCCAGTCTTGATGTTGATAATGCTGATTATTGATGACTGACTCACCACCAGCAGCATGACTCGATTGTTGTTGTTGGTATTGTGATGGCGATTGTGCTTTTCTTGTTGGACTCATATGGAAATTATTTGGCGATTGTTGTTGATAAACATTACATGAACTTGGCCGTGATGGGGTTTGGCGATTCGGAGATTGTGTTAAAGATTGTTGTGACGATTGACTTGACGATGTACTCGTATTTGTCTGGTTGTTATTAGCTGTGGTGTTGATAGAATTTCCGCCATATTCATTTAAGCCTGGATATCCATTACAACTGAGTGAGCGCGGCGGAACGCTGTTCACTCGTGGATAGCCTGTGAATGAAATAAGAAAAAAAATTAATAAAACGAAAAATTTAAAAAGAGAAATCAAAAGAAAGAAACAAACAAACAAACAACTTACCAGGCATTTCGTTTCCCGAAGCCGTAGTTGTCATCGCCATTTGTTTATTTCCCAATTGATCAGTATGTTGTTGATGACTTGCATAATGTGGATGATGTTGTTGATGATTAAAAAGAACTGTTGGACTTGCAATTTGATTATAAGCGACGTTTGATGCAAAGCTGACACCTTGCAATGACACTTGATTGATTGGTTGTGCTTGCAATTCGTAGCGTTGAATGACTGGTGAACTGTATGTGGTTGCATTACGATTGTAATTAGGATCAAATTGAAGACCGCCTGTTTGTACGTATCCATTGGTTGAATAAGCGTAGCCCTGTTGAAAGTCAAGTGGCGCTATTGCAGTTGCTGTCACTGATGGTGCACTGCTGTTTTGAGGGATTTGCTGAATAAATTGATTTTGCCATGGTTGGTCTGTTGTTGTTGTCGCTGCTGTTGTTTGCCATGTGGGGTAAAAAGCCATGGGCGCCTAAATAAAAAATTTTACATATTAATATCGGAAGTTTATGACTTTTTTATGGCCAAAGCTTTAAAAGAAAAAAAGACGCAAGCAAAAGAAGAAGGGAAGAGAATAAGAAACTCACCATTGGTTGCGAGGGCTGTTCTTTCATGGTTGTAGCTGTTGTTGACGGAATTTGCTGGATAGCTGACTGTTGAGATTGTTGCAAAGGCTGCTGGGCCGTTGTATGGGTTGTGGTAATGCCGATCAAATTTGAAGGCTGATGATTACTTTGCTGAATAATTTTTGCAGCTCCGTTTGGTGATTCTTGTGGAACAGCAGCTGGTGCTGGACTAACAGATGCTTTTCGATGCTGCTTTGTTCGCGGTGACACTACACCGCCCAAGTTGAGAGATTTACGGCCACGATAACTTGTCTGAAAGAATAATTAACATTAATTAAAATTAATTATTCAGTTTATCACTAAAGAAGATTAAGGAAATTTTCTTTTACTTAAATATGCAATGAACAAAAGAAAAGGAAAAGAAAAAATGCATTAAAAGATTTGTCGTCGATGTTCTTGTAGGTCATGGTTTTAAGAAACATTCATTCGATTGAAAGATACCTAAAGAGATCTTTAAGAATCTTTCCAGCTGTTTTATTGTCAATAAGAAACGCACGAAAATGTTTACGGTTATGTTCATCAATAAAAATGCTAGACATTTATGTTGAATTTATGCTGTTTCAGTGATTGGAAAACTTTTATAATCAAACCGTCCGATATTTAAATTTCCAGCACAATCTTGATACATTTTTCATTTAATTTAATTAATTACTTTCCAACAAGTGCAATTCATATTAAAAAATCATAAAATAATTTCACATAATCATGAACCACGATTTTATGCTTCATTTACTCACGATTTTCTTTCGTGCAATTTTTTAACAACATTTTTAATGAAAAAAAAAGAAATCTAACAATTACTAAGATTAAAAAAATATTAATTTAAACGAGACGATTTTAAACACTTTGTTTGAACATTTTTTTATCATCTTTTTTATGTCTTTGTCTCTAATATTATCAAGAATGCATTAAAAACTTTTCAAGTTTCAACATCGCGACGCGATATTAAAGCAGCACCAAACACTCAAATTTAAACTGATTTTCTCATGTTTGACAGAACCGTGTTAGGAGATTATTTTTTGAAGCACTCGCTTAACTCAATTTGCTATTTATCATGCACTTTTGAAGTTTTCACTTAAATATTTCCAGTGTTTTGAGGTCAGACAGGAACGAAGCTAAAATAATCGCTCAGGGGCGGTCCCAGAATTCTGTTTTTCTTTCTTCTTCCTCTCTCTCTTCACGACTCTCCTTCTTTCGCTTTTTTTTTAATTTAAATTAATGATTTATTACGGTGTGGCAGTTAGTTTTAATTTTCCTTCATTCTTTTCTCATTCGTCGAAAAATTCGCTTCTTTTCATGCAATTAGATATTTGGCGTACATGCTTTGTCTTTAAACTTCTATCAGCATATTTCTTCGTTAAAAGATAATTAAAAAAAATAAAGATTGCAAAAAATCTTTTGTGCCGTAGTTCAGAATATTCATTAATTTTTTTTTCGAGAATTTATTCCGTCTGAGAATCAAAAAATATAAAAAGGAAAAATATTGCAACGCTCTTTATGTTCAAAACATTCTTGTAGACAATAACCAGTTAATAAGAAAAGATTGTGTCCTTGGAACACAACAGACTTTAAACAACTCGTGATTGTTTTTATATACGTTCGTAATAATTTTTTTTTTTATTTTGCTTTACTTGTTTATCACGACGTGTTCTTGAAATGTTGAAAAAGCAATTTTTACATCATTAAGTTACAAAAAGTAAAAAATTATTCTCAATTTTCATCAATTTAGAAGAAAAGCTTTCACGCTTTCATCAAAATAATTTCATTCTTTAAAGCAGAAGCTTTCTTTCACTTTCACGTTTAATTTTACTCCCATGAATTACGATTACGATATATTTTCGCTCTCTCTCTCACTTTGATATATAAAAAAACCACAATCAAAACAAATATTTTTTGTGCTGCTGTTTGTGTGGATTCGCATTCTCATTTTGTCAGCTTTTGTTGTAAGTCAGACTTACAAAAAGCTCCACGAAGAGAACAAAATAAGAAAATTTGTAATCGTATCCTTGCAATATTAATTTTTAATTTTCTTACTTCACTTGATGATCAAACTTTTGCATCAATTTATTTCTTTAATTTTTTTCTTTACTTTGATAAAACGTTTTTTTTTCTTCTCTTTTTCTCTTCCAACACTTTTTGATTAATTTTTTCCTTCTCTTTGAATTTATTTTTTTTCTTCAATCTAAGGAGAACTTTTGTGTAACGCGTCTGAACTGTCGAAAGTTCCTTGCAAGACTGAGACCGACCAAGAACTGAGAAGAAAACGTTTACGTTCGTCCCGAGATTTTAATGCTTCTCTCTCTTATGTGCTTTTTAATTTTATATGTTGTGAGTACGTTGATGCTTTCTTTTGTAGTGTCGGGGCGCCTCTTCCCTTCTTCTCTTGCACTGTTCAGTCTTTTTTTTTCCTTTCGCCATGTCTCCCACACACATGAAGGTTGCGCTCGTCATTGAAGCTCCAAGCATCGCCGTATTATTTTTTTCCTTTCTCCTCAATCTCAACTCTCCACCACGCGAAACGAACAATAGGCATATAGAAGGGAAAACTCATTAAGCGCTTTTTCCTTCGTTCTTTCAATGTTTGTGTGCGTCGTCATGTTTTGCTTGCTTTACGATGGAAAACAATTTTTGCCGGCGAAGAGAAAATTTCAACTCATCATCTTCTTGGTGTGTGTTTGTCGGGAGCGGGAGGGTTCGCCACCGGGCGAATGAGGGTTGGAAGAAAATTTTCATTTATTTTTAATTTTCATTATTTGCATCTCATTTCATGTATGTACACTTTTCCGTGTGCGTTGGGGTGGCACGAACACATCTTGTCTTCCTTCATCTCATACCCGAAATTATTAGAGAGATGGAACCTTAGTAGACTCCACCAGCATAACAGTGTGTGCATAGCGTAGAAGTGTTCATGTAGTATCGTTGTTGTATGTTCTTGACGTGTCCGTGAACTTTTCTCTTACTAAAGGAATATTTTTTTATTTTTTTTTCCTTCTCAATTCTTGACAATTTTTTTTTCTTTGTTATTATTTTAATGAATGTTTTTCATATTTTTTTTTTCTTCGATTATTTATTTAGCTATTTTTTGGTTTTACTTCTTTTCCCTTTTTCTTAAACCTCGCCTCAGACATTCTTCTTCTTAAATTCATTGTTTCTCTTCTATACGGATTCTCGTCACAAAACAAAAATAATAAAAGGCGAGAGTGTGCATAAACCAGTTATGGAATATGTGCGGACGAAAAAGAACCAGTTTGAAATTCTTTCAGTCTTTAAATATTCTGTTTACTCATGCCAATTCTATTTCTTCGCGAAGAATGAACAATTCGACATAAAACCGAGTACACTAAACACTTCCGGACGATAACCATACGAGACAAAAACGATTCTTCACACGAATAAATTCTCATTGCAAGAATATGTTGAAGGAGATGACGTAAAAGACCTTGAGCTTAAATCTTTGGCATTCTCTGTGGTTTTTATTGTACAAATGCTTGGATTATTGCGAATTCTTACAAACAGTTGCATGTCTTTATATTTACACAACAAAGAGAATTATTAAAGGTGATTACTGAATGTAAAACTACGAGATAAACTACAAGCAACGTAAATGATAATTAAAGAAAAGTTCATTGATTTATTAATTCTGTAATATTATTACAAAACATCCATAATAAAAAGGAATATTTGCCATTATAAATGTTATAGCGAAGAAAGGTGTGGGTGGGTGTGATGATATCAAAAAGCAACCCACAATTAATAATTTATGCAATGGAAGAGAAATGTTTTATTTTATAGATAGATATTTATTGTTGCGCTGCACTTTGTTACATTTATAGTGAAGAAGCAGCATCATCAGCAGCAGTAGTTTCAACACTATGCCATATATTAAAGAATTTATCTACACAACGAACTAACAACTACACATGAGGCTGCTGGTTCTTCTTCAATCCATTATTTTTACTCTCCTTCCAGGTTCTTTTTTTATTTTATTTTCTTGCGCTACTAAGCCTGACTGCTCTCATTCCTTAAATATTTATTTGAAGCAAAAGCCTGCAGATCATATACAACAAGCTTTCAAACACAGTTGTGCACCTTACGTTATAGCAACATAAGCAAAGAACGAAAACTGAGTGAGTGTATATATGAGTATTGCTGATGATGTGAGGTCAAACACGTATGTGTACACCCAGATTTAAGGGGAGGTAGGTAAAGGAGAAGGAACAAAATCAATTAATTAAAAATTTACATTCTTCTCATCATCAGCAACAACCCTTACATAAAAGTGCTAGCAAGCAAAAGTTTTTCGTGCCCGTGCCTTCTAAAAACATGGCGGAGAAGCGTCAATAGCGGAAACTTCATGTGCACACAACATGTACTGTGTACATCTATCGCGTAAAGCTTCTCTTATGCTATTTATGTTGTACATAGTTAAAATTCGGCCCCTTCCCTAGATCGTCGTCGAGCAGCAGCTATCTGGATATTGAATTTGCTTGCTCGAGAAATTGAAAAATTACTCGGGTTGGTGAAACAAAAACAAGGGATTCAACCGTATGGAATGATGAAACTAACGTATAAAATATAAGCTTTTTAGAAGAGCATTAGTTAGGAATTCTGTGGAGATTAAATTATATTGAATGTTTTTCTTCATTTTCCTAAATTTTCTTCTTTTTTCATCACAAATTCAACTTTAAGTCCAATTTAGGTAGTGACTAGAAATAAAGTTTTATTGAGAATATTTGATGTTGTTGGAAAAGAATGTTTATGTTGTATGTACATACTTATGCTATGTGGAGATGAAAAAATAAATAAATAAATAAACAATTTTATATCGAGACATCTAACGAACAACGTACATAAATATACATATTTCACCTAAGGCTAGGACGAAAGTCAATTTAGAATGGACCATCGTTGCTGCGTTGAATTTATGTGCATAAAGAGATTTTACAAAGAAGAAACTTGGCAAAATATTTCAGGTAAAGTTTTAACTTTTATTTCAAAACTCTCGATAAATTGTAACATTTTTTCCTTAAGTTTCGTAACTTCAATGAGCTATTGTCATAAATAATCGTCGACATATCTGACAAGAAGAACATCAATCTCAATCATCAAGCTAATTCGTGTCGTGTTTATTTATGACGTTAAAAAACTGCCTTTCCATGTGCTTTTCCACAACGATTATGAACAAAAAAAAGAAAGAAAATCCAAACTCTTCTCAGCACCGTTCGGGAAATTTTTAAAGGTGGAAGCTTGGGTGTTTTTCTTTATTACTTTTCTTCTTCCTCCTCTTTTTATTTTCTTCTTTTTTGTAATATTTTAACATACATGGTCTGAGAAAGTATTGATTTTGCTATGTGATGTACATTACTCTCTCTCATTCACTTCTCCCTTCTCTACATAATGCATATACACACACCCAGAAAATCTTTCTGTTATAAAACTTTCTAACTAGGAAAATTCACAGACATTACACATACACAAGAGCGATAGAATAAACTTTTGGAAAAAAAAGGAAAAAGGCTCACGAGATGGAAAACTCGACTCACATATACTCGCATCGACTTATGTGTACACGAGGAAGAAAATATAATTTCTGCAGAACTTTGCTTGCTGCTCTTCCTGTGCCGTTCGAAATTGTTTTCTGTTAAAAGTAATATATTGCAAAAAGTTCTTCTTTTTTATGTTCTTCTTTATTTATACTCTTTGTTGGTTGTAGAACGACGATGGAAGAGCATGGGCAACTAATGTGCAATGCATCTAAGTTTAATTTATCATCGGGTAGATGAAAGTAATGAATAAGCATGGAAAATTATAAAATTCTCTTCAATATTTCCATCGTTTATTTTAAAGAATTAATTTAATGACTATTTTTAAAGCTTCTCTGACGTCAGACGATGTTCAGGTGGGAATTTAAAGTCACAAAGTTTTTCATTAACAAAACCGTTAAAAATTTTCCTTGAGATGAAAATGAAATTTGAAAACAAACGAAATGTGATTCAAAATGTTTAACTGTTAAAGAATTGAGCCAGCCATCCAACCTGGTGCCCTCTCTGAATATCCTTCGATATAAGTCTCACCCTTTCATCGTCTCCCTGAATAATAATCTCGTCCCCCGAAAACAAAAAGAGCAAATGTGTGTCTAGTGATCGCACTACAGTGTGACGCTCTTCCTATGCAACACACAACTGCACAAATTTACTTTTCCTACCACTTCTTCTCGTTCTCGCCTGATTCCCTGTGTTTTTTCTGGCTCCCCCAGAGTAGAGGAAAATTTTGCCTTATCTGAAGAAGTGAGGAAAAAAAACGCGCGCGCGAAAACCATTGCGCAGAAAATCAATAAAAGTTTTTTTTTTCTAAGGCTACTTTCCACATACATAAATTTCTACATTCTCCGTATAACATGTTCCCGTTCCTCGATGTTATTAATATTTTTCAGCTTCCTCCAGTCTTCGGTTATGTATCCGTAGAGGCAATTTTGCAAGCGAAAGAAAGGAAAGCAGAGGAAAATGAGAAAATATTTTTGTCGAAACACTTCGCAATAATTTACTTTTGCTGTTTTTATTTTTATTTCTGTATAAGGGAAAAAAAAGTAAAATTATTGCTTACTTGAAGAAGAATTATGCATTTAATAATTTTTGTGTTCAGCTTTAAGAATTATTTACTCTTCGCTTGTGCACATCACGTAGCATCTTTTCCGGGCTTATGATTATTTTTCCACACTTCTTGTGCATTATTTAAAGGGGCTTCAATCACCACCACATTTCCGGTTATATTTTTATAGAAAATATGTACAAATATATTTTTGTAACGATCCCTTAATGTTGCCAATAAGTTGTTCTTTCCCCAAGAAATTAATGTTTAAGAAGCGCGTATGCTTTTTATTACTTAAATAACGAAGCTATGTCGAAGAAATTAATCCGGCATTTCCATCACGGTAATGTTCGAGCTTCGAAATTGTTCTACAACTTTATGATACAGATTCGGCGAACATTTTGCCATATTGCATGAGTTCAGGTCAAGGGATGAGTTAAATTACAAGTAATTGAATTTCAGACACAGAAAATTGAAGTCGTTCTAGGCTTTATAACGAAATAACGTTACAATTTTCTATTTTTTTTTTTGCCTTTTAATTCACTCTTGTTGGCTGCTTGCGCTTCAGGAGAAAAAAATAAAAAGTCGAATGAATTTTTCCACAGGAAGCTGTCGGTAAAATTTATGACTCTCATTGTTCAAGGAAAAAAAATATTAGTCGTTGGTTTCAACTCGCAGTTTTTCAATTTTCCCGCACGTGGAGTGTTTCAAGTGCTTTGTTGAATATTGTAAAAGCCAAAAGCGAAAATTGTTTTTCACGCCACATCGTCTTGTGAAGATTTTTTCTGTTTTTTTGAGTCTCCCCCAAAGCAATGTTTTCGTTTTCAGTGTCAGACATATTAAGTTGCAATCGATGGCATAACATTGATTCAATATCCGTAAACCTTTTATTTTTATTTCATTTTACGAGCATGTATAGATTTGTACGAAATTTCATTGTAGCTTCGCTTTTAACGGGCTTCACAGAGAACGTGAATGGCAGCAGAAAAAATATTCATTCATAAAACTTTACCCATGCCTTATGTTTTATTCTTTGCTGTATATATTTTTTATTTGTTGTATTCTCTTTCCATAAAAATATTGTATACATTTGTTGATATCATTTCACTGCTTTATCTGTGGAGTTTATTTGTGCACATGCTTTTATATTTTGCTTCGTCGCCTTTTCTCTTTTTCCACGTTATTTTACTTATTTTTTGTGTTGTTTGTGCTACTGATGCTGTTCTCAACACGCTGTGAAGCTAACGTAGTAAATGTTTTGGGTTTTTGAGTAGAAACGGAATCGTTTTCCGAATTCAATAAAACGTAAGAAAACGAAAATGTTTTCAAATGTTCGTAAGCTCATCTTTTAAGAAGCGACGATAAACAACGGACAGATGATTTCTCTTTAAAGAAGAAGTCGCATCGTTGTATTTATTCCAAGATCACAGAGAATCCCTTTTCATTTATTCCACAATTCTCAGTTGAAATCTCTCGCAATTGTCTTTAAGATTTCTTTAAAGTAAGTCGTGGAAATTCTTTTCGCAAGTTGTTGTCTTACAACATTTTTTTCTGTTCATGTTATTACGAGTTATTACGAGGAAAAAAATGTAAAGAACATGCAATTACGTGACGAAAATTTAATTTTCTCGTGCTTTTTTTTAGGGGGTGTGAGAGAGTTGAGAAGCGCCGTAGCAGCAATTTTTTTTAATGTCGTGATATATATTATAGTGAAAGCATTCTTTTTCATTACTTTAAATATGAAAATATTATCCTTTAGACATGAATTTATGTGATACATAAGAAAATATTTGCACTAGCAAGGTGATTAAATTGATCATAAAACATATACTTACGCCTCCACCTCTTCCTTTTCCACGACCTCGACGTGATTCTCCACGAACAACCGTACCATCAGCTGAATAAATTATCTGCAAAGAAAAAAAGAAGAGTTATACTTGCTTCAACTTTCAATGTTTAATTAATAACAACAGAGTTTTAAATTATAGCTTTAATATCCTTAAAAAAACAGTGCTATAAATATATTGATCGACTTTATCTGGGTTTCTTCATGAAAAATGTCGTGCAAACTTTTTTAACGGTTACTGAGTTTTTAAAAACATTAATTTTGTGTCTTGACTAAATTTTCAAATTCTTTTTGTCTGTTAAAAGTGAACAGTTAGCTTTTGTGATGCATAAAACTTTTCCAACATCACAATGGTTTTTCTTATTATTCATAAGCTGTAATAGTGATTCATCATAATTACTCATTTTGTAATGAGCTTTTTTATAGTAAACAATGAACTATGGAAATTTTCTTTCTTAAATGTTTTAAACAATGCAATAGAAATGTAAATTGAGTCAAGCAAATGTATGCAGGCTGCGCACAGAATGTTGAAAAGCTTTGCTATTTACTACCCTCATGAATCAATTTGAATGAAACAATCAATGAGCATTTGAGGTCAGGTGATATTTTCATGCACATTTGAAGTTGGAATCTTCTGAAATTTTCGAAGGGTAAAAAGTTAGGGAATTCCCTCACCTTCGGAGAGTGTAGCGTCCCTATTGGAAAGGGGTTGATAATATAATTCGCCCTCTTTAATCAGATCACTTGCTTACGTTACGGCGAACTTCAAGTTCAAGGACGACTTTTCCCCCATTTCGATGACATCAAACGACTTAAAAAGCGACAATTATAACTTCACGTGAAGACAAACTCCAGACTCGACACCCCAGAGAAAGGAAAACATTTTCTGACACATATAAAGCGACAAAGCGTGAGCAACCCTTCACAGTTGGCAGAAAACAAAAAAGGCGATGAAATTTGGGATGATATTTAGCTGGTTTGAAAAGACTAAGAGAGTGAGGGGAGTAACAAGGACCATTAGGGGAATTGACGATGTGGAAGTGGGACACTTGTACCTTCTAAATTTGTTTGGGGTGCTTTTTCTCACAGTTATGTTATTTCAATTGTAACTTGACTTTGATTTGAATGACTTCCGCTATATTAATTTGCGACAAATGACTTCTGAATAAATAAATAAGCAACATGAAAGTTGTGAGGGTCGTGAGTCACTTAGACTTTTCTTTCTTTCTTATCAATCTCCTTTGTGGATTTAATGCTTTTATCTCGACTGCCCTTTACGCTTTTTTATGTCTTTCACTTCATTTTCCGTTCATGCGTGATAAATTCGACTGTTAATGCTACATGATGGGGGGAAAACTAAACATTTTTCCTGATGTAAACATAACTAACCACAGCCAACAAAAATTCCTTATTTACTATGCGCACATGGACGTTGACGTAGTAAAATTCGAGTATAAATTACATATCAGAAGAAGGAAAATCGTTCACCATTAAGAATAAGCATCTTCATAATAAAAGGAAAATAAAAGGAAAAACTCACTTTCTTCTCTGTCAACTTTTCACAACGACGTTGTTTACAAATTTGATGAGATTTGTCGTTACGACATGGCGCACATTCACCGCAATTATCTTTCTTTTGACAACCAATACATTCTCCACATCGTTTACGTTTCTTCTGTTTCTGTTGACAAAAAAGATGAAAATTTAAGTTAAATTAAGTTTTAAAGAAAAATGAATAAAGTTTTACCTGTTTTTCACCAGTTGATGTTTGATCACCGTTATCCATGCTCGAGTGCATTGGGGATTTAAAGTTATCAGTGCTTGAAACAGCAGCAACTTGTCCAGGATTTCCACTACTGTTTCCATCAATGTCCATAGCGCTGCTTGTGTCAGACTCAGTACTCGACTCCAATGAACTCGCCCGAATTTTCCGTCTTTCTTTCTTTCGTGTCTCTTTTGTTACTTGTGATGATGGCGTTCCATTAATTCCATTCTTATTGCTTACTTTTGGCGTTGTCATGCTTGGCGTGTCCATGAAGCTGCTATTATTCATCATCGGCGAGCTTTGGAATGAAGTATGATGAATGCCATTCTTGAGATCAAAATTTATGTGCTCATTTTTGAGAACTGTGACAATGCCTTGATGAGGTTGCGGAGGTTGTGGATGATGAAATGTTGCAGTCGTGGTTATCGGTTGATAAAGTTGAATGTGACGTTCATCAATATATTGTTGTTGCATTCCGGGAATGTCACGAGCTTGAATTGGTGCTGGGACAATTGGATAACCGCGAGTTGTTTGAACATTAACAGCAGCTAATGTATGAAAATTTGAATTTGGCAAAGCAGTCAATGCAGGTTGCAAAGGAGTTAATGGCGACGGTGTTAACTGTGTTAATTGAGTTAACGATCCACCAGATGGTGAAGCTGATGACGGAGATATTGGCACAGGTACAGCAGTTACTTGTGCTGGCAAACTCGGTTCTGCGACAAGATTATTGTCAGCGAAAGAATGGAATTGACTTTGGAATGAAGGCAATTTAGGGAATGGTTCAAATCCACGTTGTTGCTGAAGCTGTTGCTGTTGTTGCTGCTGCTGTTGATGTTGCTGTTCCTTACTTTCCATTTCCCATGGACGAGTGTAACTGTTGGCTTGTGCAGCCAAATCAGCATTTTGATGCGACACAATCGATCGCTCATAATAATCCCAACTAGTTTCTAGTTCCGTTGCTTGGAACGTTGTGAATGCCGGCAAGCCACTTTCTGACGGCTCATCCGTGGCATTGGATGGCGTCTCTGGTGTGGCTCTACTCATCATGTTAAATTAAATTTTATGTTGTGACATTCACGAATTTTCATATTTTTTTACTTCTAATTGAGAATTAAAGAAATTTTTTCTTTTGTTTTGTCAGGTTGCGCGAAGTTTTGTTTGTTTATATTTTTTGGTAAAGCGTAGTACGTTGATGAATGTCTTTGACTTCTTTTGAGGTAGCAATAACTTTAATTTTGTCAATTAATTGTCTTTTTCATAAACTCTATGATAAAATTTGAACACGGGGTATTTCTGCCTGAAAAAAGTCTCCTTAACTGTCGTCTCAGAAATCGAGAGAACCACAATTTATTATATTAATCTCTGAAGCTTCTAATGTCAATAAAACGATCCACGTATAAAAAAATATTCACAAAATCTTCGTATTTAGTTTTAAAATTTGTTTTCTTTTTTTGTTCTTCGTAAAATTTGTTTCTGTTTCACTTGGTAACTTCTAACGTGCGCAGGTTTTTTGTTTTTGTCAATTGTTCAGCTTATTATAATTTTTTTGTTTATATTTTGAGTAGAAAAATATTTGGTTTTTATTCACTGATGATTATCCGCATTTGCTTCTGGTTTTCTGCTTCATGTGCATTCGATTTGAAAATTATTGCCATGTGATGATGTTCATCAGTTCTTTTTTGTTTGTACGCTTCAGACTTCAAAACTTTGTACTTTTTTTTTCAATGTTTCTTAGTCAGGTTTAATTAGCTTTCTTCTTTATCTTTTTTTAATTAATTTCCACTTTTATCATCAAATAAATTAAATAAATTATTAATCTTAACGAATTACGAATAAATTAAATATTACTAGAATTTCACTCTGATTTAGTTGCTAATTAATTCAAATGAAATAAAATGAAAAAAAAAACTTTGGTTATCGTTGCGACAAACTGACAAATTCAAGATGAAATGGTTTATCTGAAAAGAGAAGAAAAAAAAAAAGATTTGTGATTATCTCAACTGATTCAATTCGTTAAGCTAACGTTGAATATTTTTCATCAAAAAAATATTAGAGCTAGCAATAAAATAGAAAGTCAAGTAAGATTGCAGCAAACCCTTCGGATCGCAAATTGATTCTTTTAATATAAAATCATGGATGAAAAATCCTTGAGTCCTGAAAATAATACATTTTTTTATCAAGCCTCAATGTTTGCTTCTTTCCCACCATCAAATTTCACCCTTTCACGAATAAAGCGCGAGAAGGAAAGTTGATTTCCAATTTTGTTATGTTAATTCCAAGTCAAATCTCTTTAAATTATGTACAGAGAAAGTCCTTATAAGTTACTCGAATGTTCATGCTTTTCAATTCCAATCTTTGATCGCTCTCACGAAACAAAAGTAGTTGAAGACGAGCAAGCCTAACGCATATTGAATATTTATTATAATACGAAAATTACAAAAGAAGAATGAAGAAGTTTTCAATTTCAGTTTTCCTTCTTTAGAACATCAACTGTATGGAAGTAACTTTTTTTCACATTTCCCTAGAAAATTGAATACACTTTATGGAAACATTGAAGATGAAAATTTATTTTCACCGTTTCGCGAAAATCTGAATTTTTCTTTCTCGCACTTTTAAAAGAAGAAAACGAATGACAAGAAAAAAACTCAAGCAACTTGATTTTTTCGTCAAGATTCTCTTCAGATTATCACTGAACGACGACTACAACGAGATTGTCACATTACACACATTTTTCATTTCGCTTAACAATGAGAAAAGTGGAAATTTGCAAACGCAATTCGTGTCTTGAATAAATTTTTTATCGTTTTAGAGCTTTTTTTTCTGTAATATTAAAAATTTCTCATTTTTCTGTCACTGACTTCTTATTTGTGTTTCTATCTAACATATTTTACTTTATATTTTCCGTTGGCACTGTTTGTTACGTGCGATGAGATGAGAAAAGTCTCACCGCGAATCCTTTTGAAAGAAGAAAGAAAGAAAGAAATAAAAAAAGTAAATCTGGGTGAGGGTGGAAAGGTGATAAGTGAACCCACGCCACGAAGATTTGCGAATAGAATTTTGATTTGATTTTTTAAACTTCTTTTTACTTTCCCTTTCTTATGATGTTTACAAATAAATTTCGAAATGTTTTCATGTTAGTTTCTTCTTTCATGATTGTAATAAAAATGATGAATGTTTATATCTATAACAGCAGCTTTCTTTCTGCAAGTCATGTCATCTTTGCTAAACTTTAGACATTACAAGTATTTCGTTAAGTCTTCATTATACATCATGCAGAAGAAGATCCTTCAAATCTTTATTCATCCTTACCCAGCATTCCAATTTAATCTTTTTCCTTTAAATCTCGCACATTTTATTCGTCACTTCTTCAGTTCACCTCGTAATATAAAAAAGTAAGGAGACATGTCAGCACATACTTCACGTAATTTGCACATATATGCGAATTGACGGAAGAAAATCGTAGTGAATATTTGAGATAAATATGAGAGCAAGGAAACGCAATTTTCGCCGTTCTTCTTCTTTTCAATAGCTTCTTCAACAACTTTTTTTATTCTTAATCTCGTTTAAAGCAGCGTGAAGTAGCATCATTTGACGAATGAAAAGAAAATCTTGAACATCATTTGAAATAAGTTAAGAAAGCTCACAAATAATCTTAAAACATTCTTCCTACGGACTGTTGCCTGAAATCTATTTATTAATCTTCAAAAATATTTTTCATCTTTTGTTGTTAAAATTGGCGACTTTCTGATGACACGTGTAAGATTTTTGCTACATTTCCTGCTGACGTAACGAAAAGTTTTATAAAAGAAAAATTTCTTCAGCCTGAGCTAACTCAAAGTTTTGATGGAAAAAATATAAAAAAAATCAACATGTTTTATTTCGACGTCACAATTATCTACACAAGGACAAGAAAATATTTTAATTTGAAAGTTCATCACAGTTTGTCAAACAATACAAGTAAGTACCTAACCCATGGACGACATAATGTTATACTTCAAGCCACAAAAGCATTGTCTTCAAATAAAAATGTATTAATTCTTAAGGAAGAAAAATAATTCTTTCAAACTCAAGTAAGCAAGCATCTCTTCCTTCTTTCGCATTTACTATGCTGAATAATCAAAAAAAAAAGAAAAATTGAACGACAAAGTTTTTTCTTTTCTTTTCAAGAAGGAAAAGTTTTAAGACGCCATTTGATATTTTTTTCCACTGAAAAGAATGACTGTGTTGCTTTTACAATTCCATGATCTTATGAACTCACATAGACTATCACTACTGGGTACGTAGCAACATTTCTGATTGTTGATAATAAAACTTTATAAAATGACAGAAATAACGAGAATCGCATTTAAGGAAGTCAATTATCTTGTAGATTATTCTAACTTTGGAAAACTTACGTAGAATGTACGCATGAAAAATCATTTTTATTTCTTATGACTCATTCCAAAATGATTCAGATTTTTATTTTCGCTCAGATCATTGGCAGGCATGCTTTGAAGTTTGATCACAATTCAATTATATTTTATGAAAAAAATCAAAAGCTATTTGTAATTATTAAAATTTAAATTTCGATCGATAGACAAGCCATGACTAAACACAGGTGCTTGGAAAAACATAAAAATGCATTGAAATATCCCCAAAAATCACTTTGAAGTTTGCATTAATTCAATTTTATATTTTTTGTTTTTGAAAAAAATCAATAAAATTATTTGATTATTAAAAATTAAATTTCGATCGATAGACAAGCATAACTAAGTGGTGCTTGGAAAAACATAAAAATGCATTAAAATATCCCCGAAAATTCTCAATTTATTCTTTCAACCACCGGAAGACCTGCAAAAACAAACGAAAATCATTCCAGCGTTGTCATATTTGCATTGCATTAAATTGTAAATTCACACTAACGCTTGCCTGCTTTAAATTGAATCAAATATCTAATAATCTGGTCTTATAATGAGAGTTTATGCACAACATTGGCAGCGTTTGTGACTTTTTTATATTTGAAATCACAAAATCAACGAACAATCGACTTCATTAGAAATTAATCAGCAATTTAACATAAAATCCATTTCGAAAAAATGAAATGAAATAAAAGTAAGGAGAGAAATTCTGAAAATAACTCGTGGCAAAAAAATCGATAATGCCCATAATATTTTTGTCTTTAACGCCGCGTTTTTGTTTACTTTCAGATTTTCAATTCTGCCAATTTGTTGAATGTGTTTGTGCAAGAGAATAGGGGAGAGAGCGCTTGCGCCTTTCGTAGCAGAGTCATCATTACGAACTTTTCGGCTTTCTTTCGGCAGATTGTTGATATGGCAAATTGTGAGTGAGTAAAGCATCAACAACAAAAAAAAAGAACTTTTGGCGGCGGCAGGAGGCACACCGAGAAATAGACAAACAACTCATAAATCACGTGTTTTTATGTTTGGCCCCAAACATCTCCATGTTTACTACAACAACTTGTTTTTCAACGACTTGTTTGGTTTATTAACCATTTCTCTTTCCTTTATCAGTTGCCACTTTTCTTTCAATTTGAAAGTATTTTGATTTGACTTGTAGTGCATTCGAAACGAAAAGGAAAAGAAAAGCGGCAACGTCCTTTTACCATAGTTACGAGAAATTCCCTTCCCGATGACTAATAAACAATTTAAACGCACGCTTCGGCGTTCATGAGACGATGCACAAAACATTCTGCCGTCGTGCAAACACATTGAAAGGATGCGAAAGAAAATGTTTCCCCCTAAGATCACACGTTGCACGAGAAGATTTTTCATGAGTGACCAAAAGCGAAAGGAAAATTTATTTCCACAAGAAAAGAACGAAGAAAAATATAAAAATAAAAATACATTCACATTCAAAGCATTGTGGTGGCATTGAAGTTCGTACATGAACTTGAACTCTCGATATGCTGCGCTCTTTCTTGGGGTTAAAGAACGGGGAAATATAAAAGATTACGATTACGAGTATCAAGGGAAATAAAAGAAAGGAAAATGAACTGAGAATTGAAATTAATTGCGTCCATCAAGGATGAAAACTTTTTAAAAAAGAATTTCGCAAAATTCAAAGAATTTGCAATGAAATTATTCGAATTGAGCTTCGCTTACATCTGAAGGAAGTTAAGAAGCCTTATATCTTAATATTAATTTTCACCGCACAGGTAAAGCAAGTATTTATAGCATACAAAGCATAAGCACTTGGATATTAAATCGTGAACGATGACTCACTTAAAGTAATGAGAAAAAATACGAAAGAATTTGTGCACAGAGCGTTTCAAGTCAATAAATTAAAAGATTTAGTTGTGAAGAATGGAATTTTCGCGTTTCGGAAAATGCTTCCTTGTTTGGAATCTAACAATCTATCTATCTACTTAGAGAACGGAAAAAAGAAAGAAAGAAACATATAACAACGGCTAATAACAAGGACAAAGTTAGCATTTTCTATTTTCGTTCAACCTTCTTTCAAGCATTTTTAATTAAAAATCTCAACATTCTTCTTTTTTTCTTTTCTGATTCTTTTGATTGCTAGAAACGAACGAAAACTTGATTTTCTCTTCTTTTTTCTTTCATTGAGCTTTTCATTCTTTTCCTTTTTTTATTTTTTTTTCTTCTCGGCCATAAAGATTCTCAGGGAAAAAATATCAATTATTTGAACGCGTTTCCAGGGCGTAAGAATTTGTAGCTACACCAAGTCGAACAAATGTTGAAAACTGTGGCAGTTTCCATTTTTATTTCTTTCTTCTTTCTTTATTTTTTTAATTACAAGTCCCCGTAACAAACGCATTAATTTAGTTTGTAATCAATAAGACGTCGAACGAATGGATCGAGATCGCTTTTGTGCAGTTATATCGACACGGCTGTAGAGAAGTTTTTAATATGTGTGTAAATATGTGTGTGTGTTTGTGTGAAAAGGAACAAAACAACAAAAGTTTTCCTTTTGTTGATTCGACTATTCGGCTTCCATTAGTTTTTAGGGGAGTGCGAATTTATTTGTTCTTGGTAAGAATATTTATTTGAAAGTCTAACAAAAATGCTTCACCATCTTCCGATGTGAATTCAATTTAATTGAAGCGCTTTTCTTTTCTTATTACTTTTAATTTCTTTTCGCTTTTTTCTCTCAGTAATTTACAGCATTAACGAAGTTAGCTGATAATTTTTATATTTATGTTCTCAAGACTGTCAACAATATTTAAATGCTGCTTCGAAATTGTATCCGCCGACAGTGGTTACAGTCACAGACAATTTTCGCATGGATCGCTTCAATTTTTATTTCTGTATGCCATCCAATTAAATTGCTTCCAATTACCCAATAAAAATGCATTAAACAACTTAAATTTTTCATCTTTTTAGTGTACAATTTTTTTTTCGTGTCAACAATCAATTTAGCATGTTCGGCCACGATTTAACGAACGATTTTGTTTTGTCGCTCAATGTTTGGATAAATGCAAATCTTCCCATCGTCAATTGGGTTTCTTTAATTTCCTTTTTCTTCTTTCTTCTGTTTGTTTATCTTCCAATTTTCAACATTTAAATGTTCTGGTCTAGGAACAAGAAAAATTTATTTTTCTAGAGTCTGGCAAATGAGAGAAAATCGAAATGCGCTACATAAACAGCCTTCAATTTATTTCCACTTGCGATGAAAGTTTCAAAACTAACTCTGTCCCGTAATATTCATTGTTTCAAATTATTTGTATTCATCTCTTTAATCAACTAGGTGCCCAAACAAATTCATTTAAAGCAGACTCTTGATTGAGAGTAAATTGGGCAACAGTGCCAAATAATTCGTTTCATTCAAATGGGAAACTTCCGTTTTTCCTTTTTCATTTTATATCTGTTTAATATCAAAATTATTACCTGATTAAAATTGACTTAAGATCCTTAATAAATTAACTTATGCCGAACGCATTTTCACAAATCTTTTTAATAATTTTTTAAACCACCATTTCCTTCTCACTTCTTTTTTTTTCTTTCAACTTATATTAAACTGTTTAACACACTAAACTGTTTTCCTTTTATATGTCACTTCAAGCAGCTTCCTTATGCTTTTAGCTTGAGTTCACTTATACTATTTTTAGATTATTATTCATGTAACTTATTAAATACCGAAAATGAAATAAATATTTTTCAGCTTCTTCAATTGATATTGTCTTATTAAATATTTTTGGTTTTATATTCAAAAAACTAAAAGACAAAAATTATTAAAACACTTTTTTGTGATGCCGCAAACCACATTCGAACTCATGGAAACATGGCAAGCAACTGACGAGGGAATATTCAACATAATTCTATTTTATTTTTTTGTGTATGCCTTCAACTGTTTTTTTCCCGTCCGCTGAATCATCCGTGCACTAACACTTTGTAACATCAGGGAATCTTGCCATTGTGTAAGAGTGATTTCCCAATACAGATAAAAATACGAGAAATCTACGAGGGAAATTTTCCAATCTTAAACCATTTCTTCCTTTTACCATCTGCGAAGAAAACTGCAAGTGAAAAGCTAAACGTTTGTGAAGGAAAAGGAAAAATCATCGACTTTTCATCTCATTGAGCGTAAAAGCGCGTACGAAATACGTCATTTGGCTGTAGTGGAGCGGCTGACAACCGTACACGTTGTGTATCGAATGAGGCAGCTGTGAAGTTTTTTTCTTTCTTTCATTCTTTTTTTTTGTTTTTATGCTGCCAGAGCATGGCTCATATATTTATGTTCTTTTTTGGAAACATTTTCTTTTCGCTCATCGCACATGTACATTATTTCGTTCGTTTGTTAAGGACATTATTTCATTTTCAGTTGAACGTTCTATTTATATAAAATTTACGCACACCATTAAAGATGTAAAATATCGGGACTTTATGTATAACCGGGCGAAAGCCGGCAAGCAGTTTGATGAAATGAATTTTCTCATTTATATTTTTTTTTTGCTTTACAACAATAAAATAATGAAATGAAATATAAAATTTAATCATGCCAAGTATCTTTCTCCTTTTAATTCTCGCTCTCTTTCTCTCTCTCTCCCATTCAATCGTAGATTAATCCAATGATGAAACTGAATTTGAAATATCAATCGCGTTAGCTTCACGGTCTACGCAAAATTTGCTGATGTTATAAAGAAGAAAATGAAATGAAATAAAAATGTTGAAGAACAATTCTACTTGCTGTTGTTGTTGTTGTTGTAATCTTTATTATTTTATTTTATTTGAAGCCTCAGCACCAAAAGAATTGATGAAAAGGAAGTAAGAAATTAATGTTGTATTGAAGCCAGTCGACAACGCACATAAACAGTTTTACGGATTCGATTAAATATTTGAGCTACTTGCAAAACTCTCATACACACACGAGAATCCTTAAAACTTTCACATCGCCGATTAAAATTTTACACGTAAACCATTTCTTCTTCTTCCTTCTATTATTATTTTCATTATTATTATTCTTATTTCTTTTTTCATTTTCTCTTTTTTGATGTTAGTGCGTACACATAAGGTTCATAGATCCTGTTTGAATCGAGATATTCTTTTTCATTATAGTATTTATGTTGTAGTCATGAGTTGAATTACAGATGGAACAAGAAACTGTAATAACGTTTAAAGATGAATCTCCTCACAGACACGACAGCTGCTGAATGCCTTTTTAAATCAGTGATTTTTGGAGACAGATTTCTGTTAAATATTCTCATCGCGAGGACGCATTGTAATTCATCATCTTCGTGGCATCTACTTTTGTTTCAGTCAAATTTAGCATACGAAATGAAACCAATTTCTGTATTGCACTAGGTCAGTAAAACAATGTACACAAATATTTTTGTGGGGAAATTTCCACACATTTTCCATGGGTTGTCGGAAAAGAAACGGCGAGAGAGAAAGCAAAATGCGAGATTGAAAGGGGAGAAGATGAAACGGGATGTAAACTGACGTCATAAGGGGGGAAAACATTTCTGAATCATGAATTGAAGCAATTGTGATGTTGAAATCTTCGACCTCACCGATGAATCAATTCTATGGGGTGCAATTGTTGTTATTGCGATTTCAACCTTTTTTGTCGTGTAAAGAAGATTAAAAGATAACCTTCGTTTAACAAATAAAAGCTTAAGAACGTCGACTATTTAAATGTAAGCTTCTCCAATATCATTTTCGGGTCTTCAACACTCCATTTTTATATTCTAACTTTAACACGACAATTTCATTTTCATCCTAATATTTTTAAGACTCGAAAAATTAATTTTGTCATCGTTTACCGTGCGCCTATAAAAGCATTTAAATTATTACGTGTAAATTTTCGCTACAATTTTCACGCTTCATATATCCCATACCTTTAATTTCATCGGAATGGATTTTTTTCTGCCTAGGATTCTTGTATCCACTCACAAGTAGCATGAAGCAGAAAAAAAAATAAATGGAATTTTCGTCGTAAGTCACAAAATTTTTATACTTTTCGCTCTTCGGTTTCTTGGGGTTGTAGACATGAGAAAATCTTCCAAATAGACTCTCGTTTACTTTCACTGTCTTCACTGGCTTCAATGGAAAAAACAGCAAACATCCCTGCATTAAACGATTTCACTCTCAAAATTATTTTCTTCTTTCTCGTTTCTTTCCTCCAATTTAAAAAAAATTTATGTTACGATAGCGTTTATCTTCCGCTAACTTAATTTACTGGGATGCCGGATGATGGCAGCAATTTTTGCTTCGCGCATAAGTTGTGAAAACTTTACAAGGAGTAAAAATTATTCTCTCGAAAATTTAATTTTTCTTTTAAGCGTAGAATTTCTTTTCTTTCTTTGCCATGCCTTGCCTTTTTAAGGAAGAGAAGACACAAATCTTTTCCTCGTTTAACTTCATCTAGCATGGGATCGTCTCTTAAAGTAATGAAAACTCATTAATTCCTGCTACATCTGTTGAATTTGGAGATTGAGATTTTATGGCTGCAAGCGATTTTTTAAGCATAGAATTTGAAAGATTTGTAAGTTCATTTGAGAATTGAAATGAGATTTGACTTAACGGACTTTCAGTTATTTATTCATCTCATCCACTCATCCCCAAACAAAACTTTTTTTTGACAGTCAGTAAACGGTTCTTTGACTCTCACACACTCTCAACAATCTGTTTCATCTTTCATATAACTTTCTTATTCGTTATACGCTTCATCTTGAGGTCCTTTACCTTATGTCATCATTAAATAAACTCAACACAAGATGTTGTCCTTTTATTTTGTCTTTTAAAAACGAAAACCATAAGAAAAATCCATCTGTGCGTTAACTTTTGATTTGAAGTCAACATCAAATAATCTTTTGCCATTCTATTTCATGTATCTACGTAATGTTTCTTTAAGCAAAAATAATTTCAGCTGCGTCGAATTAATGTTTTTCTTTTAAGGTAAATGGCATTGCAATTTATTTTATTCTGCACTGTTGCCATATTTTACATTTATGCATGCCTGATGCACGAAAAACTTTTGTGCAATTAGGTTGATTGTCATTCTTTTTGAATCTTATTACTTTTATTTCATTGCATTGCTAACCAAATGTCTCGCATTATATACGCGAATATTAATGAAAAAGGAGAGAAGAGAAAAATATTTTAAAACTTGAAATGAATGCATAACTGATGATGATCCTTCAGCCAGTCAGAAATGTTACAAATGATTCCTGAATTCAATTTGACGGAAATGTTCACATATGTTTTAATTAAAATACAAAATATACGAGTTGTGTTCTTAACACACACACAAATGCACTCGCAATCGCACTCGTTTGTTGAAATAAAATCGATAAAGCATTTTTTTCCTTTTTAGATTTCCTCTCACTGGATTTTATTTCAAACATAGTTTGTTAGATATTTCAATATTAAAAATGAATGAAAACATTAACGAGATGAAATCAAATAGAAGTAAGTGAAGTTTATTTGAGATGTTGTTCAGTTCTTCTTCAGTAGAAGGATCCACCTAGACGGAATGCATCAATACATGCACGCGTTCATTTTTTTTATTTATTTCATGTGCGACTTTGAAATGTGTGCTACAGTCGATTGTAGAACATGAAACATTTTCACATTTTTAATAAAAGACCATCTGCTGTTTTAATACAATTTTTCCAGCTTATGTTTATTCAAATTCTACTTAGCATTGATGTGTGTCTTGTGCCACGATTTTTATATTTTCTCTTTCGGCTTTTTATGTTAAAAATCAGTTGATGAATTTCGTTGCGACTTATCAAATAATTTATTTAACGAAAATATCTTTCAACTGCAATGTTAATTCAACAACGGAACATGTGTTAAGAACAACTTTTTTATGCAATTTCATTTTATTATGCTCCGTTTCTACTTTTAGTTATTCAAAGAAAAGAAACATAATTACATATATTTTATGAGAATTTCATGCTAAAAAATATGTTTAAGCGTACCATTGCCGAAAACATGTGTGCATGTGTATGTGTACTTAAATATTTTTCTTTAAATTTTATCGATTGAATTAATTTCTCAACATTGTTGTTAGGTGAAGGAACTTTACAGAATAGTTCGGTAACATGATATCATTACATATAATTTATAACGATGTTGTTGTGAGTGTGCAAACGCAGCAACTAGGGAACCAGAAGGTATCAGTGTAGAGCTTATCGCCACGTGCATCGAGCGCTATCAAACGTTTCTGGATGAACTTCTGTTCGCAATTCGAGCCGTAGTTGTTGGGAAGCTGACACAAGTTCGAGCATGGTGAGTTATTGGAGCTGTTGAAAGGCGATAAGAAATTTAACGATCTTTTATGTCACACACAAAGACTTGAAAATTTGGTGTTTAAAATCAATTTTTCAAATAACTCTCATTGCATCATTAAAGAAACGAATGGAATGAAAAAGAAATCTTACGCGCAAGTTTCCGTTCGAACCAGCTGCGTTCCCGAATCATTACCGTTCACAATAAACATCCAGTTGCCTCTCGAATTCATTCCAGCTTGTGGATTAATAAAGTTTGTTCTTACTTCGCAAAGTCTTTCAGCAAATGGATCGCTTTGTCGCTTTCTTCTTGGTGCTACGAGGCTTAGAAATTTGTCACGAGATGGGATTTTACTTCCTTCCTTTGTATCAATTGCACGTTGCTTTCTTGCAGATCTTTAAATTGAAAGAAAACATTTTTTGTTGCAAATGTAAGATAATATTTTATATCCATAAAAACCTTCCGTAAAAATCTACAATATCAAAATAACCCGGTCTATTGTTACTTTCTCGTTCACCTAGAACTTTGTGCACATTGAATTTAGTGAAATTTCTTCGAAGAAGATCTTCAAAAAATTGATTGTTGTAGAACCTGAGTCAGAGAAAAAGAAAAGACAAAAATGAAATATTTAATATAATTTTATTGATACGCATAGCCAATAAACATGTCGCCAATTGTCATGAAATTTCCCTGCAAGTTTAAAAGATTATCAATGAAAAAAACCTCACTTGTCAAAATCATGTCCAGGAAATTCAGCTGATTCATCGAATGGTGGTTGATGATGAAAATCGCTTGGTTCGAAGAATTCTGGATCCTTGTGGCCGAAATCTCTCTTTGGAATGAACGCATCTCTTGATTCATTTGTCAAGAAATCTTCGCTTTGAAAGTTTTTCAAAAGCTTTTCAATTAATGAACTGAAAGAATTTTATTTAACTTATTTTTGGTCTTTAATTTAATTAACTTACCTGGGATAAGTTTCAATGTGTTCACCTTAAAAAATTAAATTCAACAAAATAAAACACAAAACATGAAAGAAAAAATTTGAATAAAAAGCTTACAAAAAGTTGATCCTCCAGTTGCACAAGCTGGTGTATGACCAGGTCTAGCCGGAACATACAAGCAGGGATCTTTTTCATGCACCCTTCCAGATGGTGCAAATGCAATAGCATAAGAAATCAACAGAAACTGAAAGTTGTTTTCTCTTTTTTATTTAACATCTTAATATGATGAGATTGCAGTTTCTATTTAATTTTACTTACAAACAGAATCATCCTTTCTACAATTCAAATACAAAACTCTCACTGCTCCTGTTTAAAATAAACGATGCTTCATTAATCACTGATCGGAGTCAAATGAAAATGTTCACATTTAATTCTAATGGTATTTCCATGACAAATTTATTTCAGGTCTGAATAATGAAAACAGAACGTACTTGAATACTCAAGTTCACTCACGTTAAAACAAAAGCTTGGATGTTTATTTTATATGCTTAGAAATTAAACCACAACATTTTAAAATCGTGTGAAGAATTTGAAGTTCATTTTAAATCTGATAAATAATAAAAGCAAAAGTGAATATGGCACAACATTTGATAAGTTAATTTATTAAGCAGCAATTCTGTCTCAATTAGAACACATCGACAACTTTTCCACAACTAACTGAATGAGTTGATCTTACAAACAGCTTATTATTCATCTGTGGGATCAACTTTGCTTGCTTACGTCGTTCATTGAAATATCTTGATATTGATCATTACATAATAAAAACTTTTCAGTCTTTACTTTCAACTATTCGACCTCCAACAACTTACTTTTCAAGAAATTTATAATAAATTAATTAAATTGAGAATTCACTGTTGCGAACTTTAAAAATAAAACAAAATTTCCTTCGTTAGAATCTTCGTGATGAAACTTTCGCGTGCTTAGTCTCTTCTTATTTATTGTTTTCTAAAATATATCGAAGAAGAAATAACAACAAACGTCTTCAAGAATGCGCACAAGAAGAGAAGAATGAAAAGAAGAAATCTTCTGAACCTACCTCAATAAAAAAGCTAAGAACCGTGATCTTCATAAGATCACTGGTCAACTTTTATTTTTGTCGATGTGCATATGTCCGATAAAAATGAGAATGAGATGAATTAGAATGAAACAATTTAAGATTGAATTGTTAAGAGATGGAAATCTCGAAAAGATTTTATTTATTAAAATTTATTTATCTTTTTTTGGTTTTATTCTTTTGTCATAATAAACACGAATTGTTTTAACATGAATATATGATAAATAAACCTTATGTAAGTAGATATCCTAAATATATAATTTTCTTTCTTTTTTTTTATCCTTTTTAGTTGTTTTTAATTCTCTGTCTCAAATATTCAAATGAAAATTAATAAATTCTAATTTTTTTCCTAATTTTCTTTTTAATTCTAAGCCTTTAAAGTGCAATAAGATTTTTCTTCTAAAGTTTTAACACGATAGAAACAAACAACAATCACCGACAGAGAATACTTAAATTAAATGCAAGAATTCAGCAATAAAATATTTTTTATAAAAAACAAATTAACAAAAAGAATTAAAACTAAAATTTATTGCACATAGTTTTAATTAAAAATAATGTAAAAGAAAATTCGGAGTTGACTTGAAATGTCGGAATGACAGAATTGATTTAATTTTCACTTAAATTACAACTTAGACAATAAATGATTAGACCAGATAATTAATCAATTAACTTAAGCATTTCCAAATTATTTTTGCCTGCTTCAAATTGATTTTTGCTATGATTTGAAATTAATTTTTTGTTTTCTTCTTTCATAAAAAGTACTCAAACCAAAACTTTTACCAACATAGATTTGTGAATCAGTCAGGGGTCTCTTCATTGTATGGAAAAGCTTGGAAAAATATTTTCAATAGATTCAAGTTTGAATTATTAACTTTTCTTATTCATTTTAATTATTTGATATTGATGTAAAATGACTGGAGAGATGTTTAAGGATTTTCTTTTTAATGGAGAAGAATTTTGTTGTTTGTTTGCATTAAAAGTGCATAAAATTTGAAAATGGAATTAGTTAGTCTAATTTATTTTAATTACCTCGTCTTAATGTTTGTTCATTCTTCAACCTTACAAATACCCAAAAATCATTCTTGTTTAGTTCTGTTAAGTTCATACATTTAACTAACAACCATAGAACATTTAAGAGACATTTATTCACTGCTAAATTACAGATTATTAATGGTAAGCTCACAACATAAAATTGTTTCCTTCAAAATAAATTAAAATAGGTAACAACAACACAAATAAATATTTCATTAAAAAGGATAAAATAAATGTTTTGATTGATTGTTGTCGTTAATTATTCAACGTCAATTATGAACCTGAAATTTATTTTCGATTACAATCGACAAATCACTAACTGACCGAATGTAAACAAATTCTTATGATCAACAACAAACTGAATTACCTTAAAACATACTTTGGCCTTTAATTTTTTTTTTGTTTCTTTCATCGATCCGCTTTCTTCTTCATCTACTTACTGTCGAAATGTTGCATGGAAGGCCCAAAAAGAAGCTGCTGACAAATGAACAAACTCTTAATGTTTATTGTGACCTGTTTTCATCCAAAATCTGTGTTTGAAGTTTGTGATATATAATTACGAATCATTGAATGAGCTGTTAAATCTCGAATGTCATTTAGAGTTGATTTAACTGAGATTATTTAAAATATTTCGACTTTCAAGATTATCTTTCAATTGATGGAATAATTGAAGTTGTTGTTCTGGTTTTAAATTGTAAACCTGAAAATGATAAAACTCGTCAATTGATAATTCAAAAGTTCTGAATTAAAATTTCCAATCTTACCAAAGCCAAAAGTTTCTGTGGTGAAGCTGTACGAATAAAGCTTGAAATGTAAACATTTACAAATGTTGCCATTAAAAATTGACAATCGAAGCGATCCATAATTCCGCCATGTCCAGGGATCATGTCACCAAAATCCTGTGTGAAACACACAAATTAAAACTAAATTTAATCAAAAAAATTAATAACTTTACTTTGATCTTAAAAGCTCTCTTGAAGCCGGAAGCAAAGAATCCTCCAAATGGTCCAATAACAGAACTGAAAATGCTAAGCGATAAGGAATGCAATAGGAATGGATACATCGTGAAAACTGTTTCAGTTTTTCCCTGGAAAATAATTAAAAAAATTAATTTTTGTTACATTTGTCACTTTTTTAATTAACTTACAATACGAATGCCATACTCTTGTGGTCGAAACAAGTAACTTGGCTCACAATCCAAAACAATCTTTCCAGCAGTTTCAGAATATTCAATTGGACAAACGAAATATTGATATCGACATAGGAAGTACGAGAATACAACGCCAAAGATGACTGTCGCAAAGCCACCGCCAATAAAACCTTCCCACGTCTTTTTCGGACTCAGCTTGATGAGTGGCGTCTTGCCAAAGAAGAATCCAAACATGTAAGCCATCACATCATTGCACACAATCATCATCACAGGAACAATGAACCAAATCATTCCTAGAATTTAATTAAATTTCAATTAATAATCTCTTCTCTCAGAAGGAATTTTCTTTTCCTTACCTTCAAAAATGTTCTGTATGATTAAATAGCTTTGTGTGACGACAATCAATAGAGCAACATGTGTCCAAGCGAATAGACTGAACTGTTTCATATAATATTTCTTCACCAACGACAACACAAACCATACGAATCCAATGCAATACAAGCAAAACGACAAAAATCGATGGTAAGTGATCAGAAAGCGTAAAGTTTCAACACGATTCAAGAGAACACCAAAGTAATCGAAGAGATTCTCGCCATAGAAGAAGTAATTTGATGTTAGAAGAAAATACCATGAAAGACTTCGGAACCATGGCAAGCCGTGAATACGATAAACTTGATAGCCAATTGAAATTATTTCTTGGAAACATTTCACTTGAACAGCGAGTGTCTGAAATATAATTCAATGACATTATTCAAATTCCTTCAACCTAATTAAGTTATTTACTGTGATCATCAGAGCAAGTGGACCACCAGCTATCATCATACAAAATCCAGAGATCATAATAAAGGTGAAAATACCACGAATGACCCAATTTTTCCATCTGAAAGTTTTTGCATAAAATTCATTGATTTTGTCAACATTAATATCGATGAATAAGTAAATGAAACAAAACAAAATGCTTCGGAAGTATGCGTGACATAATCGACGTTATGTAAAAGCTGTAATTGAGTTCTCAAGAGCTTTTGGACATTTCCAATCGCAGTCACGCTCTGCAGACTTTTCGCTAAATAATTTAATTGACGAATATTTAAAAGCTTAAACAAAGGGAAGTTTGTGTTTGAGGTCAATGAAAGTTCAAGCGATAAGTCGAACATTTCTTTTGTTTTCTTTTTCTCTGTTAATTTAACTCACCTATCGGGAAGACCTTTTAAAGCAGAGTCCAACACTTCAGGTGTCTTGTCAGTTCCCTGTGGTAAATTCTTTGCCATGTCTTCTGCATACTTTTCTTCTGGTAATCTTTCTTCCTCTGAATCAACCTACAAAGTTTATAAATAATTCAACGATTTTCATTTTTCGTCAATAAAATTTGATATCTGAAGAATTTCTGTTTATTTTTTTATATTTATGATGCCTGAAAAGTATATCGGAAATGTAATAGTACTTGGAACGAAGGTCATCATATTGAGTGTCACAGAAAAAATCCAAAGATTACTTAATGGCTTCAACAATTTCATAAGAGAGAGAAAGATAGAATGAAAAAGATAGCGCCAAGATTATATTGCGAAATTTGTTTAGATAACAAAAGAAGAATTTTGTTTGAGAAAAGAAAGAATTCAGTTGTTTATTGTCATGACATAAATATCAAGATGATTTCATCGTTAAATGTTTACATCCGATTAATCCTTTGAAAAGGCATAATTTTCTTAACTGCTTTAAAGTAGCGAAGCAAAATGAAAAGATAATTTAATTTGGTGTACGAGCATTGGGACGACAAAACCATTTTATGTGACTTTATGCATAAAAAATCAATATTTTCAACTTCGCTGGTTTTCCTAATTTTGTGAGGAAAATTATTAAACTTACATGATCAGAATCAGCTGTATCACTTCCAAGTTTCAGTTCATTTTCTGAATCTGCAGGACTCTTATTGTCAGTATTGAGATCAGCATTTAATTTATCGACATTTCTTCTGCGTAGTTCTTGGTCCTGGTCGTAGATTTTTTCACCATTTTCATCCATTTTTTAATTATTCCTGATAATTTTGAGCTACTTCAATCAAAAATAACACGAAGTTTGAGTTCTACGCACTGCTATACTTTTTCAATCAAAGTATGGCGCTTTAAAAACCAGAGTTTTTTCTTACTTAAATTATCTATTTTATGAAAGGAAAACAAATTTACACGAAGTTATCGAATGTGAAACTTCATGAAGTTATCCGCAGTTGATGTTTTAATTTAATCCGAACAAAGCTTAAACATTTGAATTCTCATTTACCGCTAATTTTGCGTGTCAATTTTATTTCATTGCTGAAATATCTGAAACTTTCAAAAAATGAATATTTTTGCATTTTTGCAGTGACTTTTCACACGATAAATTTTTATTTCATTATGTCTGATTTTTACACATTTTTATATTTCTAGGTTGGATGTAATATTTCCAACAACAAACTCTCTTTGAGTTTCTATTTCTTTTAATCACATTAATCACAGACTGTCGTCTATTAACAATCTCTTGTTATTAATCATTCATTCCGAAAGGATTCAAGACAAAAATTCAATAAACTAATTATAGCTTTTGCTTGTTCGTAAATGTAAAGATTTCTTGAAGTATTAAACATTTTATTCAGATTTTCACTGGCGAAAAAGAAAAGAAAATTTTCGTCTATCATTAAGTTATTGATAAATATTATTCTGAAGTACTTTCGAGGTTCAATGTCACGATGGCCTTGATATTTCAACAAAACTATGTACATACATAAAACAAGAATTTCAATAATTGTTCATGAGTTAGCTAATTAGTTTCAAGACAATTAAGTTCTGCATTCATTGCACTCACATTTAAATAGGAAAAGTTTCACTATTAAATGATTTTGGAAAATAAAAATGTTTGTGTGAAAATATTTAAAGAATTAAGATTGATTCATTCTTATGAAGCACGAACACTTTAATTGGTGCTTGTCAAGTGCAAATGTCAGATGATTAATTAAAAAACTCGCGAAATAAATTTCATTCCAAACTTCTTAAGATCTCAATTAAGATTAAACCTAAATATATTTATCATGAATTAATTGAGTTGAAATTTTATTAAGAAATTTCAAGATTTGGTAGTGATTGAAAAAGTTTTCGTTTTCCATTGAAATTGTCTTTGTCTCTCGTCGTGTCATTGACGTTCACTAGAACGTGATCTTTTGACTTGCTCGTGTGCTCAGTTGTAACATCTAAGTCGAGAATATTTTGTATATGAGACTGCAATTGATCAAGAGTTAAGTCATCTTCAACCTCACGTGTGTCATTTTTTGTCGGTGATCCAAGAATATCATCCTGAGAAAATTTCTTATTAACAAGAAGTTCATTTTCAAATTGAAGTGAATTGAGAAGTTTCGTATCAGAATATCGTCGTGTGCTGTTTTCCAATGTCTTTGGAACAGCTCGAGAGGTTTTTGCGGTTGTCGGCAATAAGATCGTTGAATGACGATAATATAATTTTGGATAATTCTGATCGTTTAATATGTCACTATTTTCAATGAACATTGAAGTTCGTATGCGTTCGTCATGTTCGCTTTTTCGATGTTTTTCATTATCTTCTATTTCTTGAACTTTCGACAATCCCGAAGTTGCCTTCAACGAACAAGATTCATTATCACCACTTATATGATATCGTGTAGTCCCCGATGTGTTTGTTGTAGAGATCGATGTGTTATCATAAACATTGTGAAGACTTCCTCTTGATGAATTGCCCTCTTCATGACGTAAATTAGGTTTAAATGATATTTGACTGAAGCCATCATCGTCAAGCTCGAAATTAATGGAACTACTCTCAATATTCGCGACAATTTGTGACTGTTGACGTAGTTGATATTCCATCGGTGGTTGATCGCTATTTTGTTCCATGTTCGCAATATTCAAAGGCGCTGTTATCACAAGAATTGAACTATTGTTGCGACGGAGTGTTTGGTTTGAGGACTGCTGTGAATTTTGGAAAGTTAAAGGCGATGTTGCTTGATTGACGGGATTCTTTTCGGGCGCATTTTGAATCAAAAGAATTCTATTTCGAGCTCTCCATCGAGCACATAAATTTAAGTATTGTTTACATTGAATATACATAAAAACAATACCGCCAGTTAATCCAACAGTGACGACTAAAAGTGAACGAATATTTAATTAAATTTAAGAAAGGATTTGAAATTGGAAATTTATTCACCCACCGACTAATTTAGTCCAAAATGGCCATCCAATTCGACCTTTATCATATATTCAAAGGTAATGGTAAAATTAATTAGTTCTTGAATGAAATTCATAATTGTTTGTTTTTTTCTTTTAATATTGTTGTTGACTCATACCTTGTCTGATTTCTTCAGCAGAGCGCTCGATTAAAACACATAAACTCCAAATCACACAAAGAGCGGCTGCCAAATGAAATAAAACAACACAAAATAATCTTCGACGTTCAACGCCGCTCATATCAAGACTTCGCCACTAAAATAAATTGCAAAACGATTAACAAAGACGAAGAGTATATCATGTCAATTCTCACCTCATTAAATGGCTTTATTTTGGATTGCATGATGAATGGAAATTTGCAAAGTTCACAAGCGTTTGTCTCTGAAGCTGTAAGCCAACTTGTGAGGCATGCTTGATGGACGAAACGAAGAGTTCCAGAACAAAGGCATGGCGTGAGAAGATTGTTGTCGGACTCATGGCATATTCTACAAAAATCTCCGCTTGTCTGACTTGTTTGGCTTGAGCTCGACCCAAATCTTTGAAAAAAATTATTTTAATGCAATAAAAAGTTATTTTTTACTTAACTTTCTTATAATTTAATTTATGTCTTTTATTACTACTGTGTTGCCATCAAATTATTTCAATGGCATAAATTGATAAACCAAAGAAAGAGATAACGGAATGTCGTTTTCAGCATTGCGTGAAATTTACTATCGCAACTTTAGCAAACAAATATCGCATCTAAAAATCGATTAATTTCATAAATGTTTTCAATTCCTTTAAAGGTTCTCACAAACAAAATTTCTACCCTGTGCTTATTATTACTTGAGAAATGTCAAAACTTTTAATAGTTTATTTATGAACTAAAGTCAGAAACTTTAATGAGAACAGTTGGAAATTCAAGTTGTTTTTGGATTTATTATCTTTCATAAAAATGAAATTTATTGGAAAATCGTTTAACTAATCTCAAGTCATTCTGTTTAAAAATATATTATTTGACCCCTACACATTCGACTATATTATATGATTACTACATTAATAAGAGGATTTTAATTACTCAATATTTTGTGATATTGTTGAAAAACTAAGAGTGTAAACAAATATAATTATTTGTAGGCCATTGATGCGCAATGGTGATCTCACCATAAAAACGATGAAGACTGATAAGTAATGAAGATAAATCAAATCAGTTACTCACCTAAAATCTAAGTTTTCTATGCTTCCTCGTGATTTTCTTTGGGCTTTTGAATCCATAATATTAATTCCATTCAAACACAACACCACAATAACGAAAACAATTTTTTTTTGTTTCTTTTTTTTTCACCAAAACTGCAAAGTCTTCAAACTTATTGAGGACGAATATGAAATGATAATAAATTTATTCTTGCACGTTTAGCCGATTATGATATAATATCTGAAGTTTTCGAGATTTCTTTTGTATTGAAAATTTTATCATTTTCGAAGAAGATACAACAATCTTCAAGTTTGCATAATCGGCTCTCTCTTGTCACTGTGAGTTCAAAAAAAAGATGTATGAGTGATGAATTCATAACAAGAGACATTCTTTGTGCTTACTATTAACCAATGTTTATTTTACTTTTCACAAACATCCACCATTACAAACCTAAATGAACTTCATACGAAAATTTTAAATAGCTACTTGATAAATACGCACAACTCTCAATTTTATTTTGTGCGCTACATAATGTTGAACACTGTGGGATGAGAGTAAATGAACAAAAACCCTGGCAATAACATTTTTTGAACTTCGGTCCGTCTCATTTGAACATAATTTTTATGTTAATATTCATTAACTTTATTAACAATCATTACCTAATTTAAATCTTTGATAAGTGCAACAACATTTTTAAATCATTATTCTAAACTTTTTACTTAAGAAAAGTAAAAGAAAATTAAATCAAAAATTCAATCAACTATAGAGAGCTGCCCGAAGTTTATCTGTTAGAAAAAGTTTGCTTTTGTCTCAAGAAGAGAAAAAAATAAGATGCTTAATTACTATTGTCCTAGTAACGAAAATTTGAGTTGGATAGAATCGAGAGGCTTCTACTTGTTCTACACAATTTTCTTAGTAACTTATCACCTAATACTTCTATCGTTGCCATTTACGTTTTTCACTACTCAAATGGTCTGGACCATAACAAATATTAGTCATAATCTGGTGATGAAAACATTTTTGCAATGCGTGGGTGTAAATAAATATAACTTGAAATTTTCTTTCTAGATTCATCTTTACTTTCTTCACATCATCAAAGGAGTTCCCTGGATAAGTCGAATGGACGATGGAAACAAGAAGGAAACCCACTGGGAACAACTTGATGGTGGTGTGCAGTGGACTCGACAAAGAAAAATACTCACAGCAATTCCAATTATCCTCTTTCTTCTCACATGTCTATACACTCAAAACTCTGAAAGTCATTTCATGGCAAACTTTATATCACTTATAGTCGTCACGCTTCCTAAACTTCCCATGTTTCATCATGTAAGACTTTTCAATATCAACAAATACTGAGATGAAACTTTTGTGAGAGGAAATAAAATTCAATTTACTGAATAATCGTAAAATAATCTAAAATCGAATCAAAACTTTTTGTTTCCTTTTTTAAGTATTTATTTCAGAGTTTATCAATCCTTCATTTAACATTTTAGTTTTATTTATTTAGCAAGAATCCTTTAGGCTTGCTTTAAATTAAGCTTAAGCTTCAATTAAATAAATTCCATCCATAAACATTAGCCAGCGAGAAATATTTGAACGATGCGCATGAAGGGAAAAAAAAGAAAAGGTAGAAAAATAACTAAATGTCCTGTTAGGCGGAATCGAAAAAGGAAGAGCAATGAATGCATCATAAAACAATCAAAAAAAGGAGAAATTCGCAAAGGGAAATGAAGAAAAATCATAACTTAGATTTCATAGAGCGATTTAACTGTTGACGAGTTTTTAACCATTGCGTCATTGTGGGTTTGATAATGGATTTTGAAGCGTTCAGGAAGATTAAGACCTTCTTTAAGCTTTCTTCCTATCTCTATTAATGCATCTTTATTGTTGCTGTTGCTTGTCCAGACAGCTGCAAAAAATATGAAAGAAAATTACAAAACTATAATCGCATTTAAATGATGACAACTCACCAATCTTATCACCCTTTGGACGAATGTTAACAACTGCACCGCATACATCGTCAAAATTCTCAAAGGCTTCTCCAATCAAGCATAGAACCTTTAAATGACAACAAAGAAATTTGATGAAATGTCATAAAAATTCGATAATTTTCTTATCTTACAGTGTCAATCCAATAGCGATCTAATTCAGGGCGTTGATTTCTGTTCAAAGATATCATCCAACGACCTCCATTTTTATTTGCTTTATCTTCCCACATAGGTCGAATGTTTTCTTTAAAAAGTGAGTAATCACTTCCAATTTTCACTTCACTAGGCTGTCTGATATGAGTAAACAAGCTCCAGAAATCTTCGACTGTGTTGAATGTTGAGACTTGGTTCTGATTGTCTTCCCATGTTTTAGTTCTATCAGGCTCATAATACCACAAAGTCCAAGCATGCTGTAAAGGATGTTTCACCAGCTCTGCATGTATTGGATTTGAGTGAGCATCCTTAAGTTCAGGATTATGCTAAAAATATAAGACATTATTAATAAAACATAGTTTACCGGATTTTTTCTTCTTTGCATCCGCATGTTAATCCAGATTATCATAGAAAGTCACGAAGAGAAAAGCCACAAAACAATAATCGCAGTAAACAGTGTTAAAAATGATAAAACTCACGAGAAAAACCATGAAATAGTGAAATAATAGGAAAGGGAAGTGAAATTTTGCCTTCTCGAGGTTTTTAACTCGTCTTTTTCTCCTTCATGGTTTTCTACGCTACTCGTGAATCGAAAAAAAAAGTTGCAAAAATTTCTCAACTTTCTCTCAAAAATCTAGAACAAATTGTCTCATTTTCAAAATGTTATCCCATTAAGCCTTTGTTCCATTCACCCTTATTATCATTATAAAGAAAGCAGATAAGAAAGAAAGCAATTTTTTTTTCAAAAACTTGTGAAAATTGATCTTTTACTAATTAAATTTAGAGAAGAATTTCGACGCTCATCGATTGCACTTTTTACTTTTCTGTCTAATTTAACAACTGTTAAGATAGTTATCTCACCTGAATGTCCGTAGAAGCCATCTGTGTAGTCAATTTTTCGAGAGAATTATCCAGTGTTTCACGTCTTTAAAGCACTAGTATGCAACGAATAACCCGACTTTTTTCTGATAACTGCAAAGTTGTTCAATTTAGATTCGGTTAATGACTAATAAGTTCAAAAATTAATTCAAATTTTTACCGTTAAATTTTCTTAGCTATTCAATAAAATGTATTTATGAATTTTTTTATTTTCTTCCTTGAAAACATGTAAGCTTGAAGCTTAATAATTATTTGATAAATTCAATAATTAAGCAAACCAAGTAAAAGTGGTTGAATTATCAAAATTACATGATTTACGAAGAAAAAATAGTTCAACTTTCATATTTGAAATAAGAATAATTTATCATGAAAAATCATAAATTTTCACTTTCTCTGACATATCTACTATTTCAAATACCTACATACTCAATAAAATATTTCGTGAACGATTTTGAAAAAAGCTGCTTAATGTCATTCATTTCGTTTATTTATTCCTCGTCATGGATATCGAATCATTTATATCATGAAAGAAATATGACTGAGTATGAGCATGGAATTACTTAAACAACACGAACTACACTCGATAGATTTGAAGCTATGAAAGTTTTATTTTGTATGGGAAATGTTGTGAGAGGAAAATTGGGAAAATGGAAAAATAGCTCGAATAAACTCTTTTCGTCGCCATATTGAATTTTATGCTTATATATTAGTACATTGGAAAGGCCTGAAAAAATGAAAAATTCTTGCTAGTGGTTGAAAAGAAAATTGATAAAATAAAATTAGTTCAAATTAACAATTTCGAGTTTTTACTTCACACAACAAAATAGAGCTTGTTGAAAAAAACTAAACTGAAAATGAAATCAATTTGACAAATCATAAGTTTGAAAATAAATCAAGAAAAATAATTTTCCCCCGCACAAAGAGAAGACAAAAGAAGAATGAAAATTCTTTCAGAAAATGTTCGAGACACTTTGCTTTGAACCTAATTTTTGAGCTGTCGGTGGTTGAAAGTTTTATGTCATCGAACAAAAAGTATTAGCTACAAATCACAAATCGCAAAAGAAAGCAACGTTCTCATAAGAACTTGATAGGATGGGAAAATATTTTCGGTTGAAACTATTTGTGAATAAAAATTATTAGCAAAAGAATTCAATTCAATTTGCATGATAACTTACAATATAAAACGCAAACATTTAGTTACTATTTTTATGATGAAGTCAAACGAAAAAACATGTGAAACAATGTGTTCAGATAACTAGAAAAATAGAAAGGAAACCCATCACATCCTTTGAAAAGGAAAGCACAAAAAATAAATTTTATATTAAAGGTGTGTTCATTGTGATACGAAAATTCATTCAAGAAAACATTGAAAAAAAAAAATTATGATCTGCAATGACGAATTGTTCATCTCTGAATATGAGTGAATTATGAATAATTCTATAAAGTTTAATATTAATAGAAAACTCCTTAAATAATATTTTTTCTACAATTCAAAACAAATTAAAAAATCTTTGAAACATATCATAAAAAAGAAAAAAATATGAAATTTATAAATTAAAATGGTTCATGAAAAGAAAAAGTGAATTAATCAATAGGGAATCTATGTTCTCAATTTATTTCAATGATTAATTAAAGTTCCTTTGTCAATTCATCCATTGACAAATATTTTCATATTTTTCTCTTTCTTCCAATGTTTACCATCCGAATGAAAATGTCATCTCCCTTTCATTTATGTGAATGGATTTTTTTTTATCATATGAAAGCTGTCTTTGAGTTTTCCAATGGATTTCCAAGAGAGAAGAAAACAGATTTCTTTGGTGGAAAGAAGCATTGGAAATGATATCGCGATGAATGTTTGTTTGTGGTTTTCTGATTTGAAAAGCTAGGTGGCATTTAATAATGTAACGTAGAGATTTTCTACGGCTAATGATTTAGACAGAAGATCGTCGATAAATCAATTTATTGAAATGATTTAAGAAAGTCATGTGAAGTCGATGTGATTATAAATATTTAAGAAGATTTCAAAGGATAAAACAAATAATTGTTATTCAATTTCATATTGTTGTATATCCAGAATGTCCTGTAGTGTATCAGAGTTACCTGCGGGGTGTCGACTTCGTGGAATGGGCTCTGGAGTACAAAGTGGCTCTCTTAATAAATCCTTGACGGGCACGGGTCAAGAGTCACCTAACGTAGCGTTGCAGAGGTCACAAAAACCATGTTACTTTTGTTGGTGTTGTTGCTGTAATTGTTCGTGGTAAGTTCTCAACATTATTAAATGTAACTTGTCAAAAATTTAGTGTATGAACATCGGCATCTTTTTGTCTTTTTCATTTTCAGGATTAAATGGTAAGATCATAATTAAAAGTTATTAAAACTTTCTCTGTGAAAATATTGACACATGAAAAATTCTCTCAACTTTTTCATTTTTTATTTCTTCACTTACAGTTTGGCAATAAAAAATGCAGAAGATAATGGACCAACGAAAAAAGATCCTGCTAGTTCTGACTTACTTTGTGATGGTGAACAGTAAGTTTAATTTTCATTTTTACCCTGGAATTCTCTTAATTATTGTTTTATTAAATTTCACGTGAAGACCATCAGTGGAAGAAATTCGAAGTTGGGCAAAAAGCTTCGATAAACTCATGAGAAGTTCAGGTAAATAAAAAAGCATTCTCCGGTGTTAAGCCATGACTGTTATTGTTTATTCATTCACAAAAGTCATGCATATGTAATGTCAACTATCTGTTTTCTTTGAAGATTGTTTCTATTACAATTGTTGTATATGAAAAATTGTTCTACTTTTAAGGCGGACGTAAAATATTTCGTGACTTCCTTCGCTGTGAATATAGCGAGGAAAATATTCTGTTTTGGCTGGCATGTGAAGAGTTAAAGCAAGAAACTAATCCGGTGGCAATAGAAGAGAAAGCTAGAAATATTTACGAAGATTATATCTCAATATTATCACCAAAAGAGGTAAAATTATTATAAAGCATGTTGTGGTGAAGTTCAAACGTTTAATTTATGATTCTTTATTTCTACACAGGTTTCTTTAGATTCTCGAGTTAGGGAGATAGTGAATAGAAACATGGTTGAGCCTACAATCACAACATTTGATGAAGCTCAACTACAAATTTATACTTTGATGCATAGAGATTCTTATCCAAGGTAACATTCTAAGAAACTCATTAAATCATCAAAGATCATTTACAATTTTCACTTTTAGGTTTATCAATTCACCATTGTTTAAGACACTGGCACAGATATCTGAAGGATCAACAGCATCAAATACTGAAAGTCCTGAATGAGGTCACCATTAGGTTGTAATGTAGGTAATTTCACTTAAGTTAAGATCAAAAATAAAACATCAAGAGAACTTTTAAGAGATTAAAGATAAAAATAATGAAGAATTCAAGCAAGGATTTAAAATTAAAAAAGAAAATGAACCACAATTGTTGTTGGCAATTTACAAATTTTCTTATTGTTTTTATAATTAATTGACATTTTGATAACTTCTCTAATAAACTTGAATCTTAATCATAAGTTTACAGTATGAACCTCAAATTTTTATCTCAGAATTTTCTCAGAGCTTTTGAAGACTTTAGTAAAATTTTTACATGTCTTGGCTTGCTCAAAAACTTATTGAAGCTTGATTTCGTTTCTATTTTCAACAAGAATTTAATGAATTGTTTTAATATTTGAATGAAATTATAAAATTGCAATCGCTACAAGACATTTTTCATAGGCCTATGAATTGAGGAAATTAAACAGCAAATTATGATACAGCGAAGAAGCTAAATTCAAGATTCTTAAATAAAGTAAGAAGACAAAATTGGATAATGATAAAATATAAAAGCTCTTGAAAATATTTCGAAATTTTAATTAAAAAAAGCGCATATGAAGTGTAGAAAAAAATTGCAGCAAGAAGTGAGATAAGAAAAAAAATTCTGGTCATGTCTAGTCACTAAAACATTTTAAAAGAAGTTAAGAATTTAGTTGAATTTGTTCACGTCTTTTGACAATCTTTATGAAACGTACGCCGTTTTAATTAGAGCTTGTTTTAAACTTTAAAGAGAATATGTTCGATCTAATTTTACGTACAATCATCCACCGTCTTTGACTTAGATTTTAAACACGAAGGTTACAGACGATATCTAGAAAATTGTAAGTCAATCATTGAGTTTGATCATCGTATCTGTTTTTTATGTGCTGAAATAAATGAAGAAAGAACAAATTATTTCTTTTAAGAAGCATCAATCCCCCATTTACAAGCGCTAATTAAAAAAATGTGGAGAATTATGAGATAAGGCCTAAAATAGACAAAACCAAAATGAAAAGCACTAAATACGAAGCAAATTACTTATTTAGAATGAAACACAAAGAAAGAAACACAAAATGCACAAAATTTCTCACACATTCTTTCATATAAAAAACATGAAAAGTTTTTTTATTTGATCGGCTAATAACATTTTGGTGATGGAACCGAGAATGTTCTGCAATGTTTAGATATCCCTTACGTGTATAGTCTCATGGAGAATTAGAAAAATAGATGCTCAAACAAAACAAAAACATTAAAGAAGGAATAAACAAGAGTCTTGAATTTAAGAATCTGCCTGAGATTAATAGAAAGCATCAATCACAAAGAAGCATCGGGAGCAAGCCGAAACCCACAAACATATATTATATCTACATACACGATAAGGATAATTGATAAATAAATTTAGGAAATTATGTGATCATGAAGATTAAGAACTTTTGTTATCTTATGATTTGAGAGATTATGCTGAGTTCAGGCATGGAAAAAGAGATATGAAAAAAAAGTTAAGCGGCTGAAACAGCAGTAAAATTGTGTATATATGTACCTTGCAATTTCCAAAGAATTTTTCTTGCTTTTCCTTATCATAGCGAAAAAGCATTCGACAAAATATGCAGACAAAAATTAATGTAACAAAATTAATTCTTTAATTTTTATCCTTAAAAGAATTTTGTCTCCACTTTAGAATTTTCAAATACAAGTAATTAAAAGTAAAAACAAAATACAATGTTGATAATAAAATTAAAAAAAAAAATGTAGCAAAATTTTCCGATTTTTAAAATATTCACAATTATGAATTTTCATTTAATTTCTATATGTTAAGAATGATAGGTTGACATGTTTAATTAATTTATTATGTTTCATAACTCGTTGAAAGTTTTATAGTTCACGTTTAAGTTATTATATTTATATGTTTTGAAGAATATTCCTAAGTCATATTTGTCATCAAGATTTAGTCAACTTAAAATCCTCGACAGATGAATTTAAATAAAATTACCAGCACAATTTCATTGAAACGTTGTTTAATCCCATTAGAAATCCTTTTAATACAAGATAGTCAATCAAGTAAGATTTTTTAAGATGCATGTTTTCTTTTTTAATTTCTTATTTTTATCAAGAAAAACTTAAAGTATAATTAAAATTAATGTTATAAGAATCTAAGGAAAAAGAAATTCAACATGTAACCCAAACACAATGTATGAGAAAGTGATGACAAAATATGTATTAATACATCATTGAATAATTGCATTCACAACCCTTAAAACTTAACATTACATGCAACATCCTCACATGCCCATCCTACATAGTTGTTGGAAAATATGAATTATATTGATAGCGGTTTAAAATTGCAATAAATTCTTTAGACATTCAAAAGTAACAGGAGAAGAACTCAATAAATTTAAGTCATGATAAACACTAAAACAAATAATTTCTTTATGAGTTTAACGCTTTTAAAGCATGCATCTTGCGAAACCATTAGGAATAATGTTCATTAAAATAAGAACCTACGGATAAACAGCGAAATAAGAAAAAAAAAAACTTTTTAGATAAGAAATTATTAACTCCTTAGAACACACACATACAGAACGCATTAAACACATATTTTTATTTTTGAAAAATATGTAAGGTTCAATGTAAACGCAGTTGTAAATTTTTAATGACAAAATTTCGAATTAATAAAACAATGAAAACATGAACACAATTAAAATATCGAAGAAAATTTACTGTGTGATCTTTGATTTTCAGAAATGATTGAATTGTTATAAAATTTAACGTATTTTTTCAAACGAAAACTTGGAATTCAAATTGAACTGACTGGTTCAAAAGAGAGATGGTTGTGAACACTGGGTTAGGTTCAATTATGTGATTTCAGTAAACACTTATCAACGATTTTAGTCAGTTTACTCTCAAGACATCATGGGAGAGTTAAATTAATTTTTTGATGAATTATAAGTGGTAAAATTATTAAAGTGCCAGTATTCTGTACAGTTCCATTGAATAATATAATAGACTATCAAAAAAATTGGAATTGTGTAAGTTGAAGCCAGTTTTATCTTAAAAAAATGAAAACTCACGCCCTGAGTTCAAATTCCTTTTTTATCATTAAAATGCCATTCGCTGTGAATCGATATTAAATTTGCATAAACTTGAAAATATTGTGCTCATGAATATCGAAGGATAAATCCAAAAAAGGTCGTATTAAAAGCGGCGTTAGTGAACATGTAGTTTAATGTTAATAAAGTTTGATAAAAAAATATATAAAGAGCGGAAAAATCGATAAAACATCTCCAGTGTTATATGGTTCCTCTGATTTGTATACAGCAGATAAAATATCAATTTAGCTGTAGAGCCCAAATTTTAATATAAAAAGCAGAAAATATTAAAAGGAAGAAGAAGAAGTGTCACACACGCAGTTAAAGTTTGATGAAGAACAAAATATAACTGACCATATCAATTTAATAAATCTTATTCAAAGTTGACACCTGTTCCCGCAACAAGCTTGAGCTACGTTACAAGTCACGCTCTCTTCAATGACTTAAATGTTTCACATTCCTTTTTATCTGCGTACATTTTTATTTTTTACTACACCAACTTTCAACACTCGCTTAAAGAAATTAGTTTAAATAAAAAAGTATTAAACGACGAATAAGAAGAAATGGAGAGAAATGTGAATCATTTTCGTTTTAACAAGTGAAAATAACATTTAAAATAATTAATTTACTTCTTCTTCTTCGAAATATGTGAATGTCTATCCAGCTCTTGCTTTCCTTTCATGATTCGCTGAATTCATCGCGATATTTAAAAATAATATCTGCGTGAAAGTATTGCCGCTGACTTCACGCAAAAAGTGTTATTTCAGTTTTGCACGATTAACAAAAACAGAATACCTACCTGAAGAAAAAAAATCAATATTTATTAGAATAATAAAAACTATTCGCCGTTTTAACAACAGAAAGTAATTTGCCTTCATCGTACAACGAATGTTGTCGGTAAGCATAGAAGAGCCGAAAGTGTAGATATCAAAGCGTCTCACATTGAAGTTTATGTATTTATCGCTCTTTTTTGATAGTGCTATTAATGTATTGTGCTGAATTGAACGAAGGCAACAGCTATCAACCTTGATATACATTGACGAGTATTGCATTAGTTATAACTTCGATAAAATTACATATCTAAAGTCTGTTATTATTTAATTTGCCTTTTATTTTTTGTTGTTTGCTGTTGTTGTTCTAGGAAATTAGATAAGAAAAGTATTTTCACATGTAATTTTCCCAAGGAAAATTAAAAATTAAAAAAGAATTCAACGTAATCGTTGCTTTGTGCAAAAAAAACTATAACATGTACATAAAGTACCTAATGCTTAATTACCTTCGTCGTGTATTTAATTCATACGTTTGAGACCCCCAATGAACGTATTAACTAAAAATAAATATTTAATTGCATATGGATTGGTGTTTGTGGGAAATTAAAGTGAGAACATCGAAGATAATCATGCTAATTGTTTACTTCTCATCGAAAGTTTACATTCACGTCTCAGGCAATCTCATTGCTTGTTTCCTTCTTCTCAATGTTTATCTAAATTTAGTTTTCATTTTCGTTTTCTCTGTCTATTTTCAGACCTCAAAGCCAATAAATTGTTGATGATTATAATGCTTAGCTAAATGAGAGCAGAAAAAGAAAAAACACTTACACACACACACAGTATTTACTAAAAAATTACTTTTCATCAAACCTGAGTGAATGATATTAAAAGCAAATAGTTTGATGAGAATCTAGTACAAAGTTTCAAGTGTTATGTTGGAGCGTCGTTCTTTGATGAGCCTTCTAATCGGACTCACATTTTGTGTCTCGATTTGGCAACTTATGTTGCAACAGCAACAAAAAGAACAGTTTTATGGCAACACATCGCATCTTACTGTTGTTATAACCTTGACCAACAACGATTCTACAATTCCAACATTTCAATCAGCAACCTTATCGTCTCCTTTAAATACATCATTAGATCTAAGACAGCAGCTCGAGCTTTTACCAAAAAATGATTTCAATCAACTTATTGATTTGGAAAATTTTGAGTTTCTCACAAAACAAAAAATGTGTAAAAATCTTGTGCAATCACCAACAGTTGCAATTGTTGTTCATTCAGCACCATTAAACTTTCGAAAGCGATTAATAATTCGAGAAACATGGGGTTCGGATGATCCAAGAGCTGTGTTGGTGTTTATGATTGGTGTAGTGAATTCAACAATTGTGCAAGATGAAATCGACAACGAGCAGCGGATGTATGGCGATATTGTGCAAGGAAATTTCATAGATGCTTACCGAAACATAACATACAAGCATGTTATGACTCTAAAGTGGTTTGTTTATTTCTGCCATGAAGCAAATTTTCTGCTAAAGACTGATGATGATGTGTTTGTTAATACTCCGCTGATGTATCGATATTTAGAGACGCCATCAGCTTATCATAAACAATTTCATAACGAGCATCAATTGCTTTTATGTCATAGAGTGAGTGGAGCCAAAGTCAAGAGAACTTATCGTTCTAAATGGCGAGTATCGTATGACGAGTACCTTAATAGACATTTTCCAAATTATTGTCCGGGCTATGCAATTCTCTATTCATCTGATGTTGTTTTTGATCTTTATCGACAAGCTCAGAAACTTCCATACTTTTGGATCGATGATATTCATATAACGGGTAATGTGGCCTCAAAGCTCAATATTTCAATCACACCGACAAACGGCTTATTCTTAACAAAAACTCAGCAGGAAGGATTGCTCAATGGTCGGATTCAGACTGAAAGTTATCCATTCTTTGTCGCACAACCAGATCTAAGTGAGAAGGAAATCAGAAAATTGTGGAGTTTAGTGACAAATGTGATCGAATAAATAATGAAAAGAGAATGAACTTCCTAATTATGTATAGTGAAATGAAGAACATCCACACAAACACATTTATGTGTGAAAAAGACTTTGATATTGACATTGAACCAAAAAGAAAAAGAAAATTTTAGAAACGGAATCTCAAATGAGCGTCAATCATTTATAATTTAAACTTTTCTCAGGCATGCTGCATGAATCTATCATTTTGATAGACAATTAACAACTTTCCTTCTCTGAAAAGAATTAAAATTTGTTTTGATGTTGTCGAATGATTGAAAATAAAAATAATTAGCGTCATAAATCAGTGTAAATCCAACTTTTCACCTAAATACAAGCAGAAAAAAAATCAAGTTTCTTCTTTTGGAAAAGAAAAATTGTGCCAAGCACATTTAAATCGCCATTTGAAACAATAGTCAAATTTTACTTAAAACCTCTGTGACCAAAATGCTTAAATATTAAACATAACAAAATGATTGCACAAATTATGTTAATTAATTATTATATGTATTGAGTTGAAGACTTTGTTTAAGTACTTACTTATAGTACTATATTTTATTTGGTCACAATAAGAATTTTTGAATGAATAACAAGAAGAAATGAACTGATGGAAGACCATAAATGAAAAAAGATTTTTCTTTATTTTATTAAACACTTAAAAACTTAATTCGGAATTGAAAGATTCCTCTTAGGCATGTTTGAATGCCTTCGATTCTACAAAGTGGAAATTAAATAGCCGAATAAAATGAAATTTGAGACTTTTCCTTCAAGAAGGCAAAGATAAATTTTTGTTATGAAAGGAAAAGAAGTTTTCAGATTATTTTCAAATTGTTGAAGCTTTTATTTGATATCGGCATTAAATAAATAGAACAAGATTAGATTCAAATACTTAAGCATAAGCTAGTCTCGAATCTTTATAAAATTTAGCTCAATATAATAAATTTTCGCGACAAAAGCATAAATATAATAATTAGATTATTTTTTTTGTTTCGTTTTGAAATATTTCACGCTTAAAAAATCGCTTATTTACACTAAAAATCATATTCAGTTTTATTTCTTCAGCTTTGGTGCTTAAAAAATAAAAAAAAATACTTAAAATGCTTAACCAAAGCTTGTAGAATCAAAACTGAATATTTGCTTAGAAACAAACGAATGCATTAAGTTCAACTGATAATAATTCAAGGCATTCAGTTTAACGTACGAAAAACATATTTTCGATTAAGTTTTTAGGACAAAAGAAAACTTATGGACGATTTAATGATAAAAATGTATTAACTTGATATTACCAACAAAAAGGAAAAGGAAAATGTAAAATGAATGATATTAAAGGGCATTTTTGAACAAAAGTTCTATGATTAGTTTACTTTTAACTTAAGAAAAAATGTGCCAATTATTTTTTTAAATATTCAATGGAAAACCAGTAAAACTTCTATTATCTTTAAAGATAACATGTACACAAATTTAGCAAAATTGAAAGAGAATATCTTTAAAACATACATAAGAAATCTTATAAACATTTGACACTTTGTCGTTATAATCAAATTCATGTATAAATTTCGACGATAAATTGTTCGCTGATTAATAACGAATCGTCCAATAAGATAAAGGAAAATGATGAAAATATTTGTTACAAAGTTTCGTGTTCATGAAAATCAAAATAAAAAAATTAAAAAATAAAAATCAAAGAGTTTAAAATTTTCTTGCCATATTTACAGAAAAGAACATCTTGAAATGTGTTTGTTTATTAAATAATTCATGCTGAAAAATTCATTTAGGTAATTAATCTGCGTCATTTATCATCTCTGTTGTCTCAGTTATATGCGAATCACGTGGTGAATCTGTCAGGTAGTTTGAGGTGCGGTTAAAAATCTCATCAAATCTCATCAATTTATACTAAATTAAAAAGATGCAAATTAAAATGAAACATATTAATTTTCATATCTTATATAACATATTCAACCCGACCTTCATCTAAAATTCTTCAATTCATTATGAAAGAACATCAGCTCAATTTCTGCTATTTGGTAAATATTTAACAGACAAATATTCAAATATTAAATTTACATCATCCGAACATTCGAAGAGTATCAATGATCGGACTAACTTTCTCTCGACTTGTTTACAAAATTTCAAAATACTAGGTATTTTGTATTCCTCGAGAGGAGCTTATATTAAATTAAAAAGGAGAACTTTAAAGTTTTAAGTTTAATTTTAAAGATAGCAATAAACTTGACTAGTTAAAGAATAACTCAAAGTTTAGAAATGCAAACGCCGGTTTGTAAAGCTTGTGTTATTCCAGTGTGCCAAAACAAAAAATTCAGCCTTGTTCATAAGTTTCCAGCTGATAAGGAAAGATTTTCTGAATGGATGCTGTCTATTCAAAGATCAAAACCTATCGAAAAATTAACTTCTCTCACAGATGATGCCATTCGAAAGCGCTATTTTGTGTGCGCACGACATTTTGGTTTAAATGAATACAAAAATGTTGAATCAAGGAGTTTAAATCTTACAGCTGTTCCTAAATTTAATTTAGAAGACCTTAGTGAAATGCACTTGTCAAAAGCTTGGCAATTGGAGAATTCTGCAGCTCCCTGTTCCGAAGCTTTCCTCGATGAATCAGACTCAATAAAAATTGAATCTCCAACAAAGATTCTAAATCCATCTTTAAAGGTAAACAACAAACAAAACATCAGCTTGTGTCGGAAAACTGAAATAGATACAAGTCCAACAAATACATCTCTACCTCCTACTGACATTGTAGATGTCACATTTAAAAATAATTTAGACGAGCCTCCTACAAAGAAAGCGAAAATTAGCAACGCTGTTGACATAACAAATCTAGAGAAGATTAAAGAAGATCACTCAGCTATTAAAAAACAACCAAAAGTGCAACATAAAGCTAAAGATATGTCAAATAAAATCAAATTAATGGTCAAGCCAAATAAAAATAAAGACAAAAAGAAAATTAGTGGGGAAAATGATAAAAATTTATCTTTGGAACTTAAAAAAGAAGAATCGCATGAAGAAAGTGAGGATAAAGGATCGAATAAACTTCTTGCGCTTATAGAAGTCACATCCGACCAATATTTACAATTAAGTCAATCATTATCAAGTGAGGAGAGAAACGAAAAAATTACAACTCTCTTAAATTTCATGACGACAAACGAGAACGACCAAAATTCATCGGAGCAAGGTGATTATGCAAAATTTCTTATCAATTAAATTCTTTAATTCTCATTCGCATTTTAACTCTTCATCGACATCGATGATGTTTTCAGAATTAAAAATTAAAGTCGACGAGGATTGTAGCATTAATTTGGATCTGTTTTGGTTGCGTGATCATTGCCGTTGTGAAGCTTGTTACGATCATGGAAATTATCAAAGAAAGCTAAACATCCTCAACATTCCTGACGATATCAAAGTTTCCTCTTACGAAGTTGACAATGGCAAGGTTTCGGTTATCTGTGAGTTTGTGATAAGTTTTCATTGTGTGTGAAAGAAATAATTCTCATGATTTTATTTTGTAAAGGGAGTGATGGACATGAATCTTCTTACGACATTGAATTTCTCCTGAAAAATCAACCTGGAGCAACTCCACTAGCTGCTAAAGAAATTTGCCTTTGGAATAAAGAAATCATTGAAAATCCTTTAAAGACAAATTGTCGCGTTTTACTTCGCGATTACATGAGCGACCCGGATGTGAGCAAAAAAGTTATTGAAAATTTACATTTCTATGGTGTTGCATTCATTGATGGCGTTCAACCAACACAACATAACACAGAATTTGTCATTCGTCAAATATTTCCCATTCATAAGACATTGTTTGGTGAAATGTGGTCATTTTCTGATGCAAACAAAGATCACAGTGACACTGCTTACACTAACGGTGAGAAGAGGAAGAGTTTAATGGTGAAATAAGTTAATTTTTATTACTTTATAGGATATCTTGGAGCACACAATGACAACACTTATTTTAATGATGCTGCTGGACTTCACATTCTTCATTGTATACAACATGCATGCACTGGTGGTGAAAACTTTCTAGTTGATGGCTTTCAAGTTGCTGATAAGATCAAGAAGAATCATCCAGAAGTCTTTGAACGATTAACCAAATCATTGGTAACAGCGGAGTTTATTGAAGATGGTCGAAATCATAAACATACGGCACCGATAATTAATCTTGATCCAATAACCGGTGACGTTGTTCAAATTAGATTCAACATTTATGATCGATCGCCTTTGAATTTAATTCCACCAACAAAAATTCGTCAATTTTACAGCGATCTGAAAATATTAATGAAAGAAATTGAAGATCCTGAGAATCGAATTACGTTTCAGTTGAAACCAGGAACTGTCATGATCTTTGATAATTGGCGGATTCTTCATGGACGATTAGCATATCAAGGAAAGCGCACAATGACTGGATGTTATGTTGCCAGAACGGAATTTCAATCAACACTTCGTGTTCACAATTTTATTGATTAAGTTCAATAAAAATGCTTTAAATAAAATCGAAAATATTTAAAATATTAAATTCTCTTCAATCTCTTCTTCAACATCATCGGCATCGTCTTCTTGGTCGATTGATTTTTGTTTCCTTAAAGGATTTCTTCCACTGTTCCATAGTTGATTGAAGTCAACGCCACATTCAAAAGCTAATTTCTCAATTTGAGATCGATCAATAATTTCTCTTGAACTCCAATCAGGTTGTTTGCTAGAAAGTTCACGAAGTGACGACATTGCTTCTGAGTATTGTTTCAATGCAATTTGTGATTCGATTAACAAACCGAGAAGATCACAGTGACGTGTTGGTGGCTGATCTTTATTGAGAAGGCTTTTGCAACCATTTATGACTGAATGGAAGTCTCGACGTTCAGCTAAATCTTGAAGTTCCATGAACCTTTTCACACTCAAAATTGATTGCTGTAACTTTTCCAAAGCATTATGATTAGGAGAAATTTTAATTAAATATTTTGCTGCTTCTTGCAGCGCTTTCAGTGCTTTATCGTAATCACGATACTCATCAATCTCTGCTTGTGCGCAAACAGCATAAAAGTTTGCCAACAAATCATAAGCTTGTCCTTTCGTGTAGAACGTCACAATGTTCTTGAGAATCTTCGGATCGTTTTGCCAATCCATTGATTGCAAGTAATTTGCGGCCATGATGTAAATTTCCTTTTGCCTTGACATTCCAGCAAAGAAAACAATTTTTTCAGTGTCACCAGATTTCAGTAAACTTTTCATAGCTTTAATTTTATCACCAGCTTGTGTAAACTTCTTAGTCGCTGAATGATAATCGCCTTGTTCTTGTAGAAGATCTCCGAGAAGAATTAAAATTCCATTTCGTTTCTCTTCCGTCATATTTTCTTTACTTGGCGTTAATAATTCAGCAAGTGTTTCAGTGATCGGCACAGCATGTTTGGAACAAACCTCCAATGCTTGATCATATTTCCCTGCATTTGCAAGAAGTAAAACTGCTTTCTGATTGAGATTTATGCTTTGGAAGAATTCAGCACATCTTGCGATTAATTCCGGGTCTGATTTGTCATCGAGTTCCGATGCAATCACTTGAAGAATGTCAGGTTGTTGTGATGCAAAAGCCATTTCAATTGCTTTATGAATAGAACCAGCTCGATGATACAACTCAACTGCTCGTTTGTAATCTCCATTTTCTTCGAAATAAACAGCTGCGCTGATTTTATCTTCCTTTGAACGTGCATTTGTTGCGACATTCCACAATTCATCTTGCAAATCATTTTCTTTACAAATTCTCACAGCATTTCCATAAGTCTGCGCACGAGTATAAAATGCAATTGCATCGGAAAACTTTCCGATATTTTCATAATGCCGTGCGAGATGATAACAAGCAGATTTGTTGCCAGAATGTCGAGCGATTGAATCAGCGCGAGAAAGTTGACCAAGAAAGCATAAAATGCGAACTTGACTGAACCAATCTTCAGCTTTTTGATAAATCTTGTAAGCAGATTCCATATCGCCAGTACTTTCGATGTATTGTGCATACCATTTTAACATTTCAGGGTCTACAGTTGTTTGCATAAACTTCCTTAAAGCCACTTGATCGTCCATCAACATTTGTGTGATGCTATGAACTGGATCGCTGGTCTGTTGATACATCTTCAAAGCACCAGCAATGTCACCATTTTCACTCAACCATTGTGCATACTTCATTCGAGTATTCTTCAAATGAACTCGATCGAAGCTTTCAGCGATCTTCAAAGCTTCTTCGAAACGTCCGCAATTTTGTAAAAGCTTGTTAAGTAAATCGAAACGCCCACACTTTTTATATAAATTTTCAGCATCTTCGATCATTCCAAGTTCAATTGCAAGAACAGCTGTCTTGGCTTCTGTTTCAAGACTTCCATCTTCCATTGCTTTTCGAACAGCTCGAACTGATCTCGCTTGTTTTAAATGTCCCAAGCATATTTTAGCAACATCCAATCTTCCTGTCTGCACACACATTTTCGCTAAATTACTCCAGACAGCTTCTGATTGAAGTGAACGAATACAAATGAAAGCTTGATCTAAATTTCCTTGTGCAACATTCAAACTGAAATCCAAAACAGTTTTCCTCGTTGCAACATCAGAACTCTGAAGTCCAATAAAATCGCTAAGTGTTTTTCGTCCAACAACTCCAACTTTCAATGTGATGACGTCCGGTGTACAAAGATTAATTAATTGTTCGTTTGAACTCAAGTCAATCATTTCAAGTTCAAGAATTGACTTATCAGTTGGGAAAAGTAAATAAACTTGCGATTCACTTACAGCAACACCATCCGAATATTTCATTTTATTTATTTGCTGTTGAATTAAGCGAGCTTCACATGCCAACAAACGATGATCATCAGTATCCCAATTAAATATGATTGGAAGTCTCGCGGCGAAGTTGAAATCATCTTTTCGAAGAAAATCATACGACAATACGGCATCTGATTCAAGTTTCCAAATATACAACTTGCCATCTGGCATCAAACTTTCAGTTGCTATCGTTAATGCCACACATGATCCATCACTATTCGCTTTTGCAATTATAACTTCCCCGAAATTCTCAAAGAGATCGTAAGCGTTCTTCGTGGGTACAACAAGCTTCAATTCATGCCTTGAGACATCAAAAACTTTTATAAAACCATTTAAAGTGAAAATTGTTAAATATTTATTTGTGAGATCAGATCCAATGGGTTTCCCTTCGTGATCAGTAAATGAAAGTTCTTGAAGCTTCACTCCATTCAATGACAATACTGTGACATTATTTTGTCCAATGCAAATCACATTTTGTTCATAAATGTAAACTTGAAGATTATCACATGAAAAGTTTGACGAAAATCGAATTGTCAAATTATTATTCAACTTTATGTCACTAGTGGATTTCAAACTTTGATCGGCTATGATTGAATCATGTGATGTTTGCTGAATCTTGTAAATCATAACAATTTTTCCATTCGTTAAGACAAGATTAAGATCGTTAAGACACAAGTTTGTGATTGATATGTCACTTGAAACTAAACACGTTTGTTGAGATGAAGTTTCAACTAGAACTTGATTAGCTGATCGTTGTGTTACCCAAATATCACGAGTATAGTAGGACATGAGTGGTTGTTCCTTAAGAATGTAGACATTCGAGATGCAGTTGACGACAATGCATGGATTTAAAGTGTCACCAACAATTCCCCAAATGCATTGTTTGATTGCACCACGAACAGATGAAACATCAGTCAATTGCCAGCCATTTTCAGTTTCTGATTTAAAACTCGTTTTTTTCCAAATGTAAACACTTCCTTGATTCGTCCCAGCACAAAGTGTTTGATTCTGTTGGCAATATCCGATTGAAGAGAATATTTCAGTATTTGAAGTTGTTTTACTGTTTTGTTTTGTGTGTAAATTTTTGATGCTTGCATGATCAGTCGGAAGTAAAAAGTTGTCACTTGTGTCGATATCCCAAATTCTTACTGATAACTCTCCAGTGATGATAGCGAGAGAATTGCCAGCCCATGATATGGCGCCATCATATCCAGACATTCTGCTTGATAGTTTCACACGATCGAGTTCAGTAAGACTACCTGAAGACTCTACAAGGAAATGACCAACAGTCATGTCTTCCATCAAAGTCACAATTGCTTCACGTTTTGGATGGAAAAGTATTTGAATTATTGGTGAGTCGTTTTGTAAGACTTCAGTGCATGTTCCTGATTGATTGATGTAAAACAAAGCACCCGATTGTGAGCCAACATAAAAGCAATGATTGTCCTTAACTGTCGTGTGAGATAAATTGCGAGCTGCTGTCTTCGGACGCCAATTTGTTAATGTGTCAAGTGCAACTTCATCTCCTGCAACTGCTAACTTTGCCAAGTTCATCAGTTCTGTGCTACTTGAACTTTCAACAGTTTTACGAAATGTTATATGAAGCAAAGGATCACGCAAGTCATGACTAAACATTGTTAGAAATTGTCCTTGTTGATCACATCTCCAGCCAGTTAATGTTCCATTCTGAAATATTTTATTACCGTAATTATGTTACTTATTAACTTTAAATTTGTCACTTACTGAATCAGCAGTCACTAAACGTCCACCTTTCTCACTAAACTCAATCAACATTATTGGTGATTTGTGAGAACTTGAACCTTGAATGGGAACAAATTCTCTTTTACCGCTGATCCATGCAAAAATTTCTCCATTTTCCCAGCCAGATATTAAAAGTTGTTTTTGAGGATGAAAGGCGAGTGAAGTTGATTGACTTACTGGATGGTTGGGAAAAGTTATGTCGCGTAAAGGTTCACCCTAAAAATAACACAATTAAGAATTATTTTTTATAAATTTAGGCAAAATAAATTTCTACTCACAGAGTCATCAAAAATTGTCACTGATCCGCCGCGATTCTCACCAAACCCGGCAACAGCGAAAATTGGTTCGTTTGGATGAAATACCACAATTGTACTTATTGTTTCTGAATCTAAAAACTGAACTTTTGTATCGAAAAACAAAGTCATTTTGATAATTTTTTACAGATCACTTTTTCAATTTTTTCTTGTTATGTTTACGGCTTATTTATGTTACCATAGAAACAAAGGGTGAAAGAAGAATTGGATAATTCAAGATGAGTGTTGAATCTACGTGTTGCGCAAAGTGTAAGAAAATTTCTTTCTTTTACATAAAACCAATTTCGATTAGCTATTTGATGTATCATTTGAAACATTTACTAAATCATTCACAAATGTTTTATAAAATTATCAAAATTATTTTCATGTTGATCATTTTAAGAAAATTTAGTGATCATAAATTTAACGGTCAAAAACGTTTAAACTTGCTAAGGGTACGCATGTGCGCTCATTGTTTTGATTGTCAAAGAATTTTCTCCAACAATTTTTGTTCTTAAATATCCTGAAAATTCAGAACTTCCAATTTTTATTATTTTTAAGTAAGGTAAAATAACGCAATATATATTCACACATCATGATAACACTGACGAGGAAGAAAGCAAATGAGAGCAATGGCCAAAGCAAAAGAATATCAATTCGGTTTGTTTAGAGCTGAAAAGTTTCATTGTTCACAATTCAATTGACATTCAATTATTCTTTCAGTGATAAGCTTTTAGTTAAGGAAGTACAGGAAATGGAGGAAAACTTACCGAGCACAGTGAAAACTTCGTTTCCTGACTCAAATAATTTATCGGAATTTTATCTAACGGTTCAGCCAAACGAAGGCCTCTGGAAAGATGGTAGATTTAAGTTCCTTATCACAATAAACGAAGACTATAACATGATGCCACCAAAAGTAAAATGTCTCACAAAAATCCTTCATCCAAATATTTCGGGTATTTTTAATAATTGTTTTAAATGTTTTTCATAAAAATTTAAACGTTTCAATTAATTCAGCTGCAGGAGATGTTTGTCTTTCTCTTCTTCGACTAAATTCTATAGACGGAATGGGATGGATGCCAACAAGAAGACTTAAAGATGTTATATTTGGTATCAATTCTTTATTTACTGATCTCTGTGATTTTGACGATCCTCTGAATATCGAACTCTCTGAGGAATACGCCGCAAACAGTGAGAAAGTAAAGCAACGGATTCGTGAGCACGTGTTACAAAATGCAATGAGATAGCCGCACAAAATGTTGTCGAGATTAATTATAATAACTAAAGGAGAAAAAGTCTTGGAGAAAATAAAAATCTCGTTGTTCTTTTGAAAACACTGATCTTTATGTTCTTATGCATGTTGATAATCTTATCGTGAAACGAATGACGAATGACAAAGTCCGCTGTAAAGTTCCAGCCATTGCATTATTTTACATGACTCATATTATTTCTTAGCTGTCATCAAACAATATGAAATCAATTCTAAACTGTTCTCATTAAACAAAAAAACATTTTTATTTAATCTTCCCTTCAATCAATATTTAATACAAATTGAATAAAAGTTAAAGGTGTTTGAACGGTAATAAAGATATTTCATATCAACACTTTATTTGAACTTTACATTTAAACAAATTATTTACATTATGAACATTTCAGTAGAAGAATTGATGACTCAGAGTCACTGAGAAAACAAAATGAGATTATGACAGATGTGATCATGTGTAACATTTATCTCGTGACTTACTTTCACACTTCAATATGTTGATTTAAATGATATTCGCAATAGATTGAGGGAAGTATAAAAACTTTAGGGACTCTACTCTTGAGAAATAAATAAATGCTATGAAAATCGAATATTTATTCATTTAATTATTGTTTCAATTTCAAAAATTACTCCTTCACAATTGATCAAATAAATGGAAAATTAACGTAAAATTGTCAAGTGTGAAAAGGTTTTCGTTTTCGTTTTGGTCTGTTCATTCATTGTTATGATAAATTTGTCATTCGTAGGTGACAACCGGTGGTTTCTGGTTCAACAAAACTCCATTTCTTAAGAAAACGATAATAATTTGAACATACAAATTTTTTTTTTGATTATCTCATCTTTTATATCAATTGTTGCTAAAGAAATAAATTTATTTCTACAATTGAAATCAATCAATAATAAACAGCAAAAGGACGATCGACTCTTTTACAAATTTATCTCTTATTTCCTGCATCTTATTATATCATGTTTAAACCACAATAATGCTAATACTTCATCCAGATCAAACCAGTAACCCTAACTGTTACACAGCAATACAAAATTTACAGTGAAGGCAAAAATTTCTTTCTGTTTTTTGAATTTAGGTCAAAAGTTTGATATGACATTAAACTTGACAATAAATTGTCCACAGAGCTTTGTTAAAGAATGATTAAAATAATTGATTGGCGGCTTGAATACCATTCTCTGTCAATGCTTCAGTTATGACAAACAAAGTTATGTTTATAAACACTTGAAAACGTGCTTTAGTTTGGGTACTTTTTCAAAACTTTTTATCTTTTGTCTTGATTGTAAGAATAAAATGTTAATTAAGTGACATGTGTGAATGTATGTAATTTAAAGCTCTCAGAGAGATCACAAGAAATTCTTCATCATAATTTTCATTAAAGACGTTGAAAAGAATGAAAAATCATGACAAACACCAGCTAAAGCTTTTTTCTCGAAAGCATATAAAAATTAAATACACTTTTAGTATTCAAATTACAACAATAAACATCACATTGTTACTTAGTTTCGTTGTTATTCCCATTGTGGTCGAGCTTATAGTAGTGAATGCACGAAATTCAAAGTCAGTTTAGCTACCGAAGTCGATAAATTCAGATCGTTTTAACAAAATCGTTTTGTTTCATCATTGATTGTATTATCAATGCATAAAAAATATTTAAATTCAAGTCATTGAGAATGAGAGATTGACATTATAAAAAGATTTAAATTTTATTCTGCAGTAGTTCAATACTTAGTTTATTATTTTTTTAATAAGTTATCTGTCAGTGACCTCAGAACGTGCACGTGAAAGTGAAAATTAAAAGAAAATTGACAAAAGTTTTGTAACTTCAAAGAAGTTTTTGCAAACGATATTTTAACTTGAAGTTTTGTCACAATATGCAAATATTTAAAATGTATGTGGAAGTAAAAATTGCCGAGATTTTTATTAAATAGACGAAAAAGTTATTAAACACTGCTACTTCCAATCACGATAGTTTTATATCTGATTAACGATTTAATGGTCACAAATTTTCTCAACGAACTTCCATAACGAAATACGTTTGACTAGGAAAATAAAAACAAAAGTCACATTAAAGTGTGAATTCGTTTAAAGTTAATTATTGCAAAACGAAAAATAAGCTTTTAATTGTGAAGTCAATGGAATCCTTAAATTCTGTAATAAATTCCTTAAATAACAATTCAAACGAAAAAAATTTTAAAACCCCATCAAGTGAAGGTTTCAGAAGCATGAAATTAAATAATTTTTCGAGTATCATCAAGTTTTATCCTTGACAATACTTTTGATAAATTAATTTTACTCATCTCAAGTGAATGTGTTGTAACTCAGTCACAAAGTATGTTAGACTGTTTGTAAATAAGATTAAAACTTCACTTGACTAACGAGATCTTTCACGTATAGCTGAAGCTCACAAGACATAAACATTTTAATCAAATTGAATTAATTTTGAAGAGCGCACTCAAAAAATAAAAAACATGAAATGAAAAAGAACGAAAAACTTGACGTTATTCCTAATTCTAATTGAAGTTAAATGATGTTCGCAGCAAAAAGTCCACTTCCTGTGACGAATGAAGCACGAAATTGCTTTTTTTTCTTCATACATTTGTGGGTTGTGAGCTTATTAATTATTAATTGCGTTAATAGAAATCTTAAACTCTACTTGTGAAAAAAACTCTGAACTTTTGAGAAAATTTGTTGCTTCTTTTTTAAATCTTCAAACTTGTTAAATATTGACCAAGTCAAACACTTCACGTTTACTTTACAACTGTACATAAAATTATGACAAATTTGTCTCATTATGCCTTCTCTTTATCTTTTAGATTAACATCGTCACTTTAATCAATTGAGAATCTTTTCTCAGTTATCACACTCAAAACAAAGAATAAAAAGAGAAATTGTGTAAAATTTTCTGCAATAAGTCCCTTCAACTGCAACTTTCAAGTATCTTATTGTGATTCGTAGAATGATAGAATCTGGTTTTGGAAATCAAGAAAACATCAACAATTCAGATGTAAAAGGATCAGAAGACTCATGTGAAACGAGGTCTGAGACATCATCACATCAGCAGCATCAACAACTTGCTATTGCTCCAAAGTTCATCGGTCAAATAATTCCATTAGAAACCGGAAATGTTAAAGATCAAACGGTGAAAGGAGAAAAATATCGATCGTTAGATCCAGAAAATATTGATTGTCACGCTCAGTCGTTTCATAATCTTCCGCCACCATATTTCGATGGAGGTCCATCAAGAGCTGACTTTGAAACCGCCATAGAGATGACTGGTTATGGAAAGTTTCATTACATTTTACTGGGAATTTGTGGCTTAGTGAGTACAAGTGAAGAAATGGATGTTATTTCAATGTCATTCATCTTACCATCAGCTCAGTGTGATCTACAATTAAATACTCACACCAAAGGATGGCTGAATTGCATAATTTTTGTTGGCATGATGGTTGGCGCTTATGTTTGGGGATCGATAGCTGATTCACTTGGAAGGAAGAAAGTTTTGATTGTCATCAGTTTTATGAATGCATTTTGTATAATTGCATCGTCGTTCACTCAAAATTATGAACTGTTCATGTTGTAAGTTATCACTTAATAATTTATAAAAAATATTTATTAATTTATTCTCTCTCAGATTTCGATTCTTAAATGGTGCTGCATTAGGTGGGGCCGGCCCCGTCATTTGGAGTTACTTTTCAGAGTTTCAACCAAAACATAAAAGAGGTTCAATGTTAAGTTTTATGGCCGCCTTTTGGACGGTTGGAAATTTACTTGTTGCGTCAATGGCTTGGCTTATCATTCCCAGTGGAATTGGATTTGCATCAAAGTATTTCGTTTATAATTCTTGGAGAATATTTCTGGTGCTTTGTGCATTGCCATCCCTGATTGTTGGAATTCTTTTGATGTATCTGCCAGAATCACCAAAGTTTCTTCTCTCATGTGGTCGCTTTGAAGAAGCTTTGGCAATCTTTCGAGGTATCTACATGACAAACACTGGGAAAGATTCTTCAATGTATCCAGTCAAAGAACTTCTCATTGATGACAAACTCAGAGCTGAGCTCGAAGAAGTGAAAAAACCTATCAAAAATAAATATAAAAGAATGTTGTTTGACATTCTTGACAACAGTCATCAACTTTTTAAAAAGCCAATTTTAAAATTCACCGTCATTTCAATAACAATTAATTTAACTTTTCATATTGGATATTATGGATTGATGATGTGGTTTCCCGAACTTTTCAATCGATTCGATGCTTATGCTGAAGCTCATCCAAATTCACAACAAGTTGGAGTGTGTGAAGTTACCGAATATGTCGTGAAACGTAAACAAGAATTCAATCATGACTGTGATGACATCATACCAAGTTCAGTGTTTCTCGAATCATTAATCACTGTCGCTGCTGCTTTGCCTGCAAATGTTATAGCTGTAAGGAAATTTAATTCATTTAATCATAAAACTTTTTTTTACTTTTCCTTCATTTAAAAGGTTTTAGGAATGGACAGATTAGGAAGAAAATTCTTTTTAGTTGTTGGGACAGTCTCAGCTGGAATTTGTTCAGCGATTATGTATTTCGTTTCAAATAAAGTTGAGAATCTTATTGTGAGCGCGACTTTCAGTGCAGTTATTAGTTGTGCTAATGCTGCGTTAGATTGCTTAATAACAGAAGTGTTTCCAACAAGTTTAAGGGCAACTGGTGTCGCTATCAGTATGGTTGCTGCAAGATTGGGAGGAATTATTGGAAATGGTAACTTTAACAATTCTTTCGAATGAATATCTATGCAAAATTTTGAAAATAATTTAATTTCAGTGGTGATTGCAACACTTCTTGACACATACTGCCCTGCACCAACATTCATTGTCGCTATACTCTTAGCAAGTGGCGGTCTTATGTGTCTCTTTCTCCCCAATACAACTCGAAAAGCGTTATCTTGATTCATAAATGAAAAGTTGCATGAACATCGTCGTCACCATTGTCATTTGTTGAACTTTCCTCAAAAATAAGAAACGAACTTCTCATTCTTAGTTTGTAAGAAAATTTTAGATTGTTAAATGAATAAATTTTATATAAATATTTAATTAAATCTGAAATGAAAACTCTGAAATTATTTCAAATGTTAAATGAAAAGAAAAGTCATAAATTTTCTCAATGCATTTTATTTTCAATAATAATCCAGATTACTTTTGGAAAACAAAAAAGAAAAAGAAAAGAAACCACTAAGTAAGAAATTGTTGGTTGATTTGGTAAGATGAAGTAAATATGTCAATATATTTAAAAAAACAAAACAAAACAAAACTAAAAGAAAAACAAATAAATAAAAATTGCTTATCGTGCGTTTTGTGAAAATAAACAATAAATTCGTCATAAATTAATTTCGCATGACAACGCAACGCTGATCGTTGGTGAGTGCTCTCAGATTAATAAAGAAAACTTCATCAAAATTTTCATCACATGTGATAAAGTTGGATTTGGGACTCAACATGGAAGATTCAACATTTATGTACAAAGGAAAAGCCAAGACAAATAGTTGAGTGATTAATAAACATTAAAAAAAGTTCTTAGATGATAAAAATATTTTTTTCTTTCATTCTTTCGAATCATTAGAAAGTTGTCAGAAGTTCTTCTTGAATGCTGTTTGTTCGAAGAAGCTGTCGAGGTGCTGGACCGATTAGTAATTGATTTGTGACTGATTCTCGTTTCTTAGCCTCGGCTGCTCGTGCTGAATGATATTCTTCGCTGTAATGTTTAATTTTATCAGCTAAGAAAATTGCACGTTCACGTTTCTTAATCATAAAATCTGTGGCTGTTAACCATCTGTGTTCTAAACAATCTTCTACTGATGGACGTTTTCTGAAAGAAATTTAAACGAGTTAAGTAAGAAACTTTAAAATTTGACATTCTTACAATGGCGTTCGCTTAAAGATGAACATGAAGAAGCGAGACGCTTCTTGTGTCACTTCACGGTAAAGATTCTCAAAACGGAATCTACAAAAACTAATGTTGGCTTTTGTCTCATTCTCATCGACACCTCTAAACGGACATGTACCCGACAACATGATATAAGCTAGAACAGCAACTGACCAAATGTCAGTTTGTGGATAAGCAGGCTCATCAGCTAAAACTTCGGGAGCTGAAAAATTTATTTTAATTATCAATTTAATTATAGAAATTATTAAAACAGAAAGTTTACCAATGAAATCAAGATTTCCATTGACTGGCATGTGAACATGTGATCCTAATTTACTGACTGGTTGTGCTGATCCAAAGTCCACTAATTTGATTTGATGTGATCGAACAGATGCCATGACAATATTGTCAGGTTGAAGATCCAAATGTGCAAATCCTCTCCAATGAAGATATTGAACAGCATCAAGAATTTGTGTGATAATTGCAGCAACAATTTGTTCACTGTATTCATGTCGACTTCCAAGATAAGTCAGAACGTCAGCACCTTGTAATTTCTCTTGAACTAAAATAGCAATCGGCGATCCTTGAGGCTTGAATGCTGCAATAAGGAAAGCAATCTTCTCATGACGTAATGTTCTGAGATTCTCAAACTCTTTCTGAATCTGACTTGACGTATCGGAAGTGTATTCAAATATTTTAGCTACAACTACTGAATCAGTTTGCTTCTCGACACCTTTAACGACAACTGAATAACGACCACGAGAGATTTCTGAAATGAAGCTGTAACGTTCATTGTAAGATGGCTCTGTTGACCATTCAATTGGCTCCGTTTCGTATCTGTAATCAACCTGATTGACGTTTTCGTCTGACACAATTTGTTGACCTGATTCTGTGATTTGTTGAAGATGTTTCATTGCTCGTGTGACTTGAATCTTTGGAGCGCCAGCTTCGATGGTTGAAATAGCTTCCGTTGCTGATCCACGTTCACTCCATCCAATCTTGTTACAAGCAGCTAAACGGAACTGATAATTGTGCTTTGGTTCGAGTCCATGAACAAGATAAAATTCATGATCAATGTTCATGGCAACATCTCTCCACTCTTCATCAACAAGTTGTTTGAATTGCAAGCAATAACATAAAACAGCACAATTGCCGTCTTCTCTTGGTTGTTTCCAACGTAACAAAATTTCAGTGTCACTTGCCGCGACTGCTTCTGGTGCACTTGGTGCATCAGGAACAACAGCAAGAACAACACGTGATCGTGAAGAAGTTTGTCCAATCTTGTTACGAGCAACAGCTTTGTAAATTCCAATGTCGAATTCAATTGCTGGTTCTAATCTCAAAATTGATCGTCCTTGTGCGTCACTAAGGAACTTAATTCTCTTACTTTCTTGTATGACCATATCATTCTTGAACCACTGCACGATTGGTGTCGGATCACCAACAACCAAACAAGAAATTTCCGAAGGTTTACCATCAGTGATTGCAACAGTTTGAGGTTTCTCTCGGAAGAATGGAATATGGCCATTGCTTCTCATCTCAATAATTGCTTCCGCCTCTTGATACGATTCTGATCGTACACTGACTTCATTTCTGATGCGTCTACTGAATGTCGCTCCACTATCAGGTGTTCCATATCTGCTGATTCTTTCCTTACGTTCATCATCAATCTCTTCATCCATGATGTCTGTAAATCGACGACGTTCACGAATAATTGGCATCTGAAAAGAATTTACAGACATTTTTAGGAATAATTAATAAAAAATTAAATAATTATAATTACAGAAAGATCATAATTGCCGTCATGAAGTGAATAATTGAAGCTTGGTGAACGACCTTTCGCGATTTTAATGTATTCTCTCAAACGTGTTGGGAAGTCAGTGTCACGAAGTTGCAATAAATAAGTATCGGGTCCATATTGATAGCTAAATAAATGAGAAAAAATAAAAGATTAAAAGTTAATCAAATTTGGAAAATTGAAGCCACTTACTGACTCTCCGACTTAAAGCTTCCAACTTCATAATCGTTTTGTTCACGCGCAACGTAATCTTCCCATTTATGAGGCTTTCTCGACTGTTCTTCAATACGTGGCGGAGTACCTTCAGGTGTGAAGATCATTCCAGGTGGGTAAACCATCTTTGAAGGATGATCGAAAGCTGTAGCAAGAGCTCTTCGTCGGTAATAACTTCTGCATGAAGCATTCGTGTACCAATCACGTAACCCATGCCAATATGATCGCAAACGATCAGTTCCAATTTGATATTCATCTTCACTACGACGATGCATGATATGGAACCAAGGATGGTTCAAAGCAGTCTTCACATCCATACGATGATGTGCATCATAGACAAGAAGTTTTGTGATAAAGTCACGTCCTTCTTTCGAAATATCATTCCAAATAGTTCCAACAAATTGCCATTGTCCATTCTTAACATTGTACAAAGTTTCACGATCATTTGCACCCAGGAATGGACTGTGACCACTCAATAAGATGTAAGTTATAATACCAACAGACCACATGTCTTGTCCAAGTCCAACGCCTTCTCCAAGAACAACTTCAGGTGCGACATATTCTGGCTGACCGAATTCAAGTGGCGCTAATTTGTCTTCAATGCGACGTGCTAAGCCAAAGTCACAAATCTTCAAACTGTCTGATCCAGGATGTGCAATCAACAAATCACGAATCTAAAATCATTAAATTTTAAATTATTTTCATCAATTTCTTGTTGTTTTTTACTTACATTCAATCCCATATGTCCAATTGAACGGCTATGCATGTGTTCTAAGCCTTGCAACAATTGATAAATGAAACATGCGACGATTCTTTCAGTGTAGAAATCACGACGCAACATGTGATCTTTAACAAGTTCTCCACCAGCTGCCAACTCTTCAATCAATATCAAAGATTTTGGTGAATCGTAAGCATCGTAAAGACGAATTAATTTTCTATGATTTAATGAATTCATGATGTCGAGTTCATTAAACATAAATGGACGAAGATCGTAACGACCATGCATGATTTTCGCTGCAAAGTTTCTTCCAGTTGCACGTTCAACAGCATGGTAAGTGATGCCTTGAGTACCGCGACCCAACTCATCTCCAATGTCATAAATGTCAGTGTAGAGCGGCTTTTGTCGTGATCGAACGTAAGGCGTGCGATGATTAGAATTGAAGATGTAATCGTCTTCATTATCTTCGATATGAACCATCGCTGATGAGCTGATTGAACCAGCAACATTACGTGCACTGATTGAATATAAACCTTCGTCTTTCTTCATTGCTTCTGTGATGAGAAGAACATAAGTGTCGGGTTCATAGAAAATCATTTTCAACCGTGACGATTCTGCAATTGGCGACCAATCTTTAAACCATTTGATTTCTGGAAGTGGAACGCCAACAATTTTAGCTTCCAATCTTCCTGAACGACGTGTCATGATATGAACTTCTTCTGGACGTTGAAGGAATCTCGGGTATTCAGCAATTTCAACACGAACCTTTTGTCGTGCACATCCATGTTCATTTGTAGCGACAGCTTCGTAATTTCCAACATCGCGATCAAGCATTTTATTAATGAAAAGTGTTGCTTGACCATTTCTTGTGTAACTCCAAGCAAATCTGCCACCACACTCGATTGGCTGATCATTAAAGAAATATTGAATTGTGGGCTTTGGATATCCATAAACAAACCAGAAAAGATCGACACTGTGGTTCTTAATTCCATATTGACATGGATGTTCTTGACGTAAGAATTGCGGCGCTTGAGCGTATCCATCATGAGTTGGTTTCTCAATGTCGTAATCTTTCGGGAAGAATGATGGAATACTTGGACGGAAGTCAAGACCTTTAGGCAAGTAAGCATGAATTGATTGTGGATCTGGTTCCAATTTCTGTCGGTAAGTTTGACAATAAGCGGAAGGTTCACTGACACCATAACGATCTTCAGCACGAATACGGAAACGGTAATCGTGGAAAGGTTGGAGACCGTCAATCTCACAATGAGTACCTCTGATTCCACTGCGATAAACATACCAATCACCTTCAGGTAAATCAAGCATTTCAACTTGATATTGAATGGGAAATTTGGGACCTGCAGGGATTGAAGGTTTCCATGAAAGTGTCAGATGTTTGTCACTCATACGAGATATGTAAGGACGATCTGGCAGTGGCAATGGAACACTTGCTTTGAACTTCTCAGGTTCTTCAAGTTGTCTCACTTTTCTCGGCTTTTCTTCTTCGTAAATGAGCTCAGCACTGCATTCAGCTTCACCATGTTGATTCTTTGCTTTGCACGTGTACTTTCCAGCATCAGTTTCACGCACATCATGAATGATCATGCGAATCAATCCATTCTTCTCGCATTCCAACTTGAATCTGTCACCACCATAAAGTCTGTTTCCATTCTTATACCATTCAATTTCAGGAAGTGGGAAGCCAGAGACGCAAGCAGTAAACTTTGCTTTCATTCCATGAATAACTTCCGAGTTGACAATTTTCTTCAAGAATGATGGCGGTTCAGCTTTGTCTTTCTCAGCAACTTTATCAACAACTTCCAATCGAGCATCACAAGAATCTTCACCTTCACGATTACTTGCCGAACATGTGTAGAGACCAGCATCTTCGGGAGTACAATTCTTCACGTAAAGAATGCAAGTGTCGCCATCGTACTTGATTGAATATTTCTCACTGTTATGAATTGGCTTTTCATTCTTATACCAAGAGATGTCAGGCTTAGGAATTCCATTAACTCTCGCAGGGAATTTAGCATCGTGTGTTGGTAAAACTTGCAAATCTGTGAGACGTGAAAGGAAGTTTGGTTTCTGGAAGATTTTACGAACATGAACATCGACCAATGCTTCAACTTCTCCAAGTGGATTAGCCAACAAACATTGATATTCACCACTGTCAGTGATCTCAGCGGGCTTGATGATGATTCCAACTTTCTTGCCATCGCAAGTAAGCATTGTACGAGGTGTTGGCTCAACCGGCTTTCCATTGCGACTCCACATAACTTCTGGAATCGGATTACCAACAAATGGCAAGGAGAAGGCAAGTTCTTTGCCTTCATCGACAGTAATCTCGGAAATTGTGCTTGTGAATGATGGAGCTTCTTCTGGCAATTGGGAATCAACGACAGGTGAGACTGTAACCTTAGCAGCAGTTGAAGCAGCTCCTTGGTCATTGGTAGCAACAACTTGATATTTTCCAGCATCTTCTGGTGTCGCCTTTTCAACAATCAACGTGCCATGTCCGTCCTTTTGTGAAATCTTGCAACGATCTGAATCGCCAAGATCTTTTCCATCACATGACCAAGCAAGTTGGGGTTCGGGATGTGCAAGGAATTTGACGTCAAGACGAAGTGGGAAACCTTCAATGACATTGGTTTCGTACATCTCTTTGATGAAGAGCGGTTTTCTCGGTCGTGGTTCAACCTTTACAATTGGAGTTGCTTTGATTTCGCCGAGTTTGTTCTTGATGATTGCTGTGTAAACGCCAGCATCTTCTGGACGAACAGAATCGATGCTAGAATCGAATTTTTATGATTAAAATTTAAGTTTTATTTATTAATTGATCATCTTAACTTACTTTATGCCAATAACACCATCAGGTTGAGCAATGAAGTTCAAATTTTCTGATGGTCTCAATGGAATTCCATCCTTAAGCCACTGAACTTCTGGAACTGGGAAGCCGATAACTTGAGCTTGAAGTGTAAGAGGTTCACCAGTAACAACAGTTGCATCATTAAACGGCTTGACAAATGATGGAGCACGAGGTTCAGGTTTGACAGCCACTGCACAAATCATTGCTGACTCTCCAGAAGAATTCGAAATGATGACTTTGTAAGCACCGCAATCAGATGGCTTAACTTTATCAATGACTAAGCTGATTTCACCATCAGGAGACACGTTGATCTTGACACTGAAATATTAATTAATTTATTTCATGAATTTTCTTAACTTTTTTAAGCTTACTGATCACTTGGAAGGAGTTCATCGTTATCAAGCATCCATTTAACTGTTGGCAATGGACTGCCATCAACTTTGCACTTCAATTCCAATTTCTCTCCTTCAGGAATTTCCATGAATCTGTCAAACTTAGTTGCAAAAACTGGCGCTTGTTCAAGAACTGTCAATCTGAAGACAACTTCAGTGTCGCCAGCAATGTTTGAAGCGACACAAGAATAATTGTCTGAATCTTCCGGTCTGAAGTGAGTAACATAAAAGTCAGATGACAATTGAGCATCACCAATAGTGTTGATTCTATTCTTAGGGCTGTTAGTGTTTGGTTCAATGACTTCTGTGTCGATTGGCTTTCCATTACGCAACCACTGAATTGTTGGTCGTGGTATGCCAGTGACTTTGGCTTTTGTTTCAACATCTTTGAAGTCATGAACAACTTTATCTTCAGGTTTGAGAAGGAACGTTGGTTTCTCAACTGGAAAAATCATAAAAAAGTTATAAAAATTCTAAAGTTTAACATTAAAAATTCTCACCATGAAGTTTCAAACTTGCTGTGGCTACAGTTTCACCGAGATTATTAGAAGCTGTTAAAGTGTACACGCCATCTTCCTTCATAGCAGCAGATTCAATAACCAAACTAAGAAAGAGAGAAACGCTTAATACAATTAATGATTGTAGACAGGAAAACTTACGTGTAGAGTTCTTTTTCAACATCAGCAATGACGTCACAATTGTCATTATTGCAAAGATTTTCTCCATCTTTTGTCCATGTAACTTTAGGCTTTGGATTTGCATAAATTGTGGCATTGAAGATGACTTGTTCGTAAGGCAAGCATTTCTTATCTTGTAAGCCTTCAATTTCAGGTTTCAATAGAATGTCAACACGGCAACTGTCTTCAGTAGCTCCGTATTTGTTCTTCATTTTAACAGAATAATCGCCGGTGTCAGCATGACGTGCTTTCGGGAATTTCAAGTTGTAAGTAATTTCCTTCAAGTTGTGTTCTAATTCACCAACAGATGAACTGATAACGCGATATTGATCAGCAGTGATTTCCTTTCCATTTTGGAACCAAGTGAGTTCTGGGACTGGATCAGCAGTGATTGTAAGCGTTAAAGTGACTTCTGTGTCCTTTGGCGCAGAGACATTTTCCAAAAAGTGTTTCTTAATGTTTGGTCTTCGGAATTCGTTGCAAGCAATGACTTCAAGATTCGCATTGATTTTCTTTTCAGCTAAACGATTCTTTGCTACGAAAGACCACTCGCCATGATCAGCCATGATGACATCATTTATTTCGATTTTGTACGTTTCACCAGACTCGGTGATTTTGACACGTTCACTTGACTTGACGACGGTGCTATTAAGCATCCAAATACCTTCCGGACGTGGAACACCTCGGGCTTCTACCTCCCATGCAATTGGCAAGGTATCGAAAGTCTTTTTGCTTTCAAAGTCAGCTCTAATAATTTCCGGAGCAGCTGAGTATGACAAAAGAAATTTTCGTTTAATATTTTTTCTCAAACAATCTCAAGCAAAGTCAGAGAGAAATATTTTTACAAATCTCATTGTTTAAAAAACATTAAAAATATTAACTAAAAATTTACATCGACTTTAAAACTTAATTTTATTTAATTTAATTTAATTTACAAGATAAGCTCAAAGCTTTCTGTAAGATATTTTCAAAATTGTTTGAGCTTTTTTTATTTATTTATTTTATTACGGCTTACCTTAAATCATTTTCATTTTAATGTTTTACAGTTTATGCCATTGTTATCATGACCAAGGCTAAATTTACAAACAACATTAAGCCATGCAATTTAAACGCATCAACAAAATACGAAATCAACTTAATAATCACCAAAATCAATGACCAACGATTATGAGCTTTCAAAAGCTTAAAAGCTAGAAAAATTTTCAAGCTAAATATGAGTGAATGTGTAAAGTATTCAGAATGAGTTATGTAAAATTTTGTTTTCATTCCAGTTTTAGATTTTTCATATAAGAACTTTAAGATGTGGTTTCAAGACTACCTTCAACGTCGATTTCTTCCTTTTTAACTATTTTTTCTTCCTTTTCTTTGACTTCGGAAATTATTGGACTTTGTGGAATTGGCGATTCTTCTTCATTCTTCTCACATTTTATTTCATCATTTGTGAGAATTTCTGGTGACTTCTGATCTTGTCCAAGCAGATCATCCAACACACTTCTTTCTCTCTTTATTCGTTCCATTAATTTATCAACTTCATCATCATGTAAATCTTCTTTTTCTTCTTCAATTTCAGTCGTTTGTGTATCATCAACTGCAACAATTGAAATTCCTCGTGACATCTTACGAAAAACTCCTTCAGAATCACCTTCGATTTCAGCAGCAACGGCATTAATTGTTATTGTTTTATGATCACTAAGAACAGTTTCATTTGTGGGTGGATTTAACGAGAAGCTGCCAACTTCTTCAACACTTATTTCAGATTTTCTAGAACTTGTAGAGAATGTAAATGTTCCTGTTGTTTCTGGCGAAGCTGACCCAGCTTCTTCGACTATAATTTTTGTTGTCTTTATCGTGTGTAGTGAATGTGATTCTTCTGGGCCTGAGTGATAATAAAAACGAAGTATTTACACTTAAATAAATTCTAGAGCCGTAATTTGTGTAAATTTTATTGTTAAGTGCTTTTTCACAAGTAAAGTGAACTCGGAAGGTGAAAGAGGAAGAGATCGAAATTAAAATAATTGTGTAGTTACCTAGCATCGAAGCCTGATGACTTTCTTCAGTGGTTATCGATACTGTGATGACTTCTCCTTTGTCACCAATTTTCGTACATTGGCTGACTTGGGAAACAGTCTCCTTGTTTAAGTCAGCAGTTGCCAACGTTTTAAAGTCTTTGTTTTCAGATAGAAGAAATGAAGTTTGTTATGTTTAGGTAGAAGGAATCATTTGAAAAACTTTCAGAAAGATTTCTGGAAATATTTGCTTGGGATTGACAAATTCCATTCCCATGCTTTTTAAACATTTAGGGAAGGAGAAAATCTTTTTTATTAAACATAGGAAAGTTAAGGAAAAGAAGTGAAAGAAGAAGGAATCACTCGATAGAAAGGAATGTAATTGATGAAGACTTTTACCATCATTTTCCACTTTCTTCAAAGTCAAATCTTGAACAGCAATCGGTTCTTCCTCCTCAAATGTTTCTTCAGTTTCTGTAATGTGAATTTTTTCTTCCAAAATGATTTCCTTCTCACCCGATGGTGCTTCTCTCATTTCCGCCGCTAAATATTTTATTTGAAATTTTATTTATTTATTTATTAAATGACATAATGTGATTGTTTCATTGGAAGATTTTATATGATATTGCATAGCATTTAAAAGTGAACATGAGAATGTTGGTGATTGTAAAACAAGATTTATAACAAGAAAATGAACAATTAATGAAATCGATAATGAGACGACATGTGCAATGTGCGTAAAGATAGATTGACGATAATTTAGAGACATTTTAAACAGCCAATTTAAACATAAATTCGTAAAACATTTAACACAAATGATATTTATGACAATGCATGGATAGATTTCTTATCAATTTACCTAAAATTCTATTTTTTGCTTTCAAAAATTTATCAAACATGAAAAAACTTTCATTTGCATTTTCAGCAAAATCAAATTGATGGAATAAATGAAAAATCATAACGACATGTGAATTGTTTTGAAATCATTTTTTTCACATGTTTGAAACAAAAAAAAGTTTAATTGAAAATCACCAAAAAGAAAAAGAAAATTCATTTTAGAGACTGTCATGAAACGCTACTTACAATCATTGAGAAATATTGTTTTTGATAAGGTTTTGATCTCGTTAAATGTAAATTACTGGGACGATACTCACTTTGAACGACGACACGACTCTTGGATGATGAAGTGCCGAGGAAGTTTGTCGCCTTCACTTCATAGTCTCCCGAATCGCTTCCTTTAACCAAGTTCAACGTCATTGAATACGATTCTGAACGATGAGAGTCTCGAGTAATTTTAATTCTTGTGTCTGCATGAACTTCTTGTCCGTCTTTCGTCCACACGATTTGGGGCTCAGGAACTGAATAAATTTCAACTTCCAACACCAATGTTGTACCTTCATCAACTTCAGTATCGACAAGTGTTTTCTTTATCTTTGGCTTGCAATTGACTTTCACTTCATTTGATGACTCAACAGAACCAAATTCATTTGTAATTTTGCAAGTGTATTTGCCTCTTGTTTCAATTGTTGCATCCTTAATGAAGCATTTGAATCTCGTGATGTTTTCATCGCCTTCTTCAACAAAGCGATATTGCTTCTCATTTATTTCGATATCACCCAAGAACCATTTGGCTTTTGGTTTTGGATATCCATCAACTTCAACTGACATCTGAACATCAGCGTCATTCTCATTACAGATGATGTCACGTAATTCTTCTCTGATTTTTGGTGCACATCTCACATGAACGCGACTCTCATCACGAATCGTTCCATTGTCGTTTGAGAATTCAACAGCATACAATGCGGAATCATCACGATTTGCGCCTTTAATCTTCATGGTGTAATTATTGCCGTCAATTTTCAATTCAACACGAGGGTCGTTTGAGAGAATTTCTTCACCATCTTTGAACCATTTAACAGTTGGTGGAGGATAAGCGTCAACTTTAACACTCAACTCGATTGTATCTTTCTCATCAACAATCGTTTCAGCATTCAATTTATTTTGAATGTTTGGTGGTGATGTGACAGTGAAATCCCACATTTCTGATGATGTACACAAATCATTTGTAGACACAGCAGAGTAGGAACCAGTGTCAGATAATCGAACTTCATTAAACTTAATTAAGTAATAATCGCCAGCACGAGTAATCTTAATGCGATCATCTTCAATAATTTCTTTACCATTGCAATAGAATTTCGATGTTGGTTCAGGCATTCCAGTAATTTCAATTGACATTTTGAATGATTCACCAGCTGCACAATACAAATGGCCTGGTTTAGTAATCTTCGGCGCACGACGTACAATCAACTTCATTTCAGTGTCGTCTTGTCCCAACTCATTCTTTGCTGTGATGGTGTAAACGCCAGCATCTTCAGCTGTAACATTCTTAATGACAAGTGTCATAGTTTCAGCATCTTCGTAAAGGAAACGATAACGACCACCAGGTTCAATGACACTTCCTTCATGTTTCCATAAAACTTCTGGTCTTGGGAAGCCTTTGCATTGCAACTCAAGCATCGCTGAAGCTCCAATGTTTGCCAAAGCTTCTTTAGTTTCAACAACTAAGTTTGCTTTGCATGGTTCACGTGGAAGTTCATTAACAGTTCCTTGAACTGTCAACTCGGCGCTACATGAAATGTTGCCAGTTGTCGTTGCAGCAACACATGTGTAAAGACCAACATCTTCAGGTTTAACATGTTGGAAGACTAAAGCAAGTGAGTCATCGTCATCACCCATGAGAACTTTGAATCTTTCTTCGGGATCGAATGGTTCGCCATCCTTCTTCCAATGGAACTTTGGCTTTTGTCCTGGTGCCAGCATCGTCTCAGTGACATCTCCAAAAATGTCTTTCTCCTTCACAACTGTCACTTTAGATTGACATTTCGCTGTTCCAAACTTGTTGTAAGCTGTGCAATTGAAGACACCAGCATCGGATGCCTTCACTTCATCAATGATCAATTCGAAAAAGCCAAGCTCTTCCATTTCACGACTGATCTTGTAATGTTTATCGAAATCCATGATTTCCTTGTCATCTTTAGTGAAACGAACTTTAGGTTTCGGTTCTCCTTTAACTTTGACCATGAAAGTCAAATAAGTGTTTTCGATAATTTCCGTATCCTTCAACTTGACTTCAAAGTATGGACAATTTGTTTCCGTCAACTCTTGAAGCTTTTCGGGTGATACTAAAATTATAAAATTTAGAACTTTGAGATGAAATAAAAATATTTAAATGGCTTACATTTCTCAACATGAAGATGAGCTGTGCATGTTGAATTTTCAAATCCATTAGTGACTTTCGCAGTGTAAGTTCCAGAATCTGATTCACGACAATGAACCAATTCCATCTTGTAAGTGTTGCTAGCACCTTCAGTGAATCTCATGCGATCCTGCAAAGGATCTTCCAATGGTTTGTTATCCTTCAGCCATGTCACATTGACAGGCTTATCTTCCAATTGGAATTCAAACACAGCATTCTCGCCAGCTAAAGATAAATGTTTGGAAGAATTCACAAATTATTTCGTGATACTAAAAATAGCAAAGTTCACCAAACAAAAAAAAAGTAAAACAAAAAAAATTCACTTTCTAAAAATTGTGTGTTTGTAAAAATTGAAAATAGCTTCATGTTCAATCGTGGGCAGCAAGTGAATGAAAATAAAATGGAATGTTCAGACGCTTGTTAACAACTAGCATCTTGAAATTTGAGGGTTTTTTTCTTATGTTTATGAACGACAAGGCTAAAAAAGCAAAACCAGTGTTAGCTAACTAAAAAATCGATAAAAATAAATTCAAGTTGAAGCTTCCACATTAGTGGAATTTCTTCTTCTTCTATAGAATTATTTAACTAAATGTGCAAAATTCGTTGCATTGTGTGTGCTGCAAATGAAAAAACCTTTTGAAACTCACGCTCAATGTCACATCCTTTAATTGCTTTCATGAAAAGTGGACGTTTTCCACTTCCGTTGATGATTTTTCCATCTGACTTCGTTGATGTCTTCTTCGAGCTCGAAGTGTAAATCGATTCATCTCGTTTGACTTTTTGATTTCAAGTTTTGAATTTTCACCATTAAAATTAATGATCATTGGTTAAAGTTAGGGAAGAAAATACAATGAAAATTTATAAAATGATTTGGTTAAAAGAATTAAAATTACCTATTATCAATTAAATACATCTAAAAAAATTTACATTTTAGAAATTTTGACAACATTTGTGCATTGAAAGCTTTTTGTGTGAATCTAAGAAATTGTTTAATGTGATTGAGAGTTAATCTTACTTGGAACAATCATGCAATTGGGAAGAAATAAAGATAACAAAATAAAAGAAAGAAAATCATTTTCGAAACTAAGCAAGTTCAAAATATTTTCCCAATTCTAAATTTTTTGTGTGTTCATTTAAAACCGTGCACATGAGACGTGCAGAAATCATTGAATCGTGAAAGTTAAATAATGAGAAAATTTTATACCGAAATTCATATCATACAAATAATCTGGAGATGATGAAAAAGATAAGAAAATTGTCTTTGAAATGTTTCTGTATCGTGTTGGAAATTCTCGCAAAAAATATTTGAGAAAAATTGAATGAAAGTTTAAGAGAAATGAATTTTTTTTCATACCTTCAACTCTCTTTGTAATTGTATTCTTTTGTTCAGCATCCATTTCTGCTAATTTTTTTAATTCGTCTTCAGCGTTTTCAAAGTCAACAGCTTCAGATGTCGTTATGCATAACCCAGTCTTGGGATCCTCAACTGTGTATTGATATTCGAACACCGGTTCCTTCTTCTTCTCAGGTATAACAGTTCCAGGTGTCTTAATATGCTTGAAATCACCAACACGTGCTTTCGAAACAGTATCTTCAGCAAACTTGATTGTGTCACCAGTTTTACCTAAATTATGTTTAAGATTTTTGATTTTCTTTTGTGCTGCACCAAGCGAATAATCTTCCTTTTCGTAAGGAAGTTCCCCTCTTAAAAATTCTTCGGTTTTCTTTTCAAGTTCTTCGTTTTTCACAACGACTTTTCTTGTTATGATTGGGGGTGGGTCGGGATATTTTTCTTTTTTAACGTGCACTTCAATTGAGGTCTCGTATAATGGGATTTTTGGATCGAAGAAGCCTGGTAATCTTATAGATCCAGGTGAAGGGGGGGATGGCGGTCTATCTGGCTTCTTTGAATTGTCACCTGATTGATTACTCTGATTTCCTGATGATGAATCTTGACCGTCTTTACTTTGATTAGACGAAGGCTGATCGTTGCTTTGATTGGTATTAGATTGATCTTGACCTTGTTGTTGTTTATTGTCAGGTTCAGATTTATTTGTGTCAGCTGCCTTAGTTATTTGTGGTTTATTTTCTATCGGTTGTTCGTCCTTTGTTAATTTTGCTTTCTCAGGCTCTACTGAAACTTCAGATTTTTCTTCAACAAGACTCAAACTTTTGCGACTTTCTTGAAGATCCGAGCTTGCTTTTCTCTTTGTTAAAGTTTTGATGTCCTTGTCTTTATAATTTCGCTTATATCTTTCCTCAATTCGTCTGATTACACTGCTTTCGCTGATGTAATCTTCTTCGATTTTCTCTTGAATTGATTCTCGAATCGCTTCTTGTTTTCGTAAATCTTCTTCAGATTTTTCAATTTGATTTTCAATTTGTGTTTCTTTGGTGATTGATTTTAAAACTTCTTTATCAGTTTCAGTTCTTCGTATTGCTTTGAGCTTTTGACTAAGTTTATCAAGCTTTTCACTCACTGAAGCTTCGACTTCTGATAATTCAGATTTTTTAGGTTCTTTCGAAACTTCTTCTTGCTTCTTTGCAACAACTTCAATTTGCTTAACTTCTTCTTTTACTTCTTTCACAGGTGGCGGCTTAGAAACTTGTTTAAGATCAACAGGTGATAAATCAACAGACGCTTTTCTTACAATGTCTGCTTTGAATTCGGGTAGAACGTTAACTTTTTCAGTTGAAATTGAAACTTCTTTCGATGATTCTTCAACAGGTTTCACTTGAGTTTTATTCGATACAATTTCCTTTGGCTTTTCTTGAACTTTCTGTAAAGGTTGCGGTTGTTTTACAAGTGAAACTTTCAAAGTTTTCTCTTCTAATTTTGGAGTTTCCTTCTTTGAAGTTTCAGCAACTTTTGTTTTTTGCTTTTCTTCAACAGTTTTTTCTGTTGATTTCTTAAGAACGGGGATTTTCGAAGCTTCCTTGTTTGCAAGAGCGTTTTGTTCTAATGATTCTTGATTTGCTTCTGTTTTTACAACTGTAACTTTTTCCTCAGATTTTTCAATAGAAATTGTCGATGTCTCTTTAAGACTTGTGACTATTCCTTTAGATTTAATTTCTTCGGTAGCTTTAGTGGTTGAGTATTTCGATATTGTATAATTTTCGGCGAAATCTGATGGTTTAATATTTTGATTGGGCTCGTGAGCTTCAATTCGTTGTGGTAATTTAATTGAGGGTTCGTTTGTGTCGATGTGTTGTTTTGGATCGATTTTTAGATCATCAATCGAATGTTCCTGAAGCGCAACAACGTCACTGCTATATTGTTTGATTTCTTTCAACCAAAACTTTTTCGTTTCTTCTTTATGAGCGATCAACAAAATCACTTCTTCACCAGATTTAATTTCAATCTTATTGTCTTCTAAATCTTTAACTTCAACTTCCGGTAATCGAACGATTTCCTTGAGAATGAAGACTGAACGATCGTCAGAGATACGACGAACTTTGCAAATGAGAATTCGTGCTTTAAATAAAAATAAATATCGTTCTTTGGATTTTCCTTCCTTGTCAACAACACTCCACCATTCGTGTGTTAGTAAACGACCTAACTTGTGGATATTTCCTAAAAAATATTTTAATTTCTCTTGATTTTTGTGATAATAAATAAAATGATTTTAATGAAGTCACCTTTATACCCTTCGATATTAGCAAGAAATTTATTATCGATTGCCCGGTGAGGGACACTTAGCATTAACTCAAGGGCCTTCTGGAGATCTGATACGTTGTCTCCAAGACGTGTTGAATACTTTACAAGCTCCTAAAAGCATGAAAATTCTATTAATACAAAAGGTTCTTGACCCATAAACGTTTTGTGACAACTGCCGCTGTTAAATATTTTCTTCAATGTATTTATAGTTTCAAGGTAAGTTTGACAATAAAAAACAAATTCTGAACGAGTCATATTGTTTGATGTTTTACAACTATCTTATGCAAGAATAGAAAAAAGATTAATTGTGAAGTGAATCTTCAAGAAAATGATAATTTTAATTAAAATTTAAAAGTTTGTTGAAAGAAACGCATAATTTAGGTAAGAAAAAAATGGATCAACGCCAGAATCGCACGATTAATTTATGAGAAACACATGAAGGAAAGATTACGTGATTTAACTTATTTGTGTTTGAAAGTTTTTTCGTGTGTTTGAAGTCAATGCACTAATATCTGTAAGAATGATATAAACGTCGGACAAAAGATTCATTAAAAATTATTTTGTTGATGTTCATTAATTTTATGATGCAGTTTGGGTATTAAAAAAAGTTTGTCATTTTCTTCAACATCTTCCTACGATTGTGACTGTTGTGGAATGTTTGACGAAAACAGAATTTAACTCAACAAAATAGATTGCTTTAAATGATTTTGTAAAGTTTATTTTTATGATGTGATTGGTGGCTTGAAACATTTCAGGCAGAGGTTTGTTTACGTTTGCCTCATCTGAGGGTGGAACTGAATCATGAGGAATGATACATACCTTAAGTAAGAGTTGGTAGTCGTTAATGCGTTGAATTGGTAATTGAAGATGTTCGCTGATGCTTTTATCGTCACCGAGCTTTTGTGATAAATCCTAAAATTATTAATTTATTATTTCTCTTTTAAAATCACTTCTTTTTAAACTTTTTCATCTCGACAATTTTAAAAGACTTTTCATGTTATTTTATAAAGTCTCTCTAGACATCTTTCATCGAAGATTGACTCATTCATTCAAAACTATAACGCACTGAATATTAACAACATTTTTTTTGTGACATGTCGAAGATGAGTTGTGAGTGAAATATGAAATTAGTAAACAGTTGAAATTGTATAATAATTCACCCACATTTTCGTGGCTCAGAATATAATGCGAAAGATAATTATAGAAATTTCCTCATGCGATTTTTTCGCAATACATTTTCGCTCTTATGTGTCCGAAAACTTTCTTGAACTTTCAGAAAAAAAGGAATTCTAATAGTTGAGCCAGATTAAGCAATCGACATTAACTCATCTATTAACTGGCGTCTGCATTATTTTTAATTGCTTATTGCAATTGTTTTCTCTTTTCTTAAACTTCAGATTAATCACATCCACTTGTAACAACTTCTGCTTGTTCTTTTATCATTTGACGTCATTAAAATTTGTGAATTCACATTTATTTTTTAATTAAAACTTTATCTTAAACATTCCAGGGATGTCTCCAAGTGATGTAAGCAATTTAATTTAATTTGTCACAGCTTTCATTTGTAGAAAATTTCCGTTACAAAAGTTTTCATTTTCCCCATTAATGTGTCCGAAGAATAAGTTGAAGAAGTGTTACTTGTATGATATATTTAGATCACTTTGGATTGCACACATACACACACATATTTCCGAATGGAATGATTTCTTGTAGAAAATTTTCCTCTCAATTTAATTGACAAACTTTTTTCCTTTTCGTCCTTTTCAACAATTTGATGGAAGCTTTCTCTATTTCAATAATTAATAATCACAAATTCATTCACCTTTTTATGAAATATTCGAGGATGAGATAAATTTTTAAATAACTTTAAAATTTATTGATTCAAAAATTCCATAAACGGCGGAAAATATTCCAAATTTGCGTGGGTTCGGATTTTTCTTCTTCGAATGATTGTTAATTCTTCCGCGCGGGATCTTCACACTTGAAGATATCAAAAACGACTAAGGAAAGTTGTCTGAAAATTTCCGATCTTTTTTCGCTCGTTGAGCGAAAATATTACAGAAAAATATCTAAAATTAAAATGTTTTCGCTGATTTTTCACAAGTTTCTATTTTGTTTCGAAGTTACACACCAACTTCGTTCGATCTTTTGACTAATCTACTGGACTTTTGTCTCATATTAACACTAGAAACATAAAATTTGTGCGTTCCTATGCTCCGTGACAAAATTGATATATGAGCCTCGAAAGATTGCGAAGAGAAAATTTCGTGGATCTAAAATTATCACAGAATTCTTTTTCTGTCATACTATTTTGATACAAAATAAATTCAAATTATTTCGTAACTTAGGAATTGGCGGGGATCAAGTGCAAACAGAAATATTAAATAATTTTCATTCACAAAACTAATTTCTTTCATGTTGACTTTTGGAACTTAGAGGCGACAGATTATTTGAGAGTTAACATCATTTTCAAATTAAAATAATGTCATGTGATTAAAGATGTCATTCGTATTGAGGAAACAAATTCCTTCATCAGAAATTCATGAATTAAATGTTACATAAAATTCACTTGATCTTATTCCCTCGTCTCTCATATTTTTATTTAAACAGAAACGCAACACAAGGTCAAGATGAAAATCAGGTCTGACTAAACACATAACATACTCTCTGACTCGAAGATATGTTTTGACGTTTATTTATAAATTATGAAGATCAAGTCGATAAAAACGTTTCGAAATGTATTCAAAAGAAATTCAATGAACTTTTGATTTATTAAATGAAATTAATCGACAGAAGAACTTCTGATTACTTCTGGAATTTGATATCAAAGGAAGATTTTATTATAAACTTGAATTACATTTGAACTTACAACTGACGTAATTTAGCTTCATTTCGAATATTTTTGTTTAAACATTTCATTGATTAAACATTTCAAGAGGAAAACATTTTACACCTGATTCATTGTTTACACCTAACAATATATGAAGGAAAATCTATTAAATACACATAAAATATTTCGACGTTATTCAATTGAGGATTTAAATTTTCATCTCAGGTTAACGTTAATAGATGTCGTGGAAATGAACATGTTTTCCCAAGCTTTCATAAGCTTTCGCGAGAGTCAAAATTTTCATTAAGAGCATTCAAATTTGTAATTTGATTTCTCAATTTCTATCTCATATTTTCAAACGATACTCACATCGAAAAAATCTTTCACGATCTCGTTGTTGAAAAGAAACTCTTGGGCATTTGATTCATCACGACAGTAGTTAACGTGCTTGTCAAAATCTCTCTCTAGGCGAAGAAATGTTTTTCCAATCATACTCGGATTGTTTGCATAAAATTTGATTCCTTCTATCAAAACTCTGAAAGAAATAAAATTCTTAATTTGAAATAAAGAAAAAGTTAAAGTTAAAATTTTACGTGTTGTGAAAGTCAGCAATTTGTTGAAAATTCATAAAAATCAAATCTTTATTGTCGCGAACAACTCGCGGAACTTTCTTTTCAGGATTGTCGATTGTCTTAATGTATCGTTCAACAACTGTTTGCAGATCTTTTCCAAACTCTTCTTCCGTTTCAACAAGCTCACGGATGACCGCTCTAGAAATTCAGGTGAGAATATTTTCATTTATTTTAATTAATTAGATGACATTTACTCTCGTCTGTAAGCTGCATCATCGGCCTTGTCTCCATATATCAACTGTTCATTATTCTGTGTATCTAAAACTGAAGCTGGAATAAATCCTTCTTTTGCGTTTTCTGCTCCATCAAATATTCGAACTTTCCATCTATAAAAGTAAAATGGGGAAATTTAATTAAAAAATATTTAGGTATGAAAGTTTTCCTGTATTTAACAGAAATAGATAAAAATAACCCCCACAAATGGAGGTAAGATAATTTAATTAAACAATTATTACATAAAAGATTGATGTTCGTTACAAGACAAAACACGTAAAATTTAAAATTCCCAAATTGCACGTTTGGACATCTGTCATAATTTTGACATACGAAAGTACTTTGCATGAACAAAAAAAATTGTTTTGAGTGTTGAATGAATTATTTTTTACCTTTCTCCTGGCTTTGGTGTTGTTTTCTTGGAGTTCACACTTCGTTTTGTTGAACTGGGTTGTCGTTTCTTCGGTTTAACCGACAACTTGTGTTTCTGCACTGTGTTATCCAACAAATGCGTTGGCTCAACTCCCACGCTTATGTCTAGATCTGTTTTAGGTTTTCTGAAATTTCGTGTGTCGATGTTTGTAGAACATTCCACAAAACAGACAAGGAAAAAGTGTTTTCAATTTATCAAGGAGCAAAAATGAATTTTAATTAAAGTTTTAAATCTCAAATTAATCTGTATCATCTTTATGAACATTCAAAGTTAATTGTTTTTAAATTAATTGCATTAAAAACGTTTTTCAACGAAAACTAATTAACAAAATTAACTTCAATGCTTCAAAGTGTTTGCCTTTTAATGATAATTGAATTATCGTAATGATGAGTTTTAATTTAAATTTTAAATAAATGTTTTCCTTAAAAAAGTTAAGTGAAGGACGTGACAAACAACAGCCATAAATTATTTTTCCCAATGGTCATCTTTAGATCTGATTCATAAAATTTAATTGAAAACATTGAAAAGAACACGTTTTGAAGCTCTTTGATGATTTCTGCTCTTAACATTTCATGTCAAAAGGTAATGAAAATCAGCCATCAATCACTTGAAATGACTACAACAGCAGTGGTGGAAAATCTTCTTACTTTTAAAAATATTTATAAATATTATCGCATTGCTTTATTATAGACCTAAATAATTTTAATGTCTTTTCCAAGAAATTTTATTGTACTGACGTCAATTGAATGACTATTTCAGCTGCTCTTGTCGGAGCTATAAACCTTTACAAATTATTCCCCAATTCAAATTTTCACACCAAGACGTTGTCAATTTTATGATTATTTATTCACACATGATAAAGATTTAATGACTACGAGTAATTATGCACGGATTTTCATGATAAAATGAATAAAAATAAACTCACTTTGCATTTGGCTCATCACTTGATGTTGTGCCGGTTTCTAATACTTCTACTAAATCACCCACGCGTACAGAAATGGAGTCGGGACCTTCGGCATCGTAGTTTTTGTTTACAACTAGTATATCGTACATCTGCGAAACGTTGATAAATTTATTTTTGTCATTATAATCGTAAAACAAGGATATTCGTGTTGTTTTAGAGTGTTCAAGGATGATTTCTACATGTTTCTAATATTTTGTAACTCTACATGTTTAAGAATAGGAATATTATGACATGAAAAGGCGTGCATGTACACTTGATTGATAATGTGAAATGTTATATCTTATTTATAACCATTTCTTAATACTTAAAACGTCAAACAACAATTTAAATCTGCTTCTTGTTTTGAAATAATTTAATTAAGTTTTAAGGATTATTCGAAAGACTTCGCAATTTAAAGAGACTTATTCAATGAAGATAATTTAATTAAGTTAATTGACAGGAGTAATGTCTGTAAACAATCATTAATATCCTAAATAGTCTTAACATCTGTCAGTTTTGACAAAGCGTTAATTTCACGTTCTTCGGAGAAGCGAGTTGAGTGAAAATTCACTCACAATTGCAATAAATTTTCACTGTTGACTGATCTCAAAGTCGTTAAAGCACATCTAATTAATAATTTAAGTGTAGCTGTTGATGATGGATTGCGAGTTGAATCCACTCAACAATGATAATTGTGATGATGCGAATATCAATGAGTAAAAATATTCGCATACAATAAACAACAAACAAAAAACGAAATCATCAAAATACCTAATTAAATTGAAATAAGTTGTTTATGTTCAGAATTTATTTTTAAATATTTCAAAGAAATGTTTTCTACAAGTGTCTGCATGAGGTGAGAATTTTACTTCGGAAGATAAATATCAAAAAAGAAAACTTCACCTTGTGTAAGCTACAACGCAGTTTTTCTTTTTAATTTATTTTTACAATGAAAATTAGATGCGACAGGTTGAACTCAGGTGATAAAATTTTTCTCTACGAATGATCTGAAATTCCATTTCACGAAACTTTTTTATATTTAGAATTGTTTGTTGCTTTTACCTCACAAATTGGTATTGCAGAATGTTTATACGATTCAAATCTAAAATTAGATCTCTGAAGCACATATTTTTCAATGTCAGACTGGAAAGTCCGAAAAGCTTTTAAAAATTTCCATTTGCAACATTTTCAACCTGTCAAGGAAATGTTGAAAGTGTTTAAAATTCTCCCATTCTTAATTATTTTTGATTGAAAGATAAACTGCGTGACAGATCAGATGATTGTGCTTTGAAGTCAAACGAATTTACTTAAATATCTACGGAAGTATTTTGCATAAACATGAGATAAAGAAAATCTTTTAAACTTGATAAACGGATATTTTGACAAGAATTATTAATTAAAGCAAAAATTCGCAAATGACGTGTTTACAAAATATATGCCAGCTAAAGATCATAAATCTTTATCGTTCATTCTTTAGAGAACATTAATGTTGGAAGCTAATTTTATTACTTTCTTTGATTTAACTCACTTAGAAATGTGGAAATTACAAATTGCTTTCGACATGCTTAACTAAATAAAGAAATTTACGACGATGATCAATCATGTCTTCTCTTTAAACACTACATGAGTTGCCAAAGTTTCAATAAGAGACTTGGAAAACAGGTCACGGAGGATCGTCTTAGATCAATATGTTTGCCAAAAAAATCAACTAATGCGGCTAAGTAAATAAGTGAAAGAAGTGACTTGATGACGGGGGAAACCAGGAAACCAATTTGTTCAACGTGAGAAACTTATGAAAAATGAAAATAAACAGAAAACGAACCTTAACACACAAAATTTTCTTTATTTATTTCATTCAACTGAAAAGAGATTTTCATCATAAAACTTTAAATTAATTATTTTGCAGAAGGCTTTTTATCAGTCAATTGTTAAAAGTTTTTCTTATGTTTCATTGTGATCAAATAGATTTTATTCTTAGATTAAATGATGTGAGGAAAATTGCAGGAAAATTGTCTGTTTAGATGAATTGAAAGCAGAAAAAGAAATATCTCTGTTTATTTATAGTAATTTTTAAATAAATCTCTCCAAGCAAATTTACATATCTAATTGCAGATATGGAAGACTTAATTTATATTACATTAAATTTCCGCACGTCTTACTTACTTCACTAAATATTATTAGAGTAAAAAGATCTTATAAGAGTTAAATGAAGGAATTGTGCAAAAAAAAATCAATGTCAAGAACATCTTTGTGAAAATTATTTCTGTGGAAATCAACTATAGAAGCAAAAAAGAATTTTTTCTCTTGAAGTAAACGAAAGAAAATTGTTACAAAATGTGATGGCGTGAAAAAGTTTATCTTGAAACTTTTTGATTTGCGTCCTTCGAATGATAGACGTAAGCGTGCATAATGTAAATATTATCATTGACTTGTTTATATTGCCTATATACCTGTGTTGTGATGGGTGACTTTGATTTGCGGTCGGGTCTAGCACCTCGTCGTTTTCGAAGCATTTGTGTCGTTTGAAAATCAAGATTCGATGTCGGATCGTCTTTATCTCCATGGCGTCTTCTACGTGGTCGTCGATATCCTGTCTCATGATCAACATCATAATTCACATTTTCAACAAAGTATTCATTAAAGTCTCCATTCTCGCTCTGTTCGCCCGTCTCACTCGAGTTTGTATCTCCATGATCAGCAAAATCGCAATTAGAAAATTGAAATTCTCTTGTTTGTGTGTCATAAGTGGGAGAACAGCTGCTTCTTCTTAATTTTGATATTTCCTCGATTGCAGTATCGTTTGCATAAATTGAGAATCGATGATGTTGAGTGGCTGGGTTCATTTTCAACGCTGACATGACATGCAAGGGTTCAAAGTGTCTTATTCCATTTTCATCTAAGACTGTGTAAGCACATTTGCCAGTCAATACGTCATGACTTTTCTCACGAGGCACAACACATTGAATTCCGTCTTTGATGATCAAGAACGCCTTGTTACCAGTTCCACTTCGTAGCATGAAATCTTCCATTGCTAAAATGTTTTCATCAGCGAGAAGCGACATTGGGATATCATTCGACGATTCAAGCATTTGCTTTTCCGGTACTTCAATCGAAATCAATCCACTTTTTCTCACCAACTCACGCACAATTTCATCTTTGACTGCGTGACGTGGTGCGGTTTGTAAAAGTTCAAACGCTTCTTGATAATCTGGATCAACTTCTGCCAACTGTCTCATGACGCAAACTCTACGAATGACAGCCTTAGCAGCTTCATCAAGGACAACTTTCCCAACTTCACCTGTTTTAGATGTTTTGTCGAGAGCACTTAAAAGTGTCATAGCTTCACTATTTAATCCCAAGACTTTTGCCAGCAACAAAGCTTCATTTAAAATACTTTCAACATGCTGAACATCATCTGTTGCTAGCAAATCATTAATTTTATTGTTGTTTTCCTCGTTGACTGCCGAGATGATTGCTTTTTGTATCACATCTTTGATAGACACATTCGGATTCGATACATCGCTTGCCTTTTGAATTGCGTTCAAAACATTCAACATAAGTTTGGGATTATTTTTAGTCATGGCACTAAACGCAGATGACACGTCAAGATCTTCAATAATATCGCAAAATTGTTCAATTACGAAATCGTTATCATTCACCATAATCTGGGGCGTCATGGGTGTTCCACCATTAACTCGCTTCACACTTCCATCGTCATTGTTGATATCATTGAAGAAACCAAATGTTGAACTCAATAAATTTTGTTTCATTTCTTCAATCTTACACATCGTTTCGACTTTGTTTATTGTGTTATTCAACTTTTCCAATACGAGCTCTTTCATGTTGGGCGATGAGAAGATGTTTTGTAGTTGTTCTATATTTAAATTTTCCACCGAATCTCGAAGTACATTTGCGATGATTTCGTATACAGTCTCGACCTTATTTCTGCCATTCGCATGTCCGTTTACCGTGTGATGACTAACAAGTGAACCATCGTGATCCATTACACTAAGCTCGTCATTTTTCAAGATTTCCATCATGACTTTGGTTAAAACATTTATGATCTGGTTTGTTTCGAGTGCTTGGGTGGGATCTTGAATGAATGAAAGTCCCACAGATTTTCGTGGTTTCTTTTTTCCCTTCAATCCCGTACTTGTTTCATTCTCATCACCAACCGCAGATTGATGTGCTGTCAGCGACTCTACGAGCTCATTATGATTAATTGGCTGAGAGGTCAATGGCATGCACATTTCTATAATTTTCTTGCTTAAATTTTCCGCACTTATTTTACCTTTGTGTTCATCTGTGAGCATTTTAATCATCTTAAAAATTGAGTCTGCAGTGTCAAAGCCAATCGCGTGATTATCACAAAACTTCTCAACAATTTCCCTATTTAATGTACTTTGCAGCACCAGGTCAACACCTCCTGTTTCAACTTGTCGACCGATTGACATTCCTGCTTCCGAAAGTTGTCGCATCATGACTGCGTCAATTGACAAATCACCAGCGTTAAGATATGAAGCTGACCAGTTATTTTTCGGTTTTATCAATGCCAACTCCTCTGGTGTTACTTGGAACCCTTGCAAGTTGAATTCGCAATCGTCGCCTTCATTCTTCATGTCAGGTGCAACAAACCGAAAGCCATCTGGTGTTTCTACAATTTGTCCAGGAATAAAAGTGACTCTATCGTTGGCTTCAACAATTCTACCAGGAACGAAGCATGGACCTCTCTCGGTTTCAACAACTTGTCCTACATAGTTTAATTTATGGGAAAATTTCGTTTATTATTTATTTAAATTTAAAACAAAAACATATCAATTGGGAGATTTAAAATTGAGAGAAGTAGAATGTTGAACAATTCTGTGGTTTGCAATTATCAAACATCAGATAATTAACATGGTGAACAAGGAAATAAGAATTAAAAATATAATTTGTGTCACAGTAAATGTCATAAATTATTTTGTCGTGCAAAGTTTCGTGAATCATAATGTTCGTATTTCATTGAACTTATTATGACAAACTGCTAAGTAGCTCTAGAAGATTTGTTTATTTTGACTGTTTGCCTTCAGTTAGCAATTTGTCAATGTCTAAAAGAAAATAGAAAATCCAAAAATTACAAGAAAAAAATCATTTTGAAGGAGAAAGTTGTGAAAGAATTAAAATCTGATTTTCTATCCCAAAAATAATGATTTGAATTAAAAAATAATTTGTCAAGACACGTTTAAGCAGAATACATAAGTTTCTGGTTAAGTCGATGAAAAGTTTTCTCATGAAATTGAAGATTAAAATAAACAAATTTTCTTCTGTTTTCTAGAACACTTACCAGGAACAAACTGTTCGCCATCTTCCTCTGTTTTCAAGATGAATTAAAAATATTTAATTAAATAAATTAATGACTTCATTTTCTAAGGTTTTACCTGTGTAGCAAATTTGTCCCGGAATAAAAGTTGGCCCAGCTTTTATTAAGTCAAATCAAACAGAAATATTTGAAGTTAAAAATAATTTTAATTTATTTCAAGAGTAAGCAAACCTCGAGTTTCAATGATTTGGCCAGGAACGAATCTTCCGCTTTTATCAGTGACCCCTGGAACAAATTTCATTTCACCGTTCTTCAATGTAATGATTTGTCCGGGAACAAATTTCGGTCCATTTGCAGTTTCAACAAGTTGACCGCAAACAAATTCTTCACCGTGTGGTGTGTTGACAACTTGTCCGGGGATGAACCCGCCGTCTTCTCCTTTAATGCCTGGGATGAATTTGGTCTCATTACCTTCATAAATAAAGATGAATAATCAGCAAAGGTTGACTCAAAAACTTTTCCTCCCACTACCTTTTTTAATTAATTTCCCAGGAATCATTTTTCCCATTGGCAAATTTTCTTCTGTTATTTTATCCGGATAGAACTCAATGCCAAGCTCTGTTTGAACCATATTTCCAAAAACTGACATACTCGCTTCACTTACTTCCAATGAATGTGGGTCAATCACCATACCAGTTGGCAGAGGCTTTTGAAATGAAATTTGATCAATACTTTCCGCAATCTTAAACTCAGTTTCACCATTCGCTTTATATTCAGTCTTTCCTGCTATAAATATCTCGCCATGAGCTGATTCCACCATTTGCCCTTCACAGAACTTCATTCCCTGCTTCGTTTCAATTGTAATGCCAGGCACGAATTTGAGTTCCTTTCCAACCTTCTTTGTGATTCCAGGAACAAAAGCGCCTTCGTCGTTATGCATGCCAGCAATAAACTTTGAACCTTCATCAGTTTGTATTGTAATTCCACTGACAAATATTTCTTCTCCACTGTCATCAATGATTGTCTGACCACTGACGAACTTCCATTCTCCAGACTCATCCAAAACATTCTGACCACTCACAAAGATTTCTGTCATTTGCCCGCAAATGAATTTTTCTTCGCCATTGGGAAGTGTCATGAATTTTCCTGGAGTCAAAACATTTTCTTCGTTATAAACACCAGCAACGAATCTTAAGCCTTCTGGTGTCATGATAGTTTCACCTTCAATAAATTTTGGTTCATCATTGACGTAAATTGTCTGCCCACTAATAAATTCATTATTTACAATCTGACCAGCTTGGAAGTGAACTTGATTATCCTTCGTTGTCATAATCGTGCCAGCAATGAAATTCACACCTTTACTCATAGGATCAAAGGTTGTAAGACCAGGTGTGAAGGTTCGTTTCCCTGTTTTCTTATCGACAATCGCTTGACCAGGACAGAAAATTTCTCCTTTTTCCGTTTGAATGAATTCACCAGATAAAAATACTCGACGTTCATCGATATCAATTTGACATCCAGGAACGCCATTTAACTCCGATTTATTTCCTTTTGATATGTTTTGAAGAACGTCGAAAAGTTCATCTTCAGATGGCAACAAACTGCTAATTTCAATGTCAGCATTTTGAAACTTTGATACAACATTTTCAAGTTTCTTCATCATTTCGGGTGATGCTGTTTGATATTTACTCAAATCTTTGACTAATGGCTTCATTTCAGGCTTTTTATAACATCCAACAAGAGGTATGCATTCGAATCCGACAGTATTGTCGAGTAATGACTTTTCTATGTCACTTATTCTTGATTTCACTTTAATTTTCGTGGGTAGAATATTTGCAGGTTTCATTTTCTTGGTCACAGCAGATTTAATCTTCTGAAGTTTCTTAATTTCTTGTACTTCGTGTTCATAAGTGTCCCAATCCCAACTCTCAATCAAAGGTTTCACTAAATCTTGAAGTTTCTTAGAATTTCCTTCAGCAACTGTCTCCATGAATTTCTTTATCTTCTGCACTTCCTTCTTGCTGACGGATTTAAGAACATTTTTCAAAGCTTTTGCTTTCTTCTTTCCAAATTTCTTCTTCGTCGATTCTTCTTCTTTGTCTTGTTCCAAATCTTTATTCTCGAAAATTTTTGCAATGCTTGTTAACTGTTGACGACTACATTTGCTGATTTTTCGTGCCCTCTTTTCTTGTGCCAATTCACGTTCTCGTTCTAAAATAACATCCTCTCGAGGTCCTTCTCCTTCATACAAGTTATCCAAGTTATCTTTGAAGTCTTTTAAGTCAACTGAAACGTTGTTTCCTTTCTTCAGTCGTAACATAATTTGATCATTATCTTTAGCAAACATAATATCACAAATATCTCCATCGCGGACAGCAGCTTCAACTTTCGATGAGAAAACTAAATTGCATTGCTTCTCATCAACACGATACACAAATTTATTGTTATTCTCAGTGACTTTTGATTTAAATATTTCGTAAAGTTCTTTTTGATCTTCATCGTCGTAATTAAAAACGGGAAAGACATAACGATAATCCAATAGTACGATATGCTTTCGTTTTCCATACGATGTGTCTGGCACGTAATGATGGGGACCAAGTTCAGCAGAAACATTTGTGACTTTACATTTCTTCCGACTTGTGAATGAAATTAATTTAACAGGAATAAAATGATGAGATGGAAGTCCATAAGATTTTCCAGTAATTCTACAGAATCGTTTGGCATCTCCTGGTGAGATCGGTGGTAGAATTGGAAAATAATTTGCTTTCGGAAGATTCCGGGCTTTTCCTGTGATTCGACAAAACGACATTGCGAGATTTTATTTAATTAAATATTATAAGTTGCACTTTAATTTTATCTCCTTCGGAATTAGCTTCAAATTTATGAATATTTTTTTATACTTCGGGGTCAAAATATTTATCTTCACTTTCTTTTTATTATTAATAATAATCTTTGTTCGCTTCTTTTCTTTCTTTCCTAAGGCTTCCGTATTCGTCAAGAGCTGAAATGTATATGAGCTCTACGATCTTTTTCGTTTGATTTTATGCTTCCAGTTTTCGTGATCATCGTGTGCTAAAATGGATCATCACCTTCTCTCATTAAACTTATTCTCACACGTGCAACAAAAAGCAGCGTGTTGTGATGATAAATTTACTGAGCGAGCGAGCGAGATTTATTTTCTTTTTTAACTTTTCCAAGATTTTCATTTCACATACTCTCACAATAAAAATGAGAATTTTGTGGGGAGAAAACGAAAAGCTTTTAAAAAAGCTCAAAAATTTATGTTTCTGTTCTAAAATAAAAAACTAAAAAGCTTCACGATCAACAAACAATTTTTCTATCTTCTCACTCGTAAATTTTCAATTCATTGATTTTTTTTTTCATCTTCTTTCATTTTCGCTTCACTTTTCCGATGCCAGTCAGAAATGATCTATAAATACATTCTTTATAAAGAACTTTTGTTGTGCGGTTATTTTCCCATAAAACGCACGAAAATAATCATCACTAAGAGTTCACGAGACTTTAAATTATTATTTTATTTTCAAATAAATCATTCTTTATTCGCTTTATAATTACGAGTATAAACATTCACTTATTTCAGAAAAAGAAAATTCCAGCGATTGTTGAAACTATCATTAAAATTAAAATGTTGACAGGGCAATAAATTTTCACATCAAATCACAATTTCACTCAGATTTTACATCCGTTTTAAACACGAAGTGAATATTATTACAGACTAAGATCTGTAAATATCAACATAGAATTTTCACTTTACTAACGGATACATGGTCAATTGAAACCGTCAAAGATGCACACTAAAATACATACAAACACTACAAATTGTAAGCGAATAATTATTTTTCGCGACTTTGGCCAAGTGGAAAGGTCTTTCCTTTGACTGTAATCCAATAAAAGAAAGTAAGAAGAAAAGTAAAAGAAAAATTTTTCGTTCAGAACACACGCACGAGTCGGTCTTAAAGTCGTGAAGTACCGCCAGAGACTAAATACTATGCTCTCATAAATTTCTTCAACAAATATTTTCATGTGAGAAATGCTTCATTTTCTTCGATTTCCCTCCCGTGCCTTTTCACAGACGTAATTGAGAAAAAGCAAAAACCACAGCAGATCTCGTCATTAGGTTCAAGAACTGTCCGTTCGACATCAGTGCTAGTCATTCTTTTGAAATGATATTTTCTACCATTGATACTACGCCGCTTATCCTGAGAGAATTTCAAACATTTTGGTTACCATGTGTCAGCGCACATCCCACATACACTTTGAAGATCAGTTACGATGAGAATTTTCAGCTTAGAAATTCGAATATGAAAACGAAGGCAGGTGAGGTGAGGTAGACGAGATCATCAGACATTGAATAAGATTTTTCTCTCATTTGAAAACTAAAAAACTTGAGAAGCATTTGTCATGTTCTCTTAAATAGAATTTCTCAAAATACGAGTACTTAAATGATGAAAAATGTGTAATGATTGCAAGAATAAAGAAAGTTTCAAGCAATACTTGATTGCAATGCAATTAAAATAAATATTTAATGAATATATCAATCAACAAAAGGCTGAGAAGAAATTATAAAATCTTCCAAACAAATCAAATTTTTATGAAGTTTTGACGTTTTAAATGCGATGAAAATGTTCACTTCATGAGTAGTTAAATTTAATATTCAATTTTCACAATTATTCATACAAATACAGATGAGAAATGTCTTTATGAAAATAAATAAAGAAGGTTTATGCCAATAAAATATGAAAATATTTCGCTATGATACATGAAGTTTTATGACCTGTTGTAATTAATTCATCGTGACTGCTATTCATGCGTTTCAATCTCATTTCATCTTGACAATTTAAGTTCAGGTGATTTCTTTGTTTCTATTTGAACTTGAAGATTATACGAAAGTTTTTGAGGATCTTGACATTCCTTAATTGCATTTATTTTACTTTAAAGTCATTTTGGCCTAATTTATGCCTTATAAACTGCGACAAGTATTTGCAACTTCTTTCAAATTTTTATTTAAGTTCAAGACACAAAATTGTCATAGCTGTCGCTTTTACAACAAATGAAATTTAATTACGCTAAGTTAGACATTTTTTAAATTTATAATTAAGCCACTGAAATTAAATGAAACTAAAGTTCATGCTGTGATCAACAGCAACATAATGTTTTAGAAAATTTTCACTTTCATCATCCATTAAGAAAATAAATCGACATGTGTTTTCTGCCTTCATTATGCAAATGAACTCAGAATAGTCAGGAAAAGCTTTGTATCTGTCTGCATAAACGATAAACATGTAATGTGAACGCACTGAAAGATTCTCTTTTGATCAGTGAAGTTAAGTTATCGTTTTGATGCTCGTAACTCTTGTGTCGAGAGATAGACTGTGTCGCTATAAATAAAGAAGTCTTTATAGTTCTTACACGAGTGATTAACTTATAAAGACTTCTAGAATTTCCGCAGATAACTTTCCAAATTGGAATTCTGAATCTGACTGACCATTCACTAAAGCTTAAAAATAAATTCAGAGAAACTTAAAATTAAAATTCCCTTCGTGATCAAATTCATCACAAAGCGAGTCATTGAAATCTCACAGTTGCAAACAGATGTGTACATGAAAATAGTATTTGTCACTAAATAATTGTTTTGCAGATAATTAAAGATGCAATTTATTGCAGAAGTAGAAACAAAAAAAGTTGCTTTCATGTTTCATGTTGAAGACAGAATTAATGTTGTTTGACGTTCTTTCGTAGGTTTGTGAATAAAATTTAAAATTTTCCTTCATCGCGATATTTTTTCTTTCTTGTTTCTCAGAGAAGATAAATTGAATAACAAATTAAGATTGTTGTCGGTAATTTTTTCAACTCACCTGTTTATTGTTACGTCCGATGTATGTGCTAGTAACAAGACGCTCTTTGTAGACACTTTTTTGAGTTTTAAGAGCTTCGATGATCGATTCTAGTGGCAAGATTGTTGGCTCTGATGAAGGCGGTGGGGAAATATCTTTCAGCACCGATAAAGTATCAACACTTCCACCGTAATCTAATTTTTTTTTTGTTTATTTGAAAATTAATTTTGCTTGATTAAATTTAATTGCTTTGCACATCACATTTTCATTTTTTTTCTTACATAGAAGTTTATGATCAAATGAGCGTATTATTTACAACTCAAAGCGTCAACATTTAAATTTTACGAGTATTCGTTAAGTTGCTGACACAAGATTCTTTTCACTCTTAATGGTTACACGAATATTCTTTAGAGCATGCTGTAATAACAAATATTTATCCCTTGAACAGATTGATAAACGAAGAATTAATAAAATTCACGGAAAAGATTTTTAAACATTTGAAAGTGTCACAGATATTCACAGTTGGAGTAAAAATTTAATCACAAGGTTAAAATCATAAAAAAAAATATTTTCGTGCGTATCATCATTAAAAAATAACTCGACATTTAAATCTGAACTCAGTTTCTTATAAATCAGTGATTAAAAGAACGTTTGAGATGAAGTAAGACTTTTGAGATATTTTTCATTTTATTTTAGCATAAATCGTGATGAAACTTTCAATTATTTGCAGAAGTCTAGTTTTTTGCTTGTTGCTAGTAATAGGAGTGCAAGGAATTGAGTTAATTTGCAATTACATTACTGTGGATTGGAAAGATGGCGCCTACATTTGTGATGCTGTAAATTTTACAGCGACTAAAAGATATCTTGAAGTTGACTCACTTCATGGTGAACATATTGAAAATAAAACTAACTTTGATGTGACTGCAATCAGAATTGATAGCCAAACTGCTGAATATATGCCTTGGGGATTTGATAAATTCTTTCCAAACATGACGGATTATGCAATTATTGAATCAAAACTAGAAAAAATTCAGCGATCTGACCTTGAAAATCTTACATTTCTCAAGGTTCTGTCTTTGAATGATAACGAAATTAATCAACTTCTCGCTGACACTTTTGATGACATGACGAACTTGGAGTATTTGTCGTTATCAAAAAACAAAATTAAAGAATTGCCAGACAATGTTTTTCGTGCATTAACTAACTTGCAAGGACTTTACATTGATTCAAATGAACTTTCTGAAATTTCTTTCAAAGTTCTGGAAAATAATACAATGTTGAAAGAGTTGGCATTAAACAACAATCAACTTGAATACATAAACAGTGAAATATTTGGACATTTAGTCAATCTGGAATATGTCAATTTGAGCAGCAATAAATGCATCGGAATTTTCATCACTTCGATCAAACATTTTGGAAGTGCAAGAATCAAAGAAATTCTCAAATTAAATTGCAATAACGTGGAGAAGAAATTTGAACAATGTAAAGAAGATTATGAGAAATTAAGATTTCATTACAATTTGTTGCTATTGGAAGAGAAGAATAGAAAGTATAAAACTTAATTAATTCCGACTGTGTAATTTGATTGATTGAGAAACAAAAAGCTTTCTTGATGGAATAACTTTGCGAGTTTCATAATCACAAATCAATCAAATGAATGAAAAAACTTTCAAGTGTTATTAAAATTCCACAGATCTTTGCGAAATAGAATTCATGTTAGACGGAAAATTTAAATTAAATGTTTGTCTTCTTCAGATATAAATCAGACGCTGGTTAACTTCATTGTAAGTATTTCTATCAATGGACGTCAATTTCACTTCAATTCAACTGTAAAACAATGAAAGGCACGACAAAAAGTTGAATGAATTATCTAAATATAAATGAAACTTCAGTTGGAAAAATTCAACATTTAAAAGTTTTTCTCGTCTCTGATTTCAAGTCAAGTGTTTTCTCATTCTTCTAAATCTATCTCATGTTGCTTCGATTTATGTTGCAATTATTTCACTAGAACATTTTCAGCCTTCTATTTTTAAGAATCTTTATGAACTAACATTTGAAAAAGTGTCTAAAAGAAGACATGAAAAGTCAGGGTTTGCTAAGGTAAGTCGACGTCAAACTCTTAAATACATAAAAATGTTGGTAGACGAGTTTAATTGAAAAAAGTAGGAAAATGTCAAAACATTTAACAAATTATTAAACAAGTGACAGCTCGAAATTAATGATCATTGCGAACATTACCAGCCGGTGGGACGGAATCAGTGGGTAAATCGTCTCTTAAAGTCATTTTTCTTCACTTTTATATTTTTATCATATCAAAAATTTTAATCACTTTGCTTTGGTGTGTGCCTGCACTTTCCAGTGTGGAAACCTAGAACAATGAAATTTGTTTCTTTTAAGCTCACATTTTCATGCGAAAAACATTCTTAAGCCACAACTAAGTACACTTTTCCTCTTGAAATTGCAATTAATCGCAAATATTTGCATTAGACAACCGAATAGTTCACAATAGTTGAAGTTACTGCTACAGAACATTAACTATTTTCGTATTTCTCTCACATGTTGCAAAAAAAAGCAAACAATCACATGGCGCAGATTTTTTTCTCATCCACGGCAATAAGAGATGCAAAATAAAGAACAATCTAAATTTAAAGTCAACAATTTGCTCGTCAGTATGTACTCTGTATGTAGAAATTAATTTAAATATCTTAACTCAACTCTCGAAAGTGAATATAATTTCGCAAATCCCTCGAATTTCTTATTCTTGACTTTCTGTTAAATTTATAATTGTAAAATGTTGCATCTCAAATCACAGTGAAGATACGAACTATAATTAAATTTCTAGATTGATAACTGATCACATTTTAGGGTTGCCTGATGTATTTCTAAACTCATTATTTTAAATAAGTTATTTTAATTAACCGATTCGGTTGTCATTTTTATTATTTTTTATGATTTTTAATTCACAATTTAAGCATCTTTCATGTAGGTAATAATTTTTCTTAATTAAAATGCAATTATTCAAGAATTTTGTCAACACGATTCCTTCTGATGTTAATAAGAATTAATTAAATTTTTGTAGTTATCAGAAGATTCACTTTTTTCACGATTATATAACATATTTAAATCATGATCATTCTATGAATTAATTTCTTTCATATTAATTTGAATTAAACTCAGGTAACATCCTTTGATCATCATTAAATGCTGACGTCATTATTTCATGGAGAAAAATCGAGTTTTCTCATCAATTTTTCATTTCTTCTAACGTTACATCACAGTAAGTAGAAAATTTCTCACTATAAAGGTTAAGCAATGGTTTTCCTCTCCTTGTTTTCACTAACGATAGCGCGGCAGCTCAACCAAAACTGATTCCTTTCTTCAAAATTAACTCAACTTTTGATTGAAAACTCATCGAATGTTGTAAAGTGAAATTTGATTACCCGATGTTTGAGTTTATCGATGATCGAGTGATAGTTGTCTTTTAATTAAGACCGTCGTCACTGTTCTATCTGAAACACTTTAGAATGTGCAACCAACAACCGAATGAAACTCTACAACATGCGATGCTTAATCACGAAAACCAACGATGCTAAACGAAAACTTTCATTTGTTTCAGTGAAGGCGCCTAATCTTGATGTCTAACAGTCTTTACGTATACACACAAATCAACAAGAAAATTGTCTGGCATTTAGCATAGAATTCAAAGCACGTTGATCTCGGAAGATTCATTTTATTTATTTGTGATGAAATGAAAGAAACAAAAGTTAACAAAAAAAAGCTGCTAGAAACTGATTGTTTAGAAAATCAGTCATCAGAATTACCTTGTTTTCTTTATACAAGACAATTCACGTTCATGGTCGTTTATTTCTATATTAGACAACTGAAATTTATCACTCATCGTTCTAATTTCGGTGTAAGAAATTTGATCGTACACAACTCTTGCTGTTAGTCGAGTACGAATATATTTGCGTGGCTCCTTCAAGTTTCTCGATATATGATAAAAATAGAAACGTAAAATATTCCAATGGCTTCCTTTCATTAATTTGACGTTAAATTCAGGTTAAATGCCTATTAGACATATCTCGAGCGAAACGTAACATTTAATTAATCTGTGATCGTAATTTGTTAATTTTAGGAATCAAGGTTGAATATTTCCTCTGCTGAATGGAATTAATCGACTCTTTGATCATGAACTTCGATGATTTCACTTCAAAAATTTTCTCAATTATTTATCTTTTAAGAAAAGAAAATTCAACAGGTAAAGAAAAACTTTTTTTGTTCTTTTTTTTCTATAAACACGAGCGATTCGTCACGATTGTGGTATTTGCTACAAAATTCTTCATGTACACACCTCTGATTGGAAAACAGATGATCGACAAACGACTTTCACAATGTACACGCAAAAAACGAACACAAATCTGACTCAAATGAATGATACAAAAAGACTGAAGAACCGCTGTGAGGTTGGCAGAAAATCAGTTTTTTCTGATTTTCATTTCTGCTACAAAATGAATAAAAAATTATGTATCGATGGGGCAACAGTTGAATAAACATTCTCTCCTCTCAATGAGACTCTCATCTCGTGGTGGAAATTGCTTTCTGTTAAAAAGTGAAACAAAATTATGCATTTTTACATTTTAAATGAATTTTTATTTCTCGACTAATGTGAACTATGTAGATCAAGTGTCATCTAAATCTCATTTATTTTTCTATTTTTTTTTTGTTTGAAGAAGGGAGAAAAAGTTACAATTGATTTACTTTTGATTTTGATTTAACAATAAAATAGTTTTTTTCTTTCTTTCTTTTTTTATTAGGTAGATATCATAAATACGCTTTGTATCACATTATTATTTAATTTCTTTCTTATATTCTTTCAATTATTTAGTCAGGATGGGCTTTCATTTTCTTTTTGTTTTTTTTTAATACTGTGAGTTTCTGTTTTTGTAGTTAATTCTAATTATTTGCAACCCAAAAGAAACTGACAAATGGTTGAAAATTCTTCTCTTATCTTAATCATTCCTAAAATTGTTTTTAAATCTAAAATACATAGAACTCTATAAAATTCTTTGTTGCTTTCTAATATCTTCTTAAAAACTAATGCAATTTGTTGTTTTTGTTCTTTATAGTGAGTTCTGTTGTGAGATTAAACTAAAAGTCTAAATTTTATATCACGAAAAGAAATCGTTGACACTTTAATTAGACAATTCGAAACAAGTTTTTATTTTGTGAGTTTGCAGAATGGAAGAAAATAGTTTAATAGATTTCCAGAAGTATAAAAATAGAAATTCTCACAATAATATTTCCATGATTTCAACATAAAATCAAAACAAAAGAAAATAAATAAAAGCAATGAAATTTTACAAAAATTTGTTTCTTTTCATCTCAATTATCCTCAAATGCATCTGAACGAGAACAGTAATGTGATTCCCATAAAGTATCTTCGTCAGTCCCTTTCAACGCAACTTTCGATGATGTTTCTAAATGAAGAAGAAATTTTTGCGTGAAAAACAAAATAAAACGAAATGATAACAAACATCGTGTGGTGTGAGTCTAAATGTTACATGAAAAGCTTTCCATTTGAGACATGGATGGAATCAAAGACATATCAATGTTGAGTCTATGTTGCGTGCATGGTCGTACATAATGCAAATTGTGTTATTTGTGAAGAATCGTTTCAAAATCGATTTAACTTTCCATCAAAATTATCGTCTGATAATCGATTCAGAACTTGAGTTCGTGACAAATCATTCATTGGACATTGTTCATGAAAGTTGGCATCGTCGCTTAAATCTGATAGACTTACAACGTCAAAGCTTGTTGCACCGTAAGGCAACGCTAAACTGTTCTTATCAAAAATATGAATATTATTCTCTGACTTTGACGTTGTTAAAGCCGATATGGTTGATGGAATGTTAATTGTGACCATAGATTGGACTGGTTGGTGGGATAAAATCAAATTTTCATTCGGAATTATTATTTTTTGATCAATTACATCACATGGACAATCAAATTTGGAATCTGAACCGTTCTCGTCATTATTAAGATTGGACAATTGTAAGGGATTTTTACCTGTTTTACTTCGATTGATTGAACTTCGATTCGAAATGTTTTGAATGTCGTCACTGCTGTTGTTGTCATTGAAGTTTTGACTTACTTTCAGTAAACTATTTGAAGTGCTTGTTCCATCGCCATCAAAATTTACGTCATCAATATCTTCACAAATCGATTCATCGTCAGCTAATGATAAAGAGTCATGCGATGTTGATAAAGCTGTGGCACTTGAGAAGACTTGACCAGAATAGTAAATGTCAGGATGTGCTTCGTGTTCATCGCATGGCACAATTGAAGCAAAATCGAAGTTGTTTGTGATTTCTTGAACAATCCATTCATGTGCTAAAAGTTCCTTCATTGAAAGTCGCGTCTTTGGATCTTTGTCAAGCATTCGAAAAAGTAAATCCTCAAGATCGACAGTAACGTCTTGAGGTATCATGAGATCAGCACGAAGAGTGTCTTCCATGTCGAGAAAAGGATTTTCAAAGAACATCAACACGAATAGCGTCACACCAAGACTCCAAACCTCCAATTCAGGTCCATGATATTTATTTCCAGCTAAAACTTCCGGACTGCAATATTCAGTTGTGCCATAGAATGTCGAAAACATTTTTCCATCCTCCATAAATGTCGCCGATCCAAAATCAATCAACTTAATATGAAAATTCTGATCGATGATAATATTTTCATCTTTGATGTCTCTGTGAAGTATTTTCAAGGAATGAAGGTAATCAACAGCCTTCGCTATTTGTCGGAATATAAAACATCCAAGCTTCTCATCCATCAACGGACGTCTATCTATAAACTCAAATAAATCCATTCCACTCCCATGCTTTTCCATAATCAATTGAAAAAACTTTTCATTCTCATAAACATCAAGTACGTTGACAATATTTGGATGTTTGACACGTTTAAGAAGATAAATTTCCATAGGAATTTCTTTCTTATCTTCAGTTGTTATCATGAAGTTTGAACAAAGTTTTTCTTTCAATATAAATTTGGAGATTACAAGAAGACGATCAGTGTTTCTATAAGCCATTTTCACATATCCATATGCACCTGGATTAGGAATAAATAAAAAAATTATTAATTTTTGGATTAAATGAAAATCCCAGTGGTTCTCAAACTTTCTTATGAAAGAAATTTTTGTTGAAAGTTTGAGAAGCATTTATTGAAAAATTAAAAGAAAAAATAAAAATTTCACAAACCTTTCCCAATCTGTTTCAAAGTTGTATAGTTTTTTGCATATTCCCCACTGATTTGTTCATCTTCACATTGTGAGACAATCGAAAGTGAATTCGGTCGACTCACTGAAGTGATATTTGCTAAAGTGCTTGTTCCTATTGTTCCTGCTGATGTCATCATGATGCTGCTGGCAGCGTTACTCACACAAACTGACGATGCTGCTGTTCCTGTCTTCACTGTTGCATTGCCTAAGCTATTCTCAATCGAATTCAATGTTAGAGTTAAATTAAATTGTTTTTCTTCATCAGGATCTTCATTCCGATATTCATCCGGATCGCGACAAATCCAAACGAGATAAATTGTATTGTTTGTGGAAGGTAATGTGTGTTTGTAAATCGTGTAAACAATATCAATAATATTCCCATCAGAATGAACTGCTTCTCCTTTATATTTTCCATCTGCATAGTTATAATTAAATTGTTGAATTCCCGCTGCATTATTCTGCGTACCAATCGATAATCTTTTCCCTATATCTGGTGTTGATGTTATTAAGGATTTTTGACAGTCTCCATCAAGAATCGTTGTCGTCACTGTTGATGTTTTTATTCCTTTTGGTGTGCTTTCTAAATTGCTAGTTGTGTGCGTGCTGTTATCATATTGTTGTGATTTATTGCTTACAATTTCATCTTGTGTACTTGTTGAATCATTTAATTGTACATGTCCCATCTCATTTACAGGTGTCAACAGTTCTTGTTCATCAGATACATCGCCATTCACTAAATTCATGACATTTTTATCATTTTCTGTGTTTGAAAGATTTGAAAGTTTTATTAAACTGACATCAGGTGATCGGATGCTGTTTCTGGGCGATGTAAAGTCGAGGCAAATCTTGAAAGGATCTTTCTTAGAATTTAATACTGTCCCGATAACAAATGGATCATTCAACAAAACATGATCGGTCTCTGTCTCAGACTCTTCATTTTCTATCGATGGCGATCGTTGACTTCTGGCATCAATATATTCGAATTCTTGTCCAAAGTTTGGAATAAGTTTGAAAATGTTTTGACCAATAATTCTTGATTGAGAGTAACCAAACATTAATGTTGAGAAGTGATGATTACATGACTCGATAATAGAATTTTCGTCGATAACAATAAGTCCACTGAGATTCGAATATACCCAGATTGTGATGGTATAAGATGGAGCGGTTAAGCTATCAACAGGTTCATTGATACTCTCATCAGTTGAGATCATCAAACAAAGAGGAAATGAAACGCCGTCTTGAGTTTTTCCAGTAGCTCTTTGTTTCCTTAAATTTTTTGGTATTAAATGATTTTCTATTGGTTCAGTTGGTAGTTGAATCGCTGGAATTAATAAAGTAACGTCCATACCAATGAATGTCTCAAGAGAATCAAGTTGAAATAACATTAAAGCCTCATTGTCTCCGTTTATCACAATGCCATGGGAATCGACATTTATCTGTGCAACTCTCCTTTCAACAGGTTCAGCAACAGCAAGGCACCTACCATCATGTCCATCTATTTGACGTATCCATAGCGAGACGGGTAACTTTGCGCCATTTTTATGGATCATTTCAACCACTTTACCACTTAATAAAATCATTGTACCATCTTCAGAATTGAATTGATTCTCGGCCAAGGCAGAGACGTGGATTTTGTTTTTGCAGGCCAGAAGATTTGAGAATTTAACTCCACTATCGCAAAGTTCTCTGGATTGATAGCCAAGTAAATCACATGCATTCTTGTTAACAATCAAAATGTTTGATGTCTTTGAATCTATTGTAAAAACAGCTTTGTTTGGGTTGATACCAGATTTTGGATTCAATATCGAGCCACTGTAAGATGATCCCGTGAAGCAACCTTTTGATTTTCGTATCGGAGTGAATCTTAATCCATTAAATCCATCGACTCTTATTTTATCCATTCTCTTCTTTAAGTTATTATTCACAACAGCCTCACTAATGATTTCATTATGATGATGTTGATGAACTTTGGGAAATGATTGATTGCGCTCAAATGACTTCTGCAAGCATTTATTCCTTTAAAATATTTTAAACAATTCGTTCTTATTATTCATCTTTTTTATTTGTTAATTAGCTTACCAAGTTTCCGTACGTAAAAGCGATGGAATGATATTATCAGACTGTACCTTGCTCAACTATATCAGAAAATGAAAGAAAAATTTCAACTTCTAGAAACTTAAACAAAGGATTAGATAATTTACAGATTCATGTTTCTTATCATAAAATGATGAGTTTTGTGGTAACGATTTCCAGGATGTAAACTGAACAGTTTTGAAATGTTTCTCACTGTAAATTTAAAAAAGAATTAACTTATGAATTCTTAATTTTTATTATTTTAGAAGATTGCAAAATCAATTTTTTTTTGTTATTCTCAAAACTTCTTATTGCGCAGGTTTCAGAAACGGTATCATCGACATAAGACAATTATCGGTGATGAAAAAGGAATACTATGCACGCTATTTAATCTTACATTCTTTCAATATCCATTGTTGAAATTAATTATTTAATGGACGGAAATAAATTTCAGTTTTATTTTTATCGTCAATTGAAAGCTTTTTCGCTTCTTAAAGCTCTTTTCAAATTTTCCCGCTTTTTTATGTTCGAAAACTTTTCATATTAATTCGAAGTTTTCGAAAATTTTCGGCGCGGATTGTTTATTTGTGTATACTGTAATTATTGCTTATTTATTCCTTAATTTATTGTAATCTTGATTGCAAATACATCACAAATCAATTGTCACTTAAAATATTGTGAATTGAAAGTATTTCACGCAATATTTCGTAAGATTGAAGCATCTGAAATTGTCCTTGATTTTTTTTACCTGTGGATAACATTAAAAGACCCTTTTGATCAAGTTTTGAATAATTAAAATGCGGCCTCGAAGAGCTGCGTCGCAAAAAGTTCAACAACAGCAACAGAAAGAAATCGAAGAAGATGATGAAGATGAACTTAATCTTTCCGAAGCAAGTTCTGGAGATTTTTCAAGTCAAAGTTCCGACGATTGGGATCCGACAAAACTGAGAGAAAACAAAGATAATTTTGCAGATTCTGAGTCGGAAGATATTGTATCTGAAGTAGAGGAAGAAGCAGAACAAAGTTTTGAAGAATCATTGCTAAGGAAAGCGTAAGTTTTTTCATTTAAATACGGCAATTGTTTTAATTCGCAAGAATTTCACAATTTCAGTAAAATCCGAAAACGCAATCCAATAGCTTCGCTTCGTGGTACAACAAGTAACAAATTCAAACCAAATCGCTCACAAAATGGTTCTAATGCGAACATTCGAAGCATTTTGCAAAAAGCTGAATACCAAAAGAAAAAAAGTATTTTCGATGAAACTCAAGAAAGCGAAGAAGTTCCTGAATTTGATTGTTCAGGTGGATTGAGATTATCAGATTCAGATGATTCTGACTATGACGGTCCATCCACATCAGCAGCTGCTTTAGAAATGATTAAACCAAAAACTTCAGCTCTCATTAACAACATCAATCAAGCGTCTGGCAGCAAAATGGTTGACTTAAAATCCATTCATGACAATTTGAAGCAAATGGAAGATGTCAAAGCAAAACTTATTAATTACAAAAATTCAAAATCAACATCACAAAAGAATTCGAATGATAAACAAAACGTTGCTGATTTACTAGCGATGGGTGAAGCAGCTTCAGATGATAAATCACAAACGAAATCCAAGAAATCATCACAAAAACGTAATCGACATGCAGCAGATGATTCTGAAAGTGATGGATGGGAAGAAGTTGAAGGTAAATTTAAAAAGAAACCAAAATATTTTACAATACTTAAAAAATATGAATATGACGGCAATTGATAATAAATATAAGATTAATTCGAAAATGTAATGAAATTTGTTTTCCTCAGACGATGGCGAATCTCGAGAATACAAAGTTCCAAAGCATGGAGTTGAAATCGTTTTAAATGACATGAATCAACAGGAAGGGAAGAAGAAAGAAACGAAACCAGTTGATTTTGAGGCACAAATGAAAAGAAAGCTCAACAGAAGACGTAAAGAATTTCAAGTTGATCTGCACAAAGTCAATTTAATGCTTTGGATTGGACATGGAAATTTCATTAACAGAAGAATCAACGACACAAATTTGCTGGCCAATGCACTTCAATTACTTCCAAAGAATAAAAATCATTGCTATCCTAAAGATAAAACAGATTTGGATTATTTCCAACAAATCACAAATTGGTTCAAATCAACAATTGGTTTGAAAAACCGAGAAATGTATTGCAACTTCAAGCCACGTCCACCAATTATGATGAGTCTTGCACTGCAAATGAAATTTAAAGCAGCAATTTGTCGTCGTGATTTTGTTTTGATATTTGCAATTATTCTCCGTGCTATTGGCATTCAATGCCGCATTGTCTCATCGCTTGTACTTGCTCCAATTTATCCACCGAAATCAGATCTGTTAAGTTTATCAGGGAAGAAACCTTCACCAGAAACATCTAAGAGTGCAGGAAACTCAAAATCAGCGAAATCCAATAACAAGTTAGGGAAACAAGCAATCATTCCTCAATTAGACGGCGGTGATGATGAAGTTGGAGCAAAAAGAAGCAATAAGAATAAAAAAGGAATTAAAATTAAAGGCCCAGTAAAAAATACAATTGATGAATCTTTCGTTAACCTGAATAAAGAAGATTCAGCAGCGAAAGCTCCTTCACCAAGAAAAACCAGATCAAAAAAGGGAAAAAATGTCGTCAGTTCAACAAAAATGTTACCAACCGATGAATGTGCTTTAAATTCACCAAACTCAAATCAAGCATCACCTTCAACGAAACTGTTTAAAGCACGTAAGTCAGCAGCACCACGATTAGAGCGATTAAAAGTTTCGGAAAATGAAAACTTTTCTCCACGTAAGACTCGAAGTAAGAGCAAAGATTTGACACCTGCACCAAGTGCTTCTAAATCATCCACAGCTGACGAAAAATCAAAGGAAAATGAAACAAAATCTAAGCAAGACGGGAACAAATTGCAAGTTTTTTCACCTCGTCGTTTGAGACGTCGCAGTGCTGATGAAGCTTCGGACACAAAAGATAAAAATTCATCGGAGAAGAAAAAGTCAGAGAAAGTCGTGAAGGATACTTTGAAAGTCTTTTCTCCAAGACGCTTAAGAAGTCGAAGTAAAAGCAGTGAAGCTTCTTCGACAACATCAGCAAATAACAATAAAAAACCTCAATTGAAAAACTTACAAAAGCGTGAAGATAGAAAACGTGAGTCGAATGAAGAAATAAAAATTAAATCAAAGAAAGCTAAAGTTGCTGTTAAAAGTGGAAAAGTTTCATCGAAGAAAGCTCAAAAAAGAAAATCAAACGATGAAAACGATACAGATTTTAGTGAAGAGTCTGCTGCTAGCGCGAAATATTTTAAAACTGCTAAAAAGTCGAAGAAAACATTGGAAAGTATTGATCGTCGTGTTTTATCATCAGATTCTGAAGACAATGCAGCACCTTCAATATCAAATTCATCACCTTCGAAGAAATCTAAGGGGATTGACATTTGGGTTGAAGTTTATTCGGAAAAAGATGAACGATGGATATCAATTGACGTATTTAGAGGGAAAGTTGATTGTCCAAAAGATATTATGAAAACAGCAACACATCCAATGACTTACGTCTTTGCATGGAACAACGATAACTCTATCAAAGATGTTTCTGCACGTTATTGTCCAAATTTAAACACAACAATTAGAAAAATGCGTGTTGAAGCGAAATATCTCAACTCAATTTTGTATCATTTTGCTGGTGGGAAGACAGTTCGAGATGTCAAGGAGGATAATGAACTTAACAAGCTTCAACTTGCTAAGCCGATGCCAACATCAATTGCTGAGTAAGTTTTGACATTTAATTTTTTTAATTATATTGAAATTTATTTTTTTGTATAGATTCAAGAATCATCCACTTTATGCATTGAAGCGTCATTTACTCAAATATGAAGCACTTTTTCCTGCTGAACCTCCTATTTTGGGTTACATAAGAGAGGAAGCCATTTATCCTCGTGATTGCGTTTTCGTTTTGCATACACGCGAAACATGGTTGAAGGAAGCACGAGTGGTGAAGTTGAATGAGAAACCATACAAGATGACAAAGACGTTGAAGTGGGATAATGTCACTCGAAAATTATTGAAAGATATTCCACAAGAGTTGTATGGAGTTTGGCAGACGAAGGATTATGAGCCTCCTGTCGCTGAAAATGGAATTGTTCCAAGAAATGCTTATGGCAATGTTGAACTGTTTAAGCCATGCATGTTACCCAAAGGAACAGTTCATTTGCAACTTCCTGGTTTGAATAAAGTCTGCAAAAAGCTTGGCATTGATTGTTCACAAGCTATCGTTGGATTTGATAGCAACGGCGGTTGGCCATTCCCGGTCTACGATGGTTTCATAATTTGCGAAGAATTTCAAGAAAAAGTTCTCGATGCTTGGAATCGTCATCAGGAAGAACAGGAGCAGAAAGAAAATGAAAAGTTTGAGAAGCGCATTTATGGTAATTGGAAGAAGTTAATCAAAGGATTGTTAATTCGTCAGCGCTTGAAGAATAAGTACAACTTTGAAAGCAACAAGTAAAATTAATTATAATTTATATGTTTTTATGAGATTATATTGTTGTTTTTCTTATTTTTATAATTCGATTTAAGAGATCAAAAGAAGATGTAAAAATGTGAAGGGTAATCGAATAAATCATCATTCATGTAAAAGTATTAACAAAATTTATTTAATTTTTAAAGTTTCAGCAACTGCTTGCCGAACTCTGAAGTTGATTTTCGAAAATCATCAATAATTTTCCCCTTCCAAGTTAAGTTCGAAAATCTTTGATGATCATTATTAACTTGGTTCCTCAATAGAAAACACGTGAATTTAAGAAATAAACTTGAAAAATCTTTAAAATGTAGTAATTAACTCAAAAACTTCTTGAGAAAGATGGAAATACATTGGATAAGTCAGCTTTAGCTAAAAGTTTTCCTTGAAAAATGGAAATGTGAAGGTAAATTAGGTTTTTATTCACTTCAACGAGTTTAGAGTCTCTGATTAAGCTCAAAGTGCTGTTTCGGTGCTATTTTGACTCGTAAATGAAACTCTTCCACACAAACAAAACTCAAATCGCTATCCAGATTTGCAGCGTATGTCGTTAGACGTAGAAGAAACATTCTACTTCATATTTCATCGCATTTAAAGTTTAAATTTTATTTTATAAGACATTTGGAAATTTTCAATAAATAAATAACCAACAAATTTTTTCCATAGAAAGAATTTTATTCTGTGATGGAACTTCATGAAGGACTTTGTTCATTAAACGTGCCGGATAATTCAAAAGGTAACTTATTTGGCTTATTGCCTTATTTAATTTGTGTTGAAAAATTTAAAATGATGACAAGAACACATTATACATACTTTTCTGACATCTCTTATGAATAAACTAATGATTCTTTGTATGATCTGATTTCTATCCTCATCATTCTAATGATCCTCTTTAAATCACATTCTAATTAAAAAATTTTGGTTTATTTTTCAGTTTGATCCATGATGAGGACGGATTTCGTTCCATGTGATAATCCAGCTTGGCACATGCAACAACAAAGTGCTTGACATTAAACATGCGTCGTAAACATCACGACATACTCTATTTGCTTATGAATTTTATTTGTGATTTATGAATAAAAGAAAATTTCTATAAAATTAAATATTTTTAAATATTTTCATCCCTCATTTATCTCCTACAATTTTTCCTGATTTTTATTTTCTCTTAATACTTTGGAACAACAGGATACAAGAAGATACGAAAACTTAACGACATTTGAAATTTTGAAAAATTTATGAATAATTCCCACGCCTGTTTAGAATGGAGTTCGAAAAACTAATTGCGTTCCCCTTTCTTTTTCTCTAAAAATTTGAAAGGAATACAACATGAGGTGCGAAAATATTAATAAATATATAATAAAATAGACTTCTAATAAATTAAAACGAATAAATATTGTATCCAAACTAACATTGGTTTAAAACTGCTTTAAGTTATCATGTTTAAAACAGTGCAAATTATAAAATTTCGTCAAAAATAATTTTGTGTTCATTTAAAAATAATTATTGTTTTGATTTATTTTTTTACACAATTTAATTATGTTCTCATTATCGTGAAAATAATGTTATCAGTTTTGAACAACTATGCATCATGAGGAGCATAAGATTACAAGTTTATGCAATTTCCATTTAATTAATAAAAAAATAAACATAACCTTCAAGTATTATTACCAAAACTAATAAATTTTAAATTCCTTTCAGTTCCCTCAAATTGCAGAAGAGGCTCGCAGCCTCGGTGATGAAATGCGGCAAAAAGAAGGGCTGGTTAGATCCAAATGAAATCAACGAAATCGGCAATACTAACTCTCGTAAGTATCCAACAAATGCTGATGATGGCAAATGCACTTCGAGCATTCAGGAGAAACTCTGAATGTTTGATTTCATTTTTGCTAGAATAAACATGCATTCCTTATTCATTGTTTAAATTTGATTTGTAATTTAAATAATTGCAAATAGTCTGCAACAGAAAAACCTTTTGATTTCTGGAATGAATTTCATAATCTTAATTAATCTTTATCTTTGTTTATTATCATTTTAGGCCAGAACATTCGTAAGTTGATCAAAGACGGTTTGATCATCAAGAAGCCTGTTGTTGTGCACTCTCGCTATCGCGTTCGTAAGAATACAATTGCTCGCCGAAAGGGACGTCACTGTGGATACGGTAAACGTAAGGGTACAGCTAATGCTCGTATGCCTGTCAAATTTCTTTGGATGACAAGAATGCGCGTTCTTCGTCGCTTGTTGAAGAAATATCGTGAATCAAAGAAGATCGACCGTCATTTGTATCATGATTTGTACATGAAGGTTAAAGGTAATGTCTTCAAGAACAAGCGCGTGTTGATGGAACATATCCACAAAAAGAAGGCTGAGAAGGCTCGTACTAAGATGTTGAACGACCAAGCTGAAGCCCGCAGAAACAGAGTAAGACATTTTTACGAGATTTCAAACCATTTTACTTATCAAAATTGTCTTCGTTATAGGTTCGTGAAGCTCGTAAACGTCGTGAAGAACGTATTGCAACAAAGAAACAAGAACTTCTTTTATCATATGCTAAAGAGGAGGAACAGCAGGCACCAACACCAACTGCTAAAAAATAAACCGCTTTTGAAATGGATAATTTGATATTCCAACCATTTTATTCCATCGAGAAATGTCCAACAAAAGGATTTTTGTTCCAAATGAAAATAAATAAAAAAAAATAATTGAAAAACGTCATCAAAGTGATATTTTGATATTTGAAAGTCTTTACTGTATCTTAAAGGATTTTTAAAATTTACGGCATCGTCCGTTTGTTGTTCATCCTCAGATTAATCTGTTGAAGGTTTTCTCATCAAGATTATTTTAATGTCCCATAGGATTACTGAAAAATGATTCTAAATTCACATCTCCAAGATCAACTCTTTGATCAATTTGTCAGCAAGTCGTTTTATAAGATATGAATGAATTTAAATTTGAATTCTTGGAGTTTTCCTTCATATCCTTCCTCCTTAATTCTAAGGTTTAATGTAATCACCCACGAATAAATTGTTCAAACTCAATATGCTTTCCTCTCTTCTTATCATCAAGTCATTAAGGTATGAAAATGAAATCCTGTTGAATTTCCTTCCTTTAAATCAAGCTCGATGTTATATTTGCAAAGCGCATGAACATGGAAAAAGGATGTTGACATGAGAAAATTTCCTTAGATATCTCATTCGTTAGAAGATATTCAATAGAATCGAATCGTTCTTGACGTTTTTTCTCAAAGACATGAAGAAAATAATTTAATAGAAGACAAAAAAGAAAAGAGATTTATTTAATTAATTAATTTACTCCTATTGGGAAAGGTGACAAAGTTGTTGTGGAAGAACATTAGAAAAGTTAACGTTTGACGGTAATTACGTAAAAGTGTAAAAACAAAATTTCCTTTATTGATCCACTTGCTTCACGAAATATGCGTCGCTGATCAAAGACAATTAATTTATTTAAATTCATAAAATAATATTTTTACAAGTAACATCTTAGTAGGATTAAAATTTAATTTCTCTTTGCTCTACAGAGAGAAGTGCGATTGTCATTAAAATTATTGTCGAGAAATTGATATTCAAAAGTGAAAGCATTATCAAGGTGTGAACATAAATCATAATACTCAACCAATTATTTAATTATTCACGAAAATAATTCCTTTTGGGATATTTGCAATAGATTTTTTCTGGCAAACTTTTATGGTTCATAATTCAAGTGAATCATGGCTGAATACTCAGGCAACAAATACAGGTAAGACATGAACATTGTGTTTAATTGAGTAGATATATCCTTGTTTTATCTTCATATCATCTTGAAGGCTTTTCTTATATACGTTGAACCTTTACTCAAACTTTCTGAATTTTTTGTCATCGTGCGGATATAAAAGAAAACTCATCAGATAAATGTTTGATTAGAAATGTATCAAATTAACATTAATTAATTAGGCTATTAATTTTGATTGTTAATAATTAATAATTCTGTCAGGAAAGTGTTGTTAATATCACAAGCAATAAATTTACTTTCACATATTTTTTAACAGTCATTTCTTGTAATTCATAAAAGTCAATTATCCGGATAAAGTGACAGGGGCTTAGTACTGCTAAGTAAGTTTCGACGGCGTTTATAAAAATCAGCAGTGAAAGATCCCGCAATATTTGTAAACAAAAAAATTTCATCGTACATTGACAAAAATCCAATTTAATTTTCTCAGTCATGGTAAGTGTAAATGACATTTCAATCAACTCACGTTGTGTGAAAGAAATTTAGTCAAGTGAGAAACATGTGACAAATATCTCGTTTATTGAGAAAATTGGATAACATTGACAATATCTGAATTGTTTACATATTTCTCATAAACTTTTCTTAACGATTAACTTTTTCATGATACTTTTTATATTAAACTTCGACTAAATTCTAGTCTGTGACCCTCCACACTGACGTCGGCGATATAAAGATTGAAGTTTTTTGTGAAGACACTCCAAAAGCAGCCGAAAACTTTTTGGCACTTTGCGCTTCAGATTACTACAACGGATGTGTTTTCATTAGGAACATTAAAGGATTTATCGTCCAAACTGGCGATCCAACGAATACCGGAAAAGGTGGAAAGTCAATTTGGGGTGAAAAGTTCGAAGATGAGTTTAAAGAGAATTTAAAGCATTCAGAGCGAGGATATTTGTCAATGGCAAATTCGGGTGTGAATTCAAACCAAAGCCAATTCTTCATTACTTATTCAGCACAACCCGCACTTGATTTAAAATATACAATTTTTGCGAGAGTTATCGACGGATTCCAGGCATTGGACGAGCTAGAGAAACTGGCGGTTAACCCAAAAACTTATCGACCGCTCATAGATAAGAAAATTAATTCTGTAACCATTCATGCTAATCCTTTGGCTGGATAAAATAAATTTGTATTTAAGACAAAGTTTGAAGATTGTTCTCATTAAGGCGTATCTGCTTCGAGGGTTTAAAAGTTTTCTATCTACTTATTAAGATTCGTTCGAGTTAAGATGAGATTCGTACAAATTTCTGACGTTCTTAATTTGATTTCATGTTGGTAAAGTTTTCAGTTTTAAGAAAAAAGGTTTATTGTGTCAATTAAACAATTGATTTTATTTCTGTATCAGTTACGATAGTCTAAAAAAAAATATTTTTTTCTTTACTTAATGAAATTTAAAATACTCAACGATAGCAAATTATCAATCGAAATTACCCAAGGTTCTATAACAACATTATCTTATCGTGATGTACATTTTGAATTATACAGTGAATCAGGTCGTTTTATTTATCTCAAATGATAAAGAACTACAAATCTTTATTTATCATAATCAAATCCTTTTAACATTATGATAATATTTAAGAGTAATTACAAGCTTGGTTGACATGTTTCGCTGTTTCCAGTAACGCAAAGCATTCTTTGTGCACTAAAAATCTGACCAGCTGTGCATTGTGAAGTAATTGGTCTAAAATTTAAAATAAATTATTAAATTAGCAAAATTTTAATAGTTAAAGCGATTGACTTACATCTCAGAAACGCATCTGAAGTATTTTGTACAATCTTGCGGATCCGGAACGCTTCCACTTGAAACTCCATCGCAAGGATTATAAACAACTGTTGATGTTGGCAAAAGTGTGACTGGTAGAGATGTTGTTGTTTCAGGTGTCGTAACAGGTTCAGGTGTCGTTGGCTCAGTTATCGGAAGAGTATTTTCAACAGTTAATTCACAAGTCACTCGATTTCCCGATTGACAACTGATAAAAATTAATTTTCAACATTTTTCCTTCACAAGTGTGATTGATATCTTAATTCATTTAATACTCACGTTTTATCTGAATCATTCCAAATTTGAAATTCAGGACATTGTCTGATATTGAAAAGTTCTTCATAGCAGAAAATGTAAAGTGCACATGCTGTGGGGTGTGCGATGTAATCAAAAAATTTGCCTTCACAAATTCCTTCCAGACTAGGCGCAAGTGTTGTGGAGATGAATCTTGTAGTCGTTGTGGTTTCTGGAGTGGTTGATTCTTCTGTGGTTGGATATTGTAAGCATTCATGAATGACGGGATGGAAGAATTCATCTTCATAGCATTTAAACACAACTCCACTGCCACGAATGCATCCAACGTAGTGCTCGAGTGAGTTTGGATATGGCAAAGCCTCGAAGAATACTCCACGACAGATCTCGTCAAGGTCAACGGGATCAATTGGCGATGATGTTGTAGTCCCTTGTGTGGGTGTAATCGGAACTGTTGATGTAATTTCTGGTGTGGGTGTATTCGGCGTGGTTGAAGCTATTGGTGTGATTGGCGTAGTTGGCAAAGTTGGAGCAGTTGTTGTTGAAGAACTGCCGAAAATCTCACATGTTTCAGGATTTCCAGGGACGCATTTTAATAAATATCTATCAAAAACTTGGTTCTGGGGACAGTCAATGGTAACTGGTATGAACAAAACGCATGAATAAAACTTCGTGCAATCATTTGGATTGGCGACAATTTCTCCTTGCCATAGTCCTGAACAAATATATCCTTGCGATAAAACCTCACCGCTACTAACCATTAAAAGCACCAAAATTGATAATAATTTTTCTACGTGAATGAAATAAAATATCTGATTTTGTTATCTTGAGATTAATAAAATTTCTTTACCACTCATTTTCAATTTTTGTTTTAATGTTAATCAATGAACAGTTAACTTCAAACTGAACAATTTTATTCGCAGTCGCAGCATATGACTTAGTTATTCAACAGAAAACCTTGATAGATCTTTTAGAATCAAATCTAATCTTATCTCGTGGCTTAGTCACTTGTCTTGGTAGCAGTGCTTCAATTGAAAGCTACCGTTGTTAAAATTGTATCAATAAAATGATAATTGTTAATTAGTTTCACTAATCTCGAGTGCTTATTATCGACATCGTCATATAGAATTGACAAAAATGCAGAAATATTTGTGAAAATGACTCAAAATATCATTTTTCAGAGAAACCACAAGATTTGATTACATTTTATGATTTGATACGAACATATAGGAGAAATGTGTCACTTTAATTTCCTCGAGGGCCGCTTTTATTGGTTATCGATTTCATTCAATCATTTATATCCATTAAAATGGGAAAATAAATCAACAAAAGCAAACATTTATTGTAGATATTGCAATCAATTTGTTAAGCTGAATAAACCTTTGAATCCCTGGAAAAACAAAAGAATTATTAAACATAATTTTATTAAATAACAATTGTTGGAAAATGTACATAATTAAAATAGTAATAAGTAATATTTAATTAATGTTATTGAACACGGTTGATGTTACTTTCAACTAAATATTTAGTCAACAACATTCAACATTAAACGTGACTTTCGAGTTTTCATCATTTCTGACGCCTACACGCGAAAAAAATTCTCTTTTTTGCTGTCATTTTGAAACATTATGTTGAATAAAGGTTCATATTAGCTCGAAGCTTTTCAACGAAGCATGGGAAAATATTTTCGTTATTGCTTCAGACATACTTTCAAAAAAAGCATTTTTTAACATAATTCTCTTCTTATATTCACAAGAAGCTGAAAAGAAAAATTTCCTTTTTAAAAAGCTTTTCTCAGCATGAAGTGTAAAGCCATTCTCAAGATGAAAAATTAGGCGGTAATAACCTGATTCAATGATTTTAGACTTTATTTGATAGCGTGGGAATGTATTACATTTTTATCACTCATTTCATTACATTTACATCAATTTACCTTCATAAAATTCATGACTTTAATGAAAAACCATCAAAAGATGATTGCTTAGGTTCATTCATCATGCGTATCGATTTAAAACTTATCATGGTTCATTAAACTTTTTATAGGAAAATATTGCCGGTGCCGATGTTCGAGAAGCAAGATTTCAACATGGTATCGATTTTGAAGGGATGTATTGGAAAGGAATTAAGTAAAATTACCATGCCGGTCCATTTCAACGAACCTTTAAGCTTCTTACAACGTATGGTTGAATATATGGAATATTCGTACCTTTTGAGATTGGCTGCGGAACAATTGGATCCCGTAGATCGGATGAAATATATTGCAGCTTTTGCTGTATCAGCAACAGCTTGTAATTGGGATCGTTTGGGAAAGCCCTTTAATCCCTTATTGGGTGAAACATATGAAATTGAACGTCCAGAATTTCGATGCTTATGCGAACAAGTGTCACATCATCCACCAATCTCTGCGTTTCACGCTGACTCGCCACACTTTACATTCCATGGTTCGATTTATCCTAAGTTGAAATTCTGGGGAAAATCTGTTGAGATTCAACCGAAAGGTGTTGTTACAGTTAAATTACCGAAATGGGATGAAACGTATACGTGGACAAATGTTAACTGCACAATTCACAACATCATTGTTGGAAAGTTATGGATCGAACAGTATGGCACGATGGAAATTACAAATCATCAAACGGGTCATAAAGCGATATTACAATTTAAACCTGGTGGTTCCATTCATAAGGATTTACATCGTGTTGAAGGCACAATACAAGACAAAGAGTAAGAAAATTCTGAAATTATAATTGAAAAGATTTAACGATTTGTTTTTACAGTAAGCAGAAGCTTCAATTTCTCTACGGTCGTTGGACGGAACTACTTAAAAGTACTGATATGGATTCATACGAAGAATACCTTAAAGTCAACCCAAACAAGTTCAAACGTCATGAAGAACGAAGTAAAAGTCCTATTGAGTCACCAGCTCATACACCTCGCAAAGTTTTGTCAAAACTTAACAGCTTGAAAATGTCTTCATTTAGAAGTTTGTCAATACAAGATGATGCACATGATCATCATCATCATGACCGATCACCTGAACCCGATGGTGATGTTCCTCGATCACAATCGATTTACTCAATCGACATTCCAAACTCGATTCTACTTTGGGAAGTTGAAGCGAGACCACAAAACAGTTCCAACTACTTTTCATTCACAAACTTTGCCATGTCTTTGAATGAGATTGAATCTTACATGAAACCCCCACAAACGCTTTGTCCAACAGATTCACGTTTAAGACCAGATATAAGAAAATTGGAAGAGGGAAATGTCGATGGTGCGATCTCAGAGAAGACACGATTGGAAGAGAAGCAACGTGATGCTAGAAAGGCACGAAAAGCGAAGAAAGGTGGCGAAGATTGGCAGCCTAGGTAATTTTTCTTATACGATTTCAATCCTCAATCATCTTACTTAAAGATATCTTTTTACTTATTTTATTTTACTCAGATGGTTCAAGCCGGAGACAAATCCTCTAACAAAACAAGAAGATTATATTTATGTCGGAGGGTTTTGGGAACGAAAATACGATAACTTGGATTTGGATTTGTTCTAAGCTTTCATATGCATAAAATATTCAACACAAATTATATCATCAAAATTAATATCTAAACAAATTATGACAGCGAAAACTTTAGCCATATAAACATTGAATCCATTAGTAAATTCATAGAAATTTTTTGACGTCATAAATATCGATATATATTAAATAGGGAGGGAGTTTTTTTATAAAATATTTTATGCAATTTTTTCATATACAAAAAAAGAAATGAAGAACACAAACTTCCTACCTTAGCACCATTGTTCATATCTCAGCATTTCTTAGGACATTTATTGAAGTGAATGTATATTTATCTACCTAAGTCAAATCTAAGTAGTAAAAATTCATAAACATTTTTTAGATTGTTGCTGTTAATCTTTAATTAAAGCAATTAGGAAAATTTAATTATCTAATGTTTGACAAATGAATGGAAAACCAATTATGGATGAAAGTAGGCTGGGATGCCTTAGTTTCTACTAAATATAGGCTTATAAGTTATCTCAATTATTTTCGCAAGACAATATAATCTTAGATGTTAATTAATCGGGGATCAGTTTTATTGCAATTATCTAAGTAAATTTATGTAGAAAAAATCTTCGTTAGGATGTGTGATCATGCTAATATTATATGTATTAGAATATAGACTTAAAAAACTTTTGAAAAAGAGACTTGAATGTCCCAGTTACCGATTGAATGTCTGATAATTTTTTGCTTAATAAAAGAAGAAACTTTAGGAGCGTTTAAATTCAATTGTGAACTTCTCTTAAACATTTCAGGTGATTTTAATTTTATAACGGTTTTTAAATATTTAAATTTTGAATTTCTTAGTCCGAGTAGTTTAACAACCTACCGGACTTACGAATGGGCCCACTGACCCGGATAAGCTAGTTTTCCGCGCGGACTGGAAAACCAGGTTTTCATACAAAGCGGACAAAAAACTGGTTCCGTGCACGTGAAAAAATCCGTGAAATTCCGTGGATTCATACACTCTCCACCTGAAACTAACTTACTGATGCGCAGTATTTTTATTTATAAAACACAAAGAAATTCAAGAATCAAATCAGAAGGAAAAATATATTTCTCTGATATGACAGACAATAAGAATGATTCTAATAGCTTAGATGCTGAATCAGAAATCAATGATGATTCAGACTCTTCTAATTCACATTTTATTCAGAAACCAGGTCAGTTTTAATTTCATCATTCTCCTTTGTCATTGTGAAATTAAATTTGAAATTTTAGAATTGCTTGCTATTGCTACGAATGAGTCCTATTATGGCTTAGAACTTCAGGATGCTGAAAAAGTATATCATGGCGTTATAAAGGAATCAACAAAAGGTTTGTGTTATGTTATAATCACTGAATTAATGACTTTAAATCTTTTCTTTCATAGCTAAAAGAAAACGCAACAGAAGAAGTAAAAAGAGAACGTTTACTGAAGACAAACTTCATGAGACTCTGAAGAAAATCAATGAAAAACTTAATAATCTTACACTTCAAAATGAAAAGTCTTTGTCTTCACTTGTTTCTATTTCAAAAAAGAAAGAGAAGAAGGAAAAGGCAAAAATGTTTGGAGAAGCTTCAGGATCGGGAATTGAAAACTCAACAAGTCCTCTATTATCAAGACTTAAACAACTCCAAACAGGAAAGATATCAAGTGCACAACTTCAGAAATCTAAATTTCAGCAAAAAGTCAAACAATCAGACGTGAACAATGGCCAGAAAGTTAAATGCAATAACGAAGAAGAAGTGAAACGCCTCACCACCCAAATTCAAGAAACAATCGTACAGCAAATCAAACCGAAACTATTAAACATTATTAATGGAGAAAGTAGTCAAGTTACAAACCGTCCTTTGAATGGTCTCATCGCTAGAAAGACAGAAGAAGCTTCAAGTTCACAAATTCTTTCTCCTCCTCGTGTTTTCGATTGCATTCCAAATCCACGTGAAGTGGCTATCGAGAAAACAACAATTGTACTTCCATCTGGTGAAGAGACTGAGGTTTATCGTTATTCAAATGACGATTTACTTCAACTCAAATCTAAGGCTACTTGGGAAAAGGTTCCTCGTCTTCTTGATCTTAATATTTGTCGAACGAAGTTAACAGAGCACGAATCTTTCATATTGAGACTTTTAGGAATCAATAATGATGTTGATAGACTTACTGCTATTTTAGAGGAAGCTAAAAAGTTAAATTTAATTAAATTAACAGGTCCAAATGAATTTAAATATCAGCAAATCACAATTAATCAAAGTTATAAAGAAACTCCAGAGAAAAGAAATGAAATTGAAGACGAACCACTTGAGCTTCTTCATAAAATCGAAAACTTTAAAAGGATTGCTAAAAATGACAATGAACTTAATGAAATGATATTTAAACTTGAGTTTACGCGATTATTTAAAGATTGTTTCAACGATTTCGATGTCACAAGTGCAACATTTATGGAGATCGTCGATCATCTTCTTAAAACAAATCAAGCTCACATCTTGGAAGGAGAAATTCGTGTAAATGCCAAGAATAATCAAGAAGCTTACATCACTCATCCATCAAATGAAAAAGACGTTTGTGTGAATAGTTTAATATTAAGAAAGCATGCTTTTCATGGTGATTATGTGAAAGTTTTAGTTAAGAATGAATCCGAAGATAAGAAAGATTTAAACAGTTCGGCAAATTTAACTGACGATGAATTAGATTTGACATTGGCAACGGAAGTTGATTTGTGCACGAGGAAGTTTGGATGTGTTTTGGAGATTTTAGATAAGCGTCATAATCGTCGTGTGATTGGATCGTTGTCATCAAACGTCAAGAAAGATCGAAGACACGTCATGTTGAATGTTCGCGATCTTAAAGTTCCAAATATTCGAATAAACCGTGAAGGAATTCCAAAAGACACGAAATTGACCGAAAAAATGTTGTTGGTAGCTGAGATCATTGGATGGTGTCATGATCAACCTCGAGGAAGAATTGTTGAGAAAATTGGTGAGAAAGGAGAATTGAAAACTGAAAACGATGCGATTTTAATTCAACATTCATTGGATCCGACACCTTTCGATCAGCATATCATTGATGAAGTTCCCAGCGAACCTTTCATGATTCCTGAATCTGAATTCAAATATCGACAGGATTTACGTAGAAAATGCATTTTCTCAATTGATCCTGAAACTGCGAGAGATTTGGACGACGCCATGAGTTGTGAAATTCTTCCAAATGGAAATCTTGAGATTGGCGTGCACATCTCTGACGTTTCATATTTTCTGAAAGAAAATTCTGAACTCGATGAGATTGTTCTGAAGAAAGCAACGACAATTTATCTCGTTGATCAAGTTTATCACATGCTGCCAGTTCCATTGTGCTTGTTGTGTTCACTTCTTCCAGGAGCTGACAAAATGGCTTACAGCGTCTTTTGGGAGATGAAAGAAGCAACAGGCGAGATTGTCAATCAAAGAATTACGAGGTCAGTTGTGAATTCATGTGCAAAGTTAAGTTACGAACAAGCACAAATGGTAATTGAAAAGAATGACGATAAGTGGAGTGAACTTGAAAACAAGTTTCCTGTCATCTACAATAATTACACAGTCACCGATGTTGCTGAAGTCATTAAAAAGCTTCAAAAAATTGCTGTTATCATGAGGGAAAACCGGAAGAAAAATGGAAGTTTGAAAATTGATCAGCCGAAAATTTCATTTAAATTTGACCGCGACGATCAAAGAATGGAAGCTCCAACTGATTTTTTTAAATATCCTATAAAAGATAGCAATCGATTGATTGAAGAGTTCATGTTGCTTGCAAATATTACGGTAGCGAAGTTTATTTTTGAGAAATTTCCAGATGTCTCTTTATTGCGATGCCATGAAACGCCTAAAGAAAATAATCTGAAGAAGCTCGTAAAGAATCTTCAAAAGCATGGAATTCAACTTGACATAAGTTCATCAGGTGGATTGTCGCAGTCTATGGAAAATATTATCGCAAACGCTCAATCAAGTGAAGGAATGAGCGCAGTTTTAAATCTTTTAGTTTCAAAAACAATGACAAGGGCTCGTTACTTTTGCAGTGAATCTTCTGAGAATGAAAGCAATTTTTGGCATTATGCGCTTTCAATTCCAATCTATACTCACTTCACAAGTCCCATTCGTCGATATGCTGATGTTTTAGTGCACAGGTAAATGTTTTGCAATTCTTAACTTAACTCCAATTCTTTTTTATGTTTCTCTTCGATAGAGTTTTAAATGGTGCTCTTGATTATGAAGATCCACCATCACGAACACCTGAAGAAGTTGACCAACTTGCCAACATTTGTAATGCACAAAAATATTCAGCGAAACTTGCCGGCGACGACAGCTCCAACTTGTACTTCATGCACTTCATTAAATCGCTTAAAAGCCAAATAATGAAGGCTGGCGTTGTTGGGATTTACGATTACAACTTTGAAGTTGTTCTTATTGAGACTGGACATGTCTTGAAAGTTTATTACAAAGTGAGTCGCATTTTATTCTGTTGTATAACATTTTCACTTACTTGTCTTTCTTCATAAAAAAGAACATCGAAAAAAATCAAACGAATGGACAAATGGTCGTGAAAACCTTCAACGATAACGTTCCACCTTATGCTACTTTAACTTGGCTTCAACCAGGCTTTCCAACTTCAACAATAAAGTTTGGAAGTGAAATTATGTTAGAGATTGAGACGGTTAAAGATAAGCTGGTCGCCAATCGGATTCTCTACATTGATAGTACTCACTGAAAATAACTTTTTTGGTTGTAATCTTTAAGTATTTACAGGATTTAATTAAATTAACTGTGACCGAAGACCAATTGAAAAAGAAATAAATTTTGTACGAAAAAGATTTCAATAAAAAATGAAATTTTTATGGGAAAAGTCGACGAACTTTGACACATTATTGAGGATTTTCACAGATAATTCGAAATATTTCACTTCCTTTTGTCACACCCACGGAATACTTTCATGAAACAAGCCTTTCAAGTCATTGTACTGAATGTTTATTTAGATATTTAAAAATCTAAATATTTTAGAAATGCTTGAAGTGAAATAAAAACTTTGATAAAATTCAAATGTAAAAAGTAATAACATAAAAGCTTCATTTGCTATTACGAATCTACGCAAATCATATTAATTTGCATCAATTTGTTAATTCAATTTTCTGATTGAGTAAGTATCTGGTTGCGGATTGAGTTTTATCTATTTATGCAATTCAATTTATGTAGCGCTATGTTTAGTGTCTGAAAATTAAGTTGAATGTCGTTGAGATAAAAAGATTAAATTCGATAAATGCAGAGGTGATAAAATTATCTTTCATTCACACTAAGTTGTTAGCAATTTCTAGATAAGAAACAAGCAAAACGTCTTCTTTATTTCACGGTTGCAGTAATCGTTCGTTGTAACAGTTTTTATGACGCTTGCGCGTGTGAATTGACCAAATAATTAAAAGTCACAATGAAAGTTCCAAATTATGCAATTAGCGACTATGAAACATTTTGTAACAATTCAAATTTTGCTTTTCTTTTGTGCAAGTTTATGGTGCATAAAATGTATTTCATTTTGGGAGACTTATCAAATCGGTCACGTCATACCGTAGATTATGTTGTGACTTTTGAGGTTTCATTGGTGAAAACATAAACAAAAATGACTCAGTGAAATGACAAATTTACCTTCGTCCGACGAAAGAAAGTTTAAAATAAACATTAACGAAGTTGTTGCATAAACATGAATGAATGACATCCACCACGATAGCTTTGGTTTGCATCGTTATGGCTGGTAAATGAGAACAATAACTTAAAATGGATTTGATCACACACAGCGATGGCTTTAATAATCTTCATCTGAAAGAAACAAAAAAAAAATTTGAATCCACATCATTAGAGAACAAAAGAAGATGAAGAAGAAAAGAAAGAAAAACTTTCAGTTTTATTTGAAGTTCATTTATTTCTTAGGCATGTCTCATGCGATGATGATAGTTATCGTATCAATATAATAGCATGTTGCTAATTTTACGAGGGAGCCATCGTTGTTGATGATATATTTTATTTAGAAACTTTTTCGTGGCCGTCTTCAAGCACAGGTCGGTCACGACAAAAACGTTTCATCATCAAACGAATGACTGGAGATGGAGTGTGCTTTTAATTTCGCTGCCATTTGTCTTCTCCGCTTACACTGACCATATTCGCTTTACATTTGCTTATATTCTTTATCATTCATCATACTCAATCGAGCGCACACATCTGTTACATAAACATAACAAATAATATTTATGTACGTAAAACGAGTTTTTCATCATCATCAAGTTTCCTTTCGGTGAACTTTTGATTCATTGACGATGGCACGAAGTAACTTCTTAAGCGACTCTCTTCGAACAACTAATACATTTATGAATAAAATCATATGTATTAAATCACAATCACGAGAGTGAATTACCGAGACATTTAATTAGTTAACAGACATGTTGGAGAAAGGTTTTTGTAAAAAAATAAAAATAAAAAGTTCGATGAACTGTTGTTTTGACAACGACAATTCAGAGAACAAGCTACGAACGTAGGGAAACAGGAAGAGTTTGTTTGATGTTACACTTCAACGTTCCTTTTCACGAATTAAAAGTTCAACGTAACAATGGAATGGTGTGGAAATCAATATGGACATCGATCGCCTCAAAAAATTTCATCGAGAAAGTTGTGAATTTTGTTTTCATTTGAATCGCTGTTAGGCTTTGCTTAATATTTTGTGGCAATTTTTAACAAGTTTGGTAGTCATCGACCGAAATCATGGGATATGAAGATAAATTAATCGTAATTAAGCATTTTCTTCCTTCTTCTTTTTTGTGGTAATGAACTAAACTCGAGATTCAAAAGTCTTGTTGAACAACTTTTGGTTGTTGGACTTCTAATAATCTTGCAAGTGTTGTTAGTCAAAGTTGTCATCAACAACGTTCCATTCAATTGCTACTTGCTGTTTCTGGTTTCAACTTCACAAATCTTCTCTTTTCACGTTATGAGTTTTCGGTATTTTATTTATTCTTAATCTGGAATAAAAAAATCTTCTTGCGTCGACAGTTTTTTTAAGATGATCCACCAAGTCTTGAAGTTTGTGTTTACGTTTCGCATTCAAGTGATATTTTTTGGATTCTTCTTTCTTTTACATTCATAACAGTCTTTTGAAGCTCGCTTCGGTTTTTTCTAAATACAAATTGTTATTGTAGTGTGTGATGTGAAGTGTCATGTTTATATTTCTTGTGTTGTGTGTTGGAAAAAGTTGAGTTGCTGCTTATGAATAAATTTACAGCTTCGATTGTTCAACGTTTAAGAATCTGGCAACACTAAAAGCTCAATACTAACGAACGATCAAAAATTGCTCACCCCACCAACTTGAACAAGAAATCCAGTTGGATATAAATAAAATGAAATTGCTTGTAAAGGTTTCATTCGAGTTGTTTCATTTTCATCATAAAGGTGAATGCATTTGTGAGTTTCATAATCTTGGATTATTCTCTTATTGTTGTTGTGATCTTCTGTCGTGAACTTTTCCTCAAGGTTCTTCTTCTTTTTAGAACTATAAAGTGCAATTAACATTTAAAAAATAATTAAAGATTCTCAAGATAATTTAACTTTTCTTTAGTGAAACTTTTCCATTCATTTTTCTTTTTCACAATTTCTTATTCGCACGCATTCAATTTTCTATTTTTTTTCTTTCATTTTTTAAGAACTCCAGTTTCGCGACGAAGTGAAGAAAAATTGTTGATCAATCAAGCACAAGAAAAAGTTGCAATTTAAAGAAGAAAATAAAAAAAGATTTGAATTGTCTTGATAAGAAGTGAAAAGTGATACAATAAATTAACGAAGAAGATTGAAAAAGAGAAGTTTCTGTCCCGTTTTTGGATTACACTAGAGCGACATATCTGGGTTAACAATGGAAGCAAAGATGGAAAAAGATGCCGACTCAATGGTTGTAAAGCCCGGCGAATATGCAGCGAGTGAATATTCAGCATCGTCTGAACCTCCACCAGTAAGTATCATTTGAAACAAACTGAATGAACTCGAGGCAAAGTTTAAGAAACGCAAAACAAGAAAATGCAATTAAAAATATTTCTGATCATGAAAATGAATAGGCAAGATAAGTTTTAAATACATGCGAACATGTAATTGAATGATAATCCGGCTTTTGTTAAGCATCTCAATCTAAACTTTTAACAAACAAAATGGTGTGAAAAAAATAATTAAATTGTTGTAAAGTTTATGAAGTGCAAAAGTACTTGAACATTTCGAGACATAAATCAAAAATATTTCTCGAAATTCATTAAAACAAAAAATTTGTTCATATATTTTCAAATAAATTTATTAAAAATTTTTGTTCACCATCAACATTTAATCATCTCACGCCCTCCGTGGTTCCAAATGTTGGAACAATAAGCAACAGCTCAACATTTGTTTTCACTCAAAGTCTTAAAGTTTTCAAGGAGAACGAGATTTAATTTGTGATGTTACCAGAGATTGTTTTATGCCTTCAGTAGCGGTTTTTACTTTATTTCGCTTTGTCGTCGTAGCTCAACAAAATTGCCTTGCAAATATATTTTTTTTGTCATCGTCTCCAACAGCCAAGCCAACTCACTTCATTTGCTTATTGATGCCAATCATTGACTAATTTTTTTTCTTCTGAAAAAGATGAGAATCATTTCGAACAACATTTATTCAATGCCTTCGTTTTGTGGTTCCCCGATTTAGCTAAAAATACCATAAAGTCAATGCCAAATCGACTTTTTCTCATCTTTCTTTATTCCTTTCTTCATTCAAATTGACGTGAAAACGGTGGCAGCTTTTTGTCTTCACGTCTGATTTTTATCAGTCACCAGAGAGAAAATAACTCATGAATTGAAGTTATAACCGACAACCGACACGATATGAAATAATGCACGAAATTATAAGTCTTGTGATTTTAAAATAATGAGCTACGAAGCTTTCCAATTCCCAAAGAAATCCATAACGAATCAAATGCACTTTTTTTTCTGCCCTCTCACTCTCCAACAGTGAAAGAAAACAAATTGATGAGCCTACAACTCAAAAAAAATTTCTTTCCTTTCATTTCGTTTACTTTTACTTTCGATTTTTTTTCTTACAATCATTGTGACGCTTTTCAGGCTTTGTTTGTTATTAAAGACATAAACAATGAAATTGTTTGTGAGTTGAGTTTAGCTCAATGCTAGCGTTTTCTATGCTTGCGTCGGAAAGTCTGAAATTGTTACTCTGGTGTCTTTATCAACAAATTTGAATCATAATTGCCAAGCATTAAGTCATTTTAATGGAGTCATTTCAGACGAGACAAGAGACAATGAATGACATGAGAATTTATCTATGCATGTGTCTTGTGTGTGGGAAAGATTAATGCTTTCTTTAATGGAAGGAGCTTCATTGTTTGATAGTTGTCGGTGGGCTTGTTCATGATCACATTTCTAAGATTGGATGTCAATCACTCCGCTGGTAAATTTCCGCTCCATAATTGTTGATAATTCTTTAATTGATGTTGAACCGGAATTTCGCGATGCAGAAAAACGCGATGTCATCTACATAGTTGGAAATTATCTAATCAGCTTGCATTTTTCATGGTAAAAAAGTTAAACAAAAACTTAAAACAAAGATGCTATTGTTCCAAAGATACAACAAAAACGTTTCTTTGTATCAATTTGCGCAAGCAAAATTTTTAAAATTCCATTAGACATGGAAGACGTAAAACAAAAAAAAACTTTAACAAGACGATGAATGAAAAATACGAAAAAGAGTTTCAGGAAAGCTTTCGTCATGGAAAATTTAATTAAATTTCCACGGTTTTCATGAAATGATCTTCGTGTCAGTCTCTTTTGGAAATGTTACAATTCGTGCTTTATTTATTCGATAAGTCGTTGAACGGATTACAAATAAAATAATAAAATAAGAAAAAAGAAATCAAAACAAGGAATTCTTATGAAAATTTCTTTCTCAGCTTCAGTGAACAGTTATGCAAATTTTCTGGTGCAGATCGCTGAATCACTTTTATTATTGTTTTCCAATTTCCCTCTTTCTCATATTATTGATGAAGCGATTCACTTGGCATTTTCAAGAAACTAATTACACTTGATGGAAATTTATAATTTGATGTTGAGTGGATGATTTAAGCTGAAAGAGAAGCGGAAGTGAGTCTTCTGTATTCAGAGATTTTTGAGGATTTTTGTGTATAGAAATTTAATTCATCAAATAGCCACATCACCTAATCACACCGTTTCATATCTGCTGTTTGCTTATGATGATCATTTACAAACAGCCAATTATTCTTCTTGCTTCATTCCATTTGAAAATTATTTTAAAATCACCCCGTTTGATATTTAAATTTTATGAACATCAAAAATTTTCCATTCGAATAGAAACAACGAAAAAACGATCATCAAGGTCGAAATGACTTTTCTTCTTCAATTGCGATCATTGCAATGAGTTCTGTCGCCCTGACCGAAAAAGAATTTTAATAGAACCATCTAAATAAATACTTACAGACTCATTGAAGCGTAATGCAAGAAAATTGAAAATAAGAAGACTTCATTGAAGTGAATCTTGAAACTCGTTTCAACTTCTTCATCTTCAGGATTTCTATTTTTACTTTTAACCATCCAAAAGTGGATGCAAAATAATCACCATTCAGCTTCTTCTCCTTACATTGTTTTTATCTTTCTCTTTTTTTTTGTGTTGTACTCGAATCTCGAGTTAAAGCGACTTTAAATTTCGAATGTGATCCAAATGATGTCATCGACAGAGATGAAATGAAAGTCACGGAAGGGAAAACGTTTCAGGATGCGTCACGCATTGAATAAGTTAAGAGTCACTTCTGACATTTCTGTATCAATGATTTAAGTTATTAACAATGGTTATGACATGCTTGTTTAAGGCACTTCTTTAGCTATTAACACATTGATGTATTGGATCTATAAGAGATGTTTAAATATTTATTTTGCAAAACCTTTTTTATCGTAGAAACTTCTCATTCACTTCCTTCTTTGTCAATGCGAAATGCTTTTAAGAACTTGAAGCGAAAGAGAGAAAAAAAAAGTTGTCACGCTGATGAGTTTATTTACTATAACGTCACGAATTCTATGCTAAAAGCGACTGAATTAAAATTTCGCTGGTTTGACATTAAAACAGAAAAAACATTTCACAATGCTAAGTACGAGTCGTAAATGGAAAATTCCCATGTTCTGGAAAAAGTGTTTGAGAATTACAACATTTTGAGTTGAATGAAACGTGCTACATCGACAAAAACACTTTTCAGCAATTTAATTGAGTTAAAGAAAGTTTTCTTTTTCTTAAATTCAAACTTTATTGTGTCTAATTTGATCTTCAATGTGAATCCCCGAAATATTTTCCAGAAATTTTAACAGTTCAACAACAACAACAATTAATTTACGCAGCAAATTGGATGATTTTCATTCGTCTAATGTCCATGTGTTACGATTCTGTTCTTCAAACCGCCTTTCAAGGGCATTCTTCGAATAGAAGATAAACATTGTTTCTCGGGGACTTTCCAAAAAGCTTTGAAAACCTGCTGGAAATGTTTTTTGAAAACATTTTTTGCTTGTTTGAAGCTGCTTCATGCACATCAGCAATTATTGTGGCGGTTGACCTTTCCCATCGCCAAACGTACAATATCTTTTCATCACGAGAATGTAATTGTTGAATCAATCGGTCATTTGAAAGTTGAATAAATTTTAAAGAGTCACGTTAGTGCTACGCTAAATGTCACAATATAAGTTACGTCCTCGACTTTCTGATATGCTTCGACAGTTGCAAGATTTGGAATCGAATTATTTTTATTTTTTGGAACAAATTCACCTTACAAAGTCTTTTTTTTTATCCAAAACAACTTCAGCCATGAGTATGAAAAACCTAATTGGCATTCGAGTGACTCACAATGATGTTGCTTCAGTGAAACAGCGTGATGTTGTCGTTTTTAAACATAGATTAGAAATATTAAAATGCTGGTAACGAAAGAAAAGTCGTTCATTACTTTTTTTAAGATGCCTCTCTATAAATGAGAATAAAATCAAACACAAAAGTAACTCAAGAGTCACACATTTCAAGTTATTGAATAATTAAGATGAGAAAATCGTTTGACACCAAAATAACTTCGATGACTCTTTGAATAGACAACACAAATGTAGTCTTGAAAATCTCTTTTTTCCATGAATTTTGCCCAAAGAGGTTTTTAAATAAAAGTAAAGTTATCATTAGATCAGACGATAATAACAACGATAAGATCGCCATTAGATATCTTTTAAGTGATGAATTTATTTTCACTTTGTATAATTAATGAAAAAGGAAAAAACCAATCTAACTAATCGCATGATGTCAGAAGAAGATTGTGATATTTGTTGTGTTGTGATGGGAAAAGGAAGGAGAAAATGTAAATTCGAAAGTTTTCTATTAGAAGCTGTCGACTCGTAGGCGCCACATGATAAGAGATGTACTTAAACTTAGACTACTCTACTTGATGTTGAAATTTAATTTGAAACTGCAAAAGTCATCAGAAATTCTCAAGAGTTGAAATAAATAACTAAAAACATGAAGAAACTCAAGGTTACAACTTTTGCAGTTTAACTGATTTATGAGTGTACAAGTTTAGAGCTTCTTAGGCCGCACAACAAAAAACAAAAAATAATTTCAGAGTTTTAAAAGCCACAAGGAAACATTTTAACATCAAAATGAAACATTAACAGTTTCTGCTTTTTTATTTACTTAAAAATATTTATGTGCAACTAAAGAAGCAAAATGTTGAATAAATTAAGTTTCAGACTTAAGTTGAGATTTTTTTCTTCTCTCTAAACTGGGTTAAACATTAAACGTGAATAAATTTGGCATCTTTGCAGCTACTTAAAAGCCTTTAAAAGAGATATTCAATCATCTTAAAGTTTTGCTACTTTTAACAGGAAACAACTTCTAATGAGTAAAGTTTTGTAACACAAACGAATGTTAATTGAAGAGAGAAAAAGTCTTGAGAAAGTATTTTGTTAATTAGCAATAAAGTGAAGAACTTTAGTAAGACTAGTAGGTGTTGTTGACAACACAATTTGTGTGGGCGGTTTGCGAGGCTTGTCAGCAAAATAAATTTATTATGAGTGAGAGAACTTTTCTATAGAATTGAAACACGCATTGAATTAAAATTCATTCCATCATGAAACAATCAGAACATCACTTTAGCTGTCATGCTCGTGAATTGAATTTTAATTCATCTTCGTGTCCGTTTGACACAAATAAAAATACAATTTAAATAAAGAATTATTCCTCCCCCGATACATTTACATTGTTCTTGACTTTGACTTATGATGATTAATCTTATTCTGCAATATTTTGATCAACCGATATTTATTCAATTAATAGAAATGTTTGCAAGTCATAAACGAGAAGATCCCAACAACGACTTTGTCTTATTGACTATAAAATAATTAAAGATCCGCATAGATTAAAAAGATTTCACCACTCTTTATAAATAAATTCCAAAGCGAAATTAAATCTTCAATTTAACGACTTCAAAAGGAATTTGCAATTCCATTTCTTGTCGTCGTATTTCATTTATTTATAAGGATCGTTTCTCGATTTATATTTAAAGACGTTCATCATTGTATTTCGATCACAAATACTTTAATTAAAAAGCTGTCTGTTTGTAGCCAAAAAGAAATTTAATTAATTTTAAAGTTCATGGAAAGTTTCATAGTTTAATTAGAAATCTATTTTTGAAACAATAGCGGAGTTGATGATGATGACAACATAATCTAAAGCAAACAGTTGTTGGTTCCGGGAAAGAGATTGTTTGCTTCCTGGGCTCTTTTTTTGATAGATGAATGTAAGTAAAAGAGCAAGAAGTGAATTCGAAAATCATTTCCCCGAAGCATTTTCACCATCTTGTGCTGGTTAAGAGCAATGAAAATGCGAAATTGACAATAACATTTAATTGCAAGGCACGATGATGTCATAAAAGCTAGAAAATAACAATTCGTGTAAGATGCAATTGACTAATGACACAATTATTTCTGTTAAAATGATCGATTCCGCTTCTTTTTATGATTGCCGTTTAAATTTTAATAGCGACGCAATTTAACTTCAAATTTGCCAATTTTTATGATTAAAAATATTTGAGCGGACGTCATAAGATAACAAAAGGAAGTATCAGCAAACTTGAGAGATCTCAATTGACAACTTTGTGTTTATCTCGTTAAGTAAAGAACCTTTTGAGTGTTTACTTGATTTCTTGTACATTCAAAAACAATCTTCTTAGAACCAACTCGACAAATTATCACCTTCGTGGGCTTCACAATCTTCAAATATGTTTGCATATCGTTCCAGAGTAAATGATTCGTTTGACCTTCAAAAGTTTTTCATTTCATTTGAATGAACATTCAAACAGATAAAATTCTAAAGTCTCACGGGAAAAATTGCGGTTCTCATCTATTCAGTCAGCAATTTTCCTCGTGTGTATGTAGTTAGAGAATAAAAACAAAGATCATCTATCAAATTGCTGATTAATTACATGATGAGCGGAAAAGCGTCGAGTGATCAGACATTGTTTGGATATTTATTTTTAAAAATAAATTTTCGATTTAAAGCTTCGCAATCAAAGCTCTAATTTAGGTTGTTGAAAATTGGAAGTGTGGTGATTTAAAGCAATTACCTTGGCTGTAAAAATTTAACTGTTTAGGGAAAATCAGATTACAAACTTTCAGTATCAGGCAAAGAGTTGAAGTGTATACATGAAATATTTAAATTATTTAAAAAATATAATAATGGAACAAGAAAAAACCAGAGAATCCGACGAGGTATTTCATTTATTGCATTTATTTTCATGCTTTGCTAATAAATATTTGAACGAGTTCCACATTTGAATCAAATGATTTGATTTCAAATATTAAAAACAATTTTCTCTTTTATTTCTTAGGCTTACAGAATCCGTCAAGCCAACTCGGTGAAGATTGCAAAGATTGTTGCATTTACAGTCATTTTGTCGTCTTTTATCTTGGGATCATTTATGCTTGCATCAACTTATCTCCAGGCGAAAGCAACCTGTGATCAAGTTTCTGCATTAGATGCCATCTTAGATAAGGAGTTGATGTTGGAGACCATGCAACAGGTAAGAAGATTTATTTATAAGCTTCACAAGCTTCTTTACTGACCTTCGAATAAGATTACTAAAGTCCGCGATGTTGATATTAAACAATGCGCTAATTAAGTCAGTCCCACAATATCTCAAATTTCCTCATGAAATTCAACAACTTCAAACTTGATCTGCAAAATTTATTTTGTGTTCAATTCCATTTATTTAATCTTAAAGCTCAAAGTTTACAAGACGATTGATTTTTATAATAATTCAATCACGCTCGGTCCCTAAGCGCGCCTAATTTTTCCTAAACCAATCAATTATCGTCAGAGAAGCTTCCAATGAAATTCAATTCATTTAAAATTGTACGAGAAAACAACTCTCAATGACACCGAAAAATGATTTTAAATTGCGCATTACTTAAATGTACTTTTTAATTTCTTAAATAATTTTCACAAAGCCAAGAAGAGAAATTAGCTCATTTCCGATTCAAGAGAATTTCGAGGCTTTCACGCGTAACACCGGGCAGTGGACAAGCCATTTTGAGATTTGATTTAATTTGAATATTCAAATGTACGACGATACTCAAGCAATTTATACGATTATGGTTTGCGACTTTCATGATTAACATAATTCTTGGTTGGGACATTCATCAGCCGCTGTGAGTTAAGCAACCGTCATAAACATCATTTTCGTTGTTCCCTTTCGATTTCTTTTCTCTCTCAAGTCTTTCAACGGTAGACTGACTAAAAACAATCACAAACACGGCTTTTTTGTTTGTGCAAATCAAAGTTTTGGTATTTTGTTTAATCTTTGCTTAACTTTGTTTTTATTTTTCTATCATCTTATCTATTCATGATAATAATTGTTGGTTATTTTCATAATAAAGTTAAGTAGAGAGTGAAGACTGTTTACTTTCATGCCTCACCATATTTACTTATTCAAGCTTCTGTTAATATCTTTATCAACGACAAAATCTTCTCAAAACTCCGTTTGCGAATTGTTGCATGAAGAAAACTGTTTGCATTGCATGTTGCTGTAAGTATTCGTGCACTGCTTGTTGTCTATTGAAGTAGATGAAAGTTGTAACGTCATACGAAGATAATTGACTTGATTTTCATTACTTTATGAAGAAGAATTGTAGAAATGACGTGTATGAGCACAGACTCATTAAATTCCACTAAATTATGTATCCAATTATAATTGCAGTGTGATTGACGAGTGGGCATGTCATGAACAAAAGTACAAATGTGTGTCGTACGTTCGCGTGAATCACACACTTAATTGAATTTTATTAAAAAGGCGAAAGGAAATGAAAGATTCATATGAGATGTGAGGCAGTAAACCTGATTGTTCGCCATACGCCCATGGGAGAATATCAGTCAATTTTGTCCATCAAACACTAACCATAAATGTTCAATTTAATTGACCTAATAAAATATAATTGCTGGTTAGATTAAAAGTAAAATTTATGACCATTTAAACGTAAAAAAATGTGGCATAAAGTTTTGTGCACCTTTGAATGAAGTAAAATCCCAATTTATTTATGTTTTTTATTTTCTCGCTTCATGCATGATGAGAAAATTGCACCCGATGGGCCTCACATTGTGCTTTCATACACGCCTTAATCATTCTGAAAAATCATTAGAAAGTTTTTCTAGCTCGACGCTTCACAACCGCAACAACGTGAAATTGGGTAGAAAATGTTGTTATCACTGAAATTAAACGAGTAGAGATTTGTCGCTGACTTAGCAAAGTGTAATGAAATTTAATTGGATCAAAACAACCTCGAGTTGGGTGACTTTTTTCTAACATTTTTTTGATTTTCAATTTGACTTGTTAGCTTTTCATTTCTGTCTTGTTCACTTGACAGCTTCCGTATTTATCAGCGCAATCTTCCGTTTTGCTTCTTAGCCAACGAATTAAATCTCAACGTTAGGCTGGTAAACGAATCAATCAGTTTCAAACTGTGAAAATTAAATCCGTAAAAGTGCTTTTGACGTGTGAAAACTGATTAATGATGGAAAATAAAACAAGACACCTGTTCGTGATATCAAATCGGAACTTTAATCACCATTCATCTTCATTTATCATCAGCACAGTACTTATGTAAAGGCTTGCTCGAGGGAGCCAAGCGATATTTAATCATTGAAAATGTATTGAAACAATTTATTAATCTCTCTTACTTAATTACATTCATCGTCGTTAGCTCGCATCATTTTCTCACGTTTTTCATTATCTTTTTCTTGTAAACGAACAGATAATTCAGTCAACCTGTTGAACATTCTATCGGAAAAGCTATTCTAAATATTAACCGACCGATTATTATCTTTTAATGCTAAATCACGTTTTCTTTTTATTTACTGTAAATCAACTGAATGTGAAATTATGTTCTCGACTTTTATCCTCAGTTTGCAGTTACAATCTTCAGCATTTAAAAAATTTCTCAATTATTATTTATAATTTAAGAAAACGTGTCAAAATGATTCTTCGCATTCAACCATAACCGAAAGCTTGAAACACGATTTTGTTATTCACAAATAGTTCAACGATCGATTATTTCATTCACTGAAACAGCAATTAGAGATTTTCTTTTTTTTTTAATTAAACAGTTTAACAACAAGACTTTAGCTTCTTAATTTGTTTATTATGAAAGATTTTCCACGAAAAGAATGGAAACAAATTGGTGATTAACTTTCAAGCTAATAATTGTCTTTAAAAGTTTTAGCTAATTGCAACATAAGAAAGATTATTGCACATCTTAAGCAAACGAAAGATGAAGAGACGTTTTTGTTTCCAGTTGCACAATTAACAAGTTGTAAGTTGTAAACTTGAAATGAATTTGAAGACTGCGCATAAATTTCAACTTTAATTGACGAACAAATATTCATAATTCATTTGAACATTAAAAATAACATTTTTATGCAACATTCAATAACAACACCCTTTGAATACAATTTTAATGTTGTTGTTGAAAATTAGCAAGCTGCTGAAGAAATTTTGCGTAACAAATTGTTTGCGAGCTGCTTTTTCATTTCTTTTATTTACTCGAGCGATTCGGCTTGACGAGATCTGAAATGCTTTTCAGAAGGAAAAACGGTAGTTGATGTTGTTGCACAATTTTTCAATGTTATAACTGACACGTTCTTTTCCCTTCAGTTGTAATGACATGAAGTGGAAAACTTATGCTACAACGTGACGCAATTTGCAGTGTTATAAAAAATCAATCAAAGATTTTAAGAACACGACTTTAATAAATAGTTAATGATGCATCTCCAATCACGATTTGTGACTCCAACACACTTCAATTGTTAAATAACAAATTTAGTTGAGTTTTGAAAACATTTGTGTCATTATGACATGCACGTATCGTCTCATTAGTGTCTTTATTATGTCTATGCTCTTGCTTTGAAATAGCTCATTGGCATGTGATGTGTAAAATATTATAATTGCGTAACAATTTGTTACTAACATCAATAAACAACCAAAACAAAATTGACGTTCTGTTGACGAGCAACAAGAGCGTCCAAGTTTCAATTTCTCGGTCAAACATTTTTTTTGTTGCTATTCGCCATTTTTGATGATTAACCATATCCGATGAATGAACACCAGTTGTGTTAAATCTAAATGCTTTCAAAGGTTGAAGTACAACGAGAAAGAATTTTAATTCTTTATTTAATATTTAAATTCAACTCAAACTTTGTAATTTTCATTTCCTTCTATTTTCTGGTAAATTTTATTATTTTGATTGATCACCACGTGATGGATTATTTGAAAGAGTTACATAAGTTCAAATTTATTTAACTTTTTTCATCGCAAAATGTTAAATTAATAAATTATTCAGGCCACGATCTTCGTGGAATTTTCCAAACACTTTAATCAAAAAATGTAAAGTCAAAGATGGAAATATGAAAAATTAAAGTTTTTTATAAAAAGCAAACAAACAATTGAAAGAGAGAATGCAAGTTTTCATTGTTTTAAGATGTTCATAAATTGTATGATCACGAGTGCAAATCTGTAAATAGCAATAGAAAACATAAATAACGAACAATGTTTCTCACTTTTTAACAAAAAAAATTATTTCAAATTCGCAAGACGCGATGAATTTATAAACTGAACTAATAGAAAACTAAATAAATATTACGACAACAACAGAAGAGCGAAAAGAACTGTTGAACATGAATTATTTATGCGCAACTCGTTGTGATTTCTTTTCAATTCCAAAGCTTATTTTTTGACACTCAATGCTACTTCAGCTGCTGTTCAAATCTCGTAATCGAATGGAAACATTTCTTGATCCAATTGTAAATGTTATAAAACTCATTTTTTGTTTTCTTTCTTTTTATGCACAACGATCACGCGTAGACAATTCAGATCTCAGTAAGTTGTCTCGCTTCAATGATCAAATGTGTAATGGAAAATGTTAATTATTTTCGATTTATGCTTCAGTTGACGTCTTTAACTCAATTCATGTTAACACATGTTTTCATGAACCTTATTTCTTTCACACTTTTCCTCCCATAAAAGAAAGAAAAGCTTTTGAAATTTCTACCATGTTTCAATGTTCATTTGCAATTTAAACGAAGATCTTTTTGACAGACTTTAAACCATTCTATTCAATTGCAATTTAAAAAAGGTTTTTCTTGAATACAAAAATGTGTTGCGTAACCTCGAGGTGAGCTAGAAAAACTGTTTAGTGAATGAGCCAAGCATAAAGCCATCATCACTTCATCGTTCTCCTACTTTTAATAATGACGAAGCACAATTACTTACATTAACATAAAAGTAAAGATCATACAAGAGATGAAGAAAAATAAATGCTGGCAACACAAATAAATTGATGGGTCTTCGTACATCGTACCAACAACTGGTTTCGATGAACTTTTCATTTCAAGTTGAAATTGGAAAGTGAAAGTTAATACAAATTTTGTTTGTTCGGAAGTTGGAGGTGGTGGCAAGGCGAACAGCAAAATATCATTTCATGACTTTTTTTTTTTAAATATTCAATTATATTACTCACTAAAATGACAACTTTCTTTCTTTCTTTGATTCATTCCAGGACTTACCAAATCCCGAAGCTTTAATGTCACGTGAAGTCAATGAAAATACCAACGTGATGCAAGATTTGAGCAAAGATGAAATGCACAAACCAAACAAAAAGGATGAAACAAATCCCGATGATGTCGAGACAATCGACGTTGATAACAACGAAGATGAAGACGAATTAAATGACATCGACAGTGACATGAAACGCGTTCACATTAAATTGCCTTTGGATTTCGATCTTAGCGAATTGGCACACAATATTTTAATGAACAATCAAAAATCTCGCATGAACTGCGTCGTTGAACGTCGTCGCACTGAAGAACTCGAGGAACCAAAGCCCATGAATCCGTTCAATGTTTTCATGAATGAACCAAAGAAAGAAAAGGTCACTGGAGAACGCATCGCAATTTTCTGTGAAACCGGAGCACCAAAGTGAGTCAAGCAATTTGAAATTCAAATCACTTTTTCTCTGACCTGAATCAATGATGTTTGTTTAATATTTTTAGAGAGCCAGAGCCAATCGTTCAAATCCGCAGAATTGTAATGCCATTCCCATTCGCTGGCCCAATGAATAGATTTGCACCTCAAATGGGTCCACAGATGGGACCACAATTCCACCCACCAATGAACCAACCTCCTTTCCCTCCCCAATTCCCACCTCAAGTTCCACAATTCATGGCACAAAATCAAGTCAACATGCCATCACACATGAACATGCCACCACAAAGAATGAACTTCCAAGGCCCAACTCCTCCCCAACAAATGGACTTCCAAGGTCCACCACCTCAAAGAATGAACTTCCAAGGCCCACCTCCACCCCAGCAAATGAACTTCCAGGGTCCACCTCCACCTCAACAAATGAACTTCCAAGGTCCACCACCAAACTTTCAACCCCAAATGAGAATTCCTTTCCCTCCTCAAAACATTCAATTCACCCAACAGCAACTTCCATCTGTGCCAGCTCAAATGATGACACCACCACGTCCAGAAGTTCCACAATTCCGTCTCATTAATCCAGCACCACAACAATTACCAAATCTTGAACGTCAACAATCATCAGAAGAAGAAAGTGAACAACCAATGCCAATTCCAGAAGTTCGCATTCATTTACGTCGCATTCACATGCCAGCATCAATCGGAGATATTTTCCCATTTTTGAATAGCATTCAGAATGGTGACATTGAAGGACCCAAAGAAATTGAAGCTCCACGACAAAATGTCCAAGTTCAGCAAATGCCTTTGGCTGTTGCACTTTCCAAAGTTGGAATCACACCAGAAGATTTGAGAAACATTCAAGAAATGGCTGAAAGAAAATTCCAAGAACATATTCGTGAAATGGTTGAAGACAACGACTCTGAATCTGAATCAACATCGGAAGAAGATTCTGATAGTGGCATGCAAACAGCAACACCAGAACAAGATTCATCGGAAATGAAAGAAAAGGTTGAGGAACTTAGTGAAGCTTCATCACAACAAGAGCAATCTGACGAAGAAAAACCTCAAATATTGGCTTTGGGACGTTCAAACTTTGGACGTAGTTTGAATCCAGTTCAACTTCCCAGCCACATGACTGACAATTCTGAAATCCAAGAAGCTGAACGAGCTGACTGTGAGTGATTTTGATTAAATTTTAATTTTGTCTTTTATTTATTATTTTTCTAATTCGCAGTTGTCCATCCAAGATAAATTCAGCAAAGTCTCCAACAACCACTCAATCCGACCTACGATTGAGATTTTTTCCAACAATTTTTCTCTTTACCCAAAAAAACACAAAAAATTTCAAACTTTTTAAAATATTAATTAAATGATTGGAAGAAATGATGAAGATGAAGTTGCTGATGAAAAACAAATGAAAGAAAATTTAATTTATGAAGATGAAAAGATTTTTTAATCTTATCAGTAAAAATTGTGATGAATAAAGAAAATATTTAATAAACGAGGTAAAAATATACTTAAAAGAAATATTCACGAGTTCCAAAATATCTCTGCAAGTATTAGAATGTTGAGAATGTCGTGGGAGTTACTCCTACAATCGTGTTAAATCGTATGATAATAAATGTTGAATGATTTTTAATGTAAATCTGTTAATCTAATGGTGAATAAAAAAAGTTTATTTCCTTACAAATTTCAAATCTCCTTGTTTTGTTTTACTCATAAATTATAATGCGTGGGAGGGAAAAGTCAAATTTTAATTCTAAGATTTAACTTTATTCATAATTTTATTTTTACAAAATTAAATTCTTCAAGTCTACAAATCATCACGTGAAGTTTCTTTTTCTGTTTATTGTGCTTCGGTGCTTTGTAAATTTATTGCTTTTGTGTTTCCTACTGACCTGATTTCTTGATGGTGAAGAGATGTCTAGGAACATTCGTGTGTGCAGTTACAGTGTTTGCAGATCCATTGTGAATGTTGGTTGGTAATTTTATTGGATCGAGAATAATTTTGCTTGGTGCTTTAGTGTGAACCTTGAATGGATTTTCTTTGAAGATTGGTGGTAATGGGAAAGGCGTTTGTGGCTTATCCGATGGTTGCAATGAATTATCAACTGGCGTGGTTGAAACATCATTTGAATTTGGACTTCCAGAAGCTTCCAATGATAAATGACCCGAATCATTGTCTTGACTGCTGTGACGTGATGGAAATTCGTTTTTCGCTGCTGTCGTTGTTGTTGCTGCTTCACTTTCGACACTCGAGATTCGTTTATCTACTGCATCATTTGCATCAATCTTTGCTGTTTCAACACCACCATCAGTAGAATCATCATCATCATCATCATCTTCATCATGATTCAAAATGTCATTCCCGTAAATCTTGTTGTTAGTTAAAGTCGGTGGTCCATTTGTAGGTGAAGGTAATCGATGATGAACATTCTTAGAAGGAAAACATTGCTGTGGAATTGAGAGCGGTCCGCTATTCCTGAAATACTCAACATCGCGAACAAATCCAGGATTATAAATTCCACCCACGCCTGTCACTAAATCTTCTGTACGACGTGAAAGTGGAATGATGATTGTTGCATCAGGTTGACCTGGTTCATAAGTATGACGTGGATAATCAGCTCCATCATCATCATCACTGGCAATGCCAATGTGATTTGTTTTCACATGATATGGAAACGATTTGTTGGCTCGTGATGGCCAAGTAAGCCAAAGAAAGTATGCGTAACCGCAGAAAGCAATGAAAGCATTGACAAGATACACGAGAGATTCACGAACCTGCGGAAAAGATTTATAAGATTATATTTTACATAATAATGAAGAAAAGTTCTTCTTACCCATGGATCTAACAATGCAACAACCAAAAATATCACCATCGGACCTGACATGATCCAAATACTGCCAAGAATTCCAAATGGGAAATAAAAATTTCGTTTTTCCGGAAACTTCTTCACGGTTGTTGTGCACGATATGACGAAGAATGCCCAACCAAAACATCGTAAACCAGCAAGAGCATAACCAGCAGCTGACTCGTATAAATTCAAAACCTCACCAGGGTCAAAAGCCTTCAAATGAAATTTAAAATTATTTTCTTGTCAAACATTTCGACGATAACAAACCTCAGCTTGATAAATGTAAAGCGAAATGAACACAACAATGTAAAGATTAATGAACACTGTGATTTTGACAGTTGAAAGTGTTGAAAGACGAGCTCTAGTAATTGTGTAACCTTTTGCCATTAGCAACATTAACAAGAGAAATGCAATTTCTCCACTTCCAGTGAAAAGCCCTCCGAAGATAGTGAAAGGTCCAATTCCAGATACGGCATATTTCGCCCACGTCACAGAGTTTAAAAGAACTCCAGACCAATGAAGAATGGCACTGAATGTGTAGAGACGATATGTGCAGTGATACAAATGTCTTGTCTTAAGTTCAATTCCACAAGCAAAGATCGCAAGTAAGAGAAACGTGTACAGAATTATTTCCGCCATGATGATCGGTGGAATGTCTGAAGATAAATTAATTAATAATTATCAGATTCACTTAAATGAAACTTACACATCTCATCAGCTGAGAAATGTTCATGCCAAAAGTCACCAGGCGGTCCATTTGTCATCCTAAATTTAAATCTTACATCCATGCCTTTTGCATTGCCACAATTAGCTAATGCAATGTACCACCATCGTTGTCTTGCACTTGTGAATCCACCAGCATTATGACATGTTACATAAACTTTCTGCTTTTTTTCTGCTTCAAAAAGCTTTGGAAATGTTTGTCGTTTAGTTCTGTTTGAGTTACTCGATTGAGGTTCTTCAAACATTTCTTCAACGTCCACTCGAAAGTCGGTTGTGTTCTCGAGTTCATTTTCTTGAGTTCCCTGATCGTAAATCATTGTCCGAAAATCGCCATCTGTTGTGTTGAAATCTTCAATGTCCACATCAGTAAAATTAAAAGTAGTAAACGTTGTTGAACTCATGTCAATTGATGAAAGTGGTGGAAATGTTGTCGATGGTGAAGCTTGCATTGTTGTTTTAATAAACTGATCAAAATAAGTCGAATCAAAGTCTTCTGGATATTTTTTTGAAGTTGTTTGCGAAGGTTTATGTGTCGTCAATGATTCCTTAGTCTCACTTCGGGTCGTTGATGCCGTTCTTAAGCTGCAACCTGATGACATGAAGTACGGATTTTTAGCTGAAAGTGTGACGATTTGATTGATGCCACCAGCTAGAACTGAAACCTTCTCTTGACATGTTTTTGATGTCTTATAAACTGAAGGCCATTGATGTGGTTCATCATAATACAATAAAAGTTGCAAGTCGCCATACTTCCGATCGTATTCAATGAAATATTCGTAGCGACCTGCTTCGGATAGAAAGCAAAATCGAGAAAGGAAAACCCAATCCTGGAAATATATTTTTAATCAAAATGAATTATTTGAATGCATTTCAAGAACTCACTTCGTGTGTCTTTATATGTCCTTCCACATATTTTCCATTAGCTTTAAATAAAAGTAAAAACAAACACGACAAAGCCAACAAAACTTTCATTCTTCACGTCGTCGTATTAACGAACTTCTAATGCAATTAATTAATTTTTTCTGTTAATGATCAATCAGACAAACAAGTCCTGTTGATGAACACCAAATAAAATGTACAATAATATAAATTTGTTGCTCGGTTGCGACATCAAATTCAACGAATTTCCATGACAACAGTGAAAATCAAAACATATTGCAAACATCTTTGATGTTGATAACGATGACGTTTAAGCGCGTGGTATTGATTTGTTTATTCTATTCAATGCATTTGTTGTTTTTAGACTGATTATTTAAAGGTATGATGTGTGCAACATGATTATTATGTCAGCTGTGGGGTAAAAGACCGATGGATATGCATGCAAGTTCATTGAACTTTCAATCGACGCGTTTTGAATATTTACAAAAAAAATCTACACTGGCAAATCTAAATTTATGACCTTCGATAACAATTTGTCACAATTTATTGAAAAAAACACAAAACTTGATTAGAAATCATAAAAAGATTTCAAACAACATTAAACAATGGAGAAAATTGATCCATCCAATAAATTCCAAATGTTTCAACAGTCGTCATTTCCAATCTGTAAAGTCCGGGTTGTTGTGGCATTTCGAAGACGAGAGTTTGAATGTTTCTTACTGAGCCAATTTGATGGGCAGCTGTGTCATCGCCAGAGAAGTCAGGTTGTGGGTTGGCACAACCAACTGCTACTCCTGTTGGGCCTGCTGTCCATCTTCCATGAGGTGTGGTTTGGCCAGGAATTCTGCATTGAACCAAGAATCCAGTGAACATAAATCCTGGGTTGCCTCTCAATGTTATTTGCACTTGTTGACCACGTTGATATGTTGGAAGGTCAGGAACCATTTCAATAGCAACTGGGAAGGGTGGGGGCTGTCTTGGGCCGCCACCATGTTCAGGAAGCATTGTGACGCATAATCTAGAGAAGATTTCAAAACCCTGATAAGGAAATTAATTAACTACGCGTTAATTTTGAATCATTTAATGTCACTCACACTTTCTTCTCTTGGACTTATTCCTTCGCTGATGGTGAAGCCTAAAGCAAGGCTGACAATAGCGGAAAATAAGAAAATATTCTTCAACATTTTTTAGCTCTCACTTCAACTTAAACTTTAACTGAACTGAATGTTAATGTAAAATATTAAATTTTCACTCTGTTTTTATAGTTAAAATGTTATCAATAATTATCAGCTTCAGGTTTTAATCATAAAGTCTTAAGATTAATTTGAAGAATTGTTGTGTATGTGTGTGGATATTGTAACTAACAATCTTATCATTTATTGATTGAATTTTTACATTTTGTACATTTACCTAAGTGACGCAACTTAGCACCAAACAATATTTGAGAAATTGCAGACTCATTCGACAAACGATTGAAAAATCTTTTTAATTTGAACTGTCGTTCGATTTCCTTATATGGAACAAGCAACGTGTTATCAACGCTGTTGAATGAGTTGAATATTTCGATCTAAACTTCAGACTTGACCAATTTGAAGTAATTTTTGACCCTTCCATGGCACTTCCAGACCTTTTTAAAGTATTTAAGCAATGTAAACTTTGAAATTCGCTGCAGTTGCTAAGAAATTGCAAAGTTGTTTGCATTACATGAAGAATTTGAGAAAGCAAAATGTGGAAAATATTTAGTGCAATATTATTGTGGATTGCTGCAGTTCAATGTCTTCCGAGAAGGGGATTTGTGACAAGTGAAGATTTTGGATTCGTTGGATATCGTAATGCTGTCAATAATAATCACAGAGCACATTATCCTAGACAAGGTTTTTCTATTCTCAGTGACATTTCATAAGGTTTTTATTAATAATTTCACGGTTTTCATTATCAGGATACGGCGGCAGTTACGCTCAACCCTACGGTGGATTTCCAGGGTGAGTGTGAAATTTTCGACACTTCTATACGTGACTTATGAAAATATTTTACGAATTCTTCTCAGACATTACAGTGGTGGCGGATTTCTGGGAAAAAAGTAAAATTTCAACAGCAGCAAAACTTAAAATTTCTATTGAAACCGGTTGTTGGGAATGTCTGTTGATGCAATAAAAAATTGTTTAATTTCTAATTAAAAAAAAATTAAAAATCATTGAACAAAAGTGAAGTGAAATGATATTGAATGTTAATTAAAGATAGAAAATAAAATAAACTTCCATGCTAATGTGTGGATTCGGTGATCATTTAATAGAAATTAAATGAATTGAAAACAATTTTCAATTTAATGCATGAACTCGTTGTAGATAAAAAGAAATAAAACATTTCATGAGTTTTTATAAGAATTTATAAATTTTATTCAAAAGTTCTTAGTTGCGTTTAAGTTTCGCACTTTTAATTGTTTTACTTTTTGTAAAACATCTTAAAAACCTGATAATAAAATAAAATGTTAAATGAGTCAGAATAACAATGACAAGAATCACATCGTAAGAATTAGAAGACCAAAAACCTAATTGAAGAGTCGGTGATGCAAACTGCGGTGCTGATGGATTTCTTATGACGTAATCAATCCACCAAAGGGCAACATCGAGTGGTCGTTGAGGTTTATCTTGGAATAGTTTTGAAATCGTTTTAGCATTTTGTTCATACAAAGGATTTTCCAAGATTGACAAAATTGCTTCTTTAAATTTATCAACATTCAATGTTCTAAAATCAACAATAACTGCAACACCATTGTGAACTGCATGGCTTGCTGATCGATCTTGATCACAAAAGAATGGAATTGCAATCATTGGCTTTCCGTACCATAAAGATTCCTGAGTACTTAAAAGACCAGAATGTGTAATAAAAGCTTTGACTTTGGGGTGAGCTAAAATATCATTTTGTGGCAAAAACTTTGCTATTAAAACATTCTCTGTTATTGAAATTGGGAGTTGATCAGCTTCCGATTCAAATTTCCATATGAAATTGTACTGTGGCAATTGTGCGAAGGTTTTTATGATATTTGTCAATATCTCATCACCCAACATATTTGATTTTATGTTCGTACCAAGAGACATAAGAATCGTCCCTTTCTTTGACTTTTCTATGAAGTTCAGCAAGTTCTGAAAGATTAATAATTAAATCAAAAACACAAAAAATAAATAAAGAAGTTTTACATCTGGAAGTTGCTTTGGTGGAGTGATTTGTAAGCCTCCAACTTGAATCACGTTTGGCTGCAAAGGTTCAGGAAAATCGATTGCATCGTCAGTATTGATCAAAGCCAATTTCGTTTTCTGTTCCAATTTATCAAGTGAAGGAAAATCTTTGAAGTTCAATCTTTCGCGAAGTTTTTTCTCCATTTTTGGAAGTAAAATGTATTGACGTTCACTGTTCATGATAAACAGATTGAGAGATTAAATTTATTTAAAGAAAACTTTAAACTTACATGGAATCATAAGTTAATAGAATTGTGTTGAAGAATCGTTGAAAGAAATTCATAAGTTGTGGGAATTTTAGTGAGTAATGCGGAACATAAGCAGGATAATTGTGACCCCCAATCACGTGCTTTAAATATGGTGGTTTGCTGAATGCTGTAACGCTGACAAGAGGTGGGTAATTGAACTTATGTATCAATGGAAGAAAGCAAGGCCCACATGTGAAATCATAAATGACAACGTCAAACTTGAAATCATCCGGATAATTCAATATGATGTCAAGACCTTTGGAATTTATAACTCCATCACAACAACGTTCACAAAACATTCTCACATCTTTGATCGCAAAAAAAGGAATTTGTTCACTCATATACAACAAGTCAATTTTACTGTCACCATCATAAATTGTCTCATAAACCTTTTCCATGAATATGTAATGAATATTCGGTTCTGGTTTCTCATAATTGTCAACCGAAACCATCGTGATGTTGTAACCTTTTTGCACAAGACCTTTTATCAAAACTCGATTCCATAAATGATGAGATGGTGATGCAATTCCACTCAAGAATAAAACATTTTTACAGGAAATTATTCCCAAAACGGAAAAAAATAAAGCAAAGCTAATTAGTTTCATCTTTGAATGACTTTTAAATATTAATGTGATGTTATCTGAACTGAGGTGAAGACCCCAAGAGAGACAAAACGAAACTGGAATTTTCAGCTTTCCAAATGAATCTCTTCTTTAAATATTCTCTGAATGTGTCCGTGCAATCGTTTTTAAATTAAAAGTAGAACAAAATTGCAGATAAGATTAAAACAGATTTGCTCAAGGATTTACTGAACGGTCACATAGTGACAGATTTTGATTGTGTTCGTTGATCTTGAATTTTTTTAATGAGTTTCAGATATGATAAAAAAGAGATTCAAGATTTTTATAAGACTTTTTTCAATATCAAAAAGACATTGAGAACATAATAAGATAACAATCTTAATAAAAGAGCTCATTGATTCAATTTTCAGAATATTCTTAATACAAAATGAAATTTTATTCAAAGTTTGCGATTTAATCTTCAAATAGAAAATATTTTTTAATGTAAAAATTCTCAACTGATATATCTAAGTGATTTGTAAAAATGAAATTCAATTATAATTTATAACTTAATCATCATCATCATTAGCAGCATAAATATCTTGATTGCGTCTTTTGAATTTCTTACTTGACGGTGGTGCAACAATTTCATCTTCTTGCGGATCGGAAGTTTTTGAATGTAATTCCCCGTCTATTGGTTGAGTTAATTTATCAGAAATGGAATCATTTTGTTCACTTGCTGCTGATGTTTCTTTGCTTTCATCATCAAGTTCATCTAAATTTATTTCCTCATCATTTCCAAATTTTGGTTCAGGAAGAAATGAAGCGAGTGGCACTCGTGAGACTTTTTTAATTTCGGAAGAATCTTGACTTAGTAAATTCTCACGATTAAAATTCACATTTGATGTGTACAAATCCAAACCACCAAATTTTGCAGCTAAAAATAGCGGATCGTCAATTCCAAGCTTTTCACAAAATTCTGTCGTTTGCGGGTTTAATGCAACGATGATTTGTTCGTTCAGATTCTTGAAATTGATTCCATCTCTTTGAGGATCGTAAGCATGTACGGTTTGCTTGAAATTTTGTGGAATTGTTAAATCATTATTAAACTTTTCCAACACTGCATTCATCTCATCCTGTGATGGTGTAAACTCAAAACGTTGCACATTATCTTGAGGATCGTCAGGTCCTGGCTGTAGAGGAAGTTTTGTGAAGTTTTTGCTAACATTAAGAAGATTGTTGGTTAAATGAAGAACTGTGAGCCATTCCAAATCATATTTTATAACAGGGATTTGTGATGGATTCGATGACTCAGTTTCAATGTTGAGGAAATCGAAAAACTTTCTTTTCGGCAGACATTTATCAAGTGCCACAAATTTCGTTGCTTCAGTTTCACTGTGAGGAACAATTGCATCAAACCGACAATGCAAGTGAGCAGAATACCAATTATGAGGCCTTAGTGTTGTCAATAGATCAAAACACGGCCCACTGCCCATTTTTCCATTCTCCATGTCATCGCGAAAATATGGCTTGAACCTCAACAATTGCTCTTTATTTCCATACTCCCATATTTGGTCAGGCCAATCATGTGAGATCATTATATCCATTTTTCCAGTAAGCTGTGACATACGAAATACTTCAAGACTTCTTATGGTGTAAGCACTTCTGATAGAACTTTGATCGTACGGCGGAAATTCAAAATGACCTTTCTCGAAATGATAATCTCTAAAAATACCTGAAATCCCGCCAATACGAACACCATTGACATTGATAACACCAGCATAACCAAGATAATAAATATTTGGTGCTACCCATCCTCCATACGCTAACTCTTGGAGGTAATTTGAAGCTTCGTGATTCCCGCCTATGAAAATCGTAAGAATCGGAGCAATTTTCTCACCGCTATAATATCTGTGAAAGAATGACAAATTAAATCTTTAATTTTCATGCATTGTTATTATATTTACTTGTAGAAAGAACACATGTCAAGATACTTTGGAGGTACTGCCATGCATTGCAGATCCGCTAAATTTCTTGTACTTTGAAAATCACCGCTACAAATCAAAAGATCAAATTTTTGATTTCGATTTCTTTCGATTGATTGAATTGTATTATAAATTCTGTCGAGATCGCCATGGGCACATCCTTCAACTACAATTCTCATAGTTTTCAGTTATTTTTACCAAAGACTGCTTGTTTGTTTTTAAATCTACCTACCAAAACAAAAAATTGTGCATGCGGCTGAACTTGTGTAAATGGTCGAGAACTCAAAATTAATATCTACTCAAGTAGACCCAAATCAAATCAAAACAAATGAGGAAAAAATGATTCGTGTAAAGTTATTTAATATTTTTCTTCAAACACGAGCATATTCTGCATCTAAAGCTTCAAGAAAAGTATCTGAATGTCCTCAGGAGAAGATTGTGAAAGTGTCAGTCATTGGCATGCCAAATTCAGGAAAGAGCACGTTTATAAACGCAATAATGGAACAAAGAGTAAGTATCCTTAGTTATAGCTGAATAGATCAATCCATGACGAATATAATTCTTGTTTGAAGGTCTGTGCAACATCTGATAAGGTTCATACAACAACAAATTATGCTCAGGCGATAACAAATCGAAAAAATTCTCAAATTGTAGTATTTGACACTCCAGGACTTGTGACCAAGAAAGAGATGAAACAATATAAGCACACAAGTCAATTTGTGAGTGCTTGTCGAGAATCAATTGAACAGTCTAATATCATTGGAGTACTTCATGATGTCTCTAACTTTTGGACTCGTGGTCAACTTCATCCCATCATTCTTGAATTGCTGCATGAATACAAACATCTGCAGAGTTTTCTTATTCTCAACAAGATTGATAAAATAAAAAGCAAACGAGTTTTGTTAGAGTTAGTCAAGACATTAACTTGCAATAATATTGCATTAGTACCAAAACAGAATGTTGAAATTGTGAAGCAAGAACCAATTGACAAAGATGTGGAATTTGAGAAGAAAGTTGAAAACGGCTGGCCAAACTTTTCAGGTGTTTTCATGGTCTCGGCTCTTAATGGAGATGGCATTCAAAAAGTTGCTGATTTTGTCGAGAAACAAGCAGTTGAAGGAGCATGGGAATATAGAAATAACGAAGTAACTGATCAAAAACCAACAGACGTCATCGTACAATTTGTGAGAGCAAGATTATTAGATTACTTACATCAAGAAATTCCATACAATTTGAAATTGGAGCTGGAATATTTCAGTGATGAGAATCATAAGATTTTTGCAAGTGTCAACATTTTTTGTCCCAGCGAAAGAATAGAAAAATTAGTTTGCGGTACTAATGACGGAAAATTGAAGCAAATAACAGATCGAGCTACATCCGACCTAATACAAAGTTTTAAACAACCTGTTAGTTTAACTCTGACTACAGTTGTACCGAAATCCGCTAAAGATTAAATGTTGATCATAAATTTTCAAAATAAAATATAATAAATTAACGGAAATTGAAAATTTAAATCTTATTTTCGACTTATTTGTTTTGGTAGATTTCCGAGTAGATCTTCACACATTTTCTATTAAGATTTTAATATTCTTTAAAAAATAATAAAAGAAATGTTGAATTTAGCAAGAACATTTCTAAAACTTGCAAATACACGTTCACTGGCAGCAGCTCCATCATCTGTAAATGTTATTAAACAACCTGAAGTGATTAAATATGCAAATCCTTTGGTTGAAGAACGAGAAGTTTGGGTTGAGAATATGGATACTCTAGACGAAGAAAAACTCGAAATAATGAAATTGAATCCTAAAATATTTGCTGCAACTCCTAGAATTGATATAATCCATCAAAATGTGCATTGGCAAAAACTATACCGATATGTGAGTTTCGCTCATGCAAAACATAGATTTGAATGCCGGGGAGGAGGAAGAAAGCCGTGGCCACAAAAAGGATTAGGAAGAGCTCGTCATGGATCAATTCGCTCACCTCTATTTCGAGGAGGTGGAGTTACCCATGGACCAAGATCACCAACCACACATTTTTATATGCTTCCTTTTTTCACACGCGTTCATGGATTGACAACAACTTTATCAGTTAAACTTGCGCAAGATGATTTACATGTTGTTAAGGATTTAGAAATTCCAACAGACGATGAAGATTATATTAAGGATTTGATCGAGAAAAGGAATTGGGGACCTTCAGTGCTTATTGTCGATGAGTAAGTGAAGTAAAAAAAAATATTTGAGTCCTGAAAATATAACAAAATTTCTTTTCAGCAATGACATGTTCCCAGAAAACATCGCAGTTGCAACTGATACAATTTCTTATGTTAATTTAATGCCTGTCTATGGCTTGAATTGTTATTCAATGATCAAACACGATACTCTTGTTCTTACACAAGCTGCAGTTGAAAAGATAACAGAAAGAATTCTTTACCAATTTACTAGAGCTGACGAAAAAAATATTACGCAAAAGTTCAGACTTAGTCAAAGAAATTAAGAAAAGGATTAGAAAATAAAATTTAATTGTAGTTTCAATATTTTTGTATTTTAATTTTTATTACATATTTTGCTCGCAGAGATTGTATTCTGTTTCACTTAGAAATTAAATATTAAACAATTCAGACGTAAATGCCAGTAGCGAGAAAGCCGAATAACACCCCAAATCCAAGAAATATTGAAGATAAGAAACTTATTGTGAGTTCTTTGAAAATGACGGATTCCTTCTTCAAACTGTTTCGCGAAACTTCAAACACGAAAAACCATGCTGCAAGTGATGTTCCGATTATTAAGAGAATTGCAGCAAGATGTGGATAAATCTAAAATTTAAAAAACAATTTTAAAGTTTGTGCCGGTGTTAAATTTTTCATTTTCTTTTTTTAAAAAACTTACAGCAGGGTTTACGGGAGAAACATAGCGAACCATCGAATCCATGATGCTTAAATATTGTTTATGTTCGATCTTATTAAACTAGTTTGGAGTTTTTATAAACACTATTTATGTTTAGATACACAAAAAAAGGAAAAAACTTTGGAGTGGTACACGTCGCGTAAATAATTTTGATTGGAACGTTTGGAAAATGAAAGCACACTGACTCTATGAATATTATGCACAACAATATCTTGATATAATTGAAATTTGGAAAACCGTTAACATTTAGATTTCCTGCCTCGAAACCTCGAAACCTCCTGTTAAAAAAACATAAATGTTATTCCACCTACGCTGACTCAATACCCATCAAACTTAGGTACATTCCATCAAAATTTGATTTAATTTTCACAGGAAAACAGCATAAAGGGAATTGCTTGCTACATGCTGATGGATTAAAATTTAAAGTTTAAGCAGTTTCCATGAACATGAAAAGCGTGGAAAATGAAAAAGAAAATTAATAAAAGAAAGCTTTAGTTTATTATACTTTTATTGACTCCAATAATAGGTATACATTAAATACCTTTGAAAATACAAAAAGAAGATTTCTTAACTCAATGTTGGAAAAACCCTTGGGAAAACTTCCTACGTACGTATAAAGCCTGACAGTTTTAAACAAAAATTTATATCAATTTTCACAACATATAATTTGAATAATGAATCATAGAAACATTTCCATAATTCTCTTTTCCTAAAAATAAACCGCAGCTAAATCTAAAGGAATTGAACATATTGATAATTATTGAAATGAATATCGAATAATTGAAAATTCTTCTAAGTATCATTTGGTTATTTTTCTTATCCACATCAAATATTTAGATTACAAATTGAGATTTTCTATTTCTTTCATAAAAAATGTAGATTAAAATTTAATGATTTTCTTTTACGTTACATGAAATATTATATTTTAATTATGAGTTATTTTTCGTTTGTAGAAAAAATTTTATAAGTTAATTTCAAAATTGATTTCGCTTCCTAATTGCGGATGATGGAATCAATCGTTCACTTCATAGTTATCCACAACATTTGTTTCTAATTGCCATTCGTAAAATATCACCCCGTTCAATTATCATGGTTTGACACCTTCTATTGAGATCGTTGTAAAAAATCCTAAACGTCCAAATATGTTGAATAATATTTTTATGTTCTTATAGTTGTAAATTTTAGTCTTTCCGAATTTCACAATTTCACACATTTATATTTGCTTCCTAATTCTTGTAAACCCTTTAGAGCTTCCCATAGCTAATTATTTGTCATTTTAATCTACTCATGAGTTGCTACACTTTTTTCGCATTTATGAATTTTGATCTAATGAATGAAAATGGTTTTCTTTCTTTGATTTTATTGAAAAATTTCCAATTAAAAGTAAAAAGGCTTCTCGCGTAAATTTTATGTTATAAGATTGAAGATTGTTTTTCAATTAATTTATGTTTTCAAAATTTAAAGTTCGAAGCTATCGCAATTTTGAGAAAATTGTCCAATCGACAATCAAATGAAAATTTTTCTCATCTTTTTAATAAGCATTAATATCTAAAATGTTTAAATCTAATTTTCAATGCATTTTAAATTTTTCATCAAGTGAGAGGGAAATTTTTATAGTGAAATTTACATATTATGTGTGTGTATGCATGTGGCGTTTTGAAAGCCTTCATCATTATGCAAAATATTTTTTAAATACATTACTTTTTGTGTGTTTTCTTGTTTTTATTTTTTTGTTGAAAACTTTGTGATTCCAGAGAAAAGTCACTGCATATATGAGGTCATTATAATGTTGTATTGTAATTAATGTATGCTTTTGTTTTGTAAGATTTTCATAGTACTTAAAAATTGATGCAACATCAAAATGTTTAAATAGATTTTTTTTCTTTCATCATTCTTTCATTTAAATTTTTCTCTAAAATTAAGCTATTTTATTTATTGAAACTTTTCGCAACTTTATTCAACTTTGTCGTGTTTGAAAGTGCAAGTAAATTTGACGCTAATAGAAAATTATTTAATTTCTTTTCATTTCAATTGATAGAAAGGTAAGGAAGAAAATTTAGCTATGCATGTTTATTTAAGATTTGTGAGAAAATTGATTTAGATTTGCTATTAGATAATTCTCTAGAATTTTCCATTTTTTATGGACGCAAAGCATTTGTCAAGGTTGAGGGAAAAATAATACATCAAAGGAGAGAAAATGCTCATCAAAATTGACGCCTACAACGACTAAGGTAGATGATGTTTCTTTATTTATGATATATTTGTAACCGTTTTAAATATGTGAAAATGAAGAAAATTCTTCTATTATTGTGTATAAGTAAACTTTTTTCTTCTTTTCTTCATCTCATGTAAAACTTTTCACAATCTTAACGTTTTCTTAATATTTTTTCTGTTTTCACATTTCCTGAATGGCTTTGTAACTTTATGTTTGTTTTTTCAAAAAAGATGTCTCACTTAAATGATTATTAACAAATTTTTTCTTGTGTTGAATTTAACTATTTTTATTATTGATTAAGGAAGCTGTATGATGATCAAATAATTCTTATTTAATTGAGATATTTTCAACACATGATGATATTTATTTTCAGTGATGATTAAAAGGAGACATTTGTCAATTACATCATCATACATCTAAAGTTTCTTCACCAAGAATCCACCTTTGACTTACATTTTACAATATGAACGCTCAAACAAAGAAACTTGTGGTTTTTCTCATTTCTAAGTGTATTTGCAAAAACTAAATTAAATTATAAAGACGATCACTACTTTGTATTACTTTGTAATAAGTAATAATAATTGTTACAGCACAACGAGAGCAGCTTTATGACTTTATTTTGTATCTTAATTGATTTGAATCTATGTTACATGGAAAATCCCCTAAAAGCCTAAATGACTCTTTTAAATGCATGATTAACTTTTTTTTTGTTTTAACTCATCACTTGCGTCTTTATTAGCAATGGCGTGGTTAAATGATATCATTTTGCTTTAATGATAATTTTGGACCATTTTAGTTCGCTGAGGTTTCAAGGGAGTTTTGAATCATCATTTACATCACCAACAAATATGTAGAAATATTCATCAGAACTTCTTCTTTTATTATTTTGTCTTTTTTCATTTGTTTATGTTTCATAAAATATTAGTTGTGCGTAATTCGACAGATTTCTCTTTGCTTCTTTCAACGAGACTTGTCAACTCAATGGAATAGAAAATGAGCAAAATTGAAGTAGGTATTTTCAAGCATTTTAAAAGAGTTTCCTCATGTGAACGACTGTTCTGTATCATTAGGAATTTCTTAGGCATGCGATTACAAGATCCTTGAGAACGAATTTTAACTCAAATATTTTTATTTATTTAATTCTGGTTTGTTTCTAAAAGCTGAGTGCGATTTGCTACCTAAAATATTTTTCGCTTAGATTTTTTTTACAATTTTACATTTTTCATTATTTTATGAATTTATAAAAATTAATTTAAACATGTTTGAAGGATAAGAACGAAAATATTAATCGGCATTTATCCATATCAGTCCATTTCCAATCTCTTCGATGACTTCCCCTTGAGAAAGCTTAGCACCCAAAAGTTTCTCTGCGTTAAAAATTATCACACAATTCGCGTTCAATCATTCTTTACAAGGCATTTCTTCAGTCATCCTAACTTTAAAGTTTTTTGGATGATGAAAAAATATTCAAACTTTTCCATTCCTTGGGATAATTAAATTAAGGAAATTATTTGTTTCTTCTAAATTAATAAATAACCCTTTAGATTTCTTTTAAATTATTTTCTAAATATCCGCAATCAGTTCAAATATTATTTAATTTTACATTTTCATGGCTTTGAAATTTTTAATTATTTTCTATCCTTACATATTTGAATGACTTTTGAAGTAGTGAAATGAGATTTCTTAAAACATTTATTAGAGACTTTTTGTGTTTTTTATTTAAGATGATATCGAAATATTCACCTGACATTGTAAGGAAGAAAAATCTTCGTTTTTATTTATATTTATTTACTTTTTTGTCTAGAATAATTGTGATGTATTCAGATGAAGCTCAAGTTTCATTTGTTGATCTGAAGACTTCCTTCGTCTTCCCCATCGGCAGTGTTTTGACTTCAAAAAAAATAAAGCAAGGAAATGATAAAAATTAAAATTAAAATAATGACGCAGCTTTGTACTTTTTTTGTTGTTAAAGATTTTTTATTACTGTATTCTGTATAACTCGAAAGAGAAAAATTACAACTTAATATAATAATTGGAAAAAGGAAGAGAAAAAGAAGAAAAAAAGTTTATAAAAACAAAAATTTACAAATTAACTAAATATTTAAGAATTTACAAATTATGAGCTAAAAACAATTTCAAACTTATGATTTGGAGTGTTTTTTATTTTTATTTTGTCTGTGGAATTTCCATCGCAATCATGAAAATTGATTTACTACCACCAACATTTCCAGCGATCTGAAATTTCAGCTTATGTCGCCTCCCTGTTAATATCAATTTAATTCTTAAACTTATATTCACATAAATTTACAGCAAAACATAAAAAATAAAAATAAAAAGTAAGCAAACTTAATGAAAAAAAAAAGAAATTAAAATAAAAACACATCTCAAGAGATATCGCTAGTTGATTACTGAATGAAAATTGGTCATTGAATTGCGTTTGAAAACGGAAGAAATTATAAGTTTCTGTTTTTAAATACATTAACCTATTTATTCCTTACTATCGCAAATAAAATTGACTTAAATATCTTCAACAGATTTTCACCTTAAAAAAGAAGAAGAAGAAAATGGAAAAATGATTTTCCTTTTCATATTAAAAACTATTTCTATGATATAAGTTAAGAAGATATTGAAGGAGATATTTTTTGCATTTGTGTTTATTTAGTACGCGATACAGAAAAAACTTAAAAGATAAAATTCGCAATGCAGCTAAAAATTCTTCAATTACTACAAAATAATATATTTCTTCTATTTATCTCTCATTTTCTTCCTTTTTTTTTGTATATTTCTGCATAATTTAACAAAAAATTCTCATCAAGTTTGTTTTCACTATTTATCATCTCAAAACTTCTTAAAAATTTTAAATTATCTATGGTAAATCAACGAGCTTTGAGTGTGTGTCTGTGTGTGTGTTTAATTAATTATTTATTTATTTTTTTGTGTATTTTCTTGTATAATTCACACGCTTTATCACCCATCCAGAGCTTCAACACATCACTAAATAAAATTTATGTTGAATTGCAATCTATCTCGATTATGTCTTTCGGAACATCAACAAATTGATAAACCAAACGTTGACCGTCAACTTTCGCAAGGATCCCACGTTGATAGTAGTAACGAAGTGCACGTCCCATTGTTTCGTAGTTCATGTCTGGCTTGTTCTTGTGCATGCCCCACAATTTTGAAACGGCTTTTGAATCGACGAGCTTGAAGACGCCTTTATCACGGTTGGTCCACTTGATGAAACGTGGACAATATTCACGATCCTGAAGAAGTTTCAACAGGAACTCCCACAAATAAGTAGTTGAACCTTCGCGGCTCTTTCTTTTGACTCCCATCTCCAATTTGGGCTTTTTTGGCTTCTTCAATTTATTGAGACCATGATGTTGACTCATGCCATTGACACCAGCGCGAACTGATTGCGATTGAAAACCATATTCGAGCATGTAGGTTAAGTCATCCTGGCAACTTGATGTTGCTGCTTGTATGACGCTTTGTTGGTGATGCGCATGGTGTGGATGAAAGGTTTGTGTATGTGGATGGAGGGTAGAATGGTGTGTTAAACCATTGGCAGTGGACGTGTTCGATGTGGCAGCAGCCAAATTTATCGTGCGCGGTGGTGAAGGTGATGTAAAGTGATTCGATGGATATCCATTGGCGGTGTTGTTGCTGAGACTGTGCAGGTAATAATTGTCTGGTACTGCAATGAAACAAACAAACAAAAAAATAATTAAGTAACATTTACAATGAGTTCAACCTAATTTGCTTTCCTTTCCTTCCAACCCAAAGCAAACTTCTTTCTTTTATATTTATCGAAAAGTGGGGCAAAATTTGTTATCAGCGACGTTTATTTCCATTACTTACATGTAATTATTACATGCTTGCGCAAGATACAATCAAGAACCAAGTATTAAGTAAGCATACAAGTATGTAAAAAATAAATAACGCTGATTGAAATCTAAACTCAAAATAATCCTATCAATGTCAATCAAGTTCAATGACCGTACAAGCCCTTGTGATTAATTTAATTAAATTCTTAAAATTATTGAACGAAATTTCCTTTGACTTGTTCAATGAAATGAACAAAAGCTTTCGAGAGTGAATGTAGTAAACACTTTTGCCATCACATCATCGGTTGCATCAGAAGATTACTTGTTGACCTTCGTCGTCGGGCTCCTTGTCTTCATAAACCGCGATAAGCCCGACAACAAAATGTTTACATATTTTAATTTATCTTATCAGCTGAGTAAGTTGTGTCGCGTTTTTTTTTCTTTTATTTTTCTCGTTCATTTCATCATGCATTCATTTCAATTTAAATTGAAGAACGAAATATATGCGCAAATGTCTGATAACGGGAAGAGTGTTGAAGCAACAAGTGCTTGTTGCCATCAAAGCATGATTTTGATGCATAAAACGCGAATCTCTTTTCGATAAGTTTAACGAATTCTTTTTCTTGTGACTTTATTTCATCGTCTTCACTGCCATGGGTGACGAAATGTTTGTTTCTTCATTTCTTTTCCGGCGAAATAAAAATAAAAAAAGAGAGAAAAAAATTTACGTTTACACATTCGCGGCGGCGGCAGTTGAGGGAAAAATACCCGAAAAAAAAAAAAATATAAACATACGCTAAGCATGAAAGTTCGTTGTCTCTTATCAAGGTCCCTCGTCATCATCACCATCATCATCTTGTTGTAACACAAGATCGCTAAGGTTACGTCGCTGTGATTGTCTTGGCGTTAAAGATTATCAAACGTTTTCGCGACTCGTGAAATGCGAGTGCAAACTCATCATCACATATGGAAGGATGATTATCGACAGGAAATTTTGACTTTAATTCATCGCTAGCTGAGTGTCATAAATAACTTTTGATGTCTCTCATCATCTTATAAATTTAAATTTAATGATTTCGAGTTTAAATATTTGGAGTTTTCAATGAAGACTTAACAAAGCTTTTCTCCATGCGTGTATATAAATATCCGGCATGATTTTTCAATTATATAATGCTTCGAGATTGTTGCTGTGCTTATGCCAATGACGGTCGTGGAAATGAAAAATAAAACAAACAGAAACACAAAAAAATATGAAGAAGAATGCAATTCAAGGCAATCGAGTTTGGCTCATCGCTTTATGTACAGACTTGCAACTAACTTGTTCTGTTACGATCACTTCTATAGTTCGACTGACTTCCCCTCAACTCTCATGCCCACATTCATTTCGTATCTGCACTTGATCTCATTTTTTCGCATTTAATTACGTTATAAACACATTCGCTATGGCTCTGTTTCGTTTTCATCTACACCTAGAAAACATTTATAAAACATTTGTGTATAGAAAAAAATTGCCAGTTTAGGTCAAGGATACATGCAATTGCGAAATCAAGCATGTTTGTATTCATACTTGAACAAGTCACTTTTTTCTTCTTTAAAATATTTTTTTATTTTCTATGTTCAATTAAAACAGTGAAGCGATGTGAGATAATAATGACGTTCGAGTTCATGACAATTCAATGAGTCAAACAAAACAAAACAAAACTTCTCCATGAATGATAAAAAAAACCAACGAATTGTTTGCGTCATAAAACGAACTAACAGATTTAGCTTTCTGCTGATTGCAGCTTCAAAACCATAAAAGAAAAGAAACAAAAAAATGAAGAGAATTGTGTCATTCTTTCATTAAGTTCAATAAAATAGCGATTCCTTTCCACTTCATTGAAATGAATTGAGAAAATCGCTTCAAGCGCGAAAGTGAGAATCACGATGTTGCTATTAAAAAAAAAGTGAAAAAGAAAATTATTTATAAATTATTTAATTCTCGGATAAGAGTGACTTAAAGCTGCTGGTATTGCTTCCAATGTTCAATAAGCTCAGCATATACTTAAGATAAAAGAAGAAATAAGAAAACACTCACACAAATGAAATCTTGTTTATCTCGAAAGAAATTTTAAATTATAAAAATCTATCCAAGATCAAATCACGTGTGCATGTGTTAACATCTTTTCGCAAGCACGACTGATAGTATTTAAATATCTTTATATATTTACTGACTGTAGCTGATGATGATGATGATTTTAGGAATATAAAAATAACAGCCATCACAATAAACATCGTAAAAAAAAGATGAGTTTCGTATGCCAATATACATTTTGCTTGCCTCTTTCGTATTGAATTTATCATCGATTCAATGCTGTTTTTGTACGCGTTCGGCTTTCTGTTGATTTTCATGTCTGTAGTTGTTTATGTCGCCTTGTAGCGCGCGAGAGTGCTTTGCACGATTTCAGGGTCACAATGTTGTTGTGTTTATTGCTTATGTACTGTTAATAAAATAATTGATTTGTTGTTGTGCCGACATTTTTCTCTCACTTTTATTTAATTTCTTTTCTCTTTCATTTCATTGCAATTTAATAATAATTACAGCCGATGCGATTAGAACGAATTTTCAATGCCTGCAGTCATCTCTTTGTCTATGATGCATTTAATTATAAACAAATTAAACAGAAACATATGTAGTGATGTTCTCATTCGCTTTTGCTTTTTTCTTTCTCGTCAATCTTCATTTTTCTTTAGTTTTTTAAATTTTATTGTGCACTCTTCGCCGCATCGCGCTATGCTGCCGATGTTATCTAAAATGTTTTAGCAAACGTAAGTTGCACAAGAAAATCTTTCAGGTTTTTATATTCTTCCTTCCTTTTCTTCTACACATTTAGTTGCCGTTTTTTTTGTTGTTTCTCATTCGCCACCATTAAAAGGAAGGGAAGTGCTTGCTTGGTGCATTCTTTCTTAGTTATTCTCAATAACAAAATCATTTTTATCGTTTTTCTCTTGAAATTCTTCTTCATGCTTCAAAATACAAGCTTTTGATAAAACAGGAGAATAAAGTTGCTTATAACAAAGAAATAATGAAATGATTTTCAATGCGAAACTTAAATCACATGCACGATGAAGTGTTTGTTGCGGTTTCTCTTTTTTTCTCCTTTATTCTTTCCTTAAATAAGAAGACAATACTTAAAGTGAATTTGAATTACTTTGTGGTTGCAATTTATTCTGAAATTCCCTGCTATTTGTTATCTATCATTTCCGGCTCATGAATTATTGAGAAACTTTAATTTATGTAACAACATTTTGATGAGAAGAACTTTAAGTAGTCTTCATTCCAACTCAATAAGAGGAATCTATTTTCATCTTATGAATATCTAGTATAGAACGAAAATAACTCGGCCGAATGGCCAAGGTGAAGGTTAGACGAAATAGGCAAACATCAGAAAAAAAATGTTTGCGACGCTTTCACAGACACAAACACAATCATAGGAAATCTCTAATCTCACTTCTCAGCCAATACGGGGCAATTTCCATTGAAGGATGACTTCGGCTTATGTATCACAACAATTGGACTGGAGGAGGGAAAGGAAACGAAGAGAAAAAATGGTGACGCGCAAAAAGGTCTTATAAGAGTCCAATCAACTCATTTTATGTTGGCCCTTATCATCTTTCAGGAAATTCTAAATTTAAAATTAATTGCCACAAAACGACGCAAAAGAAGAGGGAAAGAAAGAAATTTAATCACGATCATCGTAAAGTGCTTAAAAGACGACACGACACATGATGATTGCTGATATGTATGTAGGAATTTGGATTCTTTTATTTATTTTTCTTTTAAATTTCTTTCAAACTCGCGCGTGTTTACTGAATAAGAATTTTTTATAATTTTTCTTTTTTTCCTAACAGCCTAAATCAAATGTGTGAAGAATTGTGCCGAAGAAGTGTCTTCAATCAGCAAGTGAAGAGTTTTAGTTCTCTCTCAATTATCATTTATGCGCTTTCAAAGCTTTAGGCATGTTGACGCAATCATCAACAGAAGCCATGAGTAGACACAAAATTCAGCAAATTCTCATTTCACAGCTATAACAACTAAACTAGCTAATAATAAAGACTAACGTGAATTTAATCACACTGCGCATAGCTTCCAGCGAATTTCTCTACGGTTAAGACATTCATGACTACATTTCAGTGTTTGGCTGGTCATCGACATATCGTCGTCTTTCGCGAATATTTGAAGGTCACGACAGCAACAAACAAGCGCGGGGCAAAGAAGTAAAAAAAAAGCTTCATAAAAAATGGTCTTGTCAGAGAATTACGTACGACTAAGTAAGTAAAAAGAGAGAAAACATAAGGAAAAGACGGAGAACAAGAAACGGTTTAAATGCACGGAATTGACTGTGTTTACTGCACAACACATCGAAAGTCTTTTTATTCTTTTTTATCCAAGGAAGAAAAGATAGAAGGAAGGTTCTTAATTTATTTACAATCGCCGATTCTTTATTTGCTGTCCATTTCGAATTCCGTTTCGCGTCTTTAATCCAGTAAGACGACGCTTGAAATTTTTTTTCTCTTCTTTTTTTTTTGTATCTGTCGCAGGATTAGATTTCAAGCCACTGATACTTGTTGCTTCGATAGCGAAAGAAATTCTTTTTTAATGAAGTTTTTTCTTTGGCGCACAAAGCAAACAGATTCATGCATAAATTTCTTATGCAAATATTAAATAGCCCGGAAAATGATGTCGAAATTGAAGTGCGAAATCTTCTTCAACGCTGACTGCTTTCATGAAGAAAAAGTTTTTTTTTCTTTTGATTTGGATAATCAAAATGATTTGAATGTCTGGTTAACTTCTTTATTTATGCAATTATTTGTGTGGTGTTTCGATGGCGCGTATGAGCCCCACAAAAGAGCGAGTAACTTCCGCTGATTTAATGTTCGTTGTACAAATAGTTTGTGTATGCTTTGCTTTTATAGCTGTTCAACAAAACAAAATAAAAAAGACTTTTTTGGAACAAAAGATATGCGAAATCGAGCCGAAGTGCTTTTTGTTTTGTCGTCCGTTTCACTCTTGTTGTCCCTTCAATGGCACTTTTTTTGGCTTTCGGATTCAATGAACTCGTGTTAATTTTATTTCACTGTCTAATGGTTTGACGGACCGGATCGAGACTTAATTAAGTTCTTTAAACATCGTTCGAACATTGAAATGACTGCACATAAAGAATTGAGAAGAATGAGATGGAGAAGAAGAATTTGCCAATGTCTCAATGCGTGGGTGTCGAACTGTCTAAGCTCACTTTTCTAACATTTATTATTAATATTTGAAATAATGTCTGACGTCTCATCTTAAGTGATGCTAAAAAAATCATAAAACATTCGCAAGATTTTATTTTTGGTTCGGAATGAAAATTAAATCGAAAAATTTGCTTCATAATTTATGATTCCAGAATTTTTGTGTTTTTAACTTAAGTTTGGTTCTCAATCATCATTAAAGCGTTGTTGTTGTTATTTTCCTGTCTCGCGTGTGTTGCTTAAAACAGGAAAAGACCAGACAAAAGTTAATTTTGCAGTCTGGAGTTGCCCGAAACATCGCTTAATATTTTACCTCAGACAATGTGACTTTAATCGGCAATTTGTTACAATTATAAGATTAAATTTAGTGACAAAGCTTCAAGAATCTGAAAGGGGAAACACGGGATTGAGAAGAATTCATTAGAGAAGCAGATATCAGGCAATTCGACATTAAAACCGTGAATGATGACGCTCAACGATTTGACTCTTTGTCGATGATCAAAAAATCTTTTTTTTCTTCCTTCGCCTGTTTTTGTTCTTACTGCAATTTGCGTTTTGATTTGAGTTCCTAAAAAAAATTCCTCACAAAATCTCGTCTGTTATTTTATTTGGATATCTTCTTCACATCCATAGAATGGAAGAAAAAGAACATTCCAGAAAAGCTAAAAATGTTTTTCTTCTTCCCATTCCCGACTTCATTAATTCATTTTGTTCGGATGTGTTTGTGAGCAAATTTTTCTCATTTCTGTAGTTAAATATTTCCTCAATTCTTTTAGACCCACGGAACGCGCAAAAAAAAACAATTTCGTTGCTTGTGTCTACTGCTCGTAACGAGGAACTGTTTAAGTAAGATCGAGGGGATAACAGTCGAGATGCTCACATCATGATTTACAAATGTTTTTCAAATAGGAAAATAAATTGATGAAAATCATTTTACGTTCCCCTTTTAATGGATTTTGCAAAAAAAAAGAAAAAAAATTCAAATGTATTGTAGTCGTGTGCAAACAACAAATTTAATCAACTTTATTGTTGCTGATGGAATTTGAGGAAATGTAAATGAGATGTGAGCTTTTTTTATATTCAACATGCTGTTGTTTTTGAATTGAATGACTGTATAGTCACTTTAATATGAGCGACGTCATCATTTTGTTAATATTTGATCTTGATTCGTAACAATAAACTCGATAGATAAATTATCACCTGAATTAATAAAGTGTGCTCGCATTTCATCTTGTGATCATACGACTTATGATAAGTTCTGGAAGTTTTTGCTCTTATTTTTCATTCTCTACCTCATTATTAATTCAAGAAGATGTCTGCGATAAAACTTCATTAATGACATTGAAATGATATTTGGAATCGCGCAATATATTTAGTTCTGGCATTCAGAAGCGATGGGAAGGCGGAGAAATCAGAACTGACCTACTGCAACAACAACGCTTCATAAATTCTTCGCAGTTACGCAATGAACATTTCGATCACAGGTTGGCTTTAAAGTTTCGCTTACCGCGGAAAATTTGTGGATAATGTAAACAACATTTTTGCAAACAGCAGCAGTTGGTGAATGTTTTATTAAAAATAATTCTTAATCCTCGTTTTCAAACATCGTAGAAGTTTTAAATAAAACATTTCATTAGATTTATGACTTCTCAATGATATTTTTGATAGTTCAACTGCCTTTTAACCACGTCAGTCTACGTGAGAATTTTTTCCTTTTTTTTCTTATGCCCAACAACAATTTTCGTTTATAATTTCCAATTTGTTTTGAAAGAATTCAATCGAGTGACAAAAAATGTGCTCAACTTGTTCAAGCGAAAGTTAACATTTTGTAATGAGACAGAAATTGTAATTAACTGACAACATTGGCAACCATTAGAAATTTTCATTCATTTGCTTATGAGGTGGAAACGCTCCTCTCGTCTCATTATATTTTCATCACGTTAGTTTTCCCGTATATCATGGAATGTAGAATAAGAAGAAAAATTTAAGATGTGTTTCCATGATAATGAAACAGACTTAAATAAATATTAACGATACCTTAAAAGAATTCCACATACCATCGACGGATGGAAAATTTTGTTACCGGAAACTTTTCGGCTCACACGTGGCATGTAAATATTCGTTCAGCAAATAATTAAAAATAAATCATAAATTTAAGTAAGTAAAGTTTGCCAAAGGAAACTTTGTTAAAGTTGAGTTAGGGGAAATTTTTTACAGGAAGAGATTTTGTGCTTTAAATCAATTCAGAAGAATTTCTGAACGACATGGAAAATAAAAAGAGAAAAAGTTTCGTTCTCATGTCAACAGAATATCGATGACATTTTAACCTTCCTGTCGGTTTGAGGTGCGCCTTGCCGCTCGACTTTATTCTATGTGTAAAATTTATGAATTTTCCGCTCAATACTCATGACGTGAATAGGCGCGATGTGAGGAAAAAAATGATTAAGAAAAACAAAAATAAATTTTCCGACTTCCGCTAATTTTGGCTTAGAGATGTGTTGTTTGGTCTTTAATGTTGTTTTTAAATATTCGCGCACGCCGTTAGTAAGAAGGAAGGCGGTGATTCGAAATGAAAATTTTGTTGTGTTTATTTCAAGCCTTTAAAGCGGAAAGAAATTGGAATTGTCTTGTTCCCTTGATGTCCCATCACTTACTCATTTCGAAAAGCAAAAAACTTGTTTTTCTTCTTTAACCTTGAAAGTCTTTCCTCTGCTTTCAAACAACCGTAATATTCACCGCGAAAATTATTCTTTTCTTTTTCACTTTTACGATTTTCTTTCGAGTCAAAAAAAAAAATGGAAAAAAAAATTATTTCGTTTTATTTTTGAAGATATCAGCTAAAAATAATTTCCGAGGAAAGCCGGAGTAAGAGAAGATAATGGTTTGGGATTATTTATCATGCTGACTGGTATCGACAGCTCACCGAGTGTTCAACGAAGGAAGTCATGTTGTGCACGATGAAGTACAGGCGATTTATTTTTGAACAAAACGCTGAACTTGTGACTAAAATAACTGAAATTGTTTTGCAGAAATCTAATTACACATGTGCTACGTTTATGCTGCTGCTTCATTATGATACTTGATATTTTGCAGAAGTTCTCTACAAAAATAAATTATTTAATTCTGCTGTCAATTAAGTGGGTGACTGAGAAACAATGAATTCATTCTATTTTTATTCGATACATAATTAGACATTATTAGACATATCAACGCATTCTGGCCCACATTTACGGCTGTGTCTGACATCAATTTTCTTTTTTTATCGATTCAATCAGCGGAAGAAGTAAAAAATGTCACTTTGACAGAATTTAGACAGATATTGGTATAGGAAAATTAATCAAAGTTGTGAAAATGTATCATCGATTAGTGTTGTCGAGAAAATAATTTCAAGGCCTTAAGCTAAATCCTTGTGGTCATTACAAATAAAAATGTGTTCCAATTAATAAATCTTCAGCTTCAAAATTAATAGTTAGCGACATTTAAAATCTATGTCAATTTAACTCGCCATTGTCTATTGCGTAATCCTATTTAATTGTAAACTTTTATCTTAAGAAATATTAATCGTAAACGTGCCTGAAATATTTTAATTCCTTTCATTCTTTTACGCAACTCACATCGTCACATCCAGCGATCGTTTTGCGGAAAACGACAGTCAAACAATTTCCTTTTCTTTCATTCTCATACAACAAATTTCCCACATTTTCCGCGCGATGACAAAATTGCTGATAATTTTTCATTTTGCACAACTGTTGGTGCCGATGGCACTTTTTTCGTAAGCGATGCCAAAAATATTTCTGCTTTTTTTCTACGTGCTGAGGTAGATTTTGAATTTAATATTTTCCTCGGTTCCTGCTTGTTGGGTGCAATGTATTTTTAATCTGTTTTTAGCAGCGCTTGCTTCTTTTTCTTTTCCTTCATTTTTAAAAGAAACTTTTTGTTCATTTTTCAGCATTTTATAATGCGTTGATCTAAATTTTGTTTTTCAAGATGCGGGTGGATTGACTCACTTTTTTGAACAACAAAATTATTTGAAGAACAAATTTAAATTAAAAAACAAAAGTTGCTAATGCCAGCTGGTTTTACGATCATTTTGTCATTCACGAATGTGATCTCGAGGTAATGCAAGTCCCAGAATAGAAGTGAACGTTGAATCTGTTTCAACAACCACATCGATGTCGTTCGAAATGAATATATAAAGATCATTGAAAATAAATTAACAAGTTGAGTTTCTAACAAACAGAAAATACGGAAATTTGATCTTATCAATTTTCTTAATCTTGCTTTGCAACTCATCCTACTAAATATAAAAGTTCTTTATCATTGGCCGACTTTATGCACAAATATTTGCAATCAGATTTCTGAGTTATAAATAATTTACACGATTTGATAACATTCCATTCTTGTGTCGCTTTGATAAGATAACTACTAAGTAACTCTTCCATTATTTACGTTTCAAAAAAGAAAATTTCAATACCGAAACATTGAAGTATTGTTGCCGAAATATATTTTGAGACTTAAAGACGCCTTAGATCGATATCATCTACTTACATGAAACATTCCTATTACTCCACAAGTTCCTCAATGGAGCTGATTGATGATAGAAATTGGGATGTAAAAATGTTCCGGGAGGTGGTGGCAGTTGCGTTTGCTGTTGTCCCGGATTATTTGATGTTGCTGTTGTTCCCGAAAGGCCTAAACGTGCCTTTATCTCGTCGCTACAAATCGGTTGACCATTGCCGCTACTTGAACTATCTACATCAGACACACCGCTGTCTGCAGGCGATGGTGGTAATGAACCTGGAATAGAAGCAAACAAAAGTAAGAAAAAAGTTCATTAGCAAACATCATTGATTTGTGAGAAAAATAATAATCTTTGTTGTTAGATGAAAAATCAGTCAAAATATTTAGTGAGACTTTTTGATATTCAATGGGCATCTTGTTGAGAATGTGAAAAAGATTTCTTTGTTCCTTTTTCTTTCCACTCTCGATGGTCGTTGAAATGATTTTATTTTATTTTTTAAATGAAGAAGGACTTTGTTGTTTACAACGCTTCATGGGATTGAAGTCGAAACGAGAGAGAGAGAATGAAAGAAAAAAAGGATAAAGAAATGATCGAAATGCACCTTTTCTAATTTAAAGAACAACTCACAAGGCAAATGGTTCATGGAAAGGGTTCGTTCGCTTTTACCTGACCCATCGCACAATAAAAGTGCATTCCCAGCAAGGGATTTCGTTTTATTAGAAATTGCAATAACTTCTTTTTTTTTATGGCTTTATAACTGAGAAAACGGGAATCGTTAAGGAGTTTTTATTGAAGCTACTGGAAATTACATTTCACTCATTTGCCATTGTGTTGTGAGTAAGAAGACTGAAGAGACGGTCGACAAACAGCAGGAGTTACTTAGAATGCTTTCATTACATCTTTCTTCGTTCCAATTCAACTCTGATAAAAGTATTGAATTCCTTTTTTTTTATCCAAATTGATTATTTCTTTTCCATCATTCGCTCTAAATAATTTCGATGAAAGAGAATGAGGGTGAAAATATTATTATTTAAGGATCAACTTTGAAGGAAGGTTGGCGTTGGTTGGGCCCTAAAATAATACAGGTGCTTTCTTGATATCAAAAATAAACGATGATGATGAAGATATTTTCATGAAGAATGAAAGGATTTTAATTTCTTTGCCGGATGGGACTACATTGTAAAGCATGAGACTTTTTGCGAGGGCAGATGAATTATTCGAAGAAAAAGAATTTATTCTGTGACGGGAATTTATTTCTAGGTTTCCAGGATTTCAATTTCTTTCATTGATTGGTATTTTAAGTTTTATGATGTGATCCTTTCCTTTCTATTCTTGTTTTTTGCTTCCCACAACACATGATATCAGTTACCGGCTTATGAATTGAAGGAAGGAAAGTGCATTCTCATCGACATGTGAATTTTTATCTTAACAAATGTCAATGGAAAAGGTTTCTTTAAAATGACTCTCATATTTTGATATTTGCGAAATCAAATTAATTTCCAACGTTTAAAAGTGCCAACAATGGCATCTTTTTTAAAAAAAAAGAAGTTTCTGAGGTTGAATTTTGCAAATTGCAAAAAATCAAATCAAATAAAGCCACAAAATTTGTTGCAGATTTCGCATCAACAACCTGCTGCTTTAAAGAGATGCTTTTATTGTTTGGGATGTATTGCAAATGTTATTTCATGTCTGAAATATGTTTACAATGATTCTTTGTAATCTTCCTTTTGACCTAGAAAGGAGAAAAAGAAAGAAAGCAAAGAAGTTACAGACGGGTTCGGTGGCAGAAAATAAAATGCCGACTTTCTTCTTCTATTATTGTGTACTCAATGGAATCTAGGACAACCACAGCAAAAAAGTAACAAAGGGAAACATCCTTTCACAACAATCCATCAATCTCATTTGGCAATTGCATATTAAACATTTCGGCTTTTTTTTGCACATTTCATTTAGTGTTTCGTTAATTTTTCATTTCTTTGTAGCATTTTTGTTTTCTTTTTATGTTTTAAGCGAATCTTTCGAAAGAGTTTGTTGACTGTGAGTTAATGATTTCATCCTGAGTTGACTTTTAACACAATTCTGTTAATTGCCATGAAGCATTTCGCGCTATCTTGGTGAGTTACGAGTGAAGTTGTAACATGAAACTCAAACTATATTTCATTTTAATTAAAGAAATTTAATTCACATTATTGAAACTCAGCCAATGATCAATCAGCAGCCTGTTGATAATTCTGCAACATTATTGGTTCAATTGAAAGCTGCACCCTTTCAAGATCACTACAGTGGTGAGAAAACAAACAAACAGACGGCTTGTGGGATGAAATCAGAAAAAAAAATATAATTGAAAAAATTTCTTTTGCACATTGCGTCAAGAGGCCGAAAGCTGTTTTGAAGTAACGAAATATTTTATGCAAGTCAACATGAATTTAATCCCTAATGCAAAGTCTCATAATGTGTCCAATTTCTTTTTTATTGTTGAAGAAGTTACGAGTGAGTCCGACAAACAAACAAATGACAAAAGGAAAAAAGGGAAAAAGATCGAAATATCCGATTGGTTAATGTTTGTAAAAAGGATTAAAGAGAAACATCTTCCAAAGGGAACCTGATCCATCAAATGCATTGATGCAGATTGAATCAACTGGTGTTAGGATGCAACAAGAATATGACTGAAAGGGCAGCTGATAGTCAGTTGAGTAGAAATTTACATCCTTTGGATTTACTTAATTTTGCATTCAATGGACATCTTTTATGTTGGAAAGTATCGAAAGGGAAAGGTATGCATCATCATGCGTTTTGTTATTCTTGTCAACAAAATGCCAATTATTTTGCCAGCATCTGAAATCATCCAATCCGGCTACTCTACAAATACTTCACTCAAAGAGGGAACAAATAAACAAATGAAAGGAAGGAAAAAAGAGAAAAGAGTTTGCAAAATGTTTATTCAACAAATAATCTTCACTTCTTGTGTAAATTGCGCGTGATGACGACAACTTAACGTAAATTGACAGTTGGCACAATGCGTCATCATTCCAATTGCATCCACATTTCTCTTCTTTGTTCGATTATATTATTTCACATGCGGGCGATTATAAGACGAACAGAAAAAAGGGTTAAGAATAACATAGAAAACTTAATTTAATAAATGTCACCATTGTTGCTATCCCAAATTGAATGATTCATCGATGTGGAAGGAAAAAAGTTATTGAAAATGGTCGACATCATATCTCAACCGTTTTTCTCATACATAATCCAGTTTCATGCTTCAAACACTCAACAAACATCATTTACAGTAATAATGAAGTCGCATTATGTTCTCCGGAATGGTTCTCGCAACTAAGTATGAAAATTTCTTATTTAATCAGATGTGGTCATCATCATCATTGCATATGAAACGATCAACGTGTCGAATCTAATTCCTTAAGAAATAAGGAAGGGTTCAGGAAGATTTAGATGATTTTTATTCTTAAGGCGACACGTAGATGGACAAAAAAATTATTTTTATTGAAAGGGTTGTTGTTGCATTAACTTAAAGGTAAGGATGGACAATCACTGGACTTTTATCGAAATCTAAACCAGCATTTTCGTCCAGGTTTTGCTTTTTTCTTTGTCTTCTATCAAAAAGAATAAGTAAAAGAGCGCAATTGATGCGGAATGAAATATGATGTCCATTAAATTCCTTTTTCTCACATCATAAAGCTTCCGAAATGTGTTTTTTCGAGTTTATTTCTTTTCGTTTCTTTCCTTCCAAAGACTTCAAACTGTGAGATATTGAAACTGTTTAGTTCGAGGAAAAAGGGTTAGAAAAAAGAGAATTTAAGAGTTGTGATGGTCATCGGTAGTAGCCAAAGGAAGATTTTCTCACGCACAAGACTTTTTGGTCCACAAAATAAAACGGATTTCTTCCGCATGATGTGTGATGGGAGATGGAAAGGTCCATCAAAACATTTTCGTCAATCCTACGTAGAATGAAAATAACTTCGAGGTAGACGGAATTAATCAGCCAGTTGGATTATTGATTTTTGATCGCATAACAATGCTTTGTTGCTAGCCACTTTATGGGTCTTCAAGCGAAATGTTTCCATGTCTATAAACCGAAGCATAAGCAAATATGTCGTAAAGAACCTTTTCCAGTTCTACATACTTTGTTGTTTATTTTAATAAATATTCAAACAACTAACTGAATCAACGGAGATGTCAAAAATTATAAATGATGAAAGAACATAAATAGAAAAAAAAATTATGAATTAATTCCCGCACTTTATTTGCTTTGTGTGAAATAAATCAAACATAATATTTTAATAATTTCAACAAAAGACGAGTAGAAATCAGCGGTGAACTTCAACGACAGCCGCGAAATTATTTCCTTTCCTGAACGAAACATGTTTTCAACTTCCTTTAATTTCTTCAAATATGTTCTGACTTGATACGGCAGCATAAATCGTTATATGTTGTATGAAAAAAAAGCAGGAAAAGAACTTTTTTTTTGTTGCTGTTCATAAAATCAGAACGAGATCTTGACCAGGAAAGACCAAAGCAAAAAAAGGAAGAAGGAAAAACGAGCGCGACACAAACACGATATCCTGACGGAATTAATTCAATTTGAACAAAAGTTTTCTCCCCTTTTCTCATTACATAAAGTTCAGCTTAGTCAAAAGAAAGGAAAGAAGACGGACGTATCAAGAACAAGAAATTCGGTCATTAATCATTTGTTAAAGGAAAACGCAAGGTCACTTGAAGGGTCATTTCATCGTTGACCAGTTTCTCCTTTTCTCATAAGTATTTATTAAAATATTTTCAACAACAGCGCCATGCAGGGAAACGAAAAGACTTTGAAATCATACAGGAAATGATTAAATAAGCCAAAAAGAAATTCATTCGAGAATGCTTCAAGCATAAAGCCTTACCTGTACTTGAAGAGCTGTAACCGCGGTGATAAGACGCTTGCGAAAGGTGCGTTCCACTCAACAAGCCATGTAAAAGCGGTCGATGTTGAAGCGGTGGGCCATTGCTATGCTGATGTGTTGGTTGTTGATGCTCTTGAATGGTTCTGTGGGGCTGGTGAGCTTGTTGTTGTTGTATCGGTGGCGGACTGGGAGATTGTGGTAAATGAGTTGGAATTTCAGTATCTGTAAATAAATATGGGAGTCAATTAGTTAAAGGCAGTCAATTATTTATTAATGACATGTCTAAAAATCTCCACTTTCGATTGAATCGATTGAGGCATAAGTTTGTTAATAAAGTGATTGTTACACAATGTTTCAGTCTTTCTTTTCAAGTGCCAGGCTAGTCACCCAACATAATAAAAATCTCCAAAAGCTTTTAAAGATTACATCACGCATATGAGTTGTAGTTTTTGCATCAACCCAACATAAAACTCGTTTCGATAATTTCTTTAAATGCCGATTTGCCAATTTAATTTTCAATTCCGAAAAAAAGCCACAAAACAATTTCTTTCGAGCCTAAATCGGCAAATGGCACATTTATGAATCGAATGTGGGGATCTGAAAGTGGAACAACATGAATGAATGTACAGCACATGTGAGTTTAATAAAAAATTAAATATCGTCAGATATTCGCGGGTCTAAACATTGTGTGTCAATTTTTGTTTTATTTTCGGTTACTTTCGCTGTTTACAACAAATATCGAGTGTTGTAAAGGTTTGTTATGCAAGCAAGAAATTAATGTAATGTAACTACAATAAAAAAAAAGAGCTTTTCTTTTCAACAATAGAATTTTGTTCGCTGTTGCGCACATTAATTCATAAGATTTAATGTTTAATTTCTGCTTGTGTTGGCAAAATAAAAAAGATTGAAGATTATTAGGAGAGTTTATGCATCGTAAAGATTGGACTTTTATTTTATTAGATATCAACTGTTTCATATTTATGTATGCGGATTGAAGTTTTATGCTTAACCAGATTTTCCATCATTGAATTTATGCATTTCAACAGAAAGATAGAATTGAAAGAAAATCACAAATATATCACGCGACGCCATAATGAAGCCAACAATCTCCTCCAAAAGTCATTGAGTCAACCTCTACTTCTAACACACGGAAATAACCATCGTCTTAATCCACAGAAAACAACGACGACGACTTCATAAAAACAGAGTGTGAGTCAGCCAAAGAATTTACAGTTTGTGAAAATCTTCCGTCGTCGCAACATCGCATTACACACACGTTCAGGTAATTCAATTATTAATATTCCAAATAGAAATCCATTTCATGACGAAACTGATGTTTGTCTGTTGCTTTTTATTTTCAACAACTTTGTAGACAACTCACATGCTTTGCCAATGAATGAATAGCTTTCGACTAAAGCTGAAAACTGAATTGAATATAACGGAAATAAGATTTGATGGTACGCGTTCAGGAAATACTTTTTAAACATTGCCAAATGATTAATTGTGCTACCAGCTAATCCGCTTCGAGTTCATTCGAGTTGATAAACTTTTTTTTTTGTGCATGACACACGATGTTAAACACGAGAAGGACGTTGCGAAAGACTTCATCCGATGTCGATGTCGGTTTCGAGAGTGAGAAATGCGGTTTGATTCAGAAAAAGAAAATAAAGTTTGTCATGCACCACCATCGTGAGGCGAGAGAATGTTCAGCTCGATTTCACAATTGGATGAATTTGCATTTCAAATATCGTCTGGCTCAAACTTGTGAACTCTGTGTACACGTCTTGTTGTCGTTTGCCTTGCTTTTCTGTCTTTCTCTCTCTCGCTTATGAAGTGTTTATAAAAAAAAAGAATTCGGATGCGGGTGGAAAACAAATGGGGGGGAAAGGAAAGCTTTCAGATTTTATTATCGTGGGTGTAGAGAATGAGAAAGTTAGATAAAGATATTTACATCACATAGAAGCTTCTTTTTTTGTTTCGTAACGAGCAAATTTTCAACATCCCAGGGGCACTAATTAAACGCTACACGACAACGATATGTCAAAAAAAAAAATTCGGATCATGTTCTAAAATTTGTATCAACAAGAGCTGAATTTTTAATCTCAATATATTCATCATTCGAGTACATTGACACGACAATATATGTGGAAAACGACACTGATAAAAATCAAGCATAAATTTCCATTTGCCACCACTGAACGATGATGAGATTCTTTTCATTTTTAATGATTAAAGCAAAGCAAAAAAATTGAAAGAAAGAGAAATTAAAATCTTTCTTTAGAGATGTTTGTTGCTGCTGTTATTATAAGAAGAAAATGTTTCAAAGAAATAACGCATAAATGGAGAGAAAGAAAAGCTGCAGTTTTTATAAAAGAAATAATTTCCAACAAAAGCGAAATGAAAATGTTACGAATGTGACTTTCAACAGCAACGATGCAAGAAGAAACATGCAAACTGTGTTGAGCTTGCTTTTCTCTTCATTCTACTCTCGTTTTCGTTTTAGAAAATGCAATTTTCACTATCAGTGTTGAAAGTTTATTTCTTCTGCATTGCATCGTTGTTTCGTTTTTATGCTGCTTTTCATTCCATTTCATTGCGATTCGACCGAGTACCAACATCATCATCACGATTATATTAACTAAACCCATCCTTGAACGGAACAACTAAATACAGAGCGAAACAAATTTATTTCTTCTTTCGAGAGGGTGAAATGTTTCTGGAATGGCGTATGAAATGAAATGAAATGAAAGAAAAATCTTTATGCGGGCGCTGCACCCTTTAACACTAACACGAAAGTGCAATTTCATGGGTAATGTGAAGAAAGAAAAGGAAAACGCTTTCGCTTCCTCCCCGAAAGCTTTCCTTCGTTTCACTCTTACTTTGTTGGTAGCAGGCAAAGACAATACAAGGACTCTTCGAACGAAACATAACATCGAAGCAAGCTACGAAAATGAATGCGCAGAACAGAGATGAAGCTTTCCTGCGTCTTTCCTTTTTTTTTGCCTTCAACAAAACGAATCGCCTTCACCATCGCCTCCCAAAAAAAGTTTTCTGTGAGATGCGGAATGGGGAAATCAATTCGACTAGACATTTTCTCCCGTTTCAGTTTTCGTTTTCATGGAGGGAGAAAAGTATGAGGGAACAATTTCGTTTTTTCTTCATCATCGTCACACTATCACTTTGGGCTTTCAAGTTGCTTGTGTGTGTGTGTGTGTAAGTGAACCACCCTATAACCTTTATTTTTCCTTTTCATTCGGATACATTTTCGTTTTCAGTTCTGATAGTGAAACTGAAGTTTTTCTTGTTTCATTTCACTTTTGTGAGACTCGAGAGGGCGCTGAGTGTTAGGGACGATCCGATCATTTGTCGAAAATTGTAGGTGGGTGGCGTGGGAGAAAAAATAATGTTCTGATAAAATCTTTTATAGGAATTTTCGCTTCTTTATTTCAAGTCTTTTGAAATTCTGACGCTTGCATTTCAGGTTTCTTTCAAACAAAGACATTAGCTATGTTTAGGGCGAAATAAAAATGAAGATGAAGAAGAATAGATGGTTAGATATTTTTATATCATTAAGCTTTATTATTAGTTATGTCTGTTGTAAAAGAGAGAAAAGAAAATTTGTATTTTTTACTTCTTGGGGGAGAAGAAAATTTAATCAATTTACTTGTGGCCGAAAAGCTTTTGAAGCATAAAATTCCGTCTCGATTTGGTCGAACAAAGAACAATTTTTAGAGTACAGTTGGCAAATTATGTTCGAGAGGTCTGAGTAGTATTTGATGAGCCAGACATTTTTGGTTATCTACGAGTTTTAACAAAAAAGAAATGAAGAATAAAAAGAAAGGAAATTAATTTATCACCTTCTTGGAGGCGACGTGAAAAGTCATCACACTGCTGACACTTTTCCAAAAATTAATATCTTGAGACAAATGTGACAAAGTCGTCTCTTCTTAATCAATCTTTTTTAAATTCTCTTCATCATGTGAAACTGAAAATGCGAGTCGTTAAAAGATTTGCAAAATGTAATTTATATTGTGAAATGTTGAGCGGTCATTCGTAAGCGATTTGCCGTCTACTTTTGCTTGATTACGCAAATAAACAGATGAGAATGGTCCATTTGTCGGTCTCAGCAAGTTTTCTCTCACAACCGACCGAAAAACAATCATAAATATTTCTTTAGTCTTCCATAATAGCTTCATCATTTTCAGCTTCATCATGTTCCATAAAAACCCATTAACATTTACAAAGATACCATCAAGTACAACGTAAACGCAGCAGCGGCAGCAGCAGAGAGTAAAAAAGCAACAAACAACATCCACAGCGGTTGTTGCAGAATTTCCGCTTTTAGTCATGAAAAACCATCAAAAAACTGCCGTATAATTATGAGAAAAAAAAATCCACAGCAAAAAGAAGAAAAAAACAACAACATGAATCTGAATGCAAGTGGGTCAAGGTTGGGCTGGTTAAAACACTCATACACACAAAGCACTCCAGCAACAAGCAGTAAAACGAGTTAAGACTTTATTTATTGACACAACTTAAACGATAAAATTGCTTTTTGCAATGTACATGGTGGCGAAGTATTTTAAAGAAGCCGTCGACAGTACATTTGCATTATTGACGTCTAAATCGAGTTTACTTTCACTTCCGCTCATTTATGAACAGAAAAACCTTACTTCGTCCGCTACTTTGCAAATATTAATCAACGATCATAAGCTTTATGTATTTCTCAAATTATGTTATTTGGATCAATGGATTACAAATTTATTCATTTCTCAATATCTTTCTCTCTCTCTCATTCCTTGTTTCCGCAGATTAAATGTGAATTAAAAGTCGTGGAAATCATAGTTTGTTGTGTAAAATTGATAATCGTCTGTTAATGGTTTGTCGAGTAATTTAACTTAACGAACCATTTCGTTGTCATATTCATGTCTAAAGTGAAAAATTTGAGTTTATCTCAGCTCATGGATGCGACAAACGAGAAACCAAATGTTTCAATATGATTCACGTGATGTAAATAAAAAGAGCGAAAAACTGCACAAACAGCTTGCGAGAATTTTATGACATAAATAGCAATAAGTTCATTGAATTTTGAAAAATGGCAAAAAATGTGCACTTGATGTGACTTCTTTTGCCAATTTTTTTTTCTTTACTCTTTCACAACCTGACAACACTGCGTATTTTGTTTTTTCTTTAATTTTGACTTTTAAAAAATTGTCGAGTGTATCGGGCGCAGCAGATTGAAATGAATTTCGCGCACAGTGCTGAGCGTACATGAGAAGACATATTTTTCCGTTTTGCAATACAACTTGTCATCATTAATTCAAGCTGGTTATATTTTTGGAAGATCCGTAATTTGTTGCGATTCATTATCTTTATGTGACTGAAGCTTTCTCATATTTTTTCACATTTATTTTTCTAAGGGGCGATGCGGTTAAAATAATTTACAGTCATCAGTGAACAAGGCATTCGGTTTAATGACGATAAGATTTTTCATAGCACGAACCCTCCCGAATCCATGAATGCTTTTAATTTCTTTTTGGTAATTTAAATGAAATTGCATGTAAGCGTGAGGAAAAAAATTCAGCTCATGAGGTTGCTTTTTATTTGCTTTACGATAAAATATATTGCAAAAGACTTCCGATGCTTGTCTTTCTTTTTATACTTCATGGGAATCATTTATAAATTGAGTGAAATAAACAGCGATTGTAACACTTTATTATACAACTCATTTTATTTTCGTGTTGTGCGTAAAAAGCCATTCATTGAGTTTCAAGTTTTGGCATCTAAATCAGTGACATTTTTTTAAAAATTGACCTTCGCTCTAAACAAACATCACAGCTTGTCTGAAGCTTACACGATAAATTGTTTTGATTTTAATTTCCATTCCAATTAACTACAAAAAGGTTTTCGACCCCAAAAACTAAAATAAAAAATTTACATTTTTTCGCGCTACTTTTATAATCAAAATTGTCGTTTTTTTGTTTTTTTTTTTGCGAAAGAACGCTTCGTATAGAGAAACATTTGTAAGTTGGTTAAATGATTGCGAATTTTGCATGTTTTACGTGCACGTAAAAGTGAATCACAATATTCGATTTCGCTTGTGACATTAATTTCTTTTGATTTCGGTCAAACTCTCACTTCGTTTGATTGATCATTCAATGCATGATTCAAAGAAGGCATGATTGGAGTTCTTTCTAGCATTTTATTTTATGCTGCGCCTATTAAATTAAATCATTGATAATGAAACTGGTGGTAATGCCCTATAGGGACAACAGAATAACTTGAATACTTCTAAGATAATTATCGTAATTTTCATTCAATTATCGAGAGAATCAGATTAAGTGGAAATATGAAGTACATAAAGAGCGAGGAAACGAAGTAAAGCTCTTCTCATGATGTTCATGATCTTTCTACTGCAACAAAAATAAATAAATACATCAACTCCATTCATTTAGACTGTTGATTGTAATTCGCAGAATTCTTTTCCTTACGACAATCTTAACCATCTGATTTTGTAATCATTCACAACATCCCGTCTGTAAGTTGACAATTTCATTAATTCAAGTCACAGTTATTGCGGAAAATTTAAATGTGACATTCGTGATTGTTTATTGATGTAAATGCATTTCAGAAAAGGCATCCAGAAAATATATACAATTAAGGGAAATGATTTAACATTAACAGTGGATATTTTCACTTCTTTTTCCTTTCAGAATAATTTAAACATCAAGCTGTTGATAATGAGAAGCATTTTGCGGCTGGAGAATTCTTCATTACAAATTCAAGTTAATAAACCATAAAAAATTGTAAATTATTCATCGTCATCAACTCAGTCGTCGCTCTGCTGGCAGTTCACTTAACACATTCGAATAAAAGTGAGTCAAGGAACATGCTTCAAATCTAACTAATCGTAGGGGGGTATAAAGACAGATTTTGTTCGATCAATTTATCATAATTTCATTGATGCTTTTTCTTCCTATGATGTGCTTCTTCAAATTGAATTCAATTAAAACGTTTGTGAGTTTTTGTGACTGATAAAATTTCCTCAAAAAAAAAACCGAACGAAAATTAAAACATAAAAAACTCGGAAAATCGATGATGACCTGAAAGAATCCCACACTCGTCATCCATCCAAAAACAGAATTAGATTTGTTATGAGGAAAAATAAGTGGAAATTATGAAGAAGAACGATTGACAACACTTGTCATATCGTGTATCAAATTCTATCACTTAAGCACATTACCACCCACATAAACATGTAATATTGATTTATTTTTATCATCAGCTTGCATCAGTCAGTGAAACGAAGACAAAAGATGCAGAATTAATCAAATCAATGATTGATAACTTGTTACAACATTGAATTCTTCAAGTACAGGCAAAACTTTTGATTGAAACTTCTTCTTTTTTCTAGTGTTTTGTTCGAAACTCTCGACGCGTCCCATTTACCTCAATTTTCAAGTATTAAATTGAAAAATTATTATTGCTATTGTTATTGCTATGTACTTTCATTTAATTCTACTTTATTGCAATTTTTCTTCTTCGTTTTTTATATTTTTTTAAGTAATTTATATTCTAGTCTTTTCCGCTTCTTTACTTCTTTACCCGCAGTCGTTTTGTATTCTTCAGCTCTGCTTTGTAAAGCGAGCTTTTTACTTTACATGCACAGTCAAGCATATTTACTGGGAAGCAGAAAAAAAAACATGAAAAGATGTGAATTGACTCCATGCATGTGTTGCATTTCTCCGTTGCTACTTTACTCTCTTTATCGTTTTATTGAATGCACATGCTGTTAGTATTCAAGAAAATTTAGAAGAAAAAAAGTTTTGTTTGTTCATTCTCTCTTCGCTTGCAGTTTGCATGCAAAATATTCAATGAATCGCGAATATGTTGATGATGACTCAGACGTGAGAGATTCAAGCAAATCATGTATGAAGTATCAAGCGATGGCATACAAAATAAAAATGAAAGTCGTCACAACCAAAACAAGAAGTTTAAACACTTGAGATGAAGAAAGAAAAAAAAAAGAGGCTGACATGAACAAGCGATCTTATGGAATAATTACACGAAAATATAAAAAAGTGAATTCAGAAATTTCGTAATATCAGAGACGAGGCTTGAAGTGAAATGTAAGACACAAGCAAAAATGTTTAAAAATACATTAACAGGCGCGCAAAAAAATATTGGGGTTATATAATGGGCCCTGTGAGACGAAATCAGGCAAAGAAAAAAGAAAGAAAAAAAAAGCAATTCAAGCTGTGTATGATTCCATTGTCTTGGAATTAAAATTTTGCGGTTTTTGTGGGTGCGCACTATGACAATTATTGTTGTAACAAGATGGGCCAACGTCAATGGGGAGAAGAAAGATACAAAAAGTTTTTATTGTGAGTTGGCATATTATTTAAATTCACGACATTAGTGTGCAAGTGTATAAAACGTCTTAATTTGTGTCACGTTTCATGCATGTTATTTAATTTGCCAAGAGAGATGTATAAATGAGAGAGAGGGAAAGAGACCTTCACCCATTCACCTCGCTCGGTCATTCCAATAAACGACGCTTTTTCAAAGGCGCCTTTTATTATTGTGGAAGAGAATAAACAATTTCCTTGATAATTACTCAATAAACAATTGCCATGTGATTAAGCATTTCACAACTATTTACTTATTTAAATACTGAGTCATAAAATTATGCAAAACTTTTGAGGAAATTCGCTGCTGCTTTAGGATTCTCAATTCTCATTAAATTAATTTAAAAAGAAAAAAAAGCGATGAGGCTCACGAATGGTTGACGCAACTTCAACTGTTTCAATTAACAACAGAACAATGTCCATTCTCACTAACCGCTGTTTAACTAAATCAATTGTAATAAAGCATAACTCATTTTTTTACGTCTCCATTGGACCACTTGTTATGCTTTTTTTGAAGCCGTTTTCCGAGTATTGTGAAAAATGAATGAAAATGAAAAAAGCTTTTTTCGTGGCTCATTTAAATTGTTGATTTGAAATTCTTTTTTTTTTTGTTGTTTTCATTGCTTAGCCTCTGCTGTGTTTTTCTAGGTGTTTAATGCTCCATTCAATGACTTTACATTGTTCCAAATTTCATCTGTTGCAATCTCCGAATACGGTTAATGGCGGGATGAATGAAATTATGAAATCAGAATATTTTCGATTTATTTATTATGATTTTGTTTCGTGTTTTAATTTTCTCTCTTTTTTTAGAAATTTAACCTTCTAATTGTTTACTTCAAAACTCCCTCCGAATTTTGCCGTGATAAGACCTCCAATGATTTTTAAGATTCCAAAATAAGTAACCACACGACACCTTCGTTAATCTTGACATTTTATGCATTTTAATCATTTTCAAAAAAAAATTAAGAAACTTACCAAAACACTCACATGTAAGCATACTTAATTGACTCTTCGTTCATCAAAGAGCCCTTTTTGAAGCAAATTCGTGTTTTGAATTATTTACTTGTTAATATGTGGAGACATATTGGATTAAGTGGAAGAACTTGAGTTGAAATTAAATGGAATTAAGATGAGAAGGAGAATCATGCGAAGGAAATGAATAAAATTATGCAATATTCATGAGAATGAAAGTGAATATAAAACGAAGGGATTAATTAATGTTCTTGAAGTGCAAAGGAGTGACTGAGATTTATATTCAACCCTTTTCATATTTAATTTAATGACTTTCTAAACGATGCACCTTTTGAAGTTTGGATAAAAATTCCCAGTTAATTTACAATGAAAGAAAAAAGTAATAAATAAAGGGATTGGGGTTAGCGATAAAACGTGAATAATTAAATTATATTCATGCTGGAATTGTCGCTTAAAAAACTATTCGCCGCTTATTAATTTTCCAATTTACTTCATTTCCGCGATCATAAAGTTAACGGCGCATGTGGAACGCTTCTCTAAATCAAAGTGCATTTCAAAAATTCTCAGGAAGGTTTTTTTATCGTGACTTTGGTCATAAAATTTAAATTTTATCGTTCACCGACCAACTCGCGTGATGGCAAAAGCAGTTGGCTTGCGTCGTAAAATGGAAACTTAAACTTGGTTTCTGGTCAGAATTCTTGGTTTATTCCTTTACAGCTCACTTGTCCTTGCAAGCTTCTTCCATCACTCGAAATATTCCCGTTATATCGTAAAACTCCTGTTACATAAGACAACAACAACAACAACATAAAGAAGAAGACGAAGGAGAAGAAGAAGAAGAAAACATTTCAATTCTTTTTGTATGTAGTTTCTTACTGTTTACTACTTCTTCGAGACCTTCTGCATTTACATGACCCAAATTCAACGGCATTTTTTGGCAAATAACTGTTAAATTGTAAAGTAGCTAAAACTAATACACCAATTGCCGCCTTCTTCTCTCTCACTTTTTGCTTTACTTTATTGCACAAAGCAATTTTGAATGGTTTTTCATTCGACTTGAAAAGAAAAGAAAAAATTTTTTTCGTTCATCTGAAGAATTGCACGGCTGTTCTGTTGAAAGTCATAAAAATGTTGCAATTACTTTTTTTTAAAAAAACTTTTATTGTGCTTTGTTTGTTTCCTCTCGCTTTTTGCCAACTTTTATTTAACTTCGTTTCATTTGGATGGAAGATAATTTTTCAAGATTTACTCAACAACGAAGCTGAACGATATTTAATCAAATGTCCCAAAAAAAGTGGAGAACGACACTCGAGAGATATCTCTTAAGTGTCTCAGCTGAAAAACGGAAGCAAGACATTTGCTTGTTTGCTCACATAAGACTTGTGTAGAAAATTTAATGAACTGAACGCTTTTTTCAGCTCAACGTTCGCGAGCACAAAAATATTTTCGTGTCGAGAAAGAAATTGCACAATGAACGTCTTCAGAAACATCAACAAAGTATTTCACTTCTTTTCCTCTTCTTTTATAGCTTGACATTTAATTTCATAATATCAATTTCGACTCATCGTTCATTAAGTAAAATATTTTTAGGTCTTAAACTGAAGTGATGTGCTTGGACACGTCAACTTCCCGAAGGAAAGTCATGTTGTGTTTTGAAACATTTGACCAATAACTTTGCGCAATATTTTTGAGTTATTAAAGACATAAAATTATCCATTTCATTAAGAAACGTGAGATTTGGACGTGAAAACGAGTTGAAATTTTTCTTCTTACTTTAATTCTTTTCCGAACGATTACTCAGATTTGTTGACGCCAAGGCGACTTGTTTTTAAAGATATTTTTAAAAATGTTGGAGAAGAACACATTCTCGCACTCTCTATTGATAACTTTTTTACGCCTTTTCGTTTATGTTGTAATAATCTTTTAAAATATTTCAAATTCTATTTTCCGATTTTCCCTCCGACATATTTTATTTTCTGTTTTCTCATTTTTCATTTAATAAATTGTAAGCATCGGCAACATCGATGCAAAATAAAAAACAACAAGAGTGACTAGAAAAAATCTTTTCTTCTTTTTTTTTATTTTATTTTTCAACTGCTACGAGACGACCTTGTCCTGAATTGTGGCTCAGCGCTTTGCCAAGCTTTTAAAGTGTAAACTTATACGAGTTCACTGAAAGTTAATTTTTTACCATTTTCGTAAGAGTCGATAAAACTTTTCCATGATCGTCGGACAAATGCGAAAGACAAGAAGAGTTAAGAGTCTTGAGCTTAACAAGTCGATTTCATATTTCGTGTGTGGGTTCGACAGTGACTGAATGACTGACTAACTGACGACTGCATGTGATGTAATAATTGAACTTCCTCTCTCGTGGAAGCAAGTCAATATTTTTAAGTATCAATTTATTGCATTGCGATGATGATGATCGCCCATCGTAAATGGTACATGTGCAATTGTTTCCAATGAAATTTATTGAGCTTACATCGCAATGTTATAAAAAGTAGAATTTTATTGTTATTATTATCATCCAGTCATATCTTAAGATTTTATTTTATGTTATTGTTGTGAATCATAAAATGGAGAAATTCATGCTAAAATGTAAGTGAACATTTTATGACGAACAATCATAAGGAAATCTAAATAAAGCATCTGATAGCTTGTAAATAGATATTCTGCTAGGTGGAAGTGTCAAGTTTTTGTCTATTTATATTTATCTTCGTACTAAATTGTTATGGCTAGTTGACTTTGTACTTATTGTTAAGACTGATGCACGTGCTTATGTATTTCAAGGTAATTGCATAATATTTCGTTTTATATTGAAAGTTAATTTTTGGAGTTTCACTTTACAGTTGATTTGCTTTTCCTAATTCGGCTTCGACAATTAATTGTTGTGCAAATATTGAGCGTATTTAATTGAGTTTCTTATTTTTCATTCCATCACTCAAATATTGCTTTTAATTTGCCGTTCAACAGATCAATTTGTTTTGATTTCTGAAGCGATGTTCATTTATCAATCTTATCAAAAAATTACTGTAAGTAGCAAAACATTTGATGTTGTGAAGATTCATCACGAAAATAAATAAAAATGCTTCAAGAAGGAAGTTAGAAATCTAAATTCGATCATGACCTGACATAACAAAAATTTATTAACTTTTTATTGGCTTTTTCTCAACCTCATTCGAAACGCATTTTTCAATTGATGACTTTTGAGAAGAAGAAAATGTTCGTGAACATGTCGCAAATAAACCCACGTAGATATTACGAGCGGAAGAAGAAACATAACATCAGAATCTCATGAGTTGACTTCCTCTTTTCATACGTAAAACTCTTTATCTCTTCTTTGGCTTACGGAAATATTCTTCTTCTTAATGATTATTTTCACGTAATATAGATTTTTCTTTTCCGTTCTGCTCTTGTCTTCTTACTTTTTATGACTCTGATGTTTCATGCTTTTATTTCTTTTCCTTCTTTCTTCATGAGGAAATACATTACGCACATGCCTAAGCTCATAACAAGAAGGCATAAAGTCTGTGATCATAAAACTGAAGACTTGTTACCTGTTGCTGCCTGAAGCGCATTTTATTATATTTCTCTTTTCATCCACTTCTAGAAAACAATCTTAAAGATTTCTATCATTGACATTGGAAGTTAAATTAATGTGCAACAACGATTCAAAGATGTCGAGAAGTAGCAAACAATGAAGTGGAGTTGCAAGCAGCAGTTCGAAAATGATTATTATTTTCAATTTAGTTCTCTAGCTCAATTACAAACCACAAAATTAAATTATCTCGCGAAAAGCGGCTCTCCAACACTCTCGCATACCGCTTCATGTGAAATCAGAAATTTACTTTGAATGCGTCTAGATTTCTCTAAACATTTGTGAAAATTTTTCAAACTTAAAGAGACGGTGAAAGAAAGAGTTTTGTTTTGTTTTTTTTTTGTTCGGAAAACTAACTGTAAAGTGCATTCATTGCATTTCTTACCAAAGTTTCCAATGTGCACGCAACACAAGCTTTGAAAAGTGAAATATCTTTTTTCATGCTCTATTTGTAGCACACCAAGCAAGGAAGACAATCGAAATCGTTTCTAAAAGATCAGATCCAATTCGCAAAAGAAGAGACAAGAAGAGGAAACCACAAGAAAGTCTTGAATGATATAACAGAGATTAAATCTCTGAAGATGCTAAACATAACAACGCATGGGTAGATTTTTAAGAAAGACATCCTTTAGATGACGGGAGACGCTTGCGGTTTTCTATTGTCAAATAATATTCCACTTCGAATAGAGATTTTAAGTGTATGTCGGAGGTGGGATAAGATTTGAAGGAATATCAAATTTCATTTTGAGACATTAAGTTGTTCAAAAGAAGAAATTCTACGGGTTAATTTCTTGAGGTGTGTGAGCGAGAGTGAAATGGAAGATGAGACACTCAACCAAAATCTGTCGTCTACGATAACAGAAATTCGCTACAAATGCTTAAGAAATTGTTCAACGAAGCATCAAAGTTAATTGCATGAAATTAAGTTTTCAAATTTATAAAAAGAAAAGATCAAGTGAAGGTCATATCTACATTCAAAATGATTCTTTCTCTGTGCCCAGCTGAAAGATTTTCTTCATTATGTACTGAGCGCATGCCATTGAATCTTTATTTGCATGATGATAATCCTACATTCTATACACCTTCTTTCTGCACCAGCTCTCTCTCTTTCGCGAATTTTATATGAAGAAAAGAAGCAACGACGTTCCACTTTTCGCCAAATCGCACAAACATTATCATTTAATTTAATTTATTTTAACGAGAGTTGATTCTTCAGTAAATACAAAAGGAACACGTCCGATGATGTTGCTTACTTTTCACTCAAATGATTATGGTTATGAATATATGTGGATAAAGAACTTATGACGAGATCAACTCACAAAATACCGTAAGCATGCAAATAAAGAAAATGCAGATTTTTCACAGCAATGACGAGTCTTGAAATCAATACAGACACTTAGTAATAAAATTTCAATAAAGTCATTTCAATTGTTAATGATTTCGCGAGACACTAAACTGTTGTTAAAGATGTTTAAGAGACTCTTAAATGATGGGTAACAAGATGGAAAATTTGAATAACAAAACTTTAGTTGAACAGTTTCTTTCGGTAGCTGAGAAATGTAAATTTTTCTTAACCAAAATCAACAAGAAAAAAAAGAGAAGAAAAAAATTCACGGAAAAAACGGTGAAGAAAATAAAACTAATAAATAATGTTAAATTATTTGAAACGTTCGTCAGTCTTGATGTAGCTTGAATGATACATAGATGGGATGGTGGAATGAGTAAGTATGGAGGCGAGAGTCTTTTGTAGAAGTAACGATAGTGACGACGTGAATTCGCAAAAATGTTCTTGAGAAACTTCAATGTAAAACGATTTGAAGCGTCGGGGGAGTAAACACAGCTAAAATGTAAAATTTTTTTGCTTGCCTTTCCTTCTTAGATATTTTCGCACAGAAAATGTTTTGAGTTCTTTGAAATCAAAATTCTTTTTCTTTTGTTTATTCACGCCCCCCTTAAACTATGATTGAGGCCTTGAACTTGAGACAAATTTTTGTGAGTTTGTTATTTTTTCATGTGTTATTTTTACATAAACATCATCATCAAGCGGGAGATTTATTCCATCTGTGCACGTTAAAGGCTTTGCATTCGAAATTTTTTGATGAATTATAGTTTGGAGAACATGAGCCGTTTAATGGATTGGAATTATATGCTGTGAAGCTAATGTTTTAAGTATTTTCGTTTCTACTTATTTCGGAATTTAAAGTGCAGTTAGACTGGCAACAGAAACATATTTATATTTATTCTTTGATACATGTCCATTGAATTTATTTACCGCAAAAATAACCGGAATTGATTTATATACATTTCCACACTCACTTTGTGGATATGTTTGCAGTGCTTTACTTGTATTGTGATGAGCTATGAGCGTTCGTACAGGTAAAAGTACTTACATACGAGTGTTCTTGTTTTTGCTTAATGTTTTGTTTACGGTTAATATGTGTTAATTAAGAGCAGAAACAGATATTTAGCCAGATAAATAAACAAGAATATTATCGAAAACAAAGTCTCTTAATTACCCAAAAATAAATTCGATCACACTTTCTGTTTGCATTTAATTATCAGCATATGAGTTAAGCTGTGGAGCAAAGTTCTTTGCGATAACTCGTCTGATGCTTAATTTTATATAGCAAATTTTCTAATTTTAGAATTTTTAAGATCAAAACAAAAATGTTGTTTGACATTTCCCTATGACTTTGAATGGGATTTCTGGAAGTTTTATAAATAAAACAAAAAGTTGTATGTACGACATTTTAACTTATATTCTCATTAAAATAAAACTTTCTAAATTAGAAAAACTTATTTGAGGAAATTTAGTTGGGAATATTCAATATTGTGAGTCAACATAATTTAGTTAGTAAGTTTGGGTATTTTTTTGCAATTATATGCTGCTCGTGATTTATTTCTAGGCTTATGTGTCAATTGTCGATTCAAATAAATGATTGATTATCTATCGAAATCAATAAAATTTATTAACTTCCCATAAACAAGTAAATTCACTTTTATTAAGAACAATCTTACGTAACGTCTTCTATGATGCATGACAATTTAATTTATTAAAAATTAGCAACATTCTTACGTCATTTTCATTTAATTTTGAATATTCAAATTCTTTCAAATGTATTAAAATATCAAAATGAACATTTAGATAATTGACAGAAGAAAACATCAATGAGAAGAAAATGAAGTAAAGTAAAATTCTGACCTCATTTTCACTTTGTTGTCGTTTTAGCATTTTCAATTTCAATATAAAATCAATAGATAATTACATAGTCGCTCGTCAGTTATTCTGTTAATGAAAGGTGACACTCACAGGCTGATTTATGTTTAAATTTCGATGTTTTACTGGTTTCCAAAATAAAAAAGTTCCGATTGATTATTAAAAAGAAATCAATTGTTGATGAGAGAGAAATGAGGCCTCGAGGAAGTGAGAAAAGAAGTTCAATAATTTAATGTCGTCAGAACTTTATATTATTTTTCCCCTAGCTGAAACTCATGCATTGTTTGAGTATCAATAAGCCTTTTAAAAGCAAATATGAAACAGAGATCGAACGTCGTCAAAAGGAAGAAAACAATTTTGTTTTCTTTCTTTTCCTATTGATTTCATGAGAATTAGGTCATCAAAGGTTCTTTTTTCAATCTTTCAATCTTAAATCAAACTCACAGTAACGTTTCATGAGACTTTTCTTGTAAGCTCGACCTTCGTTGCCACGTCCCTCGTCGCCTAAGCCTGTGGAGTCATCTGAATCTGTACCGGAATCAGTTCTTCCTCGATGCTTTTTTGAGCCCATTGAAAGATCTAGCGGTGCATCATCGTCAGCTTCTGCTTCTTCATTCGATTCTGCTTTAAGCATAATCAAGCATCTTTTCTCATCCTTCTCAACTTTCACATCGCGATGATAATTCATCAGTATTTGTGGTCTGATAACATGTTCAACATGCTCCAACGACATTCGTCGCCTTTCATGACTCGTGCGTAAATCTTCTTCACTTACAGAACGCTTAATTAGGTGATGTTCAGATTGTGACTTCAAATAGCTTATATATGTGGGTGAATGTGATCGAATTGGTGACGTAGAACGTGACAAGGATCGCCTTCTCACCGATTTAAGATCTTCTATTGATTCTCTTCGATGAGAAATTTCTCCTGGACTTAAAGAACGTTTTAAACGACTTTCATTGCTTTGCGAACTCCCAAAGTGTTGGGAAATGTGCTGATATGCCAACATTTTTATATTTCTCGTATTTCTTCGTTTTCTTACGACTCGTTACTTCTTTTACAATCACAATTGATTAAGTGACAAATTGTTATTTTAACTAAAGTTTGCAGTCACGGACATTTTCGTCCGGCACATTGATCTAGTTTTGCACTTGCACTTTTTTTATTTATTTAAAAATGGATTATGTAATTTTAAAGTTACGTTATATTTTTTTTGATTTACTTTACATGAATTATTTATACGACTTTAACTTTTTTTCTTTTTTTTAAGTTTTTCGAGACTGAATTTCAGTTCAATCGTTCTTCTTATCGCTCGTGTGCCGCTTAAAGGCACTTTTACTTTTTCATTCCAAACATGTTCCTTTTGCGCTACTCACTCTTATTTTTTTTTCTTATCGTCGTTTAACCCTGAGATTCAATTTACGGATAATTTAAACAGAAGAATTTTCTTTTCCTTTTTTGTCGTTTTCACAGAATAACTTGGAAAAGAATCGGAAATCTTAACTTCTTTCTTTAACGTTAATAATCAATTTTATTATATATTATATGTGTCCCTTCTTTTCCTGATTTCCTAAATTGAAATGTTTAATAAATTTGTCGTTTCACCTCACAGGTTTAGAATTAAGAGTCGAGGAAAGTTGCACTTTTCACTTTCATTTGTTCTATTTATGACGCAGTGTTATTTACTTTTTTCTGAAGCGTCTGTTTGTTTTGTCTGGTTATGGAAATGTTTTCGATATCTTAACTTTTCATGTAATTGCAATTTTATTTTTCTTCTTAAATATCGATTTTTGTTTACTTCTCTCATTCACAATTTGTTTGAACTAAATTCACTTCTTTTTTCTCGTCGGAGGACGAAAAATTGTCTAATTAAAAGTTTTTATTGAGGTAGTAGTTTTTGTGTATTTAATCAGTTATTACGCAATTAAACTGTTTTTTTCTCAACACCTTGCTAAATATATTCTTCTTTTTTTATGATAAACTTTTATTTTTGTTTCTCTTACTTAAAGCTTCCGAACAGCACGAAACAATTGTTGTCTCTAAAAATTGTCACTTCTGTGTGTCGAAATTAATTCGAGAAGTGTTTCGTCACTTCTCCTTTCACGGAAAATGTGTCTTAATCAGCACACACTATTTCCACATAGAAGAAATATCAGCAAACAATATAGAAGACGTGCCTGCTGACTTTGTCTCGTGCTTTCGTAGTGATAATGATAGAAATAAAATTTATTTTTATTTTCTTTTGTGTAACAAGAAAAATTGTTCTATAATTTTTTGTAAACTCAACAAGAATTGAACTGTCTTTGCATAAACGTTTTTCTCTTCACAAGAAATTGTATTTTCATATATAAGTTTATTATAGAATTTATTTATTTATTTAATTTTTTATTTTTTTGTTGGTGACGAAAAAAAATGAAACGCGTGTTTCCACTCTCCGTACTTGTTTCGGAATGAATCGAGTGAATACAAGAATGAAAATTTGTACCGACCTTCCTCTACTTTTTCTACATACACCCAAAGAGACGCGAATCTAAAGTAGTAAACACAAATGCACAACGTGTTGATACTCTGATGTAAAAAGTTATATGCACACAAGTCAACTCACACTAATGCTATAAGATTCTCATACGATTCATGCTGGCAATATGAAACCGCTTGAAGACTCCTCAACACATTCGCAATCAAATATGTAGAGGAATTTCTGACTTCTTTCTACACACTAACATTATCACACGATGTTCGCTATTCATAAAAAATCTTGTCGGTACCAAGCAAAAAAACAACAACACAATGTTATTCAATTGATTTCGTTTTCATTCGAGACTTATGGTGCTTGTTAAATGTATTTAAACGGAACTTCAATACATTCGTAAACTTAACATATCCAGCAGTCAGACGGTTTCAAACACATGCAAAAGTTTACATTGAGAGTCTCGAGAATTTTTAATCAGATGTTTCCGAAAAAAAAAACACTAAAAGCTGGAAATTGTTTCATCGTAAAATTGTGTGTGTGTTTGTGTAATATGAAAGAGAGAGAGAGAGAGAAGTGAATACGATTTTTCATCGAGGAATCGTGTGCTTGAAACTTTTTTCTTGTGCATTAAAGAGCAGGATGAGAAGGAAAATTACGAACGAACCTCACGAGACAAAGTGAAGGACGATGTGCGGGGGTTGGTGGCTGATGGAGAGGAGGTGACGGTTTAAATTTCCTTTCGGTTTTTCCACACGAAACTGAAACTGAAAAGCTTTCCCTCTTAGGTATGAGACCAAGTTGAACACATTTGGCTGTAGAAATGGAAAGCACCAATGATTATGATGGTGATAAGCGTTCTATGAAAATGTAGTTTTGTTGTGTGTGGGGGGTAGACGATAGCTGCCAAACTATCGTTCCGTCTCTCTACTGGATTTTTTTCTCTACTTGACAAATTATAAAATTATGGAAATTCTATTCGAACTACTCATTTCATGCATAACTTTCTTCGTTAAATCGTTTTTTTTTTCCTTTCAAGAAAATAGGAGTAAACATTCAAATTCTTTGAGAAGAATAAAATTTTCATTTTCAGGAATATTTCCACAGGGTAATGAATTAATGAAGCAAAGAAGAATTTTTCCAATGATGAATACTTTAAGTTTTTCTTTATTTATTGAGTTCGTCGAAAGCAACAAATCGCCTTCACGACTTTGTATTTTCATCGCCCACGTGAGCAATTAATAAATTCGTCAAAACAAACTGAAAACAGTTAAAAATTTCCTTCCAGTAAAATTCTTCAATAAATATTTTGCGGCAACTTTATAAGGCAGAAAATAAATGAAAAGTCATAAACACCACGGAGTTGTTAAGAACTGTATGAATGAACGTGTTGTTTGGTCGTTCGTCGTGAACTAGTTCGAAGGGCTCCCTGACGTGTTTGTTTACAAAAGCTTTTCGTGATGAAAATGTATCAACTTAACACATTTGTGTAACGCTCACCCGCTACCATTCAAATAGAACGAGACTTTTTTTTTGCATCCTGTAACCTTTTATGAAATGCTCACCTGAAACGAGAAAAAAGTGAAGAAAATCGATAAGTAAAAAAACAAGAAGTTAAATAAAAAATGTATAATTAACTATGTCCGCAAGTAAACGACAGAAGAGTTGTTCAAGTTCTACCGCAGTGCCTATGCTTGTTGATTTTATGTTCATATTGCATACACATAAAAAAGATGCAGCATAAAAATTATATGGCAAATCTTCATGACTTCAGTTCATTTTGTGTTTTCTTTCTCACATCTTTGACTTATTTCTGTTTCATTGTAAACAAGTTTTAAGATTGCGAAGTTGCTTCGCATCATTCTTTAGAAATAGAAAATAAAGTAAAAAAGAAACGAAAGGAAAAGCAGAGAAGAATCTCGGCAAACCAGATGATCATCAACGTCAATAAATACACGCAAATTTATTTACGCGTGGAGAAGAAAGGAAAGGAAAATCAACCGCAATTTTTTTTTCTGTGCAATGTCATGAAGCATAAGAAAGGAAAAATGAAATCAAATTGTCTCGTCTTGCTTCTATTTTGCTTTTTATCGTTTCTAATTATGGCCACCATGTTCTCAACATCAAATGCGATAAGAGAGTGAAAATGCAGACAAGCATTAGAAAGTAATTTTTTGTGTCTCTTACTTTCAATTCTGCAAATGGAATCCATCATGCTTTCGATTTCGATTGCTTATGCGTTTTGCGGTTGATAATGATGGTGATTATGTGGTTTTAAATGAGGTCTCATTCGAGAAGAGAAAAGAAAAAGAATCTCACAGCCATTTAACTTCGATTGCATCATTATTCTTGAGAAATTGAAACAATTGATTGATTTCTTTTCACTCTTTATCGACAACACAACGGCGGACACACGACTCGCATTCGCCACCCACATAAAAACATGCATTAACCAACATCATTACGCATTTGTTGTCGATTCATTATTGTTTCGTTTATTCGATTTTAAAAGCTTCTATGGCAATAAGTGAGGCGAATACAAAACTTCGAATTCCATTTCTAGGTCTAGGCTGTATAAATTAAAAGTCATCAAGGGGCAAATCATGAATTAGGATCGATTGCTGTCGGTGACTTTAAAAATTTACACCGTCAAATTGTTTACTTATTTCAGAGAGTAATTTAATGTTTAATCCATCGTGAATATCCCCTTAAAAATTTAAATGTTTTTTAAATGTTTAAAACAAAATTGTTAAAAAAAAGCCTAAAAATTTAAAAAACCACTATAATCAACACAAACGCTAATGTGACGAATTGATAATCAATTTTTGGTTGTAAACTATAGTAAATCTTTTTCTTCAGTTTCCGGTACAATAAAGAACATTGACATGTAACGTGTAATTGATAGACCTTTGGTTGTTGTAATGATCTATGACAGAGGTTAGCCAGTGAGAGCTTACAGATGAAAACAAAGGAAATTGTCACTTTAAATGAGATCACTGCAACAATAAGTTTGTGAATTGCATTTCTAAGCAATGTGCAGTCAAACACTTACATATAAGATTCATTCAACTACACTTTTTAAGCCACCTTGACCGACAATTCAATCATTTTTTTTTTCTAAATCTAAAAATATATTAAAGCTAATAGACACTGACTTCACTTAGACTGCTTAGACTGCACACTCATATGTGTATTCATCAGAAATGTGCAATTAAAACGTTTAACGAGAGATGAATTATGTGAAGCAAGTTCTATCATTAAAAAGCGATATTTCTTACGACAGTGAGAGTGAGAAGTGATAATTAATTCTTATGTCCTGTCCAATATCATAGTTAAATATTTAAATATGACATGAATGGTCGTATTGTTGAAAGAAGGAGATTTCTCGCTACTTAAGAATCCATAAACCAATCGCATAAATAAAGTTTCAGTGAGTTCTTCATCTTTGAACGACTAACGCGTAACTATATGCGTGAAATATACACAAAAAAATATGAAAGGAACGTATTCAAGACACAAACATAATAACCTAGCGACTAAAGCGAGATATAAATAGGTCATTTACATTCTAGAATATTGCAATATTTGCATTTTTAATAAATTCATATAATTTTATGGTAGATATATTGCGAACAATTTTTTTTTCTCTGTGAAACTAAGTATGTAATACGTACGTGCATGTATGACATTCTAAATAATATTTTCAACCTAAAAGATGACAAAACATCACTGACGTTTAATCTTCAGTTTGATATATTCAAAAGAATGCATTTTCTTATAAGAAACTAAATATTTCTGTCTTGTTAACAGAAAAAAAATTCACGATAGACGTGCTTAGATTGCATCGCGATTTTGAATGATATTTTTGTGTTTGAAAATATTTGAAATTGTAGTGTGTGATGTCAGTTGTAAACTATCATGAACTGTAGAGAGACATTGGCGTGAATGACATTGAAAGTTGTTTGTTTGAGCGTTCTCTTGAAACTTTTAATTAGAGGAAAAAACGTCAGAAAATCTTCCTGAATGAGTTTTACGAGCTTCATTAACAGTTTTCTAGAACACATAAACATTTCTTCTCGTCATTTACATGTAAGCTCTTAGCAACCTAACAAATGTCTCAATTTCACCGCACAAGCTCACATCCTACCTATATTCAGTTCAATGAATCGTTACGTCTTTGCAATCTAATAAAAACGATTCACTTGAATGTTTTCCTTAAAAGTACATTAAACTTTTTGGAATTTCAATTCTTAAGATTGCAACCGATTAAAAGAAACCTTTTTTAGTTTTCGTATCATTTTAATGGTAAGCCAAACTGAAAGAATCTAAATTCAATTGATGAAGAATCTCCTTAAATTGACTTCCATTAATTGCTCCAATTTAATTTATAAATAAGTTTTACAACAGATCATTCACTTTCATCACGACGATCTTTGTAAATCGACTCTCAACATTTCGAAGTGTGAAAGAACAATCTAATTTTAAATGGAGTCAGCATTAATGTGTTTTACGATCATTGAAGTGCAATTTTAATTCTCATGCTGACTTTTTAATGCAATTTTATTTTCGTAAGTAGTTGAATATTTACGTGAAAAGCAAAGATCAACATTGAAAACAAAAGAAAAAAAACCTTTTAAACTTGTCAGAATGAAATTAGTCACATGCAGTTTGACAAACTATGACTTGAAAATACTCGTCATCACACAAATGAACAAAAAAAATTGTGCAACAATAATTCAACAACGAATTTTCGTTCATGTAACTCATGTTCCACTTTCGGTTTCAGTTACAGACTGGGAATTGTCTCAAATAGCTCGTTCTGAAAGCTCGATAATTTTCTTCCTTCCTTTTTTTCTTCTTTTAAATAAATTATTAGAAATTTTTCTCTTTGCACTGTAAACATCGTAACATGAGCAGCGAAAACGTCAAAAGAAACATAAGCACCTCATATTAAAAATGCTTCTTTCATGACGATCTTCTCTTCACTGGGTCAGTGCGTTTCATCATTTGAAACATTAAAAATGATATTTTCCTTCTTCTTCATTTTCCACCACAAGAAAACGTGAAAAATCTTAATGCAATGTGGTTTTTAAATTTTTTTTCCTTCTTTCTTTTAATTAAAAGAAAATAAAAAAAATGTCGTGAATAATTTTTCATGTCTACAAAGTATCATAAATTATTAGGAAAACATTTTATGGGCAGCGCCCTACATTTCTCAATTGCGCGCGCGATAATCGTCTTGTGGACTTATTCCTGGTAGTAAAATCAGCTCATCCACGAACGTTTCAATCAAAAGTGTGAAAGGCAAGCTGTTACATCTTAGCATTCAAAAGATTTCGTTTTTTCTATCATGAAGATATTTTCGTTCACACTCTAAATTTATTTTCATCTGGATCGAATTGCGCAACAAAAATTCTCTTTTGAATCTTTTGGTTCGCTATCTAAAAGTGACAATTTTGTTTTTACGGGATGGAAAATTGGGACAGCATTTTGGAGTCAATAGACTTTCCACTTTTTCTCATGCAATTGTTGATTTGACTTGAATTCCTTCATGAACATTTGCTAGAGTTTATTGAACGGGTATCAAGACGTGAAACGAGATGAAGAAATGGGAATGAAATCATAGGTTCCCGGGTGCTCGCACAGCAATTTTGAAAGAATAAAAAAGAAAAGAAGGAAAAACGTTTGCGATGAATGCAAAATTTTTGTGATCGAAAGAAAATTTTCCGCTTCGAAATGGAAATTTCGCTTACAGAATTTATAAATAGCGTTCATTTCGCATTGATGTTATACAATCTCCTTTCATCAAACGATGAATTACTGATGATTCCAGTAATTTGAAACACATGATCAACGGTCTTCTCTACTGACAAAGCGAGAGAAACAAGAAAAACTTCTGACACTGTATCGCTTACATGATGCATCTTTAAAATATTCTTAAGCTAAATGCAAGGTGACCTCTAATCAAGAGTCAATCTTCATCCAAAACAACGCAAAATTATCTTTATTTACGATTCTTCAAATAAACTGCTAAATAAAATTCAGCATTTCGATGTTCGCATCTCAGCAAATTTGTCATTTGCAATTTCCTCGCTTTAATTATTATTACTGTCGAATTTCTGTTGCCAAAAAAGTCGAAAGAAAAAATGCGATTTCTCCTTCGCATACACATTTTTTTGCGCTTCTTCAAAATTTCCTTCAAAATTAAGAAGATGAGAAGCACAAGAAAAAAAAACAATTTTATAATCTCGGCCTCTACATGTGTGCGATGACAGTGTGAGGCAAAAAGTGCAGCGAACGATTTCAAGGCTTTTTAAATATGAAAAAAAATTGTATTCAAATATGTATTGCAATACTTTTTTTTCTTACGAATGGGAGTCAAACAGCAGATTCTCACCAATACCTACGATCGTCAGTGATTTTTTTCTTTCATTTTTAATGCGACTTCTTTCCTATTTATTCTTATTCTCTCTCTCTTTAGCCCTTCGTCATTCTTTACTTACATAAATGAATGTTTATGCTCCTTGGTCAATTACGAAAGAAGCTTCTGAATATCCTAAAACATTTCAATATTTTGAGACCATTCAAGCTTCTAAAAATCATCACAGTTCTAGGAAAAGATTGCAATAAAATGTGAGTTGAATTACCCGAGCGGCACAACTGCTCCGCATGCGAAGCTATAGGTTTCCTTTAGCGGATTTCGTCTAGCATTTCCATACGGCATTTGCACGAAAAATCCGCTAAAGTCTCCTTGTAGGAAAATTCACGTGTGAATTTTCCTACAAGGTTCCTACACGCACCTATTATCGTCACCACACGAACTGCTATAGGAAAAACTGATTCCGCATAGCAGTTTTTTGTGGCAGCGTTTATATATGAAAGTTCTGAAGCTTCGTAATTAATTTTTTTTTGCTTATTAAAGCTATAATTAAGTTTTAAAATTGAAATTCAAATTAAAAAAATCATAAAATAAATTATAGCAACTTATTTATAGCGTTTTTTCGTTTTTTAATTTTCATCAGTTTTCTCCAGTCTCGAACCCGCATCGTCTGTTTCATTCTCCAACTCCTATTCCTCTAAGCCAAATCGTCTTATGTATAAATTTGGCAAATGTTAAATTTTAATTTTTATNAATTTTTATTAAATTATATTATAAATTTTTTTATGTTTTTCAATAACATTATATTAATTTAATTAAGGTATTCATTGAATGATATTTCTTCTTTTTGAATACAATTTCCTTTTTTTATTTTCCCTTGTAAAAATTTCAAACGTGAAACATACTTGAAAGTCTAACTAAGTGCTGACTTTAAAAACCGGCATATTACGAACTTATCAAGTAATTTCAAATTGATTTGAATTTCTTCCTCTAGAAAGTCATGAGCTAAACTTCACGGAATTTCTTTACAATTGCCTTGAAAGTTTAGCACATGGCAATCTTAAGAAGAGAATATGAGGAAATTTTAAAAATCGATTTCATTTTCATCATATGCCAACCTTTAAACAAGATTGTGCAAAATTGCTTCCCATTTGACTGAAAAAGCAAGCCGATGGTGAAAATGAAATTGCAATCTCCGCTTGTGCCGCTCGGGTTAAAGAATCGAGAACTCCGACCAACGTAAAATGTTGTTATATTTAAGACGAAATAAATAAAAAACTTCACAATGTGGAATTTCCTGGATCAAAGAATATCAAGTTTAGTTTGACTCGCAAATTCTTTATGTTGATTATTAACATTCATTTGTCATTATCATAAAGAATTCTTCAATCGTTTCATATTTCTGGGAAGTCTATAAAAGTGCAACATCACAAATAATATTTCCTGAATCAAATGTCAAGGAATGTGAAAACTTCTACACAAACTTATCATCAATGCAAACATTCGCAAATGTGAAAAGTAAAATAAAATGAAATTAAATAAGATGCCTTTACCTAATCTGATAGCGTTAGCTGTTTATTTATATTCTATTCCGTCATTTTAAAATATTTATTTAATTTGCTTTCGATAGACCTGTTCAGAGGAAAACGGAATAAATAGAAGTTTTTGAACTTGACACAGATATTAACTTGTTTCGATTTCTGCTGAATCAAAGTGTCATATTGCCTCTGATGTTGCATCTAATTACGCGATTCATTTAACGACATTAAAAACAATTTCAAAGTCATTGAAAATGAAAATATATTTGAGTAGTAAACATTGCGAGTAAATGAAATATAAACTGCGAATAAAACCGGAAAAGCTTTTGTCTGAATTAATGAGTGTTTCCAGAATCATAAATGAACAGACTGAAATAGGTCAACTGTCATTCAATCGTTTCTCTTCAACTATTTCTCATAACGAATGAAACGAAAGTTGGAAGATTCATATGCTGATAATTCATGACATGTAGAAAAACTCAACTAGGGTGAAAAATGTAGATTCGAAAGAAAACAAGCTTTTTCTTCCAATTCACAACTTTAGCTACTTATAATTTCGCTCTTGTTTTGTTTTGAACACTGGAACTTACACCAAAAGAAAGCTTATTTAATGCACTTTCTTGCTGTATTTTTTTCATTTTAAAAAACGTTAATTAAATAAACTAAAATTATTAAAATTAAGAGCTATGTTTTTAAATGNCATTCAATCGTTTCTCTTCAACTATTTCTCATAACGAATGAAACGAAAGTTGGAAGATTCATATGCTGATAATTCATGACATGTAGGAAAACTCAACTAATTTAAGAAAAATAAAATTAAAATTCTTGAAAACGCAAGCAAACATAATTGAAATCGATTTAGTTCGTCTCGATGAAACAATCGTTGCACAAAAATGTTTTTCGTTTTCACTTTCTGATAAGAAATCTTTCACATTATGTGCACTTATGGAATTTTTCTTTCTTCTTTCGCAATATTTACTGATTTTGATTTCATTTCTTGGTAAGACATTGAAAGCATGCGCACGCACTACCGCTTATGTTTAATTACAGATGTAATTGGATCAGAAATCTTTTTTTTCTCTTTACTACTTATGTATGCAATGCTTATGCTATAAATAATTTCTCTCTACTTTCCGCTCAACGAAAGTGAAGAAAATCTTGCAGAATTTTCCATCAAAAATGCAACTCACATTTCTTTTCTTTCTTTCTAAACTGCTAGATAATTTTTTTATATTATTAAGTATGGAGTTGTTGATGTTTACAAATATTTTCATTACTTTAGAAAACTTTGACTTGCTAGACATGATGCGTGAGATTTTTTTCTTCTGTGCGTTTAATTACAGAAGAGATTGAATCATCATCGATCATTCACTTTCGCATGATTTTATTTTCTAAGAATTTCACTTTTCCAAAATAAATAAATAAGCAACGAGAAATTTCACAAATTTTCCTTCACCCACGAAGTTATCAAATACTCAACATGAATATTTTATTATTATTTATTATCATTCGATAATTTTTCGTTGATAAATTTTCACAAGGAAAAAGTTTTTCAGCACTCATAATGAGAGACGAGAATCATGAAATATTTATTATTAAAATATGATTTCACATTGAAAGTTCACCGACAAGAGTCAAGGAGAAAAATCTAAGTAATTTATGGAATATTTAAAAGCAACAACATCGAGTTGTAATTTACATAAATGCATAATTGCCAGGGGAACAAATTAGTTAAATATTAGTCGCTTACGCACAATGCTTTGTATTAAAACTCACAAAGTTAGTGAATGTTTTTGAGAGGGAATGAGATGACAAATTCAGGCCAACATGATCTTGACTTAACGACGATCACAACAATAACATAAAAAGTTAGCAGAATGACTCTCAAAAGTGTTTTTAGTAACTTTTAAGTCACAACAATTTATAGCCGTCGTCGCCATCATCATCATCATCATTTTCGTCTCTTCATTTGATGTTAATTCTCATTAACTCATTGTGACAGGCTAAAAAATATGCTGAAAACTTTTCAGACTTCAAAGAAATTTCCATGTCATGTCTAGCTGTGCGCTCATCCTCCTCAAACTCCCCAATTTTACTCTCGTGTCTTAACAACGTTAGCTAATAGAATCACCTCAAATTCTTGCTAAAACCTCATAAGTGAAATATTTACCTTAAAGTGTTTGTTGAGAATGTTCTCATCTTTGAAACTGTACAGATTTCATCTGATATCTAACAACTGCTATTATGATATCAAACCTTAAGATGAAAATAATGTCTAATGTAGATATGTTTCTGACTGAAAATGTTGATTAGCTTCGAGCAATGACGAAGAGAAAACTTTAGGAAAGTTTTCTCGTCTCTTTGAGGCGCAAGGTTATAATTATGATTATGTTTGTTTCGTTGAAAGGAATTTAATTAATTAAATGCATGATGTTGATTTACTTTTCTTCTTTTACAAGCTTCCGAGAGAGTTTAACGATGCAGTGAAATGCATTAAAATAATAGCAATGGAAAAATAGTTTTATTTTCTCCATAACAATTACTCAATTATTTAATTAAAATCTTTCTTTTCACGGCCGGTTTTCATCGCCACCATTCATCATTAGATTCGTTTTGTCGTTTGATGTTATTTGCATTTCACTCGCAGTAATTATTTCTCTTTTTTCCTTACAAGATACGTATGATTGATAAGAAATCTCGTGATATAAATTTATGTGAAAAGTGGGTCAGTATCGCTCTTTACTATGATTAAGTTTCCCTCTTGTAAAAACCTTTTTCGTGAGAATCACTTTCATCACGACTCGAAATGTCGAGGGAGTATTAAGTCGGTAAAGGTCGACACTTTATACACATTCCTTGTGAGATGAAACACTTCCCTAAAATCTCTGACCCAATTCCACACATACTTCTTCTTTTAATAGCTTCTTCATGCTAAATAGCTGACATGTGAATCGAATTGATTGATATTAGCGAAGCTGTAGTAGCAATTTCCAATGTCTATTCGAACTAAAGTTAAATTTAAATTAAGTAAACAACGCGTTGAGTTTCCTCATCCAACTGTCGTCACTTAAAACCAAAGAAATAAAAACATTTTCTTTTCGCAGATCAATTTATCTCGAAAACCGCTAAACAACACGAAAAGCTGATCATTTCTCAACTGATCACATGTAACCTGAGGAAAGGAGGAAAAATGATAAAGTTTGTCCTATTTTTAATGTGTCATCTGACCCAGATTTCAAGTCATTATAAAGAGAACTATAAAACAACTCAAATATTAGAAGAATAGTTTGTCAACACGTAGATAGTTTTATTTGTACTTTTTATATTTTTTTGTAATCCAGATAAGAAAGAAGAAAATTGTTGACACTTTTAAGAAATCGTAAGGTGTAATAGTGGGAAATAATGATTGTGTAAACTTTAATCAGAAAGCTATGCAGCTAAATATTTAGTTGAGCTATTGCAATACATTCAACTTCAAGATTTTTCCATAATTTCGAAACATGTTTATATGCTACGACATTCATTTTTGATAAATAAATCAGCGGATTGCGTCGTCTGGGAAGTTTTTCGTTTTTCTTCTTATTCGAGCCTACGCAATAGTTTAAGCGTTGATGAAGACATGCTCAGGAATTTGTTGAATTAAATATATGAAATACAACAAGCAAGTTCCGATAAATAATCGTTTCTTTCCATAATATATTTTCAATAACGTAAATAATCTTATAAAAAAGGTGAACTTTGTAATGAAAATTGTGTCAATTGATAATAAAAATTTATGTTCAGAAGTAAGTTTAGTTAACCAACATGGGAAGATAGAAATTATTTAAAAGTTTCGAAGGATCCACTCTAACGCTTTTAAAATTAAAATAAAAAATGCATGTTGCAACTTTCAAGCATCATCTCTAGTCCATTAGAAGGTTACATCTCCGTTGAGGTCAAATCTTTTATTTTCCCATCACCACCAAGCATCATATGAAAAACAAGCTTTTTGCATTTCAATTCATTACGGGAACGTGAAAATTATTTGTTATAATTCTTCGTTTATTCGATAATTGGCATCATAATGGAAATGAAAAATCCATCTCAATTTTTTTTAAATGTGCAGAAGATCAGAGAAGAAAAATTTTGTGACTCTCGTGGCAGTCCATTGACACATTCGATTTTCGTTTTCAACATCGTCATGCTATGCTTGCAATTCCTTTGTCTGCTATGTTCATATATGTTGAAGCTCTGTTTCGATTCCGAATAAATTACAGTGAAATGTCTTTGACGTTTGTAAGTTCTTTCATTTAAACAACATTAAGTCGAAGCTGTTACTGTAATGCCAATAAATTTCCTGATGTTCACTGGAAAAAAGCAATTAAATTTGATCCTTTTGAACAATCGAAGAAAATTGCAAATTGAATTGAATGCATTTGAAAGGAGAATCGAATTAGTTTACAGATGAACGCATGAAAGCGATGCGAATCTTAAATGAAAGTTGAAGCAACTTATTCGACTGTAGTTATTGTGAGTTGAGCTTACATGTTATCTTAGTTCTTAACATTTTCTTCGTTTTTGAGTTTTTAAAAGGAACAAAACGTCGTCATGGAAGCTTTCGAGAAGTATTGTGAATTCGATTACTTATCAGGCGTGAAGAGTATCAAGAAAAGTGATTATGAAAAGTAAGATTTACCAACATGTAGAAGCGAAAAGTCATTCTTACACCACAAAGTCGTGAAGAGCTCTATGCTAAGCTGTATTTCAACCGATTCTCGTTAAATCGTATTTCAAAAAAGAAAGAAGAAAGAAAATGACTTAACCATAAAAACTAATCTCAATTGGTCTGGAGATTTTTTTCCGTTTGCTTGAATTCACGCTCGAATCTCAGTTGAAGAGTCAAAAGGAATCACTGACACCCACGTGCTATTTCTGCATTAACGTGATTGACGTTTTTATACAAATCAAATGTCGCTGCTATCAAACAGAGAATGCTGTCAAATAAACACTTTTAACTCATTTCATTTGGACAAAGCAAAGCAAAAAAAAAAGAAAATTTCCTTTCTTTATTAGACAGATTATGTTAGATAAAATCTGAGCTTTAGACGCTTATTGGAATGAGAAAGTTTTACAAAATGTTTAGGGTGCGATATGGATTTTCAATTTCCAACAATTTTGCATACATGAATATGAAATGTTCATCAGCAAATTTAGAGTTTTCTTTCCTTCTTCTCTTAGTTTTCATCCTCACTCATGAATATGAAGACGACCAAATTATTTTTTTGCTTTGCTTTTACGATTACGTCTGGGGGTTGTTCGTTCATATATTTAGTGTCTGAACTAGAAGAACGAACGAGCAGTGAACGAAGGAACAAGAAAATAATTCATATTTCACCCTCTGGCGCTTAAACAAACATCCCTTGAACAACATCCTTTTCCCAATGCTCTGCCATTTTTCGGACGACGTAGCTGGAAAGGAAAGTCAGCCAGTTTGTGACGCTCATTTTAAGCTTATTCCCCCAACACAAAATGTTCTGCTGCTTTTTTGTTGAGTATGTCTCGATGCTTGTTTCCACTTTGTAACCCTTTAAATTTTTAATTATCAACATTTGCATTAATTAAGCGAATCCTTATGTTGGGTATCAAAGTTTTTCTGTTTTATCTTCTTCAGTCTTTCCGAGCGTGACTTCTTCAAGCAAAAACTGAAGGATGTTTTTGAATGTTAAAACTAGTAGTACTTTTTAATTTACATCTTAATAAAAAAAAGCAAGCAAAAATGAAAGTTTCTCTGTGTAAATTTAGTTAATATGAAATCTCATGAGAATTAAAGATTATGCTTTTTGTGTGTAACCTGACAGTGCACCAGCGAAGCTTAATGAAAATTAATAAGAACTTTCCACTCGCCTTCTTGTGCAACTGCAAAGCGAGAAAATTCTCGAATCTCATTCCAGTTTCAACGCGACGGTTTATCGGATGGAAGGGATCAAGACTCCAAGCAGGACGCATACAAATTGCATGACGAGAGAGAACAAAAACAAATTCTATTCGTCTAATTTTCTTGGTGACTTGTTCTTAGTGTACAATTTATGCATAAGAACAGAATGTTAAGCAGTACGACGCTGTGTCATTGCCTCAGATCATAAAATATCCGTTTTATGAAAGTTTATGCGAAAATGACGAGTCTGGTGTGCGAACGAAGAGGGCAGAAAAATATTTTGTATGTTCAGCGAGTTGTGAATAGTTTTTCTTATTCTTTATGCTTTCATATATTTTTGAGTTCACTTCACGCTCAACTCAAGGAATTGGATTTTCATATTTTTTTTTCTTGTGTTCAGATTAATCTGCTGAAATTTCCTTCGCATTGATCGTCTCGAGGAATTCGTTGAAGCGCAAATGTATTTTTGTCTCCGATTTCGTACATTTCTTTTCTGCTAATAATCCTAACATAATCCTTTTCCCATACAGCATCAACAGACTCTCGTCTTTATTTTCTCGCAATGAAACTTGAAAATGCGAGTTTTGGTCTTTTGTCGAGTGTTTGAGAAAACTTTTTTCGTTCCTTCTATGCTTACGTCTGGAGCTTTAAAAATATATTTTTGTAATAACGATAATGTTACACATAACTGAGCACGATTGAGACGTATGAATGCACTTCATGATTCCGCAATAAACTCAATATTTTCTTTATTTTGGGAACTTCTTCTTCAAAAACTAATTTCATTTCGTTTCACTTAATGCAGCTAATGATATCACATTTACGAGAGCGAGAGATTGTCATTCCGCTTCACTCCTTAATCCAACTTGAAACATTTCACGACATTTCCTCAGCGAGAAAATTGCAATGAAGGAAAATTGGAACTGTAAAGTTTTATTGTTGAATGCAATTTACATGAAATGCTTTTCATTATTTCACGAACGAATTGTCATAGTAAAAAAACTTACTTCAGTTGAGTTGAGTTGACAAAAAAGAAAAGCTAGCAATCGATAAAAATCTATGACTTTAAATGTTATAAATAAAAGAAGAGAAGAAGACGATGTGCATTGTGTGATGAATTATTTGTTTTTTTCCAATGTTATCTTAGACTTGGAATGAAATCAAACTAAATTTTGCAGCTCAGTGTCACAACACTGTCTCAATGACATATCATCGTCTTCGTCTGATGCTTTTATGTCAAAAGGAAAGCAATAAAAACGAGTCAGGAGTAAATAATGTGTTATCAATGAGGGATAATTTGACGTGGTAAATTTTTTCTTATTTCCTTCGGTTTCAATGATTCAAAGAAGCTTCTTCGTCAATGTTAAAAGAACACGAAATGTGATAGGGAAAGGAAAGCAAATTATGTTTACCTACACACTCGACGCTTCTTTTCTTGATACTCCGGCAAAGTTTTCAATTTTCGGCATAAGACGAAAGCTAAGAAAAGAGTAGCTTTGTGAAGAAAAGTTGAAAAGTTTTCCCTTCTCTCTCTCGGTTTCATATCAGGACATTCACCTCCCATGTTCTTGTTCATTTACAAGCTATCAGAGTTTATGTTATATAACATTGGTTGGCATTTTCTATTTACTCGTTCCAAAGTAATTCCAAAATATGTACATTTTTGTGATACGATAGAAAGAAAAAGTTTTTTCTTTCTTTCCTCTCAAGCTTCACTCGTTTTTCATGCAATTTCTTCCATTCCACTTTTTATCGTGGAAAAATCATCGTAAAATAGTAAATGGAAATCATCATAATCAACACCCGAGAAATTTTTATGCACACAGCTTTTCTCTTCTTTTATATTTTTACTTTTTGATAGCAGAATGAAGTAGAAAGAAATTATTTGTGGAGATTTTGACTTTTCTTCGAATTATCTGAAATGGGGAAATGGTTGGAAAAAGGAAAAAAAGATAATTTTCCCATGATTCGTGCTATCAGAAAACCTTCAATAGAATTTAGTAAAATAAATTATGAGTGGCGTTTGTTAAAGCTTTCAAAAATTCTACGTTCACTTAATTATCGTTGGCGAATCGAAGCTCAACGCTTGCAGACTTGAAAATTAATTGAGCGCCGTTAAAGAAGGAAACTTTTTATTGAATTTCTTCCTCACACTCCACTAAAACCAAACTTTCCATCGAGTTGAATGAGTCAATAAGAAAGAAAAGAGTTTGACAAAATTTTATACGTCAAAGTTTTCTTCTTCGATCTCAATATTTGATGTAAATTTTTTCTTTTAAATTTCATTTGTAACCGCACCGTAATTATGCCTCATTTCTTACAAACTCAAAAGTTTCTCATTTCTTGACTTCAGTCTCTTAGATTGTGAGTTGAAAGAACTCAATTTTCAATTAAACATGAATAATATTTATTTGAAAAGGGAGATGAGAATATTTTTCGGTTCATTTGAAGGGGAGGAAATCAAAGCTTCAATATTTCTTTCTCTTTGTTGTCATGATAACTTCTTGTTTATGTATAAAAAGGACGACGTGTCAAGGACTTTTAGGAAACTATTTTTTGTTTCATTTACAACATTTGATAAGTTTCTTGAATTTTGTTGTAAATTTAGAAGTTTACATGATGCAACTTTCTTTTTATCCAAGTGAAAGCATCCCCTAGAGAAACTTTTTCCCTCGCTGAATCACTCCCAATTACTTATCATCTCATTTGCATGCACCATCTTTTGATATGGCATCAAAAAATTATGTGCATCTCTTTGAAAAGTGAAAAAAAGAAGAAAGCATGACAGAAGAGCTTGAACCATTGAGTATGGTTTAATCCACGACGATATGAATGATACATGAAAATATATTCTGACTCAAAATAAGTAAATTGAATTGGTGGAAGTTGAAAAACATGTTTAACATGAGACATGTTTTCGAAAATTCTCTTTCTACTCTTGTCTTCCTAAACCGAATCAATGCATTACTTCTCTTCATCTTTATCTCCTTCAACCACAAACAAAGAGCTTTAAACTGTAAATTGTTTTATCTTGAAATAACATTTGTTGGATGAAAAAAAAAGTTGAGAGATAAAATCGACAGGATGGGGAAGGAAAAGTTGAATTGTAAGACATTCTTATGTTTTCCCAAGTGTTTGCCTCCTTAAATAATGACGAAGAGAAGAAAAGAAGGAAAAAAAAACTTTTTCGACGACTTGAAGAACAGTCAGTCTAAATTTAGCAACAAAAAAAAGTACATAAATGTCTGACATTGAATAAAACATTTCAAAATATGATTCGAGAGAAATTGGATTGCACTGTCAGGTTTTCACTTCATTTTATACTGCGAGCTTTTAACAGTAAACAAGAATTGAAATCTATTCACTCAACTCACATCACAAGCAATTATTGCCAAACGATTCATGGGAATGTTTGCTTCCACATACACACATCGTCGTCGTCAAAATCTTACAAACTCCTTCAGCTACTTACATAAAGCAACATGATTGATAGCTTGTTATTAAAAACAAATTAAATAACTACTGATAACGTTCAAAAGGAAAGTTTTCTACAATCTAAATAGAAGCAATTCCACAGCCAACGGTAATGGCAACTAAAAAAAAGGAAATAATCATAAAACAGTCTAGAGCGGAAAAGCGCCCGCAAGCGAAAACGACGGCGTCATGTTGTGCAGTGTGTGAGTGTTAGACGCAGATGGAAATGGAAATGCTTGATATCCATTAAACATTATTTGTGGGTTTTCCTTTTCAGTCACAAATATAAACGGAAATATCCAAAAAAAAAGAGTTTTCTGCACAAAAGTTCAATAGATAATGGAGACAAGACATGTCAGTGAAGGAACGACTGACAAATTGAAAAAGAAAATAACAATAAATGTTAAGAGCGAGTCAGGCAATTTACCAAAAATAAATGTTTATTGTTTGACAGTATGACGAGAGTTCACTTTAGGACGTTGTGAGTGGTGAATGCTTATTTATAGTTAGTGAAATGACAGAACTTTTCTCATGTCGATAAGTTCTTCCAAAAAAAGAAAATTTCTCTTAAATTCATAAAAGAAAATTTCTACTACGATTTTCAACGAAAATTCATTGTACTTTCTTTTTTTTCTTTATAGCTCACTGAGGCATTATTAATTGGTCTAAATTTTCCCACCAGACGGTGTCTATCAATTTTCATAAAAAGCTTTGCCTTCTTCCTTTTCGTCCCGACGCTCAATGTTTCGTAAGATTCCGCTTTGTGTCTCGGGAAAGAAACAAAAAAAGTTAAAACCAAGGTTAAAAACACATCAAAAGACGACTTTGCCTCAAAGGCGTTTGCGAGACAGGGCGTTGTGATTAAGAATGGAAAACATTAGAGATATAAATTGTAGACGACGTCGCATCATCCTTGCATGGTAGACAGCAACACATTAATTTTGTTTGCTTTTCATAAGCGCATGATTCTTCAAATGCCTCTTAGCTGAAAGCTTTCTCTGCTTTAGAGTTGATCTAAATTTATGGATTCAAAGAGCCTTTTAATTTCATATGCGACACATTACGCTATATGCTTTCAATTTATAAATTCATTCAAATTGGTCTCAAACATTCCTTCCTTCAAACTCTCTTCATATTTTATTTAAAACACTTAACATCTTAAAGCATATTAAGCTCTTCTTTTTCATTGAAAAAATCATTATGAAGAGGCAAATGAAAATCTTTCTGTGTGTGGGATGACTTTTGTTATTTTTCTCAACATTTTAATTCTCGAATATTTTTTGTTGTTGTTTTTGTTTATTTTGTGGGAAAATTTTCAAAGGTCGCTGTGATGTTAATAAGTTGCTTTACTCTCGTAAATTTGATTTATTCACACCAATTACACATTTAAAGGATACGAAAGAAGAGAAGTGAGATTCAAACTTCTATCATTTCCTAATTAAGCGCTCGAGACCGCACGAAATTATATGGAAAGGAAGCCCGTGCTAATCTTATAATCTCGTAAAAGAACGAAGTGGCTTTCAAGCCACTCTTTACGCTTACAAGAGATTAATATGGATGAAAACTCTTCTTAATGTGTTTCTTCTTTTTTCTCGTTCGAAGCTTCTTTTACTAATTGTACAAACAGAACAAGTTTCGTGATGCCAGAGACTAAATAGAGATGGGGAAAGAAAACTTTTGCCTTCTTACATTTTCCAGACTTTTTAATTAATAAAAATTAGACTTCTTCTCGTTCTCAGCTCATTTCTTCGATAGCTTTTTATTCTTTCCACCAAACATACAACGAACAAAACAAGTACATAGATAAACGTGTAGCGACAAAGCATCATGAACAAATTAATTAAAGGACTCTTTATTAGTAAATTTTATGCTTTCTACAAATACAACATTCTTCGCTGATCAGAGAAAGCTTCAGTCAAAGGTCCATAACCGAAGTTATAACGCGATGCTTCATGCCAGACTTCCGACACGATGAACAAATTGTTTTCGCGCTGTATTAAGCTCTACATAAATCCGGATGTTCAAGATAATCTACTCTTTCTCAACTTCTCACTTAATGTTTCGACTTTATTTTTTACGACCATATCTCAATCCTAACAAATAAGCGAATAAAAGTTCTTTGTTTGCGTGGGTCTTGCGCTATTAAATGCGAGAATATTTACAAGAAAATCCCATGTCTCATTCAACACATGATAATAAATTTATAAGGACGAGCTTTTTTTCTCTTTTTACTTTTTTCTTTACATCACCGGCATTGGAGTCATAAATTTCATTTTAAGAACATAAAACATGAGACTGCTTAACCGCAGAAGATGAAGCATGATGTTGGTTGTTTGTAACGAAGCAGTTTTCGAATTTATGTCTTGTTATGCATTTTTCAATCTTTAACATTCGTAATTTGCTTTTGAAAACACCTGAATTAAGAAAATGAAGCTTAAGGTGCATGAGAAAGCTTTAAGATCTTAAAAAAAGGATACAACGTGATGAATTCATCAAAATTACATGCAATAAAATGCTAAGGAAACCTTTTTTATTCACATTGAAAGGATGGAAAGTAAAATGGATCAAACTCAAACATATTTTCCTTCATCGTTCTTCTAGAAAATCTTTTTTTCCTTCATAGAAAAATATTTTCTCGTTTCTACCTTTTCGTTTTATTTTTATTCCTTTGCCATTTTTGAATTTTTCATTTTATGTTTACGGTAGAAAGTTATTCCTAATTGTGATCTTCATTCATCCTTCATGTTCTCCATCTACATTTAACAACATATAATTGAATTCTACGCGCACCACAAAGCTTGTCGTGGTTATCAACCTTTAAATCTTTTTTCACTTCCACATCTACAGACAGACAGGTTCGTTTTCCATATTTCAAACATTCCAAAAAAAGGAAAAGAAAGAAAATAAAATAAAATATTTCGAAACACAGAAAAATGTGTAGCCAGCAGGAGAACAACGAAAAGCGCCATTGGAAGTTTCCCATCTATTCTGATAATGTTGTTATGTTTTAGAATTTCTACATTATTTATGCAATTCCATATAGCATTAAAATAAACAGTAAATTTTCCGTATCAAATGGAATTATGTGGAGAGAATGGGAAGAGCCATTTGTGAGAATCATGTATCGTTTATCTTCTTGCTGCGACTGCTGCTGCTACTTGTACTGTTTATGGAATGGAAGAGATTTAATGCACTTTTTCTTATGCTTCTATTACAATGCTTTCGGCTACTAAACGTAACCAGTGCAAGGATCACAATATAATCCAAGGGACCAATCTATAAATTTTTACGACTTTTCGACTATTTGGTCATAAATAAAGCTTTCAGTTTATCTGCTCTTCCTTCGAAAACCTCTTCACATGACTCTTGCCATTGCTCTCTGTTTCCCCAGCATTGTTGCTACATAAACCAAAAAAAAGGCATTGCTAGGATTCCAAAGTTGAAAATGAAGAAGAATTTTCAAACATGTGAATATAATTTATAAAAAAATTCTAAAAAGGTAAACTGATGGAATGTCAGTAACATTGTGCATGTGTTTTTTTCCCCGTTATCGATTTTTTCCTTTAACGAATAAATGAAAAAAAGAAAATTCTCCCTCAGCTAGTACAAAAAGAAAAGCAAAAAACAAATTTGACGAATCCTTGGAACAACCTTCAAAAGAAAAGTTATTTTCATGGTTGAATAAAAAAGAAAGCGACAAGACGATTTGTGGTCTAGGAGACTTGGTCATGACAGTTTTGTTTCCTTGTTATCAAACGAATGTATCTTTTGAATGATGGAACGCTTGATTCAATGTCATGGCAGTCAACAAGAACTCAAAAAAAAAAAGGGAGAAGAAGAAAGAAAAAAGAACACATTAATGCGAGAAGCTTTTTGATTGTTGATGTATGAAATCATAAAATATTCAAAAAAAAAGAAAGAAAAGCCCAACGACATGAAAAGTTTTCTAATGTAAAGGCAATGGATCGATGGTGGGAAAACATGCCGGCTGATGTTGAAGGAAACTTCTTCTATCGAGCCTATCCCAACCCACAAAAAGTTGGCCCGTAACAGTCGAAAATGAATATTTTATGCCTCTCCGAGCAGATGGAGAGAAAATGAAAGAACTTTTTTTTTATTCTTTTGTGTGCGCTGCTCCTTTCACTTTTTCCGGCCTCCTTGTTTTCTTGAAAACAACAAAACAACCCAAAGCATGGTTTCATCCGGAAAACAAGCAACACACACCAACACATTCAAATATTGAACTTTTTTTTTCTCTCTACCACTGACGAATCCTTTTTCACACATTCAAACGCACGCCTACCAACATAAAAAGGTGAAAAAAGGCCTTCGAGAAAGTTTTCCATGCCGAAAAACTTTTTCAATGTCAAGTACAAAAGTGTTCGTGTCTGAGGCATCAACAATAAAAGCAGAAAATTGCCGACAGACAAAAGCGATTTTGTTGATAGGGCGGAAAAGCATTGAAAAATATTTTCAAGATCTTATCATTCTCGTTCGTTAAGAAGGAGTTGGGGGCGGGGGTGGAAAGGAATGTTGATATCGTTTGATGGGAAATGAATTGTGAATTTGTTTATTTATTAAATGTCTCCTTTGACTTCATTTTTTGCGGCTTCAAATGATGAATGGACATGATATAAATACCAAATCCGATTTTCTCTGAGGAAAAGTTATTGATTTGATGAAAAAAAGTGCGTCAACAGGTTGTCGTAACCAAGGTCATATTTTCAAGAGTTCATTGCTCATGTTGAGGTCGAACTTTAATGTCCCTTTTTTTTGGGTTTCCTTACGATGTGAAAAGCTTCCTTAATACTTCTTACACTAAATGACGCCGCCTCTTTAATTAACAGAATTTAGGTCTCGTTTCGTTTGCCTTTGCCCAGCAACTTGAATGAATGCTTTTGAAAAGACTTTTATGGGCCTTAATGTTATTGATGATAAAGAAAAGGGTGAAAGGCGGAAGAAACTTTTGTGTTTGTTTCCTTTCCTATAATGTACGAAGACGGGGGAGAGTCGGTAAATAATTTCGAACCATTAATGTTTATTCTCTACAAACATGTTGATTTATCATCAAACTTCCGAATTTACCAGCCTTTCTGCTTTCCTTTTATTTCTTCATCATTTATTTCATTATTCAATGGTGAAATGATTGTTGAATAGAAGACATGAGAAAGGTTGCGTTCTTTGTCAATGTGTACAGTTCACATCACTGGATGAGAAACGAAATTCGAGTCTTTTCATATCCGGTCTCTTATCAATCATAATACTTTGAGAAGTGTACAAAATAGATAATGCGGAAGAAAGATGAAGTGAAGAGTAAATTGTATCAGGAACAGGAAATTAATTTTCCCTCCCCGCTTGCTCTCATCATGTCATGTCGTAGCGATTTGTGGTTGAACATGGGGAAATAAATTTGCCACGAACAATTTCCGATCAACATTTTTTTTCCTTTCTTCATGTCGACGTGGAAATTAATAATGGAAGACATATTTACATCTTTTGCAATAAATATCCGAGATTCAAGAAGCAAGCGTAAGAAAATCTCTCATAAGTTAAAGTTTCAGCACTTTCGATTAGTATTGTTCGAAGACGGTGTCAAGGCAATGGAACTGCCTAGCTTAGTCAGAAGAATGCGTGTAATAGTCGATCTAACAAAGTTTAAAGAAAAAAAAAGCTTGCAAATTTATTCCGAAAAGTGTTGAATAATAAAAGATTTAAAATATGGGACACGGGTGGTGTGGTTGAATTGCGCGAGAACATGTTGAGTAGTTAAAAGTGATTATTAGCATAAATCAAAGATCTTTCAATGAACATTCGTAGCTCGCGTAATTGAAAGGGCTTAAAACACTTTTTTTCCTCCATTACTTGCCAAGTGTATCATTAAGCAGATATGTGAGATACAGATTATTGATTTTCTCACTTCATTTTAACGATGAATAAGCTTAAGTTAGTCTTTTTACGACATCGTGTAATTTATGATGATGGACATTGAAGTGAATTAAGAAATATTCGTTCTTTATCGATGTTATAAGATTTAATTTCATGTTTCCGTGTCAAATGCATTAAACTCGAGTGAGATAATTCTTATTTATGATTATCAATCACAATCGCTAATATTAAATGGTGACATCAACAATGTTTGAGCTAAAATCTTCCGCTTAAATCATCGATCATTATGCAAATAAATAAATGTTAGATATTTCAAATATCAAGAAAAAAAGAAAAATCACTTTTGTAATTACCATAATTGCTCACATTCAGCATGAGTCGATTTGTGATATTTCAACTGATAATGTCGAAGTCGCTTAAAATATGTGAGAAATATTGTTGCATGCTGATTTGCTTATGAATTTTGCGTTCCACATCTTAAAGTCACATGTTTGTGTATACGCTTTATGTCACAGCAATTAAACAAATGTTTTAATGTCTCTCGTCTCACTCGCCTTACTTTTTTTTCCCTCTGCGTGGTTTCTTTCTAAGAACGCGCGAGCTTTTATGTAATTTATTACTTACGAGACTTTTCAAAACTGCAGAAAAAAAATCTGTATGTGATTATGCGAATAAAAGTCGCCTTTATGTTGAATAAACTGCGATTGAAATCAGAAGTAAAAACGCCAATGAAAAATAAATTTTATATAAAAAAATCAATCGGAAAATGAATCGTGTAACCTAAATACTCCCTTCGGTCTCTAGTCAACGCACGAATGTCTGTCAGAAGCTATAATAAGTTTCTTTTTCTCTCTAGCTAAGCTAATGTTAACGATTTACATTCTAATCTCAAATAAGCAATTCATGATTTCATTTATATGATTGTCACTTTGAATAGGACAATTAAAAGGCACTTGCAGCACTTACATTAAGAATTTCGAATTCACGTACATAAAGTTTTATGTGATCGAAAGATATCTCTAATGGTCCATTCAATTGGATATTGCTGAACATGATGCGGTTTCGAATTACCCACAAATCGAATGGAAAACTTCAATTTTAACTTCTGTAGATGCAATGATATTCATTAAGACTCTCAACTTAAATTAAACTGCTGTGAACTTTTTTCCCCTAATCGTGAACCCATCAATTGTTCCAAAAAAAACGTTTTTAGATACGATAAATTACGAGACTGCTATAAGATGTGAATGATTGAAACATAATTCAATGCAGATTGAAAGGTGATGAATGAAAGCATTTCTTATTGTGTTTAATAAGAGTTTGTCTGTTGTCTGCATCATGCGTCATTGTGTGTCTAGTGTAAACAAGGATGTCGAGTAAAGTGACAATTTTCACATCTTGTCTCAGCCGGCAAGCTTTTATTGTGTTCATTAAAGTATTAAATTTTATATCTTTTGTTGCATTTGTGAAGCTTCGTCGGGTTATTAACCTTCTTTTTTAATGGAAAAACAATTTTTACAAGTTGACAACAGAAATAATTTCAGGTAGCAACTTCTTTTTCTGACTATAATTACCTAGCTTAAGTTTTAAATAACATCCTTCAACAACATGACGATTGTACTCAAACTTAACGCATGATTGCATAAAAGCAAGAAATTAATTGTTCAAGGGAAACAATTTTCATATAATTAACGTAATCGAATCTTTTCATCGGAAGATCCATATAAATGTAATTAATTAATTTTTCTCGGGTTGTTTTCTTATTACCTACTTCTGTAAATATTTTGTTTTTATTCTTCTTTGTCGTTACTTACATGTCAATTGCATATCGTTGTTTTGTCATAGAAAAAATCGCTTTGAGTACTCACCTAGAATAAATAAAAGAATGAAAAGATAAGTTAAACAGTCTAATAAACGATTTTATGCTTAGAAAGTGATTAAAAATTCAAATCGGATAAACATGTAGGAAAATTGAAGCCAAGAACAATTAAAGAAGGAATGTTTGGAGCCTACGAACATAAAAACATGTCGTCGACTTGACTAAATAAGAAAAAGAAAAAACAAACAAATTATTTATACGATGCCGAACAAGAAGACATCACACAAAATGCCACCTGAATCGATCTTCTGCGACAAACTTTTAATTAATATTCATCATGTAAAGGTTTTAAGCTTTTTTTTGTTTGTTGTGTTCCTGTTATTTTCAGTCGACACCATAAAACATCCGAAATACGACAAATAAAAGAGAAATAAAGATATCAAGTGGCATTTCCTCGTTATGTTGAGCTCTATCGCTCGTAGCTCTTCGATAACGATTTTAATTATTTATTAATTTATTCTCTACACGACTTTGGATGTCTAGCTGTGATTGCAAGGAGACAGAAGAGGAAGTCTAAAGGAATGAGCAATGAGAAAATGAAAGAAAGAAAGAAGATTTGGCTGGTTGTCATTATTGCAGCAATTTCATTCGTTTTATATCCTTCAGAGAGAGATATTTGTGACAAAATACAATTCTATTTATAAATGTGATTTCTTCTTCATTGCGCTCCGCATTTTATGAATAAAAAATGACATGAAAATAATTCAAAATTATTTTGTCTTGGTCTCCGACTTCATTCTGTCATGCTGTGAAAACTTCTTTTTTTCATATTTTTCTTAACTAAGAAGAAATTTATTGAAATTGATTTTTTTTTGTTAGATAAAAGATTCTATTAAATGTTTAAATGTTCTTAGATTATTTACACTTGAAAGGGAATCGACTTGTCGTCGTACATCGAGACTTATGGGAAAAAAACTTTTGTCTTTATTAGCCTTTCAATCATCGAATGAAATTTTGAGAAGGGAAAGAAGAAAATGAAATCTGTAACGTCTTTTTAAGATATTAAAACATAAAGATCATCATAAACTAAATTGTTTTCTTACACTTTGTGTTGGATGGAGGATGCGGGTAAGATTTGAGATATTTCTTAATATTACTCGCTCTAAAGCGAGTGTTTTATTTGTTTATTTATTTTATCATCAAAGCTACAATGTTTTTCTTAACAATTCGAAAGAAAATTTGTTGCCTTTTAAGGGAGTCATCATTGCGCTCATAATATTATTCCAACCATTTTTTATCGGTGGCAGAATCGAAATTTATGGACGACAAAATTCTTTCCATTGGCGTTTGTTGGGGGTGACTTGGAAGTTCCGGAACTGAGCATTGATTTGAAGGATGTTCAACATTCTCCATGTGACGAAATATTAAATGAATCCAACCAGGGTTTTATTATTTTTCTTAATATGTTAAAATAATGTTTATTTTCATCATCATTTCATTTTATCTTTTTTAAAGAAGAAAAAAACTTCGTCTTGTTACCGTCATTATGAATGTGACAAAAAAGGCGACGAGCTGTGAATGTCAAAGCCAATCACTCGAACATTGGGAAACAACTGGCGCATCAAGAAATGAATTCAAAATGTTAAAACATTCATTTTCGTAAGTGAATGACTCCGCTTTTCAGCAGTTGTTTGACCATGAAATATTGTGAAGAGGATTAGCATTTGCAACAGAAATAATTTCCCGTTTAAGTTGCATCTTCATCAAAAAAGCAGTTGTCGAGACACGAGATGAAATTGCAAATTGCAATGCATGAGATTCAGTAATTCATGATTTCGTTGAGTCTTATAACAGAACCAATGAAGGGAACTAACTGAGTGCTTAACGATGCATTCAAATTCTCACACTCAATTCAAACCGATTTTTGCAGCTTCTGCTCGATAAATACAACAAAAATGCGTGCATGTAAAGTGCCAATTAGGGTAATGAACATAAAAATGGTAAGTAAAGAAAAAAAGTATTCTAGGCAACAGGAAATTACAGAAATTTCCTCAATATAAATGTTTAACAAAGATTAAGATTATTCGAAGCAAATCTTGCGAATCACTTCAAAGCGCATGCAAATTTTATTTCTTTCAAATCGACTCTGAATTTCTTATATCACAACCACTTTTGATGTAATATTTTGTTGCTATTGAGATTCTTCAACATTGGGATTGACGCGTTTTAAAATCAGTTTCTTTTATGGACACTCGTTACCCTTGCAATAAAAAAGCAATCGCGGAAAAAATCAAATTGCGGTTTGTTTTGAGATCTCTTTAAGAGATTTTCTTGCCCTCTTATCGATCTGGTTTACTCTTGAAAATGTCTGAAGTTATACAAATGTTATGTGCAATTTAGATTACCGTTAAAGAGGGCAAAAAAGGGTTCAGGTTCGCAATATAATTCACAGAAGGTCAAACGCCGCAAATGCAAATGCAAATGGCACTTCTCAGCTCATTCTCCTTGTTTTTCCGACAATCTTCGTCGTTTCATTTCGTTTCGTAATCTCAACTGTGTAAAGTTATTTCCTGAAACAAAGCTAGATCTAAAAATACGAAAAGAAATCATTTCCTTAAACGCAGATTGAAATTGTGTCAATTGGCAAAGCATTTTAATGTTTTTCTTATTATTTTGTCGTTTAGTGATGATGAAAAGAAACAAAATTTCATCTCAAATATTTTTATTTAATTATTTTTCTTTCATCTTGTTTTTGTTTTCACTGGCGTTAGCGACCTAAATTAATTTTCTAAAAAATTACTTTAAATTATTTCCGAAATGCAATTAGAGTCGTCTCGAAATATTTCATTGAATGAATCAGATTTGATAGGAAATGAAAAAGATTTTCGCAGGTAAACAAGCCACGACAGAAGCTTCAATAAAATAAAATCACTTCACTTGTGATTGTTTCACGAATTAAAATTCTTGTGAACCTTCAAACGATTTGCTTCTTACTTAATTCATCCGAAAAGTCATTGCGAAATCAAGACACGAAAATTGAAATATTCCAACATGTAACCCAAATCATTCGCTCCCAAACCGACATGACTCTGTCTTGTACTCGAAGCGTTGTTGTTTTCTTTAAAAGATCAACATCATACTCACATTCTTCAAAGTAGATATCTTTAAAATTTCTTACGAAGAAATGAAAAAGGAGTGAGTGAGAGATTTATGTGTATGATGGATGTTTATTCACATCTCAAGTGAAAAAGAGAAAAATCGAAAAAGGAAATGATGACATAATCAATCTCATTTGTTGTTTCTTCTTACATCGCACATTGCATGGATTCGCGACAGCTATACATTGATTACTTCTACTTACTTCGACATGTCATGGCAATAAGAAACATATTAAAGGCATATACATGGCAAAAGGAAAAAAATAAATAAATGCCTGTATGCGAAATTATTCCAAACGTGGGTCTTTTTTTATGAATGTTTTTTAATATTTAACTTTCACTTGTTCATAACTGTGTACATGTTTCCCCTTTGTTGTCATCTTCTTATTTCTGCAGACAAAACAGCAACAAGGTTTTATATTTAGGAACGTCGATAATTCTACATAACAATATGAACAAGTCTTTTGTTAAATACCCTTTATATGCATGAAAGGAGCTTCTCACACCAAATTGAAATGGAATCAACAGACAACACGACGAGAAGAGTTGAAGGTCGGCAATTTTAAGTGGAAAAGGATTTTCTCGTCATGACGAAGAACATCGAGATGGGAAGGAAAATTCCCATGGAAAAGTCACGAAGGCTACAGCGATTGTTGCACAACAGGTGGCAACGATTTCTCTTTTGAATGTTGACTCCTAAATCGAACAAGGAAAAGTTGAGAACGAAAATGAAGAAGAATAAATGAAAATAAACAGACAGAGACGACTTTATCAAAACAATTTTTATTTCTCTTGTATAATTTAAATCAATTGTCATTGACATCTTCCTTAGAGGGGTGAACGATAACTAATCGAAGAACGTGACATATTGACAATTTAAATGATTCAAGACCTGCTTTTTGTTTTAAATCGTGCGGAGACCTAAATAAGAAGAGAACTCATTTCCGAAGGGGAAATTATGTTCACATCAGCACGACGACGTCATCATAAGTTAAATAAACAATTTTTATGAAACATTCCCAGAGAAATCTTCTCGCACTATGCAAAAGTTATTCTCAAGTCTTAAAATAAATTACGCGACGGGTGCAAGTCATATATGAAGTTACGCAATCACGAAAACTACTTATCCTGATATCCGATTACAACTAAGGTTGCTATTCCGTCATTATTACGTTTCAGTTAAAAAAAAATAAAACAAAAACTTCTTTTTCATGCTGCTCCATGTCATGACTGGGAGAGAGAAACGCAGTTGAAATGAAAGAAAGACGAGAAATTGCGCAAGATTGAAGCTTTATTACCATATTTGGGATGTCAAGGAGTAAGACATTGAGATGAGAATAAGTAAAATCCATTATGGTCCAAAAAGTTAAAATTCATAACAAGATTCACTGGTTTTCTATTGTTTCAGTGTTGGGTGGATGTGGCACCGTGCCGCTGTCACTTTGCGATAGATGATTGGAGTAAGTATTAAGTGAAACACCACTAGAAGGTCACCTAATTTTATAAGTTAAGATCTTTGAACTGCAACACATCTAAGATGTGACAGAAACCACCTTTCCACTCGAAAGATTCGAACAAGATTATCGTGATCTGAAATTAGCGTTTCAGGTTTTCTTTATGGAGTTGAACTTTTTTTTTGGCAAAAGATTGTCATAAGTTGATTGGCCAACTTGAAGGACAAACACCATTCACCGTTAGACCGCAGTTTCATATTTTTTGGTAAAATAATAAAACTATTTTGTTTAATATGCGCGTCAACAATGAATAGAGTTGAGGAATGAGACTAATTCAATTTTCAAGTGGTCTCTCTCTCTTGTGCAATCCAAATGAAATTGAGTTTAAGTTAAATTTGTTGTTAATGTGAAAATAGCAGCTTGTCATCAACGTGCGGGATTTTTTTTGTGATTTGTTATGAAGTTTCATGATTAATCGATTAGCGAGAAGTTTTCAGCGAGATGTCTTCAGCTAGTAAAGTAAATAAAGTGTCGGTAGAAAGATAATCTTAACGACAACTTCAAAGATCTTCAGTTTGTTTTCCTTAGTTAATGAAATTATGAAATTAAAATTCTGCAACAATTAAATTGACACATCACGAATTTAAGTCGATTGCGTCCTCTGACATTTCCTTCTATTAAGCCATTCACACGTAGAGTTTTCAATAAACGGATCCAAAACTCACAAACAACGAATCCTTGACCGAAAAAGTCTAAATATCTTTCGCAAAATAAAAACACATTCAGTCATTTAAAAGCATTCATCTACACACACAATCGTCGTTGTTGTGAATTTATCGAATGGATTTGGCTTGCAAGTTTTTGTGCTTTTTTCGCTATTTTTTGCATCATTAAAATGAATGCAAAAGATTTAATGTTCACTAATGAACGTCGTCTTTGTGATGAGTCAGATAATTTAATTGATTCCGGAATGTTGGTTGATGTTGGATGAGAAAAGATGAATGACAGAAATTGCATTTGGTTGGATATGCATGAAGTCAGGATGTGACATTACAAACTTTTTCCTGCTACTGTCATCAGAAATTCTTCTCCTTTTTATATTTTAACATCAGTTGAGATAAGTAAAGACGAAAATTGATGTGACATCACAACATAACTCTTCAATTAGTGGAAAAGCGCGCTTAACATCGCTCCCAGACATTCCATGTTGAAAACCTGTTCGAATCAATGAATTTATGACATTTCGACTCGAGTGCGGTTATCCTTTACAAGTGGAATGTTTCGTTCTTCAAAAAAAAGGACAAATATCTACTGAAAATATGATACATATTGTTGATGGCAGGATGGAAAAGTGATTTAGGTTACAACAGGGTCTTCGCTCCGATCTAAAACTTTTTCTTTCTTCTCTTAAAAATGTTGGAAAATTTTCACCGCAATCTCAGGAATGTTCTTTCCATCTTTCTTAGACATATTAAACTTATATTTCCATCTCACTTCCATCGTAAATGTAACGATGAAACTTTACAAAACCGATTCACTTCTTACAGTTCATGAAGTTCGATGAGACAAGTGTAACTTCCCTTCAACGATGTGGATTTAATGATGATGTCGATGTTGAGATTGAACCAGAGAAAGTAAATAAAAACGAAGAAAATTCTTTAAAAAAAGGTCACGATGGGAAATTTTTTCTTTCCTATGGAATTTGTGAAACAAGATTCTTGAAAAATGTCGAGATCATCTGATGTTGTCATTATGCAAACAACAAAACTCTTTAAAGATTCTTTCATCCTAAAAATAACCACAAACGTCGCTTCCCTTCTCCCTTTCCTTCTTCTTTATCACAATTATAACGTTAAACTGTTGACAAATTGAGGAAAACATTAAGAAGGGTTCAGTCGGTATCTCTTTTCTCTTTTTTCCGCTGCCTGCTTTCAAGTGCTTTATGTGGTTTTACAATCGACAAGCGCGATGTTGTCTGTAGACAAGGAAAAAGATTTTTTTAGCAGGATAACGTTGTCGGAAAAAGGACATCGTTAATGGAATGACTAAAGATCTGAGACATTTTTTATGCAAATGCTGCTTTCATGATCTTAAAGTGAGTTCAGAGATGAGATGTGAAGATGATAATGTAAGTCACAAGGACATGGAAGGTTAAGTAAGTTGCATTATCTCGTGAGATGACTGTCAATTACAGATGTTCGACTAATTAACTCACATCGTAATCCTTGAATGTTTGTATGTTCCTTTCATCGATGCATCATGAAATTCAATCCCAGTTTCTCATTTTTTTTCTTAAAAAATATCAATAAAACATCCTTTCATGTCATCTTCAAGTTGAAGAAGTGAAAAAAGAATAAAAGTGAGAATATTGTTAGTTGCTTTCTACCATTTACTCTTCTTTATCGCTTCTGTCCGATACCGAAGCACATTTCATGTGACACAAACAAGCAGTCAAGAAATGAAACAGGGCAAAACACATGTTCCAGAAAATTTATCGCTCGACAAAAGATTGGAGTCAATTTACTAGAAAATAGAGTGAGAGACTAGCAGTAGAATCTTTACGGTTGTGTTTTATTGGTCATTAAACTTTGAGATTAACCAGATTATCTGTTTGGGGTTGTCTGCTTGTTCTTATTCCTAACATTGAACCTTCTTTTATGATGAAAAATTATAAATTACTACGCAATTGTAAATTCGCCAAAACCTTCAACTTTTACACGATTCTAATGAAATCGAAATTGCTCATTGACTATAAATGGCTTTTGAATAAAAGGCACGATTTTAATATTTAACTGTTAAGGTTTCGGTGACTGCAGGCAGAAACTGCACATAGTTCTTTATAGGTAAACCTTTAAAGATTGTCAGGTAGAGTCGTTAAGCTCATACAGTGGTTTAAGCTTGGGTCATTTGTCACTAATAAATAATTCACGTTGTTATTTTTTTTTTGGGATTTTCCATAAAAGATTCGAAGCTTGCAAATGCATAAATCAATGCGCGCAATATGCATTCATGTATTTATTTATTTATTTTTACAACAGCAGTCAATTTATTCTAGTCTCTCATTGCTTTTCAATTTAAATTATAAATATAAAGTTAAATGTTCATTTTGGATGTCATGGTTATTTCACTTCCAATCGATTCAATAAATGTTCGCGGACCCAAGGAGAATTACGCGTTTTTTTTCTCTCACTCGATAAAATGTAATGTTTATGACATTCACGATGTTATTATGAACACTCACGTTATGAAGTATTTTTAAATCACATGCTGCAAGTAAAAATGCAGAACGTTTGCTAAGAGATTGATTTGAATGTGTCTAAAGAGTGAAAGCAAAACTTAATCAGATGTTCTTGAAAGCTTCGAAGTTAGGATATTTAACTAACTTCATAACAAAACACACACAATTCAGATTTTTTATTGCGACAAAGTACTAACATTAAAAGAGAACAATAAAGTTTTATCGCTAACCACTCTCTTGCAACCATGACCTACACTCAATCGGAAATTTCACATTTTCAGCGAATTTTTTTTGTTGTTTTGTATTCGATATGGCTTTTTGCGAGGATTGAAAATAAAAGTTTAAACTTTAAAGAACTCTGAAGCTCAGAGTGAGTGTAAAAAGCAATCAATCATGCAAGTAAACAACCCTGAAGATGTTGAACAAATGTTCGTAAAGCCTTTGCAAAATATTTCCTAGAATTTTACAATTTATTTATCATTCATTCATTTATGAAATAAATAAATATCTACTGAAATTACAGAAAAAGCCTCTCGCGGCATGAGCATTTAACTGGAAAAAGGAATTTAAATTTTAAATTTTAAATAATATTCTTTGTTGTTGATGGTTTGGCAAATACTTTCAGCATGAAATTTCGATAAATAAGCAAACTCATCACGTTTTCCCCACTGATAAATGCCACAACAATTAAAAACATAAAAATCAACATTCCGTGGTGTTTTCGACTTAAAACAAACTGTTAAAGTTAGCAAACGAAAGCTCGCGGTGTTGTCCTTCAAAAACTTTTTCGATACATTTCGCTGACAACTTTTTTTATTTAAAACTTAAAACTATTCAACATCACGAACTACTGCTAGGTGTGTGTGTTTGTGCGTATGTCATTTGACAAGTAAAATGTCGTAAATAAAGCGCTTTGTTTATTTATAAACTATGCGATATAATAATATTATTTCTAGTGCAAAAACCTAACTCAAGTTGCTACTACTCGCTCACCTTCATCGTCTCAATGATAACGGGCGCGAGAAACTAAATGTGATCAACTCAAATAACTATAAAATGAATTTCAAACTTATAATTTAAATTTTAGCTAAGCTGAAAGGTTCTTAGAATGAATGAAGAGTTAAGACAATTAAGTTAATTCCGAGCAATGTTTAAGTAATAAAAGTAACACCATAAAATTGAAATTAGATTACAATGTTGATGAAAAATGTTAATTAATGAATGTTTATCGAGATATGCAACCATAAAAAGTCAGTCACATGTAAATTGATTTCAATTTAGATTTCAATCATTCAAAAGTGTGATGTTTGATGTATCTACATAGATAAATGGGAAATATTAATTATTTGTCGTATAACACAAACACACACTCACAACCATGTCACATCATTTCAGTCATAGTATCTAAGTAAATAAAAAATGAATAACGAATAAAAAAACACACAAAAAAGCTTCGAGCGCCCATGAAAAGTGCGTTCACCGCAAGCGATTTAGCATTCGTCAGACCTTAGTCATTAACTATTATGACAAATTCAGGTTATGCAATCGACACATGTTAATTCATATCATAATTTTTAATCATCGTTCAATGGAGAGTTAACAAAAAGGCCGCGTCAAGCGTTGAGTGTTGTTTTGTTCACGTCATAAATTGGGTTGTTTGAAGCAATGCTTTTGAAGCCTTCTTTAACTAAATCTTTTTCTTTATGAATATGTTTTTTTTCAGGCGAAAATGTGAGTCTTTCTTCACTCAATTGAATGTCGAAGCCCATTTCTGTTGAGCTGACTCTGTCACACACATAATGTGCGGGGTTTTTTTATATTTCTCTCTTCTTTCCTTCGCCGCTTCTACTCAAGCAAATTATAAAAGCCGGAACGTGACATGATAATTTGGGTCATTCAATAAAGCGATGGAAGAATGAAATGTTGAAAAGAGATTTAATAACAACAATGTGTTTTTCAATTTTGCTTTTAATTTATTAAATACGAGTAAACCATGATTGCCTTTTATGCTCAACGCAAACTTTTGCGTTTGCTTTTTTATTATTTTTATTTTCTTCTCTTTCTTATTTGCAGAAAAATTAAATAAACAAGAAAATGTTTCCATTTATCATGAAAGATTTTTGTCAATAAGATATCAAAATGTCTGAGATTTGCTGAACATTTCAATGAGCTGCTGCTGCTGCTGCTGTTAGAAAGACATGACAAAATTTTCTGTTTCCCTTTCAACACAATCTCGATTGAAGGTGATATGACGAAAGAAATACCCTAAAATATCTAACTCGATTTTCCAAATCAAAGCTGACCTAAGTGAGCTGAGGGAAAATTCATTCGGCAACAGGTGAAATGTTGGGATCGAAAAAGAATCAATTTAATTTATTATTTATTGAAAACTCTTCCTTTCATCCGCATAAAAAGCAATTCAATCATCCATCGGAGAGCAGTTCACATAAGCGCTCATTAACTTACACTTCACATCTGATATTGGTATTCAGTTGAAGGCGGTTTCGATTTCATGTGAATAACCGCAAATAACATTGCGATTATCTTTCTAACGCGTTGAATGAAATGAAAAAAAAAATGTAAAAATATTGCGAATGTTCAAGGAGATTTACGAACTTAATGAGCGTAAGTATCAACAACAACGATTAGGCAATAGTTTTGGGGCAATAACATTAAGTTTCGAATATCCCAGCAACAGCGGCAACCTTTCTACACTCTCACTGGATGATTTGTCTCAAGCACCCCGACATTGTAAGTAGACAGATTGATGCCAATTTTTGTTTGCATAATGAAGTCCCAGGGAGGCTTCAACTGCTGCGATATTTTATGTTTATTTAATTTGTTTCCTTTTTTATCAGCTACTTTGTTGTTTGTTATCATAAAATTAAAATCAATGAACAAATTTATGTTTCTAACATTATTTAAATCGATTGGCTTTCCTGGGCTGTTCTCAATTTTTCATTTATTCGCTTTTTGTCTTCTCTCAAAAATATAAAAATAAAAAACAGAATTTTTTAATAAAATTTTAATATCTCTCGCCTGTTGCTTTTATGAAACATTAAAAGGTGTAAATCCATTATATTCTGTTGTTTATAATGTGGATCATGCGTTTCAAATCCGAATCAAATTGCAAGTTTTAAACGCAAATTAGTTTAAAAAGGTTTGGCACTCGATGAAGTGGTTTCATGTGTCTCCTTCTCTCCCAAACCATACTTGAATTTTGAAAAATAGTTTTCGCAATGATAGATTAAAATTTCTGCCAAGCTACAGTTGTAAGTTTGCTTATTGCATAATATGTTTCACTCCCTCCTTGTCCTAAACAACGCGTACATATTATACGTGAGTAACTTTTAATGTGGCTACGTGTGTCTATAATTTATTTCTTCTTTCATTTCTTTTTTATTATTTCGAGAATTCATAGATGCGAAGATATTTTTTGGATTACATTTTTGCAATTAAGATTGTGTGACCGACCAAAAGCGAAATATTTAAAGCAAGAGTAGCTAATTTTTTATGATTAATTGCAGCGTCAGAATTGCGATTGCCAAATGTATATCTAAGACATGTGGTGCAGTTGAGAGCTTTAATGAGTTTCACGTATTGAAGTTGAATAGGTCAGAAGTAACTTGTAGCATGTTGCGGATCATTAAAAACTCTTTTTATGGATTTGGCACAGATTTTTCATCACACCACGATGAAAAATTAATTAAAAATTCTTAAAACGTCTCGGAAAGTATTGAGATGCGTTTTTTGTTTTCAACTTTTCATTCACCAACATAAATTCACAATTCGCAAGTCGAGTCGAGCCATAAATAAACGCATTAGCTGTCTGTGATGTTAAAGATGGAAAAATGAACATTAAAATGTCGCGAGCGAACATGAAAAACAAAACGGAAAAGAAGAGAAAAGAAAAGCTTCGATCGAGACAAATAAAGTCAAGTTCAATCAGACTTTTTTCCTTCGAGTAATGTTGCAGATCTTAAATTCCATTCCATCCGTCGTCTCCATCATCAAAATTAACGATTCACTTGCTTCTTTAATTTTATCCGTTCATGCCATCAATTCATACATCACATAAACTTGTCTTTTGTCTTGTCTCTCGTTCTATGTACAGAAGAGTGTAAGCGATAATCCGCAAAGCATATTTTTATGCGAAGTCCACAGTGAAAGTTGATCGTAAAAACTTATCATTTCTTTATGATGATGTAAAACATTCTGAAGAAGTTTCTCCATCTTAGTTCAACCCTCGTCCAAGAACAAAGTTGTCTCATCCACAGAAGAAAAGCCAAATAAGTAGTTTTGATGACTCTTTAAAAAGGTTTTAATTATCAAACCGTCAGACATGTCACTCGTCTTCGATTAAACGATAAAATTTATTTAAAAGAAATCTTATTTATGACTTTCTTTTCCCCGGATACGACATCAGTGATTTCCGATCTCAATCTACGCATATACATGCATCGATGTTGGTGTTCACAACCGAATATTGTGGAACATTTACAAGCCATAAAGCGAGTAAATTATGATCAGGACATCGAGCCAGACACGAGCATCAACCGAATGTATAACAAGAAGGAAAAGAAGAAGCAACAGCAGTTCAAGAATATATTTTGACGTCTCATTTGGTCATAAAAATTCTTTTACGATTGTTTTGGGGCGAAAAAAATTCTTTTTTTTTGTTCGTTCTCTTTCCGACACACTCTGAACAAGCATAAACAATCCATCCAATCTCTTGGCTGAGTTTCAATGACCTGCAACATGGCAGAGAACGACGCAGAGTTGAATTTAATTTTTTAATAATATTTTAATTTGTATGCATGTCCTGATGACTTCAACTTCTCTCTGTCTTCTCGCTTTTCTTTTTTTCTCTCTCACTTTGTGTCTTCCCATCTGAGACTAAACATTTATGACATTGAGACACTTGATAAAATAAAAATTTTATTCATCCAATAACATCAAAATGAAATATGCATTCTGATGTCGTAAAAACTGTTTCACTTTCTATCGGAAAAATATTCTATGGTCTCATAAAAAAGACACGAAATCTCTATTCAATTTACTACTGAAGATTGCCATCATTGAATGATAATAAAAATGAGTAGAAGGAAGAAGTTTGTGTAGGGTTTGACTCTGATTCAAATGTCTTGTATTGAAGATTATTTCGACTTAACGATTCGTTACTTAAAGTCATTTCTTATTAATTTAAATGTCTGTTATGTTTGTGTAAATAAATATAAATAAAGCATGTAACATTGCATTACATTTCCCACAACATCTCATTGAATGAAAAGTCTCCATTCAAGATTTAAATTAAAAATGAAAACAAATCCAGATCTAAGGAATTTTACGACGACATTTAAGTTGATATTTTTAATGTTATCGTAAGTAAACGTCTTTGACTGCAAGCAGAAACCGTTGGTTTATTTTTATTGCCAAAGGAATGTTAAGAATAGCTGCAGAATGTCATTTCAATCGTAAACAAGAAGGAAAAACATAAAAATATGAAATGAATTAAAAAGTCAACTGTTATGAATGGTTTAAGGACGAAATTCTTCGTTTTTCTTGTCTCGCGGGATGCGATCTTTAAAAGATTCGTACAAAACAAACACAAGAAGTCAACGATTCGGTTTTATTTGCATTACAAATTGCACACTTTTGAGACTTTTCATGACTTGTTTGCTGTCCCTTCTGGTTTTGCTACGTAATCAAAAAACAAAAAATGATTTTCTAGCATAATTTTCAGTAATCGGTGAATAATCGATTGAAATTATTGATAACATCATCAATTTGGGGCAAATACTACCAGAAAATGATGACAGATGTCACACGGAAGTATTTTTAGTTTTTTATCATCTGAGTAATTATTTAATAACTGAGTAATCCTAAAAATATATTCAGCACAATGTGTCGTATAATTAACAACACAAAAACCTTCACAACTTTTGCATTTTACTTCACCACACCGAGAATTTTCCACTTCACCCAACAGTGATTTTTCCTTTTCATGGAAATCAGCTTCGAGAAAGAAGAAAGTCAAAGTCTCGAGAAAATTTAATTACGTTTCGGTGAAAAGGAAATCAAAACAATGAACTTTTGTCATTGAATTAAAACTCCAATCGAAAGCTTGCAAATTAAGAGGAAAAGCTAAGCAAAGAAAAGAAAAGTTCAGACTTAAAAATGAAGACGATTAAGAAGAACATGAAATGAAAAATAATTGAAGTTATTTTCCTCAATTTCATTGCAATTAAATTTGATCTTTTTGAGAATTTCCTTCAAGAAGAAGAAAAGTTCTCGTCTCACAATCGTCAATCATGAATGGTTATTGTCGTTTCTTTCGTTGAAAAGCCAACGTAGTAACGAAAAATGCTTTCATAAGCAAATAAAACTTATTCACTCAAAAAGAAAACTCAATTGGGTTTTAACATGACTCGAGTGGTTTTGGTTCATTCAACGAATTTATGTCGGAAAAGTTGACGATTTACTTCTTTACTTATCAGTCAGCATTTTCTATTCGTGATGATTGAAACTATGATAATAAGAAAGGAAAGAAAAAGAATTTAAAAAATTTATTCTCAATCTCATTAAATTCCTTAAGTTAATCAAAGAAGCAAAATTTTCTTGGAAAATTCATCATCGTCATTTATTTATAATTTCCGCCTAATCAACTCTTACAAATCTTTGTCTCGACGTTCAAATGACAAAACTTTCTTTCTTCAGCTCAAAAAAAACTTTTAAAAATGATTTCAAAGCAGGAATTTCGGAGTCATTGTAATTTACTTTAAGTAGAAGATTAATTAAAATGAAATTGTAAGACGCTGATAATTTTCCATTCGCTCGCAGGGCTTCTGAAGCATCATTTAAAGTTTTTTTTTAAAGATTTGCTCAAGTATAAAGTTTCCATGGCAAAGTCAACGCTACAAGTAAAGAGGTTTCAACCTTTGAAGTGCGTGGGCGTTTTTGCTACTCTCAGCCACCTTTCCACTTCCTTCCATTGAAGATTAATAAGAAAACGAAGAATTAAAATCTCAAGGGAGGGCAGAAAATGCTTAATTTTTCTTTCTTTTCCTCTCCTTCTTGTGCTGATAACCTCCGCCAATTAAAGTCAACTTATATCCGCTGTTTACATCAAAATCGCTTAGAATGAATTAATACAATGAAACTATTCACGTTTTGCTGATATTTATTCACGAGCACTGGAAATCCATCATGCTCGCCTATTTTCACAAAGAGAAGTCAATGAACGAAACTCAAAAATAGTTTTCACCTCATTTTCTTAAAATGATGACTTTATTTTATTTTATTCTAAATTGCTAATTAAAGTGTAATTGAAATGAAATTGAAATTGAAAATCTTCTTATGGAAACTTTTTATAGACGTAAATTGGAATTCCGATAAGTTAGTTTTTAACGATCCGTTAGTTCAATCAATGACAGCGTTAAGAAATCTTTTACAATGATCGATCTCGTCCTACCACGATTGTTCCAACTTTGCAAGGAAACAAAATTCAATTGTGGAAACATTTAGTGCTTCTTCCTTCTCTCGCCTTACGTTTCTTGTGAAAATAAATATTTCTTTTCAACTCTCAAACAGAACTTTTATTTTAGTTTGTTTTAACGATAAAAAGAAAGAAAGAAGAAAAAAAAACATCGGTGTTGTACATGGAGTTGAACGAACGCTTTGTTTTACGTTTGATAAAGTAAAGTGTCGAATTTCGTACGGAATGTTTGCTAATTGAGTTCGATAGAGGTAGATTATAAATATCTAAGTGAAAATTTATACTTTGAAAATTAAACTTTGAAAATATTTTTATGATTAAGGAGTAAATGTTTTGGGATATTTATAAATAAAAGCTGAAGCGTTAACTTTTCTTTTCTGTTATCACCTTTTTTTTCGGTGCTTTTGAAGGAACATTCCTTTCTTATTAATAAAACATTTTCTATTTTAATACTTGAATAAAATATTAAATATCCAAGGAGTGAAGAAAAAACGGTAAAATTAACTTTAAAATGAAACAATATATTTAGCGCCATCTATGAACGAACATTATTTTCCGATTTGAATTTAATCGTGTCGTTGAATAAATAAACTTTAATGTGTCACTCACCTCTGACTATATTTATTCCATACTTGCTTGATGCTGATGCCAATAATCTATTTTGTAATATAGCTAAATTAGCTTCTACGTTCAAATCAATAAAATTGTCTTGTTGGCTTTGATTCGTAGAATCGATCACTTCGTTGTTGTTTTCCTCCTTAATTAAGAATTTAAAGGCACATTTTAAGTTTTTTTTATACTTTTATCAAAGTTGTTTCTTACCTTTATATCTGCCGTTGAAAATTCCGAAAAGAAAGTCTCCAGCTCAAAGGTATTCTCAGTTAGTTGACGTAATAATTCATCAGAATCATTACAGTTAAGCGATTCTAAATTTGCTAAATCACAGTTTACAAGATCTGATTGATTCTGATTATTTTGCTGTTGCTGTGGCTGCTGGTGTTGTTGCTGTTGTGATTGTTGTTGTGCTTGCTGATTTTGTTGTAACTGAGGCTGAGGTTGTTGGTTCATATTATTTTCAGACATATCCTAAATATCCATAAAAGATTTAAATCAAATTAGAATGAATATCAAAATTGGCAAAAATGATTAAAAATAACAATTCAAAATTTTGTGACCTGAATGCATTGAAAATCTCCTATTCGTCCATCACCTGAAGGACTCCATGTTGAAAACATGTCATCCTCAATAAAAGGCATCGCCACTGGAACGGCTGAGCCTCGAAGTTGTGTAAGTGCCAGCTTAAATCCTTGATTATAATTTTCTGTTTCACAAAAGTTCATTAAAATATTTTAAGACACTTCACCGAAGTTCTGTTCAGCTGTCAGTTCTGTATATTAATTCAAGTCACTTTCAGTCTTTTAAGATGAAACTTTTAATAATGTAAAAGTTTATAAAAAAAGCAACTACCTATTATTGTCAAAAAAAAGCTCTGATAAACTTTTCAATTTTTTTCTAATTCTTATTTGTAATCACAAGGCACTTATAAACATTGTACTCAGATGACGGTTCGCAAATTTTAAGTAAAAGCACTTTTAATTGTTTTTTGGTCCTTATCTGAAATTAAAAAATAATTAGGTTTAATAATTTGAATTAAAAGAAAATTTTGTTAAATTTTAACAGTTTTTTAGATTTTGTATTCAAGACACATTTCATCAGAAACCCAACAAATGAAACGGTTCAAAAACTCACCACACGAGCGACGTAAGAAAAAATTATATTCATTACGTACGTTTCAAGTAAGTCTGACCGGTCAACTGAAGTGTTTATTTTCTCACATTTTTTATTTTTAAAAAGTATCAAGTTATGTTATACTAACAAATCTCATCTTTCTAAATTTTCAACATTAAAATGATGAGAAATATCCATACCGCAAATGTCTGATGTTTTATATTCTTATCTGTTTAAATTTTAAAATTGTGTATAATATTTTATTACATTTTACAATCAAAATATTTATCAAATATATTTAAGGTAAGCAGTTGTGTCACTTTAAGTTGTTCATGCTTCTGACGTTAAAAAAAAATTATGTTTCATTCGATTCTTTCAATTTTGTTACAATCAAAGTGAATTGTTGAAAATTTATTTCATAAATTTTTGTTTATTTACAAACATTACGTCAGTTGACGTTAACGTTTAGCTAAGACACATATTTGAATACTCAACGTATTTCGTTCCTCTATTTTCAGAGCTTAAAAATTATAATTCGAATGGAACAGAAGAATAACTCGTCAAGCGATGAAGAACTTGATGTACAAAGTGAAAAATTTAATCCTTTGAAAGCGTTGTATGCAAAACGAATTAAATTGCCATGTAAAAATGTTAAGAAACTCGATAATGTCAGCAGCTTTTTGTCTCGCGTTCAAAGAGCCGGCAATGTTCTTGACTCTGATCTCAATGTTGTTCCTAACAAAACTAAAAAGGATCAAGAAACTGAAGCAGTTGATACACAAAAATATCACATAACAGCACATGGTAGAAAGTTTTTAAAGGAGCAAGGTAATTAATGATTTTTAATAATTTAATTTTGCGATTCATCAGAAAACATTTCACAGCTCCAATACATCGTGGAAAAAGCTCAAAATTCACACGAAATATCTTCAGTAGAATGGAACAATGTAAAGGTCCATTAGAGCTGCTAAAGAAATTCAGAAATAATAAAACAAAAGTGATAATTTATATAAGAAAAGAACATGGAATAAGAGGCACAATCACAGGTTTCATCAATGCATTTGACAAACATTTAAATATCGCGCTTGTTGATTGCATAGAAATTTGGAAACGAAGAAAATTTAACTTCAGTGAAAATAAAGTTTTGCTCGGTCAACCAGAAGATTGCTCGAAACTTCTCAATTTGATGGGCATCAAAGTTCCAGAAATCACAACTAAATCAATCAATAGAAAAACTGTTGAATGTACGAGAAAAATCCCTCAACTTATGATTCGTGGCGAAGATGTTGTTCTCGTGGCAGCCAAAGATGAAAAAGGAACAAATGATAGCATTAAATCTTAATCCACTTGTCTTAAAATGTTGTCATGAAAACTTTTTAATTTCTCAGATTATTTTCATCGTCGCCAATAAAAAAAACGAATTAAAATTATCGCTTTTGTTTCAATTTTTTCTTTAGTAGATGACGGAAAGAAATTAAAAGATTTTAATATCAATCAATGTACACAGACTTCTAATAAAGACATATGCACATTTAATTAATTCACAACTTGTGTGATAATAAAACTTTTTTTTTTCTTCTTCTACTTTCAATTGAGAATCGTTAAATTAATGAATTAATTATGATCAACTGTATGAAGAGTGACTTTGATCACTTATTCAACACAACAAATATCGTGATGATGAAGAGTGAAAGAGCGGTAATGAAAGGAAAAACGCGTCCAATTAACGCACTCTCAGCACATCAACAACAAAGCGTAATTGCAAAATGAAAAGTGAATTTTATGCCGTAATGTTACGTTTTTCCTCAACCGTCGATTGGTGAATGATCGCAAGCTGCTCGAGTTGAATGAAACTTTTCTCGTTTTTCTTGCTTTCCATTTTTCTTCTTTAATGCTCACACGCTAATAAGCAAGACTAGTCGAAAAGACTTTTGTTTTCTAAACAAAAAAAAGAAAAAATAAAGCAACAGTCGAGTTAATGATAGTGAAAATTTCCTCACGAGCCGAGAAGAAGAAAAATTGGAAAATTTTAATACGCGAGAAGTTCAACGACTCTCGTTCTCTGCCTTCGTCGCGGTAGGAAGTTCAATGAATTGAAAACATTAAGTAAAAAAGCTCACTTTTCCTCACAAACACTCAACAGCGTGCATGCAGTGCAATTTTAAATGGTGAAAAACGGTAAAACCAGTTGAGCACTTTTGTCACAGTTTCATTGACATTGCTGTTCAATTTGCAACACACATGCGGGGTTTCGCATGTTGACTTCATGTTTGCTCTTTCAGATGGCGAGTTTTTTCTCCCCGACATGAGTTTTGAGGCTCATGTTGTGTGCGATGTAATTGAGATTTTTAAATATCAACGACACATGTGAATAAATGTCGGCAGTAAAGTTTTTCACTAAAATTTCTTAGATTATCAAACTGAAGGAAATTTCGTCATTCAATTCACGATAATGTTTGTTTGTTTTTCTAAGATCCCACGTAATAAGATAAGCTGATCTTAAAGTCATAAACATTAACAAAAAAAATAAATGTAAAAGCATAAGGAAAAATTGAAACCAACTTGAATTGAATGCTCTTTGAATTTATAGACAAAAACAAAGAGGGAATGAAAAACTTTCTCCGATGTTAACAACTTTAGCTGGTTTTTTCTTTCTTGCTTCTTTTTTCCTTTTGCAATTGCTATTATGTTGGAAGAATTTCAATATGATGTCATTTCTGGTAAGTTTTATCTTGATTATGCTTTTGTGGTTACACAAAGCATAAAAGAAAATCGAATTAGACAATGAATTGTTCGATATTATTTACGTACAATGCCCCACCTCCTCCTCCTTCACCTCCTTCGCTATTATCAAATCAAAGCAAGAAAAATTTTAAATCACGAAGTCAAAAATGCCAAATCTATTATGCTTCTCGTCGCTCAAACCGCCTATTATTCATTTTAAATGCAACATTCATCAATTCAAAAAAGAATAAATTCGTGAATTTTCCAAAGCATTTCATTTGTGACTTTCAGTTGTGCCGTTGAACTTCTTATTTTTTTGCTGTTTTTATTGTCTTCAACAAAGTTTATTGAGCTCTTTTTTTCACTTTCACTGGCCGCGAAAAATTTCGATTTCAATATCAAACGACCGATGCAGAGAGCATAAAATGGATTTTTAATTGTGAGATTATTTGATTCGCTATGCGGTTGTTAAATGCTATAAATTCAATACTAAGAGTACCGCGTGAATATTGTAATAATGGAATAAATGAAAATGAAAAGAAATAAATAGAAATGAAATTTTTTCAAAGGTCGTTTAATGCTTGCAATTAATTTTACTTTTATGCTGAGTCATTTGGTCGTCGAGTGAACTGCTTTAACTGGTTATATCTATCAACCTATCTACCATATCGCTTATATGTATAGAATTTCTTTTATTTCATCATTAAAAAAATTAAACGACGTTTCATCATCGATTCAAATGGAAGTCGTTTGTTTGTTTACGAATTTTAATGTCTGCCTAGGTATTTATTGTCACTTGTAGGTTTGTAGTTTACTTTCAAAAACCTTTTTACGAAATGACCATTTTAATGAGAAGCGACAAATTAGTAACGTAAGAAATGAATCAAGTCAATGAATTTTAAAATGTCTGCTTGAACTTTCGTAAAAAATTCTTATTTTGTGCTATTTAGATAGTTGAAGCTCTCTCTCTCTCACTCTATCTGGTATTGTTGCCTTGACACGTGCTAATTTCATTCGTTTTGTAAACAAATATCGATAACGATAATCACTAAGTCAAAAACTGAAAGCTTTCTGGCACAAATATTTATTTTCTAAATCCTCATTTTATTTAATAAACAAGTTTAAAGTTTTTTGATGAAAAAGAAAAGTTCTTTCGTCTTGAGGCGATAAATGTTGTAAGTCATTAAATATGTATTTGATATTCACTGCATTTATGCATGTAGATAGTGAAAGGCTTATCAAGATTTCCTTTTATTAATTATTTAATGAAATTTCTATCAGTAAATCATGTTTTTAATTAACAGTGCTATGACGGATAACAACTTACCATTTTTTAAGAAAAATATTTTTAGTCACTCGTTGAAAAGAGAAACGTCAAGTGTTTCTACCGGAAGTTTCCTTCACCTTGAAATTCTGGAAAGAAATGAAAGTTTCTATTAATCAAGTTACATTCCTGATTAAAAATTTAAATAATTAATAAGAAGAATTCATCAAATGGAAATTCAAATTTGTTGATTTGTCATCATTCACATCAATCGTATTGAATAATAATAAAAGCTTAGATACAAGCATAACCAGTAAGCCATATAGAAATAAATTAAGCACCCGACGTGTGACGAGAGAGTCCTTGGATGATTAAATTCTATTGAATTTTATGCACAACCACATGTAACCACATGATGAAGTAGCAAAGACTTTTAAGTTGCAATGTGTTAATTTTTACCAGACACGCAGTGTCGGATTTATTTGGAAGTTAATTCACATACTGCATAATCAACATCACATCCCTAAGCACAACTCTGCTTGTTTACTATTACACATTTCATTTAAAATTGATAACTCTTACACACACTCCAGCTAAGCTTAACCAGCAAAGTTGTTTTGTTTTCGTTGAAAAGAAACCAGGAAATAATTCTCGAATGGCTTTTAAGTTTTGAATCAAGGACTTTCTTCGGAATTTTATTTGGACAAATAGTAGTAGTAGAAGCTTCGATCACTTGACGAGATTGACTCGTCGTATCTTTGTATAAAAATGGTCAAGAGAAAACTTTATTTTTGGATATTTTGTTTTGGGTTTTATGAAAATATTTGCAATTCTTGTGAGTCATGTTCTCAGATGATGATGATGATGATGATCATGACAGAATACATCTCACGATCTTATCAGAAGTAACAGCGGAAAAAAGTGTTCAATGACAAATAATTTAAGTAAGCTGCACGCGCGATCTTCCAAGGTCACGGTAAAATGCGTAAAAATATTTTTTCCTTACAATCATTCACATCAAGCATAAGCATTGATATGTCAAGCTGAACATTACACACATTACCGCCTTTTTTTCCACCGAACAATAAGTAAAGAGTAGAAGAGTAGAGCAGATTTACGTCTATAGCATTTCAACGATGTTCACTTTACTCTGACTGTGTCAGACGCATTCGTCGATGTATTCGTCATAACCTTCTAATTCACAAAAAAAAAATAGTTACAAGCTTTTCTAAGGTTGAACATCGTAATTTTATGAATGTGTTTGTCTATTAACGTTGTCTATATTTTGCTTTATCTATTCGTTTCTATTTGATCTTGAATTAAAGGTTTCATATCGTTGTCAAAGCTTTTCCACTGTTTGCACATTGATTAGAGCGCGTTTGTAAATGTTCCTTATGATTGCCGGTGTAATGATGTGTTGTATTTATTTAATTATCAAGCCCTTTTAATTTTCTTAAAATGCTTATGTGTGCTTACTGGTTAGTTAGTTTTCACTGCATACGATATTACCGTTCAAGTTCATTCCGATAAACATGTGATAAGAGTTATGAGAAAATAAAGAGAAGAGAAATAACAAATTTAACTTCCTTCTCACAATGATGCAATTGTGGTTGTGGCATTGAAATTGCAATTCTTAAGAGTCGCAAAAAAAGAAATAAAAATAGACGTCTCTGAACTACCATAATTGGATAGCAAATATGAATTGAAATGGACAAATACGTCGAGTTTGGTATCCAGCAGCGGAACTGAAATTTCAAATGATGCTTTACAAAAATGCAAACACAACACCGTCGTCATCGCCCAATTGCCTCATGGAGTGGCGAAAAAAAACCAACGTCTTAGCATTGAAACATCAAACATGATTTTCTCGTCGATTTCCGCTTTCGTGTTAAGACTTTAAAACAGCCAAAAACAAATTCCGAAGTAAACTAAATCGCCACAATGAAAACCGAATGCTTTTTGATCATTACTCGTAACAAAGCAGCTCGACGACGGTTAATTCAATTGCCAAGGTAAAATCATCAAAGTAGAATTGTTTGCGCAAAAAAAAAACAATCTCAAAGTGAAATTAGGAAAATATTTACTTAATGATTGTTCCTAAATCGCGTCTCATTTTTTTGCTTAGAATCACCTTCACTTCTCGCGCGGCTCGGTATAAAGCAAGGCAAGTGATAAACATGACCTCGCTCAAAAATGTTATTATGATAAGAACTTTCAAGGAGCTTTTTTTCTTCTTCTTATTGTCAAGTGCCTCGTGGAGACATCAAGTAAATTTCTCTAACATTCTTGGTAATGATGGCGTCATGACATTTTAAACATGATGTTTCACGTCTTTTAAACGACTCGCCAAACCTTGAAGTAAGAATCTCGCAGCTTGAAAATAATTTACTAAAATTAAGCACTTCAAGAAGACCCTGAAGCAAAAGTTACAGCTTTAAATCAGCTGCTTGTGAGGTATTCAGAAGCTCCTTCTCCCTGCACACTTCCTTCTGTGTTGTCATAACGTTAAGAATGATGAAACTCTTTAAGTGGTTTTTCTCTGTTTTTAAATCTTGTGAAAAATTAAACAACCGTTCGTTGTGACATGAAAGCATTTAAGCATTTATTTTTCTCACTCATCAATTTCAATTTATTGAGATGAATTTTAATTAAACTATTATATAATTGAAATCTGATATGAAATCAGAGAAAAACGACATGACAAGCAATTGAGAGAGAATTTCGGACGACCATGAAATGAACTGGAAATTAACATGCACTGATCGAAATTGCTGCTTGATAATTTCTCGCACTCTCCTAAATATGAAATTCTTGACGTCATTTAATAATTTTCAACGTCAGACGATGGAAAATTCCTCTCCGTGTAGACGGCAATTTTATAATAATTAAAGCATGATCATTAACATTTGCATCACCTTCCTTTTTTTTCATGATATGATCTAAGATCCTAAAGTCACTGATGAATTAAAAACCATTAAATAAAGTTTATCTACTCTCTTCTTGACACTTCTGACAGAATGCGAAATGTTTGTGTTTTAAATGGAGTTTGAATGGAGTTTTCAGTGACGGTGGCCTTCGTTTAAGATTTAGAAAAATAAATTTTAAGTTTGTGTCATAATGACGACGTTGAAGACTGGCTGCGTGAACTCGGAAGTAGAAGAAATATAAAACAACAATGAATTAATGAAGTGTCGGTGACGACGATGGCTTTGAGGTGAATTTATCTGTTCTTCCGTTAATAATTAAAAGAACCGAATTAATTTCACAGATGGTAACAATTCCGGAATGGCACCAATAAGAAGCCATGAAATTTTGATAAAAGAAGCGGAAATTGCAACGCTTATTCTATCGGGACAGGAAGTGACTCACTCTTCACTTATACAAAATAAATTTTATGTCCTTCATCAGTCATGTGATTTTGATACACGAACACGAGCGAATTCTTTTTCACGGTCGACTCGTTCTGACGAAATTTTTCTTCATTACATTCAAAACTGCTCCTGATGACTTAATGTCGCTTTCTCAATTAATTACTTTATTAAACGTGTAAATAAAATCCTTCTTATCTGATCCTCGTGTTCCATATGATATTGAAACTTACAACGCGTTTTATTAATCATCATTAATTGAAAATCAAGTCATTAATAGGCGGCCCCACATATGAAAACTATTTAATAAATCATTACAGCTTGGGGGAAAACAAACGACAGACGAGAAGTGAGGAGATTAAGATTGTAAATATGTAAGTTTGTGACGTTAATTAAATAATAATTTAAAATATAAAAAACCGCGTCTGACTTTGCGCATTTGTTTGTCTCATTTTCAATTCGTGCAGTAACTGTAAGTGAGTAGCCTTCAAGGCTCTCTTATAATATCTATTAAGCAACAGCACCCGTTTTAATTAAACTTTTAAAATTTCATAAAACGCAGGAAATGATTTTGTTTCATTTCATTTCATTGGTTTATGCGACTCGCATGGAAATTATGGAAAGGAAATCTCACTCGATTAGATTGCATAAGATTTCTACGACCTTGAAGGGAGAGTGAGTGAGAGATTTAGAGGAAGAGAGATGGAGAGAGAAGAACTATGATTTGATTTCATCACCGGCAAATAATTAATTGTCTAATAAAAAGCCTGATTCTACCGACAACAACAAAAGCAAAAAAATAAATTTATAAATAGTTGTAAATTTCATTGTCGAGTCATTTGACCTCCGATGGTGACGTTTGATGCTACTAGCAAAATCCCCGTTAGATTTCATATGAAATGTTTTCATTTCAATTAATCTTAAGCTGCTTATTTCGCTCTCAAAAATTAAAATATTGAATCGTTAAACTTTCGAACGAAGGGAAAAAAAATCCTCGATAATTTCTCGCGTGTAGGCAGTTAAATGTATTTTAATTAAATTATTAACATTAAAAACGCGCCGTATTAATATTATTGAAGAAAAAAAATGCATAAATCGAAAGCAAACTTTGTATTGTTGCCACTTGTATTGAGACGTACTGAATGCACGATCGTACATATTTAAAAAGATGTAAAAAAAATTGTTTTCCGCGTTTGGTGACCTCTAAACAATAATAAATGCTTAGAGTGAAAATGACTAGAGACTCTTTAGGCTGCAAGTAGTCGATTCAAACTAAAACTAATATCTACACTTCAATTGTAAATTAATTACCTAATATAAAAAAAAATGAAAGTTTGCATTAATTATTTCATTATTCTTGTTGTAGATTTAGGTAAAAGGAAAAGGCGCAACATTCTGTTCAGTAATTTTTCTAGAACTATTGTTTTGTTTATCTCGTTTGTATTGTTGAAGCAGCTAGATAAACTAATGACAAACTGATAGCTCATCATAAACTGCACATTGCAATAGAACACAAAGGGAACTTTAGACAAAAAGGGAAATTTTCATGACTGTGCTGTGAGGTATGAGTGATCAGACCTTGGTCATTAATTAAATATTCATATTCTACACAGTAGAGAAATGCTCATGCAAATAATCATTTTTTCATTTCTAAAGATATTGTTTGATTGTGCTCCAGGCGATGTTGTTTGAACGAGTTCAATTGTGGGTGTATTAGAAAAGCTTCCAGACTCATAATGGAAAATGCAAATGATGGAAAATTTCTCTTATTTATTTCATCAGATGCAGAAAATAAAAATTGGCAACAGACGATCTTAAATAATAAATAAAAAAAAGAAGATAGAAAGGCTTTCAAATGAAATATAAATTGGCTGAGTGAAGATTGTCCAATAAACGATTTCAAATGAATAATAAAAGCATAAGCAAGCAGAGAGATTTTCCAAAATAAATTAAACAATTTTTTACTTGTTAGAAAATTAAATTGTATCGTTTCCACGATTATAAAGAGAAATTTATGAGATAAGCGAGTGAATTGGAGTTTAACTGAAATTTTAATTTGATTTTTGGTTTTGAAATCTTTTTCTTTCTTTCGTTTTGAAGATCATCGTGAAGTTTTGTTGCTGCTGCTAGCACGATAACCACACTCGACTAACTTCGTTGATTGAATAGACAAACAGCTACGAAACTGATGTAAGAAGCCAAAAACGCGATGATCAACAATGATTGAAATAATTATGAATGAATTACTCTCCTTGCATGAAATCCTCAAGCAAGATGAAAATTTCAAGAGCATTTCAAAAATAAAGAAGAAAATGAAACTTGAACAAAAAGAAAGAAGAGAAAAAGTGCATAAATAAACATTAAAAGCGTCGTGAAATGATGATTTTGTTTCGTAAAATTTCCTTCTCGATCTTTCGTCTGAAATCCTCTTATGAAAAGCAGGCATCTGCATGATGAGTAAGAAGAAATGCCAGAGCTTATTCGGAAAGACAGCGTAGAGAACAAGAAAGAAAGAAAAAAAGTTATGAACTCGCCAAATGAATTTATTGCATCTCGTGCGAAGTCTTGAAACTGATTCGTTTAAATTATGATGCATTTACCGTTAGCTTATGAGGTCCGTGTGGCTTAACTTTATACTTTATATTTTTATCGAAACAACATAAAGTGTCATGTCATGAAAGCAAAGAAATATTTATTAAAAAGTAAATTATTAAAGCAACTTCTCTCTTTCTCCATCTCCATCGTTTAATCGTAAACGTCGAAACTTTAGTCATGACACGATAGAAAATTATTAATTTTCACAAATTAACTTAAAACACATAAAAGTAAAAAAAAGCAGAACAGCAGTAAATAAATGACAACAGCAAATGAGACATGGAAGAACCAGCAGACGACTGGTCAACAGTAATTCAATACCACGAATGGAAAGAGTGAATGTGAATGATATGTTTGAAAAGTGAAATGACAGAAGTGACAACATTTGCTCGAAAACAGTTCACATTTAAAATCAAAGCCGCTTCAAAACTTGGACATTTTGAAATGAGATGCGCGAGCGAACAAATGGTTTAAATTAAAAATTGAAATCACTTCATTTACTCAAACGCACGTGTTTGCAACGGGTGTGATGCGTTTATTTATTGTATTTATTGCACATCTTGAATACAAGCTTGGGCGTTTGATTTTATACATACTTAACTGTTACATTGTAGAGGGTTGAAGGCGATTAAACAGAAGTTTAATTCCCTCGCTCATAACTATGAATTTTAATTCTACTTTGGAAAGAAATTTAAAAAATTACTTCAAGATGGATGAAGAAATTTCATTCTCTTCAAATACAGCAGACAAAAATCTGTAAAAGTTCATTTCACGTGAAGCATTTAAAAATATTTGTTGAGCATAAATGAAAAGATTTTTTATTGTTTTAGTTACTGCCACAGATTTTTCCTCATTATTCTTAAGTTTTTTTTATTATTTTGATGCTTTCTCAGCAAATTCATCTTACTCGCCAGAGTTTCATGGGTTATTCAAGTTTATAAATACATCATAAGTTCGCATTAAAATATTAATGTCGATACTAGTGTTTCTAAGATGAATGTTCGTTCGAAGCAATGTGGGTTACTACAGTTCAATGCTTTATTCGTCACATGAACGAACGTCTCTTCTTCTTTTTATATTTTCGCGCAATTTAAAATGTGATTTTGTGTTGTTCTAATCGACAACATTTTAAATTGCTTTCTCTTTGAAATTTACACGAAAATGTATTTAATATATAAGCAATGTAGATATGTTAAACATTGATGGTCTAAATAGAAACGTCGATTAATAAATTTAGTTCCTAATGATTTGTTTGTGAACTTCCTCAATGTTTATTTAAGAGTATAACACATCAAAACTGATACCAATAATTGATTTACGACAATGACCGACGAAGTTGAGGTGAAAGAACTCCAATTTCGAAGCAAAACATCGCACATTTGTATTTATGTGGAGTATTCTTACACAGCACAAATGTTTATCATCTCGAGAGCGTTTTTATTTTTCCTTTCTCGTCTCTCAATATTTTTTTGTCTGCCCTCGGTCGCTCAGCGATTAACTGAACACAAAAGCGTGCTCGTCATCTCTCTAGATTGTTTTAACGCTGATTTTTGTGATCAGTTTATGAATGGAAAACTTTAATTTTTTTTGCTTCGTTTCCTTTGTTTTATTTTATTTTTTTACTGAACAAGATCTATGTCGACTAAATGAATTAATAGAATTGTTAATCGGTTTGATCTTAAGGTTCAAGGTACAACTTAATGGATACCTCAGAAAAACAATCTTCGAGACTTTGTAACTTCAACAAATCAAATATTACGCAATTATAAAACGTTTTTGTTTTGATACACAAATTACCGGTGCTGCTCTCAAGCGAAGATCATAAATGAGAGATTTATAGTTAAATAGAACTTTAACGGCAATTTACTGGAAGCTTAAGAAGGAATGATAGAAACCTTTGAAACGTTTTTCAATTTAGCTTCTGCCTTACAAAACTCAACTTCAGCCTATTGCAAACCATAAAAATGCTTCAAATTCTAAGAATAAAAGTCGAGCTAACATCGCTTAGTTCTGTCGACCACATAAACTATCTAAACGTCATAAAACATTTTCCTCGGAATGTTTTTCGAGACATGCTTAGTGAGGGATTCATTTGAAATTATTTGATTTCTTCTTACATGTTAATTACATGTTTGCCAACATAAAAAAAGGAAAAAAGAGAGAAAGATGATGACGAGGAAAAAGAAGAAAAAATAAAGAGAAAAAGTTGTGAATAAAACAATTTTTTTGTTGAGCTAGGTTCATATTGTTTGCTTCGAAGGGAAAGGTCGTTAACATCTCGCCGCTGCCTATACATCCACATACACGACCGTTCATAGCTCAATAAGCAAACAAACATCATGAAACGGATAAGGCAAAATGAAAAGCTTCGAGGAAAATTGCGACTCGTGAAAACTCTTCACAAATTGCGAGTCTACGCTCGCCTTAAGCTTGATTTATTTATGTAATCTTCGAAAAAACAAACAAAATACATATCGTGGTAATTAAGATCTAAGTACATTTTAATCCATTGTATTATTATTAATACTTAATATGTAGTTATAAAAAGCAAAAGCTTCATGAAATACGCCATTTAAGCTGGAGAAGAAAAAGAAGCAGCAAACTTTCTTTTTCCTAGCCTTGCATTTCGTTGAAGTGGTAAATAATGATAATCTTAATTCATAACATTTTAATCATGACATGATGCGAACTCAACGGTTTATTCTCTAAACTCTCCCGTCACGGTTTTGTCTTTGTGTCAGTAAACTTTCGGTTGAGTTAAAAATTGCTTCAACTTTATCATTTTCAAATGTTCAAGACTGAAACATTTTCATGAAGAGAATGACAAAAAAATCTTGTGAAAAATTAAACAAACATCTTCGTTTGTAATTTGTCTTATTAAACGCCCTACACGAGAAAAGCAAAACAAAAAAAGTTCGGTATATGTTTAAGTAAGCATAAGCTTACCAAATAACCTTGTCTTTGACCCAGATAATCACTTTTCCTACCACGGTGAATGAATGAAACAAAAAGAGATAATTTTTGTAAACTTTTTCTTTTTAAAGTAATTTCAAACCGGCAAATGAAATAAAGAAAAGAGTTTCGCTTTTTTTTTGTTTTTTGTTTTTAGTGCTCACATCGACTAAGTTTTCGTTTTCGATGAGAATTTCGTGCGTATTTGTTTCACTTTCCTCCGAGTTTTCTTTCTTTCTTCGCTTCAAATTAGATTAATTTTAATCAGTGTGCTTCGTGTTTCTTGGTAATTTTGCCAAAACGTGCGTGAATGTGTGCGTTGATTACTCTATCTTTAGTTCTCAGATTTTTATTATATTTTTTTGGTGGCAAAAAGTTAATAAACTCTGAAAATTTTAAACGGGGGTAGAGAATGAATGTTCAGCTGTGCAGGTAAATGAATTTAGTTTTGTGCGAAAAAAAAAAAGAGTTTTTACTCGAGATCATTCACATTTGAACTTATTTTGTTGATAAATTTTCACTGTGCTGTCGCTTAGCATATGAAATATGAAAAAATATTTAGTAGAAGTCAAAAACCTTATTTCAAATCATTTCGACGAGCATTTGGGAATAAATATGACATCAACTCGATAGATTGCCTTCGTTAAGCAACATTGTCTAACATTAAGATCAACAAGCGTAAAGAGAAGAAAAATGTAATGTAGAAAACAGAAAATCGAAAGTGATCATATTTCAATTTCTTTCACTTTTCAACAACAAAGTATGCAGTTTCCATGATGGTTTTTCAAGTTTTTCCACATTGAGCTAACGGTCGATTTCAAGAGGTCTTTTTAAGTTTTCACTTGTATTTCCAGTTCTCACTCTGACTGATCATTAACCTTGAGTTTGAATGGCAATTGTTCCATAGCAGAAAGACTAAAACTTTTTGCATATAAAATAAAAAAAAGCAAAATCGACTTCAAGCTTTGTGATTTTTATTTCTTTCATTTTCGAAGCATTGAGCTTGACTTTGATCACTCGACTTTGATTTTTTTTAGATCACCAGCTACTGGAAGTGCGTCAGTTTGAAGCTTGTGTAAAATTATTCCAGACAAATTTCAACATTCACCTCGTTAACAAGAACACCGAAAACTGATAAGATTTTATAATTAATTGTCGTTATGACCTATAAACATTTCTTATAAGCGCGTGAGCACACAAAACAAAACAAAATAAAAAGAAGTTAGCAAAATATCATCTGGAGTTTACATTTTTTGTATTGAAGAGACTAAGTGAAAGAGAAAAGTACGCGTGAAAGTTCATTAGCACGGACTTTAGAATTGAGAAAAAGTAATAAAATAAAATAAACGCTTCACGCATCTGTTTGAAGAAAGGCATCAAGTCAAATCTAAAAATATTTTTATATTCATTATAGAAGCTTTTTATCAATAATCGACAAATGTTTCCATAACATTTTACTTACTCATGCGGCGGGGTTGAAAGTTTTTGTATGAAATGATGTTGGATGTAATTTTGTTTCAGGAAATGGTTAAAACTTATCAGGAAAGTTCTCATAAAAGACAGAAAGACGTGTAGTTGTCTTGTGATTTATGACACCACGATGAACGTAGGAATATTTAAAACGTGATGATGTCAAATAAGTTTTTTTCGACTCTGGTCGTTTACCTTGATGAGATTATTTTCGGCAACTTTTTTTTTATAAACATCTTGTCAAAAAAATTATTTACAGATTGATGAAAACATCGGAAGTTGTATCAGGTGAAGTGGAAAATGATTAAATGATAAAAGAATGTTTATTTTTGTTTAGTCAACATGACTTCATTGAAACAGCTGGTAAAGCGTCATCGATCGATTAAAGCTCATTAACTTTCAAGTTGCAACCCCGAAGAATTGATGAACTCAACTTATCGAAATCTTCTCAGTTCTCTTTAAGATTTGCCCTCAAGTTGTGTCTTAAATATGGAATATAACGAGTTGAGTTCAATAAATTGACTTAAAGCACACACACAATCTCTCCCTTTCCCTCTCTCTCTTATTGGCACTGAAATATGAGAAATCATTAAACTTATCAAGCAACTCCGAGCTTAATATTCCCATCACTTCACTTCGTATTCTCACGGAGGATAATAAACTTTGTGAACGCGACGAAAAAAAAAAGTGAAAGATGCATGACCCAACGACTGTGAAGCATTATTACTCATTCAAGTGCCGATATCTCTCTCACTCTTCTTACAAGTTTCAATTTAATTGTCAAGGACGTTCATTTGCAGCAGTAATAATAACGAAAAGTCGTCGATCTTCTTACCAATGCAAATATGGTCGTAAGTTATTTATGAAAAGAAAAAAAGAAACATTTGTCACGCGTTGTAATCCATCAAAGGAAAAAATGTTAATTTGTTGGTGGATAACACTAAACCAACATAAATTATGCGAAATCAATCCGCACACTACTACATCGAAAGAAACAAAAGTTTCGTACGATGTGCGATGACCTCTCTCCAGGCCATATAATTGGAACATTGAGTCGTATTTGTGTCAAGGTCGTTGAGCGATTCACTATAAAGTTTTTGTTATTTATGTGTGCGCGGAAGAGCTAAATAAAAAAACCTTTTTTTGGCAATAAATACGAACGATTGAATGATGGCAAAAGACGAAAAATAAATAAATAAAAAAGTTACTAAGCATTGCAAATGTGAGTCGCAAATAAATTATAAATTTTGCACAAAAATGTTAGTGTTGGAAGAAGATGAATGATGTTAACAAGATTAAATTTTTAGAGGGGAAACAAAAGCGAATTTTTAATGTGAAATTCTCAGGTACAAGGAAGCTAAATGATTCAACTACAGGCCGTAGTTAATGCATATGCAGAGATCAGGAAAGAAATATGAACGAGCCGTTGCCTATATGGGTGAACAACAAAGCTTTAATGCCTTCTAAATCACAATCTATACTTGATACAGGCCGCAGTCTCAGAGCCGCGAAAAGAGCCATGATATTAACACAATTTCAAACTTCAATAGCAGGCCAGGGTTACTCTAAAGTTGAATATAATAAATACAGACACACGCGCACTTTACAACTAACGCTACACAAAATACTTTTTCTTCTTTTTTATTTTCACAAAAAAAAAGATTTGTTAAGATGTGCAATGACACAAACACACACACGACACGTGTATGAGATGTCAGGAAAATGTAACTTTACAAATTGAATAAAATGCAATTCTTTAAAGTTCCCTCGATCAAAAGAAGAATAAAAAAGTATCAAAATGTTGCTCAAAGTCAATTAATTTGTATTATTCACTTAAGTAATGGAAGAAGGAGAGAGCGAACAGCATCATTAACTAAGCGTAAGAAAATCGTGATGCGAATTGTGCGTGAGTATAAGTTTTTCATGGCTCAAAGATTTGTTTGCTGTTTGATTTTATTTTTGAGGCTTGATCAAGAAGAAGAATTCGAGTTTTTCGGGTTACATGGCCCAAGCTGCGTGGCTTGTAAGATTAATTCCAAAGTCATCATCTTAACGATGACGATGAAAAGCTTTTGCATTGACGAATCTATCGACAATGGCAACAACGATGAAATTTCAGTTATGACAAGAAATTTGACGCACTCTCGTATCTCATAGGCAGCGTTTTCATCTTGAACTTTATTTAACCCTTCTCTGTAGAATGCTCAAAAATCGTTTTGTCTTAAATATTATAAATGTTGTGTACAGGAAACATTTTGTGTTTTTATTTCAATATTTTCGTTACATCTTTTTCGTCGATGAGAGTTGATTGATCAAGGCCGCTCGTATGTTGCATCATTCGATACAATTTCAGAATTTTGCGATGAGATAAAATCTCATGTCTTGCATATATTCATTTGACACATTCATTCGATCTTATTTAAACATATGTACGTTGTTTTCGTGGCAAGACTTCGAACAAATATTTGTCGACCTTTATGCTTTTTTGAATTTTGCTTTAAAAAAACGAGCTAAACTTGAAGCGATCTAAAATGTATCTCAGCTGGATCGAGAGAACCTTGAGAAAGTTTCTCTGGCGCACCTTCCAAAAAACAAAAAAAAATTGATTGAAACTGTTGATCCATTCTATTGATACATGGATGAGAAGTTGAAAGTCGTTAAGTTTATATCATCGGAATGATGTAATTCAAAAAAACAAGATTTTTCCGGGTCTTTTGAATCGTCTTGAAGTGCAAGAAAATTAAAGAAGCATTCAAGAGTTTGTGTCATTAACAAATCCTCGATTGCCACTAATGTTTAAATCAACTTATAACGCTTCTTCGACGTGTTAATTTCTCGATCTGTCGAAACTTTATTAAATAAAATGTTTACTCGCCCTAATTTGTCAGCGCCTTGCCATAATTCACCTTGACAATGTAAGCAATATTTGGCATATATTCGGTAATCAAATAAGTATCATAAGCTTTGACACATCGTCGAATATAAAAGGCTGCTTTTTGTATATTTTTTTGATGATAACTTTGCTGATGTCGCACGAGAAAATGTTTAAATTTTTATTTCAAAGTCAAAAATATAAAGCAATCGAAATTAGGTTTCTAGTCCGCGTTCTTTCTGATAGTGACCTAATTTTCGCAATTTTTTTATACATTTTTTGCGTATACACTTTCATTTTCTCAACTGCTTCCATTTTTCTTCTATCACGTTGTGTTGGTTTAATTGGCTTCTCTGTGTTCTTCGCTCATGATAATTCTTTCACCATTTTTTTTCTTCTTTTAAAAATTTCATGTGTTTCACAATATTATGTTACTTCTTGATGATGATGATCACCATACATTCGTTTTTATTTTGTTTACTCAACAAAAATTATTATCATCTAAATTTTCTCATTCGCGTTGTCGAAAATTCTACGACGTGTCACCATGAAATAATCACTGAAAAACATTGAGAAATCAAATGATGAAAACTCCAACTACACGACGATTGAGATGACATTAGATTCGTTCTATTGTTCAACAATCATAGTGTACGTTTATGGAATTGTTATTGTTATTAGCAGTTTTCTGCGCTTTAAAGTGAAAGAGACATTGATTTCTGCAGTTGATGCAGCTTTTGTAGTTTATTTTATTTTTATTTTCATGAGCTTAAACGTGCCCTCTAGACAGACATTAAGCATTTCAGCCCCATTAGGCATCAATAATAGAAGAATATTATTGTGGTTTGCAGCAATCTTGTTAAATGATCTCAGTAACGGTAACATAAGTCAGTCGAAGAAGGTTTCATACTTCGATATTGACCACTTTTATTCGTTTATAAACATCATCACCTTGTTGCACAAATACATGACGTTTATGAGAGTCCATAAATATTTCTGCATGTATAAGAACAGACACGAGTTTAGTCGAGTGAAAATAGATGTGGGATTTGAAGGAAAGTTTCCTTATCTCAACAATTTTTATTTTAATGCCGTTTTGAACGCTTCGTTATTTCTTTTCTTTGTAGTAAAATAAAAGTAATGAAAACTTTCAATAAATAGACAACACCAAGAGGGAAACTTTCATTTCGGTATTTTATTTAAATGAATTCTGTTATCCTAATTGATTACCGTGGAATGAGAAGTTGATAATGGAAGCTGTAAATTAGTGCAATCGTTCTCTAAATAAATGCAACGTTTGATTTTCCATTAAATATGAATGTACTTGCTCATGGAAGAGAATAAAGTGTATAAAGTGTGGGTGTTAACCGATGATTTCTTGCAGATTTCCTCACTTAAACGACTCTCTTTCTCCCATCATTCTATAGAAAGAAACACAACAGGGCAGACCCTAGAAAAATAACGAAGAAATAAGAAAAACAGTCGGGAGAGTCATTAAAACAGCGATCTTGATGTAACATGAAATGTGCATTAGAAATAAAAAATGAAAAAGAAACAACGCGGGGAATATTTAGAAGGCGAACATCGAATAAGAAGTTAAGAACGTTGTCGATTGTGCACCATTAGATTGTTAGAACATGAGCCTTTCAACTAACTTTCTAGTCGTCTTGAAAATAAGCAGCTACGCTAAAAATTGTTATCCCAGATCAGTTCTTTTTATTCAACTTTTCTTCTTTCATTCTTTGACGAAGAATTTCTTTACGAGATTTTATTTTGAGAAACTTTTAATATAAAGATCGTGTCGTGGTTGAGCATTAAAAAAATAAAAAATAAAAAAGTTAGTTCTAGAGGCAGAATGTTCGTTTCTTTTTCTGTTTTTCTTTTTTCTAATGACTTGGAATTTCTCTAAGATAGAAAGAAAGAGCGAAGAAATAGAAAAGCAGGAAAGAACTAAAATTAGAAGTTGCACAAGTGCACTTTCTTGAGAAGTACAAAGTTTCGCTTTTAAAAACTGATTCTCTCTTAATTAAAGGATTCATTTACCGACATGCTCACAGACAACAAATTTTTCGTTATGTGTCGAAATTGTCATTAAAATATGCCTCGACAACAAGACATGACATAAAAATCTATCAGTTAGTAAAGTGAAATTTATAATGCGCATAAAGGCTCAGTTGCTTTTACATACAAAAAAACAAAACAGAGCTCAACATTGAAAATAAAAAGATGCAAAAAAATGACTGCAGCGAGTTCAACGATCGCAAAATGCATCGCACTTAAATAAAAAGTGAATATTTTCTCACTCTCGCAACTATTTATTGAACGAAACTTCAACTTTGTTGGTTGTGTTGATGCAATCAGGGCTGTTGACCGCAAATCAATCATATTTATTGACATTCCTACTTTCATTGGAATTAAATTGTTCATTACCATCTTCCAAAATTATAAAAGCAGAAACAATAATTGTTGAGCGCGTAACTGCATAAGCCACGCCTGGTGTCGTTGACAAAGAGAGTGCACTGCACGAAGCAACTTTATGCGTCATGTAGTATCAGAATTGCATAATTTATCGCACTCGAGTTCGAGAAACGAGGCAGCAGAAGTTCAATAGCAGCAAACAATAGCGTTGCGTGAACTTTCTTCTGTGGTGAATTGCAATAACCAAACGATCTATTCACGAATACATGCAAAGCACTCGGTCAATGCACTAATTTTCATTTCTAATTATTTTACCTCTTTTTTAACTTTTACTTTCTTTTTTTTCTCTTTTTTTTCGCTACAATTTTCCCCACTACGAGTATCTAAATACAAAAAAAATCCATAATTTTACGTTTAATTTTGATTTTGCTTCGATTTCGTTTTTCTTTCTTACTTTTTTGGTAATTTTCGTTTGCAATGACTTTTGTTATGGCAATTCGAAATTTCTTTCAGGCATCTGAAGAGAAAGATTTTTGTTTCGTTTTCAATCGATTAAAGTGATGAAAATTGTAATTTTTTTCTTTAGTTAAAAAATGAGATTAAGTGAATCAAATTTTTAGCAATTTTTTTTTCTTTCCTATCGCTTGAATTTCCAGTTTAATCTCGATCAGTTGAACAACCCATCATTGATGAAACACAAAATGTCGTTCGATAAAAATGCGATCAAAGATGACAAAAAATCGGTCAAGTCACGGTAGGAAAAGAAATAATCACAAATCGTCTTTCAATTTCGTCCCAATTTTATTGACCAGCATTTAAAATAATTCGTGTGTCGGAAAATCCCAAGTAAACAAAGGAACACGAGAATTAAAAACTTTCAAGTGAAGAATTAAATATTAAATATTGAGATTGCGAGACAATAAATATGAATTGCAAAGTAAATATCACGTTCGATAAATTTGCAGGCCATAAACGTGCTTTTAATGATTGACAATTAAAAAAGTTTTCGTTTTCATTTTTCACTTATTCAAGCTGTGCTATAACTACTCGTTTGTAATAGTTTTCTTTCTAAGTCATCACGAATAATTGTTTGATGGTGAAGAGTGAGAAAGCAGCGACTCCAGTGAAATGGGGCAAAATGCAAAAATATTCTGGAATTAAATTATAAAGAAAAAATGTTTTACGACTTTGTTTAGCTTTCAACACAAGATTTCATTAAATTTCATTGCACATGTTGTAGTTGAAGTCAAAATATTTTGGAATAGGCAAAATGAAAACAGTTTTCTAGAGCAGGGAACTGATGCAGGTTTGTTCCGTTTACCGAGATGTACATCAGCAATAAATCAGCTTGTGAGACAAATAAAATGCTTTGTCACAACCTTCAAGTCGTTTTCATTTCCAACCAACTGGAATGAATAGAAGGAGGAAACAAACAAAAAGAACTTTCGTCGCTTTGTTTCACTTTTACTTTCTTAAATAACCCAAAGTCTTAGAAACTATTTATGCATGTGAAACAAAAATGCATTTGAATATTATTTGTTTGAGTTAAGAAGTGCGCTACAACACTTTTCTGCATCGATCGATGTAAGTTTGTTGTAAGAAGGGAGAGAAGAGTGAGAAATGTTAAAACAAAATCATAAATTTTGCAATAAAGTTTCAATTTCCTTGTTCTCTTGAAGTACAACAGCAGCAGCATATTTGTTTGCTCTATTTACAATTTCTGTAAATTTACTTTTCGTTTCGCTTTATTTTTAACAACATTTGTGTAAATGCGTTTTATGGATTTTTAAGAATTTCAATTTCTTTTCCCTTTTTAACGTTAGAGAAACTACCAAAGAATATTTCTAATTGACACAAATGAATCACGATTGAAAGTTAAAAGGATTCTTTCCTATCATTTGTCTCGACGACACATCACGTTTCACATTTCACGTTTTTTTCTTTTTTGTTTATCAAAATAATTAAATATTCATTAAAAGTAAAACTCGGCCAATCGTCCTTGAATGATAAATAAATAAATACAGGAAGCAAAACTAATTTTTAACGATTTTTTATAAAATGTGAAATAATAATAAAATTATTTAAAACAAAACAAGCTAGTAAAAGTGTCGTAACATGCACAATAAAAGTGACTGCTCCAAATTAATGTTCAACATTCATGTATACAACAAAACTATGTGACATCATCAAAAGTTTACAATTTCGTAAATGTTATGAAAATAAAATTAATTTTTGTTTAAGAATTCTTGATTTGAGAAATCATGAAATCATATGGAAACATGTTATGACTCTTGCACAATTTAATTTTCGCGAAATAAGAGAAATATAGCACAATTAATGTGCTAACAAAAGCATTACGAGTAGAACTTGAAACACTTATTTCATTTCGATTAATCATAACTATTTATGAATGTCGGGAATTAATTTTTGTTCTTTTCGTCAATAATTTTCTGAAATCAGCAAGACTGCTTTTTTGACATTCGATATTAATCAACTTCTACTTTGATTTGAAATTCGAGATGGACTTGCACTAAGCAAGAGATTGTTTCAAGGACATAACACCAAAATCTCAATTAAGAAGACCATTTTGTTTAATTTGAGTTCATAAAAAGTAACTCACTGTTGATGCATTTACATTCAGAGTAAGTCGCACTCATGACGCAATCAAAACTAATTTAGTTTTCTTCTCTTCAAACAGCTTTTCATCACTGCGACAAAAACTATAAAATTCTAATAATATTTTGTTGCTGTAACTATTTATTAATTTTGCCTTGCAGAAGAAAGATGGAGAGAGAAATATTTTTCTAAATAAATCTCATGTACTATGGCATATCTAAATGTAAGAAAATTGATTAAATAAGAAGGAGAAGTAGCGAAGGTGTTTCATTAAAAATGTTTCATTAAAATATTCTACAACTCTTGACAGTTCAATATTTCCCTTTGCAAATGAACTTTGAGTTAAACTCACGCATTATTGATCGATTCCAATCATGTCTAACGTCAGAATGCATTTCTGTCTGAGAGGAAAATTTATGATCATGATATGTAATTTTGTAAATTTTAAGTAAGAAAAAATTTATCAACATTCTCAAGTGTTGGAGTAAAAATTGAAAAGCTAAGTGAACCATAAATCAGCAAATGTTCCTCCAGAAAAATTTCTTAAGCTTGTTTATAAAACGCAATCAAAATATTTCTTGTTTTTTCCGGCGTAATCCCACGACTTGTTTCCTTCATGTCGCTTGTCAGACATTGAAGCTTGCTGTTGATGTATTTGCATTATAAAGAATCAACAACAAAAAGATGGAAATAATAATTGAATAAGCTTCTTTCTAATTTCTGATTGCTTTGCATAATTTTTAATTAATTTTTGACTCTTTAAGGACAAATTGAAAGTATCCTTGGGAGCTTTCAAAACGAATTTAAATTAAACTTTCAATTTCTTTTGAACTGATTTGATCGAAACTTTTTTCTTCGAAATTAAAAACGTTTTCCTAATAATTGATTAAAACTTTTTCTTCGAAATAAAAACATTTCCTTAATAATTGATCGAAACCTTAGTTCTGTCTTGTATGAATTCGTATAATGTATCAAAGTTGATAAAAGATTGCGTGATTCGCATTTGCACTTTAGTAATGTTAACAATTCGATGATAAATTATAAATAAACGAGGAAAAACCTTAAATTTTCAATTTACTGTTTCAATGTTAATTATATTATTTGATTTAATACATGAATTGCTTCTTAATCAAGTAAGATTGATATTGTTTACCTCGTTGCCTGAAGGGATGCACGAGTTGTGGAATTTCTCTCGCACGTTGTGAAGTGCACTTTAAAAAGTTTACTCAAATCCGAGATTTCACTTGTGAAAGATTATGATTGAAAAATGTTGTTTAATGGGGGCGTAAAGGGAAACAAATTGACTTGTAAGTATGCAAGTTTCATTAATGCGAAATATAATAATTTGGAGAAATCTTCAAGGCCACATCATCTGGAAATTTCGGGGAAAGAAATTTTCAACACTTGAATTGAAATCAACAACGGAAAATTACAGAACGCACAACAAGGAAGATTATTTGAATAAACCATTTGAATCGCTATGAAAGTCCTTGAAAAATTTACTCACCATTTGACGTCTCATTCAGTAAAAATGTTATCCAAACTAAAGTTGTAGATAATCCAAGAGTTTGTAATTTTTTTACATGTAACGAATTTGATAAATTAAAATCCAACAATCACGTGATTATCCTTTATTGAATAATATTTTTCCTTTAATTAATAATAATCTATATGTATATTGATTATAATAAGAATAATAATATTTGTTGTTAATTTTATTATTCCACTAACTGATTAAAATATTTATTTTTTAGTAAATTTACTTTTTAATAATCACAATCATAGAAATAATTTTTTTTTGTATTTATCCTTTAAATTTTAAGGCACGTGTTCGTTTTAGAACCTTCACTTAGTTATTATCTACTTGTATTTGTTTTCTCGTGTGTGAAATTGTTTTGTGTCGATGAAAAATTGTCACAACCGATCGGTTTCACAATTCATAAATCCTCACGCAAAAAATTTTACGCAATGCATGTACATCGATTAGAAAAGACAACAAGAAGACTTCCCACGCTCAATGACACAATCACTTATCATCATTATTTTATTCTGTCCATAGATAGGCCTTCACAGTCAGTTTGAAACCGAAAAATAATCAAATTGATAAGTCATGAAGAAAATCTCCAAAAAATCACAAAATTCACGAAGGGTAAAAGTCTTCTCCGCGTTGTGTTTGTACGAAACGTAAAGAAATGAAAACCGAAAAAAGCGAACGTAAAATATCGCGAACGCGACTTCAAAGGCGAGTGTGCACACCGAGAATGTAAAACTTAAACTGAAAGAGAAAAAGCACGTTTCATATTGAACGTTGAAAAAAAAAGTTGCACAAACACAACGGCATGAAGTCAGAGTTGTGAGCATTTTTTCAGTTCGTTTCTCTGTTCTCTCGGAAAACATTTTCGCAAAACAACAAAAAGAAAATACAAAAAAATGTATGAAGTGATCGAGGAACGAAGAAAGAGTTTAATGTACGATGCGACAAGAGAGGATTGCACTTTTTTTCGCAAATGCATTGCCTGCACATTCTCAATGTTTTCTCGGTCTCGGCTTGTTGATAACAATTGTTTTATTTGTTTATGGTCTTTCATTATTTAAGGTTTAAATTTTCACAAAAATTTTCTTTTTCGTTTCAAAAGAATTTGTCGTGAAGTTTCAGCCAACATAACTTCATAATTCTTCGAACGATGCTAATCTTTACCGAAAAGAAATTCTTTTCAGATTCAAAAAATAATTCGTAAGAAGAAGCCAAACGAGAAAGAAATTTCTCGCCAAAATTCGATTACTTTTTTTTTAAAAAAGCTCAAAGAAATCAACAAGCGACAATGAATAAAAATTTCTCTAAAACTGATTTAAAGCTTGACTTTGCTTTTTTCCAATATATTATCCATAAGAAGATTAATTTAAATATAGCAATGCACAGCATGACGAGCGACAGAAAATAGATGGAAAAATAATGCGCGAAAAATGTCTACGCCCGGGAGTCGAAGAACTCGACGGTTGTTTGCTTGCTATTTTTTTATATTTATTTGCTTCTCGCTAAGTTAGTTTGAAAAGAAAAGTTTAGCGTTTATGCATTTTAAGATTTTTCTATTTATTCATCTTCTCGTGTTTAGAAATGAAAGTAACAAGCATAAAGTCAACATTCAACAGCTTTGAACTGAAAAACATAAAGCTTTTCATATTTCATTTCATGGACTTACTCAAATGCTTTTGATATTGATAGATTTACAAGCTTTTTACTTATGTAGTGTCTAAACGATTTTTTTCTGTTCATTCACTGAAATATTTTTCCAGTAATTAACTGTTCAATTATTTTCTCATTCACATTTTAAAATTTTTAAAACATGAAGCTAAAGCTTAAGAGTATCACATGTAAGGAAATAACATTAACTTGCTTTTAATTAATAAATATTTTCCACTTATTCGATGTTAAGAATTTGAATTATTTTGTTTGTTTTTCACAATATCTGCATATCCTGTATCCGCTTTAAATATTAGCATAAAATATTTATGAATATGGGAAACGTTTGAGATTCAATTATTAGATTTATTGATATCATTGATGTCCTTTTGTCGCCTGCCGTTTAATCATTCGATTCGTCTAGGTATCAAAGTTAAACAAACAGAAACAGCAAGAAAATAAATTATTTATGTTAATCATTGTTACCTTCGACCAATCATAAAGGATTTTTTTTGGCAAGTCTCAAGGTTTTTCTGTGTTTGTCTTCTTCTCTTCTTTCAATTTCAAACAACCATAAAAACCAATATTGCCTCCAAAAAAGCAAAAAGAGTTTATGATGATAAAACCATCAAACAATTTGTCGTCAACAAGAAAAGGATTTCCAAAAGGGGTTCGAACATCAACATAAATAGTTAGAAGGAATCATCGTTATGAGAAATGACAATATTTTGAGTGCAATAAACTTTTATGACTCTCACAAAAATGTTTATAACTGACGAATGTTTCTTTCTTACTCGAGGAGTCTGTTTTTGGTAATTATACACCTTCATCCCTTTTTCCATTTCATTTTTACTCTTTTTCGTTTCTTTGAGGTAGCCTCAAGAATCACAGAATTTTAACAAGAAACACAACATAATTTCATGGTGAACATTGTAAAGAAGGAGGAATAAAATGAGTAAGTATCATTGCCAAACTTGTTGGTGCAAAAATATTTACTCGTTTGTTTAAAATGATGAAGAGAAGAAAAAAAACTAAAAAACTAAATACGATGACCACTTCAGCTTGACCTTGCAAGAAACTTCATTTTCAAACGTATACTATTAACTAGAATAAGGTCCAACGGACGTGATTTACTCAATCAGGAATGAATTTTAAATTTTATAGTTTGCGGTTTTTATCAAGTTCAACTTTTTAGTTTCAACAACAGAAACAGGCAAGTAGAGCTCTAAATTAATCAGTCTCCGTGTCCATTTCCGATTATTTAAAAGTGAATAAGCCTCGAATTGACTTCAAGTTCACTAATAGTTTCGATGAATAAACATACGTGACAGATCAGCGTGACAAGAACCACTGTCGATGCTTCTTTGAACTGATAAAATCGCGACTCAAGAAATCCTTGATCAACCACAAGTCTTTGGCGTCGTCATTTTATCAATCAATTCTTAAACCTGCGGCTGTTTGTGGCTTTTAATCAAAAATATTTGATTCGTATTTCCTCGCCATAATAAATGAAACGAAATAAGAGCCTAAAATTCGGTGATCTTGAAAACAACATCAATGCATACAACACACACCTACCGTTGCTTTTAAAACTCAAAGCACTCAAACCACAAAAGCCAAACGCAGTTTTTTTTTGTCTCCCATGATTTACGCTGAGATGCAGACAAATACCACCACGATTTCAGTCTACAACTCAAGCTTCGACTCTTGTTGGCTTTGAAATTTTACAAATGGTTTCATACTCTGTGACTGTTAAGGTCAGCGAAGTAAAAAAACTTCCTCAACATCGCCTCGAACTTCACCCAACATCAAGTAAAAAAGAGATTGAATATTTCATGTGACAAAAGTTAGTGTTAAAATCTTTACATGGAAAGTTTTTACTTGCAAAATAACATAAACATTTAAGAAATCATATCAGCTGTCGATTGGCAAACTTTTTATTGCTAAATTTATCATCGAAACAAAAAATATTCGTGAAGGAGATTCACATAAATCTTTATATAGCTCGGCATTTAATATTAACTAAACATTTACAATATCATGTATGTAAAATAAAATTATTGGCAAACAATGAATCAACTTTTCGACTTGAATCGGAGTCACACTTAACGTTGAAGTATCGAAGCTACGCACATTGTCCCTGCCCTCTGCTCGAGGTGTCGAAACCAATTTACATTTTCACATGAGTAAAATTTTTAATATTGCATTGAACTCTGAAAAAGAGTCAGTTCTTTCCCTGTTGAAAGTCAAGCTCAATGTCTCTCTTGTAACTCGTTTTAAGGTCGCGCAACAAAAAAAAACATTGACAGTCGACGATTGTTATCATGCAGACAGTTTTTTGGTAGGACTTCGAGGTCTTGCACTTGAAAGCTTTTTTAAGTTCACAAAAAATTTTCGCAATCGTAACATAAAATCCCAACACGATGGGAATTTGGCAACACTCGGTCATCTGAGATTTTTTGGACATAAAACATTCTGCTGAATATTGCGGTTCATTGCAATTCTTTTTCTTTTAACATGCTGCACACATGTTGTAATTTTTGTATGATCTCCCTACGTTACTTTTTAATTTTCGGAATAAGAAATGATTTTCTTCATCAATATTAAATGAAGAGAATGAAACTCAAAGACTCTTTAATACATGTTGTGAAACTCAATTATGAAGTCAAACAATTTATTACCAGAATTACATAATAATACTCCCGTCCTAAAATTACACTTTAAGCTATCTTTTTTAAGCTCAAGAGGCGGATTTAAATCAAAACCTTAAAAAGAATCTCACAGTACGAAAAATCAAGAGCTTCACGAGGCTAAAGTCACTCATGTAGCATGAACAGATTATATGTAAAAGATTATTGTATGTGCATATGTTGCGGACATTTGCGGAGAAAGAGGAGTGAAATTTATTTTTCGTTGCATTGAAAAGAAATTTATGAAACGCTTATGTTGAGGTTTCTTTATATGTGCATATTTTTGAGAACATAATTTCCATACATAATATCTACATGACCAAAATATCCATCGAAAAGTGCATCAGCAACAAACAAAAAACAAAGTAAAAAAAATAAGCAGCAAGTAATAATAACAAGAAATAAGTGATGCACTTCATATGTGCAATTGCACTTTGCGGTTGTCTGTGTGTGTAGGTTTATTGCGGCCGTTGAACTTTCAGATGGATTGAAGCAAGCAAGCAACAAAAATGGTCATTGAATTATATGATATCGGCCGCGACAAGCAGTTTCGTCGTTCGTCTTAACTTGCAGCTTGAAATTTCATGCTTTGAATTTTAATTGCGACTGAAAATTGATCCCTGCCTTCCTTTAATATGCGAATTTTCGTTTTCTTTTTGGAATTAACAACTTTTTTTTCCCTCTTAAAAGCTAATGAAGTGAATTGAAGTGCTTAAATATCTGCACAAAATAAATATAAAACATAACTTGATGTTGAGAGCGAGACAGAAAATTTCTTCAACTTTAAAAGCTTTCTTTTATGCATCTCCAATTTAGCATGGAAAATAAAATTCCATAAAGAAAAAAATAAAATAAATCGTCGATGGAAATGCAGAAGAAAGAAATAAAGAAGGAAAAGAAGACTTTGATAAATAAAAACAAAAACACCAAAAAAAGCATTGAACTCGATGCATTCCGCATTTCATATTATGCAATAACATTCAATGCTATTGAAAATATGCTTCAACAATGAGAAGCACGAAGCACGAAGCATGGAGAAATGCATAAAAGCATGTGCTTTCGCTTCGACAACATAAGTATAAAGCGGAATTGAAAAGACTTGATTTTAAGATGATTTTTGAGCGGACAAGATTAAATATGTGAATGTTATGCTTCTCCTTACATACTTCTCTCATTCTCTTCCATCCAACTAGCCAACCAGAAGATGAATCAGTTTTAAACCGAGAACATTCTAAATAAAGAATTTGATAGCAAAACAAAAAAAAATGCAATCGAGCGCGAAGAAGAAGCGAAGCGCTGTTTGTAACCTCTAAAACGTGAATGAATTCTTTAACTGACCTATCTCAATATAGAATAGGAATCACAAACAAGAACTTTTTAATAGCCGTTGTTGTACTGTTGTGCTTAGCGTTATTATACAAAAAGATTTTTTTTTCGGTTGTATAGAATCAATGCGATTAGAAGAAATGGGATAAAAATAACTTTTTGGAGGAGCAACCCGAATTTGACATAGCATCAGCTGATAAATTCAACATTCTGTTTCATATTGATACAAACTCGTGCGTCAATGCTCTATAAACAATTCGTTAAATTTGTAAGCTGTTCTTGTCAATAGCACACGAAGTTGTGACACACGAAAATTTTATCATAAAATTTGGTTCAGTGAGAACTCCAAATTATTTGTTTGTGAACTAAGAATTGTCCCGAAATTCACATTTTTCTTATGAGATAATCAACAATGCTTAAATGTTCATCAAAAACAGACATTTGAAAAATAAAACATTTCAATTGAATAACGAACACCTGTTTAGCAGAATTTAAAGCAAGGTGGATTAAAAAGAATTAAACTTTCTAATTGACTCATAAATTGTAACTAAAAGTTTAAAATAAAAATCATTAAAGATCAAGGTTTTTACTTGAGCCATCATTTCCTAATGCTAAACATCTACAAAGCTTGTTAACTATTCACTTACATATTTAGTATTTACTCGTTTTCTTATCATTTCTTTACATGTTTAGAAATAGATTTTGTTTTTCGGTGACATTGAAATTAAGTTGGAAGTATGATGAGGGTTCCGACTTCATTCGTACACTGTTATTTAAACTTGTTTAAGTGTAAGAAATAATACAGAGGTTCGCAAGCTTTTCGTCGGTTTAGAAACGATAGTAAGCAATTGAGTAAATAACACTCCAAAAATGACTAAAGAATTAACTTCTGCACGTTTATCATATTTGGCATTGAAAATGCTGAATAACCATTAAGGCCAAACTTTAATTTCAATGCAGCTCGCTTAGAAGGAAAAAAATTACTGCCTGGGTGAATTCTTAAATGAGTTTCAATTTGACTCAATCAATCAATTAATGAAAAGAACTGGAATTAATTTATTTACTATTGTGTTAAAATCACTTGAAAACATGCCCCATTGGATCGTGTTGAATGATCATGCAAAAAATCACTTCAAAATCCATCGAAATTTGTCTTCCTGGTTAAATATTTTTCGTCGAGGTGCAATTTAAAAATAACGCTATTAATAGTAGTAGTTTTTGTAGTTTTTTCACAAACGCTAACGTGCTGCAGATGGAGTATAAGATTTCTTCTTAATACCGTCGAGTCTCGATTGAAAGGATTTAAACATATTTTGAAGTAACATCCCACAATTCGTTTTTAATCTTACGTTGTACTTATCTATTCATTGTTCGTTAATCATTCGTTAAAGGCTATCGAGTATCATTAATTTTATTATTATTGTTATTAGAATAATATTTTAGAAAGATTTCGAACAACAATTAATCAGAGAATCATAGGCAGACCCAACTGTCAGCTTCTTTAGTGGTGTCTAGGTAGTATTGTGAAGGACATTGGTTTTTTTGTACGAAAAAAGAATGAATAATTTATATAAAAAAAGTCTTTCAAGGCTTTTGATTTGAATTGAGGTAAACTTTAAAAGTTCCGTCACGTAAACGAGAAGCTTAAAGTATTAAGAAGAAAAATTTTAAATTGTAACTTCAGATTTTATGGATCCAAGATTTGTTTTCTAAATGTTTCTTTTACTCATGCTAGAAGTTAAATTTGGTTTATTCGCACGCGCTATTCTTAAGATCTCTAATTGTTTACATTTCATCCTCGGATGATAGCAAAACTGGTTTTTTCATTGCTTCAGAATATTATTTCTGTACTTTTTTGTAATGTTATTAATTTATGAGATGTTATTGAGACAACGAGTTCTTGTATAATATTTTAAGTCATTTCCAAAAAAGGAGAAAAAAAAATCTGAATAATATCACGAAACTATGGTGAAATATTCAATCGTGCTTAAGATGCTTTTATCTCAATTAAGTATTGATATTTACTTCAGCGCAACAAATGAAAGTTTCACTTTCATTTATCTGTTATAAGTAAAATTTTAAATCTGCGAAAAGAATCAAAAATTAGTATCGAATCCATTGATATTTAAACAGCGAAAGTTTCTGCAATGCTTTTTAATCATAATTTTTTTTTTATTATTAAGTTTAATTATTGATTTTTTTATGTGATTTCAGCGCAAATATTTTTAATGCTTTGCTTGATTTTCTGACATTGAACTCTGTGGGCATTGTCATTATCAAGACCTTTTAACTCTTTTCTATTAGGTTTTATTTTCTAGCCTTTCGTCTTACCTTAAATAGTGCAATCCCTTGCCAAATAAAAATCAAGTTTAAAAAGCTTTTCATTATTTATCTACTCCTAAATATTACTTATTTCATTCACCTCCAAAGTCATTGTTCGCCGTGTTTAAATTGTTGAACCACACCACACAAACATCACCGCCGAAGATAGTGAAAATTAAATGTTATAACAATCATTGACATTGAAAAACGTTGACTTTCCTTTCAATATTTTTTTCTTTCTTCTCTTCTCTGTTTCTTCATCTCTTTCTAACCACTTGATATAAGAATAAATTCATATTCCACCCATGCAATAAGAAATGGTAATTTATTTCTAATGACAGCAAGGAGTATCCTATTTAGTTACAATAAAGTTTATTTTCACTTTTGCGCTGATGTTTAAAAGCTTTGCAAAAGATCAAAAATTTCTCTGGAAAGTTTTCATGCTTTATAATTTAGATATCTATCATGGTAATTAAAACATTTGGTTCGTTTAACTATTACAACTATAAACTTTGTATTTACCAATTAAATCATTTATAAATTATAATTCTCAAGAACAAGACTAGACACTCTTAGCCTGGATATTTAAAAGCTTTTGTACTTCAACAAGAAAACCCCATGACTTCGAATAACGTTATTGCTGTTTATTAACCTTTATGCAATTACACTCGTTTTTTTCTTAACTATTTTAAAGTGGGGAAACCAATTCATTACTTAAAAGAATTGTTAAACCTTATAAGTCTACTTATTTCGTCACAGAAAAAAGAAATATTTTAAGGAAAGTGAAAATGTAAAGAAATAAAACAAAAACTGTGAATATTTATTTATTCTACATAGATTGCTGACGAATGCAGTTGAATGACTTAATGACACTGAAATTGAGCGGTTCGTAACATTGCATAGTTGTAAAGTATTATCACATATAAGATCATTAAACTTAAACTTGTGAAATATATATTTTTTTATTAAAGTTGATTGTGAAGACGATTTGTTGATTTCTTATGAACAGTTCATGAGTTGAATAACATAAAATAAAAGATTATTGTTCTTTTAGGATGTCATAAATTGAACCGTAAAATTTACACATAAAAATTCATTAGCACGTTTTAATTTACACTTGTTTTCAATATACTCTTACTCCTTTATTTTTCATAAGAAATCCTATCAAAAAAATGTAAAGAACAAAATAAAAAAAATGAAATGAAAACTTTTAACGTTTTTTTTAAATTTGTAAGCTTTTCAAATAAAAAAAAGACGTTAAAACATTTTATTTTCATATTTTTTCTTTTATGTCTTCATAAAAGAGATAAATGAAAGTGAAATTTTAACAACTATCGTCGTCGCTAGAAAGTTCCAAATTAGTAATGATATCTTTATATGTATTGAAATTGTAGCCATTAACTAATATTGAGCAACGTTTAATATGATTTGGATCATTGATTTTGATGTCTTCCAAATGAATGTTGATGCTACCAACGAAAGTGTTAGCAAAATATTGAAATTTGTCTAAAACCGATTGATCAATAACACCATTTTTCTTCGGTGGAGATCCAGTTAGATAATATCGTTCAACAATTGGTGGAATTTCTGAACAAAGAACGGAAAAACTTAAAGAATCTGTCGGCATGTCACATTGAATATTTCCATAATCGATAAATTCAACGTCACAACTGTCACCATTAACTCTCCTAACTATGCCTCGATGATAATCTGTAAAATAAAAATAAGAATTTCAAAAAAAAAATATTAATTTTATAATTTTTCTTACGATCATCGCCATAAAATGGTGCTAAGCACGGCTGGCCTTCTTTAAATGTCCCTTTGGTGACTTGAGTTTGATTGTAATATTTATTTATAATGTTTGTAAGGTCTCTCAGATCTTGCAATGAAGTTTGATCTATCATGAAAATTGAGCCGTCCTTACCAACGTTACTGATGCTTGCAACGAAACTGGATTTTTGTGATGTCTTCGTTGGAAGCCAATTTTTTATAATTGTTGGCATTAATTTCACTGAGTAATCGCCAATGGTCACATAACGACTGTCAAGAATGTCAGGAAGTGATGCAAAAAAAGGATCAAAGTTGTCTAATTCATCTGCAATTTTCTTTCCAACATATTTCATAATTTTCGACGTGAATCGATTTTCTAGTAGATCAACTTCAACGATTCGTCTCTCAGCATAATGTGAAATAGCGACACCTTTCTCTTCAAGAAGTGAAATAATGTTGTATCTTAATTTATTTTCTTTAGATCCATACAAGATAACTGGTCGAATGGTGCGATCAGATGCCAATTGAATTGAATTATTATCTTTGAATTTAACAAAGAAATTATCAAATGATTTAAAAACTTGTTGAACAATTTCTACTTCTTCATGTCCCCAGCAATTTTTCCATGAACAATCAATCTTGACTCGTGCTGTTAAAAACTTTATCTTCTGAAAGTATTCAGGAATTGGTATTACATTGTGAAATGTTACTGAAACTTCTTCGTCTTCGTCTTGATGATCGCAAATCGTCAAATGAAGTCTTGAATCAATTTTATTGATGATTGCACGATGCCATTCAACAATGTCTTGATTATTATTATTTTTAAAACTCAAATTAACAAGACACAATTCGCCAACCTTTAATTCAGACACATCTAAGCAATTTTCAATGTTTTTTTGAATCAATTCATTGAACATTTTAATGTTGTCTTCATGATCTAAAAATTGAATGAGAAAATCGCCAGCGTTTATTTGTTCTCGGTTAATTATTTTAACAGGGTGAAGCTTTTCATTAAAATCTTCATTTTTGTCGTCTTTACTTTTGCATTCTTCATCTGAAGCTTCAAACAGAGGATAACGAGAATTGTTTTTTGCTTTTATTGTTGATTTGGCATGTTGAAAAATCACCAAAGATTGATTAATGTAAATTTTAGTAGCTTTATGACAAACGAAGAGATGAACGCGATTGTTTGACTCAACAAGATCGATTCGATCGTCACAATTAATCAAATGGCGACGAAAAAATTCAATTGAATCTTCTGACCATGTTTTATGGCCTTCAATCGGTATGATGTCAGCTAAAGAAGAACAATAACGTTTAGCATATCTGGGAAATGAATAAAAGTCATCTGCAAGTTCATAAATTGAATGCCATAAGACAAATTCTTCTTTTCCACTGTCAACGTAGATAACTTTGCACCAATTGTCCTTTCCTGGTGATGTTTGAACTTCAACACGATGCCAATTTCCATTGTCATCTTCAACAACACAAATCATTCCTGGTACGATCATTGTGAATTTGACAGGATTTTGTTGATAAAATGCTTTCATTTCTTCCCTCATCAGTTCTTTCTCTTGTTCCATTGAGACGATCGAAACGTAAAAATCGGACGGTGAATTAATCCATGATGTTTTGATTTCAATGCTAGTGTCTTGTGGGATTTTTAATTCCTTGAGGGTTTTTAAAGTTATGTTAATTTTCGGTTCGAAAACGAGACCATAATTGTTCTTCATTAGGTCAGAAACAGAAAAGTTGTCAATTTCAAGATCGACAACAATTAAATCTTCTTTTTTCTCCTTTATCACCATTACAAATGTTTTTCTTTAAAATAAATTAGTTTATTTAGAATAAATTTATAAATTTAAATCAAAATTTTACCTTTTGCTGACGATGAATTTAAAAAGATTATCAGCTTCAGGGCGATGTTTTATAAAAAGTGCAGAATCTTTCAGACAGCATTGAACAATCAAAGGCTTAATTTTGCTTAAAGCTTTGGAGCACATTTTGAACTGATTCTTCTTCAGCTTTTTCATTATTCTTCCATTATCAATTAAAAATACTTCATAAAAATCTTCCGTTTTTAATACTTTTGCACGGTACCACAAGCTGTCATTATTGAAACCAGACACTAAATATATTTCATCCAATATAATTTCATCAGGACTTTTAGCATAAAGAGCTATAGATTGTATTATGCTACAAAGGTTGGAATCCACTTTTAAAGGAGCATCGTTCAGTGAAAATGATATCAGAGGCAGAACGAAAAATTTTTCGAATCCCTCAGCTGACAAAATTTCAACCTTCATCATAGTTTGGCGCTATATTGCTTTTAATCATATAATCCTTGAGTTTTAATGGCTTATGATTGTCAAATATCTTTTTTTAAAGTTATAAACAAAGTTTTTTTATGATTAAATATTGTTTTAAGAATTAATTTGAGTTTTTAAATTTTTAAGGTGTTGAAATTCAAGTAGAACTAAGGTAGATATTAAAAAGATTTGTACCCCCAACATTTTAGGAATGTGGCCCGGGTTTTTGTTTATGACGTCTCGAGATAATTGCCTCGTACCCCGACGGTTCGCGCGGATTTGACCTTCCATACAAAACATACATGAAAAATTTCTCCGTGTAAACAATTTCTCCGTGTAAACATTTCGATCGTAGCGCCGCCACTGAAACGTTCTCGGACAAAAGATCAATCAAAGTTCACTTTGATTCCGTGCACGAGATTTATTTCCGACCACGAGATTTGCGATGGCAGCGCCGCCAATGATTAAAACTCTGAGAACTCAGAAAATATTAAAAAGAAAAAACTTGCATTTAGAACCTTAAAGGAAAATTTATTTTCCTGAAAGAAATTTTAACTTATTCAACCTGAAATTAATGTCCACAAATTAAATTCAAAGAAACGTTTGATTCCATTGTTTTAGTTTTGTTTATTCAATATTTGTATTTTAGAAATATTTTAGGCCTTAATCTGTCTAAATTTTTGATGAAAAAATAACATAATTCTGTCTCATTGTTTTTATGTTATCGAGTCTCTTCATTTCACTTATATGTTTCACAATCTTTAATTAATGCAGAGGAAGAAATTCTATCTACAAGCAATAACGTTAATATTTAAATACAAAATCTTTTCATTGTTTGTTAATTAATGGTTTCATGAGAAGAAGAAAAAAATAGAGAAACATTTCATAATTTATTAGTGAAAACTAAAAAAAAACACTAACAGATTGGAAACATAAAAATAATAATTGCTTTCATCCTTCGGAATAAGACGAAAAACTGCTTCTAATTGACGGTGTCATTGTTTGATATCTGCTGTCTAAATCAACGCTCTGTTGCATAAATGAGTCTTCTAACACCTGAAAAGTTTTCAATAAAAAAAAGAAATTGAAAATTTTAATATTTCATTTTCTCATTCAATCATTTCTTTCAATTATCTACAAGGTAATTTTCTTCTTTTTTCCGTTATTATTCATTTTTTCCAATTAAGAATTCATGCATTGAAAAAAAGAAGAAAATTTTTAATTCATCATCGTTTTTTTCTCAAAAATGTACACCAACCTTTGTATTATAATCAACATCAGAACAGTTCACCAGAAGATTTATTGCGAATTATTTGAGTGAAATGTGTAGAAGTAGTGTAAGTTGCATTTGTTTTTGTTTTTATCATTCGTTTAGTTTCTTTAGTAGGTAGCAGAAGAAGCACAGAAAGTAAGCATTTTTCATTTTTCTATTTATTACAGACTATTTCCTTATTCTATTTAGATATTATGTCTTTACATAGGTAGTTCTTTTTTTTCTTCAATCAAGTGTTGCAGTTGTTTTTGTTCGGAAGGAAGCACAAGGATTCAAAAACCTTTAATCAGGATGGATTCATTCAGGAGCTGAATATATGCAGATATAATAATTGCAAAAAGAAAGTTTAAAGGTCAACAGAAATTAAATAAATTATAAGAAAAAGAAATAGAAACAAAAACCTTTCAATGAAAATAAATATTTCCATAACTAAATATACAAAATAAAAACTTGTTTCTTATACCAGCTATTAATTGTAGTTCCATAACATGCTTCCATAATGTGTAAATGGAAAAAATAATTCTACAAAAGCGTAAAGGATTATAAATTGCAAATAAATAATTTGTTTCCATAAAATTTATATTAAGAAAAAAAATAACATGCTTAGTCGCAGCAAAAGAGATAATTGATGGGGCTAAGAATAAATGCGGCAAAACATAATTATGCTAATAACAAGGAATGCTTGGATGTGGCGAATTTGAAGATTTAAACTGCTGAATCATTAGCATCATGAGGTATCACGATCTTTGACTGTGATTTTTTTACAGTTCCTTCCTGTGAATCATGAATTGAAATCTTATGATGACTCAATGAAACTCTTGGAATTGTGTAGTTAGCTGAGATATTAAGATCAGTTGAGAATGATTTTGAGCTTCGAGAGGTGCCCCATTTTGATGAGGCATTCTCATTTTTTCCAGATTCACTGTCCAAGTTTTCGTATGATTTCGAATTAGAAGGAGAAGAGTAAAAATTTTCATCACCATGGAATGTTGTTCGATTAGCGAAAGCATCGATAATTTCTGGACTTTTAACCCTTGGAATCAAACGATAAGGTTGATCAGAAGTCGACCGAAGAAAATCTTGTTGCTTTTTTGAATCATTCTTGTTTTGAGACGATGATTTTTTATCAAGAAAATCTTCTGATTTTCGTCTCACTTGAACATTGTTCGGGAAAATGTGTTGAACTGACGTATAAGTTTTTACTTTTTTCTTATCTTTTCCTTTGCTTTTACTCTTTCCTTTTTTAATTATAACCATGCCACCGTCTTCAGTTTCTTCTAATACCGAATCATAGGAAGATGTCAATGAAAATTTATGATTCGATCCAGGAGTGGTGGGAACTGAGTGACTTAAGTCAGGAGTTGAACTATGGGTTGACATTCTGCTGCCACTTGATAATGACAAGAAGGTTCTTGACTTTGAAATTGTCAACAATCCACCGTGAATACGAAGCGATCCTTTTGAGCTGTTGACGCGACTTCGAACTTCAGCGGGCACAAAGAATTCTCCATCAAAATCATTACGATCTGTCGGTCCAAAGCGACACTCATACATGTCAATTTGCTGTGCAAAATCCTCCAAAATTCTCTGTACAATCCATTGTGTAAGCATTTTCAAATGAAAGATTTGGTTTTCGTTAAGAATTTTGTTAGTTTGTTTATGTCATTTTAATAGGTTTATAATAATTAAACATGAATGAGTTGAATATGAACGAAGAAGACATTGACATTCATTAAAATAATTTGACAGGCACATGCTTTGCTTTGTTGTTAAAAATAATTTTTGTTTGTTTCTTTGTTTATCAGTAGAAAATCTCTTTGACATATTTAAACAATTTTCAAATTTAATTAAAGGAAAAATTTACAAAAAAGATTTTTTTTCTTCTTCACAACCTCACACCATCATTCCAATCCATTTTCAATTTCTTTTCATCGTGCACAAGCAAACTACTTACAAATTTCCCTTCAAGCATCTTTTCACCCAGGAAAAAAATATTTCAAACAAATCATTCTACGCAAGCATGAGAAATTTTTATGCCAATCACCATCAAAGTGAGTTAATGACTTGTCGAAATCGTCTTACCTGTTTCCGAGGCATCAGCATTGACTTCCATTCTCGCATTTCACGTTGAAGCGCTTCGTCACATTCCTTTAGTTTGGCACTTTCGTGTTCGAGTAACGCTTTGCGTTTCTCATTTTGCATTTGTTCGAGTTCCCTGTAAAGTTTAATTTTTTTTTCAATTATTTTCAGTTTTTTGATGATTCATCTGATTTTTTTCTTACCTCACGGTTGAATCACAGTTTGCTCGCAACTCTTCAAGTTGCTTCATGTGTTTCGTTTCAAAACGTTGCTGTTCTTGCATATATCGTTTCTTTTCTTGTTCTTGGAACTGCAATTTTATAATTACAATCATCAGCAACAAAGTTGCAATCATCTACAAATTAAATCTCATACCTTTTTGATCTTCTCTTCTTCAGCCTTCGGATCATGATGAATTGAAATTCTCAACGATTCACGGAACATCATATCACGAGCTTTACGTTCAGCACGTATACGTTTGGGAAGAGCTCGCTTCTCAATCGTTTGACGTTTAATAAGCTCTTCTTCTTTTCGCTGTAGCATCCTGGCAGTTGGAGAAAATATTCATTAATTAATTAAAGAAAAGAATTATCAATTTTAATTTACTTTTTAATTTGATCCAATTCCTTTTCATGTCTGATGATCATTTGATGGCGTTGCATGAAGCAAAGATCTTTAACATGCCTCTTCGACAATTGATGTTTCTCGTGAATATGTTTTTCCTCGAGTTCCCACATCATTGCTTCACGTGTCCTCATTGCCTTTAAAGGAAGAGAAGTAAAATTATTTTCTATATTTAGAAACATTTATTCATAAGCACAGATTGAATGACATGCGAGCTTTCAATATAAGAGCATAAGCCATGATTTCATTCTTATGACGTCATGAAAGCTTTCAAATTATTTTCATAAAAAATTATAAATTACCGTCTGCTTCTGTTGTAAGTAACTCTTCTCCGTCGCAGCCATTTTTTCACGATAAATTTCGCTTATGCGACGAAGTGCAATTTCATGCTGTTCAGACAAATTTGCCAGAAATTGCTTCTCACGTTCTTCATGTTCAACTTCCATGCTCACTTTTCGCTTTCTAAATTCATCCTTACGCTTATCTTTTGGCAACAAATCAATTTCTTGCTTTAGCAAACGAAGTTCCTGCTTTAAAGCATCACGGAACTTTAAAAAATAAAAAAAATAAAATTATGTTGACAATTTTTAAGCATAAATTTAACTCACCAATTTTAATTCTCTTTCTTGTTCCATTCGAATTTTCTTTGATGTATTCCTGAGCTCATTTTCTTGTTGCTGTTCATATTTCTCGACTGTCTGTTTGTGTTGACGTGCAAGAACATCCATGTCAGCTTCATATGTTCTCTCAAGTGCTAAACGCTCTTGTTCAAACTTTTTATCTTGTTGATCCTTGGCAATTTGTTCTTTAGCTTGTAAATCATAGAATTGCTTCTTCTCTTGTTTCTGTAACAGTTTCAACTCTCGCAATTCCTGTTTGCGAAAAACGTGATCATCGTACATTCGTCCATTTTCGTCGTCACCATAAATCACTTTACTCGTTGTCGTTGTCACTTGTACTCCATCAATTTCAAACTTTCTTGTTCGCTTTCGCGTCTTTTTCTTCAAATTAGCAATTTGAATTTCTTCCTTTGTTCTTTGTGGTCGTTTTGGTGATGGTGGTTGAACAATAACAATTTCTTGTGGCTCTTTTCGTCGCAATTGAACACCTTCCAACTCATCTCGTTCGCGACTATCGTGACTAGTATTTGTGGAAACACTTTCAGCATCACTCCGATCATGATGATGATGATGGTGTTTACTGACATTATTGATGTTGATGTTGTTTGTAACTGTGCTCACAATTCCCAAATGATTTGATTTCGTTCCATCATGATTTGATGACGATCTCATGGAACCATTTTCACTATGCCCTCTGGTTGGTGAGTCCATAGAAGATGAACAATCAACAGAACTATCTGGAGACACTCGTTTGTTCGTAGAATTTGTTCCACCGCCACTTCCCGAACCAGTTCTCACAATAATATTCACATCGTCTTCACGTGAACTGCTACTTCTCTTACTATTGTAAATAACTTGACCATTTGTCTTTGCATGTGGTGAAATGAACTCAATTCCATCACTTGATTCGCCATGCGACACATTTGATAAATCACTGTTAGAATCAACCAACAAATGACTTGAATCTTTAACTTTCACTTGCTCATCGCCAACTGTTACAACTGACACATGACTAGTATCCAACTGATGATTTGATTTCATTATTCCACCACCATCTGCTTGATTCTCATCAACTAAATCTTCAACAAAAATGCTATCGGGACTCACAATCATCACTTCACTCTCGTCAAGCTTTCTTGGCTTTGATTTGTTTGTTGTTGGTGTCGTATTTGTAATGACTGCTGACTTGTCATTGTTGTATTTTGGTGAACTTTCTAGACTGTCATATGATTGATAATCATCATCAGTGGATGATTCATGAACATGCTGACTTTTAGTCGTCTCATTTGATACAATAACAACTTCATTGCTCGTCACAGAAGTGTTGGTATCAGAAGATAAAGATTTACTTAATTTCTTATTATTTCCCGCTTTTGGGATTCTCGTTGCTGACTGTGAATTGTCAATAATCACGGGTGGATGGCTTGTGACAACAGTCACTTGATTGACATTGCTGGCAAGACTATTCGATTGATCAGGAAGTTGATTAACGGCGATTGTCGATGTATTTAGTTTAGCATTTGCTAAAACAGTTGGTGATGAAGCTGATGAAGTTGATTTGTCATCAACTGAAATGCTTCGTCGAACTTCTTGATGAATTGTTGAAGCTGCAGCGACTGGTGTTCGACCTCCACTGCTTCGGAATTGTACTGTAATCTCACCATCGTCAACGAATGATTCTTTCGACGACTTTCGACTCAACTCTTCAGTTGAAGTGTCGTTTGCAAATTCTGGCGGTGGTGGTGGAATTATTTCACTTGTTGGACTTGTCTTCGGTGTTGATTTATTGCTTTCCAATTTCTCTTCTTCATCACCTTGCTCAATAATTTTGAGACTATGAGGAACTTCCCTAACCACTTCTTCTTCCTTCGGTTCTTTCACTTGAGCAGCAGCTGCAGCTAATGGTGGTGGAAGAGGTGCTGGACCTTTCTCTCGTTTTATTATCTGAAAGTTCAAAAATAAATTAAATTTCTTCATTCAAATTCTCATCTTATCTCGTCTCACTTTTTTCTCTTGTTCTGGCGTTGTTTTCACAACACTTGGCTCTTTGATTTCTTTCTTTTCATCAACAGGCTGCGGTGTTGATTCTTTACTGTCGTTGGACGATTTTGATAAGGATGATGAAGGCGTGTCGGGTTGTTTGTCTGTCTCTTGTGACTGAACTGAAACTGTATCATCATCCAAATCGAGTGGAATTGCTGCATTGCGGGGTTCCTATAGAAACATTCATCAAAATATTATTAGAACAAATTCATTTACATTCATCAACATTCAATGAAAATCATGAAGAAAATTTAATCAAAATCAATTTTGAATTAACTAAAATATCAAAAATTAAACCAGCAAATTATGATAAAAAACGAAAAGTTAAGAATTTTGTTTACGAATCATGTCGCAGGTGTTTTTTCTCTCATGTAAATACTTGTGCATGACTTAATGCGTAAACAATCTTTAAACTCATCTACAGTGAACTCTTTCTCGATAAAAGAAAATTCTATGAAAATTTATTTTTCAATTTTCCTTTCAATTATTCTTAGCATTTCAATAAAATTTTCAATTTCCATCGAAAATTCTTTAATCGAGAAAAAGTCGTTCTGTAATATCTAAAACGACAAAGAAAAAGGAAAAAGAAGGAAAATAAATCAACTCAAGGTCAATAAACATCAATTCGAACTTTTTCTTTTCTTTTTTTTCTCTTTTTTGTTTAACAATCAACATGTGTCAGACTAAGTTATATGTTTTGCCTTTCGCTTTTTTGTCTGTTAGAAAAGTTTTAGAAAATCGCAACTTTTATGAGCGCGCAACTTTATCAAAGTTAAAAATCCTTTGATAGTTTTCGTTTCATGACATTCGCGCCTAGTCTGACAACTTACCAACCCTCTGATACAGCGAACGCCTTTTAGCTTGACGTTTTGCTCTCTGATTATCATCCGTGAGCGTGTAAATTACGCAATTTCATTTTTATAAAATTATCAAATGTAAAATTTTTTATTTAGAAGAATTAAACTCACCTCAGCTTCTTCATCAACGACTTCCTCCTCGACAACGTCAGCTTTATATTCAAGCAGCAAATCACGTATTGGCTTCGGATCCAAATCTCTATTAACGAATGGTAATGTTTGAAGAATTTCTGTGTCGGGTCGTTGGGTTGGATCTTTAATAAGAACTTTTGCTAGAAATTCGTTAAATTCTTTTGTCCATCTTGATGGTTGATCCAATTTCGGTGGTTCGCTCTTCTGAATCTTTAACAATACACGCATCGGTGACATTTCACTGTTCGGCGGTTCCATTTGAGCAAATTCAATTAACGTTATACCCAACGACCAAATGTCAACTTTATAATCGTAAGGATTATCACGAAACGTCTCGCAAAGTACAAGTTCGGGTGCCATCCTGAAATTAATGGATTTTCAGTGTCAATGACTTCAGTTCGTGACAGTAATTTAAAAAAAAAACAGAAAATGTAACAATAAAACCCACCAGTAGGGTGTTCCAATAAAAGTATCGTGTTTCTGCAATGTATGTTTATTTTTCGCTGAAACACCAAAATCCGCCAACTTAACTCCACCGTCCATTGTCAACAAAACATTTCCCGCCTTCAAATCACGATGAATAACTTTATTCTTGTGAAGATGATGTAGACCAGCCAGCATATGCTTGCAAACGTAAGCAATTTGCAATTCAGTCAAAGGCTTTTCCAGTTCTACCATTATGCTATCTAAGGCACCTCCGTCACAGTATTCAATCAGCATCTACAGTAATTATTTATTATTATTTATGACATATACTTTATTCCACTATTTATAGCTCACCCATAACTTATCATCTATCGAAAATGCCTCGTACAATTCAACAATATTTTGATGTCGAATTTCTGATAAAATGTCAATCTCAACCATATGATCGCTTAAGTTTTCTTCATCTTCAAGTGTACACATTTTAGCGGCAGCAAGACGTGACGTCTCTTTATTCTGTGCTTTATAAACCTTGCCAAAAGCACCATCACCAAGTTCACCGATCATACTCCAGAAATCATTTGGATCAGTATCCATACGAATGTTATTGTAGAGGCGTTTCTTCTTCGCCTCACCGCTTCCCAGATGAAAGACCTTCTTCAAATTATTTAAGAACGACATCGTCTTCAATTTCTATGTCGTCGTTTGCTTAATTATATTTAATTCCTTTCTGTTTTCCTTGGACAGTCTCTTTTCAATGTTCCCACTTAATTAACATTAAGCCTTAAATTTAAAACAAATAATTTTCTTTTCCTTTTTTATTTGTTTTTCCTTATAAAATAATTGGAGTTGATAATTGTTTTATTTTCTAGGCTTCTTTCGTTTGTAAGAAATTTTGATTAATGTTCCTTTTCCTGATGTTGTCTTGTTAAGATAATTTCTTAACCATCTCCACGATCCATTATGATAGATATGCTTTCTTCTTCGTTTAATTAAATTTCTTTTCCTTTTATTAATGCCACTTTATGTAACTTTTTCTGCTGGTTTTTATTTTTATTTTTATATATTTGGAGTTTTAAATTTCGATGTACGAAGAATTCAAACCGATCGATGAAGTATTCAGTACATTTATGAATAACCTGTTGGAGTGAGAGAATGCAAAACGTTGAGTAAGTAACGTGTATATGAATAATGTTAGTCGTAAATATTTGTCGTCATCACGTCATCAACACGAAATCCCGCTGAAGCATGAGAACAGCAGAGGGAAGAAAAGAAGAATAAGAACAAGACGAATTGTGTATATAAAGAATCCATTACGATGACGAATCATCATTGGCAACAGCAGAAATATAAAATGTGAAAAAGAACCACATAAAAGAGACTTTATCGTGTGTTGCGACAGAATCACTAAAGAGATGAGAGCGGAACATGAAGTGTACGTAAAACAAGATGGAACGGCCCAAGGTCAGATGGATTTTCATTCTCTTTCGTCTAACTTTTCGTTTTGTGGCTGACGCGCCTTTATAAACCATTTTTAAACGAGAGCTAATCAGTCAATAAGATTTCCAATCGCTTTGATTATATTGCTTAAAGAGAAGACGAAATGTAGACGATTTAGTGGGTGTAAATTAGCAAGTCATAAACAAATTTTATTTATATCAAACTCGATTTCCATCTGATCAGCTTAAAGTTTGAATATCTATTTTGTGTTTATCATTACTGAAGTCGTTTCAAAGTATTTTATTCCCCATTATGGCAGCACTGGCAAGCCAATGACATTATGTGCATAAATAATCTTGTTTTCCTTCTTTTAACTGTGATTTTTCTACTGCCTAGAGTTACAACATAAAGCAGAAGAAAACTTTCATAATCGACATCTATCACAACATAAATATGTTTAAGTATGTGCTGCATCATCAGCAAAAAAAACCTGTCTGGCAGTGGCTCTGATCATCATTTAACAATAACATCGTGATCAATACACAGAGAGAGACTATTAGAGTGAATGAGAGACTTTATGGCATTTTCACTGAAATTTAATAGTCACGTAAATGATAGAAAATACAAGCAATAAAATCCTTCAATCGTCAGAAGTTTTATCGCTTTTGTAATTTGTTGTAAACTCACCACAATAAATTGTAAAACATTTAAAATTCACATGTAATGAGTGAGAAGTTGAATGAATTAGTCGCTCAACAGAAGACGCGAAATCTTACAAAATCATAAACTTTTTCTGTTTTGGGACGAGAGTTCATCATATCAATTAACATGTCTCCATTTCTGCTTATTTTCCTTTACAATATATTTAGAGAAAATAACCGTAAACCACTTTTGTATTCATAATTCATATTTCCACCTTTGCATTTGAACGAATTCTCAATATCTAACTAACTTTTTAATAAACTTTTTATGAGGTGTCGTAGCGACTTTGTAAGTGTTATTCCCACCGACAGTGCTTAACTTTCCACCACAATATGAAAACATTGGAATTTTTAAACTATTTTAAACATCACGAAGTTCACGAAAATAGAAATTCTTAAATTTCTTTAATTCCAATCGTCGACAACCAAAAATTATTTGAAAATCGAAAGCAAAAAAGCCGCCTTACGACTATGATTTGTTTTTTAATCTGAATTGTTTAAGAGCAGCCGGACGACTGAGTGATTTTCACTTTCTAACTTACACCAATTATTTATCCACCAAATGATTAACATTTTTCGCGCGCGTAATACACAAATGGCCTCTAAATGTTTCTTTTTTAAATCAATGATGATTGCGAACGTTTTTTTATGTTGTTTAATGTCTGTCTGAGAGGCTTTTTTGTTGTTAATGTTGTTGTTGTTGTGAAGTTAAGTGTCACACGTTTACTGTGTACGAAGCTTTAAAAGTTTGATCGTGAAAACAAATAAGCAACGTATCCGAACAATAAAGCAACAACATCGCTTAACATTTGTTCAGATGATTTATTATGTATTCACCGTCATCGAAAAAGGTGTTAGAAAGATTGGCAACAACGCTTCATCATTTCCTAGGTAATTCGCTTACTCATCGTATTTTAAGTTTACTAACTGATGGCCAATTGGCCTTTCAAAAGAAGAATTGTGTGTGCGAGAGAGATTTTCCTGTCTATCTAATTTGCTTTTTCCTCTTCGCTAAGAAGTTAGAAAAATCGCACGCTAAATTTGTCAAGAAGCTTCCATTCTTAATAATTCTTCACACAAAATGTTTTCTTTCAGTAAACGATAGTCTGAGATGAACAATTCAATTTAACTTCTTTGAATGGGCAGCAACAGCCGCGCTTCACTTCATCTTTGCCACCCTTCTTCAGTTTGAATTTCAATTATATTTTCTTGTGTAGAGAAGAGAGAAAAGAAATCAATTTCTATTTTATTTTATGATTCATTTCAATGGCGTAAATTGCTTTTTTTTTCTTTTTGATGGAGCGTGCACGTCAGGTGACAACAAGTCTCAAATCAAATGACATCATATCTCGGCAGGTCGGTCGTTATGTTTTTTCTTTTATGAAGCTTACTTCGTAATCGAATGTCATTGAAAAACTATTCGAATCGATTAATGTGTGAATGAAACGTTTAATGGAGCTTTAAGTGTGACAACGTCGCATTCAGTCAGAATCAACAAGAAATCTAATTAACAGGTCAAGTGAAAATATATCTGTTGTTACAGGTGTTCCCACCCTGAAAGCCGACACGATACATAGAAAATGTAAACATTAAAACGACAGACAAATATAAACAACAAAAATTTATATTATTATTAACATGAAACAGTTTTCTTTTTTCTTTCTTTTTTCGCTCATGTTGTTGAAAAGTTTATGTAGATATCCATTTGCTGTTAAGTGTAAGTTTCTCATTTCAAACGATACATTGATGGTTATCACCAATCTATCAATACATGGATGGTTTTCAATCATTTACGGTTACGATAAGGCTTCCTTTTGTGAAAACAAACACACAAGCTTTAATGTGATTACCATGTTGTTCCATTATAGAACCTGAGATGTACGTTATTGACAAGTATCATCGACCAACGAGTAGACAAGAATGAAAAGAAGAAAATAGAATTGATATCTATAAAAGTTTTGATTCAAAGTAAAGCAATTTATTTCTATATTTTGGCATATTCATTTCATTTCATCAACATCTTAGAAATCATCAAGTGAATGATTGAATTAAATTCTGCCATTGAAGTTGTCAATTAACAAATACAGATGTGCCAGAATGTAGCTAATATTGATTTTTTTTGCCTCGACATCGTTTTCCTGATTTAATTAGCACCAAGGGGCTGGGATTTAACGGAATTTGTACACTTTACAAGAAATGAATTTGCATTACATTCCAAAATATCTGAAATTAACAAATCGTTTGCCCACCCAAAAAAAAAAAATATAAATAAAACGGAAAACATGTGTATACGTTACAAAAACCAGTTTAAAGCCCTCGTGAATTGCAAATACGATTTTGCAGAGAAAAATTTGTCGAAGCAATTATTTTTTTGGCGCCTTTATAAACTTGAAATTTTGGATTGCTTGCCAACAAAGCTAATCGCAAAGCGACGTGACGCTCCAGTTATTTGAATGATAGTGTCATAGATTAAAAAAGTGTCAGGAGTAAGTAGTAAGTTTTTAAAAAAAGAAGTAAAATAGGTCTCAAGAATTAACCCATCAATTAATTCTTTTCTTACTTTAACCGATGATCTCATCATTATTGTTTGTGTTCCACACAATTGTCACGCTGATAACATTGCGTAAAGATAATAAAAGTTAATTTAATTACAGCTTAACGTTCGCTCTACTTCGACTTCTAGATATGAAGTTTTTGTTTTTGTCGTCAATCCATTATAAACGATAGAAAATTTTCGTTTTGTTTCATTTCGGAATTCTTTTCTTATCATGGTAAGCTTCACTTGAAGTGGAAATTCTTACTTATTTTTCAGAAATAAATAAATTGCTTGAAATTAGTCTAGAAAAAGCAGAAAAGCGTCTGAGTCTAAATTGATTTGTCTTAATCAGTTTCAATGCTTCGGTATTTGCCTTCTCTTCGGTCCGGTGTTCGATAAAAACTGAAAACCGATTATGTTTCTACCATTTCTTACTACTTAGTTTGTTTCTTGTACGTTTCATCATCATCATACTCAAAAACATTTTAAAGAGAAAGCAGACACAGAAAAAAAGTAAAGTAAATTAATATTGCTGTTCGATCTCATAAGTAAATCAGACTTTAAATTCAAAAACATAATAAACATTATTGTGCATCAATGTTATCAAAAATTTAAGCGAAATTGAACAGCAAATCAATCAATTAAAGATAATTCTTCGAACGCCTTTGGTTTTGTTTGTTTTGCTAATATATGGAAGCTGAATGAATCTTAACGTTTTCTTTCAGTCTTCCTTCTCATTCAAAACGCAAAATTCTTTTTCATTTTTTTTGTGTATTGAAATGCCCAACAAACTTCAACAAGCTCTCTGTTTCTCTCCCTTTCTTTATACATTTATGATGTTTATAGAAAATTCAATTAGTTAGAATTCTACTTCATTTAATCAGTCATGAAAATATGTTAAACAATTCCAGAGATATTAGATACCACTTTCTTATCAACCACAAACTTTGTGAATGTATGAATTCCGAGATTTTTTCCTATCTCGAATGATGTGATCACATTTTTTTTTGTAAATTGGAAAAATTTTCTCTTTTCTCCGACATCCAGTCAGAGCCGTCATAATTGTTGAATTGCGTAAAATTCAATGTTAAAAAACTAAAACACAATGTATTCTTAACAAATGAAGTGCCAATCGAGGATCACAATTGTTTTTCTTCAAGGGAATGTAATGGTTATGGAAATATATGACGATATGACGAATTGAAATAAATTTTCAGCCATGTTCAAAATCTCACACCTTCTTTTCAGTTTTTATCCGAATACTTGTCGTTTCACTAACTTTTAATTACTTTTCTTGGCACTGTTTGATATTCATAAGCACTTTTCAACTATTTAATTGATTACATTTCCACTAATTTCGTCGCGAGAAATTTTTCTTCAATTGCTCTAAGGTAGACAAATATAAACTGAATTTGATGCCCGTTGCTTTGCAAACTCACTAACATTAATGCATTCTCGCCTCGATTAGTATTGTCGTACTCAACGAAAATATTTTTTTATCATCAGACAACACTATAGTTCATAATAAAAGTCATGAATTTTTTAATTCTTCTATTTTTCGTCTTAAAAACTGTTTCTAGTCAAATACCAGACACAGACGTTGATGAAGGAACATCAACGGGTTGGTATGAAATCACAGGAAAAGTTTATTCTCCTGAAATAGGAACAACAGATAATTGGCAAGATGAAACCCAAATTATAATCAATGGTGGTGAGTACCTAAATGTTGATAAAATTTATGAAGGATAAATTTAACAATCTGTTATTCACAATTAAAAAAGGGGAAATGAAAGGATTCTTGAAGAACGACGGGACATTCGTTATCAGTAAAGTTCCATCCGGATCATATGTTGTAGAGATCTTGAATCCCAACTACATGTATGAAGCAGTAAGAGTAGAAATCAATAATAAAGGAAAGTTCCGAGCACGTAAAGTGAACGTAAGTGAATCATATTGAATTAAGAAAGGCTGAAATTCCTAAATGATATTCTTTTTCAGCATGTACAACCTTCACAGGTTCTTCAAGTTCCATATCCTTTGAAGTTGAAAGCTCTTACGACCTTCCGCTATTTTCAACAGCGAGAACAGTGGAAAATCACAGATTTCCTCTTCTCGCCCATGGTTTTAATGATGATTCTACCATTAATTCTGTTAGTGTTATTGCCTCGAATCATGAGTGATCCAGAAACCAAAAAAGAAATGGAGAACTTACAATTACCTAAACTTGGCGGTGATATGCCAGAAATGAGCGAGATGATAAGCAAATTTTTCGGCGGAGGAACGCCACAACCAAAACCCTCAAGTAGCTCTGGTGGAGGCAGTGGAAAAACAAATAAAAAGCGGAATTAAAAATGTAGAATCTTATAAATATCTTTCAATAAAAAGTAAAAAATTTTCTTCATAAATGTATAAAAAGATGAAGATTTTTCCTCTTCCGATCTTATAAATTTATTGTTTATATTTCAATAAAAGAAGAGAATATTTCCAACATTTGACAATTCTCATTTCGTCATAGTTAAATAAAGTTTGTAATTCTCCACTTTAAAATTGAGTAAAAATTCGTGATAAGAAATTATTTTCAAATTGAAGGAATAAACTTGAATGTGGTGATAAAAAAAGAAATTTGATTATAAGAAAGAAAAACAAATTTAAATAAATTATGATGATGGCGATGGTTTGGAAGCATCAGCAACAAGCACTTATATGGTCCAGACATCGTTAATCGTAATTTAGAATTTCTCCTCTTCCAAACCATGCTTGAAAGCCATGAGAACAGGAGTTGAGACACCGTCAATATCACGATATTCCATCATTGCAATCATCCCATCGCAATCTTGTGATTCGCCGGTGAAAAATTGAAGTTCCTTAAAGCGACCAAGAATATCTTTCATAACTGTGTTGCAGTTAGTTTTGAACACTTCGACTTGATCTGGTGATTTCTCTTCTAATCGTGCTACGATTCTGAAAAATATTAAAAGATTTTCATATTAGAAATCATTGAATTTCTGTTAAGTGAGGAAAGTATAAAGTTTGATGATTGTATGAAAAGACAGGTGATGATCGAATCATGGAAAGGAATCAATCATTGTATTAAAGAACACTTTATTCTAGCAAGCGCTTTGGAGAGCAAATAATCAATTTAGAATCATATACTCATGCCTAGGTTTGCCATTTTAATGACTTAAATTAATTTAGTTTATTGATCTACTTACTTTTTCATGTAGTCTTTTAAATATACAGTGTATTGTTTCTTGTCGGAGAAGAAAGTTTCCTGCAGACGATGATTAAGAACAATATCAACTCCAGATTCTACTGCATCTTCACATCCTTCTTCAGCTTCTTCGGCTGATGGATTAGCGCCATCCAATTGAACGTCGCCGAGTTTTCTGGTTTCCAATTTTCCGTAAACTTCGTACATTACATCGCTGATTAGCTTGATTTTGTACGTGTCCGAGAAAATTTCATCATCTTAGGTAAAAAACAAATTAAGAAAACCATAAAAATGAGAAAATGAATCATCAGGTCAAAAAGAGGTTATGTATGCAGGCTTCAAAAACATTCATGAGACATTTCTTTTCCTACTTTCTCAAGTTTTCACATTGAAATAAGATGAAATAAAGTTCCAAACTATTTATTTCTTCATTTTTATCTTTTATGTGATTAGAATAGATATAAATTAGAACTAATTTTATTTCTATTTTTATCACAAAAGCATGAATTGAAATTGAACTTTTAATATAAAATTTTCATTTCTTTACAAATAGGCCAAAAAAATGCCTCGTCCAAATTTCTCGGAATAGAAAAGCGTAAAGCGAATCTTCCAAGAAAAAGGAGCACGTTTGTAAGAAGAACATGAGTGAGATAGAAATAGGTGATGTGTGGCAAAAATTTACAAACTTTCTTTTTTATATTCTTATGAATTATATTTCAAAAAGTTGCTAAATTACCTATTTTAATACTTACTGGTGAAAATGTCCTTATAAATTCTCATTTTTGGATGTTAAAAATTTAGAAAATCGGAACGAGCGCGACTCAACTGAATTGGCTTGCAGAAAGAATGAGGCGAGTTAGTGTTGAAGCAAAGAGGATGAAAAAATACGTAAGGGGTGTTAAGATTTGATAAGGAGTAGGAAATTTTAAATATCTTCGTGACCGTTAATTTTTTCAAATTGAATAGATGATTGAAGTTGACAACTTTGGCAAATGTTTGAGTTTATGGTGAGTAAAATATGTATATAAAATTCATATGCTTAAAAATATAAAAATTTGGACTTTCTCATGTGTTCTATAACGTATAAAGTGTTATGGGTTGTTTCCATTAAACAGCCACTATAAATATAAACTTAAGTCATCTCCAAATATTTATCTCAACAATTTCAAAAGGCTTCTTAAAATTTAAATCATTGAATAAGATCTTATTTAGATAAATGTAGGTACTTCTATTAATAGAACAACTATAATTCAAGTTGAAACTTTGAAAATAGCTGCTACCTACATTGAAACAATGTAAAATATTTTCCGGGTAGGTGGACAGAAATAATCAATTAAAAACGGATTACATTTTCCTTGGAGTAACTTTCTGAAATTCTTACAAAAAGTTAAGTTTTGAATTTCATTAAATCGAGACAGATTCCATTTATTTCTAGTATCAGATTTGTTTTCAACAATTTAAAAGTACATCAAAGTACTTTCCTACATATCAAGAGAGATGAAACCGAAGGAGGGAACTAAAAAGTTTAATCAGAAGCTTTCAATAACAGTTGATTTTTAATAAAACTCAAAAACATGCTTTTGATCTTTTTTTATCTTGATTGTGTTTAGATATTTAATCAGTGAATTCCTAAATCTACCACAAAAAAAAATATATTCTAAAAACTTTTAAATTTAGACGAAATTTTCCGGTGTTAAACTGTCAAATGACATGCTTTCAACATATCAGATTTATGGCACTCAACATCAACTTCCTTTCTCAAAAAAACGTACAACACTCCGCATCTAAAAAAATTTATAAATCATCGCTTGAATGTAGCAATTTATTTTAACAAACTCAACTTTTACTGCTTCACAAATAAAATATTATATAGACTCAGCTTTTCCTTAGCTTCTTATTGTTCCGATTTCACCATGTCCTTTGAGAAAATCTGTGTCGTTTCTTAATGGACTTTTGCTTTTATTTCCTCATTCCACATGAACGATTCAGGAAAAATCCCATAATCTAATCTTTAATGTAATAATTTTCATAGACTCTACAATTGTAACAATTTAAAAAAAATTCTTTTAACTTTCCCGATAAAAGAATAATTGAGAAGAAGAAAAAATGTGATCAAAACCTCGAAAGCTTTCAGAATCAAATTGAAAGCATAAAATGAGAATAAATAATAAAAAAAGCATATTTCAGGGCAATAGAATGAGAGTAAATCGGCTAATGTCTTTATCTGAATTCAGTAGCTTGATTGTGGCATTTCAATCAACATCAATTCAAACAATAACTCGATGATTTTTTTATGAGGCTCGTTTGTCAGCTTTTTTCGTAACTAAATCATACGTCTTTCGATCACAGTCAGTCATTTTGTGTCTAACCTTTTTTTCTTGATGTACGTAAAGTTTGCTACCACAACAAATCAGCTCAATAATCCTCCTAAAACATTTATTGACATTATTTTGTGTCACGCAAACATTACCGAGAGCAAATTCAATTTATGATACTAAAACAGAAGCTCTTCTCATACTACCTAGACGCATTAGAATCGTTTTTCATATTGTAATGGTTACTCATACCATGCATTTTATTTAGAAAGATAAAAGCGTAAATCACGTTCGTGTAAATTATCTTAAAGCCATTAACTTTTGATAATTGGCTTGAGCTTATAATGGTGTGTAGAGAAAGGCTTGAAAATAATTATATTAAACCTTGTGCGGTTTATTACATTATGGTCAATGAAATGTCGTCGAGGAAATTTATTGAATGAAAATTGTTTGAAACAACAACAGTACACAACCGCTTTCGGTTATCATCTTTTATCTTTGTAACATTATGAAACAGCAGTTTGTGCGAAAATATACACATAACAGATAAGATAAACTTTTCTCCCTTTCATGTTTTGTTTTTCATCAAGAAAAGCTCTCCCTCTTTAAACTTTATCTCGAATCGTGTATTTGAAATTCATTCAAACTAAAGAAATTGTAGTTTGTGTGAAGTCAGTGGAAAAAATGATTTATGAATCATGCTGTTTGTTTTTGTCTTTCTTATTTAAGGAATGATTTTTATCTGGAAGCAAGACCTGAACAACAAAATGTATGCTCATAAAACATTTTCTGGTTATGAAATTTGACCACCTCATGCTGAAAATTGACCACAAAATTTCTTGGCTTTGAAAATTCTTGCTTATACCTCCAGCAAATGTAAGCAATTTGTAAAATAGCTCATGCTGCTTTGATGAATTACGCTCTTAATTGAGATAATTAACTTCTTCTCTGGAATCAAATTAAAACTTTCTAACATTAAAAAAGCTTCTTTTACAGAAAAAAAGCATCGAAAGAAACTCAATTAAAAGTTTACAAATTACCCAATGATGTTCAGTTGACTCTTTGCTATCTTGAACTTGAGAATGTTCGATTCAGATTTCTGCAATGTCGAGTGCAATTCAATCATTTCTGTAACATTTCAAGAAATCTGATATGTAGATTAAAAGGTCTTGATTAATTCAAAGAAAAGAAAAAGAAATTTAACTCAAATGACAAAAAGAAAAAAGAGCAAACAGAAGCAATTTGAAATTTAAAAGATTTTTTATAAATTCAATCTGTGTTCAACGATTGTTCACCTTTTTTTGTCATGATTTTGAGTTAGAGTCGATAGTAGAACAAAAAAAAGGTGCAAATTGATTTTTCTGTCGTGATCGAAATTCACAAAGTATCACTAAAAAAAAAGGAGAGAGACGAGTGATCAAATGACTAATCATTTTGGTGCAAAGCCAAAATATAAAATGCTTTAATTCATTTCATACTACACCCAATTGAAACATAAACTCACTTCATTGTTATCCTTCTTTATAGTCAGCCTGAAATTGTTGGCAATTGAATTTAGGTATTTCAATTTTTATCGTATTTGATGTTTTAATCTGCAGAATGTTTTTGGTCTACGTGAATTTTTTATGTCGAGTTTGTATTGAAATCAAAATTCGCGTCATGGTTTTCAACAAAACCTAAATAATTGATCAGATACGAATTCAAAATGGGGGGGAAAAATTGATTGAGTCATCGAATAAAAATATATTGTGAATATTATGAAGAATTGCCTTCAAACGGAAACTCTTTCTTCAGTCGAAAGCTCCAAGCTTACTTTTCACCCTAATGCTGAATTAGTGTTCTATTTAATTTAATGCTTGGCTTATTTTTATTAATAAGAAGGCATGGTATTTTAACAAGCACGCGACTATTTGAATTGTAAATCAGTTTAATTTATGATAAGCTTTGAGAAACAAGCTTTAACCACAAGAATGTCAAACAATTAAAAACTATCCAACGATTAAGTCTTAATGAAAGTTTTTCTATGTAAATGTGTAAGTTTGTTGTGGTTTTCTGGTATGCAGAGCTCTGAAGAGCACATATCAAGGATTTAAGCAATGTAAACAATCCCAATAGGGACAACTTCAAAGTTATAAAAGATAATTGTTTTCTCGATAGCTCCATTTTCATCATATTAAGAAAACCATCTTCATTAGGAAGTGCAGTTGGAATTTGAATATTGAAAAAGTTTTCACCAAGTAGGAATTGAAGTTTTAATTTGATAAATGTTTAGATATTTTTGTAATTTACAACTAGATTTTAACTTTCTAGTAGAATTTTAAAATGTTCCAAGTGAAAGGTTTCACTTTAAACATCTCTCCAAAAGGAATGTAAGTGAAAAGCATGGTTGAAACAACTCAAGGCAAATTAGAAAGTTTCTTTTAAGCTCTTAATCATTTAATGATTCGCCAATTTACTAAATTCATTTTCATTGTTGCGAGATTTCATCATGAAAGCAACCTTCTCTTATTTCTTAAGAGATTTGCCACTTGAAAACGAGAAATAGTCGAGTCATAGAGAACATTTATCTTAGTCTTAATTAAATAGCAGATATAAGAAAAAAAAGGAGGAAAGAAAGGAATTTTGATTCAAAAAAAGCAGCAGACGAAAAATAAAATGAAAAGACGAGCTGAAAAGCCATACAATAAACAATAAAAAACGAGAAATACAAAAGAAAAAGGACAAAAATCTGTTTCAATTAATTTCACCGTTTCGCTCTTAGTCTTCCGCATATTTAGTTGTAGAAGAGATTTATGTTTCAAGTGGTACGGTGAGCATAAATTTCCACTCTCGGCGTTCGTCGCTGTCAGTTTATGATAACGAAAAATTTCAATGGCATATTTTTCATTGTTTTCCATTCAGTGTCGTCTCTAGCTTTAAGTCACGGTAATAAATTAGCCTGATGAGAGCTTTAAATGTTTCGTTTCGTTGTTCTTTATAGCCTAAAACTATTTTCATTTGAGATTTCTATTCGTTTTATTTGGCATTCAAATCACTTAAGGGAAAGTTTTTCTTTCAACATCCACAACAAATGAAACTTCTTCTTTCCTATCATAACAATGTGATTTCCCTTTTACGATTCTCTTTTCTAAATATTTTCAATAATAAAAAGTAAGAGAAAATTTTAACAGCAAAAAAAGCTTAAATATGAAATGGATAATAGCACAAATAAATAAAAAAAGCTCACTGTGAAGAATCAGTGACTCTAAAATGAAGCAAGATGTGTTACAGTGGTGGTTACCAAAATGTATGAAAGCGAATAGAAACAACTTCAAAATTGAATTTATGACCGGAAACGAACAATAAGGGGCCATGTGGAACTGAAAAGTTTATTATGCTTTCATATTTTCTTCTTATTCTGTCTCTACTCCTCGTTATTTCTTTCTCTTTGACTACATATAAACCCTGCTTAAATAAACTCAACTCAAGCTAACAACACCGCATTCATCTGCTCACTTTACGAATTCTAATAAATCTTTTTAATAATGTTTAGCAGTGCTAAATAACATGTTGAAGTCATGATGTTAAGGCTTAAGTTCCGTAATCTTCTGCAGCAATGATTTAATGCTCGCTGAAAACTTTAGTTGTTTCTTTAAGCAATATATCAAGATTTTATGTTAGACTCTGAAAATCGAGAATGACATTGAAAAGAGGTAACGAAATTTCCCCTTCAATCGAGTCATAAACAAACGGCATGGAAAAATCTATAAGGAATCATTTCCCATCAAAACATTTTCAGTTAGGCTTTGAAGGCATCAGAATTTATGAGAGTTTTCGTTAGAAAACTGCTGCTGCCTTTATCTGATCATTTCGATTTATTTACTATAGCAATAAAGCTCTTGAGATACAATGTTCAATGGGAGGCGTTCTCGAACTAGATTCCTGTTATTGCCTTTTCGAATTTAAACGCTGGCACATTTTATTGAAGTGCGTTGTAAAAAAAGATTTTTTTTTTTCATTTGTGCAAATGTCTAATATTTTCCAATGCTCGTCGTTTATTTAGTTGACGAGGAAGAAAAGCGTTTAAACTGGTGTGGCTCATGTTGCACTCCGTGTTATTATTTCTCATAAATATTCATTGTGTGTGCTCATTCTAAACGAAAAGCTTTAAAAATTGATCACTGATTGCAACATGCGAACGAAGATAAGTCATTTTCCAGCATAGAAAAAGCACGATCTAAAACAACTTCTCTAGTTTATGGTCATGTTGATTGAATGTTGAATGAAATCTCGCACAAATCGGATTCCTTTTTTCCCATTCTTCCTCCACCACCACAAAATGGTTTGTGACTTATGAGAATGAGAAGCACTCAAAATGAAATTAAACTTTCACAAGTTATGGAATTTAATTTTTGCATGCAAATTTCATGAACATTCTGCAGTGTTCGCAATCTAAATTGAATTTATCATTAAATATTTTTCATTTAATAATGCACAAACTTTTTTTTTTCGCTCTTTTTCTCTTTTTCGTTCGTTCATTCGGTTCGCTTGGCTGTTAGGTATACAAAATATATTCAACGTACTACAAAGCGGTTTCTGAAAATTTTTCATTTCTCATTTTCATAAAAGAATAAAATAAAAAGAATAAAAGGGCTGGTACGATAAAATAATTCCTGCTTATAAATTTCGATTTAAATCAGTTGAGAATACACACCGTAAGTTCACTTTATTATATTTTATTTTTTTTGACGCTTTCCTTTAACAGCAAATACAAAATGAAAAGAAAAGTTCTGAAAATGAGCATTTAAACCTTGAATAAAGGTTAAAGAAACAGCACCAGTTACCTTTGATCATCCATTCCAAATTATTTATCTCCTTAACCCTCAAGTTCACTGTGATAAAGATAAATAATGGTGCTTTTATTATAAAAACATTTTTCATGCGAAGGTGAAGTTTAAAGCTTACAAAGAATGATGAGGGAGAAGGAAAGCGAGAGAGAGGAAGGGAGAGGGTAAGATATATTATTTGCTTTCTTTTATTCTTATTCTCCTTTAGAAATCAAATAAGAAAGTAGTCAATAACCCTGGCATCGACGACACGAAATAAAAAAATTATTCGCCAGACTCTCGGTGTGCGCAGTGTGCAAATATTTTTTCCTTCTTCTTGTTTCGTTTCCGTACAACCCGAGAGCGAAAGTGAGAGAAAGCTCACAAAAAATTTCCGATGTTGCAAATACACCCAGTTTCAAATCAAATCCTCGACTATCCAGACGCTTTATCGTGATGGAAAATTCACGCTAACGAGAATACAAAGAAGAAGTGTAAAGCGGGAAAAAACTATTTTTATTTACACACGCGACAGAGGCAAAAATAAAACATGAATAGGGATTAAAATGAAGTGACAAAAGCTGACAGAAATGTGTAAAGAATTTATATGTGTGGAGACATAAAAAGGATTACTAAAGAAAAGGATTACTTTCAACTATATGTGACATTATGCGATTTATTTAGAAAAGAAACAAAAAAAAATATTAAAAAAAAAAGAAATAAATAAATCTCGTTTTTGAAAACGTTTGTGCTGGTGTGGTGACATTCGAGGTGAAAATTGGTTTTTCTTCAATCGTGACGATTTTGTGAAATTAAATTTTCGTGCACTCTGCTGAGAAGAAAATAGCTTTTCTTTTCTTTTCATTTTTGGACTCTTGCGGGAGAAGCTTTTGTGTCAGTTGACATGTCGGAAAGGCTGTAAACTTTTTCTAGGAAACAAAAGGATTAAATCTTTTGTTCATGAACCGGAAATCATATGCAAAATATGTTGAATGAAGTTAGATTGCTCAATCAATGTCTCTTAACATTTTGCTTCAGTGATTTTCATGATAATTTCTCTTTTTCAATTTATCTATAAAATTATAATGAAAATTAATGATCGAATAAAAAACGACATTAATGAAAAGTAAATCAAAAGCTTTGTATGTCATTAAGTATTTGATTGACATGACAATAATTAGAATTTATCCCCTTAATTCATCTGATGATTACTTATTTAAATTAAAAAAATAAGGTTTAACCGCTTTGGTGATAGATAGGCTGGAAAACATGAAAAAACAAAAATTAGATCATTGAGATTAACTTAACTTAATGACTCGAAACACCATAAAGCTTTTCATAGAATAAGTTTGAGCTTTTATTAATAAGTTGTCGGTTAATTAGCTTGCAAATTGCAAACAAATTTCTTTTTCATAAATTCTCTTCAGAAACTCTCCTAAAGTTTGCACAATCAAACTTTCTCATGGAAATAAAAATGATTAAGTACGTAAAATAATTTTCTACACGAACGAAGTAGAAGTTTGTGGCATTATCTTATGGAAAGTCGGCACTTTTCTCTCGCATTTCAATTTGCTGCAAAGCTTATGGCGCAGCAATGCGTGGGAGAACATTTTCATTAGTTTTATTTTTTCTCTTCATGTCTTGGACATTTTGATATTCCATTGCGACGATGATGAATTCTTTCGACTATATCCTAGATCATTTTTAAGAATTTCCACAGAACGAAATCATGCTTGAGAGAACATTGAAAGGCGGATACAAGCTTTGAATAATTTATGAAGGAAAAATTTCGTGACCTACATTTCATTTGGTGTTGTTAGTTTTACAAAAGCTTAAGTTACTCAAGCCTCCCATAATGCAAACATGGAAATTAAAATGTAATCATTTACAATATTCACCATTGTGTACATGTGGCATAATGTGTCTGTTTCCCTTTCGTTTCCTTAACGAAGCAAGGAAAACATAAACAGTAATTTGACGGAAATATTTCGTTACACGCCTTGGCAGCTTTCAAACATTTTATGGTTTAGAAATTTTCATTAAAATTTATCAAATTCTTTAACAATCTTTGCTCAAAGTGGAAAGTAAGATCATCAATGTCTAGGCGAGGCGAAAAAGTTTCCATCAAAAAAGCCTTCGTCATGGTAAAGGCTTAGAAATACTAAACTCAAACAACTCTTCTTATGTCATCAGTCTTCCGTAAGAAACAAATCAGAAAGCAAGCATCCCATGTTTTATTATGAAACAAAGGATGAGGAAATAAGAAACAAATACAGTGGCGAGAATTAATTAACCTTATCACATGATTCAAGATAAGAAAACTTTTAATTTTCAGCCCATTCAACTAAAGCGCTCTTTCGCTTTTTATTATTATTATTTCATTCAAGATCCTTCGTGAAAGGATTTCATACTTGAAACCTGATTTCCGAATAAGATCAAAAATAAATCTCAACATTTATGTCGACTCCTTTCGAGTTCAACCCTTTTTGCTTTTTTTTTTTTTTTGAATCCTTTCTGATCTTTCGACGATTCCCCTTCCCTTTCTCCATTGTTTTAAGAAGCAAACGATGAAAGTGGGTAAAGCGACTACTTTGGAGCTTTTTCCTCGTTTCTTGATATGTACGGAAAACAAGGCTGGTAAATGAACGGAAATAAAATAATATAAAAGCTTCTTAATCCTAAATATATGTAGTCAAATGGAAAACTGAATCAACAATCAATTCAATTTTTGATATGTTTCACTTAAGAAGCATTAAGAATCTATGCAGAAAGAGCCGTTCCTTGATACCACACGGTATTGTTTAAGTTTTTCACTTCCCGGGGTTGAACGATTTTCCCTAATGGCACTTTTCATTTTCTCAACGCTATCTCGGTATTTTATAGTCTCAAAATGAAATCGTAGTTCAACCCCTACAGCCCCCAACCTTTGAAAGAAAGGAAGAAAAAAAACTTTTAAAATACACTTGTCGTGTGTGTGTATGTGCAAAAGAACTTTTAAATAACAGCGAAGGTAAAATCGCTTTAAAAAAAGAAGAAGGAAAAGGTAACAATTTATAATTTTCCTATACCAAACCCATTTGCTTTTCTTCTTTTTCAAAATAATAATAATAAAGCTAGATTTTCGTTTCGAGGAAATTGTGTCGTGCTTCTGCAAGCATTTACCTTTGAATATCTATTTCTTCTATAAAAAAACATTTCTCGTTGTGCTTTCATTTATATCTCAACTTAAGGGAAACATAAAAATAGAAAAGTAGAAAAAAAGCAGATTGAGGACAAAACAATGGAAGTGAAGATCGTAAAATATGCTTTTGCATTTTTGTAAGCTTTACTTACAGAAAAATGTTTAAAGGAGAGGGAATTGAGGAAGGAACTTAAAGCATTTTTGCACATAGAATTCTTTAGTTTTACATTTCGAAGAAGATGCTTCTCAATATTTAACAAGATTTCTTTCCTTTTTTGTGACTTATGTTACCAACTGCGCTTGAAATTGTACTCTTGCTTTCTTCATAGCTTTGCATCAAAATGACTTTAAAATTATTAACAGACGCGTAGCAATATGAAAGAATTTTTAATGGAATTTATTAGATTAAGGCAAACAAGGGAATTCATACTGTTTTATCGTTGTTTATAAGCATTTTCCCCTAAGGATGTTTTTGTAAAAGCGTAATGAAGCTTAACAAAAGCTCCTAAACATAATTTAAGCTGAGTTTTGAAGTTTGCTGTTATGCTCTTTTTATTCGTAATTTTTCCTTGTATCTTGTTACTTCGCTTCCTTCTTCTTTCTTCATTTCCCTTTCATCTGGTTTACAAGAAATTTTTTTTAATGATTCAGCTCACATAGTAAATCGCCATCCACCCAACAACTCATCGACAGCTTTTATATTTATTATGCCAGTGACATAGTGATAACATTATTTATTTTATTTACTCTGTCGAATCCGTTGTGATTATTTATGCCGGATGTGTAATTTATTTGCCATTCTTCTCTTACTGGTTAACAAAAATTTTTTGTCCTCCAACTTTTTTATTTTGTTTCAGCAACTTTTGCTGTCGCAATTTATTAAATTTTGCTACGGTTTTTCTGTCCACACTCCTTGTCAGCCTTGTTGTCAGCTATTTATTTAATCATTCATTAATTATTCCACTTTTGTCGACTTTTACTGCTCCCAAGAGTTTTTGTTCTTTTTTTTCTCAAACTCGCACAGAAAAGTTATTCAAACCATGACGGCTTTTTTGCGGCATTGGGAGAATGCAACATAAATACTGCTGACCCAAATAGATATAAAAATGTCTTCTTACATATATCTACATAGAACACATGCAGAGAAACTTTTCTATGTTTCCATGCAAGAGAAAATTCTCAAACTGAAACAAAAGCCATTGTTAAGGGGACTCAGATGACTCCGGAATTGTCAAATGAGGCAGCATGAAAAGAATGATGAGCATGAATATTTTATAAACTCTGTAACTTCTAAATTCTAGCGCTTTTTCAAACAAGTAAAAGCCTTGATTTCATTGAAAAGATACACTCAAACAAAGCTCATTGTTTTAAATTAATAATACCGTACATATGTTTGCAGTTCTTGTTCTGAATTCGAGAACATCTATTAGATCGTTTCGAAATTACTCTTTTCTTTTACTTCCTAGAAACTTTTGTTCTCCTTTTGTCCGTATAATTACCTCGAAAATTAAATTAAAAGTTTTAAAATAATAAAACCAAAACTATTACGTTTCAGGATACTCATTGAAATACCAAGGATTATGCTCACCGAAATGTTTGTTGGAAAGTATGTGAGATTAAAAATAAGATTGGAAATGTGAGTTTAAACAGGAATTCAAACTGAAGCGCCACAAAATTGAAATGAAAGTGATTACCCGAGGATTGTGATGAGAATAAACGAGAAAAATACTAAAATACTACGGAACAAGAGAAATAAGTTTTTTTTTGAAATATTTCAACAATGAATGAATAAAGCATATGATTGCATTTATAATATATCTAAATGTTGAATAACACAACAACAGATTGTCGGTGTTCTGATACATAGAAGTAATGTTGGAAATAAGGATTATTTTCTGTATATCGCTTCCGTCAATACTTTTAGCCATGAATACAGGTAAGCGATGACACAACTTTTTTTTAATATCATGCTAAAACTCTTCAAGAATTCTCCATGGAATGCTTCTTAAAAGCTTTTCACAATTTTTTTTCTCCATTTATTGCCACTGCATAAATATAAAGTTGTTCATTACAATGCATCATTGGATTTTTTTTTTGTTTCCTTTTATAGAACATTCAGAAGGATGAAAGGAAGAAAAAGTTTTCTCGAAAAATAAATAATCTACTTCGTCACTCAAAGCTTAAGGGAATAAGGGAAACTAAAAACCATTTTTGAAATTTCATACACAAAAAAAGGAAAGAAAGCTTTTATATTGTAGAACAATTTATTCTGTCAAAATTCTCGTGAACATTGTTAATGCAGTAACGAGAAATGTGAAAATCTTTCATGCACATTTTCAACTTCAATAGCTGCTTTCTCTCGTGTAAATCTAAGAACTCTTTCGATTCGAATTTCTTTCAAGCTTTATGAACACACATCAAAAAAAAGATGAAATGAATGGGAAATCCCTTAGAAATAATAAAGATTTTTTCTTTCGATAACCTTCTCTTAATGTATGGCGAAATGAAATAGGTTAAGAACACTTTTCATACATAAAAGTGCTTCGGAGAGAATGTGGATGAGAATTTATGAGTTTCAATTATTGGTATTCGTCCTTTTTTTGTCTAATATAAAAAGGTATATTATGTGTTATGCCTTGCCTAGAGCATATTGCTGTTGACCAGCACATCCAAAAGAAAATTCGTTTATTTACGATACACAGTTTTTCGTGTCAAAAAAATATCGAATGTTGTAGGCTGACGGTGAAAACATTCGTTATCGTTAGGCATAAAACTCATCAAAGGTTTTTCATGTTTCATAATTTTTTTCTCTTTCTTATTACAGATAATAAATCACTGAATAACACAGATTCTAATATCAAGCCAAAAGTTTGGGTGGAGACGGGGCAAATGCACCAACGAGTCGATAGCTTAGTAGATCATAATGAAAACGCAATTCTAGATGATAATAACGAGGTTTGTAGAAGTGGATTTGGTGATGACAGAATTTGACATTTGACGGCACTTTGACTCCCATGACTATCATTCTTAACTGAATGAACAGTAATTCTGTTGAAATTTAATTATAGAGATGAATAAGAAGAAGAGGAGAAAGCTCTTTTTGCCATGACGATGTTCTTAATTTTATTGCTTTTAAGGCGAATATTTTCCCATCGCCTCATAAATATCCTTTAAAATGTCATTATTCCTCTTCGCCGTCTCTCTAAAAGAAAACTTTCTCCCCAACGATGCTAATTAACTTTCTTCCTTTCTATACTCTTTCTTTTCATATCTCTGCGCTTTTATGGCCCGCTTCGTTTGGATCAGTCGAAAGCGAGGCAGAAAAGTTTTCCATTTGACAAAAAAAAAAGTTTTCCATTTTTATTTGTGCTTCAAAGCTCCTAATTAGATAAAAAATGAACATTTCCCGAACTCGTTAGTAACGGGTATGCATCCTTTATTAACGGAAGTCATAATTTGGGAGTGAGGTCGTGACAGATAATAGATACTCGACTCCAATGTCTCGAAAAACTTAAAAGAGAAGAAAAATGTAAAAAAATTAAATTATGACGCCCGAAAGTTTATCATTTTTACAATCAATTTGCTCAGCTGAGGCCGAAAACTTTTCGCTTTCGTCTGCAAATTTTGTTTTTCTTTTCACGAAAATTATGACGAAAAAAAAGGGTGCCAAAAAAGAGTTTTGAAAATTTGAATAATTTTAATTAAAGTTTGAAGAAAAATATTTTTCATTCACATTAATATTTCGAGGGAAATAAATATTTGATTTCATTGTCAGAGATCCTAAACATTTTCTATTTCATGTTTTTTCCCTTCTTCAAACAACCACAGTTTTTCATGATGACTCATTAATTTTAATTTTCGCGAGAATGTTTTTATTCGAGGTTTTCAGCTCGAAAACATAAAAAGTATTTGTCGAAGAATTTGAGCTGATAAATATTTCATTTTGACAAGAGATCAGTGCTTTCGAATGGGTTTTAGATAATCAAACGTTTGTTGCTAACTCCCATTCACTAGTAAATCTCCCTTGAAAATCGATTTTTGTTACTCCGTGAATATTTCAATTTCTTCCATCACTTGATACTTCTTGCCGCAATTGTGTTTTTGTTTTTGATTATCCAGCAACTACGAGGCGAGAGCTGAAATATCGGCTGATCTGTGGTTGTCTGTTTTTGACTTGATTGGTGATAATGTCCATTAATTAATGGCTTTTATTATTCACTTCTGCAGCTGATGTCTTTTAATACATCCGTACAACTTGGGCAGACGGCTTTTCTCATCTGCAAAGTGGCGCCTGGCGTTGAATCTGTAAGTAAATTATAATATCGCATTTCGCTTTTTCCAGTTCTTGCACTCACGCCCATCTTCATCCGTTGTATATTCCAACAAACCAACAACCAAATGTCACAAACAAATTACATGATATTTTTCATTCTGTCCATTCATTTTCTTTTTCTATAATCATGATAGCAAAATGGCCAAAACAATTAACGAGATGCCTTTTTCTGGTTTAATTTCTGGTTGGCTTTAGCGGTTAGACGCAAAATAATTTTTCAGCAACATTGAGATAAGGCAGCAAATTCAAATGATAATAAATGACGAGGGCAATAGTCTTTTATTTTCTTCTTATTAGAGAGGAGAAAGCTTTCTCCTTCCAAAAGTCCATCACAAATATTTATTTATCGATTAAAGCTCAAGAAGACTTTAAGCTTTTAAACGGAAGCTTTCCATTTTCTTATCAGCCTTTGCTATGAAGCAAACAAATCCTCTGCGGAAATATCACTGCATCATTAAATATTTTTTCTTCCATTCGTAATCCTTTGAACATTTCCAGATCATTGACTCCATTGTTTTTTTCTCTCTCAATCATTGTGTGTACTTTTGTGGTTTCTTGTTATCATTTATCTTCTACATTTTCTTTGACTTAGAATCAAGTTTCCTGGGTGCGGCGGAGAGATTGGCATATTCTGTCATCTGGCGATAGCTTATACACCAACGATGCTCGTTTTGTAGCAACACACGAACCAACACAGAGCACATATACGTTGCAAATTAAGTTCGTTCAGAAGAGGGACCATGGGATTTATGAATGTCAGGTGAGTGATGTGCTTCTCCGTATCTCTAAATAAAGCTTCGCGAATAAATCTTTAGAGATCGTTAAGTATACACCCACACGTCTTATTCGAAAATTAAATGAGTAAGCACTTTCCCAAGAGGGAAAAAGCTTATGTCGTATGAATAATAAAATTTTATCATTCTTTAATGATGAGAGCTTTTCCCTTTTTCTTTTGCATTCAAGCATCTCAAATTCTAGTCAGTAATAAATTCATTTCAGTTGAGATTTTATGAGGCATCGTGGTGAAAATAAAGTTTCTTTTACTTACAGACATACATACATAGCTACATATTACACATTTCAAGAATGATGAAAACTCATGTAAAATTTGGTGTGTCAACAATTGTGAAAAGGAAAAATGGAGAAAAGCTTATATTTTGAACAATAGATTATGTTGGAGTTTATGTAACTTTCATGATGCATTTACACACATCGTCTGATTTCTTAACGTACATAAATTCGTACGAAGCTTGTCATGAGTCATGAGTTATGAGAAGGAAAAATGAAGCATAATGTGTATGCAAGTCACATGCTTATATCTACTAAAACAGCTTTTTCATAATGCAACATGCATTAGGAAGAAGAAAGAAATCTGGTCGAAATTCAAAATATTTATCAAACTTATTGACTTGTTCATAAAACATTAATCCAATCAAAGATTGTGTTCTTTCAGTCTTTCCCAAATTTTGTTCAGAGAGTTTAGAGTTGTTTTCCAAACGACATCGAAAACAAACTTTCTTTTTGTCTGATAGAAAATTTTACTTATCTTCATCTTTGGAACACAATTTTTCTAGATGCTGAAGTAGAAGATACCGAGAATTGGAAAACTTTTGACAAGATTTCTCTTTTTTCAGTCATGATTCAATCAGCATCTCCATATTTTGCAATCAATCTTTGACATCTCGAAGCTCCTTTTATTCATTGAATTTCATCATTCTTACTGTTCTTCCTTGTAATAATCTCATTATGAAATCCATTTATACAGCAGACATACACACACAAATACATGAATAAGGAAAACTTTCCCTTGAGATATCGTCGCGCCAAGAAATTTGTTAGAATTTTCTTTTACTCATTTATTATCAAAAATTGGAAATTCCTTTTCCCAATTTGCATTTTATCAACTTAAAAGCTTCGTTGACGAAGAAGATCTTCCTGACGACAACAAAAAATCAATCAGAATTCAAGTGATTTTTTTAACGTCATTCAATCGATCTTGAAGGGGAAAATTTTCAAATTAAATTATTTTCCATGGAAAACTCAATTTTCCTATTTGTCTCGATTTAATCTTGTATTATTTTCTAATGCTAATATTTATTCCAAAGGTCGCTACATCAACCGGCGTAATGTCGCACTATGCTAGTTTACAAGTTATTGTGCCCGAGGCATTTATTCTAGGATCAGGAGAGCTTCATGTAGATATGGGATCAGCATTAAATTTAGTTTGTATAATTGAAAAGGTAAACAATCCGAAATTCAATTAATTAAAAATCAGATGAAAATGAAAGCTTTCTTTGTAATGAAAATTCACAGAGTCCAACTCCACCTCAATACGTATATTGGCAACGCAATAATCACATGATAAATTACGATGACTCGAGGCGTGATGTCTCAATTGAAACGACGCCTGGTCCAAGAACGCAAAGTCGTTTAATCATTCGAGAACCGCAGATATCAGATAGCGGCAACTATACTTGCAGTGCATCGAACACGGAGCCTGCCAGCATTTACGTGTTTGTCTCAAAAGGTAATGGTCGTTTCTATCGTCATCAAATGATACATAATTTCCATTTATATTAAATGAAAATTTACCTGAAAATGATACTCGCACATAAAATGTGAGAGTCTATCATCCTAAAATACGTGTTCATTACCACAAGAGTAAGAGTGGATGGGTGGATGTAAGAAGAAAGAAAAAAACATTTATGTGACCATCAAAAAGGGCTGTTTGCACAATGCTTTCATCTTCTACAATGGCCAACTTTTAGCCTCGTGCCTTACTCTCCTTCTTCTCAATTTGAAACAAACACACATACTGGAGCTCACATATTCAGAAGAAGAATCTAAAGGAAATAAAAAACGATTCACCCCACAACCCTCCCTATTGTATGTATTATCACACCTTTTACTTCTACACACTTCCCAAACATAGAGTATGGCAGCTTTTTGTTAACCAGAAACACATACACATTTCTCTACCTTTTTTTTTGCATGAGGGCTTAATTTTCCATATCATACATTAATGATGACATTACGAGCGAAAAATTTTCTGACATTTTCGCCTTTTTCTCTATATAGCACCACTTGAGTTCCGAATGGAGAAGAAGGACAGAAAAAAGTTGTCTTTGTAACAACGTCATTTTTTGAATATGTGATAACAGCATAACACCTATAAAGTGCTTTTTGCTTGTAGCCATAATGGTTTTTTTTGGAGGGAGCGAACAAAGAGAAGCTTGACTAGCTAACATTTATGGTAAAAATTTATGAGAATCTCTTTCCTTGGGATGACTGAATTAAATTACATAGGAATTTTGTGGGTTAAGGCTTTAAAATTCTGTTGAAAATTTAATTAACTCTAAAATAGACATAAGACGATATTTGGATTCTCAAAGTGATACTTAAATAATATGCGAAGGAAAATTTTGTCATCCAAAAAGAATTGAAAGTAGAAGAAGTTTTCTTTTCATTTTATACCTCTCATAAGAATTACAAAATTATGTCAAATGTTATTAGATTTTGAGTGCGAAGAAAGGAATTATCGATCTAAGGAAGAAGTGCCACTTTCAGTTTGACATCTAGCAAGGTATTTGCTGAAGCTTATGAAAATATTCTCGTAAAAACATTCATTTCCTTGTCTTTTCCTGTTTACATTTTCAATTCAAAGCACTAAAAATATCAAAACAGAATTATCTAAATAAGAAATCAATTTTATATGTGTCATCGTTTTTCCAATCTTCTTCCTTAACTTGACTAAAGTTCCTTTCCTTCTTTCGAACCTGTTGTATTCAAAATAACTCAAGAATGAATAATAATGAAGAAATTTTGAAATTGAAGTTCCAAAGCTTTTCGTGCTTGTCAACATTTAAATTCTGATCGAACAAAAATGACTTTTGTTTATAATTTTGAATTGATATGCTAATCTCTATCATCCTACACATAAATATATAATTTCATATTGAATGTTATTAAACAACAAAGCTATCAGAAATGAATTTAACTTGTTTGATTATGCGAGTAATGCAATCCGAATTTATGTTTGCCAATTGCAATCGATCTTTGAAAATTAGCATAACTTGTATTTATGTTTAGAATTCGGACACAATGAAAAGCGGCAAAAGCCTTGGAATTAATATTTAATCATTTAAGTAGATGGAAAATCTAAAAGTACTCAAATGACGGTTCGATATTGTTCGAATGTTTCTCTTTTAATTGGAACTTTTTACTATGCACTTGTAATCAATCAATCATAATCGTAACATTTTGATCATGAAAACTTTAACTCATTTCTATCTGTTGTTCAGAATGAAATAATTAATTTTATGAAATGAAGACAATTGAATCAATTTGTTATATCAAAAGCCAACAACTTTATACATGACCCACAATTAGTATAGAATGTTTAAACTTTTTTTTATATACAATTAATGCATCAATCTTCTAGAACTTCAAAGCATATCAGTTCGCCCTCGAAACATTTTCCAATTTAGATAAAAAATGAAAATATTTTTCATCTCTTCACGTTTTTCATGATTCAGTTAGCAAACCCAATAAATAAACATAAAAAATTAAAATTTTCAATTAAATTAAAAATTAACCGAAAAGTTGAAATAAAATAAGTTTGTTAGTTGGTAAAAATTACAGACGTAGACAAAGTCAATATCAGGATGTGACTTTAATTCGAATGAATAATTTTGAGAACAGTTCAGATTATCTTTATGACAGTATTTTGTAAGAAATCTTGAAGAGTAATCCAAATATTTCGGCAATTGCTTACGATGAATCGAATCCCCAAAGGACATGAAAACGCATTCAATGAATTTTATAATAATTGTATCCGATATGAAATATTTTGTAAGTCTTTAAGATTATCTTAGAAATTTATCAAATCATTTTAATGTCTACATACAACCTTCAGCTGATACAAATCACATTTTCCACAATGAAAATTGGAAGGAATCAACAAAATTCATTTTCGTTCCAATTCAAAAGCTCAAGACGAAAGAGATTAGAGAAAAATGTAATTAATTGTATTTCGATACAAGATGAGAGGAGAGGTTTGCAAATCTATTCATCGAATAAATTTTATCGAGATAGGACAATTTATTCTATCAAAAAGCAAAACATGAACACTTTTGAAGACATTTTTCCTGACAAGTGGAAAGATCTTCATGGATATGAAATGAAAACATTACATGTTCCTCAATTACCGAGATATTTCGTTGAAAATTATAAGCTTCATGGAGTGCATTCGAAGCAAAAGCAGAATTTCATAGAAGGTAGACTGAATATGGTTGAGATACCAAGCTTAAGGCAAAAATTTTTGCAATTCATTTTGAGTGGAACTCTTCTTTTTCAACCTCTACCTTCAATTATTATTATTCCCTGAACTTAATTACATGACGACAATGGTTACTATGCCTTAGTCCCGATTCTTCCACGTCTGACATTCTTGAAATTCATTTTGAAATCTTATGAATGTATCGACTTTTGTTTGTAGCATAATGTGGAAGTTATTGAAAAACAAACAACTAAACAGCAATTCATCATTATACTTTATATTTGGCATTTCAGCGAACTTTCTTAAAGAATTTACATATTCCATTTAGAGAATCGAGGAAACAACAAGTTGTTTTGCTTCAGTTATGCATTCTCATGACATTCATATTGGGGAATTCTTGATCATTGCATCGATGTCAAAGTCTCATGACGGTTTAAGAATATGATAACATTGAAAGTATGTTAGCAAGCAACAGTTCATAAACAGTCGACAATGCATTTCGATTGCAAATGGAAAATTTAAAAACTTTTCCTTCAGCTTTAAAATTTATGGAAAGTAAACACGAAATTTCTGATTACATTAATATTTACAAACAGAACTTTACAATAATTGTAAGATGTATTTGAGTTGAATTTCAATATTACTGGAAGACATCCGAATATGATTTTTCCAAATATTTCATTTTTTAAATGACAAATGTTTGCCATTTTGTGAGAATTTCCAATCAGTCCGAGAAATCCATTTGACAAAATGATTCAAAAAGGTTTTGATTATGTTTTTGAGTCTGGATTAAAACAACATTGGAATTCCTTTGTGAGAATTGAAAAAGGTCGATGATGAGTTTCCGCTGTTTTAGACAAATGATTTGGCGAAATATCCTAAAATTGAGGAGACAGACACGTTGCAGCGGACAAGTTGTTTGGCAAAACGTCAAAATCTCAAAGAATATTCTGAACCGCTACATCAAAAGAAGGTCATAAATCTCTTTCTTCTAACAGTAAACATTAAAAGAAATGTTTGCTTTTGATGTTTTCGTCTTCACATTTCTTGCTTTGAAAATATTTTGTGCTTGTGTGTGTGCGTGAGTAACAATGTAACAGTGTGCAATTGAGCTTTCAAAAAGCTTTTCCAGACACAATAAAGTTGTTTTTCATTTAACACACAAATGTTATAAAACCTACAAAGCTGCTTGAAATTACTTAACTGTTCACAGCTTATATCTGATATTACATAAAGCTCAGATGAAATCTTATTAATTAGTATTAAAATTATTTTATTAGATCAATAACTTTTTACAGTCAACGATATGCAAATTTATAACAACATTAAATTATGATTTGTAAGAATGAAATAATTTGTAGCATTATTAATTTGTGTTCTGCTGTAAAGCAAAACTTTTTGTTACAAATTGTTTTATTGTAACTAATTTATTCTGTCTCAATAGAATACAATGAAGATTGGCCTTAAAAACAATTCCATAGAAATGAGAAAATATTTTTAAAATGTCTAAACTGAATTGAAAAGTTTTCAACGATTGATGGAAAATCATAAAATTAAAATAAACAAAAATCAGAAGAAAAACATGCTTCAAACAGAAAATAAATTGATATGGATAGCAAAAGTTTTGATTACATGTTCAAGTTTTGCCTGTGGCCAAAAATATGTCTAATAAAAGTTCAACAATCATGAATAGATTGTAACATCAAACATCAACATCTGTTATATATGTAATTAATAAATTTTCAAACTATTTTGTCATGTTATATTCGAGAACGATAGAAGTCAAAAACATGTGTCGCAAATAAAATTTCCAGACACAAAATGTTGTTAAATCCACCATTTATCTTTGAAAATCCTTTCACCTTAACACCTCAAATTGTTCAGTATGTCCACGTTCTTTATATTAAATATTTTATATTCGTTTCAGGTGACAACACGGCAGCGATATCACGAAGAAACACTTCTTCCGAATTTAGATGTACATTTCAGTATGTTTTATGCATTAGTTTAGCATCGTTTTTCCTGTCAAAAAGGTAATTTTCCTTCTTCTCTGCTTTCGCACCCAAATTTATGAAAATGACATTTTTTTTCTTCATCTCCGTTTGGAGAAATTGTTAAACGCTTCAATTGATTATTTCTGTATCGTTCTAACTTTCCCCTTTTCAATTTCTTTCAGATACGTGTGAGAGGCATGCTGACACAAATTGCTTAGCTGTCCCCACATTCACTGATTTCTTTCACTTCATGCAGCAACAACATTATTCTCACACATACTTTCTAGTCCTTTTGACTCTTCAAAATGAGCTCATTTTATGGAGCATCAATCAAAAGGAGATATAACAAATAAAGTCTCACCCTAAGTAATTGGCTTTCTTTTATTTGGCGTTACAGACTTTTCTCTCCTTCACACATCGAATCCCTAAATGCTTGATAGAGGGAAAGGAGGAACGAAAGATACGAAGTATCATCTTTTGATGGCATCAGCAAATCATGTGCAAAACTTTTCTTCAAGAACAAATAATAAATCTTATGGTTACGGTGCAGGATTGAGATGAAAGAAATTGAAACAAAAAAAAAAACACAAAAAACACAAAAAAAAATCTTGGGGGAGAAACTACTAGAAGAACTATTTTTTTTTCTTAACATCACAAAGTTGGATTCTCATGCTATGAAAAATGTTCATGACTTGAATGAGTCTGAAGGAGTCTGAGTGAACACAAAAAAAAAATCTCTAAAAGATATATCACGTTACAAAAGCCGATTTTTCAAACCCAAGAAGCGCAAATAAAAAATATATAAATTCGTCTGGAGAATGATGGAGCTTAGAAAAGAATAATTTCCAAGGATGAAGACGAAAATATCTCGCTGCTTCTCTCTTCAATTGCTTTAAATGCAAAACGCAAATGAAATTTTTACTTTTAATGAATGTTTCTTTTTTCGTTTGAAAGGCGGCGAATTATGAAAAATGAATCTGAGTAGGAAAAAAGATGAGATGGAAAAAAAAAGTTGAATATCTACAAACAGATTATTTCTTATTATGAACTCTTATCTGTTGAAGTATGAACCACAAGGCAGAAGCAAATCCAGTGTTTGTTTGGGATTGTCCTTGGACGACTTTCCTAATTTTTTTTCTTTTTTTGGAATTAGGAAAACAAAATAAAAAGAATCTGCCAGTGAATAAAAGAATACAAAGTTCTCTCAAATGCTGTCTCAGCTTGTATGTGATTTGATATTCTGCCATTACATTCGTGTACAAGCAAGAGCATCTTTTCATTATTATTCTTATATTTTAATAAAAATCATACTTTTTTATCATTTTTCTTTATTTAAGCTTCTCTCGACTGAATTCCATCGACAATCTTATTACTCAGCTTGAAAGCTTGAGGACTTTTTTTATTCTCAGAACAAAAACATAGATATGAGTGGAAATTAAATTGGATTCAAATATCTAAGTGCATATAAGCTTATGATGGCGTTCCCACCATCTCAAAGAACGTAGAAATTCATCCGAGAACAGAACATTCCTTAACATGAAATGACAAAATTCGTAAAATCATTATAAGCATGACAAAAGCATGTGAAAATATAAAAGAAAAATGCATTTGTGTGACATGAGTCAAGAAATATTTGTAAGTATGTTTAAAATTTAAATATACTTAGATATCACATTCAAGAATGAGAAAACTGTTATTTGTTAGGAAAGAAAGGACTTTAACATATTTTATTTATATGAAAATGGAAATGGAAATGGAAACTTAACTTCGTTATTCCGTGGAGAATTCTATTTATTTATATTTTCCTACGACAAATATGTCTGAAATGTAAACTTTAGTTCCGTGACTTAACTATGACTATTCCATTCAGACCTTATGTACTTAAAGAAGATTATTTGATTAAGACATATTTGAAGTTTTCACTGTAAATATTTCACTCTAAATACTTCTCACAATTTTCAAATCTCCTTCAAAACGAAAAGTTCTTTGAAAGTCTTATTCATAAATAGAAAAACATTGATATAGTTAGTTATTTGACTCGTAACATTTCATGTTCATCAAAATGTTTGTTTTCTCTAATGTATATATTTTATAGTGAATGAAAATGAAAAGTAAATAAAAGCTCCTCGAGTATTATCTCAGTAATAAAAAGTTTTATAAATATATTCTCAATTACTTTAATGGCAATATTAAAATAATTCCTAAGATTGCAGGAAAACTCATATCTGACAGTTGGTATTATGTTCTTTAAAAACATTTCAAAAGCAAACACTCATATAATTCTGGAAAAGCTTTTAAAAGGCTTAAATTTATTTTTACTTTTTATGAAACATAAATTTCCCATGAGAAATTAAACATGTATGGTCTAGAGGTTTTGACTTTTCGAGGGTTTTAAAGATTTTGATCTCAGACGAAATTCTTCTATTCATCGACTTTCTCATAAATGGTGAGTGAACATTAGACATTCTCATAAAATCAAAGAAATCTTCTACTTTTCTTGTCAGTACTCATAGAAATGTTTATGTGCAAAATAACAATTTTCCGATATCTTCTTCGGAGTAAACAAAAACAAGTAAGGAAGGATGATATTCAATATTAAATATCAAATGAAATATCTGTCAACAATAACAAATAAATAATTGATAAAATAAACTCTAGATCTAAACAAGAAATGAAATATTATGAGATCTTGCATGCTGTGATGGCGAAGCTTAACATCAACATTGTAATGAAAGAGTCTACGTACGACCCAAATAATCGCTTGACAGATCATATTGAACTTTCTTAATAAAAAAATCTATCTTTCGTAAATAAATTCAGTTGATGGCTGATTTATTGGGTGCTAAGATGATTGAGCTATTAAATTATTTTACTCGTCACATCAGAATCAGAAGAAGAGGGAAATGAAATGAAAAAAAAATGAGCAGGTGAAGTAAAATGTTAAATTAAATCCCAAAAATCATTTCAATCTCTGACTTTTTCTAATGGGTAAAATATTCATATAACTTTTTATATTTTATCTGTCGATACCTAAAATAAATTCATAAAATTGCTTATTCGTTTCACCAATTTGCCTTTTCCTTTTATAATTATTGTTTCTGATCTTTTATTCCATTGTTTATTTATACGATGCTGAATAAACTTTTTTCCTCTCAGAGATAACAACAATCTTCGATATTGCTTAGGTTTAAATCATCAACAAATATTTAAATTCGAGAAAAACAATAGAAAAGTATTTTGATAAACAAAAATTTCCAGGAAAATTTCAGGAAACTTAAACATTAACAAACAACTGTCAAAACCTTTCGATAAAAAGATATTTTCAATATCAATTTATAAAACAAATTTAATTAAACATTGAGAGTCAATGGTGTACATAGTTTAGCTACCGCACAGGATATAATTTTTAGATTGTTTTCAACTTTTATTCGATCTATCCTTAAGCAAATAGAGATATAAAACCAAACAATTCGAATTGCGTAGAGAACGTTAAAGGGTAATGAAATGGAAGGGAAAGGAATGCTTTTCTATCCATTTATAAGTGGTAGGTCTGTGTTGAAATGGGCTCTATTAAAGAATTAAATTCCAGCAGACTTGGGTTGCTGTTCTTGGCGTTCGTTTTTATGGCCTAGAGGTAAAAATTAATGAAGGGATAAACATCTCAAAATGAAAAAGTCAATATGATAGAAAAAAAATGAAAGTTTCCTTCCAAGAAAAGTTGAATAAATTGTTTGTTGAAGTATCTGAAAAGAAACATTTTTTTATCAATCATTGAACAAGTTAGGAATGTTATGAATATGATAAATGTCAAGCACGTATTTAATGCTGGAAGCACTCCACTTACTTAATTTCATTATTCAATTAAGCCTAACTTACTTTTATTGCAATGTCAATTATGGAAATACTTAGAAAGGACATGGAAAGCAAAGGCAAACATTATCATTCAGAACAAAAAAGGTGGAAACGATGAAAATGAAAGAAATGTCCGTAGAGAAATCATGATAATTGCTTTGGCAGTTTTATGGATAGACAAGCTCAGTATCATCATAGAAAAAAAAATGTGCCCGGCAATGAGTCGTCTTGAGTTATCCGTTCTCATAAAAATTCAGATAAAAGCTTCGCTTCTTCAATCATCTCCGGTTATTCGCATCGTTTTGCACCTGGCTCTTTGATTGATAGGCTACGATTTACGATAAATATTTTAAACCATATGCTATCTCTCCCTTTTTTAAAATGCATGAAACCGTCGCTTTACTTAATACAACTTCATCAAAATGTTTATATCCGATCAATCCTTCATTTAAGCTTTCACAATATGAAAAAAAATTCAATCAAGTGAAGGAATTTCAACTTTAAACTTTCAATCAGTAAAGTTCTGACAAGAGAAATTTCTAAAAACAGTCATTTTCGATTGAGTTAAATGATCTAGAATAATCTTCTTCGTCAAAACATGAAAAGTAAAGTACGAAAAGTTTTCATGAAAGACAAAAATACGAAAAAAAAGTCGAGAAAAAGTGAAATGTGAAAACTTTGCTTCACAACTTCACTGCTCGGCAAACATTATTTCTGTACGTTTCCTCCAATTTGTCTTCCTTTGTTCATAACTCAACATTTTTTTCCATTTCTTATCAATACACAAAGTCGTATTTGCTTAATAACATCCGTCAGTTTGTGCAGGATTACTGACTTGAAACGAATAGGAAGTTGAATTCTTGACTGGTTATTTGCTTCATTATTTGCCAACGCTTTTTTTTTTAACAGCTTTATTAAGTTCGCATTCAGTGTGAAACTCATTAGTTGTGTCTATTCAGCAAATGAGGAAAGATTTACATTCTTAAGCAGCTGTTAGGGAAATTTCAATATTTAATTATGGAACAAGGAACATCATTAACTTATAAAGGAAATTGTAAAAGTTCACCAAAAGTTTAGCCAGTTGTAAATATTTAATGAGATTATGGTTGAACGAGAGAAAAAAGCCCAAGAAAACAAAAAAACATATTGATGATGATTTTCAACAAAAGTTAATGTTTGAGTAGAGCTCTGGGCATTGAAATGTAATTTTGCGTGTTTTATATTTAGAAGTTAACATGTCAAATGATGATGTGCGAAAGCTCTACATAAAAACCGAACGAATTCATTTGTGTTCTGCTTGCCATTATGTAGATACATAAACCTAGATAAGTTGGACATCAAATATAAATATAAACATGAAGTGGAACGAACACCCACTGATTTCCATGTACATACGTAGATAGATATGTCTGCGGAAACATAATTAAGTTTGACAAAGGAATATCATTAACACACATTAAGAAAGTACTTATGTACAAAGAAGAATCTTCATCACAACGTTTTTTCTTACCTTAAAGTAATTAACTTTTTTCTCTCTCTCACCTTCTTCCTCAAATATATTTTAATTTCTTCCTTTAGATGCCTCAGATGTGGAACTGACATTGGAAGGTGTTTCAAGTAGGGTTGGGACGAGATGTAAATAACAAGAGAAGACTCTTAAACAATTATTATGAATTTTCATTCCGTCTAATTAACAACAAGACACCAATGAGTTCCGTTGAGATGTATTATTTTCAGAAATAACATTTGAAAGCTCACGAATATTTAATGGTATGTATCAAGTTTGTTTAATCTATGGGCATCAGTATTTCTAATGGATCAACTAATGAATTGTTGATGAACTGCCGGCTAAAAGGAAAGAAAATATTTTCATCTCTCTTCGTTTAGCTTGGCGTCTTATCGGATAGTAAGAGCGCAACCCTCCGGATATTGGAAATGAATGAATAACGATTTATTTTGTTATCGTCGAAGGAGCATTCAGTTTTGCTGTTTTGCTATGGTCCCTCAATATATATAATACGAAGCATAATAATTACGTGATTTTTCTTTCGACGTGAACGTGCTCTATTCTTAAAGCGTGTGTGCCCGAGATGATTCGAATTGTTGAAGGAAGAATTTGTAAGAATCGTTTATTTTCGCTACAATTTATTTCACACAACTTTATTTCTTCCACTTCTTGAATTTCCTTCTTTCTCTTTCCGCCTGTCTTGAAATTTTCCATGCCTTGATGTATGTATGTATGTTAACGCAGAATAAATATTTGTTGAAGAAAAGGAAGAATAGAATAGATTTGAATTTTAAATGATCAAGTTTCACTTTGATTGATGATTGAAGCGATGAAATATTTTTCTCCCTCTCTCTCACTTTTCCGTCTCTTGTTGGGCTTTCCTACAAAAATAAAATGACTAAAACTGGATACAAGCATGTGATGAATCATGAATTTGATTACACTGCTAATAATATTATACAATGAACTCTCAAATTTTATGGGAAATCATCATGCAACAACCATTCAATTGATAAATAAACTCACATTAAATATCTAATGAATTCATACAACTATATCGTTTAGAAATAATCACATCTCTCTGCACAACATTTCAACAACATGATTTAATATTGAATCTATTTGAATTATCCATTAGACGTGTCATTATTTTAAGGATTGATTTTAATTAGTAATTGAAATTATTTAATATGTAATTTTTAGGATGTTTTATTAATAAGTAATTTTGCATGCAGCAACTGCGAAACATTAACAAAGCTCATTAAATGAAGATATCTAATGGTGAAATATTTAAACATTAATGCATTGAGATAAATCTTGTTTCACTTAATTAAACTTCTTCAAGATGTGTTGAGCACGAAGGTTTCATGCGATTCGTTTTCGTTTGACACTTGATTGGCTTCAAATTGCTTGAAACACATTGGAAAAAGCAAAAATTTAAATTCACCGAGAATTGATAAAGGGAAAACAAGAAAGTACTTCGATGCCGATTCTAAAAGAAGTTAAGCGTAATGTTCACCAACATCGACTTAAATGTTGATCCTAAGATTATCTGTTTCAAAGCACCTCTAAGCGAGTAAAAAGTGCAAACAAATAAAGAAACAAACAGATAGATTACTCTCAGCAAAATACCTTTTTAAAAATATCCAGACGCCCGTACAAAGTAAGTACAATGAACGAGAAGGAGAAAAAATAGAAAATGGAGAATTGCTGTTTATCGCAGTTCTTTGTTTATTTTGTGTAAGTCTCTTCCTTTCTTTTCAGTTTCCTTTTGGTTATATATTTAGATATCTTTGTAAGTAAGCATGCAAACGTTAAAAAACATCAGACGAGAAAAAAGTTTCCTTTTTTTCTTATTATTACTTTTTTCGGTAATGAAGCATTGTTACATGATTGCGAAATGAGGAAATGATTTGATTTCAACTCTTTGTTCTCGCCAAAAAAAATGAGTTAAAATTATCTTTACCATGGATGATGGAAGAAAGAAGGCATAAGGGTAAATGAATGAAACATTTTTCAATTGTTTTGTGTTAGTTGAATGGAAACCTTTGAGTAATTATTGCAGCCTAAAGTTCTGAGTTCAAAGTGCGGTATTAGATCTGAGAACTGGGCGTTGTTTGCAAACAAGAACTTTAATCCTAGGATCATCCATTAATAGTCTGTGCACATGCAACTGATCCGCTTTCCCTTCTCTTATGTTTTATAATTCAATCGTCGCAATCCTTTTTTCGTCTGAAATATTTGCTTCAGGTATCTTATCCATAGCTCTCAAAGATCGAATCGTATTACAAGGCAAAATCTCTCAATAACAGACGCACCTTTCTGGCATTCGTGAATTGACCAAACAAGTAAAAGAAGGAAAAAAGAAAGAGATTATTGAAAACCGATATATCCAAACGATGTTGTTGTGATATTTTGTGCGGAGTCTTAGCACACTCTACAGAAGTATTCAGCTAGAAGTAATTTATATATTATTTGTTTTCTTATCGCTTAAATCTCGGAGCTGCTATGACAACATAAAATGATAATCCTAATCCATCCTTCTGTTTGTTGTCATTGCCAACATTCACGTCAAAGACATTTGTATGCTTGTGTCGCTAAACTTCGCTATTATTGTGAAAATCTGTCTTTGAAGTCAAACGCTTTACATCATAAATTTCTCTAAATAAACGTGTAAATTATCATCTAAAAACTGTTGTTTTAGCAAGATAAACAGTTTAAATTTATTTGCTCGTGGGTTGCTGACAATTTTTCACCATTTTATCTTGTTTGAAATATCAAATTTATAAGAAAATTGGGGTCTGCTTTGGTAATTTAGAATATTACATTTAAGTTCGAAAACGTGTGAACATTAATGGAATTGAAAGTCTGGAATGATATTAAATTTATTCAGCAATGCTTATTTCCATGTCTACATTCAAATTGAGTAAAGTAAACAGTCAAGGTTCAACTAATGACATTTCTAAATAATAAAATTTATTCATAATTGGGTTACGGTTTGATGGAAATGTTAAAAAAATAACCAAAAGGTTCGAGTAATTGATATTTCGTACAATTATTATTTATATTAATTGAAATTGAGAATGAAAAGTACTCCAAGGCACGTTGAATGTTTTAGCATAAAAGATATTTGGTTCCTTATGGTATAAGATCTTGTTTTGTGAAAAGCAGCAACACACGAAATAAGCTTTGAGACGACGAATAAAGCAACTGGGGAAAATCTTGCCTTTATTAAGCTCCCTTCAATGTAACGAGAGAAAATGTAATTTTTATTCTGGAATGTCATAATTTCGTCTTATTTTTTGTCATCTTATGAAATTTAATTTCATATTTTCCTACCGTAGAACCTTTTTTATCATCACCAACAATTCTTTATTATTAGGTTTTTGTTGTTTGCTTTATTTTATTTTATCCGCTGGAATAGCTTAAGAGTTACTTGGTCTCTGTCTTTGTATCAAAATACAAAAAAAAAATGAAGAAAGAAAAAAGGTCAGAAAGCTCAAACAATCATGCAATCTTAAAAAGGTTTGTCGTTAAATTCGTTTTTAATTTTGTTGTTCCGTAAACTGTTCTCAGTTTCACTGGTAGCTTTTATGTTAAAAATCTACTGCTACTGCTGCTACTGCTTTTACAGCATCAAACAATCTCTAATGGCTTTTCATAGTAAAAAGGCGAAGAGAAAGTATTCCATCCATTCTGATCCCAATTTCTGAAGCTTATGAATGAATGTGACAGCATAATTATCTCAACAGGAGGAGGGCAGGGTTTGAAAAAAACAGGGAAAACATATTAGACCCAAAGTTTTAATGTCTTAAGAGAAAATGAAGAAGGAATTTTATAAATTTTCTGACAGTATGGCATTAAGCAGCGGCAGCAGTTGATTCTTAAGATGTTTTCACGACCCTTTTCAACCACACTCAATACGATACTGGGGTAAAGGAAATTTCAATACGCCTCATATACCATCAAATAAATCGTGAGGTTTCTCCGAATGGTCAACCATAAAGCTTCCTTAACTACAGTTGTGAGAAAGATCCGGTCGTTATTGCTACAAACTTATTATGCATGAAGATTATTTTAAGGAAACTTAATCTTCATTTCCTGTTAATCTTAATTTTTTATGATAAAAAATGTCTCTGGTAAAGCATTTGAATGAAAGTCCACCTCAACTTTAACCTAATGTTTCAAATATTAATCTAAACTTTTCCTTTTATTTTTTTTAACATAACATTGTCATTTTTCTACATATTTTGCTATGTTTAATTTTATGTTTCATTGAAACTACATGTACGATGTATGTATCTACGTGGCTTCAATATTCTCATCGAATAAATCTAAGAAGAGATCAGAATGTCGAGGAATATCGATAAGACACCCTGTTGAGGCACAACATTTATCCAGATTACATTTTGTATTGTATGGGAAATATGAAAAAAAAGAAGCAAAGTTTAATTTAATATAAATACATGTTGAACATTTCAGTGAACTGTAATACTCAACATGTCGTCGTAATGTTAAAAAATTCCTTCTCAAAACTCATATGACTGAAATCAAATCGTGTAGGATTGGATATTGAATTGAAAAGAAAGGAACATGAAGCAACTCATATTTTACGGCTTTACTCCAATTTCTTTCGTTTTTTTTTTCGTTTCTCAATGTGAAAATGGAAAGGAGAAAGGTTGGTTGACATTTTTCTTTGATTCGATAAGAAAAAAGGTTGGAGGACAAGAGTCAACGAACAAGCTACAATAAAAGTTCGACAATTTATTAAATTTTCAACACGATTTTTCTTTATTTTGTTTAACAATGTTTTATCAAAAACTGGTTAAGTTTTCATCATTCACAAGTTTATGTAGATACTAACTTCTCTATCTTTAACATTGAAAAATTAAAAGACTCTCAATCGAAAGTTTCGATTTGAAACATAAAAACAAAAATTATAAACTTTCTCATCAAAGTTGTGGAATGAAATATGTAACTTTAAAGTTCTATACATAATTATGATTGTTTCACGTTCATGGCATCTTTCCATGTTATCACTTTATCCTCTTTTTTCTAAGTTTTCATCTCTCTTATAACAACAACTTAAACAACAATGAAACAGAGGGAAAACAACATTAAAAAAATATTGTTGGATAAACTTCTACCATGAGAGTTTAAATTCTTACTTTCATATGAACTCAACCGAACAACACAAGTCAATGAAAAGAGAATAAAAATAACTTTTATAAATTTAATATTTTTATCGTTTTTCTTCTTTTCTTTAAAAAATATTTTTAATGGAAGAAAAGAAATCTTTGAATAACTTTTCCGTTCACCATGGTCTCCAACAATGTTCGCCAAGCATCAATTGATTGTCATGTCGTATTGTTATAGTAAAATTTTCTTTATCGCAACTGTCTCTCGAACTTTGACGATACAAATGATTTCGATTATTGTAGCAAGTTTTGTCATCGTAAATAATTTCTGTTGGTCGGTTACTTTTATCGTTACGATTTGTGATGTCAGAAAAAGTTCTTTCAAAACTAGGGTTCCATTGAATCGTTTGAAATATTTCCATCGATTTCTTTTCCGGCTTTTCACAATAAATTGACAATTTTTCATGAAGCATCTCAATGTAACGAACCGTCATTTCGAGTATGTCCGCTTTCTCCAATTTCGTGGGCCGTGAACCTTGTGGTATTGATATTGTATTACGTAATAGGATCTCTTTTAACGATTCAAGCGATGAATTGATGCGCGCTCTTCGTAATTTCTCAATTTTCGGCTTACGAACCTTGCGACATTCCAACTTGTTGCTATCCACAATCATTGACATGATGAAATGTTAAAGATAAAAGAGGAACGACTTTTTTTTAGAAAACTATTAAAAAACTTTTTCAATTGCCACTGGGGAGAATGAATGAGGGGAAAGTTGATGACAAAATATATTCGGTAGATCTAAACACTTAAACGATCAACATTAGACTAAACTTTTTCTTTCAAAAGAAGGCTCAGCAAGGTATTTAAATAAGATTCCTTTTTTTTTCATTCTTCCTTTCTTCTTTGTACTTGGCGGTATAATGGAAGATAAAAAAAAGAAGTGAACAGCAATGTGAAATAACATATATCAACGATGATCCTTTCTCACTCTTCAGTCGTATGTCTTTGTGCGTCTTTTTAAAAATAATAAAAGCCTCCCGTAAAAGATAGAAGAGAGAAATAAAGTAAAAGGAGTTTCAACAAATCATGTTGAATCTGAAGGGATGATGGAATCATGATGATGTTGATGATAAAGTGCTCGACATAAAGTAAATAATGAGATATTTGCTAATGTTGCGTACATGTGTGTGCGTGCGTATGTTGTATGATTTGCATTAACGCTGCGAGGCGCGTGATTCAAAAATGTAACCTTCTTGAAGCCATTTACGATAAGTGTGGGAATTAAAATGTAAAATTCTGAATTCTGTAAAATGTAAAATGAAATGACAAAAGCTTACTGACGAGCGTTTTTACCAGGAATGAATATGAATGACTTAATTGCTTTGCATGAAACAAAGCTTTAATAAAGGGAAGTTGGAATAATTTTTCACTTTTTGTTTACCAGTTGTAATGTACTTTGATAAAACGGATATGATATATCATGTAGAAGTGCTGTTGATTTTTGTGTTTTAACTTAATGAAATTGAAATGTGAGTTTGATGTAAGTGAACTTTACAGAAGGTAACATCTGTGCATGCATCAACTAATTAAGAGAATTAAACACAATTAAAATCTTCACCGTTGAATGAATCAAACCTGTTGTTGATGTTTCTACGGTTACTGAACAAACATAAATACAAAGTTTTTTTTGACTGACGGACTGTGAATAAAGATCAAAGAAAATTTATTCTTAAACAGAATTTCAGAGTTATTTGAAAAGTAATTGACAACAATTTATTTTTCAATGAAAGCGAACAATTTTCATGCGCTTTTAGATCAAGCGGAAAGAATTCTCGACAGGGAAAAAATTACGTTCTCGATGATTGTCATTTGTCGTCATCGGCTTTTGCTGGTTCAATTTGTCTTGTACTTCAGCTTATTTACATCATGAAAAGGAAAATAAATGCGGGAGGAAAACTCTGAAATCAACAAGTATAATTTGAATAACAATTCATCGGAAGTTGATCTCAATCGGCTTTCATTTTATTGAAACATAACAATGTATAATATGAAATGAGCGGAGGGCATGTTTGAAGGGTTCATAACTTTTAACCCAAAATAAGTAGAAACATGAAAGCATTCTGGGGCTCATTTAAGAGGAAAGAAAGAAATTTCATGGGCAAAGTTAGAAAAGATTCTCGATTTCTCGGTTCAGAGGAAAGGTTTATTAGTCGTCTTAATCTGCTGCCCCGTAATAAACAAGAAGCAGCAATTTAATTTCCATTAAAATGAACATTATAAAGCAAAATTTTAAATATTTATTCAAAGATGTAAACAAACTAAGAAACAATAATTCTCGGTAATGATTAACAAGATTAAAGGCGCTAAGGAAACAAAATTCTTAATTACAAAATATTTATAAAACTCACCTTCTTCAGATTAATTTTTATCGCTTGATTGCTTACAAAATTTATCATCCATTTGCTTCAGGATAATTTTCTTTCTGAAATTTCCGCATTTAATATTATTTCCGTTTTCTTTATTTATGCTGAATTTTTACTCTCATGTCTCATCCGTTAGCTTTTAAATATTTACATTAGCTGAATATACAATTGAGCCATTTAAAAAAATATATAAAAATTTCACGACATTTTTGTCAACATGGTTGTCAAGTTTTGGCTCGGAACCTATTTTTGGACAGTCGAGATTGCGTATCACACAATTTGACGATTTCTCGTCCTTCGTACATTACCCTTGAAGTTGTTTTTAACTTATTGTCATCAAGATTCCGCTTCCTTTACTTTTTTTTCCAAAAAAAACCTTTGCCGCCTTTTTGCTTAATGAATTGGAAATGAGACCGTCCCTCCCCCTTCCCCCCAAATTTCGCTATTCACCCAAAAGTGAGAACAGAACAAATAAATGTGTAAACTTATACAAGAAAAAAAGGAATTTTATTCACTTAATTTAAAGTTTCTTTTACACAACAAAGATGATAAAGAAAAAAAAGGTACATGAGAATTTTTTTCGACTTATTTTGTGTTCTTCTGCTGTGCCAACCAACGACAAAGTTTTTATTTTCGAGAACGTGCTTTAAAATTAATCAGTTTGTTGCTACTTCGCTCTCTTGCGACACGAATGTTAAAGCCTATTCATCTGTAAAGAAAAAAAGAAAAAGTTTGTTCCGAGTTCGAGTTAAGTTTCTTTTTTTTTTTGGGTACAAGATAAGTTATATTTGAAAAAGAGCTTTTAAAATGATCTTGTACGATTACTTTTTCCATCGATTATACCACAACCATAAACCGCAGTAGGAGAGAAAACTTTTTCCATTTTCGTACAGTGATACACGATAAATGGTTTCTTTTTTATCCCTTTTTTAATTATTGATATAACCCAACGTTTGATGTTTTATGATACGACGATTGAAGAGCTTAACGAGTTTAAAAAAAGCAGGAGAGCGCTTGCAAAACTTAAGCATTAAATCTACCGCTTCAATTTAACAACAAAGAAAAATAACCACTAAAGTATCAGAGAAAAAAAAATAAAAAAAATTTAAAACCAAGCTTAGGGAATTAAAATCTTTCACGCAAATTTTTCAGCCGCTGCTGTGAAGAGATTCGTTACGATTTTACATTTTTTTTACAATCTTTTTCATCAACCAACTCGCAAAAATAAATATGTTAACAGATCTCTCGAGAATTCTTTTTTATTTTCTGAACTCGAATTTTCCCAAGGAGAATTCCACGTGAAGATTAAATGCCTCAATTTTTATCGAAACATGTTTGTAAATAGATAAGATTTCTGTTTTCCGAAAAGAAACTTGAGAATAGATGATCAAATTATTTGATAATAAAGATAAAATCTGAAGAGATTTCCAAATTGTCATGGAAGGTTAAAAGATAGAAGAAAAAAAATAAAACATCTAAACTTCCTTTATCAATTGAATCGTTTAAGGTTTCAGAAGCTTCCAGTTCAACAACCTTAACTTTCTATCCTTTATTTAGAAATGAATTCAAAAGAGAAAATCAACAGTTCATCAACCGAATCAAAACGATTGGAACCTTCAATTTCAAACAATTCAATAAATTAATGCCGGAAGTTAAATTTTTATCCCTTTTCATCAACCTAAAGGATCATTAATCGCGAGAAAATATTGAGAAACAGCATCTAAGCATGATTTCCTTTTCAACTCTTCTCTTTCATTTCAATTCTTCGCAGATTGATTTAAAAAATCTTCGTTCGCTGTTCAATTGTAAATTTATGTAAAAAAAAAATTCAGAAAAAGTAAACAACAAAAGAGACGTTAAATTGATCATCACGTCGCCCTAATTACGATGTTCATTTAACGTTTTTCCTCTTCCTTTTCGAATAACGAACGAATAATAAAGGAAGAAACATTTTCTCATCCCTTTAATTTTAATATTTTTGTTATCTACATGACATTGACAAAATGAGCTAAAAAGTTGTGAATAATTTCTTCTCCCTTTTACCCGACAAACAACATACTTTCATGTTATTTGATGTGTATGATTTCTGCGTGTCTCTGACGGAAGTTCCTTAACGAAAGATATCAACAAGTAAAGAGCATGTAAGTGAAAAGATGAGACAAGTTCAATTTACATGACAAAATACCGGAAGTCATTTGAATGGTGAGAGAAATGTTCAAAGAATGAAAATAAGGGAACGACGGATTTCTTTTTTCTTATTGAGAACATTTTTTATACGTTGTTTACTCAAAAGCGCGCCTCAGTACGACGACGAGAATTACATTTTATTTCTTTTTATAATACTTTAAAAACCAGTAGTGAGAAGAGAAATATAACAAACGATATTTAATGAGATATCGCAGAAAACCTGGAATTGATGAATGAATAATTATGAATATTAAAAGAAATTTCAATTCAAATCATTCATAATGTCGGGTACGAGGGTGCTTTGTAAAAAAAATCGCTTTTTGATTGCTGCTTTACGATGACTCGATTTTGGATCATGAAAGAGGATTATGTAAATATCAGTTTCCTGTCTCGAACGTTATTTCGTAATGAGTTGGGGCTTAGTTAAAGCAAAAATGGAAGAAAACATGGGGGGTGTTTTAAAAAAGGACGATAAAATATCCGATTAAGGTTACAGCCTACAAATTAGCTGTTTATGAATGTAAACAGATAAATTTCATGACAGTGTAGAAAGTCATCAGTTTTAATAGAGATCCTTGCAGTGAAATTTTTGCGTTATTTAAAGATAAAGTTTTTTTTTGAAGTTTAAAAATAATTTTGCGAAAAATTTTCAGTGAAAATTTCTTTTGTTTCTATTAGTGCCCATGGAAATAAAAGTAATCTCATTATATTAAGATCCTTACTTACCATTCAATTGTCTCCATAACATCATTGCTACTACTAACTGCTATTTTCTCTTTGAAGTATTCCATGAATTTAGCGAGCGCGATTTTCTTAGGTCGTTTTTTATTGCCTAAATGTTTTTTTATCAAATTCTTTCTTTTATCTTTCAAGCTTTTTGTAATGTTGAGTCCATCACAGATAGCAAGTGTACGTTTCAATTTACGACCAGTTTCTTTTTTCTTTTCCTCATTTACATCTGAAAGTGACTCATCTTGCTCGTATATTGTTTCAAGAATTGTTGGCTTTAATTTAACTTTTTTGTTAATGTTTAAGTAAAAATTCTTTGTTTGTTTTTCAGTCTCAAATTGCATCGCGTTTTTTGAGTTTCTCTTGGGTTTTGTGATTTTGCGATTTCTTGTGCGATGAAGTGTGTCTTGGCAGGATGCACGTTTACGAAGGCACATTTTTGGTGACACTTCTGGAATTTCCTCATCCTGTTTCAATTCATCTTCCTCATTTACAACATTACAATTGCTTACATTATTTTTTTTAATTTCGATTCCCAACTGCGCCATGTCTGTTAATAATGCTGATAATTCTTCACCCATAGATAACTAGATAACGAAGAAATTCTAAAGTGTTTAGAAACGACAAAAAACAATATTGATTTAACACAAATGTAAACAAAAAATAAAACAAAAATTCAATTCAATTCATCACCTTTACAGAAAGAACTTTCAGAAGATTCCTTTATCCACAGTTAGACATTCAATCACAAAGTAACATAAGATTAAAAAATAACTTAGAATTTTATGTTATCATTTACTATTTCCATATTTTTATGCACAAAACATTTGTTTAAATAAGTAAAAATTAAAAAACACGGAACGATGAGGAAAATGAAACATGATTTTGAAATTGAAATATCCGTTAAATTTGTTTTACTAGACACATAGCTCTAAAAAGGGAGCTTTTAATAATTTCATTAATCACACATAATTTGATTAAAGTTTGTCACATAAAATTCGTTTAGTTCTTCGTTTCTGCTTCTTTTGATGTTGTAATCTTATTTTGAGTTTGTGATGCAGCAGATGTTGTTGATCCCTTTTCTGCTCCAGTGGAAATATGTTGCGGAGGGGGTGGCGGATTTGAATTGTTCTGAAGCAATTGACATAACTCCACATGCGTCGCTGAAAGCTTAAGATTTCTATTTGGAGCTTGAATGATGTGAAAAATTGGTCTTGTAGACGAATTTGTTTGATTAAAAATTCCTGTTGACGCTTGAAGTGGTCGACTTATGAATTTCGGAGGCGCCGATGTGAGAACTGAAGTGGTTGGGCGGAAAATGGATTTTCCTGGCGCCACATTGGTAGCTATTGTATTGTAGTAATGATTCGGTGGAGCAGTTGTTAAAAAAAATTGTCGTTTAAATAATTGCTCGGTTTCTGAATCAGTTCGCTTTCTTTTTAATGCTTGATGCAAAAGACTTGAAGCTGTTGCACCATTTTCAGACGTATCAGAGTCGCTTGTATTCATTTCTGGAGTATTTCTAGAAAATGATGAACATGAAGATGATGAAATAGAGTCATTCGATGAGGAATATTGAGATTTTGCACAACTCTCTAAGAGATCACGACAAATTTTTTTAATCTTAAAAAAAGAAGTTTTTAATTAGGTATGTTAATCAAAGTAAAAATATTCAAATTTAAGCGAACCTGTTGTTCTGAAATAGTTTCATTAGTATTCTCTTTGATATTTCTGATAGCTGGATCAAAGAATGTTTCTACAAAATCTCTCATCAATCCATTGATTTTTTCATTAAAATAATATTGAATATTTCCTCTAAGAATTTCTAGAGAATCAACTCCACAATTTGTCATTGATTGTATTTTTCTTTTTCTTAGTGCATCAAGGATGTTTGTAGCTGACTCTGATTTCTAAAAATAAATAAATAAGAATTATTTTTTCCTTCATTTACCTTGACAAAGGAAATTAATGTTTTGTACATATTTTATGTTTGATGAATCACATGAATCCTCATTTTGTCCATTTTCGGATTCAGGATTGCCGTTTGTATTTGAATGAATAACCATCTGTAACACCAATAAATATTTAGAAAAAAATTTAAATAAATTCTTCAAAATGTTCCCTTCAAATAAGGAAAATGGAAATAATCTTCATAAAGGATATTTTGGAAAATTTCCCTTACTAACACTAATACACAATGATAAAGGAATTCGAGGGAAAATCAAATCGCACGTGTTACTTCGAGACATCACAAAAATGAAAACTCAATGTTTTTGTTTTTTATTAATTTATTTTATTTGGGGCTGAGAAAAATATTGGATTGACACAATGAAAATTAATAAGAATTTTATAAAAGTTTTCTCATCAACTTTCTTGTCTGCTTCTACAGTATTTCTATCTTTACATCGTCCCCCTACAACACATTTTTAAAAGGTTTAAGCAATTTCTTTTTATTATTGTTTCATTCTCATTTGTTTTGAGAAAGCTTATTGAATATGCAAATGTTCCATAGATTTTCATTTTCAAAAAGAGTTTAGCCTTTAGATTAAAATAATGTTACTTATATCTATAGTTGGGACAAATATAATTTTATTCCAGTTTGTCGCACACACTTCTATCTTTTTTTTCGTTTTTCTCTGTTCATTCGTGTTATCAAAGATTTTTTTTTCAATTAAACTAATTGAGTGTGTAACTTTTGTGTAATGTTTGTCTTCATACATTTTGTGTAATCGCATCATTTTTCACACAGCAAATTAAAAACTAAGAATAAAGAGTCTGACGATTGAAAATGTCATCTTCGTTCGTGCAGTTTGTCTTAAAAGTTAATACCATAGAATTAAATTAAATATATTTTCTTTGTTTTTCTGTTGACAAATGTGAGTTCTTTTGGATAAGATTTCTGACAATTGTCAACAAAATCCCTTGTTTAAAAAGTGGCTGTGTCTTGGCTTCAGAATATTTTCCTTACTTTCTTCTTTTCTGTTCCATCTTGCTAATTAAAAACAATTTACATACAGCGGTGATACATAAAAAAAGCTTATCTTATGTAGATATCTTTCAACTTTATTTGAAAATCTAAATTTAATTAAAGGTGAATAACCAAGAGTTTCATTTTTAAAAGGGAAAACACTTTTCATTTTGATTTCTGATATTTAAGTGATACATGATTAGCCTTTAATGACTAATTTTCTCAAATTGTTAATATTCATTTTTTTCATTCACGACACTCAAGACTTTTGTTTTTATTAAAATAAAAATGATTGGATCTGATATCTCACGGGCTCTGTCACCATCGGGTTCTCGTTAGTCGATAGTTTTTCTATCGAGATTATGATTTATTTTCGTTTGTTTTTGGCATGTTGAATATTCACGCTCAACCAGATCCAATCTGAAAATCTTACAAGCTAATTCCATGTTTCAATTGTTTCCTTTTACTTTATTTGTATGTGGATCTTTTCTTTACATATTAAGTTTGGTTTCTTTTCATTAAAGAGCAGCTTCTTTGTAATAAAGAGTAATAAGAAAAAACATATTTCGATCTTTTAATATTCCACAAGTTTAATTAATTATTCATGATACAATATTTAAACACTATGAAAATTATTGATCATCCCTACTGAATTCATAAAACTATTTAAGGAGCTTCGTTATCTCTTGGATCATTTTTTGTTAGTTTCTTTTGTTTATAAATGGCGATTCAAGTTGGTGAATATTCAAATTAATTTTTCAATACGAGTTTTTCCTTTCGTGACTTTTTTTCTTCATTTTTGACAATCAATTCTTAAAGAAGATTGAAGAAAGATTTTTGGTTTTTCAAATTTATGAGGGGGAAAAACTTAATAACATTTCAGTGATTTTTACTGATTTAAAGATTGTCTTTTCCATTTATTTAGATAGATATTTTATTCTCAAGTTCTCGAAGAAAAAGAAAGATCTTAAAATTGAGTTTTTGAAGATCTCGTGATTAAATGAATACGAAACTGCTAATCTTTTTGATAAGATAAGATTCAATTTATTGGAAGTGTTCAGTTATTCAATACTATGTAATGCCAGAAAGTATAATTATTTTGATCATTGTGAAAAACTGCATTTGCAATCATCTACTTGGAGATTAACTGAAAGTTAGCTTGGAATTATTATTTTTGTTGTGATTCCAAGCTCTTCATGCCTCGTCTTTGTTTACGTGAGATAATTTCTTATTCTCTCTTTTTACTTTTATTATTATTGTAGATAATTCTTACAAACTAACAATTTATTTTTCTTGTTTAATTGTTACCAACAAACATTCATAATAAAATACTTCAATTAGCGCAAAGGGGAAAATATTATTTCAATCAATATAAAAACTCAATGTGATGATGATGTTGCAAACATTGAAAGTTCTTCTTTTTCATACTTTGGATTTTTCCTCATGGGATTTGGAAGAAAATTTCAATTTTTTTGATTTAGAATTGCTTACATTTCCGGTTGCTACTATAAGGTGTGTGTTTGTGTAAGGTTTTGTGTCTAATGAACATGCAATGACAAAAGAGAAAATCGAATAACTTTAAAGCTTCATTGCCGTTGTTAGTTAAGTTATTTAAATAGAAATTCGCGATTGAATAAAAAAAGTGGACAAAAATCGAACAATTTATGTAGTCGTCGTTAAGACATCTTTTTTTAGTTAGCTTTAGACTAGGAAGAATATTTTAATTTATCATCGATTTAAATATTTTTGTCATTACAAAATTCATTAGAAGATTTTTTTAAGTAAATTTATATCCAAACATTTCATCATCATTTGACATTTTTTTTGAAGTGTTTTTGAAGAGTTTAAAAAGGCAAAACAAATATTATTGTTATCTAATTATTTAAAACTCAATACGATCAAGAATACGATAATATTTTAACTTAAATCAGATGCTGCAATTGGAGAATGCAACTTTCAATGTCGATTCACATTCGACAATGAAAGAAGACCAAAAATAAATCTTAACTTTAATTTAATTTTGCGATATTTCTTTTCTCTTTCTTAAACACTTAAATATTTTTTTGTTTAATAAAGTTCATGAATTCTAAATTCACATCTTTTTCATTCATTTTAATTTTTCTTCGTCTTCTTCCTCGCGCAACATTTTTGTGATTCTGTTCCTTGTTGTATATTCATTGGTTGTGTATCCACATAAGTGTTTTTGTTTATTTTTCTTAAATGATTTACCTTTTTGTTTTGTCTTCTCAACCATGTCATTTTTTCTTTTTTTTGTGTTTTGTGTCCAATAACAAATTTTCCTTCTTCATGATTCTCTTTTTAAATAAAACGACAACATAAATCTACCAAAGATGCACATTTAAGCAAAGTACATAACTTTTTTGGTATCAGCGTGCACAGTTATAGCACGAGCCATTGCACCCGGTGTTCTATCTTCAGAGCATCCACTTTGATGTGAACCTTCACCAGAGTCATGTTCTTTCTCAACTAAATGATATCTAATAACAAGAAAAGAGATTAGAAAATGTTAAATTAATTAAAAAGAAGAATTTTTACCTTGCTCTAAATGCAACAAGATGCGCATAATAAGCTGGAGCTGGAATGGATACAGATCGCGTACATCTTACATATGTATGACAAAGTTGATAAGTCAAACATTGTAGTTCATCTGAATCAAAGTGATTATCATCCCACAAGACATGATAGTGAGATGGACGACTTGTACCCTAATAAACAAATTTATTTTAATTAAATCAAATGTAAAGTGATGAAGTTTGTTGATAACTCACCTGAATACCTTGATGACTGCACAAATAGAAATCAAATTCAGTTGGATGTGTAATGCCAACATCGACAGTTGTTCCGGCTGGAATATTTCCTGATTTACCACTTTGTTCCTTTTTGTCAGCACAGAACAGACGAGTATGATGACGCTTTTGAACGACAATAAATGTAATACCCGGGCGATAGTCAGCTTCTAACTTAATACATGCTTCACGAATGGCTGTGAGTTCGTGTTGCAAAATGTGTGGGAATTGTCCTTCGGATACACCGTCGCGATAGAGAATAATTCGGTGAGGCTTGTAGCCGCCAGTTGATTTGTAGAACATAACTAACAGTTCACGCACCATGCTACTCAGCTCTTGAATCATTTCTTGACGATGTTGTTGAACTCTTACAGTTGCAGCATAACGTGATGGATGAGCATCCATCGATCCAACGACAGCTGCAATTGATGGTTTCTTGTTGTCACCAGCTGGTGGGTGTGTAACGTCAGCGCCAAGGAAGATGACAGGCTCGTTGAAAACTTTCGGACGAATTGATGGAACAAGAATTGAATTAATCCCACCAAGTTTGACATTTATTTTCAAGCACAAGTTTGAGAGTGTTTGTGGTGATGTTTTGTTGACATTCTTTGCTTGAACACATTGTGTTGCCATTCCGAGGACTGTGTCGCCAACGCGCTTTACTTCAGCTAATAAAAGAGTAATTTTTTTATTCATAAATTCAAGGAAAAGCGAATGAATGAAAACTTACCATAAACTGGGGTTTTTCCAGGCAAAACAACCACAACAAGTTGTAACTGATTGAATGAATTTTTCAAATATCGAAACATTGGTTCAACCTGGTCTGGTCCTGTTGCGTATTTGCAGAAGCAAGGCTGTCCAATAATTGGCATTCCAGCATCGTTTGAAATCTTTTGCAATTGTTGTGTGAAGTTTCGGAGCGCATCTTCACGTACTGTTCGTTGTGGAGCAAAACAAGCAATTGCCCAAACACGAATCTCAACGCCAGTGAAGAATTGTTTTCCTCTCATGTCCCAAACGCCTTGATTTGGCGATGCCAAGCTGACCTTGTTCTGTGATAACATTGCAACCTTTTCTTGCTGATTTTATTATAGTTCATCATCAAATTTAAAAAAATGTACACGATGATGGAGACGAAATATTAAAAATTTTATAAACTGTTCAATTTCCTCTCCATCATCGATAACCAAAAAAAAAATTTTTTTAAGATTTTCTGAACGTGTGAAAATGAAAATGTTAAATTTTGATTGAAATAAATTTTTAAAATGAAATCAATTTTCAAATCCATCCGATTCTGTTCACAACAAAGTAAACTCACTTGTCCACTGATGCTGGAAACGCGTCCGCCGTACTGCAATTTTGGTGGTGGCAAAACACGACCACGAACTTCCATCATATTGTTGCTGATTGTGAGACCAAATTCTTGAACATATGAGTCGTTGTTGAAATCTGCACGTCGAACTAAATTGTTAATTTCACGTTCACTAGAAAGCAAATGAATTCAAATTAATTTTTGTCAAATCAAAGAAAGTTTCAAGAAATGTTTTACCGATCAGGAGCTGATCTCGCTGTAGCTTTAATCATCGTCGATGTTTGCATATCTGTCAACTTCTTTATGCAACGCTGTCCTGCGACGATGTTACAAACTTCAAGCGGCAAATATGTGTGCTTATGTTCCTGTCCAACTTGCAAACATGGCAAATGTGGATAACGCAACTTCATCTTATATTTGTCCAAGAAATATTTTGCGACAGTACATTCAACAGTTTGTCCATTGTCGAGTTGAAGTGGGAAACTTTGCATTTGAGCTGGACGACGTGTAACGTTACAAACACGATACTTTCGTCTCATTGTGCCGCAGTGCGTGATTTCAATTTTCAGGCCTTTGATTTCTTTTGTGAATTTGACACGTTGCGAGTCAGTAAGCGGCTTACGTTGTTCATTAATGTCACGAATGTCAAGCACTTCGCACATGAATTCAATGACTGGTTGAGCTTTGTAGAAAGCTGTCGCTGACACATCAATATTGAGCATCATTTTCCATTGAGATGGACGAACACTTTGATGGAAACCAAACCAAACTTCGCGACCACCTCCCAATGGATGATAATAGCCATCTGGAGAGCTGAAGAAACTTCTTCCAACTGGCGTGTATGTCATGCTTGGCAAATGTCTCATGACAACATCCAACGCAAGAATAGCATCATACGGTATTTGTCTTGTGCGTCCTTCCAAAGCTTCTTCGAGATTAAAAAGGGAAACTTGAGCAACCCACTTAATAGTGACACGAAAAACGCGATCCTTTCCTTCACCAGGCAATGTGACTTCGAGCTCAACACGATCATTACCGATTGGCAAAGGATCTCGTGTGTATAAATTACTACGTCCATCGAATACTGGCTTCAATACACCAAAGATTTTACTGTAAGCGTGAACCATCGTCTCAATGATTTCACGATTCACTTTACGTGGACATTTGTCGGGTTGAATGTTTATGTCATAGTGATGAACAAAACCACGTGGCATAGAGATTTGGAAGTGATTTGCACGCAGTAAAATTGGACGACCCTCTCGTCCTAAGTTTGGACGTCTTGGACACGTGAAAACTGGTAAATCTGGTGGTGCAGGTGGTGTTGCGACAACACCTGTTATACTTGGCGTTACATTACCAGCGGCGGTTGTTGTTGCTGTTGGATTGACTGTGGCACCTGTTGGTGGAGCTACAATCAAAGTTGATATTAATTTAAATCTTATTTATGTAATTGAAGTGATTTTTACACTCCTAAACTCATCTAAATTAGAAAAAAAATTAAATAATTTTTGTTGTGTACATATATGACAAAAACATGATGATTAAATATCAAGACTATGATTAAAAATGACATTTTAAAAAGTCCTGAAAAGTAGAATTTTATTTATCATGATGATCATTAAATCCCTTCTCAAAAATATTATTTTGTTAATTGTTATTAGCTTGGTGCTTAAACCCAATACTGACATATTTTCTGTACATCATTTTAAAGTTTAATTGTATCATAAAAAATAACAAAAATAAACAAAAGCGATGATTATTATTGTTAAGAGTTATGGGATGATTGTAGCATCCGATAAGAGTTGGTTAGTTACGAAAAGAAAAGCTTTAGATATTTAAGTAGATAATAAAAGAAAAAAACAAAAACAATGTAATTATGAAAAAGATTTCGATAAATATATGTACAAAAGTTATAAGCAGCAGTTAAAAGTTAAGATGGTAATAGAGCAGGAAATTTATGGAAACGGAAAGAGAAAATACGAAGAATGGAGAAATATTTCTCTTTTTACTTAATTTATCTAATTTGGCACTTGAGGAAAACTTGATAAAGTTATCGATTGAGACTGAATGTATGTTTATAGTGGATGGTGTGGTCTTAAAAGCGAATAAGGCACTTTTTGGTTTTGTCAATCATTTCTTTTTAACAAATTCAAATTTTTTAAACTTTTCTTCTAAAATGAATTTTGCATTGTTTTAAAAATAAATAACAAAAGAAATCAATGGTCAAATCTCAAATGATGGCAATTAATAAAAAGCATTTCTTCCATTTATTTGTATGATGTTGTTGGATGGAATTGCATGCCTTGCACATCATGAAAAAATGAATGAGAAGGAAATGCTTTAACATGAATTTGTCATTTAACAACAACGTTACCAATTCTGATCATCATCATGTTTTAATCATAAACAAAAGGAAATTTTCGTATGAAAAACATAAATGAAAATTCTGATAAAGTTTACTTTTTTTTCTAATTCAAATTTGTTAAATGTATTATGTCTAAAAGACACTAAAAATTTTGTTTACGTGAAAGTGTATCGAAGCTGGTCTGCGACTGGGAAGGACTTGGAGGCCGAGGTGGCGAAGAAGTCCATGATGATTCTATAAAAAAAATAAATAAGAAAAATTAAGGACTACTCATAGGGACAACATCGTTAATCTTCTTTTTGCTTTCTGCTTTCTTGATAATTCCTTGGCTTACTCGGAAAATTCTTTGCAAAGAAGTGATTCAGAGTGACAAAACTTGTTTATTTGTCACAACATAAATAATCAAATTATTTTTTTCTCGTCTTCAAGTGGGCTCATTGATAACATAAATGAAAGGAAACTTGAAAAATTTTGCCCATAAAAAAACTGATAAGCAGGGAAATAAACAGAAAATATATTTAGACATTTTTCTTAAACTGATAAATAAGTAAAAGTTTTTTCACAATTTAATATTACTGTGACTTTTAAGATGTTTAATCTCTCTCATCATAACGAAAATTGCATAAAATTATGTGGTAAAAAACCGCATGGAAAAATTTATGACTCAGACAGGGTGCGCCATAAAACAACACTAAAAAGTATTTCAGATGAGTTTATTTATGTTCAAAGGAAACACCTGTGTCTTTTTAATTTATCAGAAAAAGAGATCAAATATAATTGTAAGCACAGTTTAATCTCTAAATAGGTTTTGTCTGCCTTCATTTTTGGTTATTTTCAAATATTATCATTTTCCAAATGTTTTGCTGCAAAATGAAGAATTATTTAAATTCTCTGACTTCGCAAAAACTTCAGATCGCGCGCTAAATTAAACTTGGTTTATATTCTATTGAGATTTTGTTTAAATATATTTTAAGCGCCTTGAGATGATTTCCCAATCAAAAGCAGCGCAAAAAAGCGTTTTTTTTCTATGAACTCCATAAAGTGTCGATGACCTAAAAAACAGCAATTTATACATCATCGTTCCTTCTAATGTTGGGAGTAAATATGTACACGAGAGAGAGAAAAAGAAGAAATATAACTTGGCTTTACGAATATCTGATGGTAATGTTGCTTTGTCCATGTATTGATATTTTTCATATTTGCTAAGAATTTCATAAGTTTTATGCTAAATCTTGCAGTTTTAAAGTTCAAGAAAATTCTTATGTTTGATAACAGTATCATAACGACACGAACATTGACAAAAACTAAATAAAAGTCTCGAAGAAAAAAAAAATCCAACCAAGTCATATTATATTAGTCTGATGATGGCCCCATTTTATTTTTTTTACAACATATTTTTTTCATTCTGATATTTACAATATTTCAAATTCTTATTTCCACATATTTTTATCCTAAATGTGCACTTTATGTTAGTAAAACCATTTTGCCTTATCAGAAATTAGTTCATAATCGATGGAATCAATAGGAAAACGTAAAGATTTTTTGGAGCACTCTCTTTGTTGAAATCTTTTTTCCCATCGATTTTATTTAGAATATTTTGTGTACTCACGCTGTCCTACTGGGAACATTTTTTATTTAATTTTATCACACAACGCTATTAGAGGCACAGAATCATACAAAAACACGCGGAATCACACTGTGAATACTTGAAATCTTTAATTTAATTTTTATTTCTGCGAGCGAGAATATTTTCGACTTAAAACTGAAAGTCGACAAAGTCGAAACTCTCTAATGTTGTTTGTTTGTGTGTGTACGAATGAAAATGGAAACTTCGATCCCCTCGAAACTATGACTCAATTATTTCAAAACAAATCGGCATAAAATTAAAAAACATTCAAGAAAATTGTGTTGAACATGTCTGTTAAGTTCTATGGTCGAGTTGTACGAATTGGTGGAATTGCGACTGCAATTTCAAATCAAATTAAGCTCATCAATTTCAAAGGTGTAAAGCGTGTTAATGTAAAATTCGATCCATTCGATGAAAAGGCTGATATAGCGAGGTGAGAAAAATTTCCACAATTGAAAATCGCGCATGCTCATTGTGTAGTGAAAAATTTTCCCAATCGTCGCAATATTTTTCATGTGCTCGAATTTTTAATTTTTATATTGAAGGTAAAATCCTTAACAAAACATAATTAAAGTCATCTTACCTCTTTCACCAAACGGCTTATTAATGATTCCAATCCCATTTAAGCCATTCATCCCGTTCAGTTGCATGTGTGATGCTAAATCATTATAGTTGAGTGCTGGATGAACCTGAGTTGGTCCATTTTGTTCTCTTTCTGATGCCATGTCTGAAATATTCATAAAATTCATTCAGAAACTTCTGTTTTGCTATATTTTCAGGAATTATCTTTTTTATATCTCATCGCCAAAGATAAATGAAACAAATCCGAATTGTGTCATAAAAACTGATGTAATTTGTAATAGAGAAAGACCGACCATCTCTTTCCAACTAATACCACAAGTGCAAGGTAAATTTTAAATTTCTCATTAAAGATCATTTCATCCAGCTTAATATTTTATTCCTCTCTTCTTTTAGAAGCCGCAAAGATTAAAACTGTTAAGATTGAGCTTGAAAATCTTTCGATGCTAGAGCTTTTAACTGCAACAAATCAGCATATTTCAGCATTAGCACCCAAAGAAACTGTTAGCAGTTCATTAAAGACAAAGTCAGAGAAGAAGCGTGCATCCGGAGGAAGACGGAAGTAAAATATTACTTGTGATTAATTAACATAGAATTTAGAAAGATAGTAAAGTGAAAAGATGAAAACCAAGGGAGGCGGACACATCGACTTTATAGAAAAAATCTACCATGATTTGCCGAGTTTCACGGACGTTTTCAATGAGGAAACTTTTTATATTTTTGTCGTTTGCTTCGTTCTTGCCACTTTTCTCGTCGTTTTTATCTTATCACGATTTATAACAATAAAACCTGTTGATGATTATTGAAATAAAAGGAATAAACAAAAATGAATTTCTAAGAAATGATTAAAATTAAAACTTGAGTATTTTGCTTTTGAAAAATTAAAATTTTAGCAACAAGACGACCTCCATGATGCAGGCCAACAAACATAAACTAAGCTAACAGAGAATGAAAAGAAGACAATAATATTGCCAGACTATTCAAAACTATAAACCTGTTTCACGGCCAACAGACAAAAAAAACATTCACTTTTTTTCTGTTTTTTCAAACAAAATTGTCCTCATAATGTGGCAAAGAGCAACAAGAAGCAATAAGAATATTAAAACTTTTAATTTCCCTTTCTCTTATTCATGCTCTTTTTAAATAGATCAACAGATCCAGGAAATGAAAGCGAAAAAAGTGGATCAAGGTGTGCAGATCAAGAATATCTCCCACACTCTCCACTAGAAATGCATTCGGGAAACTCTACCCCCAATTACAAACGTCATGATGGAGAAAGAGAGATAGAAAAACGATTCGCGCATGTCAAATGATGACGATGATTTTTCTCGCACATTATGTTGTTTGTGTTTTATTTCTCGCTCTCTTACTCGACATGGTATCCATCTCTCTTTTGTTGGTTCGGCTCCACTGCTACATGTTTTTTTCTTTCTTTTTTTTGTATATAAAATGGCTGTTTCAAGTTCAATGTCAAATTTGTGGAGCAAATTAGTGCAATGGGCAAAACCCTCCCAATGAATTTATTTCGAAAACTCTTACACCATATAATTTGTAAACTAAATGGATCTTTAATGAGGCTAAATTATGGTGTAACAAGGTTCCGGCATACAGTTTTGTTTATGACGTAATTCCGCGTTTTTCAAACATTTTCGTATGTAAAGTTAAGGTTTTGCATGAGAATAGAGAGAAAAAATGGAAACCCAGAGAAGATATGTTATAAAAAACTTAAAACGCAATTTTCTTTTCCCATGAGTTGTTGTACGAGGTGCATCGTGCGCCGGGAATAAGAAAATCTCTTCTGTACTATTCTTTGGATCTTTAAAGCTATCAATAGTACAGAATACGATGCAAGAATGAAGAAAAAAATTACAAGAAAACCCGAAAAAAATTGTGATTGCCTTGATTCGCACACACTCACCTTGAATTTTAAGTTGATTTTAATACACTTTAATGCTTCTTTTAGCCTTTCAGTTTTTTGAATGAAACTTCAGGTAGATCCTTTACAGAAAAAGTATTAGTCACTCTTTTCGTCTTATCAGTAATAATTTCTCGTCAGTAATTTCAGTACATTTAATTTTCTATTTGCCGATTGTTTTTATTTTTGCGGCTCACGATTCATCAAAATATGTCTTAAAAAATATACATTTAACATTCACTTTATCATTTTTCGCTAGAAAATAAACTATTTTAAACCTTTGTGTAGAAATTTATATTTTCAATAATCTTGATTCGTCATAAATTGATAAAAATTGAAATTGTTTTTACCGAACCAGAAGAAGGTTTTTTTGCAAGTTTGGTGACTTTTAATTTCACCACGCATGAAAACTCACCAATTTAGTTCTGAAAATAAAAGGTGGCGCTTATTTGGGCACTTATTGCGTTGTAGCAAAAATTCAAATTTACAGAAAAATATTCGTTGTAATTTAAACCATAATTATGCATAAGAAATATTAAATAATTAATATAATTGCACGTTAGGATTTTCTCATTCATGAATTCTCTTTACTTTTTTTTCTTATTTATTTTTAAAACTGATGTAGGTATTAGAGAAAAGAAAAGAAAATAAAATAAATCACGTGATAAAAGTTTACAATTACTCAAATTATGAAATCATGAGACAATAAAAGCTGTATTTAATATTCTTTGGACATTCCAGTTATCATCTCATAAACTTGTAGCCTTTATTAAAGTTTCGTTTAAAAATTAAATGAAAATTGTTAGTGAAAATATTTTATGTTCAATTTCAACAGAACAAGAAGAATGGAAAAGCGATCCGAAAATGGGTCAGCACGAGCAAAACTTCTTTTTTTCAAGGTTTTCATCTTCTGCGTTAATATTTATGCGGTCAGCGTCTAGGATATCATTATGTATGAGCTTATCGTTGACAAGTATCTTAAAATTTATTGAAAATTGAATTATTAGAAAAAAATTTAAAATTTTCATTAAAAAATTGCTTTTACCTTGCTAACTAACGCTTTAGTAGATTCTTCTATATTAACATTATCTTTCGCAGAAGTTTCAAACCAACCAGCAAACCCATTCTGTTTACAATAGTCATCCATCTTTGCAGGCATCGTTACAAGTCCTTGTTTTTCTTGATCACACTGATAAAAAAGGAAACAAAAAATCTTTAAAATACCCTCATAAATTTGTCTGTTTTTCCCACTTTACCTTGTTCGCTAACAAAATACAAGGTATGGGGCTTCCATCAGGCAGTTGAACTTTTGAATCAAGATCTTGTTTCCATTTAATAACGGCATCGAATGTCGCTGACCTCGTCACATCAAAGCTGAATAATGAAGCTTATTAAGTCACAATCTAAAACATAATTAAGGGATAAATACTTACACAATGAAAGCTCCAACGGCTTCTTTATAATAAACTCGAGTCATATTTCCGAAGCGTTCTTGTCCCGCGATGTCCCATAACTGAAGACGAATGATTGTCGATTGATCCCAATTGAGAACCTTCAAAGCAAAATCAACTCCGATTGTCGCTCGATAATTTTGACTAAAGAATCGATGCACGTAACGTTTAATAAATGATGTCTTTCCAGTACCAAGTTCACCTAAGTATTATGAGAAGATTATGGAAGACTTATGAAATGTCATTGGACAGAAATGAGATAAACAACGTGATAGAAACTCACCAATAACAAGAATCTTATAAAGATGTTCACGTTTTTCCGGAGACGACGTCATCGTGCTTTCCTATTAATTAACAAAAAGAAAACTAATTAAGTCAGATTAACATAAGAAAGTAAAACCGTCCGAATTGGAGAACTAATTGTAACTGAACATTTTTGTTTTGTTGTGAAGAAGGAAATAGAAAATGATTTTCTTCGCTATGGCTTCAGTTCAATATTCATTCATTAAGTTTCTTGCGAAGAAAGTAATCGTTTTATGTTAAGACATTTAAGTGGAAACAAATGGTCGATTTTCTCACCACAGAATCGTCAAACACAGGAAACATGGATGAGTCTTGTTGAAAGGAATTTAAATCAATAGAATCCGAAGCATTCACTTTAAGGTTGCTTTTGAGTAATTCTTGTTCTTCGGGGGTATAAGTTGACAGTTGTGGAACATACGCAATGCGACGACGTAAAGGTTCAGAAATTTTTTCACTTTTTGGACTATGGAAGACTTCTAAACTTGAATCTGGAGAGTTTATTTCACATATAGGATTATCTGACAATGCTGAAGGACCTGAAACAACTGATGACGAAGCTGGTGATGTTCGAAGTGGTCTCACGGAAGTTCCAACTTCAAATCTGATCTCGTCAGCATTCAATGGTGTTTGTTTGTTGGATTCTTCTACTGAAGATGATGAAAGATGCAAGTGATAAGGCTGGTGAGCTTCTTGTGTGTGAACAGTTGCTGTCAATCCGTTATGGCTGCCATTGACTTCTGTCAAACTTCCAGAAAGTCTCCGAATGTCAATCGGAATTTTCGTTTTCTGTCCTTGCTTTTTCATATTTTCATCAACTTCTTCATCACTCAAATTTTTATTTTCTGTTTTATCATTCACAGTTTCCACTTTCGAATTATTTTCTTGAATTTTCAACTGTGGAAAATTTGGTGGAAATTTTAATCCACTTTTATCATAAGATTGATCAACGCTTAAATCTTCAAGTTTCTTTGCTTCAGAAATGATTGTGTTTAATGAGGATGTAATGAGTTGATATTTTTCCACTTCATTCGAATTCTCCGCTGGTGTGGATTTGACTGACGAAAGTCCTTCCTTAACTACTAAAGCAAATGTTGGATCGTTTTTAATTGGCTTATTATTTTGTTCCACATGTCCAGTGTTGCTTGAAGGTTGGAATGAATTGAAAAACAATTCCCGACTCAGAGTCGTTCGAGCTTGATCACTTGTCGTCACAGGTAACTTGATATCTGCTTGCTTTTGCAGTGGTTCACTTGTTATTTGTGTTTGTTGTGAAGCCTTATTGAAGGCTTCATCGGATGCATTCGATTGAGGTGAAGCACGCCTCTCGACCTTCTTGCCTGATATCGTAATCTTCAACTCCACTTTCTTACTTTCCAATGTAACAGCTTCCTTTGTCAAACTTGATGCGCTTCTCCCAATGGGAATGTCAATTTCCGATATAAATTGACCTGATTCCTTCTCCGGCCCTTCAAAATCGATTATTTCGGTCGATGGTTCGCTGTTGCTATCATCATCATTTATTTCAAGCTTTTTTACATCTTCAAGTGTGCTAGAATCGCTCATAGATAAGCTTTTATATTGTTTCAAGTTCGATTCAGTTTCATCGACTCCATCGTCAGCACTTGGACTCACTTTATAAGTTTTCTTACCAGAAAATCTTTTCACGAAATTGAAACGTTGCAGTTTTGGACTAAGCTTTGAAGTAAGTGAAGATTTCTTTGATGATGACGACAAATCTTGTTCTGATTGAGCACTTTCTGGAGTCTTCACATCCGATTCTTCATTATCTTTGTCTTTCTTTTTAAGATTTAATCGCTTTGCAATAAATTTTTTTGGTTTGAACTTTCTGGGTTTCTTTAACGTTCCAGTTTCGGAAGTTGAGTCTTTATCAACAATCGACCCTTCAGACAAAGAAAGCTTTTTTGTTGCTTCATCACTTGAACCTTGAGTGCCTTTGTTTGGTTCGTAAGAACCAGATCGTCGTTTATTTTCATTCTCCATTGCTTAATATTTATCCGCGAATATCAAAATAAACAAAAATCTACTCGAACTAGCCTCTTTTAAGTTAACAGCGACAATGAGACAAATAAATTGTTGATATATCGGAAAAGGAATTAAAATGAGTAAGAAAATCGATGCCTATTTGTTAGTAGTGCACAAATGTGTCGATACTAACAAAGCGCCAACGTTAATGACTATCGAATATCTCATGTGCAGCTTTGTACTCAACCTGTTGCGGTTTCAAGGGATAATGAGTTCTTTTTTGCTATTTGATACGACACAAATAATTTAATTAAACATTCGCTTAACGAGAATTTCCGATTAATTCTGCTTAGACAACCTGAGACTTCACGTGTCAACTTCTTTCGTTACTCAACTTCCAAATCTCTTACAATTAACGCTACAAATGCTTCCTTTTAGGTCGCGTAATCTCAAACAACTAAATGACAATCAATGAAATATTTTTTGGAGAGAACAAGACTTTATGTCTCGTTATCAGTTAATTTGCGAAACAAAAATGTTTGCTTATTAATTCTAAACGAACATGAGTTAGTAAACAAATGAGATGAATTAAAAATCCTTAAATTCCAAAACGATTGAAGTTCATCTGTCGGAACTCTTTAAGACGCATTTTTCATTCTTATCAAACATAGAAACGAAATTCTTCAAGATATTTTAAGACCATTACGAGAGTACGAAACGACAACCGTGACCTTTGAGATTGCGTTCTCTGGAAAGTCTCACGAGAAGGAAGTTGATAAGTTTTTTGTTTATAATATAATTTTGAAGTTGCGTAGAGATTTAAGCTGCTAATTGATGATGGAAGAAAGGCCATTAGGGTGAATCTCGACTTTAATTAAAGATAACATCGACGACCTTCTTAAAGTTCAAATGTCACTGTAAGAATTTTGTTTTCTCTTCTCAAATTAAGTTATCAGTTGCTTATCATCTTAATGTTGCGTAAACTAAAGCAGCGATTGCTTCATTTCATAACAAACTTATTTCTTTCTTATCTTTAATCACCACTTCCATCTCCGACAACGTTAACTCCATCAAATGTCATCAATTCTTATCTCATTTGATTATTCAACATTTTTTTCTCAAGCATTTACAAATAAATATTTATTGTGGTCTTAAAGCCAATGAGGGCATTAGAACTTTCTCATCAAATCGTAAATTAAAGCAAGATGATAAATTTACTCAACTAACAAATTATTTTGTTGAACATTAAAAGAAAATATTTGTAATCAAATGTAATCAGTGGAAAATTTCATCATCGACATTGACAAACTGATCTTGTTGTCTTATGACAACATTTCGTCTTCTCATCTCAAAAGAAGATGAACAGAAAGTTAGAAAAAATCTGGCGGCAAATGACTGTGTATAAATTTTACACTTCTCGCTCATATCTTATCTCGTGTGACAAATATTTGCGATGTTAACCGTTGCATCAACACGCTTAATTTCTCGGTAGTTAAAGCTTTTCACTGTAAATATGAGATAGGTAGTTGTTTGGGAAAGAACTACAAAAGGAAGAATTCATTACATCATAAAATTTTATTAGATTGGGACTTCCAACCTTTCCTTTTGTCATATTCATATGCGGATGGGCGGATTTAGCTTGCAATACTTGAGAGATCCATTAAATGTTAATAAAATATATTTTTATGACTTTCATGCAATTTTTATGGCGTTTCACTTTCTGCGGGCTTCTTGTTCATCGATTTTTAATTTCTCAAAATATTTCTTGAGAAAATGAATTTTCCTCGTCCAATTTTTCATGAAAAGCTTTCAATGACTTTGCAAAATAAGAATGAATGGAACAAAATTGTTTGATAATTCTCGTAGTTTGATTTCGTTTGAACTTTAATCTGATTAATATTCGAAAATTTATGAAAAGAAGCATGGAATGTCCAAAGAATTTCAATTTGAATTTTTTCCTTTCTGGGACTTTCATTTTCTGAATATTTGTTTAAAAGGTTTGTGATAAAAAAACGTGACATCACTCCAGTCACAACCCTTGTCGGTTTTATACCAACAATATGTTTCGATGCCGGAATGAGTGACGGATATGCTCTAAAGGATATTCAATATTCTAAGGTGTAGGAAAGCCACAAAACTATGCAGATGAAGCATATTTTTATTTTATGACAACAGCATCTATTGTGTTGTCAAGACTGTCTCGTAAAAATAGTAAAGTGGAAGGAGATCCAAAGACGTCATTGAAAATTTTATTCTAAAATTCAAAATAGCTTCAGCAAGCATCGTTGTAAGACTTCTCAGACATTCGGGCTTAATTCCAAATATAAATAAAGTTATTTAAAGTTTAAATCGATTTTTCATAAGGTTGTCGTTCGAATTCTTATAAATCTTCGTTTGCTTCCAAGAATATTTTCTTTCTTTATGTTCTCTGAAATAAATTATTGAAAGATTGATTTATTTTCCGAAGGTTCTCTAAAGAAATAAACTCAATTTGAAAAAAAAAGTTTCTTAATCATCAAGCTAATATAAACACTTGATGAAGCATAAACGAATTCAACATATTATTCTTATCTCCAAGTATTGTGAGCTTCATATGGCGTAGTTCAATCGTGATTAAATATCAAATTACTAATTCTGATAACACGTCATTTGCTTTGCCGGTCGTAATGTGTAATGACATTATTTTGTGTGAGTTCTCTGAGCCATTTTCAAGAATATTTAATAATAACAACATATTTAAACAAATGACAAACATTTATCTTCATGACTTCTTCCCAAGAATTCCATTCAATATCAAATTACTTAATTTGTTTTTTCATAAGAACTGATATCATTAAAATATTAATTATTTTATCTGTATCACTTTACACAATGCAAAATTGAATTAACAGATCAAGTTAAGCTTTCCGGCAGTTCAACAGTGACAATTTGATCTTGATAGAAACTTTAGAGATAAAAGTCATCGTGAATCATTCGAAATGCTTTCACGAGAGAAAAGTGTTTATCGGTTCTAATCCTTCAAATGCTTCCACATAAATAAATGCTTCTTCTCCATATTGCATCATAAATTTTCCATCCACCACAGAAACGTGAAAGGTATCAATTTTCTTTCAATAAAATAATGTGATTTGGACGTGATGTTACATGAAGCATAAAGAACGTCAGCGGAATAATTTTTGCGTAGCATCATGTCAAATTTTCTGAAGTGTAAGCATGAAATAAATATAAAGCAGAAAGACGTAAAAGATATCAACTTTAAGTAAAATAAATTCAGTGATTTCATAGAATGAGAAGTGACATCAAAGAAAATTGCATTTGACATCATGCTGCATGTTCGTCTTGATGTTTCATATGTAATTTACTTAGAAAAATGATAAGCATTGGCCTTGCGTGACTAAGCAAGCAACTTAAACTTTCTAACGAATCCTGATTGATTTCTATGGAAAAGTTTCGTACTAAGAATTTACTAAAAAGGGAAAAAATGTAAAAATTCGTCAAGCCGAACATTCAACGAGCTAAAGACCACATAAATAACATTCCTTTGAGAATAGCACAAAAAAAAGTGAAAAGTAATCAATAGAAACGAGAACAACTTCAGAACATTCAATGGTACGGTTTGATTAAAACTTCCAATTTCCTTCACAACTTTTCCCCAATCTCTTTTCCATTAAAAGTTTGTTAAATGATTGCAGACATGATGTAATGTATGTAAGTAAATTTCTACACGAGAAAGCTATCAATTTTTCCAATAACCAACAAGCTAACTGAAGGGATGAAAATATTCCACAATGTTACAAACGTGCCCACTCAACTGGCCTCGCAATCGCTTCGAAAAATAAGATCGTTTACATAAATACGCTCCATTGACCTTTAATGAACGCATTGTAATCAGGAATATATTATTTTTATTCTCTCGAATCTCTTCTTCAATTGCTATTCAGATTGATAAAGCTGCCAAATAAACTTTTCTTTTCGACAAAAAGCGACAGAAACAAAAATAAAATTTCACTGATGAATTCACGTTTCCAATAAATAATCCGACATCAAGCTAAACTCATTCGTCAACTTCAGCAACGACAATAAATCGTCGACAGAAAACTGCATTCTGATTTAAATCAATCAACAAACGTGAATCTCCATTTTGCTCAAAAAAAAACTTCCACGTGAATGATCAAATAAAACATTTCTGAGTTCACTTTCACGTTATTCAATTCGATTATTCCCATCAAATGAGTTTCTATGATGTGTCACACGTAACAACTGCCTACAATAAATATTCTCCAAGTTTCCATTGTCACAGTTGATAATACTTGGTGAGAAGGGCTTGTTTAATGACTTATTAACATAAATTTTACTCTTTTCCCCTTTTCAATACTAAACGATGCTTTGAATTTCATTTTTTACGTGATGAAGCTTTATTTTGTATATTTTTAAATGCTTTATCTAAAACACAATCAACCACCCAGCCATTCGGACGATTGCAAAATGTAATGATAAGAGGTTATTAGTGACTCACCTTAACTATCACTTGCTGTTCGAGTTTGATTTTCCGATTTAACGTTTTAGCTATTTTTCCTATTTTCACTGATTTTCGCTTTTCGCAAGAGTGAAAAATTTCTTTTGACCGATGACAAGTTCCAAGCGGTGGAGATTCCAACAACAAAAGTTCTTTGCTATTGAACACACATTCACCAAGCTCCAAATTTTTATTATTATTGTTCAAGTCATTCAAAGACGTCTTATCATTCCTTCTCCTTGCTACAATTCTTAATAATGCTGTACATCCAGAGATTACTTTTCGAACATTACTTATCTATAGCGGTGTCGTCTCGAATCCCGTTTTTATAATTTTATTTCAATAAATAGTTAATATCAATTCGTTCTTCTTAACTCTTCACTTCAATTAATGTTTTATTATGTTTGACTCGTTAATTTAATTAAAGTCAATTGCAATGACAAACATTGAAATTATTTTGTATAAAGCACGTCGAATATTTTAACAGCAAACAGCACAAAAAAATTAACACGAGGAAATTTTTCGTAATCGACGACAAATGATGAAAAAGAAAAGAATTTTTATCTCTTATCAAAAGTCACTGTAGGGAGTAGTAACGCATGACTTAGATGATGCCACGATCCGAACGATACTTAAAACAACAAATTCCAACCAAGCAAGAAAACTTTCTGACTGACGACTCTGCGGTGGACGACGACGAAGTCTCTCAGAGAACTTTTTGAAATTTTTTCTTTGCTACTTGTCGCTTCACTCTCTTTTGTGGACGACACTCGTCTGTTTCTTTCTTTCGTTCTTTTTCTGTTCTTTACCAAATATTTAATCAGCAGAATAACGAGATATGTTTTCTCAGCTTTCACTTTAGTATTTTAATGTCATGAAAAGATTTTTTTAATATCACATTTGATTGTTAAGGTCAATTAATATCATAAAGTTTGATTAGTTTGTGTAAATGGACGAAAGTTTCGTGTGAATTTAATGTTTTTAAAATTTGTAGAAAAAATACGAGCAATGCAATGTTGTTGACTATCGATTGTTGACTAAACAGTTGAAGAAACTTCAATCAAGAGAATCACGCGATTCACTCTCAAGCATGCGTAGCTGAAAGAAAATCTTCGGAAAATTCAAAATAACGGAAAAGTCACATGTTGCATTTGTAAAAAAGAAAAAATTTCTTTATTAAGTATAATTTTATTAATTTAA